CTAAAGTAGGTATTCTTTAGATCTCTAGTACTATAATATTTTAACCTAAAATAAGAGATACTTCTAGTAACTAATATATTAAGTTTTATAATTATAGGAATTCTAATATAATATAATAGTATCTAGTTTATAAAAATATAGTATATTATTTAGTAATCTATAGTCTTTTACTTAAGGAAATTAATTAAAATAGAGAGGAAGTATAAAATTTATAATTAAAAATTACTAGCTATAATAAAATATTTTAAGATATAATATTATTATCTTAAAAATAATCTATATATAATATATATATAAATAAATTATATAAATCTAAAATATTTCTATATTATTAAAACTTTAAATTAATACTAGGCTAGATAGGCTAAACTTCTAGTAATATATAATTTCTAGATTAAATATTAGTCTAGTAGCCTTAATCTAGTTAATATACCTTTAAGGTAAAAGGATTATAAACTTACCTAATAAGATATAGTTAAGGGACTCTTACCTATACTTTAGGTAAAGTTAGGAGGTTTATAAAATAATTAAGGTAAGAATAGGATAATAACTTCCTAAAAGATCCTAATTATATAGTTAAAAGGTCTAGAATTTTTAACTTAAAGAATACTAGTATAAAGGATGGCTAGTAATAAGTAAGTTTATAGAATATTATTAATTACTCTATAAGATTTACTTTAAGAGATATAATATAAAAATACTTATATAAATTATATTTAGAATAATATTAGTAAGGAATACCTAGCATGCTAGAGATATACTTAAATAGTAGAGAAACTATCTAAATAAGAAATAATAAAGTAGCTTAAAAATAATATTAAATAAAAGTAAACTTATAAGGATAAATAGTATATTAATAATAAGGGGCTAGTATAATATAATAAGATTATTTATATTTTTTCTAATTAAGTAATATATTAAGAATTATTAAGAATATATTATAATAATCTATATATAGGCTACTTTAGTTAAGAAAAGATATTAGACCTTATTAAATAAAAGTTTTACTAGAATATCCTATAATATAATATTAAGAAATATGTAAAGAGTTGTTTAATTTATTAAAAAATAAAGATACTAAGATAGTTTTTACTAGGCTAGCTTATAAAGCTCCTAGTACTAGAATATCCTTAGTAGGATCTAATTCTAGACTTTATTATAGGCTTATTACTATTAATATAAAAGGGGCATATATATAATACTATCTTAATAATTATAGACTAATATATTAAGAGAGCTAAATACTTCCTAATAATAGGGAATATTAATACTAAAGAGCTAGCTAATATATTTATAAAAGAGATTATACTTAAAATAGAAGTATTAAAGAGCCTAGTAAATAATTATAGCTTATTCTTTACTAGTAAATATTAGATCTAGCTATATTAAGGGCTTTAAATTAAAGAATAACTAAGTATTATATTTTACTTATAAATAGATAGCTAAATAAAATATTAGAACTAAATATTAGAAACTTATCTAAAAATTTATATTAATTATTAATAAATTAACTAGATAGACTAGCTAGATATAATAGAATTTATATATAATAATATAAAAAATATATTATTAAGAATATTCTTTTATAAGATATAGTATAACTACTAGCTAGTATTATTTAAGCTTACTAATATTAGGGACTCTAGTATAGTTATAGTAGTAGGAAAATAACTTAACTAATTATAAGTAAAATATTATTAGCTAGAAGAAAATCTATACTATACTACTAAATAGTAAGTAAGAAGCTATAATAGAAGGTATTACCTAATTAAATACTATATAGGCTAATAAATACTACTATTAATAAAAAATATCTATATATAGAGGCCTAGTAAGAAACTAGATATTAAATATAAAGGGCTATTTAAAATAATTAAGATAATAAGTTAATAAATATACTACTTATAATTATCTAAATTATATAGAAAAATCTATCTAGTCTTTTATATATTACTCCTTAAGGAATAGAATATAAGAAATAGTAACTTACTAGTATTACTCTAGCTAGTTATTATTAATAATAAGGAAGAATAAGAGGTAGAATAAATTATTATATAATAAAAACTATATAGTAAAGATTAATATTTAATTAAATAAAAAGAATAGCTAATATATAAAAATACTTAATAATTAGTAAAAGACTTAAAAAATATATAAGATATCTTAAATAAGTTTTACTATATAAATAAGATATAAGTAAGATACTAGTAAAATATTATAAAATAGTAAAATATAGTAATAATAAGTTAATAAGATTAAAAAATTAAAAAGATTATAAAAGTATATTAATAATATTATTCTTTTTTTTTTTTTTATTAAATTTTAAGATTTAATAGGGGTATATTATAGGTATTAAAGAATTTTAAAAAAATAATTTAATTTTATTATATAAAAATAGAAATAATAAAGTATCTATACTATAATATTAATAAATCTTTAATTATTATAATTATTCTAAATCTTTTTATTATTATTTTTTAATTTTATTATATTATTCTTAATATACTATATATTAAGTAGGTAAAATATATTATAGTTAATAGATTAAAGTAATCTCTCTATTTAATTCTTAGTCTTAAGATAATAAATAAAAATCTTGGTAGTATAAGCCTATTAGGTATAGACTATTATACTTACTATCTTACTAAATATTACCTAAATTTCTTTAAGATTAATTTATATAGGTAGAATAATAAGAAAGTACTTTTTATATAAGTAGGTATATTAAGTATACTACTATCTTAAGTTTAAGTATATATAGAAACAGGCCTCTATAAGACTATTATTTATATACTACTAAGACTTAATATAATATAGGTAGTATAGTATTTATATAATAGTAGCCAGGCTAGTAGAGATAACTAGAATAATTAGAGTAGCTAGGGCTATAGTAATAGTAGGAATAATAAGAACTAGTATAATAATAGGAGCTAGTATAATAATAGTAGCAGGAGTAGCTAGAGTTACTATAGTAGAAGAAGTAGAGAGAGAGATAATAGAAGTTACTATAATACTAGAAATAGCTATAGAGAATAAGGGAAATATAGTCTTGCTAGATAATAAAGTAGTAATAGTAGGAATTATAAAAAATATATTAATAATAATAGAGATTACAGGCATTATAATTAATATAAATATAGAAGGATTTACTATAGGAGCCTATAAATAATTAGTATAATAAATCTATATTACTAGAATAAAGATATTTATAGAGAAAGAAGTAGTAGTAGTTAAATAAGCTCTCTTTTATAGAGATATAGCTAGTATAGTACTTAATAAAAAATACTTTAAGAGAGCTATAAGATTTATAATATAATTAGTTATTATTATAATACTTAAGTAATAATAACCTATTTAATATAATATATTAATCTATTAAAAGAGACTTTTTAAAATATAGATTAGGCTAGAAGAAATATATATAAAGAAATATTTTTTTATAATATTTATATTATAATAATATCTTTACTTATTATTAATATATCTAGTAAATTACTTACTCCTATTTATTATTTTATTTAAAGTAAAATATAATATTATTTATATTTTATTTAATAAAATATAATTAATAGAAGTAATATTATATATATTATTATTATCTTTAATATTAAATAAAAAAGTAGATTATATTATATTAATTAGGACTAGCTCTTTCTTAATAGAGTACTAAGCTAGATTAGGTATAATATATATAGCGCGTAGATATACTACTAAGAGAAGGGGAGATAATTATTATAGTAACTATATAATATATAATTATATATTAAAATATATACTAAATTATATATCTAGTAATTAAGGATAATTAGAAGAATAATAATATTTAAGTTACTTATATTATACTAGTAATTTAACTAGATAATATAAATAATAATATAATAACTCCTAAAGTACTAAAAGATAAGTACTTTATTTTATTACTTTTAATACCTTTTTACTACCCTTGTATTCTATGTAGCTTTGCTTCCTTTACCAACACTACCCATACCCAAGCGCCTTGCCAGCGAGACGCTTATAATAGTATAGTTTTTTACTCTTCTTAAAAGATTTAATAGGCTTATAATCTTTAAATATAGAAGGATAAAGTTATATAACTTACTAAAATATTAAAGGAGTAAGAGAAAGTCTATTAATAACTTATTAAAAAGAAAAAATAATACTTATTTAAAGAGTAAAAAAGAAATTAAGTATTCTAGTAAGAATTATAGTTACTAGAGATAGAATAAAAAAAATAATAAAAAAAGAATACTTACCTAGTAAAGAAAGTAGATTACTAGCTTTAAAATAATTTCTAGTAAATAAAGAAGTCTCTAAAGAAAGTCTTTAAAGCTTTATACTAGTAAAAATCTATAGAAACCAGGCTAATAATACCTATAGAAGTTCTAGAGGCCCCTCTAATAGTAAATTATTAAGGCCGCGAGATCTAGCTCCTATAGTACTTTTAAACTAATTAAAAACTATATATAGAATCCTAATAATAACTATATTTATCTACTAAAAAATCACGCGATAATAATAATTATATATGGTTAAATTGCTTCATATTCAATATTACTAGTAGTAGTGAAATCGGGCGTCAGGTGGGACCGGGCGTCAGGTGATCACCGACTGTAGTCTGGCGGGTCGGGACCAAAACAGTATGAGAAGATCGCTGTAAGATTGTGTTGGGTCCAAGTCGCATCATGTTCTATAATACTCGATTGACAGCTTAAAGAATGATATCAACCTACCAAACTACAGTAGGTAGAGGGAACCAGCGTCTTTGTAAGAGGGACAAACCACCAAAAGAAGTCCCTTTCACATATCCTCAATCTCTCCCCTCTACCCTGGATTTAAACAATAAGTGATTGGCTGGCAATGTGAAGTCGAACGAAGGTCTTATCCAGGGAGTAATACGGGAGTATAAGACAAAGTTATGCCGAGTGATGCAATGACTGACTAAGCGCATAACATACATAAGAAACGTCACTCCACTCCACTCCACTCCACTCCACTCACTCAGTCATCTCTTTCTTTCACTCCCTCCATGCTAACCCAACAACTGATCCTATCTCCACCCCCACCCCACCGTAAATACACAGAAAGATGGCTCGCGACGATGCCTCCCCCCAAGCCTACGACCCGCCGGAACCCTCAAGCTCCTCTCCCGCGCCGTCCGCATCCGCGATAGCAAAATACCCGGGGCTCCAAATCAAGCCGGACCTAATCACGCACCCGGACCTCTTCACCCTGTACTTTGGCTTTTTCGGGCCGTGGTTCTGGAAACGCAAGTTCACCGCGTCGCTCAGCCAACGCATCGAGAACGCGCGAGTGCTCGTGCAACGCCCGCCGACACAGGAGGAACTCGACGCCTTCGTCACCCACACCAGCCGCGGCGTGTACCAGCAACGCATGGGCGCGCCGCTCGGGCTCCTGGGGGGCACGGCACGGCTCCTCGCGCAGGCCCGGAAGTCCGCGCACTTCACCACGTATATGCCCCGGGCCGCGGCGGACAAGAAGACGGCGCCCCCGACGCCGGCGAACCTGGTCGACGCCGCGCGGGCCTTTGCGCGCGCGGACCCGACCCTCTTCAAGCAGGCGGCCAAGATGTCTGCGCTCCGGTTGTTTTTCTGGACGTTGGCCGGCGCCAGTGTGTCCTCGGTTTATGCGGTTTGGGTCGATTGGAATAGCACCTTGACGGACCCCAGATTGAGGCAGTTTGTTGAGGACGTGAAGCATCAGAATCCCGACGACGTGAGGAAGAGGAGGGCCGAGGCTACGGCGGAGAGAGTCAAGGGTAGATCAAGACAGGGGCAGCAGCAGCAGCAGCAGCAGCAGCCGGAGGAGTTGGGGTTTGAGGAGTTCGAGGCGCGGAGTGGCATGCAAGGATTGGAGTCCGGTTCCGAGCCGGTTGTGCAGGAGACGGGACAGGTGCAGGAGCAAAATAGGTTTGCTCGGGCCGCGCTATATAGTCAATACAGTCAGCGAGACTCGAGACAACCCCATGAGGAACAGAACAGGGCCGTGGGATTCTTCGACGACGACGACGACGACGACGACGATGCCAGTCCCACAGCGCCGGAGTACAGAGAGACCGTGAGAAAGGAGTTTGGTGGCGCTCAGGGCAGCGCGTGGGACCGCATTCGACAGCAGAATCAGACTCAGGCGCAGGCTGCTCAACCTGGGATGTTGAAGCCTTCTCGACCACTCCAGCCGAAATCTGATTCATGGGGTTCGGGTGCTTCTGGGGATGGCCAGCAGGAGCGCGAGCAAGCCCAGGCAGAGTTTGATCGACTCGTTGACGCTGAACGGAACCTCCCAGGGGAGTCCACCGATTCTTTCTAGTCAGCGTGGCGGTTGGGGAAAAATGGAATTAGCTACCGCGAGATGTAAAGTATTGTACGATAATGTGATTAGCATAGCATGCATGATATGGGAGTACTTCAAGTTCTCTCATTTACGAACACTTCATTACATCTGGTTTGGTCTCAACGGATTCTTCCCCATCCCTGGCTAAATAAATTATGATTACCCCAGTTATAAACCACCGGCAAGAACAATGACAATGCAATCGGGGTATAACTTTTTCGGGATGCTCTTGCGGGCAGATTGTAAATACGACGAATTTGAAACAGACAGAAAGATCGCTGTAGAATGGCCATCGCTATTATAATCGAAAAGAACTCGCCAAGCGTTTGTATGTCATACTGAAAGCAAAGGAGGGTATAGAAAGGTCCACCTGGACATGAAACTAAATGAGCATGCCCCAGAAAGTAAATAACGAAATATATCAAAAAAACAAAAACAAAAAGGGAAATAATCAAAACGCGTAAATCAAGTCATCAAATCGTCAAGGTCGAGCATGTGTACAGGTCAAATACCCGGAGAGAATGAATCATATACGGCCGTCAGTCGCGGGTACGCTTTCATAAGTAACGCGGCTGTCGGTTGGAGAACCCCAGGCATCAGCTCCCCGGCTGCTCCTGCGGGTCAGATTGCGAATCTTAGCAGTAAAGCTTTCGTTGACGCTCCGATTACGTCGATGCTCTAGAGACATGCGGCGACTCATCATAGGCCGTGCCTCAGTATTGAGGGTCGGTCCGGCTGTCATGGCACGTGGAAGCAGCCGACCCATATTCTCGTTATCAATTGCAATATCTATCGTGCCAGAAGACTCTCGTGAAGTGGTTGATAGGGGAACAGGAGGTGGTGGTGGCGGAGGAGCGTGAAGGTGCTGTAGCTCGGGAAGGATAGGTGGCATTACTTTCCCCATGGTCTCCTCAATGTTCACTGCGGCAGGTGGAGACGATCCAAATGTATATACATTTGGTGCGGATACTTCTTGAGAGCTTTCGTGACAGTGGTTCATGTTGCGGCTTCTATCTGACGAACGGCTCCGAGGGAGATTTGGGTTGAATCTGGGGTGCATTGGCAGATCGCTGGGTCGACTAGGAGGTTGGATTTCAGGCATAGGGACAGACATCGACCGCGGGATACGCTCAACATCCACTTGATACCTTGCATCGCTAAGTAGAAGGGGTGTATCATCGGGCTGAGGTGAAGCTGGAGCTGGAGCTGGAGGAGGAGGTGGTGGTGGTGGTGGCGGGGGCGGCACTGGGTCAGCTTCTGGACTCCCACTGTACTTTGGATGACGCATAGCTCTAGGGGTTGACGGCAGTCCTAGGGGTACGCCAGATCGTGAGGAGTTGGAGTCGGAGCTACTTGGATACTCTGGCGATGTTTTGCTTGGGGGAATTATGTTGCGCCCCGGAGTCCGTGGGGTAAATGAATGTACAGAAAACGGTGGACTTTCCAAGATACCTCGAGTGTATTGGATCTCTCCCGGGAAGGGAATATTGGGGGCGGATGGATTGCGAGCGAGCGAGAGTCTTCGGGCTTCGAGCTCAGCGGCAGCGAGCTCTTTTCTTCTCTGGTCTATGAGCCCTAAGGGTGAAAACGTGGCTGGAGGGAGCCCCTTCAGTTCCCCATTCGGCTTTGTTTGCATCTCTTGAGGGATGTCAAACGCAACAGGCTCGATCTGTGCCGGTTCGTCCAGAGTGGGGTGGTCCTTTACATCCTGTTCCGGGCCCGCAAATGAATCTGACTCCTGGCGGGTTCGAGATCCAGGACGAGTTCGTCGCCCCTCGGCGGACGGCTCTCGTTTCGCACCTGATGGACGGCGGCTGCTACTCCTCGCATGACTTCTCCTTTCTCGATCACTCGCAACTAATCTCAGAGCATCTTCATTGTTAGACATGGGGACAGGGGATGGGGGGGATCGGTTCCTGAGTCCCTGTCTGTCTGCACTTCGACCACGGTTGTCATTCGCATCCGCTATCGGTGCTGCCGCTACCGCCGCGTGCCGGCTAGAGGAGCGGTTTTTGCGGCGCTCCGATGAATTTCGCGAACGTGGCTTTCGGACCCGACTGGTGCTTCGGGCTTTGGACGCGTTTTTGGAACTGTATTGAGCGAGTTCTTCGGGAGACATGGGGACTGGAGATGAGGGCGATCGTTTCGCCGGCGGGATGTATCGTTTGTCATTTCGTCCCCGAGTCTCCGTGGATGGGTTTCTGCTTTTCTGGTTGCGCGTCGAAGCCAGGCTCACCGAGTCATCCGTGTTTCGTCTGCCACGCCGAGGATATTTTCGTGCATGGTAATTTGCTTCGTCAAGACTATTGATATACTGGTCAATACTTCTTCCACTGATACTGGGGCTCTTCGTCGTGCTGAAGCTGTTTGCGGTCGAGGGAGGGCTTCTGAAGTTGGCCATCATCGAATCAGGCTGGTCCTGGGAGTCGTCCTGAGAAGACTCTCCTGAGAGCAAATGAATTTGCAATCCGTCAGGCTTGCGATCTCTCGTACTGAGACGACTGTCGGAACGCTCTCTCAGGGCCTCAAAGACACCTGGCGTTGGTGAAGGGAGACCCTTGATGCTCGCGAATTTCTCTGCGGTTGCCGCTACAGCGGTTTGTGGACTAGGTTTGAACGCATCGCCGGGGTCATACTTTGCAGAGGGCAGCAAGCCAAGGTCTTCATCTTGACTGGCACTCTGGCTTTGACTAGCGTCGTCGTTTTCGGATGTCGAGCAGCCGTAGTCCACCGACTTCTTGGGTTCCTTGAATGCGAATGTTGGAGGATGCACGTCCACTGGCGTTTCTCCGATTGACGGTAGACGGTGTTTGCCAAAGCCTGGGGTCCCATTTCGGGAGCTTATCGCGTTATTCAGGCTTTGGATGTTATTCAGCTTGTAGGAGCCCAGCCCGCCCGGAGACACGGCAGATCCGGCAACAGCAGACTCGGCAATTGGCGTGACCCCGGGGGCGTTAGTGGGCGTCCTGTCATCGGATTTGAGACCAGGGTACCGGAATCGCTGGTTGGGTTGGGAATCAAATGAGGTGATTAATTTGAGAGCGGGGGCTTTGAGAGATGGCCGCGTGGGCGGGGCGGTTGGTTGCGAGTTTGGACGCAAAATGCTTGCAGGATTGACAACAGGAGGCTCCGGCGACGCGATCGGCGATCGTCGACCGACAATCTCCGCAAGGCTCGCTTGATGGACAGCGGGGGAGGCCCATGGATCTGAAGGTTCAACGCCGGTACACATGAAGCAACGGATGGCGAGCTGTTGCTGAGAGTGCGCGACTACATGTTCTCCCCAACGGCGAACAAGATAGGACTGGCGTTGCCAGTCAGTGGGCAGGACGAGACAGGTCATTAGAATCGCCTCCATGTAATGATTTTGCGAGACGTAAACCTCTATTGCCTCGTCTTTGTCCCCCAGCCCGATCAAGACTGTGGCCGCCGTGTGGATGTCGCCAATCTCGAGCAATTTCTGGACGAATGCTTGCCCGACCTTATTTGCTGGAGATTGTCCAGTCATTTGACTTAATGCTAACAGCATCCAGTCCGTGATGGAAGTCGCCCCAGGGTTTATCATGGACACCATGTGATCAGTGTCTGACTCACTGATCCACTGGGCCAGGAGAATGGCCCCTTGGCTACCTGGGGGATGGCGGTAGACTTTTCCCGTTAGTGCCTGTATTGAGTGCAAGAAGAGATATAAACATAAAACATACGCTCGTCCTTGACCAGGGCTTCAATGTCCCCGTCCCAGCCAAACACCATGCTCAACATTTGCCGCCTTAAACCGTCCGGCGTCAAGCGCGCTTCGTCAAGGGGTCGCTGGTGCCTATAGGGCACATCGTTCAGGCGTGCCCTGGTGAAAGGAAACAAATCGATGGGCTTGTCCGCAGGGCTAAACTGAACTTCGTTTCGTAGGCGGGACCCGGGCCGAGAGCTTTTGATGGACGACATTGAGACCGAGGAAGCGTATGCAAACGACGGTTGAGGGGTCTCCCGTCCACCACCGGAGGTAACTGAGAAAGATGTGGCCGTATGTGCTGACCGGCCGGGAGGGGAGAATGCCACGGGTCTATACTGATCGGAAGAGGCCTTGGAGCTCACGGACGCCGCGCGGCCGCGAGATGAGCCGGGGCTGCTCAGCTCAACACGCTGCTGCTTGACTGCCTCAATGCCAGCCGAATCGCAAGGCGCACGCCTTGTCCCAAACATCGAGGCTGGCTCACGCATCTCCGGGGGATCTTGTAGGGTACGCGGGGATCTAGTCCTCGCTCTGACCTGATCCAACGCTCCCGTCATGGAGCTTAGTGGAGGATGTTGCACATTCGCAACCATGGCTGGATTCTCAAGGTCATATTGTTGAACGGTGTAATGCGGCCCGAGGGTAAAGAGAGTGGCAGTGGGACCATAGTTGGCGATGGCCTGCGGATTGTCGATGGTTGGAATGGGTTCGTATGTGATATGCTTCGTCTTGACATCCCAGGCCCATGTTTCACTGGGTTGAATGTCCCTTTAGCGAGGATATGACCATCGGACGGAGCGGAGCGGAACTTACCCATCTAGATACTGAATGATCTTTCCATTCTTGGACCAAGCCATCCACTTCGGCTCGGGCGAAGAGGAGGCGTCGGATCTTTTCAAGACGCGAATTACCCGAGGAGCCTCCTTGCCCGGCGGCTTGGCTACGCTCCAGACTCTCAAATCTCCATTTGCGGACATGGTGGCCAGCATATCGGATTTTTGCTTGGATGAGGATGCATGCCATGCCAATGAGATAATCGGTGACGGCCCTCGGGAGGTGGTCATAGTATGGAGGATCGTGAACGTCGGAAGAAGCGTTGCTATCAGAATGGATCCATTCTGATACCTAGACACGACAACATTAGGGCTATTGCAAATGGAAGAATTGACTTTCTGAGAGCGTACCCAATAGCATATGTGCGGCAATCGGTAGCGGGTGCCAAGACCGTGATAGGATCAAAGATGGTACGACAGGAGACATGTTCCGAAGTGGACGGTTCAAATAGGATCACATCACCCTTTTCATTTCCTGGGAAACATTAGCCTCGAGATCCAAAGCTGGAGGCGGGGGTTGAGGGCCGCACCAAATGCGACGTTGCCATTTCGCATCCAAGAAGCTGCTTTTAGCTGCTCATAGGACGCAAAGCGGGCAATGATATTGCCGGTAAACAAATCCCAGACGATGGTCGTCTGGCCGGCATCATAGCTCACGACCAATCTGCCAGCACCCCGTTCACTAACATTATCAACTGAAATAAAGACGATGGCCTCCTTATGTTTCTCAAAGCGTCGTTCGAGGGCTAACGTGTCATGATGGAGACAGAGAATGGTGGACCCTTGCGCATAGAGAAACAGGGACGCTGTCGAGGCGCAGGGTTCGAAGGTTGAATATGAAGTCTGTGATTGGGGAGTGATGGGAGGTGCAATGGCTTGCACTTTGGGAGCTCGAGCATCCGGGGTAGGATTTCGATTCCATGCAATTTCAACCATTGTTCAGACCCGTATACTGGAACCCACAAACACAATCCGTCTGGGCACCCCTTTTGGGACAATTTCAGTTTCACAAGATAAAAAAAAAAAAAAAAAAAAAAAAAAAAAAAAAAGAAAGCAAGAAAGAAAGGAACGCGGATGAGCCCCTTACCTTGTAGTCGGCACAGACCCTGGGAAAGCCCCGCTCGCAGTTCAGAGAGATGAGAGATGGGGTCTGAGGGAAGGAAGTAGAAAAAGGCGGATGCGACGGATATGGTAGTGACAGAAGCATCCCCGCGTAGCAATCAGCACATTGACCACGAAGCAATTTCAGAAGGGAACTGGGATCAGGGGAAATGACCACGTCAGGAAGGATGGCGGTTAGAGGAAAAGAATGGAAGAGAGAAAAGGAAAATGAGAGAGAGAGAGAGAGAGAGAAAGCAGACGCTGGAGGAGTGAGGCAAAGCGTGATCAGCAACTGCTAGTAAAGTTGGCGGCAAATAAGCGAGTCAAACAGCGGTATACTCCTACTAGAGAGGGAAAAGAGGGGAAACGCCTTGAGAAGTGACTTACTCTATACGAGACAGGATAAGGAGGATGCAGGAATATGCAAGTGCCAGGACGGAGATGTGAAAGATGCAGGGGAGAGACGAGAGAGGAGAGGGGTAAGTCAGTCCATCCGACGGTGACTTGGAGGGAAGAAGAAGATATAAGGAAAAAGGGGAAGAGCAGAGTCAAATTGATGATCAATTGTCCTGAATCACCGATACCAACCAGGTTCCAAACTGACTCCCTTGATGAGGAGCACGAAAAGGTAGCGGCAAGACGACCGAAATCCCCAGCGATCAAGCCATAGGAAGCTGTGCCAAGAGGAGGCAGGGCGCTTCAGAGGGAGCTCCAGAGGACCAGAGGAGATAGAAGGGGATCCATTGTGCGAAGGTTGTAAGATTGTATAGAGGTGGATGAAATGGAGATTGGATGCCAGTTGGATGCAGGTGGGATTGTGCCTTGGCCTTAGGTTTCTTCACTCTGCAGCCTTCATCACGGCCCACAGCCAATCAGAGGGCCGCATTCACCTCTTCCCTCGCCACAGGGATCCACTTGGGCGCGTAACTGGGGGGAAGGAGCCAATCAGAGATCCGGGAGACTATACGGTCTCCAGCCAATCAGCTCGCCGAGTGGTGTTATTCACAGACTTGATTTCCCAGTTAGGCATCTCCCTCAGAAGTACCACTACCTAGGTATCTACCTACCTCGTACGATGACCTAGGTACCTGTACACACACCACTCATCACACTACCTTAGTTTCCCCCCGCCGATAATTATCACATACGGGGTTTCACCTGAAAACCCCCATTCCCTACTTTAGCTACCTAGCTAGACGGATTGTCATTTCTACTATTATTATTCCGGATTGAACAAATCCATCCTGATCGAGAGTATAAGATATTAGTATATATACATGGATATTCTCTACAAGGCTGAATTAGGGCTGGTGATGCCTCAACCCGCACTTGATGGCGGCAGGGAACTCAACCGGTTATTATATGCGGGAGAAAGAGTACGGAACGGAGGGAAAACAGAGCGCTCCAATGCACTGTGATTCCTAGTAAGTGTAGAAGTCTTACTGAACTCAATACGAGACCGCCAAGTCAGAGATATATACTGGTTGCATTTAGGCACTGTGGCAACGACTGAGTGCTCTTGTCATCGGTTACCTCATAGCGGATATTCATTCCGGACCCACACGGGTCTGGAGTTTTTTAACCCAAGGCTTATCTTTGAGAAAAGCAGGGTCAATGTCGTAATCGATCTGGGGAATGTTTCTGGACCGTACAGAAAGAGAAGCAATAGAGCAGCTTTGACAGCCTGGGCCTTGTCTACTGTAGTAGTAGGACATATCAATCCCTGCGAGGAAAATGAACGAGTCTACGTTATCCGACTTCACGGATCCTCTGGTCCTGACCTAGGAGAAACTAAGACACAGCACCTCCATCAAGATATAGTGACATAGTACATACAGATCAAAGGAACAAGGAAATTTCCGCTTACTCAGCGGTGGGTAGGGGGCGGATTTACATACCCTTTTCTCTCGATTGAAGAAAGGGAATTAAACTCAGGGGAATGTTTAACCCAGGGTATATATTAAGGTGATTCACTGCCGTACTGATTAGCAAAGTGTACCGCACACTCCGCCAACCGACACAGCTCGACCACAAACTCCCGGGTACGGCCCCGGTCAGCCTGGAATTCGGCAGGATCTCTGATCTCCTCGATACGCCTCGCGATCATGTGGAAGTAGGAGATATCGTTCCCCACCGTGGGCGCCAGTGGGTTCTTCAATATATTGCAAAAAAGGGTAATGACCCCGGAGATTATATAGAAGCTGTCGAACCTAAAGTCGGTGAGCGAGAGGGGGTTAGATTCGATATATATATATATATCTATATATGACCGCTGGGGAATCCTACCAGAAGGAACCCATCTCGAGACTAAACCGTCGATCCATCAAGATGTCCAGGAGACTCCGGCTCGCGGCTACAGCAACAGCCAGACTCGAGGTGATCCCGGGTAGCTGCTGGTTTTCATCGCGAATCCAGGCCGCGCAGCCCGTGGTTGTCTGATGGATGGCCGCGACACAATACTGGTACTGAAAGTTCAACAGCCAGAAACGATGGCGCATGTCAAAGTCGTCGGCCATCTCCGGGTTGAGCACAACCGGATCTTCCACTGTGGGCAAGTGCACTTTCCACTCTTCCACGGCTACGTCCAACTCGCGGATCGTCTGTAGAAGCTCCGCGTCAGATTTGAACTGGGCAGGCACTGACCAGAGCCTAGTGTATATTCGAGACTTGATGATCGCGATCCGTAGATCGGTGGGGAATGCAATGTGGAGATGATCAGGACCAGGCTTCGGGAGAATTCCGTACCCGACCTGGTTGGCGTATTCTGTCTCGTCAGGAAGCGTCAAATCGCACTGGTCATCGCATAATGATGGGGGGCGCCCCGTGCGAAAGCACAGCTCCTTATCGATGGTGTATATTGTCCAAAATAAAGTTCGACAACGTAGGGCGAAGAGCGAAGTAGTCCGGGTCGGGATATTCCCGCCCAGATTGAACAAGAACCGCGCAGCCGCCGAGAGCATGATATCCACCGAGAATGCGTCCCCATAAAGGAACAGCCGAGAGCAAGTCTACAGGCCGTTGTTAGTCGTACGTGACACACACAAAAGGATGCTGACAGACCAATGGCATGGCGTGGACTTACCAGGGTCAGGAGCGTCTGGACCGCGTCGATACTGGCCATTCCCTGGAGGATGCCGGGCACCAGAAACATGGCCTCGTATGTGTACTGCTCGGCCATCGTCGACTGTCGCTCCGGGATAGCCATGAACGCCATGAACGCAAATATACAAGCTCTTGCACCATGGATGTCGGGCGAGTAGTGGGTAGTTTTGTGCTCATAAGCGGCCTGAATGGTGTACTGGAACCCTTCCAGTTCAATCACCGGGAACATCACGCGACGGTAACTTGTCCTGAATTTATGCAGATACTCATGTAAGAGATTCGGATGCGGCAGATCGAGATGGTCATGGGCCCGAAAATATGCGTACATGTCCTCGGTTCGGGCAACGCGTTGAGATTGCCACGGCGGACCATAACAATAAAACCTGTACAGATCCACATGCTGCCCGGTACGGTCTCCTATCCATTGCTGGCCCTGGCTAGAGAAGAAGGGCAGACCGCTGAAGGCACGAAAGCTGTTTGGAATCTGGCTCGAGAGATGGAGCTGTCCGAGAGTTGCGGGCCCAGGCGGTGACGGCTGGGATTGCATCACTCGCCCCAGCTCGGGAGTGGCGATACTCGTACTTTGCGCGGGGGAAGAAGTTGCCTCTTCAGCATCATCCTGGGACAGCGGAAGAATGCCGTGCAGGGGAGAGGAGAGCCTACCTGGACGAGTCGAGCGGGGGCGTGTAGTTCGGCCGGAAGCGATCAAAAGTGCATTGTATGCCTTGAACCGAGCACCACTCGCAGGTTGTCCCGGTTTGATAGCATTTGATCTGCCATGATGGGGGCCCAGGTCAGCGTCGTCGTCATCGTCGTCGTATCAGACAAGGAACAGAGGGAAAGAAAGGCACCACCTACCTTCTTTCGGAAGCACGAGTCACACGCATTCTTTTTGCGTTTCTGCGTCCTGCCCCGAGTACTTTTGTCGATATTCATCCTGAATGAACTCGGATCTCTTTGATCTTACTCAGCGGGATTCGGTGGAAGGAAACATGTTGGAAGTAGAAGACGAATCGACCACCGGATTCCCACGCCCAGGGACGATGAAGAGCGACGGACGACTCCTTTGTCTTGGCCAACTTAGTCATTTCATAGGATAGCCAATCAAGCCATTGATTGGCTGATCAAAAAGATCAACCCATAGGCTGGATGAGGAGTCAGTTCACTCGACGCCCATTAGGGTTCCAGTAGACGCTCCTGCGGGGAGTTCAACGGCTCCCAAGATGCCCGCTGTGCATTGCTTCGTCCCAAGCCGGACTTTTGGTGAACCAATGGCGGATGTGTCGGGCACTGCCTGATCCGCGGTCCTGTTAAAAGACTGGGGAATCCGGAGAAGATTTTAATAATCTTGTTTAACTATTGGCTGAGGCTTGGTTTAGTTTCCTGCCTCTCTCTCGCCTTGACTCAATTCTAGACAATGTATTGTTCAGGACATTCGCGTATCTTTCCCGTATGTACAAGTTATTGAAATTCACAAGGAGCGTAAGACTGTACACGGACTATCCAACCATCAAATTAAACCCTCCAGTGCCTTCCCTGACCTCGCAATCCCAGCGTACACCATCATACTCCTGGCGCGGGGAAACTCTCATGTTGAACGGGTCTTTCAGCGGGCACATGATAGACGCAATGGCCATAGAATGGGTCCTGGGCACCGGCCACACGCCTTCCACAGGGACCAAATCAAATCGCAAAACCACCATGGCCACGGTTCCCAAAATCTCCGCACTGGCAAAATGACGCCCGGGACAGATGACCGGCGAGACCCCGAACGCCATAAACCCCCCCGTGCGCCGGGGGTTGTTCGTCTCTGACTTGATGAAGCGCCGCGGATCAAATTCGCCCGCGGTCCCCCCCCCCAGACGTCATTGTGGCGACCGAGAGACGGCCCGGGCATGTTGATCACGGCGCCGGCTTGGAGAAGGTATTTGTCTGCGACGAGGACATCCTGCGTGGCGATGCGCGTTGGCGCGGTGGTCGACCGCGTGCGCAGGATCTCCTGGACCGTCGACACGAGGAGCGGGCAGCCATCGCGCAGCGCGGAGATATCGATGATGTGTGTGTGTGGTGGAGTCCGGGTTGACGCGAAGCGCATGGGCTTGGATTTCCCGTCGGATCTCCTGCAGCAGTGCGGGGCGCGAGTAGAGGTCGTAGAGGATCCAGAAGCTCGCTGGGGCGGTGTTGGAGAGCAGCCCCAGCGCCATGGAAACCTCTGCCCGCGCGATATCCTCCACGGGCAGTCCGGCTTCGTGCATGGTCCGCCATCGGACTTGCGTGAGCTCGGAGCCTCCTTGGTGCCCATGGCGCTCGAAGTACTTTACCAGTGCGGCGACGGCGGTCTCGCGGCCTTTCCAGGCGGTGCGCGCTGTGATCCAGGGGAGGAAGTTCGCCAGCACGGGGCTGAGATGGGTTTCAAAGGCCCTGGATCGGATAAGCTTGGGGTTGTTTTTTTTTTTTTTTACTATCAAGGGAACAAATACCGACCAAAACGCATCTGCAATCTTTCGATCCTGATAAGGGTTCAACGGCCCATACGACGCATCCGTGCTTAGCTGCGGTGATTGTACGAGAGCACCAGGCGTAGAGATCCACGGTCTTGCAATGCGCCAGCTCATCAATGAGCGGACATAGCCGGCGCGCCATCCGCTCATTCATACGATCGAGCGATCGGCCCGTGAGCGTCGGGTGCATGGCGTGCACGACTGCCTGGTTCAGTCCATGACCGCCAGCCCGCTTCTCGCGTAATAAATTGAGCGAGGAGCCATGGATTCCTGCAATGCGCTCCGCGGTGAAGGTGATGAATGGATCAAAAGTGATGGTCTTATTGTTGCGCTGGATTGCCTGGAGCAGAGACCCGGGGACGTGACCAGATAGATTTTGCTCAATATCAGGTCCAAGGAGAAGATGGGATACGGATGCTTTTCACTGGGGGACGGTTAGAGCCTCTCCTCATAATGCCAACTCCCAGAGAGCTAACGTACGCTAAAATCCCAAAATACCCTATCCCGGGCTGTAACAATCCCACCAGGTGTCCTATAAAGGGGATGCTGCTGCCCGCCCACTGCGGGGGGTTCGCGGGCATCCCGTTTCGGTGATCGACTCAGGGCGTACCCTAGAGCCACCACTGCGCTGGCGAGAACCAGCTTAGAGGATGAATAAATCCCCTGTCCGCAGCTGCAAGTTGGAATGATGTGGGCCATGGCGAGCTTCGCAATCACAATCCGGTTGTATATCATTGGTGGCTTCGTGTTGAACGGAAGCTAAGAGAGGTTTAGAGACGGAGTACTCCGTAGACTCTAGAGCACTAAGAATACCCACTGTCATGTCCAATGGATTTACAAAAATATGGGCTGAATTGAAATCGCCATGGTTACAAGAACCCGAGATGGACTCGTGGGCGGTTAGGGTTTCGTGATCAGAGGGAGCGACGAGGAATGCCCCGAAGGATAGAGATACAGAGATCCTCCGTACCATAGTCAATGGCAGCTGTAGTGCAGCTGTACATCTCTCTTTGCATCCGCATGGTTCCTCTTCATCGCTTGCCTGTAATCCGCACCTGGGCAGCTCTTTGGGCAACCCCGATTCCGCCAAATCTGGCTCCTCTGGCTAAATCACGGATGAGATGAATGTGCTGCATAAAGCGATTGATCGCACACGCTAGTTTGAATTTAGAAAGCTCTTCGTTGTCTTGAATCATTGTATCGGCAACGATGTCCTCCGTACTCGACACATACTCTAATGCCTGGATGTGCTAGGAAGATGACAAAAGGAGAGACCCAACTACCCTATTCTTAAACCGAGGAATTTCCCGAGCATTTTGTTTAGGATCCCGTTTCGGGGGTTTCAAAACCGCGAAGAGTATACCATTCCTGGCTCTTCCATGACGCACCAAGTGGGTACCCAAGTTAGCCCTCACATATGATGCTGAGGGTTTTTTTTGGAGGATATAAAGTGGACGTAACTCCTACTGCTTGGGAGGAAACAATTACAGTCCAAACACACTCAACGATAATGCCGGCAATCAAAAAGGTAGGGTTGGCCCATCCGCAGAGGTTTTCATGGAAGCGTGTTAACGACGTCCTTGGAGGCCATTATTATCGGCGGCGGACCGGCTGGGCTCGCGACAGCGCTCCGGCTACACCAGAAAAACAATATCCAATGTACTATTTACGAGCTGCGCCCGGAGCCAACTACTATTGGCGGTGCGATCGGGATCCCCAGCAACGGACTGCGGTTGCTTGATCGCCTAGGGGTCTACCAGTCGCTCGCGGCGCGAGGGTCACTGGACTCGCAACTGATCCTGCATTCCTCCCAAGGAAGCATGCTGGGTGAGGCGGACTGGATGAATCATGCCGCGGAGAAGACAGGATTCGGGTACATGCGCATCAAACGCGGAGATATTGTCGACGTGATGGTCGAAGCGGTGCAAAACGCCGGCATCCCCCTTGCGTTCGGGAAACGTATCGTCCGCATCCGCGAAGCCGAAGATACCATTACCGCCTCGTTCTCCGACGGGACCGAAGACTCCGCCGACATCTTGATCGGCTGCGATGGGATTCACTCGGCGGTGCGCACGCGGTACGTGGACCCCGACGCCCAACCCGAGTACACGGGGATCGCGGGCTCGTTTTCTTTACTGTCCACGAGCTCACTGCCCGAACACCTGCGGCCCAACCCGGGGCTGAATGCCACATTCACGCCCGATGGCCTCTTCGCATTGACGCCCTGCACGCCATCGGGCGACGAGCTCTTCTGGTTCTTCTCGCGCGAGACCCCCATCGAGGAATCCGAGGATACGCGCGATGGGTGGGAAGTCCGTCGCCGGGACGCCGTGGCAAACTTCCAGTCCATTCTCCTCGAGACCCTCAAGGATGTCAAGGGCCACTGGGGAGAAACCCTGCGGACCGTGGTGGAACTCACGGATACAATCCACTTTTTCCCCGTCTACCACCTGCCCCCGGACGGAAGATGGAGTCGAGGCCGCGCCGTTTTGCTGGGAGACGCGGCGCATGCGATGTCGCCGCATGCGGGCCAGGGAGTGTCCATGGCCATGGAGGACGTGTTCGCCCTCTCGCGGCTCCTGGCAGACCGCACGGCCTCTCTGGACGAGATGTCGCGGAGGTTTCAGGCGGTTCGACGCCCGCGGATCAAAGAGATGGTGCAGAAGGCGCAGGCGAATCGCGATCTGAGGAAGCGCACCGGTCCCTGGGGGCTTTGGATGAAGGAGGTGGCCATCAAGAGTGGCTTACTGGCATACAACTGGCTGGGACTTGATGCCAGGGGATTTGGCCAGGGTTACCTGGAATATGATATCGAGACGCAGGACTTTTAGACCTGCAAATGCGCCCTGAATTACATAGATGAATAATGCATAGCATACAAGACATAACTAGTTATTGTGCTCGACAAATCCAGGTATCCGCCATGTACTACTTACATATGGTATTGGGCGCACAATAACTCGGGCCTAAGAGATCAACCTAAGTAGATGAAGTTATAGAACTGAATGGCTGGTATCTAGAGTGAGTTGAATTGCTTCTAATGTCGGAATTGACAGTTGTTATTTTCTAATCTATATTAATTTACAGGTAGTTCCTTCAAGTGTACATCTTTTGGATTTTATTCAGTGATTTTATTATACCAGGTCGTGAATATGAATCCGCCCCCCCCCATCCCTCAATCCATCCGAGAGATTGACGACAGATCCGTTTCATCCTGGCGCCATTCACCCTCTTCTTCTGCGGAGCTCGGATCTCGATCGCTAGTCGTTGGCCGAGATAAAGCAGGATTGAGGACGGTCTGCACGCTGGACTCCATCGGATCTGATTCCGAACAGGCACTCGTAGCGATCAAGACCAACCGGCCGAGGATCGCGTATTCCAGTCTCAGCTTGATGCTGTACGCAACCGGCTTGAACACGACCTGGAGACCGTATTTGCCTGCGTATTCAATCGCGACCACAGCCACATCGAAGACCAAAACCACAATATTAATCGCGAGCAGCTGAGACAGGATCCGTCGGTTCGGGCGCGAGGGGCGGAGACGCAGGAGTTTGAAGGTTTCCCAGATATACAGGCCGGAGATCAAAGATTCCTGCAAGCAGAAGCCGATCAACTGGATATGTTCCATGATGCTATAGCCGTGGGAAAAGGCGGTGTTGCCCGGCGTCAGGGCTCCGTACAGCAAGACCGTGATCGGAATCTGCAGGATGATCGCGTCGAAAACAATCAGATAAATAATCCATCGGAGCACCTTCGGTTTCTGGAGGACGAGATGCAGTCGCGACCACAAGACGACTGAATGGCCCGTCACCGTACAATACCAGCTCAATACGATCAAAGTGACTGGTATGTAGGGCGAGATCCCGGCAACAAAAAAGAACAGAATGAACCCCAGACAGTAGGGTATGATGCTGAGGGAGGTGATGAGCAGGCTCCAGAAGTATGTGCCCTCATACCGTTTAAAGGTCGCCAGGCAGAGGATGACGAGTTCGATCGCATTATACCACGCGATGCCAACAAAAGCCGTGACTATGTATTTCTCTACCTGGTTGACGGTGAACCCAGTAGTTTCACTGGCAGTTTGGGAACCTGCCATGAGGAGGGAAGCATGACAGGAAAGCTGTGAAGAGATACATCCAACCTGTAAGACAAAGAGAGTGATGATCTTCCTGGACCCCTACAGAGAACTAGAAAATACCCCAGGACCCTGGAAGTGTAAATAGGACTGTTTTCCGATCCCCAGGGAGCTGTTCGGGGACTTACCCTTGAATCTGGCCGCGCCATAAGGCCACGCTGCAGCCATGTTCAATTTGAACTTGATTTCCAAACCCGCAAAAAACTGCCTGATTGAAATTGGGAGCTGGTCCTCTTTAAGGCCAAATCTCGGATGACTCTTGTATTCCAGCGCCACGGATCCCAAAACTTTATCAAGCCTGTTCCGTTGGGACAACCTTTACCGGTGCGTATGGTCTCCACAGGGATTTCTTGAGTTGCTTGCTGCTCTGACTGATGTATTTCAAGTAGATGCCTCTGTAGCCCCTGTTGGAGTAGGATATCCTTGCCCTGTGCTCTACTCTGGTCGATATGAATTTGGAGGGAACTATACATGTATTAGGCGACGATATTCCTGTCGAATAACCAAAAGGCAGCACATCTTCTAGATTCTCTGAACTGTAATTAAAGTTCACGTCTGGTTTGGCCGAATCATGGAGGATGAAGAGTTAAAGTCTATACCTGGCCCAGAGAACCGGACATGGGATAGCAGAAGGGGGCTGGGAGCTATGGTCTAGCCTTCAAGCTAGGGGCAATGCAATGATTGTTCTCCATGAGATACATTCATTCTAAATCCCAAACGAGTAGTTCCAATTAGCAGGAGGTTAAAGTCACGGAATCAATGGCACATTGGTCTTGGGAGTCCTGTGTCACAAATCATATCGTATTGAATTAGCATTTTTCTCTTGATGTGTATTCCGAGGGCGATTGGACTGGTGTCTATTCTGTGATGTATGATGTAACTGCTTTGTGTAATTCGCATCTCCGTTGAGCCCTAATCTGGGATCATAACAGGTTATAAATGGCTTATAGAACACGATATGCGTACGATAAGTGAACTGTATGCACTCTCACACCGAGGGAAATAGATCACAATTCCTTCAGTCCGGGCCAGAACAGCGAGTTAAACCAAGCCCTTCCACCGTTTTATGAGTTAACTACGGCAATTAGCATTCATCAACCTGGAGCCAAAAAAGCGAGGCTTCCAATGCGGTAGATTCTCGAAGATATGCGATGGTATCCAATACGAGCCGTGAAGAATTCCAACTGGATGGACCCTGTGGCTGTCATCATTTGGATCGGTTCCACCGTTCCTTGGATACGTGAGTCACGGCGCAAAATTTCTCTCTCTCGTGTGCCTTCATCCCCTTGTCAATTCATTTCGATAGTTATCCTCGAGAATCAGACAAAATGACTAACCAGCCGGATTTTCACCTCATTGGAACCTTCACTCGGTATTCTAGTAGGCACCTAAGTTGACAGTTAACTACTGTCGTCGCTACGACTAGGATTAATACTTACTCGATCTCAAGGCTGGACTGCACGCGTCGAAACCGTTTTGGAATACTTCCGCATCCCGTACACCGCACAAATAATCCGGCTTGAAGATGTACATTGACCCTCGGCAATCCCGATGTTCCCTATTGCGGCTGGGTAGATATTAACGGAGGCAGGTTCGCGATGTGTCTCACTCCGGACTCGTCCCATTACTAGAATGCCGGTCTCTCGGCAATCTTCGAATCAATGACTCTCTCGCCATTTGCGAGTTTCTCGCCGAGACAAACCCCGATCTGGCCCTCTGGCCACGGGACAGGAAACTGAGGGCCTTGGCCCGCAGCGCTGCAGCTGAGATGCACTCTGGATTCAGCGCCATTAGAAACGCCTACGCGACCAACTTTATTGCGCAGTACCACGGAAATATCCCGGTCTCGGAGCAAGCCAGAAAAGAAATCACCCGGATCCTTACTATTTGGGAGAACGCGCGCAAAGCCACTCAAGCTCGTCTGGCGGAGCTTGGTCAGAAGGACGAAGGATTCTTGTTTGGAGGATTTAGCATTGCGGACGCGTTTTTCTGGCCTGTTCTCTGGGTATGTAACCATTTTTGACCACGATCAATAGCTCGAATCCCGGGTTTGATGCAGACTGACCCTGCACAGCGTTTCCGCACCTATAATCTCCCTCTTGACACTGCCACCCCAGAGGCCTTGAAGTGGATGGAGACCATGTGGAATAACCCCTCGATGCGCAAGATAATCCACCGCTATTACCAGCAAGTTGAGCGGCCCGAAACGCGGATTGAAAAGTATGAGGACATGTTCCGTGGTCAGGATGATATTAGCTATACGACTATCCCAGAGGACTGGACATTTCTGCGTCACTAAGAAAGTAGTTACTTCTCTCTCTGTAGGGAATTAGTTAATTTAGATGTGCGAGGCTGACTAACCAGGGATCCCAATGGGTTTCTCCCAAGGTCCTCATACCCTCTCGAGTCAAATAAAACCATTTTCCCCAACCTCACCTTCTTCTCTCCTTCTCACCTCTCTTGAACTCTTTCCTTCCACTCTTCCTTTTGAGTAGTCGGAATTCCACCATTTAGGGCTTCGTATGCTGTCCTTCGCATCTCTTACTTGGCTCATCCCTCATTTCCGGCCGGTTGCCAACGCTGCTCCAGGACATACCTGAATGATTCCTGCATACCTGAATGATTCCTGGTCTTATTATCCTGCTAACTGACTCCTATCCTACTAACCAGGACCCAGACATCGCACTCTCACTCTCACTTCCCATCACTCTAAACCGAACCGGCTGACAAAGCATCGGACCTCCGGAACATCACCTGACTTTCGCCGTGGTTTTTTTCCCGTCCAGAATGAGTCACTCTCCATTTGTGGTTGTCTAAACGAGGTCCGATTACGGTGGAATATCCCCGCTGCTGCCTGACAACACTCCACGGTTTCCGTCTCCATTGAGGCATTTTTTTTTCGCTCTGTCAAACAATGATGTTCCCTCTGGGCTAGTGTGTCAGCGTGCCGTACAAACAGGAGATAATCGCCACCTGTTGACTCGTGATTGACGGGTTTACTAGGATATTCGGGGAAATGATGTCGGGCTGGGGTTTCCGGACGGTTCTAGATTGAGAGATCGCCAGGCAGTGGTTATTGGTCTCGCTACGCACTTTTTTTTTTGTGCGTCTTGTATCCCCCGGTGATGGATATTGAAAGAACTCCCCGATGGTGGTCTTCTTCCGGGCAATATATCTCAATTATCATTATCGATCGTCTCAATGATAGACAATTGAATCCTGGTTTAAAGAAATTCTCTCTTCGTCTACTGTTAATCCGACCAAAATGGTTTTGCACATTACTCGTGAGCATCGCTTGATGCTAGTGATCAGTATTTCTGCTTCTTTCTTCCTAGCAGAGATCTCAGGTACTGTAGTCGCTATGGGTCTGTCAAGGACAAATTCTGACGAAACTTAGTGGGTTTCTACACTCATTCTCTTGCTCTGGTTGCAGATGCTTTCCATTATGTTAGTCTCATTCATGAATATGCCCGAGACTCCCAGCTGGAAAAACGAAGAATTAATATCCGCCATCTAGCTCAACGATCTCATCGGGTTTCTCGTGGCATTCACGGCCTTGAAGGTTAGGGCAGCGTCTACCTCCGCAGTGTCCATGTCTAGTTAACATCAATCTAGATTTCACAAAGAAGCAAGCACCCCAAAGAGCTGTCATTTGGATGGCAAAGAGCCCCGCTACTGGGAGCCTTCTTCAATGGTGTTTTCCTGCTGTCCCTTGGAATCAGCATCTTCCTGCAATCAATCGATCGTTTTATATCGCTGCAAAGTATAGCACCCCAGTACAGAAACCGACACACCCGTCGCTGACATTAGGTAGAACTCGAAAACCCCAAGTTGGTCTTGATTATTGGATGCGTCGGGCTAGGTCTCAATATTGTCAGCGGGGTGTTTCTCCATGGTCAGTTTGGCCTCAGACGAACCCCTCCCCCCAGGCACGACACGATCTAATATAGGGACAGAACATGATCACGGCCATGGCACGGAAGCCGCCGATCACGGCGAAGAGATTTCTGCGCGCTCGGAATCTCTCTCATTGGTAAAGCATCGATTGTTTCCCCTCAATTGCATTGAAGTGAGCTTCGCACACAAACTAATATTTGCCCCCTTCAGGCCGCGTGCTCCCACACCGAACACCGACACAACGTGAAACCGCAGTCCAACAAAACCGGCCACGATCTCGGAATGATGGGCGTTCTCGTTCATGTGATTGGAGACGCAATCAACAACATTGGCGTCATAATCGCTGCCGTGGTTATCTGGAAAGCGGACTACGAGGGGAGATACTATGCGGATCCAGCCGTGAGCATGGGAATCTCGTTCGTGATTCTGCTATCCTCTCTGCCTCTGGGTTTGTGTTCCCCCCCGTGGATTTCCACACCCTCTAGTTACCCGGGCGGGCCTGGCTAACTTGAACGGACGTACGTGGCAATAGTCCGCAAAACCGGGGCTATTCTGCTCCAAAGCGTCCCTCTCGGCCTCGACCCCGAGGATGTCAAACATGACCTTGAAGCCGTAAGTTGGTTCGTCCTTGACCCACCCGACGGCCCCCCAAAAAAGGGGAAGAAAACAACCTCATGAAAAGCTCCACTAGATTCCCGGCGTTGAATCCGTCCACGAACTGCATATCTGGCGCCTGAATCAACAAAAAGCCCTGGCCTCCGCTCACCTCGTGGTATCCGACGACCTGGTCGGCGATTTCATGCAGACGGCAAAAATCATCAACGAATGCTTCCATGCTTACGGGATCCACTCGACAACTCTGCAGCCCGAGTACGCGGACTCCGCGCCGAGCAGCGGCGTTACCAGCATCGATGTCGTGGATGTCAATGCCACAATCCCGACCAACATGCACCAGGTCAAGCACCGCCATGTTGCCCTGTCAGAGACAGAAACTCCCCGAAAGACGGTCTCGAGGTGTCTGGTGAACTGCAGGAGTAGCTGCGAGTGGTACGCATGCTGCAGCAGTTCGGGGTAAGATGCTCTGTGATACGTAAGTGCAGTTGTGCCAGTATAACTATATACCACTGAAACTTGTTTCTTTATAATCACGGGACTATAACTAGTTATTATATGGTTCATATCATTCAAGTAATTACCTCCTTTTTCCAAGAACTGGATCTAGATACAGATGCACATACATACATACATACATACAGAGAACCCTCTGAATCCCATAAAATCAAGCCAACTCCTTCCCATAATACCACAGACCGTCTTGGCTGCCGACCAGGCCTTCCGCGATACTCTTGAGGGATCGGCCGTGCCCTCTGGATACTAATCTGTCAAGCTGATAATATTGAACTAAGATAATATAGCCGCTCCTTCGGGAATTTGTCATTATTTCTATTCAATGTGACATGACTTAGTATTCTCCTTTCTATCATGTTGAAATACAGATATCGGCAAAAATTAAGATGCATGAATTTCAGGACAGGCCTTGAAAATCTAGAGGCCAGAGTATGTGCGAACGAACGCTGGGAATTCCCCGAGCGCGGGAAATTAACATCTGGGCAGAGCACAGGAAAGGCACAAATGAGACAAATCAGCTCCTTGTCCCATGCAGCAGCTAAGAGTCCTGGGGTTTCGCTGATTCATGGCATATGGTTGAGCGGTAGCGCTGATATGAAAGAAATACCTCCCTCTCTCTTACCCAATGATCCGAGGGCTCAGACATGACTGGGTGGTTCACGCGGGTTGAGGTTCGTCATGCGTAGACGGAATTTTTCCTGGTCTGCTGGTCAAGAGCCGTTGCCTGTTCTCCTCCACTGGTGCGACGACCATTCCATGTATTGGGAGAAAGTGATTCTAGAGCTCGAGGCCCCTTCAACCATCTCACGTCCTCCAAGTCAATGACCATCAAACGACCACCTAACTCGTCCCATAGCATATTACGCCACTCACTGTCGCCGTGGATAACGCCGTGTGACCGAAGCACGGCCAGAGCTTTCTGGCGCTTCCGGTGGAAGAGAGCGGAGTTCTCCTTATTGATGACATGTTGAAGGCGCGTCCCAGACCAGCTCAGAATCATCATCTGCGCCATTAATTCGCCATGGTACCAATATGTAATTCGTGGGGTGAAGGTCCCAAGGCAGACAGGGATCTGTTGTCCCTGAAGGCTCCGGAGACGGCGATAATTGTCCACTTCTGCCTGAAGAAGATGCTGTTTCTGTGCCGTGGTAGCCTTAATGATCACAGTATATCCGTGTGATAGAAGGGTCGCTTTTATAAGGTAGCCTGTTCGACCACGAATATGCAGCGGTTCAAACCCACGGGTTCGATCTCGGACAAGTTGAAGGTGGAGCTGGCGCGTGAACTCACGCGGGCCCATTGAGTGTCTCTGGCCACCATGGTGCCTCCAGTTGGGGCATTCTTTATCCAGAGTGTCTCGGTTGACCATGCCGCGAATGCAGGCAATGCTGCAGTAGGGCCGTGTAGACTGCCTGTCCTTTTGAGAAGTCTGTTTTTTGTCCTGGCCCGCTCGTGTCCTCTCTTTTCCCTTGGTCGATTGACGGTTGTTGCTTTGACTGCGACTCGACCGGCTGCGCGCCGCTGCCTCAGTAGATGGTGAATGCGATTCTTCATCGTTGTCACTGCCCTCAGTAGATGAGTGCTGCGGAGTGGATATGCCTGGTTGACAACGAGCACGGGATCGTGTGTGGTGTGCTTTCGGCTCTTGTTTCCAGTGCGAGGGTCGGTAATTAGAGGCCGGCGGGTCTTTGCGAATAGTTTCAGGAATAAGACGCAAGATATCTAGATATTCAACCTCCCAAGTTGATAGCTTCTCATTTGCTGTATCGTACCACTCCTGAGATGGGGCTTCGACGGCTAGCGCTTGGAGGGCGAACGCGAGCACTTGACCGATGGCAGTCCGGTGAAGATGCCATTCATTGTCCGCCTGCACGTCTTGATTCGGGATACACAAGTAGTACTGAACGACTGTAGGATCATTCTTCGGGATATGAAGAAAAACAAAAGCCTCTCCTGTGCAGATATAGCCATATTGAACTCCACTGTCGATCATGTATGAGAATATCTGGGTAACCACGGCTGCAATGAGGTGGGTAGCATAAAACTCAAACGTGTCGCCTTCCTGATCAATGACATCGCGAGCCAGATTCATTGGATGTAAACCGGCCACCAATTCAGGGATTGTTACCTTGTGCAGCGCTTTGAACTCGACTGCAAACACCGGCTTTTGTCGCTCGTTGGCCATGACATGCACACAGAATTGGTCGGCACGGCGATTGCGTCTTCGGGCGGTGCCAGCCCTCGTCTCTCTCTGCGCGGTTCCCCCTCCTCTTCCTCTACCTTTCCCACGTCTAGTGACCGCTAGTCGTTGGGGGGCGCGCGCGTTCTGGATATTCATCTGTTCCAAACTGTTTTCCAACGAAGCCTCCTCTGGGGTCTCGTGGTCATAGAAGGAGACGCGTCCCTGAATGCCAAATTCACGTCGAAGTGGTTCATCGTCTCGTAATGCATTAATAATTTGTTCAACAAAGTTATCTACCGTGTCTCGCTCGAAATTTCGAAGGGACGCTTCTGAATAAATTCGCTTATTCTGGATATTTGTCAAGACATAATCGATTTGGGTATTAGAAGGAAAGAGCGGACGCGAGGTAAAGTTAGCTGTGCGTTCGAACTTCTGCCAGACTTGCTCTTGGAGTTGGGGGAAGTCAGGCCAGGGGATAACCTGCTTGGGGTAAAGTCGGTTGACAGGGTCGGTCGCGTAGCCCTGGGTCAAGAGGGTCGCATCCGTCTCAACTTGGATTGCTAGAGATAGAGAATTGTGGCAGCGATCAAGGAGGCTGAATAGTGTATTGGGCTGCACTCGCCGTTCTGCCTCTTCTCGCGCTTTCTCCTCCTCTTCTCGCGCTTTCTTCTCCTGTTCTCGTGCTTGTCTCTGTTCCTCCTCACGACGCTCTGCCTCTTCTCGCGCTTTCTTCTCCTGTTCTCGTGCTTGTCTCTGTTCCTCCTCACGACGCTCTGCTGCTTCTCGGAGCGTTTTTTGTTCCTCAAGCTGACGCCGTAGCTCCGCGATTGCTTCCTCCATTCTGTTATCAAAGATAAGTCTTTAGCAGAGAATCCAGTATCGAATAGAACCCAACTTGCGGAGTCGTAAGAGTAGTAGGACGCTGTGTGGTTCGGAGGTGCGACCCGCCATCTCCACCCGGGACGGAAGAACTATAATCCACGCGCTCTATCAGATGGAGCTATGCCTAGATAGGAAACCGGCTCTCTTCTGGAAAAGAGCCACCGACTAAAATTTGGACTAACGAGTAACTAGTCATTAGATTAAAATAAGTATAGACTGTTCTGGCCGTTTTCCATAGGTTTGGGATTGTACTCCGTACCCGTGGGAAGATGAATGAATACCTGTTCCGTTAGTTTGCATGTGATGTGATATGGGGAACATCCCATGTCCTTTTTGGGCCGAACCAGACGTTGAGCACTTGTGTGTAGCTTTTTTCTGGACATTTCTCGGTCTTGCTCATATGTTATTATTGGCTGGAATTCAAGCTACTGCTCCGGGGGATCATGTCACCATCTTTGACGTCACGTCATGCAGGGCCCTCTCTGGACACCAATGCCAGCCGTGGTTGCTTCACACCCCATCTTGGGGCAGCATCGATTCAATATTGAACCCGCCGGAATGGAGTAATCATGGACCAATGGTGCTGTCAGAGATGTTGAGGGGTATCGAAAGTCTCCCCGATAAGCAACTGGGCTTCGGAAGACGGGTTCAGTAATGACACACTTTTGCAAATCGACGAAGGCTTTTCGCTGGGGTTGAAATATTGCACGGTCCTGGCCTCAAAGTCGAAGCGCACAACTTTCGGTACAACATGCTTTTGATGCGGTAACATGTCTGCTTCGGGGTCATTTGAAGTTGCTGAGACTGTGTAGGTCTTGCCGTGGGGTTTATCTTCAGGCATCGAAGGAGGATCAGGCAGTAAATGGGTCTCCATGGTATAAGCAAAATTGATAATCGTCACTTCCGACACTCAATATGATGTATATCTGAGTTGGAAGAAATTTCTCTAGACGTCGATTTCTTACTCAGTCTTTCTGGCCAGGCATCGTGTGAACCCGAACCGAGATGGAGCCTTGTTTTGGATGAACGCTGGAAATGAACGCAATCTGGACCTTTTCAACGGATGCTCGGGGTGTGGATAACAGGAGTATTTGCCAAAGCTTTATAGATACTTTTGGGAAAGTTGAAGTACTAACATCACCGTCAGCTGGTGTTACTGTGTTCAGATCCCAGAAGAGTGAACCCTATCCTCCTCCATCTCGAAACCTAATGGGATGGAGGAGGAGTCAAACCAGTATCTATTCTCTTCTTCAATCTAGTTGGACATGGGGGGCTTATTTTTCTTCTCTCTCTTTTTTCTTTTTTTTTTTTTTTGATGCTTTACGGCAAGAATCTTATATCTGAATGATCCCGGAAGAGCTACAACACATATCAAATTCTGATATCAACATCAAGGAAAACATCCTCCCTACCTTTGGATATAGCGTATGTGTAAGCGGGAATCTAGACATTGAAGCTACCTCCTGGGAAACAACACAGCCACTGACGAATTTTAGTAGATATCTATCTATCTGGTTCTTGACTCGGCCGGAGAGAGAGTTTTCAGGAGTAAGTTTCGGTATGAGACGCCTCTCTGAGAGCTTGCAGACAAAGTTGATTCGTTACCCTTCATTCATGACATTTATTTCGCCGCCTGGAGCCAGGTAGTATGTCATCTGCACAAAACTCCATAACGGCTTATTCTACATATGTGGCAAACGCATTCATCTTGTCCTTGGAATGAAATAGGAATTCATAATTATATCAGGATGACTCATATACTTCTTTGCTGTTCATAATTATTGTATTTCTTGAACGTTGGTTGCTCAGATCCCGATCCAGAATGGACCCCGAATACACTGATACCTGGTCCATCTGTCCCTTACTTTGCGGATCGAAGCTGTCTATCCTGATGGAATATGTGTGGAAGGGTATAAACAGCTTCAACGCTGTCCTCCTTTTCCACATCCCCGGGGTTTACATCTTCTTGCTTGAACCCTTGGGGATGATGAGGGATTGCTAACTCCTGCTATGAAGTCCAGGGAACGAAGCAATTCCTCTCTGGCTCGGTCCCTGGAAGCGAAAAGTTACTCTTATCTTGTTCACCAAGGAACGGTACGAAACCTCTCATTGGCTTCTCGTCTAAATTCCACCGTCGAATGACATTTCATCGATTAGGGTTTGCCTTCCCAACCCATGGAGCTCCCCCAGCTTCGAATGCTCCAGGTCTACAAAGGCGAACCCCGAAATCAACTTCGCCTAAGCTGGGGAAACGTTGGATGACATCTATACGAACATGGGTAGCCATGTCATTGGCAGGCAAAAAAACGTGTGCCTAATTGGATTTGAGCTTCATTGAAGACCCCGTAGAACTCAAAAATCCTGTCTCTTCCTCCAACCGAGACAAGCCCGAGTCGCCTCGTGCGGACGGCAATACTGGAGCGAATCTTACAAATAGAACAGATCCCTGGCATTTGGCACATCCCTAGCCAGTCAATAAAATTTTTCCTTTTCGATCTCCCTTTGCCTGTCTAGTTGTAATAGCCACGATCTGAGCTGAAAATGTCCCAAGCTCAAGTCGCATACATCTCGCCACCACCTCGGAGCCAGGACAAAATGATGCCTTCGCAAGATTACCCCGTTGCCTTTCCTATGTTTCAACCGGGACAAACCTCCTTCCCCGAATCTTTGGCTCCTTCATTTGCTGAATTGGGAAGCTTTTGGTCCCCTACTCCTCATGGCATGCTACCTAATCCGCCATTCGACGGGACACAGACATCCGACCTCATGGGGATGAACAACGATCCACTCTGGACCTGTGAAGGCTTCCTTCCAAATGTATGCTTGTCGAGTGCTAGCTCCTAGTGAGAGGTGAAGCAAGATATCTAACCGTCCATAGGCTGTTCCCAATAGTCTGCCACTGTTGCCGAAGGAGGAACCCATCCCTTTCAACCTTGGGATGCCAACCGCTTCTTATATCGAATCTTCGCCTTCGATCGAACCAATCGAAATGAAACCGTTGACAGAGGACACCACCCCTCAGTTCCAACCGCAATGTCTTGATCCTGCTGCTGCCCCCGAAGCTACTACCGATATCAGTCTCCGCAGCCGACGGAACTCAGCGCCGGAGCTCAACGCGCAAGATCTAGCCCAGGTGCAGCAGCGACAGCTCAAACATGCCAGTCGAAGGGCATCCCACAACATCGTCGAGAAACGATACCGAATCAACCTCAACTCCAAGTTCCGGAAACTGGAGGAAGTCGTCCTCAAGGGAACCGAGCCGTATTCCTCTTCGACGACGAAAAACTCTACCCTCTCCACGCGACGACAGCAGTCCCCCAAGGCGTCGATCATCGACAGTGCCCTGAACTACATCGAGAGCCTTCAGAGCGAGGTGAACGTCTTGAAGTCCAAGGTTGAGTTCTTCGAGAACCCTTGTTTCGCTCACAATGAAGGAGGTGGAAATTGCCGATCTGGTGCAGAAAAGTAAAATCAATCTTTTCGTTTTCGGCAACTCTTTTTTTTTTTTTTTTTTTTTTTTTTGTTTGTATAACATAAATGATGATGATATGACCATGACCTTGATGGCTTGATGCGGCGTCACAATTGTTACATGGTCATTCTTACGCTGACTTGTGTGGCTATTGTTTCTTCTTACTGTGGTGGATTCCTCTGGGTTTGGTTTGAGGACCTGCAATGTGAGTACTTGAGTAGATATCTAGATCAATAGCAGATCAATACCAGGCCAATCACCCTAATACGATCAAGTTTTATAATGGGCTGTGTTTCTATATCTGCAGTTGCTTCATCGTCTGCTTTCATAGAAACTGTACTGTGCTCTGGCTATTCACATACAAGAATATTGCATCCCAAAAGGAACTGTATAACACAATAAAACCAAAGACAACTCCTAATCAAAAGCCCAAAAAAAAAAAAAAAAAAAGAAACAAAAAACAAAATGAACCAATAATCAAGTATGTAAGAGGAAAATTACAACTAGCGAGCCATCCCTTACATACGGGATCACTGCTGCTTCATCAGCCACCAAGCAGCTGCCATGATACTCAGACTCCAGAGAACAGTGAGAATCCACGAGCCCACGCGGTCGCCGGTGGTGATTGTTGGCAGCGCATCGGGCGTGTCGTCACTGTATGTGTCCAGGTACTGCTCCTTGGCATTGGGGTTGTTTTGGATCGTCTTGGCTCTTGTCCCCGTCAGAATCATCAGGTTGGACGTGATACCACCCAGGGCACTCATCTGCACTTCCAGACCCTTGATGCCGTCCCAGGTGTTCTGCCACCAGCGCGACCCGCAGAGATTGTCTGTTTCCCCGTCGCACTGCCGTCCAATGGCCTCAGCGGACCCCTGGAGCTTCGGCAGGATCGTGGCCTGCGTCGTCGGCGCCAATTGCGCGGTGAACGCCAGCCACATGGCGGTCCAGCCCTTGAAGCACAGCATGTTGCGATCGCAGGTTTGAAGACCCTCGCACGAGACTTCGGATAACACCACGCTTCCGTACGTTTGCGGGAAGAAGTCGGATTCCAGCCGGCCCAGCAGGCCATTCACCCGCGTGAGCCATTTCTCGTCGTTGGTCTAGATAATCATATATCAGCTCGACGTATTTGCAAAATGAAAAAAAGGATCCACTCACCGCATTGTACATGAAGGCTGCACCGGCAAGGTAGGTCCCGTAATTGTACGTCCACTGCATGTTGCCACTGTCGGTGCAGTTGTTGTCTCCCGACGTCGAATCGGCAACAAACCACGTATGGGTGTTGATCAACGGCGACTGCGTCGACCAGTTCCAAAGCTTCTCGGCCCAGTCCAGGTAGGTGGTATTGCCCGTAAAGCGGCCCAGTCGCGCCGCCAGCTGGAACAGCCCGCCGTCCGAGATGGAGTTACGCAGCGTGTAACCCGCTTGCCAGGGATGGATCTGCCAGGTGATGCCACCCCCACAGGACTGGGAGTTCCACCGGCCGACCTGCATGTTGAACACCGCGCGAGCCAGCGACGTCCATGTCGGCTTGTCCTGCACCTCGGGGAAACCAGTCTCCGAGGCAGTCATCGCTGCCAGACCCCAAAACATTTGGTCATCGTTACCCTGTTGGGGGGGGGGGAGGTGTCAGTATTGCTAGAGGTGGTGAAAATGGAGCGAGACCAATACTCACTAGCCACTGACTGTAATTGGAATCGAAGTAGTCGTAGTTTCGTCCCGCCTGGAACATAAGATCGTGCGAAACAATAGAGTTGTACTGGCTGTCGCCAGAGGCCTGCCAGTACTGGATCAGGGTCATGAACATCGCACCCGCAACGTACCATGTGTCGGTGAGCTTGCCGGGGATACCCTCGGTTTGGTTTTGTGCGTAGAACACCATCATCGGCGCGGCGATATCCTTACCGGCCTGCTTCAAGGTATCTAGCACGAGTCTAAGTCTTCTATTCTATACAAGAGACCACCACACACCACCACCGGCAGTCCCAGCGTGGACCACAACGAGGGCTACCCCATTGTACAATGAGATATCCGCAGAGGGGGGCAAAGTATATTATACTATACTAATCTGGCCCCCGGGGGGGGAAAGAAAAAAACATACCAGCAGAGTTAACATCGATGGTGAGATCGGCCAGGGCCAGTTGCCCTTGGAGCACCAGCAGGGCGGCCCCACCCCACGATAGCAGACGGGCCCAACGCATTCTTGCGCGCAAGTATTAATCCGGGGACAACTTGGTAAACACGATAACCAGCGAAAGACCGGCGCTGGACGGGATAAATGCAGGTTGCTGAGCACCCGAACTGGCCTGCCCCCTTTCAAGTGAGATTCAATTTCTTTTCCCACCTGACAAGGCCAAGATGCAAGACCCTAAAGATAGCGGCCACTCACAGCCGCCGCGAGTCCCTTGTCCAGCGCGCCAAGCCCGGCTCAGCCACCACGCGCTCGTTCCGCCAATGGGAGGCCGTGGTTCCGCTGATTCGGAGCGCCATATTGACGCGCCAAGCCTATATCCCCGCCGCGAATTCCCGCTTTTGGACTAGCCTGTTTCGGATTGGGCGCAAAAAAGGGGAGCTGACTCAGCAGGGTCGCTCGCGGCGCGGAACAACGTTGGCCCTTTGCTGGTGCCTGAGGATCGGCGACGAAGACGGATTCATTCCTGGTTAAAACATCCTGAAACCAGCTTATGATGCTCCATATTCTCTCACTATTCAATTCATCTTCTGGATTTGTATTAGTGATTTATGATCATTAACTACTCCTATCTATCCTCTTGGCAGTTTCTATGGTTTCATCCCGAATTCAGACTCCCAACATGTTCCCAATGTCACCATTCGCTAGTATGTCCTTGCTCACAAATACCCATTTTAATTCTCTCCTTGCTCTGGTGGCGATCAAGCGTTAATGGGAAAAGCTTTTCCCTCCGTGTATATCTTTCTGTCACATTGTTAGTCCAGTTTCCACTTCTGAATTGGTTAGTACTTGCACAATCTGTAGCTGTGCCGCCGAGTAATGGAGATCTCCCCAGCGAGAGGCCTTGAATTTGCAAGCGCCCTTGCCACAGGTCTGGCCGAATGGACAGTGGTGGCTTAGCATGCAGTCGTAGCTGCGACACGCTGGGCCAGACGAGCAGAGACCCGTCCGTGCCTTGAACCGGTGGACGGCAATCTCACCCGGTGTGAGCTCGATATTATGCTCCATCGCACAGTCGGTTTTGTTGCATTTCCCCGCCAGGTAGAACCCGTTACAGAACGGGCGAGGGTGGATCGAGTCCTTTTTCTTCTTGTATGTGAGGCCGTCGCCAACACCCCGGTGTTCTCGAATGGTAGGGTCGATTCGCTGGAACTCTCTGTTGCATCGAATGGACTTGGGCTTCTGCTCGTCCGGCTTGTTCAGATCGATGTCGACATGGTGGGATCCCCCCACGTTTGCATAGGTTCGGGTCATCTGGGGAGCGTGATGACTTTTCGGTGTGGTTGGGAATATCGACGTGATTTCCGAGCGTACGGATGTGGACACACTGTGTCTCTTGGTTTCATTAGCGAATGGAGTTGACCTGAAAACCCGTTCAAACCGTTCAATCGGTAAATCAAGCGTTGCAAACCCGGGCTCTGCGGGCGTGGTCTCAACGAGAACGATGCGATTCTCTGCCTCAACGTCCCTTGTGTGTTCACGTAAATCATGAATGTACCCCGCATCATGGCAACCGACGAAGAAGATCTTGCGACATTGGAAGTTACGCAGGAAATAGCTCAACATCTCTGCTTGTCATGAGCCACGACTATCCTACCCAGTTTTGTCCCGGGATATCACTTACTGCGGACCTTATAATCTGCATTCTCCTTTCCCTTCCCGACATTCACAAAATCAAATTCGGCGCATGCGTTGGTAAAGTGCTCAGCAAAGATTGATATATCGTTCTCGGCGTTGACAACGCCTTCCGTCCTCAAGCTCCTTCCGAGATCGGTAAAGCTGGCGAAGATTCTGGCAATCACAAGAGTTTCGTCCGCGTGGGGGGATGTCTTCTTCATGTACTCCTGGATGCTTTTTCTCAGGGTCGTGGCCGCTTCTTCTCCTCCTTTCTCCGGGTCTCGTAGGAATTCGTCGCGGAATTTAGCTCCATCTCCATCCACTAACACAACGACGAAGCTATCCTTGGTCTGTACCAGATGAGCCGCGTTCCCTTCAATTGACATCGGAGCAACTAACCATTAGACGATCCATCTTCCTCTTTAACTCTGCGTTTTCATCTAATACCGTTTGGTGTTCTGCATACATCCCTTCAGTCTCCTTCTCATGTTCGTGTTCATAGAAGCTCAGTTGGCTAAGCAGCGTCTGTTCCACCCTGAATCAGCTCTTGTCTTCTTCAGTAGAATGCGTCCTTCGCTGACAACCACCCTCCAATCACGATATCAAAGGTCCAAGGGCTTACCGCGATGAGCCGATTTCTCTTGTGATCGTTACTTTCGAGTTCCTGGAACTTTGCCGCCAGTTCACGGCTCGACAGGGGGGGCATGGTGGCGGTATGGAGTATGGGTATTATGGAAAATCGAATAACTGATATAACTGAGATAACTGAGATAACTTTGAAGGTTTTGGTAGGATACAGAGTCTTGAAGAGGGCATGATTGTTGGTATTTATACTGGCAGCAGGTCTGCCTTGATGGTCATGTGTTGTTTACTTGCTAACTAGAGTATTCACTTTATCACAAGTGAATATAGTCTAGGCATCTAGCCTAGTATTCACTATTCTCTGATAGAGAGCAGGGTTTCAATTCAATTTCTCAATCACTATATATATCTGAGGTTATTATTTAGTATGAGTCAATTAGGTTTGGATAGTGATAGGGCTCCATTCACTATCCTTTAGTCTAGAACTATTCTATATATCTTCCTAGCTTCATTTAACTATATATTATCTATTCACTCTATTCTTTTACCCCCTTGTATTATATTACTCATATATCACTCACATACAAATTCCTTCCCTAATTGAATAGATAGCCTATAGAGGAAGAATTCAAGTCGGCCATATGCCCGCGAACGGCAGCTCCGGGCTCGGGTTCGGATATAGACAAGATCTGATAAGCCGAGTCCATCCGGAATCACCAGCATTTCAAGGATAATGTCTCTTCCACTGGCATTATATATGATGAGCCCAGATGGCCTGTGGTCTTCTGTATTCACCGTACAGAGTCAACCATGACCACGTTGAAGAACATTATCGTCGTAGGTGGCTCCTACGTGGGCAAGTCGACTGCTCAGGAACTGGCGCGGATTGTGCCACATACACATAGAGTGAGTGATCGATATCTCGTCTGGATCCGCATGTCGTATACTAACTCAGTGCTCAGGTTCTCCTCGTTGAACCTCACAGCCATTTTCACCATCTCTTCGCATTCGTCGGTCCCCCCCCCCCCTACCCAATTCCCCAGGGTTGAACCAGCACACCACTAATGTATAAATACAGCCTCGATTTGCCATTGGATCCGGCCATGAACACAAAGCATTCATCCCGTACACTGGACTCTTTTCGTCCGTTTCCCCCGCCGCCCACCACGCAGTTGTCCAAGCACGAGTGCTCTCCGTACAGCCCCAATACGTCCAGCTGGATCGAGAATGGGAGGGATCCGGCCAAGTCCCGTTCGAGTACCTGGTTGTAGCAACCGGAACACGATTGGCTGAGCCCGCAGGCATGCGGGATGACGATAAACTGTCCTCCGTGGCGTATCTCCAGAAACATCAAGCCGCCGTGAAGCAAGCCAAGTCCATTGTCGTCGTCGGCGGCGGTGCCGTTGGTGTGCAAATGGCCGCCGATTTGAAAGAATACTACCCCGAAAAGGACGTCACAGTGGTGCACTCGCGCACTCATCTGATGCCGCAGTTCCACCCGGACCTGCACTACCTCATCAAAGACCGCTTTGACGAGCTGGGAGTCAAGCTGGTCACCAGCTCCCGCGTCAAGATCCCCCGCGCGGGGTTCCCGAACAACGGCACCCCCTTTGACGTCGAACTCGCGGATGGATCCATCATCCCCTCGGCCGACTTTGTCATCTTAGCTACGGGCCAAAAGCCCAACACTTCTCTTCTCGATCATCTCCCACTGTCTGCGCCCGGTTCCCTTATAAACCCCGACAGCGGATTCATCCGCATCCGGCCCACCATGCAGTTTGCGGACGAGCAGTACCCCAATCTCTTTGCGGTGGGTGATATCGCCGATACCGGACTGCGCAAGGCCGCCAGGCCTGGCTCGGCACAGGCTGGGGTTGTCGCGCGGAACATCCTGGCGATGGTTGAGGGCAAGACGCCAGAGGAGCAGTTCCCTCACTGGCCGGCAGCGATTCATCTTTCCCTGGGATTGGTAAGTTTAGCTTCGGGGGGGGGATTAATATCACGCATCAAGAGCGCTAACTCTATCTCGCAAGAAATACAATGTCGTGTTCAGAGATCCCAACCCGGCCGAGGGACAGACCGAGCCGACGGTCGATAGGCGGGACGAGTAAGTGTCTGATCTGGTGAGTAGTGAAGTCTTGCCAAATGCTAATCATAGTCTTAAGTGGCCGTGAGGATATGGGAGTTGCCGGATGGTGGGAGCGACTGGGTGTTGCCGTCAAAAACCTATCAGAGTACCACTTGTAGAGGTTCCCGAAGTATATAGCTGTATACATATATATATATATAACCATAATATATCCTACGTGGAAATGAAATACTGTCACCTACAGAGTGTCCAAAAAACAGAACACGTTCATTTCTAGTCGTTTGCCGGTTGTTAGGGTTATGTCCTATCAACGCCATGTTTTCATTTGTTAATAGTATAGTAATATGTATCACTTAGCCAGCTTCCTTTGTCGCTTTGGTCGCAATGGTTTCTCGATTACCTTCCATTGATCGACGATCGAAGCACATTCGGATTCGGAGGCGGCTGCAAGATCCTCATTACCTTGACGAATCCGCGACGCAACTACATAGTCCTCGCGGTTCGCGCCGTACGATTTCTCGATTCCTCGGAACATGCCGTTGAGCGGGTATCCCAGGAGACCCCAGAGCCCTGCATGAGTGTGTTAGCGGAGACGGAATAACACCTATATATACATATATATGTGAAGTAGAGAACGTCACCCGCTTGTGGTTTCAGAAACACGCCACCGATCCCCTTTCCAATCCCCTTGGCCATGCCGCTCATCCCTTGGTCCTTCCAGCCAGTACGCGGTTGCGCTACTACTCCAGTGATGCCATCGGACCAGCTATGCCGGAATTCCTGTCCACCCGGGGGGGGGTAAGTTAGGTATACGGCCCCATGACGACGAGAACGCGAGAATAGTTTAAAACGCACCTTGCCAGCGGCCGCAAAGCCAGACCGCACATCGCTGACGACGGGGGTATCGCGGACAGTTCGGTCATGGTACCATCGCGGCGCATCGTGGAACCCCTGCGAGAGAAGAAGGGTGATGCCCATTGGGATCTCGATAATCAAATTCAAAATTCTCCGACAAGTGTAGCTGGTATTGGCGACCATGTACGATATGGTGCTAGTTTTCTGGACTGCCATGCAGGCACCATCTCCGCTGTCGGTTGTATACGAGGTATCCGCGGTTTCTTTCGATGATGTTCTGGTCAAAGTGTCTGTGTTGTTGTTGTTGTTGTTGTTGTTGGTACTTGCTGACGATTCCAAGGTCTTGTCTCTCTCCGGTTCTGGCGTGACCATGTCAAAGGAGGTATTCCGTGAGGTCGTAACCACTGGCGAGCGCTCGCTACAGGCAGGAAGATCGTAGTCTCGTGCGAACCGCGAATGAGCCGGCCGCGAGAAGCTCTGGACTATGTTCATGGGGACATCCACGAGTCCTGAGATGAAGTTACCAATTCCACCGGCGACGCCCTTGGCACCAGCATAGAAAGGTCCGCGGGGGTCGGTGTGTGTGTCGTAGCGTTTTCCACGATGGCTGGGATTCATCAGAATCGTTTGGAGGAACTCCTGGTTTGTGAAGAGGAAGGAGGGGAGGCAGAGGACATACAGCTTCAGATCGTGCGGGTCGAGGTACTTCTCTCTCACCAACACCGAGGCGGCTAACGGACTCAGAAGAGTCTTGGTTCGACGAACCCGCCACACCGCAGGGCGATCGGGACAGATAGAGCACTGCAAGCTCTTCAAATCCAGCTGGCGATGGAAACTCGCCACGCCGCCCTCCGCACCATCTTCGCCGCGAATCCGCTCGCTCAAGCGCTGTGCGTTGGTCACCGTCTTCGGCTCGAGGCAGTGATGGATCGCATCCGCTAGTCGGTCCGCCGTTAGTTTGGAAAAGGGAATCGGCCACGGCCCTGCTTCGTTGAGCGCGACCAACGCGCCCCAGAATGGCTGGTCCCCGAAGAACGGGACGATGGCTGTTGGCCGGCCGAGCGCGAGTCCCATGGCGGTTGTCCCTGCACCGCCGTGGTGCACGACACAGGACACCCGCTGGAAAAGCCAGTCGTGGGGACAGTTACCTAGGAAGAAGACCTCTGGGCTGTCGAAGTTCTCGGCGTGAAGACCGCCCCAGCCCTGGGAGATGAGGGCCCGCTGGTCGGTGAGGCGGACGGCCTCGAGGACCGTTTGGGTGAGTGCGTCTGGGTCGTCGACGACGATGGATCCGAATCCGATGTAGATCGGAGGCGGGCCCGACTCCAAAAACGTCTGGAGATCCGCGGGGGGCTCGTAATTCTCGGCCGATTTCAGGAAGTTGAACCCGGTTACGTCGATGTGGGAGAGCCAGTCATCCGGCTTGGGAAGAAGGGACGGGGACCTTTGTTGACGTTGAGGAGGTTGGCGCGACACTTAACTAAACGAGTAGAGTAGAAGAAGGAAAGGACCGACGAACCACATGTATGTGAAGGGAATACGCAGTCGATGGATCAAACTAGGCGCCCGGAGTGAATCCAAAGGCTCAAGCCCTAACTCGAACCGACGGAATTGGTTTTGGAGATCACCCAACCCTTGCCAGATCAGCATTTCCACCACGGCGTAGGAAGTGATTTTGGCCACCGACGGTTTGGCGTTACAGGTCCGGACATTGGCCAGAGGGTGCGGAAAGGCCTGGGTAGGAGACCAAGGCATTCTGCGAGACATTAGATCCCCGTCCTTGTGTATCTCGGACTGCGATGAATGGATTGAGACGAACGTGAACATGAGATGCAGGGGAATAGCCATCCTCTCTGCACAGTGAATATGAGCGAAACTCGGCGGGTTCGCAATGATAGCATCAGCCACAAATGAACGCTCTTCTCCAGGAGCGTTGCATAAGCAGTCAATGCCCTCCCCGGCCTCGAAGCAAGATCGCCAGCATCCCGCGATAATAAGCCGGATCTCCCTGCGCCGTCTTCCTATATCCCCGTGAATCAGGGACTCCATTTTGGGGATCAACTTGGGATTTTTGACCATAAAGGACATGAGCTCAGCGGGATTGCCTCCGATATTGAAGAACTCCAGGCCATTCTCCTTGACAAAGTCACGAAATACCAAATGCGTAGCCAGTCGCACACGATGGCCGTGCGTCTTCAGCGCTTGCCCGAGCACTATAAAGGGCTGTACGTCCCCGCGAGATCCCACCACATGGATCACGATGTTGAGTTTGACGGGAAACTGGAGATCCTCTGAAATTGGATGTATTCGATGTTCCTGGACCGTTGGTGGCTTGCTTAGGGTATCCAGCAACCCAGCAATATCTGCCTCGCTTTCGTGGAGATTGATATCGAAGCGTCCATTGTCTAGCAATTCGTGAGACACGATCCTGCCTTACATATAGTATCGGAATAGAATACCGGTCACTCTTGCGTCTGTATCCAGGCCATCTGCGCTGAACGTGGCATGTTCTGGTCGTTCATGCCCGGATAACGGGCTGTAGGCCAGGGGGATCTCGAGCCCGACGCCTGAAGCGGTCTCCTCCAAAGCCATCTTGATGATAGGGTGGGATTATCTCCAAACAAACAATGCCATGCCATTCATTGTAACATCACTTACATTGCCCTTCATCCAGATAGTGGATCTGATTTCTAAGAAAGGCAGTCCCGGTGTTTTATGACGTACAAGACTTGAGGCGACGAGTTCCGGACCGTGAAAGTTCATGCGGCCAACGAGAAGGGAATTATTAATCTCGATTATCTTTTTCAGAGTCTCCGCCTTATGGGGACATTTCGATAAATCCAAGCTATATGGTTCAGCGGGGACCGATTCGAAACGGAAATTGCAGCCGTAGAGCCCCAGACCCCTATAGCGGAGTGTTAGGGTATTACTTTTATTAATCGGGACAGCTAGACAGGCGAGACGCCTAGTTCTATACATTCATGACACAGGAGGTCATCTTTACGTTAGGAATGCAGCTGTATGTGGTTGTTATGGCTGCATGACGTGGGCGAGCTGCCTCGCCACCTGTTCGTTCCTGAAGCACTCGAAGATGGGCTGATTCTAAGTGATTCTGGTTGGATATTCTTGAATGCGTGAGCATATATAGTCCCCGGGAATTCATCCTGAACCCTGAAGCAATCCGATTCCCGACGCACTACTTGTAACCGGCGACACCTCGATAGCGAACAACCCTTCAAAATGACATCGACCCTCGATCCTATCAATCTACATTTTGTCAACTTCATCTCTAACGGTACTCCATTATATCAAAAGAGCTACCCAGAGGCCCGGAGGACGCTGGAGGATATTCAGAGGCACAATCCGGCGGCCAACATCAGCCAGCAGAAGATCCAGGTTCCGTATGGAGCAGGAAATGTCGAGACCATTATATTCCGCCCGAAGGCGGCTTCGGGCTCCCTCCCTGTGATTTTTTATACACACGGTGGTGGATGGATTCTCGGAAGGTACGCTTGAGAGTGGATGCATTGCTAGTTGACCATACTGACGGTTATAGCCCTAATGCTCATGGTTCTCTCATGGAAGATCTGGCCCGTCAGACAAATGCGGCGGTTGTCTTCCCTTCCTATACTCCTGCTCCCGAAGCGCAGTATCCCACGCAGTTTGAAGAGTCCTTCGCTGTGCTAAAGCACATCATGGGAAATGGCGCGAAGTTGAACATTAAGTCTGACACGGTTACGTTGGCAGGAGACAGCGTTGGAGGTACGGCTCTCTCTGTTCCCTTGCAGCATGAAGATATCGTTTACTCATCTTTGGAAATCAGGGCACATGGCAATTGCAATGGTGCAGATGGTTCATCAGCGCCAGCTCCCACTCAAGATATCTCACATGGTGCTGTTCTACCCGGTGACTGATACTCACCAGAAGAGCAACACGTACAGGGAGTTTGCGAACGGGCCTTACCTGACGGAACGCACCATGGACTGGATGATTGATGCGTTCTTGCCCAACCCTGAAGACCGATGTAATGCGTTGACCTCTCCACTGACCTTTGCATCTGACAAGGAATTGTCTCGTTTCCCACCCACGACCTTGTTTGTTTCTGGGGCGGATCCATTGATCGGAGAAGGAGAGGCGTTCGGACACCGTCTCCAGAAGGCCAGGGTCGAAACGACCTTGCTGAAAGCTGATGGCCAGATTCACGACTATGTGATGCTTGAGCCCGTTCGCAAGTCTGCCACGGCCAAGGCAGTAGTCGAACTAGCCTCCGCGAGGCTGAGGGACGCAATGCGCGGCTTACGGCATTGATGGTTTTATTATCAAAAGAAAAAAGTCAAACTATGCCTTGATTTCAATCAACTCCGTGAGAATTACAGGCTACAGCTGTCAGTCTGCCCCGTATTGTAACTGCAACCACCAGAATCCTCCTGGGAGGACAGTACCCGAATAAACTGCACCATACCCGTAGATTTGCATGCGATATTCGTCTATTTAAGACAGGTTATACCTCTTGAGCTGGAAATACTGGACAGAAGCACTGAATCGTGTGTGGCGTTACCGCTGTGCAGAGGTATGGTACGTATGTATGTATGTATATTTATCTCAACACTAGGGCACGGATATCAAGAAAGTAACATCCTAGGCTGCCCTATTTTATCGGCAAATATTGACCGAATCTATCAAAGGAAAGGACAAGTTCCACATTTTAGACTTATCATAAGACATCAATTTCATATTCTTACGGTGTACAGAAAGATCGATGGGATTTACATCACCACCAGCATACATAAGAACGCCACCATTGCCAGGCCTCCAGGATAAAGGGAGGTTGCTTCACTACCCTTACTTGTTGGTTTCGCGGTTTCTTCTTCTGCCAAACCGGTGGAAGTGATGGGAAACAGCTCAGCCCTTGTCCCTGAAGTGGTTGTCGTGCCGGCAGAAGTAGCCTGCGACGTGTTTTCTTGCGTTGATTTCGCCGTAGCGCCAGTCGAGGAGACCGATGAGGTTGTACTTTGCGTTGAAACGCTTGTCTGCGTAACCGATTCTCCATCTGTTGTAGTTTTGGGAAGAACTGTTTGCGTCGCATACCAACTCGACCACGCCGCCGGCTCAGTCAACACTATCCCCGTGGGCACATGTTCGTAAGTAGCCAGAACTAGACAACTCAAGGCGGGGGGAGACCTACCAAGTAAAGGCTCGGTGTACCCGTCGATCACGGTTGACGAAACCGTAATATATTCTATATGTGGGACGCAAGTGGTGGACTCCACGATATCCCGGTACCCGTCCACGCACCAATAGACACACCATCCTAGCTCCTCGGGACTTGCGCTGTGTCCGTTCTCGCAGGCTGAGCTGCATTCGGGCGCCAGAGCCGATTGCGACGGCGTCGCATCCTTTCTCACACAATCGAGGTAACAGTACGGGATCGCGGTGGTGTTGAGAGAACCTGGGAGGAGGGTTCCAGTCGCGGCAGCAACACCATTATGACACCCCAAAATACAGGGGATGGTATCGGATGAATAAGGCGTTTGACCGTCAATCGACTCCTCGCAAATCAGGGGATCGGGTAGAGAAGCGACGGCCACGGTCAGGAGGAGGCCGGACAGCGGCACTAGAAGGCGCATTTTAGGTGCAAATATGTGAGTAAGGCTAACTACGAGCTCGTCTCTCACGGCATGCAGAGCCTCGATTTTATATCTACGGTGAGCTAATGCTTTGGCTCCGAGTCCACTGCTCTGCTGTTCGAATGACAGGCTGGTGGCGGGGGATATCTTGCTAATTGATGAACGGCTCAACGCTAAGAATTTGAGATTCCAGGCATTATTGGCGTCAATGTGAAACATTCATAAGCACTAACAGTGGAATCTAACCTAATGTCCAGTTAGTGGAAGGACGGACCCCAGTGGGAGAGGGTATTAAATAGGGTTGGACTCCTGCAGAATGGGCCGATATCCCATCCAGATATCCCCCCCGAGCCTCTTGCGAATCATTATTCAGGTAATATGCCCTATCGAAGCTCTGCTTGAATCAGATTGACCAAAGAAAAAAAAAAAAAAAATCAAAACATGTGGCTTTCTTCGTGTGCTTCTTTTTGTTCGATCTATATCTCTCCCTAGTCTTAGGGCCCCGAGCGATGCTATTAAGCCTCCGTATACATGGGAGGATATCAATCCAAGTGTCTACCTATTTCCCGAGTTCAAATTTGTCTTTCTTCCAAGATAACCTGCCATAATAAAGGCTTCGGCTGGGTGAATCCTACTACTTCCATCATTTCACCTTGACACCCAAATTAGGGTCCATTCAGGGTCAGTAGGAAAGAGTGAGAAACCCTGGCTTGTCTGAAATCAGTACAGCCAAATACCAAGGGACCATATGAGAACATGTGCACGGAACAGAAGAGACTGACGTTTGATGTTTTAGGGATGGAAGTATGTTTTTTTTTAGGGTTATTAGGTGGTTCAACGCACACCTAACCTTCGGGTCATAGTCCATTCTTTCTGAGGCACCCGTGTCTACAGATCCAACGCCCTGATATCCAAAACAGGCGTGTGATTGATTCAGTTCCTTTTCAGGCTCACTGGAGATATTTACTTGCATTTATATCTTGGTAGATCTCTTTTACCCCCCTCAAGCTTTCGTTCAATTCTAGGGCACCACACGGGAGGGGAGATGCAGTCCAGAAAGAGAGTATCAAAATAAACGCTGACTGATTTTGACATCCAGCCCTTAATTGCGCGGTTAAGCCATGGTCAACCCACTCAAGATTTATTCAAAACTATCCTGATAGTCCTCAGCTTTCGAGCTTTCGAGCTTTCGAGGGTTGGGCGAGGTATTCTTATGCGCCCACGTGATGTGAGCTCCCCACAGGATCTGATGCTCTCCAACCGGTTTTCTCTCTACATCCTCAATACTGAATCCCAGATGATCATCCAACCAGGATTTCATCGAGTCCCAAGTCGGTGTTTTGCTGCTCATGGCTTGACATTATAGCTTGGGTCCACATACATCCATGGGACTGGCTCCCGTCTACCCCCGACCCAATAATGCATCCTCAAACACCTTGTCCTTTAGATGCGCAACCAAACTCGACAGCACTTAAAATGCCATTCACCGGTTGATGTCATTGACTTCCCACCACCAAAACCAAGTATCGCCATGACAACATGACTACGACACGTGTGTCGAGATTCGCAAGCAACTTACCTATGCCTACTCACCCTATGACGGACGAGGTGGAAAGAATACTCATGATGTCAGAATTTCTCGGAAATCGAATGCAGCACATCCCATGACAGCAGGTCCCCGCACCAAGGAGTTGGTATAACTACTAGCTATACTCGCAGAAAGACCGTTTGTTCCGATTGATCACGCAAAGCTATCCACCAACCAATATCACCCAGCATGGCTTCCACTCGAAAAGCGGAATTCAGTGCTGTCGACGGGGGTGCAACATCGCTCCCAATTCTCCGGGGGACAGTAGACACTGTCTCTCAGGAGTGTCCCACACGCCTGGGGATCACATCCACTGAACTCCAGGCGAAATCACCCACCGTGGATGTCTTCTTCGATGAGATTGCAGCTGAGAGGCTGCGAAGGATGCCACCCGATGGCAGTCGACTAGATAGCGCTCTTAGACGAGCCTCTCGTCTAGCATTTGCTGTGGCAACCTTGCGCGACTCCGTCGCCAGCTTCATGGATGGCGCCGAGGAAGCCACAAAAATGATCTGGGGCACTACCCTACTATTGCTCGAGGTAAGCTATATCTCAATCGTGTGAACTTGAGAGAGGAAGAGGGAGGCTGATTGAGCGGTAGATGGGGATAGAAAATATTGATATCGTCGACAACCTTTTCAGTCGTTACGGTCGTGTAACTCTGGGCATTTCGTTACTTCTTCAGCAAGAGAGTTCTTTCCAAAGTTCTAGAGCGCTCCAGCAGGAGGTAGCAGAAATCTATGCTCATTTGTTGCAACTCATTGTCCATGTTGCTTCGGAATACAGACAGGTGGCACGAACCCAAAACTGGCAGGTCATGAACGAAGCGGTCGATAATGCCTTCTTTTGCTACTTTAATCGCTTTACTACTCATTGGCGTCGTATTTCTGGACTTATTCTTCAAACTGGGGTGCCTAAAGACCAAGCCGCAGATTTGGCCGCGATCTACCAGTTCCTTGAGTTGCAGGATCGTCCTCTTCAGATGATGTTAGACAGTCATACTCACTCGCTGGCGGACGGGTCGTTTGCTTGGTTTGATCCTCATTTGACCACTTTCACTGTTGGCCCGCGCAGTATGATGCTCGTCCGTGGAAATCCAGGTGCTGGGAAAAGTGCATTGGCTCAGTGGACGATGGAGCGGTTGCAAATGTCTTCCGAATACGATGTCTGGAATGTTATTCCGATTGCTATACGGTCCGATGTTCCCATCACCACCCTCACTCTCAGTATCCTCAAAGGCATTTTAATTCAGATGCTGGACCGATGTGTTACCAGCCGTAAGACACAGGATGACATTATTGCCGCTATTACCGATGCTATGAATCAGGCTGTCATGGGCTCTCCTGATCCACAGGTAGAAGGCCTCCTATGGACTGCTATTCGCACGGCTGTGCAGTCGAACTTACATTTTATGCTCGTTGTCGATGGCATGGACCAAATGAAACATGCTGAAAGCACCGTCGGAGCCTTCCTGGGTCTTCTCCAAGATACCGTGATCAACACGCCATCTAAACTAATTGTTTTCGCCCGTCCAATGTCTACGGATCAAATCCCGATTCGCGAAACGACCAACACACATCAGATCGCGATGAATGCCTCCGTCACGCAGAATGATATGGAAGCTACGATCAACGACATGATGATGTATGATTCCGCGTTTTCTGGACTGGATTTGCCTCAACGCGAGGCTCTTGGATCCGCCATTGTCTCTCGTTCTCAGGGTTGTTTTGTTTGGGCACAGTTGGCTGTGGAAGCACTACGTAGCCAGCCCACTTACAACGACATGACTACATCTGTTTCTAAGGTCCCCAACACATTGGGGGATCTTATTGACATGCATATCCGCCACACTAACCTTCAGCGACGGGGAACCCAGAGTCTCCTGGCTTGGCTCACGGCGGCGGAGCGCCCTTTGCGCCCACAAGAAGTTGAACAGCTCCTAGCTATAGACTTGAAGACACTCAAGGTCCTATCCAAGCCCGCCAATGTCGATCGTGACGTATTCCAGCCCCTTCGCCGATTGATCTGGGTACACGACGGTTTTGTGACCTTCCGCCACTCTATGATTCGTGAACATATCCAGGCGCGAGCCCAGATGCAACAAGAAGTCCCATTCTCTCTCGCAGATGCCCACTACGACCTGCTCATTCGCTCTCTTGCTTGGGTTCGCAGGAGCGTGCCGGACGAAGCCACAGTCTCATGGGAGAAAATGGCTGTTAGTGCCCGAGACCACTACCTTGATGCATACATCATGCTTGAGTATACAGCTCGGTATTGGCTGTCGCACATGCTCGCGTCCCCAATGGCCTCAGTGGATCGCCAGCTCTCCTTCCCAACTGCGTTCCGTCGTGCCATGCCTGACTCAGTGCTGTTTGCGCAGTTAGAGCTGACCAATCGAGAATCACAGTTCAGTCGCTCAAGCATTATTGAACTGTATCGCCTCTCTGTTGCAGTCCGCCGAGCTGTCCTGGGCAGTGAATCCCCGGCTCTGCTGCAGAGTCTCATACTCAGCGCCCGTGCTGCTGATAAAGCTCGGGGTGTGTGGGCTAACGATCATTTGTACGAGGCGTGGACTCGTAGCCGTATCCATCTGGGTCCAACTGATCCCATCACTGGCGATCTAGAGCAACTTCTGGTTGCTACACCTGAAGGTGCTACCCGGGCCGATCGGACTACGGGCTTAAAGACCGATGCTCTGCGGGACATGACCTTAGCGGGCTGGGACTCGTCTGATGTTACCTTTGCACAGCGACTCCAGTATCTCGAGAAGCTTGTGACCGCATACCAGGATGAGAAGAAACCCGATACTGCGTATGATGTATCAAAACAGTTCTATAGACAGACTGTTCAGTCCTATGGACCACATTCTGCTGAGACCATGCAAGCAGCCGATTTCCTCACTAATCACTTCCAAATCGCTCCTCCTGACGAGCTTGCTCTGGAGCTTGCCCGTACCAAATATGAGACTATGGTGCGCTCAATGGATGCTGCGGACCCACGTCGCGTTGCATTTTCACTGTCTCTGGCACAGATGTACGAAGAGAATCGCCAACCGGCCGAGGCCGAATCAGTGCTGTCAAGATTGTGGCAGAGTCTTTCGACTCGTGATTTGGAAAGTAGCAGCACTTCCTGGGACCAGAGGACAAAGGTTGCCTTTTACTACTCGCAATTCTTGCGCCGCCAGCGCCGTCCTGACGAAGCATCCACCGTCCTGCGCGAGCTGTCATCCGACCTGGAAGCAGATGGGGGTGTGAAGTCTCCCGCGATGGTTACTCGTGCGCAGGAGCTTCGCGGTGAGGCCCGTGAAATGCAACTTCATGACATGGACCGCGCGTTAGCCTTACAGGTGTGGAAGTATTACAAGTCCACCAATCAGGAATACACACCTGAGGCTGTTGGGCTTGCTCAGTCGCTCACAGAGGGTATGATACCGGCAGCAGGAAGCACCGTTGAGACTATGGGCACTCTTCCAGTTGAGGAGAGCAAGATGCTACCAGAATGGATCGACTCACTGGCTTCGACATCAGACAAGCAGAAGTATCCTCGATTACCCCTTTTACTTCTCTGTCACCGGCTTTCCCGTCAGCATATCCGGGATGAGGAGTGGCGCCAAGGCAGTGACTGTGCCTGGGCAGTCCTGAAGCACACTTGGCCTACTGTGGAGGATGCACAATCCAAGTCCAAGTTCCCATCCGATGAAGCTCCTATTATGTCGAAATTGGCATTGGATCATGCCTATTGCTTGTTCCGTCGTCTTGATGTTCCAACCGCCACGGTGGTTTATGGTAATGCATTCAAGGCAGGTATTACTGCCGATCAAGTCGCCGTGCCTTCTGTGACTGCCGTCGTCAAGACGGTGGTTGAGTTCTATGAGACCACATTCCAGTTCGATAACGCTCTAGTGTTGCTGCACCAGGTCAGCGAGTTCTTCGCCTCACGCTTGGGAGAGAATGATAAACACACTCTTGATAGCCGCTACCATGAAGGTGACCTTGCACTCCGCCTGGACCGCCGTGAGGAAGCAGAAGATAGCTACCGTCACATCTATCGGGCCTGTATTCGCAATGGCAAGATCTCGTCGGTTGGGGTGCGCGCAGCTGTGGCCTTGGTGGCTCTCTACGAGCAAGACAAGCAGTGGGACGCTGCCTTGGAAGTTTACCGCCATCTGTGGCCCACCCTCGTACGATTTGATGAAAAGGATGGCTATGACCGTGCCCTTCTTGAAGGGCTCTTGCCCAGAACTTACTCCGGCTATATGACCCTTTTGAACCACTCGGCCGTGAAGGCAGGATATGCGGAGCGCCAGCAGGTTGCCTCAGAACACCAGCAACTCTGTCGCAAGCTTTACGGTCCTACGCATCCTCGAACTCGCGATGCCACTTTGCTGCTCGCGGGTCTTTCTGCAGAAAGTGACAGCCATATCGGTGAAGCGATCACTTTGTATCAACAGGTACTTCACACCCACGACTGGGTTCCTGCCTCGGAAGCCTCCCGTGAACTGCCTGACATGAGCGAAACTCTGCCAATTGACATAAAGCACCGCATGTCACAGCTATACTTGCGTCAGAACCAAACCTCTCCAGAGGCACGCAGACTGTACAGGGAGGAGCTTGCGTTGGCTAAGCAACAACAAGGTCTCTCTGCTCCCTCGACGATGCTGTGGTTGAGAGAGATTGCTCGCATGTATGCAACCGAGGGCACCGTGGGCTCTCGCCAAAATGGTGCTCAACTGCTCCACGATCACGTCGAGGAGGTCGTTCATGTGACGGCTAACCAGCAGCTCTTGATCGATCGTGCGCATCGTCTTGCAGAGATTTACTTGGAGTGCGGCTACATTGACGAGGGTAATGAGCTGATCAGTGAGCTTCATCACCAAGTGATCCACGAGACACCGGCTGCCCACCGTCAGGCACTGGAGGAGCACCGCCCTGCTATGTTTGTGGCCTCCTTCGAGGAAGTCTTCGGCAAACGCCAGTCTGCACGCCAGATTCTAGACGGAATGTCTCGGGAGGGCCAGATTTACAATAGCTTCCAGCAGAGTCTAACAAGCCACGATCTGATGCCGACTCTGGCCGCTGGTGAGAAACTACACCGTCTGCAGACTCAGCAAAAGCATACAGCCGGCGCCAAGAGCACCGAGGATCAGCTCTACAACTACTTCTGCAATACCTTATCGGTGGCTAAGCCTATGCGTCAGAAGGATATCGTGCATCAGTTCTATGGGGTGTGTCGGCGTGAGAGTTTGAATGAGGACTCCAACATCAACATCGTCACCTCCACTTCCACGCTTGTGCGGGATTTATGCAATTCGGCCCGTTTTGAAGATGCGGCCATCGTCACTGGTGTGTTCCACTCATTTGTACACTTGACTGACGGGCTTCGCACCTCGGAGAGTATCTTCACGTCGATCAAGATCTGTCTGTACCTGAATGGGTACCAGGCTACCAAGTGCATGGACGAGGCAACTACCAAGAACATGTCTTTGGAATCGCAAATGCTTCTTCAAGAAATCATGACCAATGCTAAGGAGATGCCCTTGGAGTTCTCCGAACTCCCATTTGCAGAGCTCAATGATCTCGTCACCGTCCTTGGCGAGCATGAACTGTTTGCCGACCTTGAGGTATGCGTTTTCCCCCTTCTTCCTAGTTTGTTGCAACTAAATCCCATCCTAGGCAATTCTCACCGACCTCTGGACCTCCCGGATTGTCCAGAAGACTTGGTCCCTCCCCGCCGTGGTGTGGATTGGTCGCCGGCTCGTCGAAACCCGTTTCTGTCGCGACCAAGTCAGCGCGGCCACCCAGCTGGGCAAAGATATCTGCTACAACCTGCGCCAGGTCTGGGGCAACTGCGATCCCGTCACGCTGGAGATGAACAAGCTTCTCTCCGGTCTCTACACGGCATCCGGCAACCATCTTGCCGCTGCTGCGCTCCACGAAACGGCTCTCGCCGAGCTCCTCAACAGTGACGAGGCCGAAAAGACGGGCGCCGTGGAGGCGGTCACGCAGCACCTGGAATTACTCCAGCATGCGCAGATGCGTCTCGCAAAGGAAGGCCAGAGCGCTGCTATCGACGCCGCCGCTGTGCAGGAGCGTGTCCAGCAAATCGCCATCAAGTTCGGTCTTCCTGCATCGCGACTGGAAGCTACCACGGGTGCTGATGAGACGGTTGGAATGTGGCAGCGGCCCCGACGATTCAGTCTCGATGTCGAAGAGCCCGAGGCCCATCGCAACCATCTCCGTCAGTCTAGCGGATCTGCCTTGCTCACTGGGAATGCTGGGGCTAAGCGGATCTCAATTACGGCGTTGTAATTGACCCAAATTGTGTGTGTTGTTGTTGTTGTTGTTGTTGTCGTTGTCGCTTGTATATCCAATTATCTCAATATTTAATCGAGTAATTACTGTAGTGATAGGAAATAATTGATTTTACATTATCGATTTGTGAGTCTAGTAAGATATGGTGGATGAAGTTATAGTATGTTCTACTATATATTATATATTATATATATTATCGTGGTGACACCAACACTGCTGATCGCTGCACCTCCTCAACCATCCATCCCACTCATTTATTCTCTTCTTCATGAATCTGACCTGTTCTCCTTTCTTTTCTTTGTCTCCTTTCTTGTCTTCTTTCTCCTCTCTCCTACCCAGATCCATGGATTCACATCACTGCTTATCCATGGAAGGCTACGTGCAGGAGTTCATCTGATTGTCCGAACCAGCGGATTGCCCCAACTTCTGACCCTCTTCTCCTTCTCCTTCTCCTTCTCCTTCTCCTTCTCCTTCTTCCTCTTTTCTTCTATCTTTCTGACTTCCTCTCTCTCCCTCCTCATCCTATTCTCAGCCTTGTTGTCGTCCAAAACCATGAGCAACACAGTCTCCGACCCTCCCAATAATACCCCCAAACCTACCGCTCGCAAAAAGATCCGTCCAACCTATTCTTGCCTGAGTTGCCATAAACGCAAAGTCAAGGTAGATTTCGTTCATCCGCGGTGGCTACGAATCTTTCTCGCTAATGCAATGATCTCTAGTGCGACCGCGTCAAACCATGTGGTGCCTGTTGTCTTCGAGGCACTCCATCCGAATGCGAATACGGCACTAGCAAACGGGACCGTCACTTTATCCACCAGTCGACTCGGATTGAAAATCTCGTGCGCACATGCGAATCCTTGAAACAGCAACTCGCAGAGGCCCGTCGCCTGGCCAGTTTACCCGCGACCAAGGACGACGACGACGAGGAGGAGGAGGAGGAGGAAGGAGAACTACCCCATCGCCCATACCCGATCGCAGAGAGCAGCGATGACGAGATCGAGAACGAGGACGAGGTGTTCGACCAACCCTCCGTCTCCTCCTCGTCCCCTTCGTCCTCAATGTCAGCCGGTTCGCAGACTCGCTCGGTGAACGCCATACGGGACAGACAACCGCGCAAATCGAGTACGTACGACCTGTCAAGCCAGAAATCCACCGCTCTTGTTTCACACCCTGCTTTTCCGAGATCTCCATTGCATGATAAGGCTCGACTGACAGACCCAGCGCTGTCCAATGCCGTGATCGAGCTCTTTGTGGACCGGCTCATCGACAACTTTAGCCCGCGTAATATTCCCGGCACCATTGCGCTTCGGGAAGCCTCCTCGATGCGAGTTTTCTCGCCCTTGCTGTGTAAGGCATTCGAAGCCGCCTCGTTGACCTTTGCTGGCCGGCACGATGGCAATCGCTACGTCGAGTTGGCCGGTCATACCCGTTACGTCCGCATGCTTCGAATGTTGCAAAACTCCTTGCAGGATGGGGAGGGCCGCAACTCTACCGAAGTTCTCGTCGTCGTTCTCCTTTCCACCATTATCGAGGTGCGCTCTCCAAGAAAGAAAGAAAGAAGAAGAAAAAAAAAAAATTTTTTTTATTGTATTTATTGGCTGATCCGAAACATGTATAGGCGTTCAAACAAACGTCTCAAGACTCGATTCTCAAACACCAGTTGGGGGGACTAGAACTTCTCAAGGCAAGGTCCCCTTACCGTCATCGTCATGGGATTGAGCGGTCGCTCTTTGTGGATCTCCGCCTATACTGGGTACGTCCTGTGCATCCCCTGTGCATCCCCTGTGCTCGTTGGGCTTTTTCCTAACAGACCCCCAAGGTCACGGCAGCGCTAGCGCACCGGCAGCCGACGTTCATGGCGAGTAAAGAGTGGCTCACCGTTCCCTGGCCCACCGAAGCCCCGGCCAAAGACATCCTCCACCGTCTACTCGACGTCGCCGTGCATATCCCCGGTTACCTCGCGCAGGTCGACGAATTATCCGCCCGGCTCCGAAGCTACGACGGCAATCAAGGCGCCATGTCCCCGGGCGAGCTCGACCTGCTACAATCGGCCGTCTGGGGGCGCGCAACAGAACTGCAATCCCAGCTCCACATATGGAAGAGCGTCTACGCCGACCGGTACTGCCCCGGCGCACCATGGGAAGACATGGCAGAAGCCACGGCGGCAGCACCGGCTCTCGCGCAGGATTTCCCCGTCTTCCGATGTCGCAACGCAAGCACGATGCAAGTCTTCGTCCCCAAATCCTTGGTGTTCCCGGACCTCCTCCACGCGACCTCTCTCACGTTCTACTGGGCGCTCTTCCTCGTGATCTCCCCCCGCGACACCGGCCTCGTCACTGTTCTGGGTCTCCCGGAACGATACCAATATGCGTGCAATATCTGCCGTAGTATGAAATACTACGTGGAACATATCCCCGGCTCGCTCGTGTCGCGGATCATGTTTGTTCTCCGGGCGGCTTTTGACGCCTTTGCCGATGATACCCTGGAGAAGGAGTTTATTTCGCAATTGTTTTCCTTTATCGGGCGCAAGTTCCAGTTTCCGGTCTTCACCAACAAATGCACTTCTTCCTCGGTGCGAAGCTCATAATATATCGTCTCTGAATCATTCCTCGCACACCTTGATGATACCGACGACTCTTTCTAGTGGATCGATTCACCGTCAGCTGGCTGGCGATCTTATACCCTATGATAATGATGGCTTACGACTTGCTCTGTATTCTTTCGCTGTTGATCTGTGGGACTGATACCTCTTTTTTTTTTTTTTAATTATAATTCCGATCGAGCAGAGTGAACTACCACGACTTAATTGAGACGGTTCAACTGGAATTCCCCACGTATAATAAATGTAACCAGAGAAATTCAACAAATGTAGTGTATTTTCTCATTCTTGCGGATCGATGAGCTAGAGTACAGTAAGTAACCTTGCTAGCTATACATATGAACCAGTTCTCTGTGTTCGTGAACAAGCCAGTCAGTCTCTATCCTCGTATATCAAGGTAGTCTCTATAAAGTAGCTGACTGGCTGGTTTTCTGGAAACATGCACGAAGAAATAAGATCTCCACTCCTCATTCAGGGTGTTTCGAACAGTACTACTACCCACTTTAATACTCGTAGAGGAGTAGTGTACTCAAGTTGCCATCTGCCTGCATTAGGAGAGATGGATGCCCTCTCTCTCTCTCTCTCTCTCTCTTAGATAATTCCCAGTGACTAGGTGACCGCCGACTAGTGCGGGAGAATCACGTATGTAGTATGCCCGACGAAAACGCACCTCTTGAAAGCAGAGACGGGAGTCAGCTAAAACCAGCCAAGCTGGCTACGGCGATTGGTTCCATCAGTTGACCAAAAAATAATACCGGACCAGAGGAAGTGCTCCGTCGAGACATCTTCTAGTGGAGGTAAAGGTTGACGGTTAGCGATGCGGCGGCGTCTTCACCCCCCACCCCCCCCGGCGTGCGACAGCCCCGCGTCAAGAGAGATAAAGGCGTCGTGGTAATTGCATTCCGGGGGAAACGGCGGGTAGTCTGGCAGACTGGGATCGAACGAGTGTTCTACTGCTGCTACTGCTGCTGCTGCTGCTGCTGTATGGTGAAAGTGAACCCGCCGTGGTGGTGGAGGGGGGATGGTGAACCCGCCTTGCGGGTCAACGGGGAGCCAATTCGAGGTGAAGCGCGTGGTACCGTCGGGCATTTCCAGCGGGATGAGATGCTCGTCGTCATCGGGGTCGTTGGTCTCGTACTGCTTCCTCTTCTTCTGGTGGTGGTGGTGGTGGTGGGGAATAGGAGTAGGAGTGGGAGCGATGTGGACAGCAGCCGCCACAGGGTCAATCGCCGCTTGCGTGTGCATCGGGGCGAAATCGCGCTCGCTCTCGTGCTCTGTCTCGATTGCGTCTCCGGCTGTGGTCGTCGTCGTCGTCGTCGCCGGGGGTAACTGGTACACCTGGGTGAATTCGAAGAAATCCGGATCGCGTTCCCAGTCTGCCTCGCTTGGGGGGGAGTCTGTGATGGGCGAGGAGGAGGAATGGTATACGACTGGCTGGGGACTGCTGCTGCCTTGCACAGAGAAACTGTGTGCGGGGACATTCATGTATAGGGCTCGTTCTGAGGCGAGCTGCGAGGTCGATCGAAGGAGGCTCCCGAGAGTATACGGAGCAGCGCTGGCATCATCGCCATCCGTGGCCGATGTAGCGTGGAAATGCACATCATCCTCAAGTCGGGGTTTTTTTCTTTCTCCGTGCCTCCCGGGAAATGCATACCTGCTTGACACTTGCCCCAGTCTCGGGGATGAGGGCGGTTCGTCGAACCCAGTATACCACAGCTCTTCGTCGCCGGCGACTCCTGGCTCCAGACTGAACCCGGGGCCAGGGTTCAACGGATCAAAGGCCAGAGGAGGCCAATGGAGCGCATCGCGGGTAGTCTCAGCCATGGCGATATTCCTGTCTCAAATGAAGCCAGCAGTGGGAACCGTCACGCATCCAGCATTGCAATCCCGTCAGTCAGTCAGTCAGTCAGTCAGTCAGTCGCCGGGGAAAAGCGCAGACCCTGGGGTTTAAATCCGAAAAAAAAAAAAAAGAGAACGGATCCAATCCAGCATGACACAATAGAATGCATCTCGTGAACGCGCTGGACGCACTCGGTAAAATTCGCAGCTTCACGATGATTCGATGCCCGCATCTTCTCTCCCCTCAACACGGGGTCGATTCGGGGAAACCGTACGATTTGTTTTAATTTATTTTCGAGGCCATGTGCCAACGGAAATTAACCGAGCTCGGTTCCCCGGATTCCAGCAGGACGCGGAGACTGGAGTCGAGTTCTGTCTACGACTCGACAGAATGCGAGCCAAGTGAAAGCCAGCCGCGGCTTAGTGTCTGCTTAACTCTCGGGTGTGAGGGTGCTATTAACCGGCTCGGTCATTTACAAACTACCCGACTCGTTCTGGGGCCTCTGCGCTCTCGGCCCGGGCTGCTCTCTGTCTGGGGAATACATTCTGGCTGGCTTGCATGAGCGAGGCTGCACTGGCGGAAACGGATGGCGGGTAAAGAATTTATCCAAATCTTCTGCTTTCTTTCGCATGGAAGGGGAATTACAGCTCATATCGTCTGACATTTGCATATTTTACATACATCAAAGAAGGAATCGACCTCGGTACCTGACAAGATCGATCGGATCCAGTGCCACGAAGAACCACCCCCCCCCCCCCCCCCCCCACGTTAACAGAACCCCGGATGGCCAGCGGAAAGCAGAGTGAAGCGGCATACAGCAACCTAAGCCCTCAGAGAGCCAACCCAGTCCCTTTCCTGGTCCACCGGTAGAGGGCTAGGACGGCCTTGCGCCGGTGCCGGATCTCGCTGTGGTTCAGGGGACGCCCCCGTGCTTGGGCCACAGCACTGCGCATGACCTGTCGGAAGTTTCGCTGGTACTCGGTATTCAACGTCACCACGCACGACTCCGTGGCCCGGATCATCACCTCGCATGCGGTGAGAATGCCCTCGCCGGCTTCCTTCTGCAGACGCTCCACGATCAGGAGGAGCAGAAAGCTCCCCTGCAGCAGCTGGATGCCGAAGAAATAAGGCATGAAGCTGATGTCGGGGTCGAATCGGAGGATCTGGGCCACGGAGTCGGCGGCGTCCAGCGCATGCGAGATGGTCGACGCGAACGCCGGCGACGAGGTCCAAAAGTCTTTGTCTTCGATCAGGGAGACCGGGTCCCACTTGCCCACGAGGAGAATGTGCAGCACATGCACCAGGTACGACGCGTATGAGATGACCGTTTGTGTGTGCCAGGACGAAGCTGGGGAGAGAGCAGGTTCGACTGGTCGCGGGTCGGATTTTGCGTGTAGTAGCGCATCTGGATCAGATGCAGTCGTCGTCGTCGTCGTCGTCGTAGTAGCAGTAGCAGTAGCAGTAGCAGCAGTAGTCGTCGTCGTCGTCGACGTAGTCGTAGCAAACGTTGTGAGGCTGGCCTTGTAGATCTCGAGCTGGCGCAAAACTTCACTGACATGCACGTTCCATGCATCTTTCCCATGAAGTCGTATGCCAAGGATCGGATGATTCCGTGCCTGATTCAGGTCGATCAGTTCGCCGGTGATGGTCATAAGAGGGAGGAAGAAGCCAAAGATCGAGTGGTCGTGACAGATGAAATTCGGGAACACGCGGCGTTGATTCCTGTCGCCGGAAATCAAGCACTGCGGCCCATCCGGCTTCGGGCTGTTGCTGTGGATGTTGCCCGATTGCCATGAGCCCTCGTCGAGTGGCAGCAAGAGATCCTCGCTTTCCGCATCGAGCAGGGCTAGTGGTCGGTTGTAGCACAGTGCCAAATGGCGGTCCATAATATACAGCAGCCACCACGTCCGACGGCGTTCCTCTCGATGTTCTTCGGTAATGGTGTTGGGTACATCGCGCGGACGTTCACACACACAATCGAGACTCAATCGCGTCGGGTTTGAATAATCGAAAACAGGGCCCGCGTCGGCGCCATTCCACCCGGGCAGGGAGTACTCAAAGGACGGACTGGATCCCTCCGTCTGGCTGTCAGCGTTGGGCATCACCTCGATCTCTTGGTTGAGCTTGAGTTCCCTTGCGAGAGTGAAAGCCGCATGCCACCTAAAACAAACAAAAAAAAAAAAAAAAAAACTTGATTAGCACCCAAGTCAACTCGAGGCGCCGGGAGGTCATTATCGCTACCAACCATCGCATGCTAGCGGCCTTCTGCTCACTGGAGGAGATGATCGAAGCCACATGAATGTAGGTGATCACGTCGTCCAGCGATCCTGCCGGACCGACAAGGCCGCGGTCATCGCCGCCTCCCTCGAACGGATGATGTACAGTCGTCGGAGGACCATCCTGGCCAAGTCCCGAGAACCCCGGGTCGTGGGCTGCCGTCGATGCGTCGCCCTGATCCTTGAACGAGACGTGGATTAACGGGCGCAGCAAGCGAATCGTGAGGGCGCAAAGAAACTGACAGATCCTCTTCCGCTGCGGCGGCGAAATCGGCAGGGAAAACGCCCGGTCATCCAGCGCCGCAACCCAGAGCATACTCGCCAGGAGCGCCGGGCTGCTCGGTCGCGGAACGTCCTTGCTGAGAAAGGAAGCTTTGCGCAAAACATAGCCATGGATATGGTGGCAGACCGGGTGCATATGGGTGGAGAAAGCGCTGGTGAAATACAAATCCAGCAGGTCGAAAACCAGCTTCCGGGGCAAGCTCGCCTCCACGAACGGCATCAAGGGCTGCAGCACCGGATACTTCAAGGCCAGAGGAGGAGGAGGAGGATGAGGAGGAGGTGCCGGGAACGCTCCCGACGCTGGGCCAGTGCCCGTTGCTCTGGATGCCTGCGACGCAGACGCACTGTAGGCCGCCAGCTCCACCCCATTCCAAACATCAAACACCCGGGGGAAAGGCCCCTCCACAACTTCGTATGAACCGGGCGACACCTGCGTCCCGGCGAGCCATTCCTCCGTCAAGCTGCCACCAGGCCCGGGTTTCCGAGCGGGATCCGCCGCCTGCGAGCGCCGGCCATCGAGGCTCGCACTGGACCCGGTCAAACCATTCGTCGCAGGCGACCCGGGGTGGAAAGTCGACGGCGGAGAGTCATTGTGCACTGGAGGTAGTGGTGCTGGTGCTGGTGCTGGTGGTGGTGGTGGTGGTGGCGGTAGCACCTCGACCTTCTTCCCCGCAGCCGGGGCTGAGAAGCGGGCGTCCGGGCTCTGGCAGGAGAAACTGTCTGGTCCCTCGGGGTGTTTCGCCTGACTGGACTCTGTCACTTTGGATCGTGCGATCCGTCCCCGTTTGCGACGCTCTCTCGTAAATTCGCAATGGGTATCGCTGCGCAGACATCGCGAGCAGGGGAACGCCCGATCACATCGCACCCGACGAGAGTGACAGGAATCGCAAGCTATGCGGTTGCGCCTCCACCGGTGTTTGGCGGTGCTCTCAGGCGGAGCATCCTCGATGGCACCCGGAGCATTCCCTTGCTGGAGGTCCCCTTGCTGGGAGGAATCCATTTCAGGTCCACATGGGCAGGGGGGAAACAGGGGAAACAGGGGAAACAGGGGAAACAGAAGGGAAGAAGCGGAGGATGCGAAGAAAGCCTCCAGTTCCCCGTGGAGAAACCGGGGGGGTCTTTAGTGGCAATAACGGGTTTAACCTTGACCACGACGCTATACGTGGAATCTTGCCATATATCCGTTCGTGTTCACTTAGGGCTAGAGCAAAGCACAGCAAAGCCAATAAAAACCCGTAAGATTAGGTTAAAAATGGCAATAAACTGACAGACCGAGAGAAAGAAAAGGCGAGCAAGAAAAAAAAAAAACCAAAAAGACATCACGGGGGGGTTCACTGGGTGCACTCTAGAGAAGACTCCGCACGCTACTATAGATCGAACCCACAAGAACCGGGAGTGCATGTAGTAAATTAATCGGAAAGTGGGACGTTGGTCATCTGGACTAAAGACCGACCTTGAACTAAAGAATTTCCAAGCCTGCTCCCAAGACGGGGGGAAATGTGGGACGAGTCTATAGTGAATGCTTTCAGAACCCAAATTACATCTACATCTCCCCTTGGCAGATGGGCTATTGTCCCTGACTCGCTCGTTTATAACGCTCCAGCGCTCGCTGTCGACGCTCCGAGTGATTGACCATCGGTTCCGGATATCCATGTTGTCTCGCTAGATCGCCCGCCCCGCGCTCGTAGGGAGCATGGATCGCTGGACCCTCGATCTCGCGGAGTTCAGGCACCCAGCGTCGGATGTAGTCGCCATCAGGATCAAAGCGTTCACTCTGCCGCAGCGGGTTGAAAATTCGAAAGTAAGGCTGCGGATCAACGCCCGTACTCGATCCGAACCCCCATCCACCGTGGTTGGACGCGAAATCGCCGTCGACGAGCGTTTCCATAAAGTACCGCTCGCCCCGGCGCCAGTCGATGAGGAGATCCTTGGAGAGGAACGAGGACACGACCATGCGCGCTCGATTATGCATCCAGGCGTCGTGGCTGAGCTGTCGCATGGCAGCGTCAACGATGGGGAACCCTGTTCGCCCTTTGCACCATGCTTGGAACTGGTCCTCGTCGTATTCCCACTGGAGATTGGTGAATTCGGGTTTGAAACATTTGTTCATACTGCGCAGCCAGCCGTGGGTTTAGTTCTCTGATTGTAATGAATGACATGGGGTGAAGGAGGGGATGGAGGAGGAGGGCAATTACCAAATAAAAGGCCAATGGACCAAAACATGTTTGTAGAAATCTCGCCAGGCCACTTCACTGATCCACGATATGAATCCCGGGTCATTGCGGGCGAGCTGGTTCTTATTGGCCTTGCGTGCCTGGACAACTGCCGTCCGCGCACTTAGGGATCCGCATGCAAAATACGGACTGAGAACAGATGTATGATCCCCCGCCATGAAGTTCCGGTCCTCGTCATACGCCGTGGCTTTTGTCTCCAGGAATGCGTCCAGCCGTCGCCTTGCTTCGTGTTCGCCGGCGGGGTACAGCCGACGCAGATGCGTGGCCTCTTCATCGGAGAGCGTTTTGTTCGCCGGGGCAGCCGGCACCTTGCTCTCGAAAAGCTCGGCAAAGTGCTTTCGCGCATCGCCCGGGTTCGACCCAGGATCGTCCGCAATCTCGAGGGACTCCGGGTTCTCGTGGAGAAAGGCGAGCCAGGCACGATACCACGGGGTATAGACTGCGTACTGCTTGCCTTGCTGGCTGGAGAGGGCTCCCGGAGTGACCACGCAGGTATCATGGGCGGCTTCGAATCTAATGCCGTTTTCCGCGCAGAGTCGAATCAATTGGGCCTCGCGACGCAACTCGTCTACCTCGTACTCGAGGTTGGTGTACACATGATTTGCGCCCCATTGCTGGCACAGGGCCACAATCCTCTGGGGGATGTCCTGGCGCTGTTCTTGCGTTTCGATGTAGAGTGGAATATCGAGCTCGCTGAGATCGCGTTTCAGCTGCTCCAGCGTCCGCAGGGTCATATCTACCCGCGCAGGACTGCAAAGATGAGCCGTCAGATCCTCGGGAGAGAGGATATAGAGACCGATCAGGGGGACCTGATGCTCGCGCGCAATCTGATACGCCATTTGCAGGCCCCTGTTGTCGTGCAGTCGCAGATCCGTTTTGAACCAGTGCACGACAGCAAGATTGGCCCTGATGGCGTTTCGCTGCTCGACTGTGCTGTCCACCATGTATGCCTTTTGCAGCGTTTCGATCGGCCGCTCGAGGGTGCCATTGACATAGGCGGCGCATCGCTCATTGCTCATTTCCGGGGGGTAGAACTCGCGAAGAACGATTCCGAAATCTTCGACCTGTTGCGCATGGGGATGGTATCTGGAGGACTCCGATTTGATCCGCTTGGTGTCTTTTGTTTTGCTGCTGGCGTCCTCAGCTCCTGCGCTCGTCGACGACTTGCGTTTCTGTGGCGCCATCGGAACAACGGGTACGATCGGTCTCGGAAAAAGTTGCGACGTAGATAGTAGGATATGTAGTTGCTAAAGCCTTTTGGAAACGATGGATCATTCTGGCATGTCTCTCTTTTAAGAGAGAAGCAGCTGGGGGTCGGTGTTTTCATTCTCCTCATCGATCGGGATCGGGACACTGGGAATGCCCTGACGTCAAGAGCCGTATAGTTAGTTGATCGATGCATAACCCTCTGGTTTATTCGATCTCCAGCACGGAATCCCTTGATCGTACCAAGCCTACTTCACAATTAGCCCTACTCCGTATACCCGTGCAATCCTTTGGAGTGATAACTTGCAAGGGGTGAGACTGGCGGTCCAGATCCAGGCTTGGTCAGTCATGATGGCTACTCCGTAAATTTCTCCTGGTTGGTCGCTCAGCTGTATAGATTCAATAGATGTGCGTAGATCGTCTGGACATGTCAGATTGCGTGACGGCCAAAAAAATAGACGATCACTGTTAATTCCTGTTCTCTGCCATGCCCGTCCTTTTCCCTGTTGTATTCCACCCCCAAAGCAATGCTCAAGACCAATGTCCTCGGAACGCAGCAAACTGGACTGGCTAAGCAGCGACGGCGATGCGGTACAAGCCCAGGTCCTCGCAGCCTTTGGGGCCCTCGTTTTCTACAATGCCCTCGAACTGATCGTGCTCTGTCTGGCTAGGTTCAAACGCCGCGGCAGCTTCTATTTCTGGTGTCTGTTGGTAGCCTCCGCCAGTCTGATCCCGCACTGTCTAGGGTTCGTGCTGCTCTTCTTCCGACCTCAGATATCGCCGTACGGCCCGGTGACTTTGATTATCATCGGCTGGTGCTTCACCGTGACAGGGCATTCCCTTGTTCTATGGTCCCGGCTTCATCTGGTCCTGCAGAGCCCCCGGCTTCTCCGCGCCCTGCTGAGGCTCATCGTCATCGACGGCGTTTTATTCCACACGCCCACCGCAGTCCTGCTGTATGGAGCTGTGTCGCCCAACGCGCCCACATTCGCAGCCGGATATCGCGTCATGGAGCGCATCCAACTGGTCGGGTTCGGCCTGCAGGAGTGTGTCATCTCCGGGGTGTACGTGTGGGAAACGGCGAAGATGCTCCGTCTCCGTCCTGCACGGCAGCACTCGCGTATTCTCTTGCAGCTCCTCGCCATCAATGTGGTCGTCCTGCTGCTTGATGTGTTGGTGGTGGGCATCGAATACGCCGGGTACTATGCTGTCCAGGTGATGTTCAAGCCGTTCACGTACAGCATCAAGCTGAAGCTGGAATACGCCGTCCTCGGGGGTCTGGTACAGATTGCGAATGGCCGGTCTGCCTCTCGTGGTCAGGGATTCGATACGGTCCTGTCATCATTCGACTATGAAGCTCCTGCGGGGGGGGAAGAGGCAGGAGGGACAGACTGCTTGCTGGGGATTTATCCAGGGAATTCATCGAAACAGGCGTTATCAGTGAGTCGAATTCACGCAGTCTGATGTATATGCATGCAACAGGATTATTCATTTCTTGTCAAAGGTGAATCATCTTCGGCATGTCAGCACGATTCCGCAAGTATAAATATCCCTCGAGGTCTCTCTCTCACCGCATCAGCCGAACCCCTCTCTCTCTTAACTTCTTCATCTATTGACACTCACTCGCACACGATAATTACCCCCTAGCACGATGGCTTTCCCTCCTCCTCCGGTTGACACGATTGACTGGAGCAATGTTGGATTCAAAGTTCGCGAAGGTATGACCCTTACTCCGGAACATGACTTCCAGACTAATGACAATAAACCCACAGTCAACGGCCATGTCGAAAGCACGTACGTCAAAACCACCAACCGGTGGACCCCCCCGCGCTTCGTGCGCTCTCCCTACCTGCCCATCCACGGCATGGCCCCCGGGCTCAACTACGGCCAACAAGCCTACGAAGGCCTGAAAGCCTTCCGCCACGCCAACGGCCAAATCACCATCTTCCGCCCGGACCGGAACGCGAAACGCCTGCAGCGCTCGGCGCAGTTCATCTCCATCCCGCCCGTGCCGGAGCCGCTGTTCCTCGAAGCCGTGGAGCGCGCCGTGGCCGCCAACGCCGAGTTCGTGCCGCCGCACGAAACCGGCGCGGCAATGTACATCCGCCCGCTGGTTTTCGGGTCGGCGGCGCAGCTGGGGCTGGCCCCGCCGGACGAGTACACGTTCGTGGTGTTCGTGATGCCCACGGGCGTGTACCACGGCGTGCATGCCGTGGACGCCCTGGTCCTGGAGGACTTCGACCGCGCCGCGCCGCAGGGGACGGGCTCCGCGAAAGTCGGCGGCAACTATGCGCCCGTGCTGCGGCACAGCGCGCGCGCCCAGGCCGAGGGCTTCGGCATCACCTTGCATCTGGACAGTCGCACGCGCTCCGAGATCGATGAATTCTCGACCTCCGCCATGATCGCCGTGCGGAAGGATCAGGATGAGCGGACCGGCGACGCGGTGACGACGCTCGTGCAGCCGGATAGCCCCAACGTGATTGATTCCGTCACGGCCGCCTCGGTGTGCGAGATCGCCACGGCGTATTTCGGCTGGCGCGTCGAGAAGAGACGCATCCCCTACGAGGAGTTGGGCCGGTTCGATGAGGTCATGGCTGCCGGGACCGCCGCGGCCCTGGTCCCCATTCGCAGCATCACGCGGCGCTCGACTGGTGATCGCTTTCAGTATGAGTGTGGTGGGGAGGAGGAGGCCAGCGGTGGAGAGGTCTGTGTCAAGTTGCTGCAGACCCTCAAGGGCATCCAGATGGGCAAGGTCGAGGAGAAGCTCGGGGGATGGAACCATGTCGTGAAGCCACTGCCTGCTGGCTGGTTGGATGCAGTCTAGGGGAGGTGGTGCCTTGAGTATAGGCTAGTAAAAGAGTCATTGATTGTCATTTATTACGAGATCGTGGTGTTTCGCTAGCTATCCTACATAGGAACAAAATCATACATGAACAATGGAACGGCATGTATCCGAAGCATATGTAGCTTCCAACAGGAGAAATTGAATCGAAAAAAAAAAAAAAAAAAAAGCCACCAACACCGAAAATGTCGCTGAACGAAAGCAACTAACACGAGAAACCCTAATGCAATTTCCAAGCAGGCTTGAGTTTTCGAACATGTCCATTGGACATGATATCTCCTCCATCAGCACCAACGGGGCTTTCGCTGCGCGTTTCATTCTTCTTCTTCTTCTTCTTTTTGTCCTTGTCATCCTCGCTGTCGCTGCTATCACTGGAACTCGAGCTCTCACTTTCGCTTTCGCTTTCCGTCTCGTCGGAATCACTGCCTGGGGGAGAGAAAATACTCTTCCTGCCCGGTGCATTGCCACTCCGTTTGAGTGCGGGCTTTGGTGCGGCCTGCGCAACTTCCTTCTGCTGGTCAACTAGAAGAGCTTTCAGCGTGGCTCGCGTTGCCCGCGTCGCGGTAGCGGGCCATCTCCAGGACTGGGAGGAGGCGGTAGGTTGCGACGAAGGAGCAGGTGATTTGCCCGATACAACTTGGCCAGAGACTGGGGAAGCACTCCGGGGTGGTTTCTTCGCGGCAGGAGCAGTGGGAGCTTTCTTGACGCTCTCTTTAGAATCCGGGCCGGAATCATCTTCAGATTCGGACCCAGATTCGGACTCGGACTCGGACTCGGACTCGGACTCTTCCGACGAGGATCCTTCAACGGGTTTCTTTGGTGCTGGTGCTGGTGCTGGTTTCCAGCCGCCGTTCACGGTGGGAGTGCTGTTTCGTCTAGCTTGAACCCCCATGGAAGGTAGCTCCAGGTCGTCAGACCCGTTTGAGCTCTGGGATTGAGACGACGGGGCCTTGGCAACTGGAACCGAGGACTTGCCCGTAGAAGGCTTGGGGGTTGGTTTTGGCTGCAGCGTGGCCCGAGGACCCGTGCCATTTGGTGTCAGGGGAGTCTTATCCCTATTAATTGCCTTCCAGGGTGTTACCTGTGTTATCGAAACCGTCTCAATGTCATCCTCAGCGCCGTTGAGCGGTGGCGTCTCCATGGGCTGGGGAACGCTATCATCCTTTCTTTGTTTAGGTTGAGAAGGCTTCACCGACGGCCCGGAGTGTTTTTGCGTGGCTTGCGACGAGCCCGTCTTTGCGGAAGAAGCCTCTAGTTTCTCAAGTTCCTTCCGCAGTGCCTCAAACTTAGGACGAAGTTTTTTAGCAGCGGTTTTGTCGGCCTGCCGTCCACTTTTCTCATACTTGAGCAGACGTTGCCAGGCCCCGTATGCTTCTTTCAGTTTCCTCAAATATTCGGATTTCGCAGCCTGCCCCTCTGCCTCTTTGATCTTTTCCTCGAACTCGGCTTTCTCCCGATTTTGTCGCTCCATCTTCTCATTCACTTCTTGCATAATTTGCTGAAGGCGTTCCGGGGTTACTCCAGTAGGAAAGTTCATCGAGTTCCCATTCGACAATCTCTTCTGCGAGCCGGATGGGCGGGACACTGGTGTAGATTTGGGAGATTCGGCAGCGTCCAGAGGAGTTGACCTTGGCGGTGGACCGGATCCAGTGAGGCGAATATCGTCTTCATCCACAAATGATACTGAGCGGTGTTCTGAGTGTCGTTCCGCAGGCGAGTCCTTGCGCAGGGCCGAAGGAAGATGTTTAGCCTTATCTGCAGGAGTCTGAGCATTGGATGGGGTCGAGATGTTCTGTGTCACTGATGCCCGTCGGATGGTAGGCGCACTGCTTGAAGGAATAGGGGTGCTAGTCGGCGCCACGCTTGTTTCCGCTGATCCCTGAGATAATTCCAAAATGACCGATGGTTTTTTCGCTGGGCTCTTTGTAATGCCCAGCCCCAAGCCTGGCTTTGAGGTCTCGAAGGGCCGGTCAGAGAAGCTGAGACGACGGCCAACTCCCGAAAATGAGGATGTTCGTTCGGATTTCTTCGTCGTTGGACTGATCATCGGAGTTTCTGGGGCCCTATCCACGCTTTTTTGTCTGCTTGGCTCCTTAGGCGGGGACGTGGTTCCGGCCAAACGAGGCTCCTTATTGGGTTCCAAATGCTCCTGGCTGTTTTTCCTCTTCCTCGATCGAACCCCCGCACCGGTAAAGCGTGGGGAAGGGATTTCGATGGCAGTGTGTGAGATACCGTTTGTGGCAGGGCTGGGCTGCTGGCCATTCGTCGTAGCTTCATCCTGCATTGTGACATCGCCATCCTGATCCGGTTCGTCTTCACTCGAACTTTCATCACTTTCGTCACTTTCGGTGGACTCGACGTCAGATTCCTCGCTTGTCGACACATTCGTAGAAACCTCCTTCGGTTGCCCTTCGCCAGGACCAGGGACCTTTTGTGGAGATATCGAATGCGTGCCGCTTTCACGTTCTAGCTGAAGGGCGGGGGAATCAGCCAGTGGCGCATGGCCTGTGACCGACTGCGCAACCGAGACCTGGCTATGAGATGCGTCGCGTATGACGGGGGAGGGCTTTTCTGTGGGAGTGGCTGGGCGCGATGAAGGCGGCCAGTCACCTAGTTCCTGACTAGCCATGCGCTTAGCGAGGTCCTCATTGTTATGGTTTGTACCCTCCTCGCGCATGGGGGATCCCAACACCCGATGTGAAGGCGACCCGGGGATTTCGTGATCCTTTTCAACCGAGGAAAGAGGGACATCTTCACGCCGCTGTTGCTCACTCGTGGACCTGGACCACGAGCTCTCATTATCGCTGAGTACGAGTGCCTGGGAAGGGGACTCGTGTCGGGACTCCATAATGGGTTGGAGCGTTTGTAGAGCGATTTGGGCTTCTTTCTTTATCTCCTTCTTGACCCGTACTAGGCGCTCGAAGTCTTGCGCTGCGGCGCCCCAGTCTTGCGTAACCGAGGGAAATCTTGTAGGGGCGTAGGGAGCTGGTTTTTGGATAACACGAACCGTTCGTCGCTGGTCGAGCCCATCTGCTCGGGCCTTTCCGTTATCCACAAAAACATCGGCGACGGTCATATCGGTATCCAAGTCGTCAGATTCATGGTCATCGTCCAGAAGTTTCTTGATGTCCAGAGGTCTGTTGATGGTGGGTGGTTGGTTAGCAAAACCAAAGTAGATCGCGCGTGCTATCGCATAGCCCTTCATCTTTCACCCCTCTAGAATCAAAAAAAAGGTGAACCAGAGCAATACGTACTCCGTATCTGGCCTCAGCTTCTTCCACTTCTCCTGTATCATACCCGCCAACCCACCCAACGTCACCTCCTCTGGCTGCTCGAGCACGATGAGAAAGCTGACCGGTTTCCCGGCCATCGCACCGACGGAGTTACGATTCGAGTCATCGCGATCGCGATCTCCCAGGAACGAGCGGAAGAAGGACGCTGAGGACGAGGTCTGGTCTCGCGGGTAGACCTTGACCGTGAGCCGTAGGAAAACCATGTCCGGACACGGAGGGTTTGGGGTCTCACTGCTTAGAACGTCGCTTCGATGGGAAGAAGAGGAGCCGTAATCATTATTTTGAATGCGAAAGATGCAAGTGGGAGCTAGAAATCCGTTGCTTGTCTTGGGTGCTATCGGGAAATTGACCTGTCAGAAATTGTAGGATGATGCAAGAGTGCGGAGTACCATGAAAGGGGAAAAAAATCAAGAAGCTGGACAGGGATAGACTCAGGGGACCAACACCGAGATGAGGGACAGGGAGAGAAAAGAGGCCTTTTTGGAGCATTGAATGAAACTGGAGAAATCTTACCTGACGCGGTCCCACGCGTGTTTCACCGCCACGCGATGCTGGCAGAATCTACGGCGATGATGGACAGTTCCAGCGAACTCCACAACGCATTCAATCAGCAAGCGCAACAGACAGACGTGAGGTTCTCTCTTCATTCCGAAGAAATTTCATGGACGATGAGTCCAGGGAAAATCAAAAGGTCATCGACCAGGGAAACGTCGCCGGATTCTTTATGGCGGACGCTATGCTATACGATTCAGAGGGCTTTATGGACGAACATGGCCAGTGCAATTCCCACCATGCACTGATCGGGATACCTTCAAGGTTCTTTATGGTGTTGACCCTAGCCTTGCTGAGAAAATCGGTAAACGTCACATTGTCCAGATCTTTATTAGTTTTGCTCAAAGGCTGACGCTACCTGTGTCCAGATTACATGCCGACAGTTCAAGTACTGGAGAGACATGCCACGGTCCGCGCTTCGTGTAGATTTCAAATGACCGCCCTGTTCGAGGAGAAATTTCAAGCATTCATACGCGCTTTGAAAGCCACAGACTACGCTGGTGATTACCTGAATTTCCAATCAGATCAGGTTGCAGAGCTTCTGTTCGCATACCAAGAGTTCTGGAAGGCTAGCAGCCAGTGCCAGCCACTATGGTGATCCTAGGGGACTGCTTCCATACTTACTATTTGGCAGTCCTCCTGCAGAAAAAATAATGGGGACTATATAACTATTCTTAGTATTATATGTCCCTTACACATGAGGTATAGATGTTATAAGAAACTGTGGACCAATATAATACTGTATCAGCTAGAAATGGCTGTCTTGACACCTTTTTAGTCAAACGGTATGGCTGACAGAAACAGAATAAAAAGAAATACAAGGACATTATTACTTTACAAATATATATATAATGATATCATTGTTATTGTAGCCGTCCTGTTATCTTATGTCTATGCCCTATTCTTCAACTCCAAAGTTGGAAGTTTGCTGTATTTAAACGTAGTTGTTTTACTAGAATAGAAAGAATTACCCTTAGCGATTCATCCGATAGAATCCTATCCCAAGTCAAAATCCGTAACCGATTCCGAACTCCCTTAGCGCCGCGCCCAGAATACAGATTACAAAATAGCACTTTTTCATCCTAGAGGAGCTGCAGCATGGTCCCTCCCCGCAGATCTATGCACGGTACAGAACTCAGTACACAATTCCGTCAAACGACCAATTGATGGCCATCCTCAGCCACCGTAGATCATCCAAGCAACACCCGAGATCCAGGTTCCCAAAAACAGGATGGTCAGGATCGACGCACCTGCACGGTCTCCGGTCGTGATGGGTTTAGGTTGATTCGGGGTCCCCTTATGGGTACCAGTGCCAGCGGTCGGGTTGCTCTTGCTGGTGCCACCAGAATGAGAGGTTAGCGGTTCCGCCCCCTGGTGAAACGCAATCATCGTCGACGAAATCACACTGAGAGCGCTCATATCCGACTCAAGAGAGGTGCTTCCATCCCAGGTGTTCTGGTGCCACCGACGGCCGCATTGGCTGCCACTGTCCCCTCCGACACATTGTCGCGCGGCTGCCAGGGCGGATTGCTGGATCTTGGGCATGATTTCACTGGATGTATAGGGCACAATTGTGGCGATGAAGGTCAGCCACGACGACAGAAAGCCTTTAAAGCAGTCCTGATTGCGATCGCAGTTCATGGTCGGCTCACAGGAAATCTCCGACATGACCTGGCCGCCATATTCCGCAGGGAAAAATTTGCTAAAGGTGGTCCTAAGATAACCGTCAATGGCAGATTTCCATTTCTCATGGCCATTGGTCTGATGCTCATGTTAGCGGTAGTGTGCCCTGATGCCATAGACCACGATCGAGAACTTACCAAGTTATACATGTATGCCGCTCCGCTGAGATACGTTCCATAATTGTACGTCCACTGGATATCTCCATGATCCTGACACTGGGCCTCGATGCTTGTTGTGTCCGCAATCGTCCATTCCGTGAGTTTCAAGAGGGGCGTGGTTGCACTCCAGTCCCAGATTTTCTCCGCCCATTGGATATATGTCTCATTCTGTGTATAGCGGCCAAGTCGAGCGGCCAACTGGAACAGACCACCGTTGGAAATGGCATTCTTGGTGGTGTACCCTGCTAGGTAAGGCCAGATTTGCCATCGCAAACCACCTTTGCAGGTCGTCGTGTCCCAGCGAGGCACCTGAGTATTGAAGACCCCCTGTGCGAGGGACAGCCAGGAAGGCTGATCATCTTGTTCTGGGAATTTCAATTCCGCAGCCGTCATGGCGGCCAGACCCCAGAAGACCTGGTCGTCGTTCCCCAGATAGTTGCTGTCGTTGGAGGGGAAGTAGTCATCGTGTCCCTTCTGCCAAAGCATGCCCTGAGCTGTGACGTCGTTGTAAGAAGTATCGCCGGTCCAATACCAATATTGGATCAAAGTCATAAACATAGCGCCGCCTTCCCACCAGGTGCCGGGAAGCTTTCCGGGTATTTGACCAGATTCGTTACCGTGATAATAGCTCATCATGTTGTACGCCACCGTCCTCGCAGCGTTCTTGATCGACCCTGATGAAGAGCTCCTGTGGTTAGTTCAAGAGCTCGCTCTCTAGGATATCTGATACGTGCCTTGATCCCCAATATCGAGCTCTAGAGCCGCTACTGTACCCGAACCCGCAAGAGCGGCCGTGAGCCATGAGGCCCATGACCATCGAGGAAGAATCATGTCAGCAGTAGAGATGAAGCTGTATGGAAAGAGTAACAAGAAGAATAGCAGTCCTCCAGGAAGTCGCCAACAAAACCGAAGACAAGACCATCAAAGAGGGGCGGGCGAGTTGGACGAAAGAATGAGAGAGGCGGGAGTGTGTAACTCAGGGAGGTGGTTGGTCTCTTTGGAACAGGTCAGTTGTTGCGCGAGATGCGTACAGCAGAGGATAGATGATCACTAGTAGAAGAGCACGAATAGAGTATCTAATGATTAATGAGAGAGAGAGAGAGAAGATGAAGGTAGGGAGAAAGTCAAGGAGTCAGCGAAGCCAGGGGTGTGATATGAAATCACCAGTTCCTTGGATCCGACATTGATGATTTTTCATGACAGAAGAGAGAGAGACATACGTGATAATTCAGTAATGATTCTAAATCTGTTGCCTCTTGCCTCTATGTATATCCTGCCACCGGTTCCTGGGAACTCCTCCCCATCCGTCGATCCCACACATCACATTGAAGCTTGTCTCCAGCCCATTTTATCTATCACAAACTGGGATTGAAGAGAATAAGAGAGGGAGAGGTTGCAGGGAAATTGACGCTAATATCTATCATGGAGTGAATGCGATGGAGAAAATTATCCCAGGAGCTGTCTATAAATAGGCGCAAAAAGTCTCCACAGAAGCTTGTTCAAGTCTTCCTGTTCGTCATTCGTGGACGGTTATCCCCCGGGAAGAGAAACTCAGGGGATACGGGCGGTTCATTGGAAGACGAACTGTTTGACCTTGGAGGAAAATACCATGAGGTGGACGCCATTGACTTGGATCTGTGATCTCCTTCTTGTATGACGGATCAGCGCCATGCTCGAGCAGCAAAGCCTCTGCCTCTTGATTCTCGATCCCCGCGGCCCAAGTGAGTGCGGTCCATCCATGTCGGTCCTGAGCGTTGACATCAATTCCCTTGATTTCCAGTAATCTTTGCAGAATACCCATGTTCCGTCCCATGACTCCTGCTGCCAGAACTGGGATGCCCTCGAGATACGGGCAATTCCCACTCAACGGCGATCGTGCACCAAGCAACATTCGAAAGACAAACTCCCATCCCCCATAGGCGGCCCAGAAAAGAGCGTCTTCAAAGAGAGGCATTGCTGGATAGGAATGCTTGCGGTACAGAAGTAGAGTATGGACAACTCTGAGATGGCCCCTTTGTATGGCTTCTAGCAATGGCTGCCAAGTACTAGTCCGACCAGGGACGATTGGGGATTTCGGAACCGGGGATTTTAATAGGGCCTCGACTATCGACGCATGTCCATTTTGTGCAGCCGGGTTCAATGCAGACCAGCTCCCATCCTGCATTATGGCACCTCTCTCCAGCAGAAGCTTCACCGTGTCCATATCCCCACTCCCAGCTGCCCCGTACAGTGCAACGCCAGCTACAGATGACGGAGCCTTTGGATAGGTTACTCCAGAATTCACACCAGCTCCGTGATCCAGAAGCAGCTCCACCAATCTCCTGGAGCCACCCTTGGCAGCGTAAGCAATTGCCGTTTGTCTGGAGGCGTCCGCCGCTTCTAAATCCACCCCGTGCGCGAGCAACAGATTGACAATGCGCAGATAGGTCGATCCAGACTCCCATACTGCCTGATATAGTTTTATTTTAGCCTTGTAGTTCTCTACGGGGTCCCGGCCCCTGTGATGCTGAATACCCCGAGCAGACATTCGCGCAACGGACCATGGTAGTCGGAAATCGCGTCCTACCAAATCAGTATCCGGTTCGCTCAGATTAGACACCAGCTGCGAAACCGTCCATAATAAGGGAGTCCGATAGACCGAGTCTCTGGCGTCGGCATCCACGCCCTCATGAGCCAAAAGCCGCGCGACGACCGTTGCATGGCCATTTTCCGCGGCATGCGACAGTGGTGTTCGGCGCCTTGGGTTTCTGGGGTTCGGATCAATGCCCTCGATGGATAAGAGAAGGTCAACTACCAGTTCATGGCCGTGGATGGCCGCCCACGACAGCGCTGATACGTTGAATTTACGGTCGGTGCAGTTGACCAGGCGCTCGGGATTTCCTGCAGCTTGGAGTATGTATCCGTCTTGCCGCTTCAAGTTGCCCAGTCCTGGAAGCCCAAATAAGAACTCTTCCACCATCGTGTTGGGCTTGAATCTTATACAGGTAGGGATTGAGAAGGCGATAAAAGTGGCGGTTTACCTGCGCCAGCCTGTTAATGTCTGGCGGCGTGGTCGTGTGCGCAGCGACATGGCAAATGAGTTCGACGGGGAGATTTTCGAGAGAACTTCTAGTCGTAGTCAGTTGGCAACTGGACATTGTGTACATCTTAGGTATCCTATTTAACTTTGCAGGAAACGAGGGAATCCCATCCCAGAAACGATATCAAAAATGTGTCAAATCGGTTGGCTCTAAACAGCCTGCGCTAAGGACCTTGCATCCCCCGCTTTTCATGAATACATACAGCTATAAAGCTGGTCTGATTCCATCTCACTCACTCTCTATCTGAACAGCCCGCAACCATGGCTGGAGTCGCGCTTTTTGTCATCGATATTCAAGGAGAATTCATCTCTGTCCCCGAAACCGCCATCCCCCACGCCCATCGCATCCGTGATGCAGCAACCGAGATCCTACACCGCGCGCGGAACGAGGCCACTACCAGGCCAAAGATCGTGATCGTGCAACACGCAGAGAATGGCCCCGATGCAACGATGAACCCTGGAAGCAAATCCTGGGAATTAGTTTTCCCCTGTCTGGATGGCGCCGAGAATGAAATGCTGGTGGCCAAAACCGCAGGTACATAACAACCCCCTTTACTACTACTACTACTACCACCACCACCACCAGTGCTTACGATCTGACGAGAATCAGCGAATACTTTCGAGTCCAATCCCTCCTTAGCCGCCACCCTCAAGAGCCAGGGAGTGCGAAAGATCGTGGCCTTCGGAATCCAGAGCGACAAGTGCGTTCGGGCCACTTGTCGCGGGGCAGTGAATGCTGGCTTCGAGGTTGTTCTGCTTCGTGGCGCGCACTCTACCTATGACAATAAGCAGACGGGTCAGAGCGCGAAGGAGGTCGAAACAGAGGTTGAACGGCAATTGTCCACGCTTGGGGTGAAGGTCGTGCCCTGGGATACTTACAAATTTTGAAAATCCCGCATCAGTTTGCCATGATTAGGTACCATTAAGCATAATTCATGAGATATGAAGATAGGACAACATAATAATTCAAACACAGACAGTTCGGTTGGTGAATTTGCTAATATATATATATACAACACAGTGCCAACGACTAGATTTCAACTACTCCCTCATACGATCACAAAATACGCCCTATGGCGGACAAGTCCCACCGTATCCAAAATGTGTTATCCAACACCTGCTGGGCGGGTGGTTTATCTCCTGGTAGGGTTTGTCCCAATAATACCCTTGCTTGCTCCCTCCCACGGAGTAAATTGCATGTCAATCGTTGCGATTGGTCATCGTCCCTGGCTCGTATTCTAAGATGCCCCCTGAGACTCAACTCCAGCTCTTGCTACATTAGTCTTAACTATGTGGAGGTGGGGAATTGCGACTCTGGCTGTCTGTTCATGCTCGGCGGCGATCTCTTTCACGTCAAGAGCGTGTGTAAATAATACCGGAACTCGTTCAATTGGCTGCGTGATATTTAGACGAGATACGGGAGAAGTGTATTCAGCTCGTTAGTAGGAGATGGCAACTAAAGCCTCGTAAGGTAGACTTCAGTCGAATATGCAGAAACATACGGATTATTCATCAGTTGCTTTTATTTCATCAATAAGTTGGGTCTATAATATGGAGATTAACGCTCGAGGTAGAGCACGTTATCCACTTGCTTCTCCTTCACTTTGCATCTGCATCTGCTCAATCATCCAATCTTACATCCGCTCGCGTCGGCGGGGGGCAGCCCGGATAATATTGTCAACCCGCAGGAGAAGCTATTAGAAAACAAGATTAGCCAGGGGAATTTGAAATTGAAAAATCAGAAAAGTGTCCTACCTCTGCAGCCTCGGACGCAGAAGACACAACAGCCTTCTTCAGTTTGTAACTTTCAACAACTCCCAGCTCGCGCATATCAGCAATGCCGCCACCAGGTGTGAGGAGATCCAGGCCAGAGCTGGTCATGCCGTTGTTGATGGCCTGTCGTAGTCGGGTGACAAGGTCGCTGGAGTCAAGACCGGCGTTGTCGGCGAGAATGGTCGGCAGCTGCTTCAGAGCATGTGCAAATGAATCAACGGCAATCTGCTTCTTGCCGGTGGTATTCTGGGCTGCCTGCTCAACGGCCTTGGCCATGACCATCTCCGCGCAGCCACCTCCCAGTGTAACGCGAGGATCCTTCACAGTCTGCGAAAGCACGGCGAGAGCATCGTGGAGAGAGCGATCAGCTTCATCGAGCAGCTGCTCCGTAGCACCGCGAAGCACGATGGTGCATGCCTGACCCGCAGCCACACCGGAGAACTTAATCAGGGTATCTTCGCCAATGATGACTTCTTCAATGACGTCGCAGTGGCCCAGTTTTACCTGGTCTGGGTGGTCGAACGTAGAGGCAATCTCTCCGCCTGTCACCAGAGCAAGACGCTCGACACCATCGAAGTCGGCATGTTCGATGGACATGATGCCAGCCTCGGTGAACAGCTGCTCGGGCCAGTTGTAGATCAGTTGCCGGTTAACGAAGCAGTTGATACCGTGTGCCTTGATCCGCTCGACCTTGGCCTTCATCTTCTCACGCTCTGCCTTCTCCAGCTCGGCCAGCTTGCCCGTCGACTCGACCTTGACTCGTGCGCCAAAGATCTTCACCTTATCTGTGTCCATCGCTGTGTTGGCAACGAGAATCTTGGCATTCTCCAAGCGTTTGGGCTGGTTCACTCCAATCTTCTTGTCAAGAATGAATCCCTCGTCCAGATACGAGTCGCTCAGCTTTCCACCAGCCTTCTTGATAATCTGGATATGGCTGAGATCGGTAGATCCGCGAAGTCGAAGAACGGCGTCGCAGGCGAGGGTAGCGAAGTGGTCACGGTCCTGGGCCAGGACCTTGGAGCTAAGGGTAGTGCGAGCAATCGAGTGCAGGTCCTTGCGGAACTTCTCCTTATCCTCGCTGCGGTTGACAGCAACCTTCTCGAGGGCATCCAGAGCAGCGCGGCTAGCTATACGGTATCCTTCGATGATGGTCTGGGGATGGATCTTGCGGTTCACCAACTTTTCCGCCTCACGCAGCAGCTCCGCCGCCAACACCGTCACCGAGGTCGTTCCGTCACCAACCTCATCATCTTGAACCTTGGAGATATTGACTAGGACTTTCGCTGCGGCATTATCGAGGGCAATCGCTTTCAGGATAGTGGCACCGTCGTTCGTAACGAGAATCTCTCCGGTCGACCTAGGCTCTCATCAGTTCGCTGCACACCGGGGCAACCCCGCCACCTCCAATCCATCATCACATACGCTGATTGCAGAATCTTGTCCATTCCCTTGGGGCCCAGTGTGCTCTTAACGAGGTCTCCGACGGCAATAGCGCCGACAAAGGCAGACAGGCGAGCATTCTCTCCTTTCTCCTCGATAACGTCTTCAGCGAAGATCTGGGTGGGGTTGGCGAACGACGCCTAGAACGGAGTCAGTAAGAGAAGATGCATGTGCACAACAGCTCAAGCACACTCACCATGATGAAGAATTAGTGATAGAACGAAAAAGCTACCGGATAGGTGGAAAGTCGTAGCTCAGGGGTGCTGAAGAACTGGCGGCGAGACTCCCACAATAATTAGACCGATGCGGGACAGCCAGAAAAGTTCGCGATGTGGCCCGAGCTCGACAGCTGCCGACGCAGACCGCCCGGGGGAGAGTAGGCAAGGTTCCTTTCGACATCCAGCCATTGCCGTTGTTTCCTTGAGCAGTTCTCGCGAAACTACGTCTGTTTATTCCTCCTGTTCTCTTGTGTATCTGTACCTCCACTATGGCTTCCGAGGAGGATCAGGCGAAACTGGCGTCGAATAAACGCCCCCATTCGGAGGTCGACGCCAACGAGAATGGTGCGTACAACCTCACTTTTACTCTATTTGCTCGACGATGACGGAATTGACAGGAATTAGGAGATGAGTCCTCATCCGATGATGATTTTGGTCCCGCGTTGCCCTCCGCAGATGCGCCTAAGAAGAAGCGCCGCAAGCTTCCCTTTGAGAAGGTCTACGTGAATGCGCTGCCCGCCTCCCCTCGCTACTCCAAGTCGCTCATGCACAAGGAACAATTGTCCTATGTGACAGTGACTCCACACACGGATTTCCTCATTACTTCTTCTATAGACGGCGTTGTGAAGTTCTGGAAGAAGATGGCGGACGGGGTCGAGTTTGTGAAGGAATTCCGTGCCCATCCTACGGAGATCAAGAGCGTGAGCGTGAGCGCGGATGGAAGGAGTTTTGCGACAACGGGAACAGACAAGACCGTGAAGATCTTCGATGTGATCACTTTTGGTATGCTAGAAACCATTCTGGTTTGTACTTGGGACAAGCCTGACGTTACTCTACAGATTTACTGGCCATGCTCACCGTCGAATTCTCTCCCCGATGCGTGTGCTGGGTACATCCCAGAGGTGCATCGCTACCACTCTTGGCTGTAACCGATGAGGGCAGCCAGATGATTCAGATCTTTGATGGACGAGGCGAGAACCAAAACCCCCTACACACCCTCAAATCCATTCATCGCAGCCCTGTCGCCGCTATCGCATTCAACGACGCCTACAATTGCGTAATTTCTGCCGATGAGTCGGGGATGATCGAGTATTGGAGGGCATCTGACGGTTCATTCGAAAAGCCGGACAACGTGTTCGAGCTCAAATCATCGACCAACCTTTTCGAGTTCAAAAAGTCAAAATCCACACCCGCGTCTCTGACAATATCACCGTCAGGCAAACAATTCGCAACAGTTTCCTTCCCAGACCGTCAGATCCGAGTGTTCGACTTTGCGACGGGAAAGCTCTACCGTAAATACGACGAATCCCTTTCCACCATCAACGACATGCAGCAGGCCGGAACCGCCATCTACCAACTCGACGGACTAGAATTCGGACGGCGCATGGCCACCGAGCGCGAACTCGAGAACCCCGTCACCCAACCCAAGATCAATGTCATCTTCGACGAGTCCGGCCATTTCGTCCTCTACGGCTCCCTCTACGGGATCAAATGTATCAACACCTACACAAACCGCGTGGTCCGCGTCTTTGCCAAAGATGAGCCCTTCCGTGCTCTCAACCTCGCTATGTACCAGGGCCAACCGCAGAAGAAGGGCGTCGTCACGGTCTCCATGGCAGCAAGCTCCAACCCTCTCCTCCAGGAAGCCGAAGAACGCGACCCCATCCTGGTCAGCACGGGATTTGCCAAAATCCGCTTCTACATGTTCACCAACGCAACGGAAATCTCCAAATCCACGCGGGACGTGCAAAATGAACGACCCGAGGAGTCCGCTGCCGGCCGCGAGACCGTCGCCCAGAAGTCCGCCGAGCTAGGCACCTCGGCAATCCTGCACACGACCATGGGCGACATCCACCTCCGCTTATACCCCTCCGCGGCCCCGAAAGCCGTCGAGAACTTCGTCACCCACGCCCGCAGCGGCTACTACAACAACACGATCTTCCACCGTGTGATTCGCAAATTTATGATCCAGGGCGGAGACCCCATGGGCGATGGCACAGGCGGCGAGTCGATCTGGGGCGGGGAATTCGAGGATGAGTTCTCCAGTCTCAAGCACGATAAGGCTTATACCCTGTCGATGGCGAATGCGGGACCCAACACCAACGGGAGTCAGTTCTTCATTACGACCGAGAAGACCCCGTGGCTCGATGGGAAACATACGGTGTTTGGCCGGGCAATACAGGGGTTAGATGTGGTACATAAGATTGAGAATGCAAAGACGTACAAAGAGAAGCCGGAGCAGGATATCAAGATCGTGAGCATTACCGTTTCATGATGTAAGTGTGGGTTTATTATCTCCTGGTCTTTCTTAGCTGTTTCCCATATATTATTTACTTTTTTTATTGTTATATTATATATATATATATATATATATATATACCTACTATATCCGATCTTAATCTGATTATCCCGATACATGGAGAATTAAATTAACAACACATCTCACCCTCCACAATAGATTTCTTCATTCATTTTTGTCTCATACCAGTCATCCATCAAATACGATTGAATCTGAAATCTCAAGTTGAAAAAAAAAAAAGAAAAAAGAAATGAAAACAAAATGAAAAGAAAAGAAAAATTACTATATTGGCCAAGATAAAACAACCAAAGAGAACCGTATAGACAAGACATCCAGTGGACTCGATGCAAAGAAAACTGTACGTATAATAATTCCAGAGAGAAGAAAAGGGTGAAGAACCACGGACACGAACGCCGAATATATGCAATGTAGCAAGCAAAGTCAGGTAGCGGTAACCAGGGGATACCAGAAAACCCCTAGGTGACCCTGCTCTGCTCTACTCTGCTGAACTATACCTCCATGGGGGGTTCACGCTCCCAATCGGCGGGGAGGATCATCGCGGAACCTCTGTCACTTCAATTTCGTCCTCTTCCGGGGGTGTCTTCTGGAGTCGCGACGGCTCCCGAATCGATCGGATCTTGGGCATGGCAACAATCGTTCGGGAGCTGCTAGCGATGGAATCCGTATTCGCGGGCTCCTGTTGATTGGCCGCGACGGCAGCTGGCACGGGACCGGGGGCAGAGGAGTCGTGATTTCGGTTGGCGAAGACGCTGCTACTGCTTGCGCCCGAAGCGGCAGCGTGGTAGAGATTGGGGTATTTGGCGTCGTGGCGGCGTTTGAGCCAGACTCCGAGAACGGCGATGGCAGTGAATCCGATGGCAAGAATAATGACCATGATTATCCATTGGTAATGGCCATCCCACCTAGAATATAATGCGTTAATTGGTTCATTCCCCAACCAGCCTATAGGGGGATATCGAGCCGGTAATACATACCAGGTTTTCGGAACGGTAGACGCATCCGCTGTGCTGGCGGCAGAGGTCGAGTTGGAACTTGAATTGGCACTACTTTTACTGGTGGTAGAGGACGAATCCGACGAGCTGCCGTCCGTCTTGCAGTAGTTGAGGTACCACTCCTGTAGCAGCTTACGATCGGATTCCTTCGTGCAAGTAGTGTCGCAGGTGCCATCAGCGCTGGAACGGAAGGTGGTGAGCAGGGACGACTGGCAGAAGCAAGAAACATAGGTCGCTTGGTTGGTGACTGGGGCGGCGGGAGGGACGCATCCTGTCTCGGCCTCCGTGAAGGTGGTGCAGGTCAAGCCACACTCCGGGAAAGTATCGGATGCGGCGGAAGGGAGGAGGGTGACGGCGTGAGCGAAGGTGGAAAAAGCGAGAGTTAGGTAGAGAAAGGTCGACAACGAGCGTGAGATGGAGTTCATGGTGGTAGCAGAGGTGCTCCTAGGGGACCAGGACCAGGACCAGGACCCTGAAGTCATAACGGGGGGCGACTCTAGAGCAAGTTGGCAGTGGAGACCGTTGTCGGACAGGGGAGAGGTCGGAGTCGGTTCACAGTCCACAACCCACCATTATCTGGAGATAAACGAGAGGACTTTGTTGGAGGGAGAGTGGAAAGGGGAGGAGGAGTGGGAAAAGAAATTAACGAAGGACGAGGGTTAAAGGGAGAGGAAGGAGTGGAGGAGGAAGAGGTTGTTGTAAGAAGACAAGAGGAAGACGTCGTTTCTCTCTCTCTCTCTCTCTCTGCTTGCGGACACTCACTCACTCACTCACAACACGGCTGACGAGAGAAATGAGAAGTAACTAACTACCCACTAAGCTTAATCCCCTGTCTAGTTCTCTATTCATGAGATTTTTAATGAACTAACTGGTCTGTTGGGTTTAGTCTCTTCTTTACCTCTTCCTATTGCCCTCTGTTCTCTCGCTTCCCCTCTTTTTTTTCAGTCTCGAAATTCGTCTCGAAATTCGTCTCGAAATCCATCGCGAACTCTAGAGTCCAGACTCCAGACTCCAGACTCACTAATTCGTTTATCCGCTTGCGTCGTGCCGGATGCGTGGCCGCCGCTCTGTCAGATTGACCTGTTGGATTCTTGCAATTGGTCCGCAGCAGACGATTCCCCAATCAATCCGATTAAACGATGCAACTGTGCTTTGCTGATGTTTCTGCTGGGGTCTGGACCCTGAATCGCATCTAGAATTTTTGTTTTAGATTTGTTGTTGTTGCTCGTGCTTGTTCCCTAACTCTTCCTCTCCATCTATTCGCTAGGATCCACGGATCGGATCGTGGAGAATCCAGAGTTCTTCAGCGGCTTGGTTGATCTAATTGGATCTACCTGGAGATATTATCGAGGGCTCGACGGTTGTCGAATCTCTCGCCAAAGGGGGGTTGCGTCCTTCTTTTGGAGGTCAGTCAACATCTCCTTGCAAAGCTCAATATACGCTCTACGGGAAATCTTACATGAGTCAAGGTAGGTACCTAGGTAGGTCAAACTGCTCCTTGCGAACTGGGCAGTATATGGTCAATATACACCTATTAAATTGCCCATCGTTGGTTAAAGGATTGACTTTTCTCGCGGGCAAAGTGGCTCATTTATTAGTGTGGGGTTGGATTTCTCTCTCTAATAAATAGACACAAATATATCTATGATTCTGAATCACTCCTTCGTTCCGCCAGACATCGCAAAGCAGCATGTTTCTAGACGTGACTGTAATCATATAATCATAATTCTTTCTAGGAAGATCAACTATAAGGCTGGCTAGTCGAGCAGGGAATTACATCCCCAGAAACAGACTGGAGAACTGACTATTCATTCACTATAGTTAACTAGCTAACTAGCTAACTAGTTAGTTACAGGCTTCCCTGCTTATCAAGTTCCAATAAACTCCTGGGCTTCGCGTGCGTGCGGAAAGCGTGGGCTCAAGGCATGGTCCTCCCATGCGACTCACTCAGATATAGAACATGGTGTCCTTGAGCTTTGTATGTATTTCAACATCCTCGTTCCCCGCCTGCAGCTCTTCTCCGGGCGCACTCCCAGCTACCGAGGGGACTGTCGAGGGTGTTTGCGGCTCAAACAACCCACTCAGGTAGCATCTCGCCCTCTCACAGACAAGATCAGCGTAATAGGCAGGCGGACAGAGACTTACTGCTTTCGTCGCGCGTCCGTAGAGGTAACACATGCTATGCGTTAGGTCTTCCACCATGTCAGCGACATTCTGGAATGCTCCCGGTCTCCTCCTGTAGTACTGACGGAAGATCTCATCCAGAACGATGTAATAGTGCGCAGGACGCGCGGTGCCCTGGATTGCCGCGTGTGGTTGCAGGAAAAAGTCCCAATTGCGCGCTTCGGTGACACCGCGGTCGACGACGGTCCCGGGTTTAGGGTTCGAGGAGCGGTCTGCGTCGCTTTCCCGGATGGGATAGAAGCGCGTGTGGTGGCGCTTCCCGACGATGATTATAGTGAAATGCGGGAGGCCTTTCTTCGAATCCGGAGCCGGATACAAGGCCTTGCATGCGTCGCGGAGCCGTGGCAGTTCCTCCTCGACGACTTTGCCGTACTGGCCCTCGGAGACACCGTCGCGATAGACTAGGATATTCTCGGGAAAAGCTCGATGCCTTTGTTTCCATAGCATCAGACGTGACTTCAGCATCCCAGTCAGGTCCGTGACCATTTCCTGGCGCGCACCCCTTTGGATGCGAAGGACCGCAGGCCATTGGCCGAGCCATCTGTCCACACTGGCAACCATCCCGGCCACGCTGGGCGCACGGGAACTGGAACCAGGGGAAGGGTGCGTAACGTCGATCCCTACCACCATGGTCTTATCCTCGTTGATGATCCCAAGATGAGAAGTGTCGAGCAGCTGATTGATACCGCCGAGTTTGAGGTTGAATTTCAATGCCACATTGGCGAAGTACTGTTCTTGGCCCCTCTCTTTGGCAAGTTTATGGCCAACACAACAAATCGTATGAATCCCATATTTGATATCGGCACTGTGTTTGATCTGATTATATAACACGGTATTCGATTCTGGGAGGATAATGAATAGCAGATCTAGTGACGCTGCAGCTATTTTAAGGGAGTTATCCAGCTTCGGATCGTCCGCGCCGCTTAAAACCAGCCGTCTCCCTCCCATCGGCGAGCCAAGAGATAGTCCAGCATACTGTAAAGCACGGTGGAATTTGCCCATCACCGTGGCCAGACTCTCCTGGTCGAAGGCATCCCTGTGACCGGGCGTGGAGAGTAGTAAATAGGACCATTTCTTTATGGCCGCTCCGGCTGTATTAAACTTCAAATCGGCCATATTCCAGCTCCCGAAACGAATGGGAGCAAATTTGTTTTGTTTGTAGACCACTCTGGGTTCGTGCAGAACACGTCCCGGAACCGTAATTAGACCAGGAGAGACCGAGATACCAAAACGACCCTGCTCAAACCCGTCAGTGTTGGGGGGTCATACTGGACTACCTGGGGCCTTACTAGGAGGATATTGGTCTGCGACGAAAGCCCAGAGACTTGGAGCCCTTCGTTGACTATTGAAGCCGCGTTCTCCCAAGGCTTGCGGACAGCAAATTGTATCATGCCTTGAGTTTGAGCGGGATCAAGCTTCGAATTCGAACTTTGCCCGGGGACGACTACACAGACCTCGGGGGGGAGGTAGCTTGGGTTCTGCCTCGTACCGACATTGACCACGGCGAGATCTGGATTAGCGATCGATCTCCCATGAGCTTTTCCCAACATTAGTTACGCCTCATCGAGCTTGACGGGGGCACCTACTATTCAAGAAAAAGTTATAGACGCTGATGTACTTGCCATCAGGTGGTGCACTGTCAAGCCAGAACTGTACCCTCTTCGGCCCTACACCGTAATCATCCACAATTGGAGGGTGAGCAAGACCATGGCCGTCATTTTTGGTCGCGAGTCCGGTGACGGTCTTAATGCGGCGGACGATCTGGCCGGCCTTATTTCTCTTTTCACGCAAATGTGTGGTCTGAACCCTAAGACCTTTGAGAAACGCATTCAGACTCGTTTTACTATTCCGGTGGGCTTTGTTATATTTTATGATCAGCTCATCCAGGGGAATGTCGTCGTAGAAGGCTCCATGGGTGACATTGACATTGACGAGGATACGAGAGGTTGCCGTTCGAACGCTTGAGAAGAACCCTCTTATAGCCGATAATCCAGCGCCGAGATCCCACCTGGCAGAGCTTGAGCTGAGCGGGAAGGTCTTCCTCGTTCCAGTGGTCGCAAGGTTCTTGGTGGACTTGGAGTAATGGTTTAAGAAGATATTAAAGGCCTGAATTAGAGGCGATTTGTCGTCGCAACGAGAGCTCAGATCGGTAGAGGTCAGGTACTCGACAAGGTGTGCGACTTGTAAAACATTTGTATGCTGAAGACGAACCCGATACGTAGTTGCATTTGGTCGAGGCTCATCTTCACCTTCGGTACGATACGGGATCTCCAGATGGCTCTCGTCCGTATCCAACCTCCGACGTGATATCAGGGTTGATGCGAAGTCGGTAATCACATCCGTTTTGAATGCAGCCATTTCAGGCGTCTCCAGCAAGAGTTTGATGACCTGTCTCAGCTTCTTCCCAGTTGCGCTGGGCGTAACCGCAATATCATATCGGTGAAGAGTCAGGTCTAGAGGCGGGACCAGTTCAACGTAGTTGGCCCATAATGTGACATTGATGCCTCGAGTCCCGTAGCCCGGCCTATTGGGGAACTCTTGGTCGAGTTGCAAGCCACCGAGACCGAGTGGACCTTTGGCAGATTCTGAAAAGGTGTCTTCGGCTTTTGTCACACGTTGATCGGGAACGTGGACTCCTTCAGGTGGTCTGTACATATAGGGATTAGTCCTGTTCGAGAGGGGTTATAATGTCCTTACGAGTAGACTTGTACTGCAATGGGAGCGCCTCGTCCGCGGCCATAGCCTCTACCGCGCGCGCCCCCACGACCTTGTCCGCGACGGGTCGACATGAGGCGGGAAAGGATTTAGTTGTATATCAAGTCGAGATTCTGGAGATATCCTGGTGAAAGTGAAGGGGTAGGAAGGATTATCTGTAATGGTGGAGAGTTTGTGAAGGAGGGATGTGGCGGGAGCCTTTTAGTAGGTACTGTTAGGATGATGCTATTATGACATCGAGGAGCCATATACATCCCAGCCCTATTGCAGTGGTCCCACTAACAACTATACTTAGGTAGCTTTTGCTAGCTTCCGCTGAGTACCCGCGGTAGCATACAGAGGGGCATCCAGAACAGCACCGGCGACATAATCGCCAACAGGCCGCTGAAGATAAGAAAATACATCGATTTCGTTCTAGCATGGCAACATACTTCACCAGCCTAGCTCCTTGTCAATCAGTTGCATCATGGCCATCTCGGCGGGCCATACTTCAACAAACTCTTGAACTCGCCAGGACCAATCTTCATCCCACTGGAAAATCATGGGGTAAGATGCACAAAAGAATTCCCAGAAGTCAGGAAACCAACCGGAATTTTCCCAATCGACCAGGACGACGTCAAATGATCGCCCACCTTGATCGTTTGGGCGACTTGTATTCTCCACGACCATAATGTTCTTCTGCTGAACGCCCCCATGCGTCAATGTGGGCCGGTGACCTTGAAGGACGCGAGCGAGGTATTTTTTCGTAAAAGCGAGCCTTGTAGTCTAGCTGATCATTGTTATCGACCAAGGCTCTATAATTACCGACAAGGCCCGCAACGAAGGCAGGTTCGCCGGAGAAGGGGCCTAGAGATTTCCCATCGCCATGTTGGCTATAGAATAGGTAGTGGTGTACGCCGCTCCCGTCCAGGCCTCCGAAAAAGTCGGGCCATGGACACTCGTCCTTTCACATTGCGTCGAATATTCGTTGAAGTTTGGCGATAATGTCATCCTTCTCAGATGGCGCCAATGATGGCCAAATGGAATCCAGCTGCACCCGGGGGTTGCGTTGCATGATTAAGAAAAGTTGTTCGGAATCATGGTACATCGCGTACAGTCGAGGGGCCGGAACTTCCGGGACGTGTCGTTCAAGGTAAACCAACGCCTGGCCTTCCTAGGTGTTTATACAGCGTCCATATTTGACAACAATGTCGTCGTTCAGCGCCACAACCTTGGAGGCCATGGTCTCCCACAGGACATTGGTGCAAGCGCGGATTTCATCTGTTGTCGGTAGAGTAGGCAGAGGCTGGGAGTTCTGAAAGGGGACAACCACTGGTGTCCACATTATGAACAGAAAGTCGACGGAGGTAATATTGAATATGGATGATTGCCTTAGTGGAAGGAAAATGTGGACCAATATAATACTGCTAGAAATGGCTGTCCTGTCCTGACACCTTTTTAGCTGAACGGTAAAGCTGACAGAGAATGAGTGGTGAAGATCAGCCACAGAAGTTCAGTACGGTGCCAGAATACTTGATTCTATCCCGATCCCAAGAATGATAAAACCAGGATAGATGTGTTTCTAAAGCTGGTCTGGTTATTGAAGTCCTGAGATGGGCTTCACTGTACAGTTGGGGGGTAGAAACCCGGAACGGATTAACCCTGAGCTAACTACATATCCCCAAGCAACGGAGACAGTTACTCGTTAACTACATGGAGACGAGGACAGAATAGACCTCTAATCCTCACTTTCATTTCACGTTAAACCTCCATTCACAAAAATCTGAACCAGGAACCATGTCCCATCCCATCCTAAACGCCATCTTCTCCTCCCTCGCCCGCGACACCCGCCGCTGGACCCTCCTCCGCACGCTCAAAAGCGACAACCCCCTGGATATCCAAGGTGAACTTCGCGGAACAGCAATCTTCACGGCTGCCTCTCCCGCCTCGTCGTCCTCAAATTCCAATGCAATCAAACCCAGCGAAGCGTCGCTCGAAACTCGAGACATGGTCTACCACGAAGAAGGCGACATGCCGGCTCAACTCGGGGTCGGACTGCGCTGGACCAAGAAGTATATTTGGCGAATTAGTGAAAGCGGTCCTATCAGCGTATGGTTTGTGAAAGTTGGGTCGGATGATGAGCCGGATTACCTGTTTCACGAGTTTGAGTTTTCCTCGTCGTCTCCGGCTTCAGATCAGCAGGGCCAGGGGGAGGGACCACGAGCAGAGGAGACGTTTGTGACGCCACCGGTTCCGCCTGTTGTTGAGGGGTCGTCGTTGTCGCCGACAAAGGTCATTACGGCTCATGGTAATCACCTGTGCATTAATGATATGTATCGCACGGCGTATGCATTTCGGGTCCACGAGGAGTCTGGGCAGGTGGTGAGTTGGGCGAGTCGGCATGTTGTCAAGGGGCCGAAGAAGAACCAGGATATTATGAATTTGTATCAGCTTGTGGGGTGAACAGAGCATGGTTATCTCTATCTACGGTTGGGGGCTCTGGACTGGATTTGCTTGTGACTTGTCATACAACGGCTCTTGATGAGTGCATTCAAGGGGACTCGCGACATTCGTGATATACGCAACTGGACCTGCGACTCTTACAACGTGTACATAAAGTCTGGCTTCCTGTCGCCCAGAAGCTCCATCTCGCTTTGATCCAGTCCCTCTACCCAGTGATCCCGCTCTCCGCGTCTGCGCTTCGCATTCTCTCGTCGCAAAAGAATGTACTGCACCAAAGACCCACCAAACAGGAAGAGCACCAGGTATGCCATGACTGTGCCGTGGCCGGGGTAGAACCGGGGCGCATCCGCGCCGCGATAGATGTTGGACGCGACAATCCCGTTCAGGTTCCCCCATCCGATGACAACACCCAGCGTGACTCCTCGTTTGTACACTCCTGCGATGGTTTAGGACACTTCCTTCATATTAGGCTGGGGGAGCGTACCCTCGACGTTGTTACTCGTCCACGAAATGGTATTAGAGATCGCTGGGTAGATGCCCATCGCCCCGAGGAATACCCCCGCGTACCTCGCGCCTGGAGATCTGGCCCCAAGGAGCATCGCAAAGCCGGCTACTCCCAGCAGGGATACCAGCATGTTACAGATCCCTCGCTGGCGCGTGCGGTCGGCAATAAACCCCACGGTGACGGTTAATATAGCTGCAGCGGCGTACGGAGGCACACTGAGCAGCTGAGCGTGGATCTCCGTGTATCCTACATTTGTTAGTCCCCATAGAACATTTTTGAATCATACTTATCCACGCGTACCCTGTGATCGTCAGTATCGCACTTCCTATCTTGGACTTCTCTGGACGAGCAAGCAACTCACTAGCTCACTGATAATGGTCGGCACAAACAGGGAAAAGGCGTACAAACAGCCATCGGCACCCATGTAAATCACCATGCCCGTATACGTCTTCCAATCCTTCAAACTATTCCAGAAATAAGCCATCTTGAACTGCTCGTGTTCGGCACTCGCCTGCTGATCGTCCGCCAACCTGCGCAAGACTCGCTTGCGATCATCATCGGACAAAAACCGCGCCTCGTCCGGGAAATCATACACCATCCAGAACGAAGCAATCCCGATGAGAACGGTCGCCAGCCCCTCGAGAATGAATATCCACGCCCACCCTGCCTTCCCGGCAATCCCGTCCATCAGCGCGATGGCGGCCGCCAGCAAGCCACCAAAGGAACCAGCCAGCGCAGCGGCGGAGAAGAAAATGGCCATGCGCACGCCGAACTCGGAGCGCTTGTACCAGCACGACAGGAAGTATCCGACCCCAGGGAAAAGCCCGGCTTCTGTGAGGCCGAGGAACCACCGGACCTGCGGGGCAGCGAATTAGAACAAATCCTCTGCTCTGGTTTTTGCGGGGTAGGGTGGTGTTTTGCGAACCGCCATGAGACCTGACCAGTCATGGACGAACCCCATACACATCATGCAGACGCCCTAGCGAGCGAACAGTTAGTTCGTTGTCGAATCAGCGTGGCTATCACTACCCCACGCATCACCCGAGACAGCGACAGGGACAGGGATCCGTTCTCACCCAAACAGTCATAATAACCGGGATGAAGACGCTCGGGCGCAACCGCTTGAGGAGCACGTTCGTGAGCGGCTCGAAAACCGAGTACGACACAAAGAAGATGGTCAGCGCGGCGTTGTACTGTGCGTCGGACATGTGAAGGTCGTGTTGCAGGTGTGCGAGCTTTGCATTTCCGATATTTGTTCTATATTATCATTATCATTATCAGCCCAGCCCGCTCAGGAGTCTGTATGTATATACTATACTATCATACCGATCCAAAAACGAAATCAAATACAATAAACTCAACCACGGAATCAACTTGAGGTCGAGTTTCCACACCAACGCGCGGTCCTGCAATGCCCCTGTTAGCCAGCCAGCTCTAGCCTTCGAAAGCGAATGAAGGAGGGTAGTACAATTTTCGCCTTTTCCTCCACGCTTAATCCGCCATCCGGATCATCATCATAATGCGGGTATGGTTTATCTACTGTAACTTGGTCCTTTTCGATATTTGGCACGGCTGTCTTTGCGTGGTGGTTCTGGTTCTGGTTCTGGTTCACCGTCACAGGCTGGGACTGGGAGTCCATGATGAATGAAATAGATATTCCCAAGGGAATCAGGTGAGAGAAGAGTTCTCGTTCTCGTCAGTGATCAGTAAGGGAGGGAGAATCTCAACTCTTTATAGGAGGGGTGAACTGGTAGTCACAGTGATTGTTAGGAGTGCTTACTTGTACTCTGTGTATGTATAACTACCCCATATACGGCAGGTTATTGAAGATCTGTAGATCTGCGGGGAAGAAGGAATGAATCTTTTTTTTTTTTTTTTAATAAACCAAGTAGGGGGAATACCAGACCTCAGCGGTGTCCAGGTTGACTCTGCTGAAGCGGTAGAAATGTGATATCTCACGTCTCGCAGAAAGGCACCGTACATAAATCATCAGTGATTGTTCTTACCTGGTGGCTGTTTCACAGGTCCCTTACCTAGGGCACATATCAAAAACATACATAGTAGTTATTTAGTTAACAGTACAAATAATACTCCTCTACAATCAAATTCCAATCCAACTCCCCCCCTCGTCCAGGAGACGAGACTCCCCCCCCCCCCCCCCGCCCCTCCGCCCTCCTGGCCTAAAACAAGCCACCAACCCCTCAAATCCACCCCTAGTAATCCCCGTCAACCGTGGTCTCCGCATACACCTGGAGACTGTACTTGGCGAACCGGCTCTTCTCGCGCAGTCCGCGGCCGTAGTAGCGAAAGACAAAGGGCATGGGACAAAAGACCACGGCCCCCGCCGCGACCACGGACATGCCCACGTTGGCACCAAGGGCACTGAACAGCTTCGTGGCGAACAACGGGAAGAGCGCGGAGAGGAAGGAGCGCGCCAGAGACAACGACGCAAACGCACTGGCCGCGTAGCTGTTGTAGCTGTCGGCCATGTACCCGGCGAGCACGGTGCCGAATTCATTGAGCGCGAAGCCGATGAAGAAGAGCGGGATCACGGTCACGAACCAGTGGATGCCGTGGACGGCGGGCGGGACCATCCAGGCGAACCACCAGAGCCCGATCGCCAGGAAGGGCGCGCCGATGGCGATCCCGGCGAGCTTGTTCTCCGGGAGCAAGGGGAGGTGTTTTCGGTGTCGCTCGGCTGCGACGCGCTGGTCCATGAGGCGGATCACGATGCTGGGGAGGAAGCCCAGGCCGATGGCGATGAAGGGGAGGCTGGCTTGTTGCGGGGTGAAGCCCATCGACTGGTAGATGGGCGGGAGCGCTTCCGTGAACAGGTAGATCAGGGCCACGGACGAGCCGCTCATCATGGAGCAGGCGAAGACAATGGGCTCTGTGAAGAACAGGCGCGCCGGCCGGAGAAGTCCGTCGCACATGAAGGCGGACAGGCTCGGGACTTCGTCTGGGTTCAGCGCTTGCAGGGACATGTCCCCCGTTATTTGCCGGAGCTTTTCGACTTCCCGCGAGAGGAGGAGCGACGGGCGCGATTCTCGAATCCCGAGGAGCAGGAATGTTAGGGCTCCGGTGATGATAGCCGCGATGTTGAAAATCCATCTCCTGTTGATGCAGGTGAGTGAGGTGCCCTCTGGTGATTGGGACAATGTCAAGAGAGAGAGAGAGAGAGAGAGAGAGAGATGTGAACTGACCATCCGAGATCGGCAACAATATATATACTGATAATCGGACCCATCGCTACGGCCGAGTTGGCTATCACCATATATACAAACACCAGCCAGATGCGGTCCCGTGCGTTGAACATGTCCTCAATGCTGCCGGTGATGATCACGGTAGGGATCGCAGAGAGAAAGCCCGTCGCAATGCGGCCAACGATGGTCGCCCCGAGCGAAGGCACGACCCCAATGATCAAACAAAAGATACTGTACAGCCCAGTGCTGATCACATAGAGCCTCTTTCGTCCAAAGGCCTCCGAGTAAGGGGGGAAGATGACGTTTCCCACGCCTTGCGCCAGGCAGTACCTACACCAACACCATGAGTAAGTATCATATCAAAATGAACCCCTCTGCATAGGGTTGCATTGAATTCACGCACGTGGAAACAAAAAGGAAGATGGCGAGCGTCTGGTCAATGTTGAATTCATATCGTGCATATCTTGCCGCAGTTGCCTATCAAAAAAGATGAGATGAGACCTTGAGAGAGTGCATGGAAGGTAACCGGTCAGACGTACTCCCGATGCATTGACGGTGGTTCTAATGAGACGAAACAAAAGCGTTAATTGCGGCTGCTCTGAGGGGAAGAGAAACACGAGAGGAAATGCTACGGAACAGCCACCCACGTATAGAATTCAAGCAGGATAATTAAGCCTATATCATATGCTTTCCGCAACGGATGCCAATTCCGAGGGTGCTTCGGATTGGTGCTGGCCCAGCGTATATACTGTCCATCCGACGTGAACTCCAGTCCCTGCTCCTCCAAGGCGAGTTGGACCACCTGGGGGCCCTTTTCTTTCTGGTCACAATCAGCCATTTCGAATCCATGCGAGAATTCTCACTTGACCGGACGAGAACCTGCAGTTGAAGTACACCCGGCCCTGGAGTCAAGGGATGTGTTTAGGGCCCACCGTTACGTATTGAGCAAGTGTGAACTGTAGGATCAGCATACTTGGCTCCCCATTCCCTTCCAAATTAGGGTGTGCGAGCTTTGGCAGTTGAACGTCTCTGCACTGTGATCGCGAGATAAGGTGCCCATCCCTCGCATGTACTATGTACCACGGCTGTAGCGGAAGGGGAGGGTGCAAGAGCCGAGTGTGACGCTGGCAAAGAAGAAAGAGGAAAAGAGAAGAAAGTTTCCGGCTGGAATGCTCAGACACTGGATCGAGGAATCGACGATGCCCCCAGTTCACATGAGAATTCGGATCAGGACCACGTTGAGCTGCTGGGATGTACTCGGCAGTGGGAGCGCGCGTCTATGATATCGTCTCCCACATTCCAATAGGGAAATCGGCAGGTCAAGGAATCGTCGTCGTCCACCAGGCCCGGTAAGGCAAGAGGTGCTCATGATGAAGTGCTTTTCTGGAATGTAGTGATGACGATGTCACTTGCGAGAAACGCCTCGGAGGTTGATCGGATAAACGGCGTGAATCTTGGGGTGTGAGCTGAGGAGGCTGTAGCGGAGAATTCCTGAGCTCGGGATTTTCGATTCTTTCCAGGCATGAAGTTTGGACGGGCTGCAAATCGGAGCAGTGCCTGAAGGGGGGGGGGGGGGGCTAGGTTACAGTGACTAGTGCTTCTCTGTACTCTTGAATGGGCTCATTCATTCGGAAGGCTTTTTTTTTTTTTTAAGTCTGGTGGGAGATAGCCGGAATGGAGCGACACCAAGCGACATTCCTGAGGCCTGGGGGCTTGAGTTGGGGGGAGACCAGGACTTTTCCTTGATATTATCGGCACTGGGTCCTGGCCAGGGATAGTTTATGTGCTCTTCGCAGTACACAATCCCCAAGAGCTGCCAGATAAGCCTGCTACCATCTGCATCTGTATCTGTATCTTGTGAATGGCAAGGTGGGAGTGTAGAGTATGCAGTCTCTGGTTCGAGGATGCGATGACTTAAAGCGTAAGTATAGAATACTCTCCTCAGATACAGACGAGAGTAGGTAACTATCGTACTATTTCATCATGAGCTTTCAAGCTTTATTATTCACTAATCGTTATGAGGACATGATCAACACCTAAGTTCAGAATGCAAAATATCCCCCCCCCGCAGTATGTGACCGGGATATCCACCACGACTGCAACAGCTGAGACAAAGAGGCACCTAGGGTGTTTATCTTAGAGTCAGATCAAACCGCATTCAAAAGTCATTCCTCCTCAATAAACCCAGCAGAGTCCACTTGAGTGCCTTCGTTGCACTTCAGAAAGCGAAGCTGGCACCTCCGCAAGCTAGGATGGCCTCTCAGCAGAGCAAAAACAGCCGCTGCCGCCTTCACGGAAAGCATCTTGATCGTAATCTCGCCAGGCGCAGGGCCATCCTCGATACCTTCAATCTGAGCGCGGAACATGTAGGCGGGGCGGTGGATGAGGCTAAGCACTTCGTCGTTGAGCGCGCCCCTGAAAGAATAGACGCCAATGGAACGAGTGTGGCCCTCCTCAGCGATCAGACGCGCGATATCTGCGGGAATCGGGTAGGTGGGAGTGCAGACAGGGACAACCTTCCCGGCTGGTAGGGTAATGGAGTTGTCGACGACTTGGGTCAGGAACTGGACTGCATCGTCCTGGGTGACGAAGGTAATAATCCCAGTGTTTGCACCAGTGATTGCCATAGTATCTGCAAGACGAGCCGAGTAGATCTCCGTCCTGACGCATGCGAGGATCTGCGAGAGGGAAATCTCAGCTGGGAGCTCCTCAACACGAACGGTGCGGTACGCGTCGATGTCGTTGCCAGATGGGATGTAGCGCAGGCCGTACTGGAAGACCGACAGTTCGGAAAGCGGCTGACGACTGATCATATTGGCTCGGTAACGGAAGGCGTCGTTCTCTTCGCCAGGGTTATCGAAGATGCTTGCACCGGTTAGGGCCCACCGAAGGCTACCATCCCAGGGGGCAGAAGAGATGCTCAAATCAGTCTGTGCTTCTGGCTCTGTCTTTGTCTGTGTGGGGGAGTCAGGGTGGTGTGTAAAGGAAGATGATGCACACTGCAGAACCCATCAGAGGGGGGTTCGTAATTCGCGCACTTGATCGGTGACACTGAAAGAAACCACAACCAACACACCTGAGGCTCCAACACTGGGATCTTCAACTTATCCAGGCTGACATCCAGCAACCCCTCTGAGCCAGCACTGCCCACACGGGCATTTTCATCAGTGATGGGTCTTTTCATCTCTGGACAGAGAGGCTGAATCTGGATGTCATCGGTTCCATCATCGAGGAGATCAGTTGAGTGACCTGCGGGTGTGCTGGCCATATCTTCATTCTTTGCAGCGTTTTCGGCGGGAGTGCTGCATTTGCTTGCCTGGTGAACAACAATTGAGGCGCGACCGAGACGGCGAGGGCGTGACCCTGCGAAGGACAGAAACATGCAAAGAAACAAGAAGAAACACAGCAGGAAAGAACAAGAGATGATCTCCACGCTGAGAACACCCTGGCTGGGGGTCCGCTTCTGATGAAGTTCCATTTTGGGAAAGGGAGGACGGAGAGATGTTGAAGTGAGAGGAACTCGATTGGATGAAGAAGGAAGGGGAAGGGGAAGAGAGAGACACAACTTCAAAGTGAGATGGTTTAAAAAAGACTGAATGAGTCGTCACCGCGATGCAAATGATTAGTCGTGCGAGACATAATAACGGCGACAAACTGATGACAATGTGTTGCGTGCTGTGATCTATGCACCAAAGAAGGGAACAACAGGGTAAGTTCAACAAAGACACATTCTAATACCCAGGAGGCTAATGACAATAAGTTCTCTGCTAGTTGACCCTCGCGTTACTTATCCTCTGGAGTCAAATGTCTGGAATCGATGCACGACACGATTGATATGCAGCAGAGAAGACATCACTCGGTGGCGGGCACCAAGCGAAAAGAACAAGTTTCAACTTACTCAACCCCGTGTCCACCTAGAGCAAGTGTTTGGTGTGTGTATGAGGAGTCTTGATGAGGCAGAGTATAGGGAGATATCAACCCTTGCACTGGCCGAAATCCTCGGCATAACTTCGAAATCTATCGTTGCCCCCAAAACCTCCAAGCACAGAACAGAATTAGGGCTCTCACTGAACGAAGGACATCCCCGATGACAACAACCAACCATTTCGAATGACAGCTCATTGGCAGGCGCGGGATTGACGCACTTCGCGGAAGCTCAGTGTCCTGTAACCACCTACGACAGCAAACCCGGAACCACACCCTTTCGGACCGGGGGACTCTCTTGGTAGACTTACGCTGGTGGATATTTCATAGGTGGATGGATTCGTTCATCGATTGGCCGCTCTCTCTAGTTATAGGCATGAGTGGATACTTACAGAAGGAGAATTAATGAAAATACTAGCAAACTTGAATTGATTCAGTCTCCCATTTCCTCTCTTCATACTGCTGTCATAAATTGTTCAGCCATATGCTCCCTCCCCGAACGCACCCAGTAAAACAATTGATATTATCCCAAAAACTCCCCCTGGGCCAAGGCGATCCAAGGCACATCGGCATCCCAGCAGCGCTGCATCAGTGTGCGAGCATTTTGGATCTAAACAAAGTTAGCAGAGGTTTCAACGAGAACCACATAGATGAAGAACCCCACCTGTTTCATTCCAGTCCCCTCCAGGATCTCCAACCGCTCTTTGATCTCGATTCTCTGTGCGAACTCCTGGGCTTCGCATCCGGCAGTGAAGATAGGAAATAACACTCCGACTTCAGCGGCGGCGCCCGGCCGGATTGCGGTTACCGCCTCTACGAGTCCATCCAGAGCTGCCTTAACGGCCATAGAGCTAGACGATTCGCCCAGTACGCGACGACGAAGATGGAGCAGCCCAGCGTAACGGAATGCACGATCAACGGCAATCATATCCGAGCACTCGGATCGTTCGTAATTTCCCTCATAAGCGCGTGCGTGCGTACCGAGTGCATCCCACTGTGCTAGCAGCGCATCCGCCTTGCGAGTTACGTCTGGTGAAGGGGTCCACTCGGGGATAAAAGCACCCATCTCATCAAAACGTGCATTGTCACATTGATGAACTAGTCCTCCCAGCTGCATCAAAAAGAGCCCCGTTCGAGCAGTAAAGCCGGTAAAGCAGTCGACGGCAAACTCGTCCCGTTCCTCATCCGCACAGCAGGTATCCAAGACCGAGTAATAGGTAAGCAGAGGAGGCTCATGATAGCGACAAGAGAGCGACCCGAGAATATCGAGATAGCCCAGCCAACGGGTAAGAAAAGCTCCCACACGATTTCCGGAGTATGCCATTTGGCTATGGCGGGCGAGGTAAAGGTCCCGCGCGAGCTTCAGGTGGCTTTGCCAAGGGATCGGGACCTCGAAGGTGCTAGGCGAAACAATCTTCAATGAGAGCAGCATGATAGCAGTAGCAAGGTGATTGTCTGTCACTTTTTCATGGGGATCTTCCAACGCGACACGCAGGGACGGGAAAACATTGCTCACCCACAGTGCGATCCGATTCGCGGGTTCGGAGTGTCCCAGGTGCCTGGCGCGGTGGCTAGCTGAATATGCGAGTAGCAGATTCAGGAGATTGGAATCTCCAATGGCCACTAAACGGTCAGCAAGAACGAAAGCGAGGAAGAAGTTGAGGTACCTTACTAGACGGCAAAACAGAGCTGAAAGGATTGTCTCCACAATCATGGGGGACCAGTATTCGTGCCGTATGATTGAGGAAGTGGTGGAAATACATCAAGTTGATGGGGGTCTTCAATAAAGACGGAGGGACAGGCGAGAGGTAGCGCGGAATATTGATGGCAACAGGTGTAGCATAGTACTCGTACTTGCTGCCCACCCCACTCTGTCCGCCTGGGCTAGAATCATGGTGACCCCCCATTGGCGAGCGCGCTATACTGAGGGCATCATTGACATTGATCGCCGAGTGATCATCATTTTTCCCCAGATCCACGTCCGGTCGACCACAATCCAACCCGTAATTATCAGTTACACTAGTCAGATATGTTTGCCACTGCTTTTCTGGGCTAGATAGCTCATTATGATCAACCAATCCGGGGGGGAAATCAGTGGCGTGGCTCTCCATAATTCCGGTGAAGAAGGTATCTGGAGTGCCTGCATTGTCCTGAGGTAATCCAGCAGAGAATAAGTGCGCGTCATTGGAACAGGGCGAACGAAGAGTGCCATGGGAAGTCGAGGGGCTCAGTGCTTCACAACCGGCGGAGGTACTTGCAAGTCCCACCTCTGCTGAAGACGAGTATCTCGTGAAGTGGGCCTGGTGGAGGACATGCTGGGGGGCATCCAGAGGTGGCCGGACATAGGATATCGGATGGGAGACGGGCCCTGGTGAGAAATTGAAGTCGGGTAACGGAGGAATGCTAGGGCTAGTTTCCGCGGGAGGGGACGGGAAGGGAGGATTGTCCAAGGCGCTGGATGCTGGAGGGCAATGGGACGGCTCCTCTCTCGGTAGTGTGTCCGTCATTCGAGCAGAGAGGACTGACCAAGAAGTGGCATCTTGTTCTTGCGACAGATGCGCCAAGTCTACTGAATCTCTATCGGTTGTACGGTTGGAGTTCTTAAGAGACTGGTCAGGGACAGTCGGAGAATCTTGGATATCATCATGTAGCCTTCTAGGATACGACGTCCCCATAGCCATCTCCCCTGAAAACCCAGCATCCCAAAACAACGATTCCGTCGGTTGATCTGGTACGGTGATCTCTCGGTTCGGGCCGGAGAGGTGTGGAGGCGATGGCGTGAAGAACTGTCCCGATCGACTACTGGACTGGGAGCCGGGCGAGTCGACCGAGGTTTTTCTCCTCGTTCGCCCCCCCCAGTTCAAGCGGATACTGTAGTCACATCGTTCATTCTGGCGTCGGCAATTCAAGCACGACGGCTTTTCTTCTCCACTATATCTAAACCATTAGCTGGGCTTGACCCTCCGGTGAGGATGGATCAGAACAATACAAACCATTTCACCTTGCGCGCCTTACATGGCCTAGGGGGATGTCAGCAAAAACGAAGGGCCTACATCAGGTGATAAGAACCGACCAGCATCCTTTGCGTGATCTCCGCTTTGGCTCGGGGGCTCCGGGCCTTCGAGGACGCGGCATTTGATCCTTCAAATCAGAGCGGTCGTCGGAGAAAAGAGATCACGACTAGACGAACTAATAGTCCGGGGTACCAGGTAGTGCCAACTTAATCTACGAAGTAAGATCGCCATGCAGAGCGAGTATGTGAGGGTAATAATACTGGCAGGGCTGGACGACTGGGATCTTTTTCTTCTTCGATTCGTGGGTTTGACCCAGGAAGACAAAAATCGATAGTCGATAACGATACACTCGGGTTTGCTATTCGTACTCATCGAGGTACGAGCTTGACGAAGAAGAGCGGGAGATTGGGATCTAAGAAGAGGTGATAGATGATGATGATGATGATGATGATGATGTTCACCGTGATAATGGAGGTAATATTTCCCAGTGAGCAGAAGAGGAATGAGTAAGAGTGAAGATGAGAGATTCAGAGGAACTTTGGATGAAATACCCGGTTAGTATACTCTGGTCGGAGAGGCAGAGTTAGTACTATCGGGTATTGGTTGATGGAATAGAAAGATGAAGTGGAAAGGAAGAAGAAGAAGAGATGAACCACATGAAAGAGAAGTTAATGTAATGATAATCGTAATCGTACTAGTAGAAGTCAATGAATGATATCGTCGGGTTCTTGGACCAATCACAGGCCATAGAACATGTTCCACTTGTTCCCCATATGGAAGGTTGGAAGCCTGAGGTTTGGGTCTTGATAAGCTGACCGCCGACGGAACGGATTAATGTCTTCCGGTTTTCTCGGTGCTTCTTTTGATTCTGTTGTGTTTTCTTTTCTTTAAGAGAAAAAGAAATATATAATATATATATATATATATATATATATAACTATATATGGAGTAATATGAGAAAGATTTCTTCCTTTTCCTTTGTATTATGGTGGTGGTTATGATTCTCAGATCTTGAATTTCTCCTCATCTCACTCTCCGATCATCCCGGTTTATGCCAACTGTCTCCCTCAGTATTTATTATTACCTTGAGTTGATGATTATACTTATTCTTCTTTGGATTGTATATATCTATCCCATGATATATTCTTCTCTTGAATAATAATACTCGGATCCATACCGGCTCTTCTACCAAAATGCATCATCCACTCCAGCGAATCCACAGTCCCTCCCGAACTTTCTCAGCGTTTGTCCACGTATGTACTACTGTACTCCGGGTAGTTCTGATGGTAAATCAATAATAATATGAAGAACAAATAGGCTTCGGGTTTGGCCAGCTTTCTGTGGTCTTTCAAATAGTCTGTCTTCCAACCCAACCTAGGACTGACTGACTCTAGCCTCGAGCTAATTTATATCTCTCTTCCTAGTATGCACGAAAACCCCAATCATGCGTCAGTTCCCATCCGCCTTTCTACTCCTTTGGATCCTATCCTGATCCCACTATAGCAATGAAGCATACGGGTGGCACTTCCAGTATCTCACGGTGATTGGCCTCTCCCTGGCCACCGTTACCTTTGCGGTTGGTCTGTTGGCCGATCTAACCCTCTCCCCGCGCCTTTTCCTCACCAAGAACCTGTTATCGGTCTGCAGTGCCCCCCTCGAAGTTCTCATTAGCCTTTTGTACTGGGGCCTTCGTTTGGTTGGTGTTATCTTTGCTGTGGTTGACTTTTAATTCTCCGGGACTGAACCATGTCGACACTACCTAGATCGATGAGCGTTTGGTCGTTCCTGAATGGGCGGTGATTCCTCTTCACGCTGGTACACCACCACTTCCGCCCCCCAAACCCATTTTATTATATCATCGACTAACAACATGCGTGGGATAAAGACATTAGCTTCCACGCTATCCCGTCCATCGTCCTTCTCCTTGATCTTCTCGTCCTTTCCCCTCCCTGGACCATCACCATCGGTCCGGCTCTCGGGCTGTCGAGTCTCATCGCGTTCGGCTACTGGTTTTGGGTTGAGCACTGTTTCTCCCATAACGGATGGTATCCCTATCCGATCTTTGAACAGCTTCCCTTCCATGGCCGCGTCGGACTCTTCATCATGAGCGCAGTCGTCATGGCCCTAAGCACTGCGACGCTCAAGTGGCTCTATGGCCGTGTCAATGGGTTTGGGACTGTGGCTAAACCAACAGCTCGGCCTGGCGATGTCACTGCTAACGGATGGTCGTAAAGCTGTCTCGTGGTTCAGCTGGGATTTGCAAGTGCGGAGTAGACAGTAGTCATACAAGTACAGAAGTAGATGATAAAGCGCGGGTCCAGAGCGATGATAGATGATGGATGGATAAGAAAGGATAATAGTTCAATAGGCTACTTATTTTGGTATGTTGAATTTTATACAACAATAAATCCATGATTACAACTCATCTATCTTAGCTCCTGGTATATCTACCTAAAATTTATAGAGTACAGAATCTCGTCGGGACTGACAACCGCTTACATAAGCTCTCCGCAACTCGCCGCCGCCGAAAACAAAACGAACTCATCGACCTCACCATCAAACCACCACTTGTCCAGCGTCACCCAACCCCATTCCCCCATTCTATTCCCTTTTCAAAAATGCACACAACCCTGATTATCTGCCCGGTGCGGAGCGCCGTCCTCAGCAGTCGTTTGCCTTCGTCCGCCGCCCTCACCCCCTTCGCCTCCTCATCGCTCCTCTATCACAAGGTCTCAGCTCGCTCGGCCAGCACTACTACTACCATCACCACCACATCCACAACAACAACAACAACAACCACGCGATTCCCCAACCTCCCTCCGCAAACACAAGCTCCAACTACATTGGGCGCCGCCTCCTCCCGCCCCCAGGCTACAATCTTTCCCTCATGCATCGTCCGCACGCCGTCGGTGCGCGCAAATTCAACCACCGCCACCGCCGCCGCCGCCGCCCGCGAGGAAGCCGCCAAGCTCGACTGGAACTCGTTCTTCAAGCTCCGGGCGTCTCGTCGGCGATACTCGCTTGCGTCCTCGATTGCGAGTTCCCTGGCCACCACTGTAGTCGGGGTGCAGATCCTGTCCGGGCAGAATCTGGAGGCCCTGGGCGCGCAGGTGATGGGGCTGGATCCGATTTTTGTGCTTGGCGCGGCCACGGCGGCGTGCGGAGCGGCCGGTTGGCTTGTTGGGCCGTTTGTGGGGAATGCTGTTTGGGCGATGGTGCATCGGAGGTATAAGACTGCTGTTGCCGTGGTATGTTGCTCCTTCCTTCCTTGTTCTTCCCTCCGTGTGTGTGTGTGTGTGTGTGTGTGGCGGGCCAGTCGCTAATCAAGGTGCTGATTGGTTTCGTGTAGAAAGAGAAAGAGTTCTTCGATAGGATTAAGCGGTTCCGCGTCGACCCTTCGTCGAATTCGATCGCCAACCCTGTCCCCGATTACTACGGTGAGAAGATTGGCAGTGTGCAGGGATATCGCCAGTGGTTGAAGGACCAGCGGGCGTACAACCGCAAGAGACGCAATTTCATTCTTTAATCCCTTTCTTTTTTTCTTCTTTTTTTTTTTTTTCTTCTGTTATTTGGCATTGCGCCGTTGTGAGGTTTTGTTGGCCGGATCTGTGTACGAGTATCTTATCTTATATCACTACGGATATATTGGAGCGAAAATAAAACCATTCTTTGCAGCTGTCTTTTCTTTTGCTTTGCTTTGATTTGATAGCTTGCATGCTTTTACATCCGGACAACATCCTATCCTATGCTTTAGCTCTCGGAACCCAATCTCTAAATCTAAATCTGCTCCCGCACAGGTATTCCCGGCCCTGTGATTGTTATATTTACCAGTTGCAGAACGCTAAATACGTATTAACTTATGAATGTGAAGTGAATGTGAAGTGAAGGTATGGAAATATCCTCGTTGGTTGCTATCAATCAATAAAGGAGCGAATATAGTTGGTTGGTAGAGTAAAAGTAAATAGGCAGTGGGCAGTCTCCCTTCCTCCTCTGTATCCTCAAGTATAAGTATATGTTGAACATACCTACAGCAAAAGGGTTGAAATCTCTCGGTTTCTGCAGACTAGTAGTCGTCTCCTCGACTGATCACTTCCTTGGTCGTCTCGCGCAATAGAATCGTCTAGAATTATCAGCTCGATCCTCTCCCACTCAAGACGGAGAAAACATACGTGCTCATACTGCGCCGAGTACGATCCTTGAATATCAACGAGGGGGGCATAGGCTTCGACAATTCCATTCGCCACAAGACTGTTCATCTACAGTGTCGTCAGCAATAACTCGTCCCCTAGAGTCCGAGTAACTTACTCCAGCCAAGTACCGCTGTATACCGAGACGGTCGAGGTCCCGACGACAAAAAACGATGGTCCCGAAGTTCTCGTTAATCGTCTTATACAGAGACCTTGCAGAAGCGAGCGACAACGAGGCAGGGGATGGCGCATCATGGGTTTTCCCATAACCGTACACACCCACCTTCACGAGTTAGTACCTCGTATTGAAAAAAAAAAAAAAAAAAAAAAAAAAAAAAAAAAAAGGAGAGAGAGAAAAAATACACACATCTTCCCGCAAATAGCCTCGTCCAGTGGTTCCGAAAGTTTCAATGGCAAAAACCTCCCCTTCTTCCATTTTTGTCTGGTCTGAATTCTTGACGAAAGGAATCGACTTCCCACCATGAATCTGGTAGTGGTTGATATTGTGGCCGCTGATGCTTCGCACAGCCTTAACTGGGAAAGTTTTACCACCTATCTCAACCTCATAGCTTTCCATGGCTTCCTGGATTGCGGCACTGACGTCGCAGATACGGACATCGATTCCGGCATTCTACAGAGGGTTAGTTGATCCCCATGCCAACGTCCCTCTACAAGCTCACCTGGATGCCGGTATTGGTAGCATCTTTAACCGCAGCAAGAAGGTTATCGTATACCGGGTTAAAGGCCATAGTAAACGCACTGTCCACAATCCAGCCGTTGATATGAACGCCGAAATCGACCTTCATTACGTCGTTCTGCTGCAGAACAATATCCTTCTGGCCTGGGTTTGGGGTGTAGTGCGCCACGCAATGGTTGAGTGAGAGACCCACGGGGAATCCCATCCCGGCTTTGAGACCATCGCCATGTTGAAGCCCGGAGTAGCCGAGTAACGCCCGGACGCTATCTTCGATTTCCACGGCTATCTCGGTGAGGCTTTGACCCGGTTTTACGGTTTCCTGCGTCCACTTCCGGACCTGGCGATGGACTTCGGCAGCTTTGCGGTAATCATTCAAGAAGGTTTCATCCTCGAGATGATGGCGAGAGAGGTAACGAGTCTCTTCGGCCTTTGTACGGGCCGTGTTTTCTTCCGGCGACGGGTAACTTTGCAGCTCGCCAGTTGGGTACTTTTCCGCTGGGAAAAGCTGGCTTAAAGGAACCCTGGGTGGTGATGATTGCTTGGTAGAGGCCTTCTTCTTGTTTTTCTTCTTAGGCCGTCTCTTCTTCTTTTTTGCATTCAAGTCTGCTGTTTGGATCAAGGATACAGCATGGGCCTCGTCGCCATCATCGCCTCCATCCCCTCCATCGCTATCCCCGATCGTTCCATCTCCGTCGGTCGCAATATGAGCACCGCGGGGCATCCCTCCTTCAGAGGTCTCGATGAAGCTGTTGGCTCCTCCTGGGGCACGAATGAGTATATGAAATAACCATTTACGGTGGGAAACTTACCCTGACCATTCTGGTCATCGTGGTTAGGTGATTTCGAGCCCATTGCAACATGAAGGATGATATTCTCAAGTTGGTGAAGGTATTGATGGAGGAATGTTTCTTCTCCTCCTGTTAGGCAACCAACTCTGTCCCATTGTACTATTCCTCATTAGGAAATCGACTCTATTACTATCCATGACCCTGATATAAAGACTCCGTACGTTTCCGATGTCTTTGAGCGGTGGGTCTGTATAAGCTTAGGAATGATGGGGATGTCTCTGACAAATCATGCGTTCTGATCATTGGGTGATGGGATCCATTTTCAAGTTCAACAGATCAGCAATAGAAGAACTTGGCAGTGGCTTAGAGATGGAGGAATCGAGGATACCAATAGCGACAACTTGAGCCTCAGGGTTTCTCATCCCCCTGTGGATGTGCTAAACCTTTGAGAATAAATCCTGAATTCTCCAATCAGCTCAGTCACTCAAGTCTCCAACGGCAAGGGCTTACAGCTACAGATACGATTTCCTTCTCTCTCTCTCTCTCAATCATGTCTCCTCCTGCTTCTCTCCCCTCCAAAATGCTCCAGGCCAGATGATTCTCCTCACCAAGAAGCAGAGGCTCCTCCTTGTCTCATTCGCCCTCTTCTACTGTTTCCTTTTCCTCGTCTCTCGCTTCCGTTCTGCTCGCGATCCTGGCTCCTTCTTTTTCCAACCAGACGTGGGCTATCAACCTCAGTACAGCATCCAGAGGATCGAGGAGTCTCTCGACTATCTGTCCGGATATAATACAACCACAACATCAGACCCAGCGCGCCCCCCGCGAAACTCCACCACCAAAGCCGAAGATGTCACCTTCTGCGTCGGAGTGGTGACCGTCAAGCGTCCTTTACAACAAAACATTGATACCACGGTCGCTTCTATCCTCGATCACCTCTCTGCCCAAGAGCGCTCTCGGATCGCGGTCCACGTCCTTTTCGCCCTGACCTCCCCCTCCGACCATCCAGACTACAACCAACCTTGGGTTCCTAATGTTGTCGACCGCGTCCTCACTTACGATCGAATGGACGGCGCCCCGTCGCTGTCCACCCTGCGCACCCTCGAGAGGCAAAGGGACGTCAAGCGCAAATCCCTCATTGATTACCGTCTCTCGCTCAAATCCTGCTACGACGACAGCAATGCGCCCTACATCATGATGCTCGAAGACGACGTCGTCGCCCAACGCGCGTGGTACAACCACACCTTGGAAACCCTGCAGACCATCCAGAGCTGGAACAGCACGGGGGCCATTCACGACTGGCTCTACCTGCGCCTCTTCTACACGGAGAAATTCCTGGGCTGGAATTCAGAACACTGGCCCATCTACACCCTGTGCAGCATCAGCATTGTCGCCCTGGTGGCCCTGCTAGGTCTCATGAGCCGTCGCAGCATCCGGCCCATGCAGGGGATCCTGACCAACTCCTTCCTGGCGATTCTCTGCTTCCTCTGTGTGCCCTTACTCATCGGTCTGTATTTTCTGGCCGGTCGAGTCACCATGCAACCGATGCACCCGGGACTCCACGTAATGAACGGACACGGGTGCTGCTCTCAAGCACTAGTGTTCCCCCGCGCGAGCGTTCCGCAGCTCATCGACTTTCTGGAGCAGATGCAGGATACGCACCCCGAGGCTGTGGATAGCGCGATTGAGGCACTGGCGGACGCCAACGGGCTGGATCGGTTGGCGATCGTGCCATCGCAGATGCAGCATGTGGGTGCCGCTTCGTATAAGGAGAATAAAAAGACGTATCAGTGGCACGGGCCGCACCCTGTCAAGGGCGCGCATGGGGTTTGGAGTATGGGGTTTGAAAAGGCATATGGTTATGAATGATTTTCCCCTTTGACGTAAGCAAGGAGTTACGATGACAATGACAGGTACTCCACAGCAATATTAGATGTATATCCCAACTTGACTTTATTTATATATGTACAAGATATCTTTTCTTTTCTTGGGTTCAAGGTGAGGATGGAATCTACGGAGTAGTAGATCAGTTTACCCTAGACAAGTAGTCATTGCTTTTCAATCCGTTGCTAGCAAGTCACTGTTCTTTATCTGCACCTACTCACCTGCTTGGAGTCAAACAATCCACAGGGAAACGTATGGAATTACGGATACTCTTGCATAAAATGAGGAGCCGAGGTTATCAAGAATTGAGGTGTGAAGGGGAGGAGGGGCTTTTTTTTTTTTTTTTTTTTTTTTTTTTCTTGGACACGAGGACCAAAATCCAAGTCATGCCTCTTAAGAGTTTGATTTTTTTTTTTTCCATTCCGTCGTCGCCACCACTACATAAAAGAGGACGCGCGCGCATCATCATCCCCGACCATTTCTCTCGTCGTTGCTCTTTGTTGACACTCTTGCTTCCTCGCGTTATCCAAATCCCCGATCGCATTCTCCCACCTTTCCTTCTCTTGCGCTCGTCATCGTCAATTCTCGACCACTCCCTCCCTGGTCGCATAAACATGGCCCGTAACGTCTCTCACGGCCGCGGCGGCGCTGGTAAGCCCCCCCCCCCCAACCCCAACCCTCCTCTGCCTTTCTTTCCTTCTGGAATCCCAGCTTAACAAAGGCCAAGGCAACATCTACTCCGGCGAAACGCGCACCACCACCCCGCGAGACCTCATCACCCCGACCATCAAACAGGAAGTCTACACCACCGGTCGCGGCGGCTCCGGGAACATGATGCACAACGATCCCGACCGGCCGGAGATTGCACGAGAAAGCCAGGACGTCGAGGTACCGCCGATGCGTGGACGGGAAACTCCCCATCACACGGGACGTGGTATGACCCCGCATCACCGGGATATATATGTACATCAGTTTCAAAGCTAACGAACGCGGGATGATATATGATGATTGCACCCAGGCGGCGCGGCAAACGCTTACATCCCCACCCCCGACGAAGAAAAGAAGGTTCGCGAAGAAGAAGATGAGCAGCTGCGCCGGGTCTACACGGCAAAATCCACCAGGGAGCGATCAAGGGATGTTGAAGAGCGTCGTCGTGGAGCGGATGCGGATGCGGATGCGGATCCAGAGCGTGGCCGGTCCTCGCAGTGATACTTTTTTTTTTTTTTTTTTTTTCTTCTTCTTCTCTCTCTCTCTCTCTCTCTCTCTATTATTTTGTTCCCACTTTGGTCTGGTCTGGTCTGGTTTCGCGTTGGTTGGTGGTTTGGTTTTGCGTATAGCTTTCTGTTAGTTAGTCAATCTTCCCTTTTGAATTCGATATCTCATCTCGCTGGTTTGCTTGGACTGACGAATCTTCGGGGTATTCTTTGGTAAATCTGGTGGACTTCCAAGGGTTGGAGATGTGAGTTTCCTGTCAAGCGTCAAGTACCGAGTACCGGTCTGCAGAACGCACGCAACACGATAGTAAATTAGAAAGAAATCGCTATAACTAACTAGATCTAGACACAAGACGGTAACTAAGTAGTAGAGGATTGACTACCTAGGTACATACATACATACGGAGTACATCATCTCTATATTTACTTTTTCTTCCTTTCTTTTCCTTTTGCTGTTTGATATAAAAAAATAAAATAAAATAAATCTTATTTGAATGTCAAGTTTGATCAGACTATCATTGCAACTAAGTTGAGAAACGCTCGATTCGTATGTATTCCTCTATACAAACGTGATTGAGCCGGTGGCTGCGGGGGGGAAAAGGGTCGGACTTGGGTTACCTGTCGCGCAGGTGCGGCTCAGCTGAACCTCTCTTGCTGGTAATATCTAGGAGCTTCTTGGTTGCCTGGCGCTTGTCTGCGTGGCTGTGGCTGCGGCTGCGGCTGTATGTAGTCAGCTTGTTGGAGTTGGTTGTTTCCGGACGCCAGCGGCAGCAGTATACCTACTGGTAGGCCGATTTACTAGCGAGTGTCCTGCCCACAGCCAGCAGCGGTTAAAGTTGGGCCAAAGTCAGCGCTGCGATCGTGAAATTCTTTCCGAGATATCCGATCGTTGCGATGTCGCGACTCAAGTCCCTTTCGAGGAATGGAATGCGAAACCAATTCGGGAGTGGCTGGGATGCTTTCATCATACTGGTGGAATATAGCAGCCCGTCGCATCGAGAACCCAGCTGAGCGAGTTCCTCCAGTTGGTATCCAAACACTGACCGATCTCCTGGATCAGTCTGGCGCCCCATTCGCCCATCCACCAGTGTCCCCTCAGCGAATGGATGATCACCGCGTAATGGGCCAGAATCACGAGTGCGAATGGCTCTCGCTGGCGGAAGAGCTCGATGTATTGAGACGGCACATGGAAAATCCACTGGAAGGCGACAATCATCGTTTCGCCGCCCTGGGAAACTTTGTCGAGTGAGTATCCGAGCTGTTTGATAGTGGCGTCATACAGGTCCTTCTCGTGATGCGCGTCCTGGCGCGCAAGGTTGGCGTTTAGCCGGGCAAGTGACATAATTGCTAGCCGAGAAGTGTCCGGCATCCGGGGGTGAGAGGTGTCGTGCTGCAGCAACGGGCGGAGCTCTCCATTCCCAACCGAGTCTATGATGTTAACCAGCATATCTATCGATTCCCTCGTCGACTGGAAAACCTGGTGGAGCTCGTCTAAAACGCATCGATTTGGGGAGGGCTCCATGATTTCCGGAAGAGCAAAGGAGAAGATCATTAGGATGTTCGAAAGGGTAAAAGTCGCGTTACAATGGGAAGGCTTCGATTTCCCCGATACCTTGGTGAGGCCGAGCAGAGCCTGATTCCGGTGATCCTTGGAGGTCCGAATATAGTGATCCTTGATATCGGCATTATCGGTGACTGCGAGATGGAGTGCGGACAAAGCAAGAATCCCATGCATCAGGAACGGATGGCGCATAGCCTCTCGCGGAACGACGGCCTGCCAGATGCATTCCACAGTGCTATTCCTTGAGACAGAGCGGTAGGTTGTGGTGCACCACTGCATCATCAATTCCAGGTCCTGTATGTTCAGCTCCCGGGCAGGGGGCCTCGCGGTGGGGGAGTCCATGAGCGCTTGGTACTGGGTTAAGAAGGCCGGATTGACAATGGACGGGGAGGGTATAGTCGCAGACGGTATAGGTGTGGAGGAGCGCGACTTGATCTTGGACCAGGCCAACGGGGTGGGCGATGGTGGTAGATACTCGCATATTAGGTTGCGACTGTGGCAGAACGAGCACTGGGGCTGTTGTTTCCCACACTTTTCATAGCACCAATTAGCATATGCATCAAGACCAGCATTTCTTATTCTGTTCCAGGTCCAGGAAAGACAAGACCAAGACAATGGGTGGATATTGCGTTTGCTGTCTGCAGGTGGAAGCCAACCCGTGCAGGACAAAGAGTTGTAATACCAGCAGCAGCAGCAGCAGCAGCAAGAATCGAATTGAATCAGAATAAAGAATGGTGGAGAAAAAGAAGAGAAGGAAAGAAGAAAATCAAAAGGCAGAAAAAGAAAAGAACAAGACACGTACCTTGATTCGCCGACTTCTACACTCCAAGCAGCCATTCCGAAGGCTGGCCCTGTAACTCCGTCGGGATGGCATCCCTGGAGAATTCATCAATCAGCCCTGGAAGCTGGATCAAAAGGGAAGCAATTGAAAGGGGGTTCATGCAACAGGTCTCCTCGACAACATTATTGTGTTTCCCCAGCGATATCATCTTCCAGCATGATCTAGAGAAACACAACACAGACACAGTGTGTGTGATGCTGGCTGAAACTTTTCGTCGACTTTGGATTTTGGCTGTTCAAGAATTTCTTGCAAAGGACTGGTATTTAATCTATTTGACTTCCTTCATCTCTCCTTCTCCCTCTCCCTCCTCTCCTCCTCCTCCTCCCCCCCCCCCCCCAAGGTGGATCAGCACTGCTCCGTACTAAAGACCAGTTACTGGACTAACTTGGAACCGATAGATCAATGCTGCTGTGGGTCAGAGTGCCTATCCGCTGTGTACCTACTCTATCCCGAATCAGCGCAAGTGCTAAAAGCTACCAACTAATGATTGCTGGTTTTTTTCCCCCCCCTTTGAACGTCACGGACAAAATCAGTAAATGCGTTCAGTTTCTTCCCCTCAGAACGACCGTGCTCTGTTGCTTATTGTTTGGACCACCGAGGGCTCGGCGCCCCAGTGCATCAGATGGTTAGATACATGCATTTATGCAGTATGGGAAGAGGATACACAGTGATTGGCATAAATTATTAGAGGGAAGGATCAATGGTCAGGCTACACTGTCCGGACTAGGAAAATGGTGCCGCCAATGCCTTTTTGGGAGAGGGGGGAGAGGAGGGTTTAGCGACTCCGTACGGCGTACGATGGGGTTGAACCTGGGAAAAAAAAAGAGGGATTCCAGGATGGGACATTAACGAAAATTTGGATTAGGAAAATCGGGCCTTGCTATTAAATATAGAATCCCAATCGACGGAATCGGTTTTACGGGGGGGGACTCCACCGGTCGACTTGATCAGCATTCAGCACCCCTGACGGAAGTGATGAAAGTGAACCGCTGGAGGGGACATTCCTCGCTCAGAACAGCAAGTACGGAGTATGGACGTACATATTTACTGAGGAGGGTGCCCGTCGAACAAAGAGAATCACAAAGATCGGATTTCACCCTTCATCGCGACTAGGTGCATGTCGCTGCTAGCGCGGGGGGGGAGATTCTATCATTCTCCTCCATTGGCCTGCAGGACGGCCTCGTCATACCATCTTTGGACAAAACTACTATACTCAAGGTTGCTGACCGCCGGGGCAAACCTAAAAGCCAAAACCATCGGCAGCGTGGACTATGCCTATCGAGGAATGAAACCTGGCGTCAACGAACCCTGCTTTTACCGTTTCGGGCAATACGGCGGAATCTTGGTCTGAGATGCCCTTTTCATTGGATCGTTGGATACGCCAATCAAGGCTCGCATAGGTGGCTAGGTACCTTCGTCTGTAGCTGAGGCTTGGACAGTCTCTTGCCACCTTTGAGAGACGTTTTCCCCCACGCACCGTTGTATCTCTTTGCTTTTTGGTTTGACGGGTTTACCGGGTTACCCACTGCTGTCCGCAGCCCTCCCAAGTTTTCCGTGAGCTGGTCCGTGGGCTGTGCGTCCAACAGTGTGGACCGGATTTTCGGCTCCCATGGAATTGTCAACACCATTAGATTAGTTACAAGTAGATCACTCCGCATAGGTATGGGTTTCCGAATACGCTGGGGATTCAATTGTTGTTGACGCTTGCCAGCTGGACTAGTCTACTCCATACACTGACGTATATGGACCTCCCCAGAACGTGCAAGGCGTCGTTCGTTTTATCCCAAGACGGAAAATGCAGAGAACTGAAGTCTAGAAGCGACCCACGATGGGAATGACCGGAAAATATTATCCACTTTATGTAATAGAGATAGATGACAACTTCTAACCAGTGATAGTTATCCAAGGCCACAGCACAGGCCTTGTAGCATGCAAGGTAAGCAACCAGGCCAAGTAGTTAGGTATAGATAGTAAGTATGTCCAGCACATCGGGTCAACATCTGAGGCCTTACCACGTTCTCAGTTGTGTCCATTATCCTATTCCAGTTATAATGTACCCTACCTATATCTTCATAGGTAAAAAAAAGAAGATCATTCCCAATAGGTATAATTATAATATTCCAATATTGATTAATTCCCGACCCAAGGAAAGTGGAATGCGTAAAGCAAATATGATAACGGGTACAGTACCCCATACTTTAGTGAGACCCTCTCCCCATGCTTAGATTGAAATTGGGTACGGAGTAGTTACATAGTGAACTATACATACTCCTCCGTGCTCCGTCGGTGTTTGATCAGCCATCAGGGGCATCCAGGTCCCGAATAGGCAATGTGCGCAAGGACGGGTTTCGCGCACTCTTCCTCGAAACGGCCCCTTCATCGATCAGTAGCCTCCTCGCTCTGGGTTTAGACTTTAGACTAGGTTACGGCGTACTCCGGACTCCGTACAGTTCGTGAGCAAGATGATCCCTGGGGCTCTAGAGCGGATTGGGTTGGTAGTGACGTACTCGTACTCTGCACTAGGCCTGGGGCTGGTCATGACGGTCATGAGCATGAGAACCCATTAGTGAACAGAACAGACCACCTAACATACGGAATACTCTATAGACCCGTAAGCCGCTCAAACCAAACAAGGCAGGAGGAGTACGGAGTGCAGGGTGCAGGGTGCAATCGAGATCCAATTTATGAGCATATAGATAGTTAGCATGCTTGTCTCAGCCACAGCCATCGGCAGCAATACCGAGGAAGACAGCGTACCAGGTAGACGATGGGGATAACAAGCTAGACCTTCCGATAGAAACAATAAGATCATTCTTCATTCTACCTACCAGAATGTATCCATGATCTGTACATATGTATACTCAAGTATCGATATAGATACCGATGCTGGATGCCGATTGCATTGCAACCAACCTTTTCGGTATCGGCACGTCCTAACTGCTGCTTGATGCAATATTGGAATAGTTACGTTGCTTGTTTTCCAGGTTGCTCTATCATGATGTATAAGATTTCCTAGTTTCAGGTTCTTCTTTCTACTATATGGAGTACTCTATAGTGATTGGCGTTTCTACCCGTACAGCAACAACGCAACCCTGAGTAAGGAAAGAGTCCATTTCTAGTGATGAACTAGTATAACCAGGCAGCAGCGAATGAACCCTATGTCAACCTACTATGACTCTTGTTATATAGAAAGGTGGTTTGGGGGGGGGGGGACTTGATCGGATGAAATTGGAGGATGGGATTGAATGTACGTAGGTAGAGATTATGCACTTTCCGTCCGGACTGTCCCAATATATTGGATACATCAGCCCAACAATCCGACTCGGATAAAACACCAGCAGCACCCCCCCCCCATCAATCACCAACCCCATCAACTACCACTGTACTGGCGACTGGTAACAGCCCTAAATATGATGCGAGTTCAAGGAGCCCCCATCCAGTCTAAGCATCTACAAATCAGCTCGGCGATCAAATCAATCTCGACTCCGTATCCTACTAATGGAAGAATCCGAGTACGAATCCGAAGACGGTCCCCCCCCACTGATTCGAGAACAGAGCAGACATATCTACCTAGATAGTCATCAGATACCTATAACTATTTATACAGTGACCTCGTATGCGAATGCGAGGTCCAGATACGTCACCTCCAGAAGGAACTAGGCAACCTAGTGCTTATAGGCTTGGTTTTTTTCGCATGCGCTTCTTCATACATACATATATGGAGGGAGGGATCTTAGGCTAGTTTCTCCTGGATTCCAGTTGACCTTCCGCCTGGGTGCTTCTTCACCTCTCGGCATAATAATGACTCTCAGCTCAACCGCTCTCATCTTCATTGTCCTCGTGGCTGCCCTGGCCTCCGTCGCCACCGCCGCCGGTATCTTCGGGTTCCTTGGACCGACGCAATATGCCGTGTATTCTACCTCCCTCGAGCAGCAGCGCTATATGCGAGACCTGCGGCAGAGAAATCTCCATGTCCTGTTACAGGACGCTCGGCCAAATGTGTGTCTGGACACTTCCTTTCCTTATATCTCTGCACTAACGTTGAATTTGTAGAAGAATCACGGTTAGGAGGAATTAGTGCTAGGCGGTTGGAATATAGGCGTGGTGATTTGGGAAGAACAAGCATTAGAAATTATAGAGAGAGAGAGAGAGAGAGAGAGAGAGAGAGAGTTTATTATCTCTAATTTAGTATAAACCGGGATCTGCCTTCAGTCTGGGAGAGCTCCACATCTGTTCCTCGGCCTCGGCCTCGTCTTCGAAAGTGATCGGTGTGCTGTTTCAACCCTTTCTGAAAGTTCAGCATGCACAGCACAGAGTTGAGGAGCGTTCCGGTGAGCAGCAGGATCGCCACCGACGCAAACAAGGACAAGGAACTGCCGAAGCCGCCAAGGCCGTCGTTCTCCGTCGGATTGTACAGTCGAAAAACGATGGTTGTGAGGTTGGCGATGAGAGCGCAGATGACAACCTGCCGTAGACGTTAGATGTGAACGGAAATTGACTTCCCAGAGCAGCATTCGTACCATGACAGCGATGAGGGCTTTGGTCATTTCCAGTCGACAGAAGCGAGCAGCCAGGATGAGACTCACTATGGCTGTTGGGACCAGGGCGGCTTGCGAAATGAACTGGCTGTTATCGAGGCTTTTCACCCCAAGTAGGATCTGAAGCTGGGTCCCAAACACAAAAAAGAAGTCGAACTTGAGCAGCGCAATGTATACCTGGAGATATTAGCGAGTCTGACAGGATGCTGGTGAAATAGCAAGTCGAACCTGGTACGTGGTATAGCGGCGATTCATCTGCAAATCTGCACTAATGTTCTTGTATATAGACCAAGAAAACTCCCCATGCAGCTTCCACGTCTCGAAAACCATCAACAAGGTGCCAACAGCCAGGAAAACCGGCACCAGGATAAGCGGAATGCGGTACATTCCCCAAAGGTGGTGGCCTGACGTTGCGTCCCCCGCCAACTTGATCATGGCATCTCTGATATCCCTTTGTTGCACAATCCCGTATGTCAGAAGCCCAAAGTTGCAAATACAGAGTCCTATCAGCTGAAATGTGTTCTCGCGTTTGAGGGCGTCATATGCCAGTGCAAGCTCGTAGAGGAGTCCGAATATATACAGGCCAAGAAACGACCGAATGAGCAAGGTCCCGTCATCAGTTTTGGTAGTATCGTAGCGATTCGAGATGCTCATGATAATCCAACTAGATCGAGAGTCATTATCAGACAACCTCTGCGGTGCAACTGCCGGAGTAGGGCTTCCAACTTACCTCTCGATTCCGACGGTAATGACTGTCTCGATGATTCCGGTGATGGCGAAGGATCGTGTCCATAGGGTGTTAGGAATGTAGAGTCGACGACGACGCTTCTGAGGAGTCCCGGGCTGGTCATCCTTCAGTCCTGCACTCGTAGGCGTGCCAAAGTCACCAAACTCAACCACATGGACATTGTCGGATTGAGCCCCAGGCTTATTTAAGTACGAAACACCAGAGTAACTCCTGCCAGCGGCAGCTTGAATAGGTCGCGACACGGGTGCTGTAATCAGTACTAGGCTCTCGGGTCGCATCGTGTCGAAACCCCAATCAATCCCGGTGGCATTTTGTGGATTGAAATCACAAAAAGTTCGACTCACGGTAAATAATGGACGCCCAAGTATTCTTGATAGGGAAGGGCTATTTAGTGGTAGCCTAAGGCCAATCAGCAGCAGTGGAGACGAGGCACGCAACACGAATACGAAGCCGAGGGTAACGAACTACCAGCCCGCTAATTGGAAACAGCAGGTCGAATGTTGGGCGCTATTATTACATATATAATTAACTAGACCAAGCGACGATCCAATTCTTTGGTAGGGAAATGGGATCTCACCGTAAATTAATCGACTGAGACAGAGACAAAAGTACGGTAAGTCGACTATGCAGCCTGGAGGTTTTTCAGCACTCACAAATGGATAAATACGTCTTCAAACACAGGAAATATGGTTTTGAAAGTGACCTCTGTCATAGATCATTAGAAGAATAATTTTCTGGCTCTTTTTGTGCCAATAATATGGGATCTTCATTGTAAAACCGTTGCTCTCTTCCTGTGTCATGGGCGTTATTCACTAAATGCTGTCCTTGGGGGCTAGGCGGACCCCCTTTCCAAAAAGTATATATATTAATTTTTTTTTTTTTTTTTTTTTTTTTGCTTTTGAATAAAAAGGTGCATGTTGGCAAAAAGTCTCAACCTAGCTGAACATGATTAAATGTTAGATCTCGGGGTATCCAGCCCAATTGTTCCATAGGCCACTGCAACCAGCACCGATGTTCTTCGCTGAGCTGGCGGTAGATTCCTTCAATCAAATGGGTACTCAAGCCTTGCATCCACCACGCCCATTCCAATGCCTTGGTTATGACACAAAAATAGGAGAAGATGACCAAGGCCTCGGGCTTGCGCTCGCGAAGAAGACGGAGGTAGTCCTCTGAGGTTTCAAGAATCCATACGAACACATCGGCCGTTTGGCAATTGTCAGGGCCAACATCGGCTATTGTAGCAAATGATTTGCTCATCTCGTCAACAGCGTCAAGATAGCACGCTAGCTCTTTGGCGTCCATCACGGTCTCCTTCAGGAGTCGCCGTAAGTCATCCAAGAAGGACATATTGGTGGTCGATTTGGCCTCGCGCGCACGTCTCCTCCGAATACCGTTGATGAAGATTGGCGACAGGACACTGGTTTTGATAGCATTCTCCGCTGATTCAATAATGAACCATGTCCCTCGAAAGAGCGTCAGCCATTCGATATCTCGGTCACCGATCATCCAGCAGTCATCTGGCAATCGTGGTTTTGCGCAGGAGATAATTGAAGTCAGCGTAGAAAACAGATATATAGCCGGGGCGTTTTCTTCGGTGATATTTGACAAAACGGCCGAAGCCATTTGCAAAGCCATATTATGATGGAACTCGGCCTCAGCAACATAGTGTGCCCGGTTTTCCGGTTTCAGGTGAGCCAGGTGGAGCGCCGCGAGGGCCAAAATTGCACGCAGGACAAAGTGAAACGAAAACCCGACTTGAGGGACCCTGATTCGCCACACCATCTGGAGCATTGGATGCATCGAGATGGTGTAGCAGGTGGAGGTCGAGTAGTGATGCAGCAGCGCCATTTCTGCTACCCCCATTGCTGGACCAACAGATGCACCGTGCCCCGGAAGGTTATTTGGACTTGGAGCTGTACTGGTAGGTAGAGAAGTATCCCTCTGAAGTTTTCTCTCCGATGAAGAAGAGGCATTTGAAGCACTGGGTGCGGGTTTGTCGAACATACAGTCGATCCCATGTTTAATGCAGTTGTGACACTGCGGTCTTGTCTCATCACACTTGATAACAAATGACACGGGTAAGCACGAAGTTGGGACGAGGGAGGAAGAGCTGCTGCCTACCTTGACCTTCCGGGCCTTACATCGCTTACAGCCATTCCTTGACTTCGTATGAGGGCGCCGAGGTCTTATGGAGTCTCCACGCAGCATTGTGTCTGATTGTAACGCAGTGGAAACGATATGGTTCCATGTCGTCAAATAAAAACGATGGTCGTGGAGGCTGAAATAAATCAACGGTTGACTAAGCCAGGAGAACCAGCGAAGTTTAGCAGAAATGAAATATTTTACTCTATTTTACTCTACTAATATATATTATATATTAGATTAAGTAAAAACAAAATAGGTCACTACCTGACGCTAAAAATATATTAAGAATTTTAGAAGGCTTTTTTTTGGGGGGGTTTTAGCGGTTAGCTCACATGTCAATGTTATTGATACTCCGAGTCTCCCACCGGGTGACCTGATTGTCGAGTTGCACCACTGCTATAAAACCTGTATATTTCCGGGTAGCTGACAGATCTACTTAGGAGAAGAAAATCCTAACATGTCCATGTCCATCTATCCATCTACGCGGAGTCCTACATTTGTTTATCAGGTTAATCCCAAGGATCAAACAGGAACAACCGATTTGGTCCCCCTGGACCTCAGCGGTAAGTTGATATGGCTGGGTCCGGGCAGCGGGGATCCAAGTCTCTTCGAGTCAAATAATCCATCAATCCCTGGAAAGGGTCAGATCGGTTGGCCGATAAATTAAGTTGGATAGAGGCCGCGTTGGCGTCTGACGGATTACCAGCTCCGGGATCTCCGATGAAGATGAGTTAGATCGATGCTTAAGGGGTTCAAGCTAAGCGATGGTCAGTAAGTATCCTCGGATCTGAAAACGGTCGCCTAAATCCATCCATCTGCTCCTGTGTACGACCATTCTGTACTCCTTCCTAAACCAGACCATTTTATTAATTTCAAAAGAAACCTTTTGCCTAGAATTGGATTACCAAGTACTCCGTATAACTAACTATGATGTAGCCCATTTCGGACGTTCCCCTCTTTTGTTACATCGGCCAATACCCAACCGAACAGACCGGATTTGAGCTGTTGGAGATATAGAATGAGAAGAGAATATTGAAAAACGACTATATCTCTTTCTCTTTCCTTTTCCCTTGTACTACATATACTAGCAGCGGGAAGTAACAAGCCTACTCCGTAGTAGGCAGGAGTCTGAACCCGACTGTCTGGGTCGTGAGGTTCCTGCGCCGGGCTATTCAGAAATACATACGTAGGTACGTAGTACAGGTATTCTTAGATGAACTTAACTTCTCTATCCACTTGTATGAGCTCATCATCTCTCTCTCTCTCTCCCTCTCGCTTTTCCCTCGGCCGCCACCATCTTTCATCCTCTTATTCTCACCCACTCTCCCCTCCACCTTCCCCTTTTTTTTCCCCTTTGAATTCTACAGCTTCTTACCTAACCAATCATTTCTTCCTCCATGTCAACTTTCCATCCTGTCTGGACGTTGTGAACCTTTGGTGCTGGACCCGTGGAATCAGCGAATCTCCCGCACTTGTGACAGCTCCCGCGGCTCACCTCAAAGGACGATCCCCGGTTGCTCTGGTGAGCTTCAAGCTGGTGTCGCACTCTTAGCTTATTGTATCGTATGTATATCAATTTTATTTCCCCAACTCTTACTGATGTCGAACCGCGATCGGGTGTAGACTTATTCAAGGCCTTTCACTCGCAAGCCTCGTCGCTTCGGGTGCTGACCCCTCTTCGCCACTCGACCCTCTGTCCCAGAATTTTTTTCGTTCTTGGGGCCGCCGGAATTTTACACTCTGCAACTATCCATCCAAGTCCCTGGGCCGTTTTCTGCAAATTCAAATTCAGCCCTCCCTCCGACCTAGAAAAGCCCCTCCCGGCGATTCGCAGCCCTTCGACCATCCCAGGACCTCCCCCATCCACAGTTGCGCTTCCGCCTGTGCTCCAGGAGGATCCCCGGTGCTCTAACCGCGGTCGCGAGAAGCTCGATCAACAACCTGACAAAAGGCGTTGAACTCTTCTCGCATGTGTGTTTGTCGTATCGCATATCTCTCCGCGGTGGACGATCCAGGTTCCATTTTCAACTCCAAGGCGCTGGCCTCTCTCTTTTCCGTCTTCCAGTTCTCGTTGCGAATCGCTCACTAGCCATGTACGCCATCGAAGAACGAGCACATCCCGCACCACCCGCTCCTCCTCCCCTCTCCATGGATCGAATCCCGCCTCCCTCGTCCGTGTATACCACTCCGGGTTCCGCTGGCCCAGTGCCTGGCAGCGGTATTCCGACTGGTAGCCTGGATCCATTGTCGACAATCCATGATGGCCGTATCTGGTCCCTCCAGGTTGTGCAGCAGCCTATTCGTGCACGGATGTGCGGGTTTGGCGATAAGGTCCGTTCGTCCCTTTTTTACGTGCTTTGGTCAAGTCCATACTCACCGTGAAATCAGGACCGGAGACCTATTACTCCCCCTCCTTGTATTCGCCTCATTGTGCGAGATGCGCAGACGGAAAAAGAAATCGACATCAAGTGTGCAAATCCTACGCTCAAGGAAAAGCTCGTAGTGCTAACGAAGAATCTAGTGAGATTGACACATCCTTTTACGTTCTCATGGTAGATTTATGGAACTCGGAAGGGACGCACGAGGTGAACCTTGTTAAACACTCGGCCACATCTCCGTCGATATCGACAGCGATGTCTTCATCCTACCCTCCGCCTCCAAACCCCACCTCTCCCCCGTTCCCGCAATCCTACGCACAGGGTCCCTACGGCCAACCCGTCGGATACCCTCAAATGAACAACTACTATGGTGGGAACCCGCAGATGCAATACCCGAACCCCTATGGCAACCCGCAGGCACACTACTATCCGCCGTACTACGCTGGTAGCGGCATGCCTCCAACGAACATGTCCCCAGCGCAACCAGTAGCTTCCGGTCCCGGCGGCATGTTCACTCGCAACCTCATCGGCAGTCTCAGCGCCAGCGCCTTCCGCCTTACGGACCCCGACAATAAGATTGGCGTGTGGTTTATCTTGCAGGATTTGAGTGTGCGTACAGAAGGAGTATTCCGGTAGGTTCCGTCAACGCGTCCTCTTAAAAAAAAACAATTTGTTTTGTGTATACTAACGGGACTTCAGTCTTAAAATGAGCTTTGTGAATGTAGGATCTTCCTCTAGCAATGACGCTTCCAATGGTCTGTCGGTGATCAACCATGGATCTGCTCCGGTTCTTGCTTCTGTCTTCTCTGAACCATTCCAGGTCTTCTCCGCTAAGAAATTTCCTGGTGTGATTGAAAGCACAGCCCTTAGTAAATGCTTTGCGCTGCAAGGGATTAAGATCCCTATCCGCAAGGACGGGGTTAAGGGCTCTCGTGGACGCCACAGTGACGAAGACGACGGTCTGGATAACGACTTTTGAGACCAGACTGCCTTTCATTCCTTCAATGGTTGGGTAGAGGACCGGACGGCGTTATTCGGCTTGTTGTTCGGTCTGGTTATTGACGCATTTACGGGTTAAGACGTGGGGGGTTCGGCTTGCGGTGTTCTGGGGGGTTTTATTTGGCTCATTTGGGTGGGTTGTATTGCTACCTCTTTCTCTAGGACTGGTGCCACGGGCTTTTTCTGCCTCTTTTACATTCTTGCTTTCACTTTGCCCTTTAGTTTTTCTAATTTTGTATACTGCTTTAGTTCAGAATAGTCATTATTTAGTTTGAGTATTGTTCCCGGATGCAAGCTACAAAACGCGCAGGGGGGAAATACAAAAGAGATCATCATGCTTTTTTTTTTTTTTTCTCCTGAGGATGAGAATGAATGAGGTCTACTACTGTGTATGGAATTTACTTCAATAAATCCGATTCATATTAAGCGGGGATGGACCTCAAGCTCACAAAGTACGCGTGAAAGATCTTGTAAGAGTCACCTCGTGCGATCGGTCTCAAGAGTCAGACAGCGATACCAGTTGAATTGCCACCAGACTGGTGATGTTTCCCTCTCTAGTGCTGACTGAAAAAAAAAAAAAAAAAAAAAAAACCATCTCCGCATCTGCAGCAATTCTATTCTTGGAACCTGCAACGATGGGAGGAATCATTGGTGATCCTCTCGGTCCTTGCTTGGTTTGTCGATGACTCGATATAATCATCATCTACGGTACATATCTGACGCATATGAATCGAAGCAGAACATACAGCCATGGTGATTCCCTGGTACCAGCAGCTCCAGCCACAGTTCAAGGACTAACGGATCACAGTTTGATTGGGATCGTTCGTGCTATTATTATCAGTATTATTGCGATACGGGAGATGTCTTGGATAGGTGAGACATTGCATTTGCATTCCTCCTCCGCGCCTTCGCGCCCACTCTCCTCCCCCTCTCGACGAACGTCATGATTATTGTCTCTACCCAACCACCGCTCCTTCGACTTGTTCCTTGGCCTACGCCAGGGAACAATAGCTTTGGCAGCAATGCAACCTCGTTCATTCAAGATTCATCCAGCAGCTTATTCCGACTTGCAGCGTCGCGGGTTATGTTCCCCGAACCTTGTCGCATGGTGTGCTCTGCACCCTGAATCCCGAGACATGGAGACTATAAATTCGAGCCTGTGTCCGCATCGCATCACGATCAATCAACCACAGCCATTGAACCAAAACAAACGCACTCGTTAATACCATCATCATAATCAACTCTATCACCATGAAGTTCGAGCTTGCTTCCTCTCTTCTTCTCCCCTTCCTAGCGGCCGCTGCCCCAACCGACAGCGGCGCTTCCGCACCAGCTGAGAACCCCACGGCCTTCACTGTTATGTCCAGTCGCTCCGCGTCTCCCATCCACCTTCTCCCCATGAACGCCGCAGGCCAGTCCTTTTGGCTAGGAGGCGAACCAGGCACTTACTGCCCGCTCACCTCTGGCTGCCCCCCGGGTAACATGACTGTCCTTGCCGGAAACGGCGGTTCATTGGTACGTCTCCCTTGCTCCCCATCTAACCGTCATATTATTATATATATTATACCATCCCAACCCCATCCTTCCAAAACGAAATCCCCCAATCGTCAACCTTAACATTAACGCTAACGGGGGTGGGGGGGGGATGGATAGTCCGTAGTCGTCCCCGGTGGGCAACAAATCTACGTCAGCCCCGAAGGCGCCCTGAAATTCACCCAGGCTCATTCCGCCTACATCCCAACGGGTTCCTCTCTCGGTCCCTTTGAATACGAGGCCGGCGCCCCCGGATCCGCCTTCGGCCACTACCTCTACACCGGTTGGGGCGCGTCCGGGTTCATGGCTTGCCCGACTAGCGATGAAAAGTGGCAGGTGTTTGCGGCGCTGCAGAACGCCACCGTCCCCTCTGGGAGTGTGGATGACTGCTTGGGGTTCTCGGCGCTTGCCGTGCCCACGGATGATGCAGGGAATACCTGGCAGTATATTTAGATACTTTAACCGGTAAAAGGTTGAGTTTACTTGGTTGGTGGGCTGGTTGGTGTTGTGTGGGGGTGGGGGGGGGAGGGGGGAAGTATATATTTATTTATATAGGATTACTTACTTGCCATTCATGATATACGTTGATATTGTGTTGAGATTGAATTGACTTGGTATGCACACCAATAAATGTACAGCACATAGTAATAGTAACAGGAGCCATTGCATCATTAGTTTAGATCGAAATACATTATTATACTGATGTACATATATAATAAATAGTTTCCCAGATCATATTGAAAAAAAAAAAAAAAAAAAAACAAAAAAAAAAACAGAGCAGAATAACTCCGCGTCTCTGTAGTACTAGTAGTATAAAATCAACTGTGTAATTGCGGAATGTAAAGCAAGTCTATATCAGACGACACAAATAAGAAGATTTCTTTGGTCTATGTATGTATGTATGTATGTATGCATGTATGTATGTAGGTCTACTCCGTACTACTACTCGGTTCTAGTGTGGGTGGTAGTTACTGGTACTACTTTATTAATGCCTCCAAATCCGTACCGCTTTGTCTTTCCCGCCGCTGCCTACTTTTTGTCCATCGGGGCTCCAATCCACTGCAAAGACCTCGTCCTTGTGGCCTGGGAGATCCATGGCGAGTTTCCCCGTTCGCACGTTCCACACTTTCAGGGTTGTATCCTTGGATGAGGAAACAAGGAGCCGCGAATCAGCCGAGAAACAGCACTGGTAGACTGCGCCGACGTGGCCGCGGAAGGTAGTGATGAATCTGGAGGGCATTTGTCCGCGTGAGTCTTGACAAGAAAAAGAAAATGTAGAAAGAAAGAGGGGGAGAGAGAGAGAGAGAGAGAGAGAGAGAGAGAACTTACTTTCCGTCACGGCCGTTCCATAGTTTTACGTGGTTGTCGAACCCAGCGGAAGCAATGTACGCCATGTCAGGGGAAAAAGTCACATGGTTAACCTCCTTCTGGTGGCCGAGAAGTCGGGCGACTGGCTTGCTCGAACTCTCCGGGTCCCATAGGTACATGGTAAAGTCGTCGCTTGCAGAGACAAGCTTCTCGACGATCTTGTTGTTGATTGTGGCCGCTTGTTCGAATCTCTTCTTCGCCGTCGCGACCTTTTCGGCCTCGGAGTCGGGAATCTTCCCCGTGTGGTCGTAGAAAGCCGTTCGGAGGACAAAGTCTGTCGATAGTGCAAGGTGGTTGACGCGGTGGGCGTGTGCGGACAGAGTCTGGATGAGGGTTCCGTTCTGCGAGTTCCACACCTTGATGGTTCTATCATGGGAGGAGGTGTAGATCTTGCCTGTCCCGCCCCAGCGAACACAGGTCACTGAGCCCTTGTGGCCTGTGAGCACGATATCGGCTCGTTTCGAGATGACATCCCAAACTCGCACTGTAGAATCCTTCGAAGCCGACGCTATCCGCGGGCTGCCCGATTGCTGGAGATGGTACGGCTCCCAAGCCAAGCTAGTAATCCACTTCGCATGTCCCTTAAGAGGAGCGCCCAGCGCCTGTCCCTTCTTCGCATCCCAGATCCGTACGCTGTTGTCCATGCTTCCCGTTGCGACCATAGCCCCGTTCGGCGAGTAGCTGACCGCCAACACCCAGCTCGTGTGGCCCTTCAGGGTATGTAGTGGCGTTCCGGTGTCGCAGTCCCAGATGCGAGCGGTGGAGTCTCCGCTGCCAGTAACCATTGTCGAGGAATTTACTGGAGAGAATGAGGTGGCGAGGATCGCTTCACCATGTCCGGCTATAGAAGCAGAGCATCGCGAGACGGCTTTCACGCGGAAAACAGCCTGTGGGGTAAAGTAAAGATGGACCGTGTCTTCTGTGGTTTTCAATCCCGGTTTCAATAGGGAGTGGTACAGGTCTGCTAGGATATCGATCGTCTGGCTGTCCTTTCCTTCGGACTGATAGGTAAATCGATACGGAACTCGGTCATCATCATCTTCCTAAATTCGCAAGAAACCAATTAGCGCCGATCAAACCCATACCGAAACACCCGCCGCATACCTACATTGCCTTGTAATGTGTTCAGAAGCGTCTCGAGATTCTTTACTGTAGCGTCGGCCACCGGAACCGAGACCGCAGGTCCTGTCGCAGAGCCGGTCGCCTGGTCGAAGAATTGCACTCGGATGCTTCCCAGGTTATCTGGGATACTCTGGATATCTTGCTGAAGACGCGCCTTTTCGGCGATCTCCGTCTTTTGACGTTTACTGGGCGGAGGGAGGAGGGTCGCCATTTTGTATTTGTCTGCACTGTTGGAAAAAAAAAATATGAAATCTCCGCCTCGAGAAAAAAAAAAGTGCCCGCCGACGGCTTATCGGCGACGATCTGCGCTAAACCTGTTTCGGAACCTTGTATAGAACCCAAGTTACATCCTCATTTTCTTTTCTTTTCCTTCTCTTCCATCAACTCCAATGAACTGACGTCTCAATTCAGGTCTCGTGGATTAAAAATAAAACATGTCTTCCATCCTTTCTAGGGCTTGCTCAATTGGAGCCACGCCCTTTGCTCCTCTTTCTGCGCAAAACAGTACCCTTAACCAAACAGCCAGGCCCGCTACAACGGCCACGAGCGTCGCATCTCAGGACATCATATGCGCCATCAGCGAATCCCGAGGAATATCATCCACAGTTGGTCTTGCATTTGTGAACCTTTCAACTGCGGAAGCCGTTTTGTGCCAGATATGTGACAGCCAGACGTATGCAAAAACAGTCACCAAAATCAGCGTATTTGAACCCACCGAGATCCTCTTCATGAGCACCGCAAGGGCTTCGAAGTTGTTTTATATAATCCAGGCGAATATCTCAAATACCGCATTTACGTTCCTTGACCGAAAATACTGGGCAGAAAAAGCAGGACATGAATATGTGCAACGATTGGCCTTTGCAGAGGACGCTGACTCGATCAAAGTTACTCTAGGGGGGAACTACTTCGCTGCGTGTTGTTTCGCTGCGGTGCGTGTACCAGTAGATTGTTTAATTTGAATGCAGAGGCTGATTTTCCAGGTACTTAAATATGTCGAGCTGGAACTCAACCGAATCTTCACCTCATATTCACTTCGGATCCGATTCGAGCCTTCACAGGGATCAATGTCAATCGACTTGTCCACAATTGGGTCGTTAGAACTCATGAAAAACCTACATAACGCCAGGTCTAACGAAAGCCTTTTCGGTCATATGAACGCGACACTTACGCCCATGGGAGCGCGACTACTGAGAGCTAATATTCTTCAGCCATCAACAGAGGAATTCAAATTGGTGGAACGGTATGAGGCTGTCGAGGACTTATCTACCAAGGAGGAGATGTTTTCCTCCGTACGACAAGGTACGTGATGTTATACCTAGAACTCATACATCGATAGTAACCTCTGTACCCAACAGCTTTGAAAGGGTTCGTTGATGCGGACAGGGTTCTGAGCGCTGTAAGTTTGTTTACTTATGCGGTTGCTCAGAAAAACTAACAACCAAGCTTATCATTGTTCCTACCAAACCAACGTTTCAATACCTTGAACAATCTGTCAACAATGTTATCATGCTCAAAACCTATGTTTCCTCGATCAGATCCGTCTACAAGGCACTTACAACGGCTCAGAGCAGGCTGCTCCTAGCCATCAGAGAAGTAGGTATTTTAGCTATATACCTTGTACTGAAAAACGCTAATATACTCAGATATGTGCTCCTGCTAGTCACGCGGCCGTTGAACAGTTGATAGAATCAACTCTTAACGAGCACGTAGCGTACCAAACAAAGCCTCTCGACCTTCGAAATCAACGGATATACTGTGTCAAGGTATTTACACTCTCCGGTACCACTCTACCTTCCTGACATGCTCTGCATAACAATAGGCAGGAGTAAACAGTCTCCTCGACGTGGCGAGACAGACGTACAAAGAAGCTAATATGGATGCTGCAGAGCTTATAGCCAACCTATCAGGTAATCCTAGATGGTATCTCCCTGCTTCTTTCTGACATCTAACTATTGCAGAGGCTCATAATATCTCTTTGGACCTGAAATATGACCCCGCGCGTCAGTACTATATTACCCTGCCAATCACGGAGACATCACTCCCCGAAGTGTTTGTCAACATATATCGCAAAAGAAACCGCATTGAATGCCAAACCCTTGATCTTATCAAACTAAACCAGAAAATCACAGACGCTCATAACGAAGTAATAAATATGAGTGACAAAACCATCCAAGAACTCACCCAGAACATCTGCTCCGAGATCTCCAACCTATTCAGAGTCAGTGAAGCCATTGCGATGCTCGACATGCTCACTGCTTTCGCGCAGCTCGCCACAACAAACGAATACATTCGCCCAGAGCTGACCGACGTTCTTGCCATAAAGTCCGGCCGACATCCAATTCGAGAAAAGATACACACGAAGAAATTCATCCCCAACGACGCCTATGCGACCCAGCAAACCCGCTTCCAAATTATCACAGGCTGCAACATGAGTGGCAAATCCACGTACATCCGCTCTCTAGCCCTAATGGCCGTCATGGCTCAAATCGGCTCCTTTGTGCCGGCAGAATACTCCTCTTTCCCCATCTTCCATCAACTCTTCGCTCGTGTTTCCACAGCAGACGATATTGAAGCAAACGTATCCACCTTCGCCGCCGAAATGCGCGAAACCGCATTCATCCTACACAATCTCTCCCCGCGCAGCATGGTAATCATCGACGAGCTCGGCCGCGGCACCAGCACCACAGATGGGCTCGCAATCGCCATCGCCATCGCAGAAGCACTGGTCCAAAGCCACGCTCTCGTCTGGTTCGTCACTCATTTCCAGGATCTAGCCACCATCATGGCCGAACGCAGCGGTGTCGTCAGCCTCCATCTCGCAGCAGAGATCTCGCCCGACGCATCGAAGATGACAATGTACTACAAAATCACAGAGGGTCCGAATACAACACAGTTCTACGGACTAACTCTAGCTAAACTGGTCGATTTCCCACATGGTCTGCTGGAAAAATCGCTCCAGGTCTCTGAGAAACTCCATCAGATCTCGCAGCGTCGACACAGCAAGACGAGGGCTCTAGCTGTTGCGCGAAAACGGAACTTGATGCTCTCCTTACGGGAGCAACTCCTTCACGCCAGAGACGGGAACATGGAGGGCGACACGCTTAGAAGGTGGTTGAAACGCCTGCAGGACAGGTTTACATTGCAGATGGCCGCTGTCGACGAGGATATTGCGCGTCTCGGGGATGATGAAGACCCTGATCTTGGGGATGACCTAGTTCAAGATACGGTTGTGTGGGATAATGGGGACAGGTATGAGCGTAGTAGATCAGGGCAGGATATTGAGATTTCCAACTCCGAACACTCCCAGCCGCTTGCGTACGATGTGTCGGTCTCTCAAATACGCAAATGGCCCACCCACGGTTGAGTCTTCCTCGGGAGGGAATCTGGTTGACGCCAGCGATAAATTAGGACGAGTGGCCTCGTCTGGTAAGGTTCAAAGAACAGACCCGGAGTAGAAAAAAAAAAAAATGGTAGGTGACTCGATAAAATCGTAATATGTAAGATTATCAAATGTTGCTTTGCTATTCGCAGACAGGGGGGGGGGAATCTTCAACTTTTCTCCTTTCTCCTTTCTATTGCGTCTTTCAACAGTTCTCGTGAGACTAGCTCTACATTAAAGGGGACAAATATACTTCCTTCAGGTACAAATATAGAGTGAATATAAACGCCCGCATGCTGAGTATAATTCAACGGGAATGTATTAAAATCATCCAAAGTGGAATAGAGTTTGCTTTCCCTTCTTCCCTTTACCCTTTTTACCACCGCCAGTCGAAAAGTCTTCGAACTCGGGCTCTGCCGAGCTAGGACCAGCGTCCCCCCCCGAGGATGACCAGGCATTCCCCGGTGCAGGATGACGGTTGTCCCATCGGACGGTTCCGCGCGTGAGACCCGCCATAAGAACGTTTGGTTTGGGGGCTGCGGGCAGAGAAGGGAAGGCCTCTGCACTGCCCGTATTTACGGGGCCAGAGGATGCAGGCTTAGCATTAGATCGGGATGATGGATTGGCGTACGTTCGTGATGAGGGAGGAGCGGCGATTGTAGTAGCACCACCCCAGGGTGTAGCGGCAGCGGCAGCGGCAGCGGCAGTAGCAGTAGCAGCAGGCTTAGAACGGGATGTAGAGGAAGAAAGGGGTGGAAAGGGATTGCTAGAAGCTGATGATACGCTGTTCCTGCCAGCCGCGCGAGATGATTGGGCAGTTGAGGACTTCAGGCGAAGTACGCGTCTGCCACCAGCCCCGCTGCCGCTGACAGTACTGGGTGACATGCCCGGGATGATGCCTCCTGGGCCGGGGAGGGCAGGATAATCCTCATTGATTGCACGCCAGTCATTCCAAGCCTTTAACAACGAGCTCCGTTTGGGCTCTTCCTCATAAATCTCTGCGAGCTCTTTAATAAGTTTTCCAAGTTCGGAACTGGAGGTATCAAAGAGGGAGAAAAATGCATCAATAAGTTCTGTTGCGGAGATTGTGGAGGCGCGATAGTTTGAGACTCGAGTGCGGAACTCATTGATTTTGTTCTGGTCATTGCCAAGAAGGTTCGACGCTCGTTCAATAACTGTGGTGTGTCGAAGACGGCGGGCTTGATCCTGCGGGGTACCAGAACCGAGGTTGAGGTTATCCATCTCCGCGACTGGAGTTGAGGCAGCCGGGGGAGTACGAGCAGGCGTAGGCCCCGCTGATCGAGGAGCTTGCACTGTCTGTGTTTCGTCTCGGGACAGTTGCCCACCAAAGCTCCGCGTGGAGACGGACTGCGCACTCTGAATGGCCATCTGGCGTTGATAGGCAATCTCGTCTCGCCTAAGAGGCTGCACTGTTGATAGCGGCGCAGCTTCGGCATTTGGATCGCGGCCGCGACCAGCACCACGACGCTGTCGTTGAGGCTGATATGGGGCTCTGAAGTCAAAGGCGGACATGTCCACCGTCCGTGCGTCGCGTCTGGCATCCTTCGATAGTCCATTAGGGTGGCTTTCCAATTGATGCGCCTTCAGGTCCATCTGCGACTCAAACACGACGAACTTCTTCTCCAGACATTCCCGATCCATGCAGAGAAAATGGTCTTTTTGGAAGTGATCCTCTAGCGCGTTGTAGTCGATGTAGTACTGCTGTTGACGGCTGCCGGACCGTCGATCGCAAATATGACATCTTTCATGGCGGTCGCGACAATGAGCATACAACTCGTCGTCCCCGTAAAATCGTTGGTGGCAAAATCCACACTCGGGATGTCCCTTAAATCCGCTTTGATCAAGAGCGCCAGGGATGTCATCACCATGTCGTTCATGCCTGCGCAACTCCGCAACTGTGAAGAGCTCGTGTTCGTGCGTGAAGACTTTCTTGTTTCGAGTACAAAGGTCACTATTATAAGATCCAGTAAGTAGTTGATTCTGTGGTCCATGAAGAATAATACCTACCACATCACCTTGCCATGTTTGCTCTTAACATGACGGTGGAGGTCAGGCCATCCTAGGCAGGCCACATCACAATCCCGGTCCGGACAGTTATATCGCAGCAAAAGAACTGTATCCTCAAAGATCTCATCTTTTTCGTACTTAATCCCCAAGTTCTCGTCTTTTTGAGAAAAGTCCTTATCCGTAAACTCCTCGAAATGCTTCGTGGCGTCATCGGTGAAAATAACATAGCTGGCTTCCGTCTATTACAAGACAAGTAAACATTAACCGCCATTCTCAATCAGAAGAAGAAAGGGAACCCCCTACCCGACAGTGCGCACAAGCTTTGCTTTTGTATAATGCGCGCATCCTCAACGCACAGATATGACAAGTGCGATGATTGCATGGCGAGATGGAGGTATGGTCAACTTTGGACGCACAAATGAAGCAGACCTCTCCATCATCGGCATCATCTGTCACCTCCGCTGGGGCCTTTCTGCTCTCATTCGTTTCGCCCCCCGCAACTGTCTCCGAAGACATCGGTCCGTTGGTCCGTATACCAGCGCCTTCACCAGCAGACCCCGGTCTATTAGCACCGCGAGATTGCCTGTCGCGACCCCCGCCCCCGCGGCGCGGCCCACCACCTCGAGATCGTGGACCTTTCGCAGAACCGCCAGTCAGTTGTTGTGGATTCGAATGGTCCGGCTGGCCAGTTCCCCGGGTTCCAAATCCCCGACCCCGACGACGACCACCGCCGCCACGGGATTGGCTTTGTGATCCCGAGGTTTGGAGCGGTTGAGCTTCCGACATTGAAGGTGATAAGTAGTGGAGAGGATTTGTCGATACAGAACGGCAAGGGGCAGAAGCCCAGTGGGAAAAAAAAAAAAAGCTAGCTAAGAGGGGGAAAGCTGAACTCTTTTCCTGGTGGTGTTGATGAGCAGAACAATTGGCACAGTGGGGGGGTTCAAATTGAAAGCGGCGGGGGAAAAAAAGTTGGCCTTTTTTTGGAGAAGTTCGAGATACATAAGTGCTTAGTGAGCATCACAATCCTGTTCATCGACTGAACTACTAACTCCTCACAATGATATAGCGACTCCTAGTAAGCTTCCAAGCAACACCTTTATATAAAATAAAAAGGAGTAACACCTTGTATTACATTTCATAGCTCAACATTACTCAGATTGGCTAGATCACTACTGGTGACGAGGCTGGGTTTGAAGTTAGGAGGCTGAGCTCAGGCTGTGACTCAACTCATCTACAAATGAGTTGTCAGAAATGAATAGTATTCAACGACGGGTCCAGCTATGACATTCTATGTCAAGAATAGCAAGTTTCTAGTTAACAGCAATTCAATCACACCTGTCTGCAAGTCAACACCAACTCCCGCTGGAGAGAATAGCAGAGAAACAAAAGGAAAGAAAAGGGCAATCATTTCGCCAATAGTGAGAGAACAGGAAAATGCAGCAGCAAGATCACTCGCAGAGATGAAGCAGGAATAATAATAAAAAGAAAAATGTCAAAGGAAAATAAGAAAAGCAAGGATAGAAATAGCGCCTAGTTTCCAAATGCGGTATAGCGAGGAAATATCAAATATTCGTAAGGTTGCAGCAGTCTCATGGGAAGGGGCGAGGCATGCAGTTGCCTGCCTCCAGAAAAGATCGAGAGGACTATTCATCCGGACTGTACAGGTTTTGACTGAGAATCTTCGTCATCGTGAACATATGTATACGGTCCTGTTTAAAGACCGCACGCATTGCATCGTCGCAACGAATTTGACGCCTGTCGCTGGGGTCTTGAAGATCGTGCTCGTGGATATACTGCCACAATTTCTTCACCGTCTGGGGGCGGGAAAGCTGTTGGAAGAGTGAGAGTTGTTCTAGGAATGGAGCAATACAAGAGTGCGAAAGAGGGTACGTACAGTCACCTCACCGTCCAATAGAGCAGAAAGTGCTGGTGAAAGGGTAAGCGGCTTCTATAGTCATTTTTTTTATTTAGTAAAATCCAATCGTGTAGTTTTATGGCGATGAATCGATCCCACGTACGTGAAACCCTCCCGATCGGTTCACTTTCTTCCCCGAGTCGGAGCCAGACTCCAGGTCTGAATCATCCTCTGCTTTGACCTTTTTCGCCGTCTTTGCGCTCGGCTTCTTCTTTTTCACCACTGGGGGTGCTCTGCGGGTACTTGCCCCGCGAGTAGGGCGAGCGCGCATATTCTCCTCGGCCTGCAACTTCGCAGCAAACAATGCATCCGCATCGATATCGTGACTCGCCTTCTTCTTCTTAGCTGGGGGGGTCTTGCTCGAATTATCCGACTGTTCCGCACTGTCCGCCTGGCGTTTCTGCGAAATCGAGGATTGGGCGGGGGAGGACGGTTCCACAGGGGTTGCAGACCCATTATCTTGCGCGTGGCCGTTGGTCGTCGAGGGGGCCTCTACGCCCCCTTTTTCGGCGAAGATGTCGAACCTTTCCATGATAAGCTGCTTAATCGCAGCCTGGTAGAACAATCCACGTTAGCATTATCATCGACGATCAACCAGCATCTGTGACCATTAGGGCCATAAGATGCGACGAAGGTGAAGCTTAAGCAGACCTTCTGCGGGGTAAGATCATAGCCGACAGCTTCCTGGAGCCCTTTGCGAATGCGTTTTTCAGATATGGTGTTGAGGTCGCTTTTTGCTAGAATTGAATCGATGATCGGAATGTATTGATCGCGGGAATCTGGGGAGACTGTCACAAAAAAAAAGAAAGCAGAGCATGATGTCAGTTGACAGTGGCCTCGGCGCGGCTGGGCGTGGGCCGGGGAAAGCTGGAGAGAAGCCAAACTTACGCGACATCCTATCACTAAAGAGCTTGGCTAGGCGTTCTGTGCCGCAAGAACTATCAAAAAAACAATTGCAATAGTGTCAATTGCTGAACAGTGACCGAAATGCAGGTGGTGACGCTGGGATCAACCTGAGGAGCGCGCGATGACGAGCATGTGCTGGAAGCAGATCGTCCAAATCTGGGCGTAGCGCTGGCGCTTAGGACCGGCGGGGCATTAGTTAAAAGATGGGAGATGAAAAATGGAGAGAGAAGGGCGGGAGGGGAAGAAGATAATGACTCAGGAAGATGGGATCCAATAACTAACTATAACTAGAAATAAAACAAAGAGCAAGGTGAGGTAAAGCCGGCCCACAACGACCAGCAGCTTCCACCAGATGACACTTGCAAAGGAAACCGGGACGATGCGTTTGCAGGATCGCGATTATTGTTATGTTATGATCTCCAACAAGACGATAACCTTGTATGCCAATTCCAGGCGACAAGGCGCCAGCAAGTCACAGGAACGATGAGTCAGCAATTAGTCATCGGAGCCACCGTCGGGGATTATGTAAGACCTGGGGCAGCACCTCAGGCACCAACTAAGCTGACTCAGTGCTGACTCATCCGTCGCACACAGAAACAAAGCGTGGTTTGTGATTTGCCCTAAAATCAGCCAAAACGGGGTCGTCCAGCAGATTTCAAGTTCCTCCAGCGACCTCAGGATCTTCTGATAAATCCCCCCTAACCCCCCCCGTCTGCGTCAAGCAATCATGGCTCCCAGTTTTGATACCTTGTCCGAGCAGGACCTCCACGAAGAGGAGGAGGAGGAGATTGATTTCTCCGGTAAGTCGCGCGCCAGGTTGAAATCATTCGAGTTTTGTGAACCCCTCCTCGCTGACCGACCTGGTTTCTGATATACAGATCTCAAGGAGCAGTACGAGGTTAAGCTCGAAGAAGGATTAGATACATTCGTCGTTATCGATGGACTCCCGATTGTGCCCGAAGAAAACAGACAAAAGCTCATTAAATTCTTGTTGAAGAAACTCAACGCGGTCGGTCACGCCTCCGAAGATGCCGTTTTTATGCCCATCAACGAGAAGAATATGTCTGAAGGGTACGTGATAAGAAACTGGAGGATGGGACCGTTGAGATGGCTGGAAAAGAAAAGAGGGGAAGAAAATTAACAGCCGTTTCTAGTTTTGCCTTCGTCGAGTATGAGACACCCGAACAAGCCCTCGCCGCTGTTAAGCAGCTTCACGGAACCCCCCTGGATAAGAAACACACCCTTGCCGTAAACAAGTTGATGGATATCGACCGCTACGGCCGCGAAGGACGCATCGATGAGGAATACAAGCCCCCAACTATCGAACCATTCACAGAGAAGGAGCACCTCCGCTCCTGGATTGGAGACGCCAACGCTCGTGACCAGTTCGCCCTTTACCGTGGTGACAAGGTCGGAGTCTTCTGGAACAACAAGAACAACCCGCCGGAGAACGTTGTGGATCGTGCCCACTGGACACAGCTTTTCGTTCAGTGGTCTCCCAAGGGTACCTATCTCGCATCTGTCCATCCCCAGGGTGTGCAGCTGTGGGGTGGCCCAGCTTTCTCTAAGCAGAAGCAGTTCCCCCATCCATTTGTCCAGTTGATCGAATTTTCGCCAGGCGAGAGCTACCTGACCACCTGGTCCGCCCGCCCCATCCAGGTTGAGGAGGGAGGTCCATCCGTTCTCTCCTACGAAGAAGATGGAAAGAACCTGATCATCTGGGATATCGTTTCTGGAAAGCCCCTGCGTTCTTTTGTTTCCCACGATCTTGCTGGCCCCGGTGGCGAGGGTGCTGAGCCCAAGAAGAAGGTCCAGTGGCCCGCCTTCAAGTGGTCTGCCGATGAAAAGTACGTCGCGAGAATGCTCCAGCACCAGTCGATCTCCATCTACGAACTGCCCCGCATGAACTTGCTCGGAAAGACATCCGTCAAGGTTGAAGGAGTTATGGATTTCGAATGGTCCCCCGCTACAGTTAACCGTGAAGGTGTCAAGCAGTACGAGCAACTGCTCTGCTTCTGGACTCCTGAAATTGGCAGCAATCCCGCCCGTGTGGCCCTGATGAGCGTTCCTTCCAAGGAGATTGTCCGAACCCGTAACCTCTTCAATGTCTCAGATGTCAAGCTGCACTGGCAATCCCAGGGTACCTACGTTTGCGTGAAGGTCGATCGTCACTCCAAGTCCAAGAAGTCGATGGCCACCAACCTCGAAATTTTCCGAATCCGCGAGAAGGGCGTCCCAGTTGAAGTTGTTGACAGTCTCAAGGATACAGTGATCAACTTTGCATGGGAACCCAATGGTGGACGTTTCGTCCTGATCACAACCGGTGATGCACCATCCGGAGCCGGTGCTCCCCCCAAGACCGCTGTATCATTCTTTGCTCCCGAGAAGAAGGGTGTTTCGGCCGGCAACTTCAAGCTTGTGCGCACAATTGAAAAGAAGACCAGCAACGCCATCTACTGGTCTCCTAAGGGCCGTTTCGTCGTCGTCGCAACCGTCCACTCCCAATCCAGCTTCGACCTGGACTTCTGGGATATGGATTTCGAGGGTGAGAAGACCGAGGGCGAGAAGGATTTGGCTGCCAACCTTCAGTTGATGAAGACTGTTGAGCACTACGGTGTTACAGACATCGACTGGGATCCCACCGGTCGTTACATCGTCAGCAGTGCTAGTGTGTGGACTCACTCCGTACGTTTCCCAACCATTCCTCCTCCCATTCAAGTTTACAAAGGGCTAACGGATTTTTAAATTTAGATGGAGAACGGCTGGAACATTCACACCTTCGCCGGACAAACGCTCTCGGAGAACCCCACAGATAAGTTCAAGCAGTTCATCTGGCGCCCCCGCCCACCCACTCTTCTCAGCAAGGAGGAGCAGAAGCAAGTGCGCAAGAATCTCCGAGAATACTCCAAGGAGTTCGACGAAGAAGACAAGTACGCTGTCGACATCGCCAATACCGCTGTCGTCGAGAAGCGCAAGCGTGTGCTCAGCGAGTGGGTTGCCTGGATCCGCCGGGAGAAGGAGTTCCTTGCCGAAGACAAGGAGGCCTACGGTCTTCCCGAGGATGTCGACGATGCCAAACTCGCCAAGGATGCACCAGCAGTCACATCAGAGCAGGGAGAGACGGTTGTCGAGGAGCTTGTGGAAGAGATTGTCGAGGAAAGCGAGGAAATCATCGGTTGATTTATTTAACGTTTTTCCTTTCTCATTTCGTTATTAATCCCCCTTTTTTTTTCCCCCATATATTTTATCTTGTCCGTCGATAACCTCGCCCTTTTCCCTCCTCTGCAACCGCCACTTTCCCCTTCTTGTGTGTGCCTCTTCTAGTGATCCGTTTGGCTTGGTCCCAGCTTGGAGAGGGGTGTCTGGAATCGTTCAAAAGTGAATAGAGATCTGTATTTGCATCATTTTTTTCTTCCCGGGTGTGGGATTTTTTTTAACGTGCGTGATGTGACGTTGGTAGCATGAGTGATGACAGGCAATGATGAGCGGCAGATACAGCGCATCAGTCAATGTAGTTTTCTACTTTCACTGATTAGATTACGCACTTGAATGAAAAGCATCACCTCCCGTTAAGGGTATTAGGATCTCTTACAGAGGAAACTGTACTCTATATATCATTAAGAAGGAAGAAGGAGGGGGATGGATAATTATACTATCTCCATCCCCAGCGCACACACCACCACCACCACCACCACCACCCCAGCCCAATACCCAACCGGCCTCCTAACAGCAACAACACTCCCCGCCGTCTGAGTCTGAGTCGGCGCAGTGGAGGTCCCATACGGATCCGAATATGTACTCGACGCTTGCACATTCAGCTTGAAAAAGCCCTTATCCCCCAGCGCCTTATCCCCACCCACCACATTGCCCGCCGGCGTATACTCGCAGACAACGTACCATCCCTGTGCCCTTGGAACCCCATCGTCACTAGATCTCTTCTCACGATCATCATCATCATCATCTTTCTCGTCGTTCGAAGCATACCCACAATCCACAGCCGCGCACCCAACTTCCTTCGTAGCCCTCCACACCAACTGCGTAAAATGCCCCGTCGCCTCAGTGAACCCCGTCGGCTCCTCAAAGTTATACTTGAGGCATTCGTCCCCCCACGCCTCCACGGCTGCAGAGGCATTCGCGTATCCGTATGCGAGGTTTTCGCCGTATGGGCCGTGCTTTTTTTGAAGGGGGTCGTTTGTTAGTAATGCATGTTTCGGTTTTGCGGAGAGGGGGCGGAGGGCATGGTAAGCTCACCGAATGTTTCCATTTACATGCCTGCGCCCAGTCTTGCGCATAGCTGGATAATGTATCGTTCCAGACAAGGTTGCTGGCGTTATGTGCAGCGCGGTAGGTGTTGCTCACGGAGAGCATTGCATCCTTGAAGACTTGGGGGGAGGTGTAGGATGGTGGATTTGGGGCGGTGGGAGTCGCTGTTGCTGTTGCTGTTGCTGTTGCCGTTACCGTCACGGTGACTACTGTTTCGAGGCTGTTTGCTGGGATAGCTATGAATAACAGTATAAGGATGAGTGAGGCGAGCCATGTCTGTGTTGGTTCTGGGGAGGAGGGTGTGTGTTTCGATGTGGCGAGTATAGACGGGTTGCGGGATGGAAGGGTGCGCATTCTGTATCGATTTCGAAATCCAGCTCCTATATAAATTTGTCTTATATAGGGGTATAGTTATATTATAAACAGATGTAAATCAGGATGTCGTTTTCTGGCCCATTCAGGGTTTCTTTCCTCCTTATATCAGAGGATTTGTTCTTGTTCGTATGCACCACCTAGAATCACCCTCACTTCATCGCCAGCGCTTTGCTTGGTTTTGCACAAAAACAGCCATTCAATCCAATCCAGAAATGAATACTGCCACTGAAATCCAATGTTGTGGATATGGAGGGGAACAGAAGCAGTAAGTTAGTCTGTCTGTCTATACTACCCAGTGAGAAACACATCCTTTAAATAGCAAGAGTAGGAATTCGGAACCACATACTAGTCTCAGAGAATTACTGCCGCCAGTGTCATCTAAAACCTCGCGTGTGCGAAGAACTGCAAAGGGACAAAGCTGTGCGAGCGATTGTGTGGACGAGAGCTCCTGTTTTGGCTGTTCCAGCAGGCGCTTACTGACGTCAGGGCGTCAAGTCCCGGAACGCTGTGTGTTGAGAAAGAAGAAATCCGTCCAGCTGCAGGTTGATAGACGCAATACCAGGTAGCTTAAGGTCTAGACTTCAAATCCCCCTTCAAACAGAGTGGAAAAGTCATAGATTGCGAAGAAAGTTTAAAAGGGTTGATTCCGGTGCTTCCAGTCTCTTCCGCGACTCTCCACCTATACATCCATTCTATCCATCCGATTAAACCCAATGGACTCGCGTCTCTCATGGGTATATATATATATATATATACAAGTCATAATTCTGGAATACATTCACATTCACATAACATTGCACCCAATCCCATACATGGCTCTTTCTACGTCTCGCTTCACTTGCAACCAGTCCGCCCGTCGCTCGGCGAATTCGTACACTTCCTCCACTCGCCAAATTCCAGAGAAGCGGTCCGCATCAGCAATGATCGTTGCTAGTTCCTTGGCATCAGAAGAGTCGATAAGGTAAATCTGTGACAGCTCTCTGAAAGCTTTGAAGTATATAAGTAGCTCGTGGTTCTTAAACGTCTGGATGAATTTGAAGTAGTGGTTCATGTCGCTAAAAAAAAGAATGTGAGTACCATTCTGAAGGACGGAGAATTAGGATGGCTTTACCTGATGAGCTTCAAGGATCCCTCGGTGCTGATCCTCTGGCGCTTCAAATGTTTACAGAGAGCGGTAAAAAGACGTAGACCAACTTCTTGATTGAAGACATCAAGGGTACTCTTATCCGTGCTTCCAATGAGCATCTGTGTATGTGATGACACAACGTCAACCACAGCGGCCGCAGTTTCGGTAATGCTTACATCCATCGTAATCCGGTGAGGATCTGTAGAGACGCTGGGGTTAAAATCCGTCGCAAGTTGTCTTGTTGCCAGGATGTAATCCACCTCCTCCATTAGCACGTCAATCCCCTTGTTTAATCCAGCTGCAACCCTTTCGTCGAGACTCTGTTCGAACCTCTTCTTCTCCTTGACAGCTGGATCTAAGAAGTCATTTCGATCAGTCAGATGAGATCCAACAAGCTCCTGTTCGTAAAAGACATCAATCATCTGGAGAATCAGGTCTCCAACGTTCACCAGCTCCAAGAAGGTTACCAAGGGCTCGACCCCAGACTGGTCACGCTCTCCTTGCTCCCGTGGTCGATAATTGGAGAGATGGTCCACGGCCTTATTGAACCCCTCTATAAGGTGGTGCTGGCCGAGGATGCGTAGCAGCGCAACGAAGATAGCTTCACATTGCTGCTTCACAGCCGCACCTGTGTCTCCTCGAATACTCACGAATTGCGCGGCTCGTTCCAAACTTGACTTGGCCGCATGAACCAAACCAAGAGCGACTTCAATACTGAAAAGTGATCGAATACCCTCGAGTTTTGATTTCATGACTGCCGCCTTCGCGGCAAGCTCCGTGGTCGGAGCTTCTGTCACCGGTGTAGCAGGTGAGGAGATGGTTGAGAACCGATTAGATTTCTGCGCTGAGGCAGAATCCCCAGCCAGAGGATCCTGATCCGACTTTTGCCCATTCGATTTGCTTCCGGAGAACCCCGGGAGGATATTGACAGGTGCCATGATCACTTTCTTGAATGAAGTCAGAAAATCTCGCTTATCAGCTTGTCTATTGACATTTGACATAAGGTAGGATTCGGTTGAAGCGGCCTGCTCGGAGAGTTGGCGGTCCCACTCTCCCACTGCGGCCTCTGAGCCTTTGCGGAAAAAATCCAGCTCTTCTGCAAGATACAAATCCATATGAGGCTCGTACACCTCAGCAATGGCCAGCAGCAAGAGTTCACCAAAACCCTCGGCAGAATTCTGGATGGGTAACAGTACATCGCAAAGGTTCATCGACTGCGCAAAAGTCCCAGAAACCGCAGTCAAGTAGGACTCCATATTAGAGCGATGCAATTCGTCAAATATTGCAGTAAGAAAGGGCGACAAGACATCACGTCCCACCTTTTCAACAAAAGATGAGGCGATTTTCAAGGTTGGGGGGAAAGCACGGTTGGCGATCGAGACCTCTTCGTTGAAGGCCACACTCAACTGAGTAAAAAAAACTTGTGTATATTCAAGTTTTATTTGCTGTGTAGATGCATCGATGCAGTCAGCAATCCTGCCAATCTCGGACTTTTTTGTAATTATATGGTTATGGTGAATGAAGAGCTCCGCGGCAGAGCCTCCGCCGTTTAACGTGCACAGAACGTAGGCATATTTCTTCATTCTATCATCTATATCCTCCGTCTCGTAACCGTGCCTGAACTCCCTCAAGGCAGCTGTTTCGAACATAGATATCGCGGTTTGCAGCCGTTCGTGACGTTCCTTCCAGCCCTCCGTTGTATCACTTTTAGCAAAATCCTGTAGTTGGGATAGCATCTGTGCCTGCTGCTCTGGATCCGGATATTTCTGGAACAATAAGTTATCTGGAGAAGCTCCGAGAATAGTGATATCGTCATAAAAGGGTGCCAGCGCCGCGTGAATTCTTCCGTATTCTTGTCGAGCCTCTCCGCGGATCGACTTGGCCAGTTTCAACACCACCAGGGCTAGGTCTGCTTCCGATTCCCCCAGCTTAGTGTCGGCCACAGAGGTGGATAAGTTGATCTTATCAAATCCATCCGAAAGCGCAGTCAATTCCGTCGTTGGATGCTCGAGCGGTTGTTGTTCCAGAGCTGATTCTTGCAGATCGACGCTCTGTCTGTTGGCGATGGTCCCGAATTTCTCTTCCGCATGTTTCCTGGCCTGAGCCTCATCCCAACATCCTATTCGTTTAAGCTTTTGTACCCATCTCGAATCATCGTATGCCATCTCGCGTAGGAGTTTGGACGCCCGAGCCACTCGAATGAGGTCGACAGGAGAGAGTTGATCGATGATTAAGGACATTATTTCTACTTCTAGTCAGTACATCCCATAACCCTTCAGGGCCATATATACTTACCCGCTGGAAGTGAGGCCCTGGAGATTTCCTCCATAGAAGCCATTTTGAGCGATGCCAAAACATCCCGGCGTGGCTTGACGCCTTTCCCTGGCCCGTTCCTCGCTTTCGACATCCTGTCTTCTCAGATCCTGCATTGGGATAGAAAATACCAGTACCGTCTTCTTCAGGGAGGGTGGAAGAGCTCAGTGTAGCCAAGCTTGCCAGCCTTCAGGGTCGGTGCGTCGGGTTCTAGCTTCTTGCACTGGACACGTGAGGTGATTGGCGGCCCAGGTAGCTCTAAATGGGAGAGTCGGTCGGAATTTTATTCAAATAAGGGACTTCTGCATAGTTAGAAGGCGCATAAGCCGTATGTCAGCCTATGGACCCTGGCGTTTGGCCACAATAATAGCTCGAGTATCGCGACCTAGGTATGACTAGAATGGTCGGGGAAAATCCACGGTTGGGCCGGCGGGGCACTTGACCCTTTCCCGGTCATGACGATGACCCTGAGATTCAACGCTTACTGAACTTCTATATCAAATTGATCTCCAAAGTACTTTTGATCCTGACAGACATGCAGCATTTTGGCAGTGCACTTTAGATATTGAGCTCCTACCTCGATTTGCCTAAATACCAGGTAGTTAAGTCTAACATGGCTTCGTAATGTGCGCACCGCCATTGGAAGGCTGAATGTGACATTTCCTTCAGTATTTGCCTAGGTACTTAAGATACGACATAAGGTTGATATACTGTGTATCTAATTCCCAGTAAGCTCCGACTATAGTACTCCTAGGTCAGCCAGCATATGAGCTGATCTGAGGTCCAAGCCGCTATACGGGAATGGCTCGGAAGGCTGAGGCTCGGGTTCAGGCGAGGTATGACCCGACACAGGATGTGAACACAGCAGGACCGGACTATTTTGGAACCTATTGAATCGACCAATGGCTTGGAAAAGTAAGGAATGATTCATTTACCCAGTCAAAACAATTTATAACCACAACTCCAAATAGGGTATTTAGATTATATAGTAACCGAGATGGGTGTGCAGCCTGAGGCAGCGGAACTTGTTATTCCGAAAAGTCGCGGTTTTCACCGAAGATGGTTAGCGCCGCCACGATAGCCAATCACGGCGAAGGTTTAGGCAATTCCAAACCAGCGAGAAACTTGACCGTTCGGACAACCTCGACTTCACCTCCAAAAGCACAATCTCCTGTGCGCTCATCCGTTTCCCCCTCTCCCCCCTCCCCTCTTCCCGTCTGCGGCTATTGTGCCTTCCTGTATATCTGTTGATCGGAGGGTTCTTGATATCTTCAGTATGCTGGCACGTACTGTTCTGCGCAGCGTGCCCTTCCGGGGTATCGCACGTCAGTCCCTGAACAAGACCTCTACGGTACGCACTATCCCGACATCTAGCCCCCATTGGCCTCAATGGAGGAGGACAATCGCTCTTCAACGGGCCTGGAGCCTTGCTAGAAGGATGGAATACTGACAATCTGCCCAGCGTGCGTCTTCCTCAGCTGCCGGTGCCGAATCCGCCAGCTCCCCCTTCCACCTCACACTCACTGCGTCCGTCGCTACCGCCGTCGCCCTCGGATCCGCTACGTATCTCTATGGACAGGAAGCTTTTGCGATGACACCTGCTGAGGAGGGGTGAGTGGAATTGCTAAGGCCAGGGAAATGGTTGTCGAATTCGGCCTTTTCCGTTCTCCCGACCGAAGCATAACCCGCGGCCACAGATGAAGAAGAAGCTGACATATATCGCATTTCAGTCTGCACCCTACCCAGTACCCTTGGGAGCACGCCAAGTGGAACAAGACCTTCGATCACCAGGCGTGAGTTCTCCCAGATTTCGGGCTGATTGCCCTGTTTCTCTACCATTCGGAACCTTGCTCATTTTTTTCTCTTCCAGTCTCCGCCGTGGTTTCCAGGTCTACCGTGAAGTGTGCTCCAGCTGCCACTCTCTGACCCGTGTGCCTTGGCGTTCGTTCGTCGGTGTTACCCACACCGTCGATGAAATGAAGGTTTTCGCTGAGGAGAACGAATATGACACCGAGCCCAACGACCAGGGTGATATCGAGAAGCGCCCCGGAAAGCTGTCCGACTATATCCCTGCTCCTTACAAGAACGACGAAGCTGCTCGTGCCGCCAATGCCGGTGCCCTGCCCCCAGATCTCAGCTTGATTGTCAAGGGCCGTCATGGTGGCTGCAACTACATCTTCAATCTGCTGACCGGTTACCCCGATGAGCCCCCTGCTGGTGCTTCCGTCCAGGAGGGCATGAACTTCAACCCCTACTTCCCTGGTACTGGTATGTAGTTCTATACCTTAGTTTCGCTTTCGGTGCCTTTTTTTTTTTTTAACTCTCTCTAGCTATTGCCATGGCCCGTGTCCTCTTCGATGGTGTCGTTGAGTACGAGGACGGCACCCCTGCCACCACCTCCCAGATGGCCAAGGACGTCGTTGAATTCCTCAACTGGGCTGCCGAGCCTGAGATGGATGAGCGTAAGAAGATGGGTTTCAAGGCCATCACTCTCCTCACCGGTCTCTTCGCTCTGAGCGTCTGGGTCAAGCGTTACAAGTGGTCCCCCATCAAGACAAGGAAGATCGTGTACAGCCCCCCCGTCCCCCGGCGCTGAAAGTGTTGCGATGGACTGTATAAAGTATGAAAAGTGGAGGATCTAGCGACGATCGATGACTAGCGAGCCGTGATTAATTCTGCACTATTCAACCCTTCACTTGTTAGTTGTTGTGGTCTACTGTCGTCCACCGGTCTCTTGATTCGATGGCCCCCTCTGCCTGTTTTGTTAGATGTTTTTCAGGACACCTGTATCTGTACCTTAGATATTTATTTTCGTCTAAAATCTTGTGTGAAGACCCAATGTCACAATTTCCTTTGTTAGTTTTGACTAGTGATCCAATTTAGTTTGGGAATGGCATCCCAGCAAAAAAGAGGAGGAGGACAAAGTGGAAATGGGCCGGGGGATCATGATAACCACTGAACTTAAGAGTATATTTATTATTATTATTTTCTTTCCCCAATGATTGAATTACACCTGCTAAAACTTTACCTTGGATATAATAATATGTACACAAGCCTAGCCTAACCTAAACAAATCCAAAATTTATACATCACGTATAGATATATATATATATACACTGAGATGGCTGGGGTTATTACTCCCCAATCGTCCTCTCACCATCCCCAAAAACATGTACATACACATTATCATACACAGCCCACATCATAGAAACCAACGTATCCCCATACCTCGCCACCCATGGGGGACTCCGCCCATCCGGGCCAGCAAATATCCTGGAGAGAGCCAGCATCAAAAGAAGCCAAGGACCCCAGGTAGCAATGAACACCGCCTTACCAATCCTCTGCCGCACCGTAGTAATCCGGTACGTTTTGATCTGAGCCAGATACTCCCTGTAAACCAGAGGAAGGTTATGCTCTTCTGCCCCTGTCGTGAGCAAGTTCAGGTACCGCGCGGACGGCTGCGCCCAGTAAGGGTTCGGCCGGATATTGGGGGGAGAGGACCAGCGCGAGCGTGTGCGACGGGGTACAAGCTCTTGCTGAGCAGCGGGTGAGAGCAAAGTGTGTGCCTTAATGGGCTCGGTGGTTGGATGTTCGGGAATTGGGTCTGCAGGGTCATAGGCGTGCGGGAAGGGGTAGCAGTCTACAATGATGTCTTTGTAGCCGCGGCCGCCTCCTTCTGTGGCGATGATTTTTGCATAGTCGGTTAGGGTGACTTCGTAGACGACACCAATTAGGGGTCCTTTGTATTTGGGCGGATGTGTGATTTGCTGATCGCGGTCTGAGGTTGTAAGGAGGGACTGCTCTTCTGGGAGGCGGGTGTCGTCGGCTTCGGGGGTGGCTTCGCAAGGTTGCTCGGAGGCAGGGTCTCGAAAGTGAGTTCCAGCGAAGCAGGGTTCCGTGTATGGAAGGCCAGCGAGGTCGAAGGTCAACCGGAGGCCTGGGACGATGACATTGAGCTGGGAGAGTGGCTTGATGCCGCGCCGTCCGAGGAAGGTTTCGGAGGCCAGGTTCGAACCGTAGGCTAGGTAAAAGACGGTCTTTTCGGGGGAGAGCGCGTTGATATCATGGGTTCTGTAGGCTTCTGAGACTTTCTCTGGGAGGTACCCATCCTGGTCGAGGGATTGGGCCGCAATTGAGGCTCGTTGCCTGCTAGCCGTGGTCTCGGGGATAGCGCAGCTTGTGCAGGTATGGTGGGCATGTGGTAGGATGTCCTCTAGCTGATCCAGGGTGTGTGATTGAGACATTGAAGGAGCTACAAGGTCCTCTACTGACCCTTGAGGTTCAGCGGATTCTCGATGCATTGTGTGTCTCACTGGATGGCACTAGGAAAGGGTTGGAACCACAAATCCACGACTGGAAGGGAATCATGGAGTCTTATACTCCGTGTTTATCTCTCGCATTTTGGGAATATAGGGGAAGTTGGAAGAAAGAGTATCCATTAATCAGCATAGAGCTGCAGGTAAGCAACCTGACTCGTTCACACCCGGATGGAATGGAATCGTGGATATAGAACGCCTCAACCAGCATCGACATACGGAGCACCTCCTGTCCAATAATTCAGGAACGTCGGATGCCGGAACTTGCCATTTGCGGGCATCGGATCGGAGTTCTGACGAGCCGCCCGTCTAGCTTTAATATCCCCGGTTCTTAATTCCATGTTGCGGGGCCCTTTTCCAGTTATGCCTCGAGTATCCGTACGGAGTAGCAAGAGATTCATCTCATAACATAATGCGCTGGGACTGGCTTGGACTCGTTGTTATATACAGAAACCACTCCAAGAGATCGAGGAAGCAAGCAAAATGTTTATACTTATATGTTGATTGCAAAGTTTATTCATTCCACTGTTCCTTAAGCTCTCTCTCTACACAGAAAACCGGTAGATGATTCCTTTGATAGACTCACTGTGACGTGGGGATTCAGCAACTCCTATCACATGATACTAGAGTTGCTGGCTCTTCTCGTTTCTTCGACCGTCAAGTATCCAAATGACTTCTTTCTATCTGCCCACCATTGACTACCGCAATGTCATTTCATCCTTCGACACAAGCTGACCTCACCCAGGCAGCGCTTTGCTTTGCAGAGTTGATTTCCTATTTAGAGAAGACAGTCCAAGAGGCCAAAATACCGCAAGGAGTTTCCCATGATGTGCGCCCTAGGGACCCTCCGGTGTACACCTTTGAGCCGCCGTTGCTCGAGAGCCTTAGTGGGGGTTGTCTCCCCAACACCAAGGCCGCAGAAGAACTCCTTTCGTTTGTGAACACGCACAAAGACCGCCTGGCACATTCCCTTGAAGGGCAATCTTTGCGGTCCTTAGCTTGCTACTTGCTGAATTCACGTATCGAACCTGGCCTAGCATCTGGGTTATGTCTGTTACTGGTGTGACGTGAATCTTCAAGTACGGCATGACTCCTCTGACAAGTCCATAGAATCAACCTAGACACCTTGCCGATTCAGGGTGGATGAAACCTTTTGCTCCAAGCTTGGAAGATTGCTCTCACTCATTGCGGTGGAACTTGATCCCCAAACTGTGTGAGATTTTCACATGTGAAGGACATCAGGGTAGGATTAGAAGAATGGTATGTCATTAACATCAGAAGCGGGACAAATAATGTTAATCACGAGTAGGCGGGCAAGATCCTTGTGGAAATGTTGTATGCATCCAAGGAAAATTGCGGCTTACTGATGCGCCTACTAGAGCATGATCCCAATATATGGTAATATATTCGCTTCCCTCCTATAGTTATGGCATGCACTGAATACGCTTTTATATAGGCCGTTCATCGACACATTTTATTCTTCGGATCCCATCTTATCATTCTATACATGCCTTATTGTTCGAGCATTTCGTCACTTTAAAATGGATATTGTATCTTACTTGGCACGGGACGAACATGAACTCAAAGTGCTAACAGCAATACAATGCCACTATGGCAATGTTGTTGATCTGCTTTATCGCTTCTTGTGCTCGCTGCGACATACGCTGTCGCCCGAATTGAGAGCGCGGGACGGGTTTAAACCCTTTGATGGAGCTTTGCACATGTGCTACTGTTTGCAAAAAGACGGGATACCATCGAAATTATTCTCAAAAGGCCCTGTCCTTTTGATATTCCACGGGAGTGTCTTTCTTTCTATACACTGCCAAGGGGACGCAGTTGAGCCGCATTTCGAATATATGGCACTTCCCGCTTCTTCCCCATCATATCCAAGGTATAGGGTTATTAGGCATCTTGGTGGAGAAAGGTTTTCCTTGTCCTTCCAATTTGACAAAGCAGTTTTGCTCTACATTAATGATCAAGCACGAAGCCCCGAGAGTTTTAGCCTCAAACTAGAATTTGAGGGCGATTTGATGGAACTGCAAACGATGCTCAACCGGTGCGGGTTTCGGTGTGAGAACCAAGAGGCCATGGCAGAATTATCAATTTCAAGATCGTCTTATGTGGTAATTCCGTTAGATGCAGGCGAGGATATAACACTGAAGTCTCGCCAATTTTCAGAAAAACCGTGCCAAACAGAGCTAAATACAGGGGAGAAAGGTCCCTCATCGAGGATAGAACCCCCAGTTACCTCAGGAGAATGGAACGAGTTGAGTGGCACGAGCCCTCTAACCGAGCTCACTCACACCCCTACCATATGTGACGAATTAGCCCTAAAGCATGGCAACACTGCATTGTCTAAATCTTACCCTGCAAGCCCTAGCATGCAAACCCCAGAATTCTCTGATACTATGTCTAGAGCGCGCAGACTGCCGACAAGTATTTGCCAAAACGATGCTCAAAACGCAAACAATGAGACGCAGCCAACTTTAACTGAAAGACTACCAGGTGAACCGATCCTATCACCGAACCATGATGAATCCAAGGACAGGGAAACCAAGGAGCTGAGATATTTACAGCCGGATACACAAGAGTCTCTCATATTCCCCAGGCGACGTTTCAGGGGGAAATTATACACAGCACCAAGTAAAAAGATGGTTTCTTGTGACGAACAATCCGCGGCTAGTGATAGTACAATCGCAGAATGCAGCAGGGAAGAAGATGAATTAACCTATATCTCTTCTCCTTTGCCTGGTACTAGCTTTTTACCTCAACAGCCATCACTTTCGGGAACACAGAAGAATGAATTTCATAAGGGTCAGCCGAGTGCGAAAGCCAGAAACACGCCCAAGACGAGTCGCAGTAAAGGAGCTAAGCTCCTGCAGTTAGAGGCGAATCGTCGTGCATCCCGGCGAACTTTGCATACGAATAAATCCGAGAATTCTCAAGTCAAGTTAATTAAGAGAAACCAAACAGAGAACAAGTGCAGGCCTCAAAATGGCCTTCCTAGTACACTGCATCCTTCCTCCAGTACGAAAGGAGGGCCTGACAACATTGTTTATAAGAAATTTGACTGCCGCGGGTTGAGACTGGATGGGACAAGCACTACAAGCCACAGCCAAGTGACTGATAGCATGTCTCATTCAGTGAGAGAAACTGACAAATCTCCAGGTAAAAATAAAAGCCTATCCCGTTCCGCGGACAATCAACACCTCGTACAGGCGCATCAAGGAAGAGGTCGAACCGTCGCTGAAAAGCTAATCGCAGCCTTTCAACAAACCGCAAGTAGCCTCCCAAAACATAGCTCTAGGGGTAGTTTGGAGAAATTCCACGCAGAGAGAGTGTGTGAGCTTGAAAGCATTGCTCAAATTTCCCAGCAAAGCGAGTGCCTGAATGATGAATTGCACAACGTTGGTGGGCTTCCAGACTTTCCAGCATCTTCATCACCCGTTACGAGCCAGGAAGATATTGTTGTTCATTCTTCCCTCGTATCGCCTCCTCAAGAAAAGCCCAATACTCTCTCGAGCGTTATAGGTGCCATGCATTCAAACTCGGACGTTATTAGAAAAGCCGTCATTATGGATGCAGATATCGAGCGAAATGGCGATGGAAAGGAAGGAATCCCTTCTCTTGTACCAGATTCATGGCCCGAGTCACCATTGAAGCAGCCGAAGACCCCTTCCTCTGGAAATACCCTCCAAGATCAAGCTGAGGGTTGCAACGTAACCCTTAAACACCCAAAGAGAGGTCGATCACCGAGAGCTAATGATCAGCTGTCTAATCCTGTGGGAGAACTTTTGCGCAAAGATTCCGTAGTTGATCCGTTTTATGCTGCATCATCGGAAGACAAGAACTATGAAAATTCAGAAAGGATTGTTAGTGAGTCAGATATAATCCCTAGAACCATTGTGGATGGGAATGGAAGCCCTCGACTTTTGCATCGGGACCAGAGGTGTGCCACACCTAAGAGGCTGCTGGCAGCAGATGACGGGGCGCCCTTATACACGAAACGACGAAAGGTAGTGAATGAAGCACATGACGAAGAAGGTATTGTTACGCAACCTGATAACAACATCAAGGACACTTGCTGCACGGAAAATACGCCACTTACAACAGCCTGCAGCGATGCGAAAGATCAAGCTAGAAAGAACATGTCATGCGCATCTGCAAGAGTCGTGGGAGATTCAAGAATGGTGAAGGGGGCGTCTACGTCAGAAGTCGAGGAGTCTGCTCAGGCCTTGACAAATTTTTGCGCGACTTTACGGAAAAGTCACTCCCAGGCTTCAAGACTACGATGTACGAGCTATCCTCGAGTGTCCCAGGAACCTCAGGAACCCCAGAAAACCCGAAAAGTAGCCCATGATGCTGGGAGGGGAGAAGTCTATAGTCCTAGTATACAAAAGCCCTCTCCAACCCAATTGCCTGCAGACCCAGCTATTTTGGGGGGGCATCGGCTACTAAATCGAACTCTGGACTCAACCGAAGACCAATCATCACTGCCAGAATTCCACGAGGGCTTGAGGAACATGCTGGTTCAACACAATGCGGTAAGCTGTCTGAAAAGGCGATCTTCGAGCGAATTCCCACTAACGAACATGTTAGGAAATATCACGTCAGATTCAAAATGAAGGGCATGTAATCCACAGAGCCCTAGAGACATATCGAGCACAATGTCATAACCTCCTTAACCAAGTATTTGAAACACAGAGGGACCGAATCAGACTATGCGAACAGCAGATGGCCTCAATTACACAGCAGCATAGGGATGTTTGTCAGGGTCTGATTCGTCGTATGGAAGAAAATGAGCGGAGTTTGGGCGGTTTACATGATGGCAGGTAAGCTGCAGGGGAATCCCATGGATTTGTGGTTGCCATTCGATGCAAAGGACCTAATTAAGACAAGCTATGGGGAGGTATTCACGAAACTTGTTTGCTTCATAGTATTCTGTCACTTTTGTTTTCTTCTAATCGTTTCTAAATGGGAGAAGTATTCATTGAACCCTGATATTATGTTATGAAGCACTAGGATCTATACGGGTGGGTCAAGGGTCAGTTGAGTTCCTGTAGAAGAGATACATACCAGACAGCATCACCTCAAGACTACCTGGGAGTATGATAGTTTGATATGTACGGCTGGTATGGTCATCCACTAGACATGTTGAGAGACAAGGGGTATGATTTTGATTCCAAATAACTTGCACATCCCCAACAATGAAGCCCAAGCACGTTCTGCGAATGAGATCGAGTGGAAAAATGGCCTGACTCACCGGAATCACGTGTGGCGGGTGACTCTTTGCTTGCCCCCCCGACATGAATCTAGAACTCGGAACCTTTTTTTTTTTTTTTTTTTTCTGGACAGATATATACGGAGTATTTGTAGGAAAAAAGTGAAGAAACAAAAGAGCAGTGTATATTCAGAGTGGCCTGTTCTTTGCCGTGTCTCCCTTCCCTCAATTCCGATCTCGCCCCTCCAAACATTGTCTACATATCTACCCCGCGACGATGTCGGTGAGTCATGGAGTCCAACTGGCCGGTTATTCAGGATATTGAAATCTCACGCAAAACTACAGTTCTTCCTCGAAAACCCGAATCTAGGGGATAGCTCCCACTTGGAGGACTCTCGAAGTAAGTTTCCACCGAATTTCTCTTGCCATTGGGCATTCACTGACGCGGTCTGCGTGATGGTGTATAGTCCGCGGTTACAACCCTCTGACACCCCCCAACCTTCTACAACATGAGATCGCCTTGACAGAAAAATCAAGACAAACGGTCATCCAGGGTCGTGAGGAGGCCATTGCTGTCGTCCATGGCCGTGATACCGATAAGCACCGTCTGCTGGTCGTCATTGGACCTTGCTCGATCCATGACCCCGATATGGCTCTAGAGTACTGCGATCGACTACTAAAGCTGAAGGAGAAATACAAGGACGAGCTGCTGATTGTCATGCGCTCTTACCTGGAGAAGCCCCGTACCACTGTTGGCTGGAAGGGCCTCATCAACGACCCGGATATCGATAACAGCTTCAAGATCAACAAGGGTCTCCGCATGTCCCGCAAGCTCTTCGTCGACCTGACCAACAAGGGTATGCCAATTGCGTCGGAGATGCTGGATACAATCTCCCCTCAGTTCCTGGCGGACTGTCTGTCGGTTGGCGCGGTTGGCGCGCGCACAACAGAGTCGCAGGTTCATCGCGAGCTGGCCTCCGGTCTTTCTTTCCCTGTTGGCTTCAAGAACGGCACTGATGGTTCGTTGGATGTGGCTGTGGATGCCATTGGCTCGGTCAAGCATCCTCACCACTTCCTGTCCGTCACAAAGCCTGGTGTTGTCGCCATTGTCGGCACCGTGGGCAACCCAGACAGCTTCGTTATCCTCCGTGGTGGCAAGAAGGGACCCAACTTCGACGCTAAGAGCATTGCTGAGGCTAAGGAGAAGCTCACCGCAAAGGGCCTGCCCCCTCGTCTGATGGTTGACTGCAGCCACGGCAACTCGCAGAAGGATCACAAGAACCAGCCCAAGGTGGCTGCTGTTCTCGCGGAGCAGATCGCGGCGGGTGAAACAGGGATCATGGGAGTCATGATTGAGAGTAACATCAACGAGGGTACGTCTTGCTGAACTGACTTTGAGATCGAGCTTTTGTTAACCTTTTGACTAGGCAACCAGAAGGTCCCGGCTGAGGGCAAGGCTGGCCTCAAATACGGTGTCAGCATTACTGATGCTTGTATTAACTGGGAGGACACCGAGGTGGTGCTAGCAAATCTTGCACAGGCTGTCGCGACGAGGAGAGAGAAGCTTGTGGCGAATGGAGCCTTCAAATAAGCCAGTGTTCTCTGGATCCGTTTCATTTTCGGGGTATTTCAAATGTGTGTTAGCGAATCAAAAGTACGAAATTTGTTGGAGTCATATTTCTTATCCGTAGAAGAAGAGAGAGAGAGAGAGAGAGAGAGGTCTTATCATCTTACGATGCCGGAACTGATCTGACCGACGCTAAGTAGGCAAGCAACAAGTACCCCCATATTTTTCAGATCTGTCTTTCCCTGTACTCACTTCAGTCCCAGCACAGCATATTGACGCTCTCCGCGGCGGCTACCTCCACAAAATGACCCCTACACATCCCTATTACCCCCGCGGGGTTGAAATCGCCAACTACATCCCGAACGACCATGGCACCCTCGTTCTGGTCCTGATCTTTGCAGCCGGCTGTGCAGCAATCCTTCTACCAACGTACCTCCTCATCACCAACTCCCGGCCTCAAATCTCCACGGGGGACCTCCGCACCGCACTCTGGTTCACATTATGTACGCTCCCTGCATTTTAACTCATCCTGTCTACAGAATATATATAACTCACCAAAACAGGCGGTTGCATCCATCTCTTTTTCGAGGGCTACTACGCCTGGAACTTCCACCACATGGGCAGCCGCATGTCGCTATTCGGCCAACTTTGGAAAGAATACGCCCTTTCTGACTCGCGGTACCTGGTTCCGGATTCCTTCATGTTCAGCATGGAATCCATCACGGCGCTATTCTGGGGTCCGCTTTCCTTCTGGCTGGTTTCCTTGATCGTTCAAGACAACGAGGCGCTGCGGTACCCGGTGCAAATCATTGTGTCCCTGGGCCAGTTATACGGGGACGTGCTTTACTATGGCACTGCGGGATTCGCGATGGTCTTCCAGTCAACGGAGTATTCAAGACCAGAACGGTGGTGTTTCTGGGGGTATTTTGTGTTTTTGAATGCATTTTGGGTTGTTATTCCCCTGGGTAGGTTTCGTGTTCAGAGAACTTGGGATCTCTCTTCTGATATGCTATTCGATTGAGCTGCTGGGCTAATTTACTTCCTTGATAGCACTGGTGCTTAGCGGTGTTTCGGCTTGTAAGAAGGCGTTTCTTGATGCGCGGGCAAATGGGGCTAAAAAGAATATCTAGTTAGAGAGATCTGTTCCATTAGTAATAGGGTATGGTATGCATCTCTGACCAAGTTTGGATTCTGTATACATACATACATACATACATATATATTATATTGTATATACAGGTAGTACTCCGTACACGCTAAAATTTAACTTGGCTATTTACTCCGTAGTGAACTTAATCTATACATATAGTTAAGCATTGACCCCCTTCTTCATACTAATAATAATTGCACGGAGTATCGCGATCCCGGAGACTTAGTCGGAGGGTTCGGTTATAGATAGAGAGCGATCTAGATTCTAGGCCTCCATCCACACAGTCTCAGCAAGAAAATAGGAACATTCTAGACACAATGCACAGATAAACCTAAACTAGCAAGCTCAGCTCAGCCTTGTCTCTACATAGTATCTCTCTTTCTCCACTTGTACAGATACATACCTACTATCTCTTTAACCCTTCTTGAAGTGAACTGCTCTACTAATCATACCCAGATTCCGTGGTCATATGATGGATGGGATTTAACTCTAACCTCCACCCGGGGAAACAAGAGGAGATTCCGAGTGCAAGGACTTTTTTATATGAATAGATAGATATGTACTGTACAGAGTCCTATACTTTGTCATTGGATGATAACCTAGTCAGGGATTCAAATTAAATTATAAATCAAAATAAGAGCATCTCTCTATCAATCATCAATCAATCAATTCCGGACCCAGACAATGTATCATTCATTATGTATGTGCCTTGTTTTGTCCTGTCGCTTTCATATCGCTTTCATATCGCTATTATGTATTATGTAAAAAGTGACCAACTCGCTATGAAGGAAGTAAGAATAGAAAGTAAACCAAACTGCCACGCTATTGTCTGATGTCGAAATGTTTCCTGCATTAAAAGAATAAAAATGTAATGAAAAAAAAAGTGGAAAAAAAAAAAATTAGTAGACGGCTTCAGTTTCCATCCATCGGCCTTCAAGTTCGGGAATTTTAAAATCAACAATGTAAGCAGAGAAAGATGCCCGGCGCGTGCTAGTACTGCTTAAGACACTGGAAGATGATGGCTCGTGTCCATCAAGAAACAGACTGTTGTGTTGACGCAGCATATGCTGGCCGGTAAAATCTGCCCGTGGCTCGCACTGCTTTCGCTTGCGCGAGGATCCAAGGAGAGGGAGGCCGTGTTCGGACTCGGACCGATTCACTAGCTGTGCAGATGCGATGCATCCGTCAGCGCCAATGGAGAACGATTTGCATGGGATATCCGACACTTGCTGCGAAACAGACGAGAGGGTGTCGACGTCAAGGATGCTGGCCTCGCCTGATGCACCAAACGCCCAAACACGAGCACCACCATGAGAAGATTGCAGTGCTAGCTCCACTACATTGTCGACTCGACCGATCTCCTTGCCGTAGATCTTAAACGGCCACATCATAGCAGTAGGGCGGTATCTGATACTGAGAAGAAACTCCCAGTCTCCATTCTGGTTCTGGGCTAGACTCCCTCGGCGTTTTTGAGATAGCTGGTGGTTGAGGAAGAAGTCGCGAGCGAGATCGCTGTCGGCCATGACGCCATCACCTTGTCTCTTGCGCTCCTTTCGGATCACGTTGAAGACATCAAGCGGAACAGAATAGAGAACGATGCGGTCCCCGTAGGCGGCAACCACGCGAAGTCCCCAGTTCAGGTCCGAACCTGCGGTAAAGACTGTGGGGACTGGCGTTTCCTTCGTGTCTGATGCGTCGATCCCAAAGGGTGGAACACAGATAAGGGCACGCGTCAAGCTAGTAGGCCCGTCAATCGGGGCATCGGATCCGATACAGAGAAGACCGCTGCGTGGTTCGATGAACAACACGTGAAGACCGTCGTTCACAGGGATGGCGCTGTAATGGTGGCATTGTGTAGCTCTGACCAAACCAACACGGTCTTTCTGCTCTGGTGCCCAGCTGCTAAAGGTTTGAACATCATTCATGACATGGAATGGGCAAGAGGGACGCGTTTCTCCATAAGGAAGATGCTGGCACCCGCAGCCTGACACCCCTGGTCCAGCCAGTGAGGAGATGAGTCGGAATTCTAACGGAGTGTCTGGCCGGTTTGGCAGAAAATGCAAAATCTCCGATGGCTGCGACATGGGGAAATGCTTTCGACAGTCTCGATGGGTCTGTTCGTCAACCCAGCGCAGCTCAATGCCAGAGCCGGCTCCAAAAGCAACACAACGGTGGCCAGGGCAGATCGAGATGCTGCGTGGTGGGTCCTTTGCAGAGCATACATCGTAATAGAAGTGGCGAGCTGCCATCTTCATAGAACACACGCGACCAGGGCGTACACCAATACCCTTGTAAGCCATTGCGGTTGATTTGAGACTGTCCCGTCGATCGGCCGGAACCAGATCACAAACCATTCCTACTCTATTCTGCAGCAATGCAGCAACCACGAATATGGATGTGCTAGTGTCGATAGTAGCTGAGAGTACTTCGACAGGACATGCGATAGAGGCAACAGCAGCAATGTCCAGGTGCTTCAGGTCCTCCACAGATACTGGCACGGCGCTTCCAGACCGCTTGGCGAGTAATTCATAAACGTAAATCATACACCCTGCCACTACAAGCAGGTAGTTTCCGCAGGTACTGACATGAAAACTCGACATGGAGGGCGCATCCTCCAGGGATTCTTTCGAGTATGCGGCAGAGTCTGAAAGGTGTCGAGGATCAGGGGGGTATTCTCCTTGGGAAAGCTGGGAGAAATCTACCACACTGGTTGTCAAGAATCCAGTTCTTTCCACATTGACTTTCCGTCCCGACAAGACACATTCCGTCGCGAATCGTTTGCTCATCCTCCATGCGAGACTCTGCTCTCCATATTCCATAGAATTTGCGTTCCGGTTATCCCACTTCCAGCTATCCCACCAGCCTGCCCGTTTGAGCATCCTCTCAAGAAGACGTTCGTTTAAACTCGCACGCATCCATTGTGAGCAGGCCCGTCGAGCATTATCGAAGTCCCGAGGACTCAGTAGGTAGAAAATCTGCAAGAGAATTTCGGAGGGTATGACATTCGCTGCAGGGCGTGGAAGAGGAGCAACCTGGTCAATAGCCTGAGCCCAAGATTTGCAAGTCAAACGCAGAGAGTGCCGGCAGTCCTGGGGAACGAAGTCAAGGAGCCTCTTTGTCACGGCAGGAGGAATTCCAGTTACTTCCATAGTGAGAGGTTTAACGTTAACAACGAAGTCAGGACTCGACAAGTTCAGTAAAGCTGGCATTTTTGTACTTGTGGTGGAAGCAAGTATAACGAACGTCTTGGGGGTGGGTCACGCGAGTGGGAACGGATTAGGATAGAGGGGGGGGGGACTGCAGATAGTAGTATAAAAACGGTGGCGATAGCCGCCTAAATGGATCAAGGCTCGTAAAATCGGCTGAAGTTGTCAAACAAAAGACCAACAAACGATTGACTTGCACAGAGAACAGGCTTTATTGCTGCTTTGTAGAAACCTAATCACTGACAACCATGCTCAATGATGGCTGATCTGAACAGTCAGAGAAGATTCTACCATGATTTGAAGGCCCAGATTGGAATGCCGGCAGAGGTTTCGTTGTCAGAATGTGTGTGCGCGCGTGTGTGCCTGACTGACTGGTTTCTATTGAGATTTTCAAGGATTGGGACGAATTTCGACTGCAACCCGTACCACCCAAGATGCTGGCTGCTATCGTCCAAGGGAATCGAAGAAATGTCGGTGTGAAGTTGAGTTCAATCTGGAGAAGGACAAGAAAAGAACAGGAGAGATGCATACAAACATGTAAAGGCCTAAAGAACGGGGGGAGGAAGGATTAAAAAAAAATTGGGGCAACTAAAAAGAGCACCTGACGACCTGAGTTTCGATATGGCACATTTTTTCTGGTCCTCCAGCGCCACAGATGGCATATTATCTTCCCGTGATAACCGCTCTGGCATCGACAACAGGGCACTGCGGACACGGACTCGATCGAAAGCTCGGATAGAGAGCTCGAACTTGGCGCATAGTGGATCCCAATTGTCGTGATCCACATGGTTGGAAGCGTCTCCCCGTGGTGGAGAAGGCGAGAATGGGACGAAATTGAAAATCTGAAATTCCCAGAGTTTTTTAGGCTGGCTCCAGCGGAGACGAGGAGGGCGGTTGTAGACGAGTGAAAACAACGGAAAGGTGCGGATCCATCATCCCATCCCACACGGTCAATGGAGGCAAAGTCAAACTAATCTGGAGGAGTTCTAGCACGTTAGGTCGAAGAAGATCATGAGCGGGTCTCGTCTCCCAAATTCGCAACGAAAATCGGTGGACCAGTGATGATTATCTACTGGTATGCATCTGGCATCAGCACTCACTTAGCCCTCCGCCTGGAATCCTGGTGGCGATTTCAAAGTAGAGATCAAACGATTCCTTTTCTTTTCTTTTCTTTTCTTTTTTCCAGCTGTTCATAGATTTCTCTTCAGCTTGGGAAGAAACAGCGATGAAGATGATGGTGGAGAACCAGCAAAGAGAAACGATGAATGTAGTAGGAAGAATGAGATGAGATCAGGCGCATCGCCTCCTGGCACTGTAGAACAATGCACCACTCCGTACTTTTGTGATACCTGATAACTTGGCATTCTAGAAGCTCTGAAAATATAAAATCCATCAATTTCCTCTCCTGAGGTAGTTCGACTAATGCACAACTACTGCATAGTTATGCTCTCGTTGGAGCAGATCAAGTTGTTATCGTCGCAACCAGTGGATTCTCCACTCACACCATGACAACATTTAGTCGGTTCTTTTTCTACTTGTACACGTTTGTAGAGTGTACAAATACTTAGTATGTATAACTACATGTACCTCGTATGGGGAGAGATGGGGAAGGGCCCTCAAATTATTATAATTAGGTACTATTCTCTGCCATTGCTTTATATAATAATAATCATAACTGTTAATAGTATTTTAGTATAAATCTAAAAAAAAAAACAAAAAATCTAGAAAATTCTTATAACTATATTATGAGTAGAAGAAGCTCTTAGTCAAGAAAACTAAGCTATAGTTAATAGTTACACCAGGATGGATATCTACATGCAGAGGTAATGAATAAACAGAAGCTAAATAATCAAAAAAGCACCACCCACATATGTTAAACAACAGATAAAGGCATCAACAGTCATCACCGTCACACAGCGGCATGATTTGAGTTTTCATAGTACTCGAATGATCCCTCAAACTGTGGAACGACACTGCGCCCAGGGAGCCATGCGCTGTCCAGAGGTAAAATCAGGCTGGGATTTATATACTTCTTCAGCTTCAGCCCCAGCACTTGTCCACCAATGCGAATAGGGAACGCATCACGGTCCAATCCGAGAGGAGGCGTGAAGGTCGACGATGGAGAGGGAGATACATCGCCATCCGGAGGCTGGTCCCGGTAGATACTCTTCAGTGCAATGAATTTGGTCAGCGGCTCATAGCTTCGAGCGAAGAAGTAGCTGAACCACACCGTTGCACCTAGGAGGGGGATGATGAGCAGGGAGCGTGTTATGGCTTTGCGGAAAGCAAGTGAACCTGCCATTGCGAGCTGGAAGACTACCAATCCGACCAAAACTCGGTTGCAGATCATCGGCCATGCCCGCCCGGTCGAGTGCTGTCGATGGTCCATCGCATACAAGAGCTGGTACTTAAAGATCATATTACCAATGGTAAAGTATATCAGCCCGAAAAGGCAGATCAACCATGAACTTGGGAACACACTATATACCACGCAGATAATCAGGATGAGGATCGACTGTGGAATGGAATACCCGTAGCTGAACGTAGGTGGCGTGGACAGCTCAGCATAGTCTCGTGGAGTCTTGGCTGTCAAAAAGTTGATCGGGTACATTATAACGGTCCCAAATTCTAGAAGACGGAATGGAAACAGACCCAGGCCTTGGAGTGCAAGAAGATTGATGTAAAATGGTGCAAAGCCCTCTAATGACTTGGCAAGTGCAAATGCAACTGTGGTGGCGTCTTTGAATGTATCTCGAAGCTGCTCCCAAAGACCGTAGAAGGTCGTTGCCGTTCCAATAACGGTGAAAATCAAGAAGATGTTAAAGAACGAAAAGAAGAAGCTCTTCGAGATCACAGAGAGTTCGATGTCGCCTCGGGACATCATCCCTTGATGGTTCGAAAACCCTGCGCAAACAATTAGTGCCATATATCCCTGATATCAACGATAGGAAAAGCTCACAGCTATATAAATAAGGCACAGCGGTTGTCAACAGGGAGAAAGCCAGAGTCGGCAGACCGGTCTGGACGAGTGACTTGGCAAGAGGATGTCGAGAGAGTGAATCTGCTAGTTGAGGAAACACCTTGTGGAGAGTCTCCAGTTCCAGCAGGGATCCAACAGGGATCAAAAGCACAGACCAGAAAACGGTCAAGAAACCAATCAGTACTGTGATGAGCCAGGACTGTGTCATTCTTCTCGAACGCGGCAAATATGTGTTTTTCCAAACAACATCTGCCGGAGCAGGCGCCAGTCGAGCAAGAAGCTGCATAGGGTGAGGGTCAAGTATAGCCTGGACAAGCATCTGTGCGGCCGCGATGGATTTCATAGTCACAAAAGCCAGCTCGGTAGGTGGGTATTCTTTCTGACGCGCATTCTGAATATTCTCATCAAGCCTGCGAAGCTGCTCTTCGTAGTAGTCTATCGCATCGACTTTCCGATACTTCAGCTTGAAAGGCCCATACCATATACGGACGGTTGGTCGAATTTGGACGTCGATCCCATGGCTTTCTCCGTTCTCTGACAGGAGATGCGCCCTCTCATTCTCCTCCTCGGAATTGATACTTGCACCGCATGTCTGTCGTGTCAAAGGCAGGGAGTTGCCCGCTGACTTAACTCGTTTGTATCCCAAATGTTTGACCCATGCGCGCTCCAGATTCCGTAACACCTTGAGTCGCTCCTCAATTAGATGGTCCAATTCTCTCCAATCTCGGCACAGCGTGATACTCTCCACTTTTCCAATATGCAGACCCTCGATGAATTCCCTAATTTTCTCTTCAGTCCCCATATCAGAAGGGATCCCGGAAAGCCGAATCGTGCGATCCGTGGTACTCGTCTGACTCCCGAGATATTGCTGCCTGATGCGGATGATCTTATTTGTCTCCTGGAGGAGCATGTATATAGCAAGACCGCTGAATACGTAAGGGAACACCACATACGTCCAGAGATACTTGGGATCTGTCTCGATCTTCCCCTTATCCCGACTTCGCTCAAGCTCCTTATCCCAGTCCGGGATACCAAGTCTCCCCGTATAGACATAATGAATGGGAGCAAGTATCACCACGGCGAAAAAGAAAACAGTCGCTAAAAACCGAATTGCAAATCTGAAGAAGCAAATAAACTATTGGACAAGCACTGTCAGAAGTCCGAACTACCCGAGCCAAGGAATAAAAAGGTCAAACGTACCACAAACGCATCCAACCCCGCAGACTGGAGAATCTGCTCCTCAGTTATCCTATAAAGAGGTGGAATCCATCCAAAAAAGCTATCTGGAAGCTCCGGTAACTGAGAGGTCGCACTGCGCTGTCGTCTTCGAGCCGCGTACAACTCTGTCCATTTCGGTCGCAAAATCTACCAACCACGCAACGTTAGAGCAGAGTTTCGAAAATTACTCTTTTCGCGGGGAAAAGAAGCACATACACAAAAGGATAGGAAAGCAGTCGTCCCCAAAACCAAACTAATAACCAGCTGGGTGTACAGATCGCGCTGGCCCTTGGTCTGATCGTCCCATCTCCGGCCACGCCCATCATCGTCCGTCCCATTTTTTGTGCCATTATGCCCCGAGACCACGGCAGTTAGCACAGCCGCTACGGCCGATTCCGTGAGCGACATGGCTATCGAAAAGCAGCAGCCTTCTTACTGAGGTATCCTGGCTGAGAGCGTCCTGGTCAATGCATTGGAGAGAGCGGCTTGTTGGGTTTCAGGTCGAACGATCAGGTTGAAAACAACTGACGTCAGGGGAAGGGGTCGTCCGATTACACTGCGTCACAGCTTGGAAAGACAGTCTCAGAAATCAAATGAGGACTATTGTTAGAAGAAGGTAAAATCAGCGCGCAAAATTGTAGACCCAGCCATGAAATGCTTGCTGTTTTAACGGCTTCTTGTGAACTTGTGACCTCCTTCCCAAGCTAAAAACAAATTCATTTCGATGATGCCGAGTTGTGCATTTTCTGAGTCATCAAACCGGATTTGCCACTCTTATACATCGCATAAACTCGTTATTTTTATTCTTTAGTATGAGGGTAAAATTATCAAGTCATGTAGATTAATGGAGCAGAGGCAAAATATAAGTAACAAACAAGAAAAGCTTCTTAATATCTATGACATGCTTCTTTATACGGGTCAGTCGTGTGGAATATTGATCCGACCTGGGGAATCATCTAGGCTTAGCGAGTGTATCGTGATGCATCATAATAGAGATCAAGCAAACAGCCGGCTGACCAAGACTGTGTAGGGGACTAAAATTTGTCGTTAGTATGATCTTCAGGAAAGTCATCTAATATGCGAAAACAGAAGCTAGACATACCGAGTCTGAGCAGAAAGCGCCATTCTTGTTCGTCAGCTCTGTAAGACCCTTCCAAGGACTTTCTCTGAGAGCCTCTTTGCAACCTTCCAGTCTTCGAGTAACCTGTTGGAATGCCTCTGTTTGCTGTTCTGCGGTCTTTCTTCGAGCAAGATCGAAGTACAGCATCGCACGAAGGAAATAACCTCGCTGCCAAACCCACTCCGGACCCTGGTGATAATTCCGACCCTTGGATGTTGCAAAGTCGGTCGAGTCGTCCGAGTTGTAGTAGTTGGGACGGTAATTTAGATCGGACGGATCAAGTGTGGCCATCCCAACAGGCCCAACGGTGACAGAGTCTGCAAGCGCAAGCGCACCCAGCGCCTTGGACGGAGTGAAGAGATCCGGAGAGACAACCATGGCAATGGGGAAGTTGGAGCGAAGCTGATAATCTTCGTACGGTTTGCCGGATTTATACAAATCTTTATAAATTCCCCGACGATTGACGATTTTGGGGTTGATATCATGCTGCCCATCTTCAGTGGGATCCGTTGGAATGTAATAACACCGCTCAAAGTTCTCCTTGATCTTTGCAGCCCAATCCTTGAAAGTAATTGACTTCCCGTCCCCAATTTCCACTCTGTCGTGTGGATAAATACCTTCTTCGAAGAGACCAGAAACCCATGTTAATGCACTATAGACCAGACCGGTGATCTCGATAGCTGCCCCATCCCGTGGGGTTCCAGGGAAGCCTTTATTTCCAGCTTTCTCGCTTTCTCCCATCTTGTCTTGCCAAGTTCCACAATTGAATTGGCTACCACCAAATATCAACCCAGTTTTCCAGTCAACTTTGATGTCGATTTGGAACCCTTGTGGCTTCATTTGCATATCGAGCTCTGGGCCTGCATTATACTCTCTGAAAGACAGACCATGTGCATGACGTTGAAAAACTTCTTGAATCACCTCTATCACCGTTGAGCTTTGCGAGTATGCTCTTGGATCATCAAATGGAAACCATGTGTCATCATAGGGAAGGAATCTTCTTGGAACTTTCTCCCTGAGAAGCTCACGACCGTTAGGTGCCATTTTGGTGTAGTCTTGGATTGCCTGGAGCAAAAACCAAATGGAATCACGAGAGTTATACCGAGGAAGCTTGCCGCTGCTGAGGAGGTTGGGAATCATGCCATGCTTAAGGACACTGGAAAATGCAAGGATATGCTCCTTAGCATCGTCAAATCTTTCAGTACAGAGAAACAGCCCTCTCAGCGAGATGAAAACATCCCGACCCCAGCATCTTGCCCAGTCCGTTGCAAAGTGTGGTAAACCGGCTGCCAGAGTTGGAACTCGCTTTGTGGGCCATAGAGACGCTGAGTTGGCGAATCCCGTTTGTTGCACGCTCACCATGGCGAGCTGTTGAATAAACACCTGCCCCTTGCGGACGTTGCTTCCCAGCAGCTGGATACCTCGATTCCAGGCAGAAACATAAGCCGTTTGTACAATGATGGCAAAGTAACGTGGGAGGAGGAAATTAGGTAAACTGCGAACAGCAGTGAACTTCTTTTCCAACCACTCAGCTGGACCTTTCAGAGCAGTATAATCTTGTTTCTCACCTGCCTTTGCTAAACGCCCAACGATATAGTCAAGGGCCCACTGTCCTTGCCTAAGATGATCACACATAGGATGCCCCAGATTATTGTACTTAATGATATCCTCGAGGATACTCCACCAGCCCTGGAGACCAGCATAGACCAGTGGGCCGGAGCTAGGAATATCATAAACACCCTCCTGGCCGCCGCTTGAGTCTCTCTCTTCGGCTTCACATCGATAGAGGACATAATTGAGATCGACTAAGTTAAGCTGAGAGAATGCTTCATCTGCGCCTTGCGTAATGCTCTTGTTATCAAGCCCGTCTGTATCCTCAACAACGGGAAGAGAAGTCTCGAAGAGAGCGATAGATCCTGGAACAAGCGTGTCCAGAACCGAGATAACGGTTTCATTATCGTTCTCCTCAACTTTGGTGCCATTGATTTGTTGCACTTGACTAGGCAGCCCGCTAAGGTAATCTGGGTCTTCCAGAACTCGGCTTTTGGCTTCGTCCCCTTCGTCCACCGTGAGCAGCCACGTTCCAATATGTTTTACCCGGGTAGCAACGAGGTGCGTAGGAGCGAGAATGTCTTTGTTGTCCTTTCCCGGAAATGCTGTGTGAGCTATTAAAAACACACCTTTCCGGCTCTGTGGGTGAACTCTGTGAACAGTAATATATTCGCCATCATGATGAATATGCGTCTCGTCGTACCCATCCACTCCCATCTTGGTGTGAAGTTCGTTCAGAAGACGCTTGAGGCCGCAGATTCCCGGGATATTTGCCAACTCATCAAGACTGGGGGACTCTGGAAGGTCCTCAAATGCATATTGTCGTGTCTCATGTACAAGATCAACTATTTTCGGGTAAATCTCATCGTACCCCAAGACACTTCCAATAGCAGAGGCGCACATTGCAACAAGTGCGGCATTTGGCAATGTATCTTTTGCGGTTCGTTTCTGAGCTGGCATTTCGTTGTCGTGAGTACAGTCCATGAACAGTGCTGGAACAGGTTTCGGTCGAATATGACGGACAACCACCTTCTTGCTGGACCCTTCTGCGACGGAAAAGTTAAGTCCAGGCGAGGGTAGATCCAGCTCGAAGCTACCGATTGGACGGCCGCCATGACGATGTACCAGCCGACTTAACTCTCCTGTGCTCCAAGCTTGCATAGCCTCTCGAATAAGGGCATTTATTCCAAGGCGCTTAACAAATATATAGTCGGCCTCTTCTGAGCCGGTGAATAGTTCGGCAAAGATAGCTAGGTTGGGGCGGACCCTCCGCGCCTCGTCAATCAGATGCTCTGCTACTACCAAAGGGGTTGAATGGCAATTATCAATCCGGAACCCGGAAAAGTACTTCGCCATCAACCGGGTATATTTGGTCATAAACTCCCACAAGAATGGACTATCCTCGGGGCCATTTCCATATCTTAGCTTTACACAGTCACCCCATACAATTACCTCGCGCCGGAGGTATGCTCTGGAATCAGGACCTGCATTGTCACGCATAGCGTCAGCATTCCATATCCAGCCGTTGTTTGCGAGGGCCAACGCCTTTGAACTGTGTTTCTTGGTGACCTCATTGAGTGGTAGTCTCGTAAAGTACGATTCAATGAACGGACTGTCATCGGTCACAGGCCCGAGCCTAGGACCATGGTCATCGATCCTGAGGTATTTGATCCGATTAAAAAGCTGATTCATGATTTCGGACAGATCGGAATTATATTCTTCGTAGAATGCAACGTTAACCACGTCAACGAGGTTGCTTATGGTATTTTCAGCCGAAGCTAGATCGGATGATCTAGGATCAAACGCCCCGAAGACCGCAGTAGCGATGGCGGCACCAAGTTCGACATCAATGTTGCGTTCATATCTGCCACGGATTTGTTTGTAGTTTGGAATTCCTTGTTCGCGGATGAGGGTTGTTTGCTGTTCCAACGTCAAGGTCTTGTAGTTTTCTAATCCAAGCTGTGCCCATCTTCCGTTCGTCAGATTTATATCTTTGGATGATTTCCATGTGTCGAGAATTTGTTGTGTGTTATATTTTACATTAACGATGTAGAATTCCCACAAACGAAGGTCCTTAATAACATGGTCTTTCACCCCATTCATTACCTTTGTAAGATCATCAACAGTTTTGAATTCGGTCGGCAGGCCATATTGTCCAAGTTCTTTGCCGAATTTTAGCAGTGCAGTATCCAGATCCAGTGCTGCCTCAAGCCAAGGGGCAGTGTCAACGCTGTAACCGGCCTCTGGGTGTTCCTCGAGCCATTTGCTATTATTAGCAGTATGGTTCCATACAACGTCGGTCAATGATAAAAGCGAATATTCTTCTTCCATATTTCTAACAAGCTGGAAGACATCGTTTTCTCCGTTAGGAAACGAGACATCGTCGAATTGCAGCTGGTCAAAAATACTGTACGGCGAATTCGAATCCCCTCGTTTCATTAATGGCGTAAAGTGAATCATATTATATTTGCGACGGGAAATACTGCTGAGGCACCGATTCCAATCTTCTGGGTATTTACCCATGAATTTAGAATTTACCGAGAATATTGAAAGTGCATTGAGAGGTATGTTTCGGTGGCCGAGACTGAGCCTTGGAGACACATCGATGTAGTGTTTGGGTGTCCTTGTCGACTCCAAATTGGAATTAGAAGAAAGGGAGAAATCTGGAAGAGGTGAATATGTCACGTAGAATGCAAAGGACCCAGGACATGTAATCGGGACATCGATCTGGATGTTCTTGCTGAAGTCCGGTGATAGCCTGCCATGGTTGTCTCAACAATTGATAACCAAGGGCACGATAGAAATTGAGAGACTTACTTAAAGCCCCGAAAAGAAGAGCGATCAAACGATTTCCCGGTCTCAGGGATGTTCACCCAAAGTGTTCCATCCCTACAGATCGAACTGCTTCCCTCGATAACGAAGCGGAGAGCGTACGGAGCGTTGTCGGGCGGAGAAAGATAGATATAGCCACCCGGAATATCTGGAGAGCCATCATCCTTCAAAGGAAGTAAGTAAACGGTTTCAGAAGCCATTCAGAACGGCTCCAGGCGCTGTTCAGTTATCCCGTAGCTTAGGTAGGCCGTCAATTGCGGTTAATGGCAAGGAATTGGGGCACTAGGGTGAACAGCGCTTAATTGGGGGTACAACTTGGGATACGTTGCCCACCTAGCCACAGGACAAGGGAACAAGAATATATAAGAGAAGAGAATGATGAGAAAGAGAGATGGAGGGAGAGTAGGGACTAAAAAGGGGAAATACAAGCCACAGTTCACTAAAAGCCAGGAAATTATTGTTCCTGATCAGCTCGACAACCCCGCGGAAGAGGGTGACATCATCCAACATCCAGGTCGTGGCCTAGAATTCCCTCGCTCGTACCTCAACACACAGCACACCTTAATCACGAGTACGAGGCTACTAGGGTTGTGAAATATATATTTGGGCAAATTTCGTGTGTTTCTATAATAACCTGTCTGTCTGTCTATATAAGCATGAAGAAGCCACCATGACATAATCATACCCTCCCTTTGAACAGACCGGCCAAACAAAAAAAAAAAAAAAGGATGCTGTGTATATATATATAGCGCTTTCACAACCTGGCTCCCAAGAATACCTGATCCATGCCACTGTTATTCTTCCCGTCCAATCCAGAAAATGCAGGAATAATCGGCTTGCTGTTAAAAACAAAAAAGAAACAGTTCCCATGAATTAATAACCAACGCTGAATGAAGTGGGGTTATGATATTAGGTCGTATTTACCGCTCAATGTAGGAGGGAATCTCCTCAACAGACATGGTGCCTTGTAAAACTCCTGTGTGGTCATTAGCAAATTTGAGCGTAATAGATGACAAGAAGGAAGGTAAATGCTTACGGTAAACTGCCGTAAGCAACGGGAATTCTTCCTCGAGCCCTTGCTTCTTTAGGAAACTGTTTACTTCAACCGCAGTTAGCGTGCCCTGCAGCTTTTGGCCGTTAAGTTCGGTTTCTTCGATTTTCTCGATTGGGAGCTTTCGCTCAATGCTGAGCTTTGCACAACGGAAATTACGGCCGCCGCTGCAGCTAGTAATTAGATCGGCAACACCGGCGCTCTCTTCGGTGAATGTTCGCGTGTTGATGGTCGCTCCGAAGAATTGCTCGCCGAATTTAACCATTTCCAACAATCCGACCCGCATAATGGCTGCCTTGGCATTGTCACCCCATCCCATACCTTCAACCCAGCCGGCTGCGATGGCGACGACGTTCTTGAGAGCGCCTCCGAGAGAAACTCCTGCCACATCGCTCACCACACGGATATGGAAGTAAGGACGGTGGAAAAGGGTCTTGAGAACGGCGTGATCGATGGGAGGGAAATCCGACGGCAAAGCTTGAAGCTTAACTCGCGAAAGCTGCCCTGAAACATCCTTATGTTCGAAGTGCACAATATCTTCAGTGGAGGCGGAAGGTGAGCGATTTGGCGAGGGAGCCTGGGAGTCAAATCGGGGGGGATCGTAGCCAATGCTAGACTCGGACCATTTCTCTTGGGCAACTTCGCTGGCGATATTCGCACCGGATAAAGCACCACAGTAGATCCCCAGAATCTTGCCAATGGTCTCTGAGAATAGACTGATTCCCTCCTCGTTCACATCCACACCCTTGATGCAGGAAATTCCACGCGCGTATGGGACAATTTTGCCCTTAATCTGCTCACATGTCTTGATAATGAACTGATGTGGAAGGTTGAACACCAGGATCGTACTGTCCTTGACTGCATCCACCAGCGATGGGTTCGCATGCAAATTCTTCGGCAGAGCGATTCCAGGTAGATATTTGATGTTCTCGTGCGCTTGATTGATCACGTCCGTCAGGTTCTGAGGTCCCTGGCAGAGCGGCGAGGTGGCGTCGTAGTGTGGAGAGGACTTGGATATCTCAACCTTTTCTTCGAAAACCCACATCTCCACTTTCTCCTCGAAAATCGCAGGGTTGCTGGCGGTATTTTCGGCAACGATCTTGGCAATAGCGGTGCCCCTGTATTGCTATCAATACTCTTGAAACTCAATTGAACCCTAGCTTCACTGTACATACCAGTTTCCTGAGCCTACCACAGTCACCTTGTGCTTGCGATTGTACGGTCCGAGAGAGCCCATCGTGATTTGGTCGGGAGAGATAGTTGGCAGGGAAGATGAGGGTGGGCCTGAGAGATACCGAGATAATATAGGTACCGGGGATTGTGAACACGCACGGGACGTTGACCGGAGCAAGGATCTCGGGACGATTTGGGTAGACAGGAATTGTTGAGAGATCCAGGACCGAGGTAAGGCCAGGGTAGCACGCGAGCTAGGAAGGCAAGTCCGATGAGGAAAAAGCGGCATTCACAAGCAAATATGCAATGATGGTGGCAGAGATCTCCACGGCAGCAAGGTTCTAGTGGTGGCAACACCCGGTCAGGGAAAGAGATAATTGAGACTGGGTGAATCGGTTTTGATATCCGTGATTGTGGATCTCTTTTTTGTCTCAAAAAGATAAGTGGTCGAGGAGGCAATCGGCTGCTGGGCCTGCATGGATGTCGGTCAGTCTAAAATGTTAGTTAGTACAACGGGACGGGGGAAGGCTTAAGGGGAAAGAAAATACAAGCATGGTGGCTCGTGGCCTGAGGCATCTACGTTGAGGGTGCGGGGAGATCACGTTGACCGGAGCGGATTTAGCCCAAGAAAGTTTAGCCCCAACAAAATTTTTGGAGGAGAATTGGCACAAGTTCGCATTGCGAGGATTCAGACTGCAAGCACTGCTCAGCATGGTATGTATATCTTGATTTGCAGGGGGAGACCATATTTTCTGATTGAATTTAATTACCAGGCTCCCGTCAAATCTATTCAACAGCGTTTAACCCGCCCCAAGCCTGCCACTGGAAACCGCGTGACCAAGTCCACCCTCTTCGACGATGATTTTCGAACTACTAAAAGAGATAAGCGCATCATCAAACATGCCAGCTTTGTGTCCAAGATTGAGAAAAGCTCTGCAAAATCCACGAAGCGCCGTCGTGCCTCCAAGAAACTCCTCGCCAATCTAGAGTCGCTAGCCGATGCTTTGCCAGAGACGGAGACGGAACTGGGCGATCCTAGCAAGCAAATTAATATTATCAAGCAAAAGACCCTCAAACATAAGCCAGGGGCTATGAAACGCAAGGAGAAGCTCGAAAAGCTAGAACGGGAGCGTTTTGCAAAGAACATGGCCCAGATGTCCAATATGCAACCAGCACCAGCGCCCACTTCCAAGCCTGACGAAGGGGCTGGTTCCGTATCAAACCGATGGGCAGCATTGCGGGGGTTTATCTCCCAAACCATGGAGCAGCAACCTGCATTCAAAACAAACAAGTGAAGCGTCATGTGAGGACGACTGTATAATCTACCGAGTTCTCTCATCTTAGGAAAGTCCCACCCCTCCACGTTCTATTCATCGAGAACTGTTCTATCTTGTACGCATGGGAATGCTACCTGTCGATGTAGAGAGCTTTCCGAGCACCGGCAGACGTACGGCCATACTCCCCAAGGGCGATTGTGAAATAGTTCAGACGGGTCCAGCACAATCCATGATTGTCTAGAACTGTGGGGCACTGCTGGGGGGAATGCTTCAAACTCCGTACTATCAGGGATATTCTTGCCTTTACACAGTCCAGGATTCAGTTAGACTGGTAGTGCCGGACCAAATATAAAACCAGGAGCGACTTTGGAGTGCGCTTTAGAGAATATATAGTATCTGGACTGATGGAGGTGTACTTGTACTGTTCAGGAGTTATCCGGTAGAAAACACCTTGATCAAGAACTATAATCAAAATATAAAATTTCTTAATATTATGGTAATATCCCATTGAGGGGTGTCGTATACTCTGTAAATGCAAGTTGACTCGTATGGAAGCTGATGTGTCACCTTGAAAAAAGCGGGGGAGTTCCGGATTGATTAACGGCTAGTTAATTTGTACTGATGCAGTATGTATTACATCGCTCCATCTCATCTTATCTTCTCCTCCTCCTCCATCTCTTCCTGCCTTTCTTTCTCTCCTCCAATTCCTACCACGATCGTTGCACTCGATTAATTCATCAATACCGTCAGATTACTTGTTCTTCTCTTCCTGTTTCACCAAACGACCGATATTCGTGATCCAGGCGTCTAGTCATGCGGCGGTTGCCGTCATGGCCATGTCGGCCATGTCGGTCTCTCGTGCTGCATCCTTACTCTGTCCTCCACTATCGACCGTCACCAATCCTACATTACTACTCTACCAATCGCAAGTTTTCCAGTTCATCAATATCCTCCCCTACGTCCTCCCAGTTTAACCGGTCGGATTTCACAAACCAGCCATGGTCGGGGACTTATGAACCGGGTCTCCCCACGGCTGGCCCGTTGGGGTCTGCCCCAGCATTTGGAGCTCCCCGAATCACCCCCAAGGCTTTGAAACAGTACCTGGATCAGTTTGTTGTCGGACAAGACCGTGCGAAGAAGATTCTCAGTGTCGCAGTATACAACCACTACCAGCGAGTACAAGAGCTTCAGAGGCGCCAGGAAGAAGCCGAGGAATTACTGGAAAAGCGTGCACGACGGGAATCTATTGAGCACCAACATCCAGTTGAGGGTAAGCGAAGCTCTTTCCAACGCGAATTTTATGTTACAAAGACTATTAGCACTTCAATACTAAAAATGAAACGCAGATGAGTTTCCTGACCAACAACGAACCACCTACCCACCACCTCCCGATCCGCTTCAATCTCCCCTCCCCTCGGACCAAACAGCGCTGGACGAATCATCGCAGTTACAACTAGAGAAGTCTAATATTCTTCTTCTTGGTCCATCTGGTGTTGGCAAGACCCTCATGGCAAAAACACTGGCTAGAGTTTTGTCAGTCCCGTTCAGTATTTCAGATTGTACTCCCTTCACACAGGCCGGTTATATTGGGGAGGACGCAGAAGTATGTGTGCACCGGCTATTAGCTGCTGCCAACTATGATGTGGAACAGGCTGAGCGCGGGATTATTGTTTTGGATGAGATAGATAAAATCGCGGCTGCAAAGGTCAGCCATGGGAAAGACGTGAGTGGGGAAGGCGTGCAGCAAGCTCTTCTTAAAATTATTGAAGGTACAACAGTACAAGTCCAGGCAAAGCAGGAGCGGAGTACTCCTCGTATCGGCAACACACCCAGCTCATACCTGTCGAACAATCCGTTAGGCAATGCACCATTTCCGCCCCAAGGAGGCGGAAATATGTCGCATAAGGGGGAGATCTACAATGTTCGAACCGATAACATCTTGTTCATATGCTCCGGTGCATTTGTTGGATTACAAAAAGTGGTCATGGATCGCATCTCCCGTGGCTCCATTGGCTTTGGACAGCCAGTTCGGCCGCCAACGCAACCCTCTTCTGGACGCTCCCCTACGTTTGATCCTGGAAGCAACAAACCTATTCCTATCTTACCAGGATCCGAGGAAGAAGCCTTGTACAGGAAGCATCTGCCATTTTTCACGCCTGCATCGTCGACGTCGCCAGATGCTGAGCCAACTTATTTCAACGCCTTGGATCTTCTCAACCCGACCGATTTGCAGAGCTTCGGGTTCATCCCAGAGCTGGTAGGCCGTATTCCCGTCACCGCTGCGCTGTCTGCCCTAAGTCAACCATTGCTTATCCGAATTCTCACCGAACCTCGCAATTCTCTTCTTGCCCAGTACACAACCCTCTTCTCGCTGTCCGGTATCGAACTCCGCTTCACAACGCCTGCGCTGCACAAGCTTGCCACCAATGCTTTCGCAATGGGTACTGGGGCGCGTGCTCTCCGAACAGAAATGGAGACTATTCTAAGTGACGCGATGTTTGAAACGCCTGGGTCTAGTGTGAAATTTGTCCTCGTCACAGAGGCTGTCGCTGACCGCAAGGAAAAGCCCGTGTACCTTGCCCGTGGTCAAGGCGGTCGGTTTCACGCTATGATCGCAGCAGAAGAAGACCAGTGGGAAGAAAAAATGCGGCACACAAAGGACAAGGAGAAGAACGGGAAATCTCAGACTCCCAGTTTGGAGGGGTCTCCTTCTATCTCCAACTTTAGGGAGTATCGCAGCAGGGCTGTTGGGTCATAATTGACCACTAGCGTTCTCTGACCCGCCCCTTAGGATTAGTGCTGGCATGTCGTATGTTTACTGTGTCGCCTTGTTGCTTTGAGCCAGTCTGGCTATTTCATATGATGATGAGTGATTCCTATCTTGACGGCCTTTATTGTATGTACAGTGTGGGGAGGTTTTTGAGGTCCTGGTTTGACCCTTTTGCTTTCTTGTCTCCTTTGTTGGTTTAGGTCATGGTATTGATATCCCAAATGATGACTATTATCCACATCTACCAAGGTACATATTCATAAAAAATTATTCATAACAAATAGGATGTCCGTCCACAATGTCATTACACAGCCCCATTCCCATAAATTTTGAGTAAAATAAATACCTCCCCCCTCCCAAAATATATTCACAAGTACGCCATAAAGCTCATTTCACTGATACGGCTGAGGGTGGGATTGCTCCGATGATTCCAGTTGTACTGGGGTTATAAGAAGCGGCTGGGCCAAAGACGAGCCAGATCGCTTTGAGGAAGTTGAAGTTGAAGTTGACGAAACAGGATGCGGCTTAGGCGTGCGCGGCGTATACGGTGTATGCGCAGCGCTTGGGTTAGGATTAGAATTGGGCATTGAGTTTCCCCCCGTCAGCTTGGCCCAGATACCTTTGTAGTCCACCGCGTAGGTTAACATAAAATCCTTGGCGCCGTGTCTAATCTCGAGATGTTCCCAGTTCTTCCATCGAGGAAGGGGTTCGAGAGTGGTCACCATGGCAAAGCGACGGAACCGGTGGGAGTTGACCAGACCCCAGCCGGCAAAGAATTCAGCCAGGTGGTCGGTATTTCTACACTCTTGGCTTAAGCCCTTGGGAATATCTGGGCTGTCATCTTCCTTGCGGGAACCATAGAGGGGTATCGATGGTGGAGAGATCACATTGCTTTCGTGGTCTGCGTCTTCGACGCCGGGGAGGATCCCGTGGTCGGTGGAAGAGGAGGCGCCGAGCTGCGCAATCAGGTGGTACATTGTGAGCCATCTGTTTGGGGTGGTTAGAATATGTTCGTGAAGTTGGAAAATTGTCAGAAGAAGGGGATATAACCCACATGCCAGCTCTGGATTTGTCGCTAGGCTCAGGCTGTTTCAGGAGCCAGTGGAGGATATCCGGCCGGAACATGATCTTCCAGCTGCCCGGGAATTTCTTCTTTGTCCATTCATAAAACCAGTACAGAATGATCAGGGTTGCACGGGATTCGTGAACCATGAAATCTTCAGTGATGAGGAACACACCACCATGGGGGAAAAGACGTTGGAAATGGAGGGGGCCATCGACGTGTTTGAGCGGCTGAGATAGAGAGACATTCCAGTAGCCTGTGGCCTTCTTCAGAAGCTCTTTGAACAAAGGGATTGTGTGGTAATCAACGAATGACTCGTGGAACTGCGCAAACTTTTAGCATTGTAAAGTAACTCAGGAATAGGAAAACATACAAGGACAACACCCTGGATATTCTTTTTGCAGGTGGTAACGAATTTTTCCCAGTCATCTTCCACACAATGAGAGTACACGAGGCTCGTGTATTTCTTGAGGAATGTCATCATCAACTCTCTCTCGGTCCTAATGAGCTCCGAGTCCCCCGGGAACCAGAGGTAGAACATCTCTACCCGTTGCATTTTCTTGGTGCCACTAGGGTTTGACAATACATCAAAGGTCATGTCAAATGCGCGCCGGAATAATTCATCCATATCAAGGGGTTTATTTAGGTCAAGCGAGTGCAAGAGTCCTGGAGCGTTCGTCGGTGGCCCGGTGGCCTGAATATCGATGTCCATTGGGTCAGTTGATATGTTTTCCAGTTCTTGTCCCGGGAAATTCGAGGGCTGTGCCGACATCTGTACGCTGGACTTCTTCTTGTGCATAGGTGAATTTGGGGCCATAGGTTTGTTATAGTCAACTGCAGATTTCGGGTGATTTGCATTGATCAATCCGCTATTATTGTGAGCAATGGAAGGTGTAATAATTGACTCATTTTCTCTTGCAGCCTTTGATTGACCACCAATTGCCAGGTCCCTCGGCCGAATCTCATTGCTTTCCTTGCCGGTCAAACCTAGTTGCGAAATCGGCGCTAAAGAGCTTCTCAGAACAAGATTGAGATATCGAGGCGCGAGCTGGGATGTCGATCCATCATCGAGAAAATGAAAGTCGGGTGATTGCGGCGGATATGCCAAAAGTACATTGTTCTGCCCCTTGCTAAGATAGCATATTGCGATCAGGTTCTTCCGCCGAAGATTCTCGGCTGCTTTGTAAATTTCTGGCTCAGTATCGTCAAAGCCTTCCACCCAGCCATTGGCATACTTTTGATTCAGCCTCTAGTTCGGGACAATTAGCGGCTGCAAATAAATTGTTGAGAGAGCCACCTGGGGAAAAACAAGCTTTACTCAGATTTAGACTTACATGACCGCAAAGGGTTGTGTATTCACCCAAAGTACATAAATGCCTGAACCACACTTCAATCCTGTGATTCTTCTTGGTTTTGTATATAGGTTTCAACGCGCCATATTCAAAACCACAGATTCTAGTATGGCCGATCGCTGTTCTCTCTGGCCCGAAATACATGGTGACAAAGAGCTCGTTAAAGTTCCACCAACGATCGGGGAAACTGCGACTGGATCTCGAGTCGGCGTGCGGGTTCCTTTTGAAGAAACTCGCAGTGCATCCGTTTTCTGATATTACAGTTCCACCATGCTGGTAAGAGCTTCTTGGGGTTCGTCCAAGTTCAGAACTCGATTGAGCTTTTGAATTAGTTGCTAAAGGATAGATTGAGTGGGGGGACTCAGCAACCAACGCCCGAGAACTCTCAGCTGAAATAAGAGCATCAACAGCGGACTCGAACTCGTTATTTTCCACTTGATACTGTTCTACACCATTTGTATCAAGTGAAGTAAGCTTTGAGTTCTCAAACGGAACTGTATTGTTAGGGGAGAGAGAAGTCCAGTCAGATGGCCGCCTGAGATCTAACTGACGGATATTCGGTGCTGGTTCATCGTTCTTCGATTTCTCATATCTCCGTCGCGTAGATAACTTGTATGGTTTGGGCGTATGTGTAGTATTATGGGCCTTTTTTGGCCGTATTGACTTTGGTGCAACCTGACTAGTGCCGAACAACACGGGAGGTGGTTTAGATGCCTGCGAGAACAGCTGTCCACGTCTAGATGACTGAAGTTGTTCGTAATCACGACTAGACCCGGATTCTGGAGGATCCGGGGCTGTAGGACCGGAGTCTCCGTCCTTACCCGCGCGGTCAGTACTCGAAAGTTTCTTTGGGGGGTTAGCCTCCTGACTGGTGGCCGCAATCTCAGCTTTTCGTCTTTTTGCGGCCCTTTTACGCTTCCTTTCTTGTCTGTCCTCCTCCAACTGGAGGAGCCTGGCCTCCCAACTGGCTACATCGAACGCTGAGCACCTCCCTTGCGCGATGTCCTGCTTCTTCGTCTCCCAATCGCGAAGAATCTGGACGGCTCCAAACGACCGTCTGGGCTCCCAAGTACATCTTTCAATAGGGTATCCAGTCCACTGCACAAGATACCTTATACCGTCCTCAAACTCATATTCGGCGAGAATAGTCTCGACTTCATACTCCGACTCCTGGTCGCTCTCCACAGTTGAAGCCAAGGAAATATCATCATCGCTAGTATTGCCCATTGTCATGCTAGGCAATATAGAGCTATTAGACTGTAAATAGAGGTGATGCAATGCCCTCAACAAAAATATAACATTGAGGCATAGAAATGCCTACTAGTAGTAGTTTGGAATGTGGTGGAGCACGGAGATCTTGAGCTTTGAACCACGGCAAAATACACGATACCGTGGAGGGTGTTTGCCGGGTCACGCAAGCCAGAGCAAAAGCCCCGTCTGCGCGCTCTGTCCCTTGTTTTTTTTTGGCTCCCTCTCGATCGACCTCACCCGTAGGGGTAGCTAATCGATAGAACGTTATCTTGCAAAACTCTGCGATATGTATCATTCTCTAACTTTACGACTCAGGGGCTTATATAATAGAAGCGATTTCCCAGTTAGGAATAGTCCGGTTGGAGAAAACGGGTGACGCACGTGACCCACCCACTAGTCCGAAGCGGGACGAGCGCCCACTCGGCACCTGCGACGACCGACCACGGGAATTCGTAGGGAGCGAACAGCATCTGGATAGCCTCCTATCTCACATCCACTCCCCCCCCTTACTAAAAGTCCTCTGTGAGTTCTTCTTGATTCTGTTCTACGAGCTCCCTCAAATTTTCGGAGCCTTCACCACCTGCACCCCTGGCCGTTGACTAACCATTCTGTTCCCCTTCAGACCCAAGTTTCCCACCATTGTCAGGTTCCCTTAACCAGCCACGTCGAATCTTCCTCCCTAAAAGCTTCAAATCCTGCATATACTAGAGCTTTGTGAGCTCTCATAATCATCCACCATGGCTAACGACGAATATGATGTAAGCTGCCTCATTTTTGATCACCCCGAGACCCAACTTGGGACGTTACTAACTTCATTGTCTGGTAGTTTCTCTTCAAAGGTAAAGTTGCTACTGTTCCTCCGTCCCGTCGCCGCGATATCCCTCCGTTCAAGACGTCCACCATTGCAGAAGAACACAACTAACGGCGATTGTTTCGTTTCCAACAGTTGTTCTTATTGGAGACTCTGGCGTTGGAAAGTCCAACCTTTTGAGTCGATTTACCCGCAACGAGTTCAACCTGGACTCCAAGTCCACCATTGGCGTGGAGTTCGCAACCCGCTCCATTCAGGTTGATTCGAAGACAATCAAGGCTCAAATTTGGGATACTGCTGGTCAGGAGCGTTACCGCGCTATCACATCCGCCTACTATCGGGGTGCCGTCGGTGCTCTTCTTGTCTACGATATTAGCAAGCACCAGACTTACGACAATGTCAACCGGTGGTTGAAGGAGCTCCGCGATCATGCCGATTCCAACATTGTTATCATGCTAGTCGGAAACAAGAGCGATTTGAGACATTTACGAGCTGTGCCAACAGAGGAGGCCAAGCAGTTTGCAAGTATGTTCTTCTTATCGGCCTCCTTTTTAATGGAATCCGCGAGAAGCTAATCATCAACAGGCGAGAACAACTTGTCTTTCATTGAGACCTCAGCTCTGGATGCTAGCAACGTTGAGCTGGCTTTCCAGAACATCCTCACAGGTATAGTTTTTCCTACCGCTTGACCCAATTAACCTGCTTACGTTGCTGCAGAGATCTACCGCATTGTCTCCAGTAAGGCGCCGCTCGAGGGCGAACCCGGCCAGGCTGCGCTTGGCGACCGCCGCCAAGTGCTTGAAATCACCAAGACACAGGAGACCGAGAGTAACAAGGGATGTTGTTAAACTACATAGACAGTGTTCCGGTTTGGGGCACGGCATGCGAACCGCAACGAGTCTTATATTGTGATATGATAATTGAATGGTCGTGACGTTTCTTTTTGTCGGTTAATTGGCCTCTGCGGAGATGATACACAACAGGGGTATTGTTGGGAACGGCATACAAGGATATGGACATTGTATGGCGATGTTTTGCTGGACGTTACATTATCCTAAACACATTATTTTGTCACCTTTCTTTTCATTTCCCTCCCTCCGCTCCCTTTTTTCCCTTTTTTTTTTTCTTCTTCTTCTTTTTGCTCTTCTTCTACACCAACCCCTCTACTAACATGATGAAATTGATACTCTCTATCTTCTCTGTTTTTATTTTGGCTTCGTCATCCACGTTTCCCTTTTCTTGCTGGCCCCCTTTTATTCCTCTCTCTCTCCCTCTGTTTCATTAGTATGGCTTCCCGCAATAGTCCCTCCAGTCCATCCGGTTTCTTGTTGGTGCATGAATCTTGTGTTGTCCTCGTCGCTGGCGTCTATGAAGTGGTTATGTGGTCTTTTATGCAGTTATGGTCTGTAGCTTTGCCGTGAACAATAAAACTCCAGCATGGGAATCCTCGTTTATAGAAAAATAGGAGAACGCCTTCATTCTCGAGTTTCATCCCCTTGAACTGGCTGAACGCTCGAAAACTTTCCGGATCCTCCTTGGAGTAGGTACCTAAGGGCTAAGGTACCTATGACTATGAGTATAGGCGTCCCCCGAGCCAATTAGTGCCGCGTATTTCCACAGCGGGGGCCCCACGACCAGATACCGAATGGAGAAATTTGTACGGAGTAGGCAGGCACATGTGTTTGAACGGGAAGAAACCCAATATTACCAGGTAATATCGATCTCGGCTCAAGAGAAAGATCCTCAACCGTGTTTTAGAAAATGACTGGATAGGCAACAACAATTCCCCAGGAGAACAGTATGTTGCTACCTAGTCTTCTATCAAGGAGGAGTTCTTGCGGCCCAGACATTTGAAAACATGAGAGCTCCTACCCAGCCAGTGGTGGCCAGACCGAGGGCAGTTCCCAGCGGCCGCTAAATTTCCTCGCCTGTCGTTGGCGTACCTTGTTTGGGACTAGCACCGTCGCTGGCGCCGTCACACAGGGATAGCGATGAACAAAGTATTGCATGATTCAGGCTGTGTAAAAGCGGTATCATTGTTTATCCTTGCCTGTGGTTGTTGCGGGTGTTCACCCCGAGTAATTATCAGGTAGGCTAGCCGCTACACAAGGAGGCAGAGTGTCCTTAAAACCATTGCAACCAACCACTTGCAGATAAGAGTGCTTATATCACACATCTTCCTTGAGCGTGTTTTTATGTAGACTTTTTGCCTAGTACTGTATGTATGCTCGGGCCGTCGCCATCTGTAAAACGGATATGGAAGCTATGCCACCACGCCTTTTCGGAGCAATTGATGGTCTGGTAAGAAGAAGGACAGTTTTTTGACCAGGGTAAGATGCAAAGTGAATTAGCAAGTGAATTTCCTGCTAAACAATTGTCTGCCACTGTTTGCTAGCCCGGGTATATCTCGAGAAAGAAAAAGGGGAGGAGGAATCACTCTGCTTGGGAATTAGAATATATAGGATACAGAATCCCAGATGAAATTCACGACGCTCGCATAGTGTTCAGAACTTAGGCCACCTCTTGAGGGAAATCATTACATCAATGGTCCAGGAAGGAGGATAAGCATTCTGGCTCATCTGTCTTCGAAATTATTTCTAGATTTGGCCCGTTGGCCCGTTGGCCCGACTAGATCGACAAGTGGACATACAAGGCAATGGATGTCTTATCGTCGCAGTAGTAGTACGGAGTACCGCTCTGCGCCATGCACATCAATCACATCCCTTAGACTTTGTTCAAAAAAAGAATAAGAGGTAAAATCAAACTGGAATTCGAGTCTCCTGCAGCCAATTCGACGAGTCGCAAAATGTGGTCGGGATCCCGGAATCTGTTTTTATCTCCGCATAGCGATTACATAATCCGCCATCCATGAAAAAAAAAAATCTCGAAAAACATTTTGCCTTCCAACAGTTCCTCCATGATTGTTTCCCATATGGCTTAACGCAGCCAGGCTGGATTTTTTATCGTGTTTCGCGTCGGATTGTTGTTATTTTACCAGCCTGCAACTCCAACACGATCCTTCAAGATGCAGGCCCTCCACAAAGACACGAAAGATGCGGCGTTGACTGCTGTATCTAAGAAACCGATAAGCCCTCCTCTCCAGAAAACAACCAGTTCATGGACACATTTAATAGCCGGAGCGTGCGCAGCCCCTTCACCCTCTCGATTTTTATGGACTGGCATGTATTAACTCCACCTTATAGCGCTGGCGGCATGGCAACCGCCCTTCTCACATCCCCCCTTGACGTACTCCGAACACGACTCCAATCAGACTTCTACCGATCCCAACTCAAGACAGCCGCTCCTGCACATCATGCAAACATTTCCATAGCCCGCTCCTTTCTCCTGCATTTCCGCGAAACATTTGATATTCTCTTCTCCATTCACAGAGTTGAAGGCTGGCGCAGTCTATTCCGCGGCCTCGGGCCCAGTCTTACCGGTGTTGTGCCAGCAACAGCAATAAAGTTCTATGCCTACGGAAACTGCAAGCGACTTTATCCGGAGCTTCTAGGATGCGACCCAAACACCACATCCATCCATGCGCTTTCCGCCGCCACAGCGGGTGTTGTAACGGGTACGGCGACGAATCCGATCTGGTTGGTGAAGACGCGACTTCAGCTCGATAAATCACAGGTACAGGCCGATGGGTCCATCCGTCCTCCACAGTACAGGAACAGTCTCGACTGTGTCAAACAGGTTATCCAGCAGGAAGGTGTGCGCGGTCTGTATCGCGGGTTGATGGCTAGTTATTTGGGTGTGATAGAAACCACATTGCATTTGGCTGCGTACGAGAGAATCAAGTTTATGGTTGCGCAACACCCTCAGCTCGAAGGGAAGGCTCAGTCGAATGAGGTTTCACAGGGTTTGATTCTGGGTGGCGCAGCGGGTCTTTCTAAACTGATTGCGGTGTTGATCGCATACCCTCACGAGGTACATAACCTTCCCGATCACCGATTTTGCCTCATTTCTTTTTGGGAGGTCACTAACACAACCTATCTAGGTCCTGAGAACGAGATTACGACAGGCCCCAATGGCTGACGGTCGTCAGAAATACACTGGTGTGATCCAGTGCCTCCGACTGATGGTGAAGGAAGAAGGTGTGGCAGCGTTGTATGGTGGTTTGACAGCACATATGATCCGCACAGTTCCCTCTGCTGCGATCACGCTGGGAACATATGAGCTGGTGCTCAAGCTGCTGAACGGCCACCCATAAAGAAATTTATTTTTCAACGGCTCGCGCGTGGGCCAAATTGTATATTATTATTATTATTATTATTATTATTATGACTTGTAAAATATCATGTAATATAGAAGAGAAATATTAGATGGCTGGGAATAATGGATACCCTTCTTTTGATACCTATGTGCTCCTCCTGGTGCTCATTCTTCGAAGTGAATATAGTATTCCATACAAATGCTTCTTCTGTTTTGTTTATTTGTTGGTTTGTTTCCACTATCGAACATATGGTCAGGAGATTGTGTGATGACGTTATGCATATTAGAATAGGCACACATAAATTGCATCATGGATCCAAGATCCAACATGCTTCTTGCTTAACCTTACTAGTAGAGAGACACGGCACGACACTAATCCCACACGACACCAAGTCCCCGATTAGCTATCGCAGATCTGAATTCCCCAATATCGTCTCCTCGTTCACTAATCACCCATTCCAACGTATCCCCGAATGTTTCGCCGTTGTCACGGAACCACTCCCCAAGTGATAGCACAAACGCCTCTACTTGCTCCTTGAGCGGACAATGTTCCCGTAACCACATGACCTGACCCGGATCTAACTTCATCATGTCCTGCACAATGTAGTAGTGGGGGATTTCATCTCCCCACCCTTCAAAGCCCGGGTCGTGGAACAAGTCGTTGCGAAAGCGGGATCTGTATTTCGCGGATGAGTTTGTGAAGGCCGAGGAATGGGTGGCATGGAAGTGTTGCTCGTTCGGATTAGGGCTACCGTCAAAAAGGCGGGGCAGATTGGTGTTATTATTCAGTGGGTAGTTTAGATGGATATTGAATGTCAGTTGGTGATTGCTCTCCGGGTACCGTTTGCGGAACTTCCTTTGGATGGTCCCATTACTCGGGCAAATATGGTTCTGGACAATGTCTGAAACGAGTAAACGCACATCTTCAACTTCGGCCAATTCAGTGGTGGACCAGTTATGAAGGAGTTGTGCACGTTCGACGACAATGTTTCTCAGATTGCGCGAGAACCGGTCATAGTCACGGGTATGAAACGCACGGTGGTAGAGCCAGAGACGATATATGGCACGGCGGAGACGGAATCGTTCCTCATCGCCGAGAGAGCGCCTGTTCTCAAAGTCCAGCTTCCATTTTTTGACGGGGTAGATAGTCTCCCATTTCTGAGCAACCCGTCCGATCTCCACAACCTGCTTTAGGAGAGAGACTGTGATGGGCGCTGTGCGGAAAAGATGGGCGGGCTGGTTGGAGTTCTGTGTGACGATTTGAATAACATCGCCAAGGGGACCAAATTCCCGTTCCGCTACATCTATTAGTAGCTGTAGTTTGTTGGACCGATTGAAGACCTCGCGGAATCGTCGGCAAGTGGAGGCCAAGCTCATAACATCAGATATAGTTTCACTTGAGCAAAAAATATGGAGCAAAAGCTCTGTTGCGAGATGGCCGAACGACATGGTGTCTGTAGAGTCTGATTTCAAGGTATTAGCTGCGATACATAAGACTGACTGGGTTGTGTGTTGTATCTTGTTTACAACTCACCTATTATCAGGGGGTTTTGTTTATATTTTGCAGTAAGATTTCTTAGGAGGTTCAGAAATTTCAGGATTCGATGCTCAGGTTTATGGAAATAACTGGGGTAGGATCGTAATAGCAGCAATTCAACTGCTGTCGCGAACAAACTATGACTCTAAGATGCGACCCCACCTTTGGGGCTGTCCAAAACAAGAAGAAATTGATGCATGATAGAAAAGGTAAATGGAAATTCGGATGTATGGGGGTGAGTTCCCCGTAGCCACAAAGGGCTGGATGGCGAAGAAGATGCCATGATGGTTGAGAGAGTCCAGGTCGAGCTGTATCCCCCTGGTGGTGGTGGGAGCTCTTTATGTATGCGACCGCTTACCTAATCCTCCTCCTCCCTTGTGGCATCACGACCTGCGCCTAAGATGAGGCATGCCTTTCGATTTGCAGACTTTGCTACAATGTGTACGGAGTAAGCAAACTCTTTCCGTACTTGATAGCTTCTTTAAAATAAACCCTGAACATAGTGGGCTATGTTATACAAGGGTTGTCAGAGATCAAGAAAGTAGTATCGAAACTTTTATTATTTCTCACACCAGACGCCTTTAGTAAGACCATGAAAATACCCTAAAAATAATCACATATACATCCTTGGAGGATATCAAGTCTAGGAGCACATGAAGCAAAAATGATTAAGGAATCAAGACCATAACATCGATCATCCGAACAGCGTCCGCGTGTCCAGAGGACCAGGCTTTCGCTCACCTTCTCCCAGCCCCAGTCCGGAGCGTTTCGAAAGACGGTCCGTTTGTGCATCCCTCCGCGAGGCGTGGCGTGCTGCCTTGCCTACCCGGATATCGCGACGGACCTGGTTCGGGCTCACATACTCCTTGTTCTCATAGATGACAGGGCCGCCGAAGCTACCTTCCAGAATGACAATGGGTGTCAGGACGAAACGGGGACCGACTTCGACAAGAGACAGCTCCGGTCCATCCTTGCTCTTGATTGCGGGCTTGGCCCCATCCTCATTTCCTTCCGACTTAGTCTTGTTTCCACTCTCCGACTCTCGGATTTCGTAGACTCGAATCCAGATCTTGCCATCCACGCCGAAGATACCAATGACACGATCGATGAAAGGTTTCATGCCCTTGACGCCGCGCTTCGGCACGCAGAAGACTCCGCGGAGCATTTCCCGAATCAATCCCCGGTACTCACTTCCTGGCTTGCTCATGAGCGGACCTTGTTCATCGAACGACTGATCGAAAACCACGATACCCCGACCACCCTTCAGGCAGTTACCGCTGAAACCGGCATTCAGTTCGGCCATTGTGTGAAGGTTATTAACATGAAACTTGATTGTAGGGCCATTGGGCGGGCGCGACAGCCAAAGGTATAAATCTTGGCCGTTCTTCTTGGCCTCGAGGAAGAAAATTACGTTGCATGAGTGTAGGTCGGCCAGAGAGTTGAGCAGGAGGTTGTAACCAGCAGTTTTCTTCTTCGTATCCAACTTGCTTTCCTTATGAGTGTGAGGGAGCAACGAGGAGAGGTCCGCGAGCAGGTGTCGGTGACTGAAATTCAAGAAGTTAGTCCAAAAATTTCGGCTTTGGGTTGATTCATATTAGTAAATAGCAAACACATACCGGGATGTGACACCTCGCGAAGTCAGCATAAGCACACGAGTTTTGGGCATAAATCCCGCAGCAAGTTGTTTCTTGGCCGATTCTGTAGAATTCTCCTGCTCCTCCTCCTCCTCTTCACTATCGCTGGTATCGTCCGCATCAGCAAGAAAATCCCCCATCTCTAGATCTTCCTCATCCTCTTCCTGCTGCCTGGCAAGTTCGCGTGCCTTCTTTTTCGAAACTGTTTTATAAACAGATGCCATGGTGAATTGCAAATATCTGAAGTCGTATCAAAGTAACTTCAATGGTGTTGATAGTCGACAAAAAGCTTCGGCGCAAAGCAAAAAAAGTTGCGGGCAGAATATTTTTGGCTCACCGCCTTGGACCATGGACCGGAATTATATTGTTCCGGTAAAGTAATACAGTCTATTTCCTAACTAGGAATAGTCGGTTTGACATAATATCTGGTCTGTTATATCCTAAATAGGAAATCGCATCTATACGGGCCTGACTTTTAGAGGAAGACTATGAGGATCAGGATACTCGGCTTAAGATGAACGCAGGTTTAATATACAATTTGTGTGCATTAATCACGGAGACTCAGGGCTTTCTTTCATTTTTGGGCTGAGACCCTACGATACCGATTCGATTGTTTAAAAGGAAGAGGGGTGTTTGGCTCTGGTGGTAGAAATACTACTTTCGCCATATAGAAATACAGTCTCAATAAACATATTATTTAAAGAATTTTGGATGCAAAGCACGGCCAAGCCCTGAAAATCCTTCCTGGGCGACTTTCATCCCTGCGACCCGATTCGCGACAGTCAACTTCTCTGTGAGGTCCCAGAAATCTCCCTTGCAGATTAACCCGAACAGCATGCCCGCTATGAAAGCGTCTCCCGCACCCACAGAACTTTGGACATGTCAGTCAATATGTCTAAAATTGGATAATATAGATTTAAGATGGCGACTTACTCAACGAGTTGAAAATCTGGCGGCGTATACGCTTGGCTATGAACGAGGTTTTTAGGCCCCGTTTCAAAGCCCACGGCTCCGTCTTCACCCCATGTGCAGCATATTAGTGACCTGATATGCGATGTTCAGTCTTTAATAATTAAATAACATTAAAAAATGGGACCATACGCTTTGGGAGTTATGGATGATTGTGCTCGAACACATTCTTCTGCAGATTTATAACCCTTTCCCTGCACATGAGTTAGTCTGTCTTCATAGAAACCTTGAGTACAGGAAAGTTTTTATTACCTCAGCCCAGCTTTTCGAGTAAAATACCACATCAGCTTCCATTGCAAGTGACTCTAGTCCAGGCCGCCCGGGCTTCTCTACTTCAACGCTGATCTTAGCTCGAGGGAAATTTTGGCGAACGTATTTTATACATGCCAGGGTTGTCTCAGGTATCCGGCCCTGTCAAATATAAGTTGGTTAACTACACCAGATCCGTTCATGAAAGAACCTGTTAAAACCATTGACAAACCTCAAAATGAAACCAGCCAGTTTTAGGCCCTACTTTATCTGCGATGGGGGCAAACTCTTCGAATGTCATTTCGGGGAGCTCGTTGTAATTCACGATTGTCCTGCTACCAGTCGCCTGGCTTTTGATAATGTAGCTTGAAGCAGGTTCCTCATACTGAATCCGGTAGATGCAATGGGTGCATGATACAGCAGGTTCAAATGCGTCCCTAAATTGTTGCGAGGCGTTTGAACAACGCCTTGGGAGCACGGCCACAAGCTCCAGTGAAGTTTGTGCGGTTGACAATCTTTGCGCAATCAGCTGTTGCATTACCTGGATAGTATTAGGACAGTTTCCTCCACGGCGATGTGAAATCCTAGAAGCACGTAGTTTCTCATCTTCCTCTGGGTAACGCGGGGTTCTAGTGGTGATTTCAGCAGAGCTTCAATTTGGTCGTAGGGGAAGAGAATGTGGCTGACGTCAAGATAGTATCGATATAGCATGCCCCAACTGCAACAAGAGACATTGTGAGGAACATTGGGATATACTGCGAAGATGGGAATATAGATGATTATGGTTTGAGAGTATTTTAAGATGCTACTGAAAGACTGTTGTCGGATTACTGGAAGAAAGACATCCTTCAGTGCTGGTGTTTGGTGGGGCTTCCGAAGACATGACCCACAGGTATGTATGTATATATAATTGAGGAGCCTGAGTTACAACGTTCTTTCCACCTCCAAGTCCTCCGTCAAGTATGCTCTTAAACATTCTGTCCCAGTTTAAATCTGAGAAGAGTCCAGATCGGTTGATCATGGCTGTATGTTGGTTTCATGAAGATCTGCTGTGACTTCTGCCCTAATTGATAGATTGGAAAGCGTGGTGGAGATTCAGCTTATGAGATATGCAGGTAGCCATGTCTCATACTCATTGAGAAAACAGAAAGAACCACTATTTCCTGAGACACTACTATGCTGGAATATACTAGCTGAATATTTATTAAAGATAGGTATGCTTGAAAAGTTCATTTAGTTTCAGTTTTCTCGCCAGGCCAGGGCAAGATTGCCCACATGACAATGGCAAGTACTCCTCTTGATTCCAGAAAGACAAGATTAGTGATTCAGGGGGTTGAATGAATAAGATACTCTATTTCTCTTTTTTTTTTTTTTTTGGCGGGCCCTATTAAATTGCCTTTATAGCGGAACTGTGCGGTTGTCTTTGAAGTAATGTATGAGATGCAGGCTTCCAGCTTCTCACTCTGTCTGGTACCAATTAGATTCCATTATATTACCTACCAACCCAAGCCTTGTCCTTCTGGTTGATAATAGGATAGTTGAAAGTCAGAAATAATTCTTTGTTGCTGGTTATCTCCCAGAAGCATATGGTTACTAACCATATTATCAAATTTCCTGGGACAAAGCTATATATACCGCATGCTGTGCGCTTGAATGTGAATTGATCATCTCCCAGAATCTAGAAAAAACCTTGATTACTCACAATATCATACAAATTGATGCTTTGCTCTTACATTGCAGCCTGAACCATACCTGAACATTTTCATCATGTCCACTGTCAGACGTGGCAAAGCCATGCCAACCGACGGCCCAACGGCCAAGTTTCTGTATACCATTATCAAACAGCTGGACCTGAAATGCGTCAGTTAGTAAACCCGGATCCTGAGGACTAGCTTACTGACACGGTAGTAGATCGATTGGAATTTGGTTGCATCGCAGCTCGAAATTTCTAATGGCCACGCCGCTCGCATGCGCTACTCACGGTTCCGACAGCAAATGGAGGGCATCACGTCCACGCCCCGGTCTTCCCGAACCAAAAAGGCAGCAACAAAATCGACAAAAGCAGGAGCAAGCGCTGGAAAAGGAGAAATGCAAAAGGAGATATCTCCACCGCCTACGCAGATGGTGAAGCAAGAGTCGGGCATGGGCAATATTTGCCAACCAAGCCCTTACATCAAGACCGAACCCTACAGCCTGCCAATCCGAAGCATGGCCGATATCCCTCATATTGGGTCTCTTGCTGCGCCCAATCCACATTCCCAGCAATCTGGGTCTTCATACCCCCAGATAACGACCCTCCATGCAGACATGGTTCCCTATACGCCGATTGCTACCTTCCAGGAACCGTCGGCTGGATATCAACATGCCAGCAGCTCTCACATGGCTTGGACACCCATAAAAAATGAGCCCCAGCCTGATACACATGAACATGGTGGTATGGGGAATGTCCTTCTTAAGATGGAAATTTCACCGGAGGATGAGATATCTCGGGATGCTTAGTGCTTATACTTATCCGACTAGACCAAAATCCCCAAATATGGCAAGTTGGGGAATTATCCACAAGGTATCTGAGGGTTTTCTCTAGAATTATTTTGCGTATTTGCATGCTTTTTATTTTGTTTACATATATGTATGGACTTGCTAGGGATATGGACATCGGTGCTTAAGCCAAAGTTATCTAAACTTAGGAGACATCTTTTCCTTGATGTTAGCGGAGACTTCCCTTAGTTTTAATGTACTGTTGAAAGACATGGAAAGTACAGTGGATAAGGTCTACTACAGTTATATGATATTGTGTTATCTCTCATTCTCTCTTTTCTTCTCGCTTACCTTCTTCTCCTTCTTCTACTTCTCCATCTTTCCTCTCCATCTCACCTCCCTCACAGCTTCACTTTCTCTTCACTATCAATACTTGAAAGCCTTCGAACAATACTTGGCAAGAATTCAACTCATACCACCACAACCCTACAATCATACATACAGCAAGCCATGGCTCCCAATCCTGAGGTTTCCGCTCAAGACTTCGAGTTCCTCCTCGAATGCCTCAGAAGCATCGATGATTCGGGCATGGTAATACATGAAATTATCATATAGTAGGTGCTGAGGTAAATATGCTAACTATAATCTAGGTCGACATCGCCAAGGTTGCCAATACTCTCCAGTATACCAATGTTGCATCCGCTGGAAACCGGTTTCGTCTTCTTCGTAAGAACTTGAACTTTCCAAATCTGAACTGCAGAAACTCCTGTCCCTCGCCGAAGAAGAAAGAGACTACCACGGGAGAGCCCTCCGCTACCAAAGCTGGTGGTGCGAAGACTACTCGTGCACGGAAGGGGGCAAAGGTTTCCGCAAAGCCAATCCCTGCCACTGGAGATATTGTGACCAACGCGTCTGACAATATCAAAGGGGCATCTTCTGGCCTGGATGAGGCGGCCTTACAGGTCATGTCCGAAGGTAAGACGGTGAATATGATTTGAACTCCTTGACCATTCGAGTGGTATATCTGAACAAAGACAAGCATTAGAAACAGTGGAGAAGGTACAGAAGTAATCTACTCCATCTGTTGTCATCCCCAGTAAGTAATACCGTGTTGCTGTGATCTTTTTCTTCTTATATCTTCTTTTGAGGACCTTAACTGATATTTTGTTTAGGGAGTTGTGCTGGCTTTCCTTCACGCGGTACCTTGAAGATCGAGTCCTTCTTTCGGAATTTCGAAGTCTACCTGTACTGGGGAGAATAGCATGGGGATACTGAAAGTGGAGGCAGAACGGTCCATTTTGACGCAATATTCTGGTGGTCTGTTATTTAGCAAGGTCATTTTGTAGTGGGTTCAATAACACTGTGGTTGGGGATTCGAGAGGCCAATATGAGGGAATTCCACTCATCACTGTCTCAATAATAGCAGCTGATGGGTAATAATCGAATTATCATTGAGCGTGGCCTTTCTGGCAGGATGCATAAAGTGGATTTAGAGGTGATGCCAGAATCCCGAACTCATTGAAGGTTCAGTATCCCCTTAAGTAACTTGGAAGATATCAATCAAATACACACTCGAGCATGACACCAGCGGTTTGTTCCACAGTATTTCAGAAGTCCACGAGCAATGAACCCATACATATAGTCAAACCACGCCAGATTTCTATTTCCCGCAATTCAAGACGCCAATAGTCTCTTGCATTCAACAGTTTCGCCTGCCACCTCTTGAAAATTCCACTCGACTGGAGGTCTCCGTGTTACGATCTCTCACTTCTTCTTCTTCTTCTTCTTCTTCCTTTCTCCCCATACCAGCATCTGCAATTCTTCTCCTCCTCCATCCCGTTGAATGCATGAACCTGGAATTCATTCTCAACCTTCTTCCCAAGCAAGCTCTCAATTGAGTCACCCTCCTATCAAAAGACTCACTCACCATGTCCCAACCTCAACCCACAAACGACCATTACTCCTTCCTCCTCAGCTGCATCCAGCACTCTAATGGAGGCAAGGCAAGCACCGAGCAATCTCACATACTGTGTTTCTAAGATGAATCCATCCACCTAACCTCCAATTTCTCTGAGTAGATTGACTTCGCTGGCGTTGCAAAAGACTGCAGCATCGTGAGCAGAGACGCAGCGTACGTCGTTCACTTTCCTTCTGTTCACTTCACTTCCATTCCCTGGCCTTCAATTCAGCTACGGAGTTTTAGAACGTAAATGCAAGCTAACCTGATATGATCTGACAGAGCAAAACGCTACTCGCGCCTGGTAAAGAACTTTAACTCTACCTCGAATGGATCCGGCAGCAGAAACGGAAACGCAAATAGTCCTCGCCCTTCAACTATTGGTGCTTCGGATGGAGACCCAGTGGTTGCGGAGAACGACCCCGAGGGACAGGCGGCTGCTAAGACTGGAAGAAAGCGTAAGAGTGCGGCCGCAACTGCAGGGTCTGGGTCTCCTAGGAAGAGGGAAAAAGCGGCCAAGGGAAACTCTTCTCCTGCTCCTGCTTCTGCTGGGGACCCTGGCGTGAGAGAGGAAGAGTACGAGGAGGCAAAGTAACGGAACGAAGGGGAATGGATGAAGCGGCTGGCTTTGCTTTTGATAATCGTGAAGGAGGAATGGACGGATGACGATAAGGATGGATATCTTCAAGATGACTCTATTATCAACAGGAAAATAGGCACTACTAGGAAAAAAAGACATGGCACGTCGCATGTACCCGAATGTTACATACAATAAGATAAATCTGCTTAGAGGGTATCTGTAAATGAAACAAAACCGAAAAGATAAAGGGGATATCCTGGACTCAAAATAAACCAAAACAAGCGCAGGGGTATTCCAAAACTGAAGAGAATGCTAAAAATATTTTTTTTTAGCAAATTACAGAATAGATATGGAAACTCGTCTTCCAAGCTGAAATGTGTGTTGCCGCAGGTTGGCTTTAGATATCAGTCATGACCGACTCTAAGATCTTCCGCTTATACTGAGATAAAGCTCGCTCCTTCTTCTGCATCTGCGATCGGAGCTTCATATAACGTTGCTTCCAAGATGTCTCAGACACAGTACTGTCGGCACCGTCCACCTCGAACTCGGCATCACTTAAGCTGTCTAATTCCACAACACTGTTGTCTAGCTCGTCCGGTTGCCTGGGCATATTATTCAATTTGCCAATTGCCAGGGAGCCATGGACATCAGCCTTCCCGATGCTTATATTGTCCCATACGACTTTTGTAGAAAAGTGTGACGCATGTCTGTATTCATGAGAGATGCTGTACAAGGAGCTTCCATCAAGGAGGGGCAACCCGCAGACAGGAGGCGGGGCAGCTCTCCGTTCAATATTGACCGTGAATGCACTATGAATGACACCAGGATAGCCAAAATGGGGTCCTAGTCCAAGGTGTAATGCCGACATCAGGGCCGAAGTCCCGAAAGGTAACTTGGAATATAGGGTAGTCAGGTTAGTTACCACAGACGAAGCTATTGTCCGTGCCTCTTCCGAATTTAAAGGAGCCTGGCGACCGATAACATGCCCCCGCAGTAGTTCACCCGAAAGGACTCGTACTACATCCTCGAATGTAATGGTTGCATTGGAAGCGCCACTGTGAGTGACATTTGATAAGGCATTGCTGATAGCCGTCCTAGAAGGCGCTTCTGTTTGAAGACCCCCCCCCGCGCCATTCCGCTGGGTACTTGCTCCATTAAACATTAATGTCGGTGGGGTTGCTAGTCGTACTGGGGCGCTAGAGTGATGCGGAACTTGTAGTTGAAGCTTGTTCGGCCTTACTCCGGCATTGATGGGGGTAGGTGACTGATGGCACTGGGATCTGGGATCTTGTTCGAGTATAATAGTAGGTGAGGGTCTGACCCCAGTACTATGGATGTGCGATGGATCCGAGCGGTTCGGATTCACAGGGAAGGACGAGAAAGGCCCGGATACTGTTCCTCTGTTCGGTGGCCTACCGCGCATCTTTCCGGTAGATGATGTATTGGTGTTAGGCCAGGCAGATGAGACAGCAGGACCATGCCGCCTTCTGGAACGAGTCTTCTCTCCTGAAGATGGTGTAACTGCAGACCGTGGTTCAGTGGATGAGAGAAAAACATCCGATGGAGGGTGCCCTCTAGTAATGACGGCAGATTGTGGATACCCGGAAGGGGAAGCGCCACGACCAAGGTTTTTCCACCTCAGATCTTGGCCTTGTTGGGTTACATTGGCATCCGCTGGATAAGATGATGTAGCTATCCACGGATCGCTAGACTCCATGTCGTCTGGGAATGCACTGAAAGGAATGGCGCTTTGGGGGAATGCAGAATGGGTTGGAAACGGACCCACTTGCAAGACGCCTAGTGAAGTATCCAATTGCGGTCTCTTGATCGCTCTATCGCTTGCATTATCTTTTTCATCCGCCCTCTTTCTCCCCCTTTTTGGCTTCCACTGAGGGACAAGGGCGCGGAGCGCAAGATCTTCCTCCAGTGGAACCCCATCACGACTATCACTGACAACAGAATTGTTGGCCGGGAGTTGGGTGTAATAAGAATGTTGATGGCCTAGACAGTATTCGAAAAAGGCATCCACATGCATTGCGCGCATCCATCGCTTTACACATTAGATTATGGAACAGAATAGCAAGCTGATTTCTGGGTACACATACCTTGAGACGAACTGCATACTGTTGAACCTTCTGTGTGCTTTGTTTCTTTTCCATATCAGGAGGTTCGACTCCCAACTCAATCGCAAGCTGAATCCATGTTTTTAATTCCTTGCTGTCGAGCTTCTTGAGTAGCTCCCAGAGCGCGAAGATACTGAAGCTCTTTCCATCACTACGAGGAGGAGTTCGGAAAGTTTTGCGCAGTTCCGTAGAGTCCACAGACAAAGGCACATTTGGGTTGCAGTAGAATATAAACATGATGTAGGCATCGTCAATCGTCTCGTCTGTTATGTCACGGGGAGGAAGAGATCGTGTTTCCGGTTGGTTTATCGAATCTCGCGGCTGTCTCGGACGCAAGGAATCAAAAACTGGAGGAGACATCGAGGGTCCTGCACGCGCTGGGGGAGCAGGAGGCACAGCTGGTCGGGGATGTGTGGGTGATGACTGCAAACTGCGAGGGGTTGCTTTGCGATGCAGCGGAGGGGATTTGGACGTGGCTAGCTGGGAACGAGTGCTCCCTAGAGAGGAAGCACTTTGCAAGCCAGGCTCCATGGAAGGTGGATACCTTGCGTACTGCTGGATTACGGCGGGAGGAGGACCCCCCAACTCGCTTCGCTCCGGCTGGTTTATGATGTTCGGAAATGAGGCCTGCATTGTGAAATCAAGGCCGGGTCTGAACTCCAATGTCAAGCGCTGAAAAGGGGGCGCGAGTGGAAGGAGTATGCCGGCGAGGTCATAAGTATCTGCAAGGAAGACAAATCTCAAATCTCGGCACGAGTATCAACAGGAATCAGGCTAATAGGTAGGAGAGACGAGGGCCAGATCACGGACCAGCCTGATGGAAGCGCTTGTATTGATATAGAGATGTATATAGAAACAAGTCACAATGCAAACACGGGCACAATTAGACGACAAAAATCATGACCACGAGAGCTTAGAAATGAACAGAGCGCCATGGTCGCGAATAGCAAATGGGAAGAGGGGGAAAGAGGAGAAGGGTGGCTGGAAGAAGGCGGGCGCTTTAAAGAGCGCCGATGTTAGACTGGCCAGGAGGAGCTGACTGTTTCTATTTCGGGACAGGTCTCGATGCTATTTGGGGGTTAGTGTTGTGGCCTTAGCGTAGCCTTAGTCCCGAATAGTGGGGGCCTACAGCCTTGACGGTGGCCTGAGATTGGCCTGAGAGCTGCCTGAGGGTGCAGGGATGTTGATGCCCTGGGCCGGCGCACGTCACCTGATCCACTGTCCCTGTCGGAGGTATTATTATACTCATGTAGCGGATAGCTAAATAACTGTATTCATGAATTTGCTTGTTTGTTTTCCATGTGCGGTCTCGATTTGACTCAATTATCAAGATTCATTGATTGCCGCTCACTTTACAGTGTTTACATAATCCTCTGGTAGAGTCTATTTCCTAATCAAGTATAGTCCCCTTTGACGGTCCCCACTTCGGATAGGGCGCCAGATTGGTCAGGCAATCACCCGCATTAGGTAACTAGCTGCTGCTTAGTGGGCTTTCCACATTCAAATCCCTTATCGATAACCCCTTCTTCCTCATCCATTCCCGTCCATTCCTCAGGGTTGCGTCAGTTGCCTTTGCACTGGGCTGCTATTCCTGTGCTCACTTCTTACAGATGATACTCGTCTTCCTGTATCCTTCTGTATGTGCATTTGCACAAATCTAACAACAGTCAATCGCCCATAATATGTTTCGATTCCCCCTTTGCCTTTTCTTTGTCCGGCAGTAGGATTCAAACACCCTCACCTTACCCTCCTCCATGGCTCCTGCGTTACAGTCTTCCCATCAGCGCCCCGCCAGACAGCCGCGACCTGTCCGTGCCAGTCGCACTCAAGTTCAGTCCTACAATGAAGAAAGTAGTGCCGATGAGCGGCTCGACGAAGATACTGAGCCAGATGAAGATAGGTCGAGACGGTTGTCGCTTTCCTTACGACCGCGTGATCCACATCGCATGCCTGCGTCCTACCGTGAAGAATCTACAGATAATGATCTAGAAGATGCCCTGGATGATGATCCAGATGTTGTATTACCAGCCGAAACTCCAGTTCCTCGGGCCTACCCTATTTCCGAATCAGCCACTCGCACCACTCAGCCTACACATACCCGCTCTCGTCGTAACCGGAAGATTAAGACAAGGTCTCAGTCAAGCAAGCTGAAACGTACCCCGAATAAGAGGCGCTTAGAGCTGGGGCGACCTCTCCACAAACGCCGCAAAGTTCAGGACGAAGATGTCCCGTTTGTGGGTTCCAGTATTATTCCGCCGTGGCAGACGCTCCCCTATCACATACTCTTCGATATATTTCTTTGTGCCTCATATCCGTTAATTGATGAGAAAGCTGTTAGGAGGAATAATTCCGTAAATTGGCTGGTGAACGTCGCCCTGTTATGTAGGGGTTTCTGCGAGCCTGCCCTAGCAGCCCTATATCACTCCCCACCATTGATACCCGCCACCAAGTCTCACAGCCTATTAAGTCTGCTATCCAAACCTCAAGAGTCGCTTTCTACAAATTACGTGAATAAGATAAAAGAACTGCATATCGATGTCGAAACCCTCCTGGTTTACAAAAGTGGTCCCACGTTGGGGTATTTTGATCTGCCTAAGCTGATTGAAAGGACACCCCAGGTAAGGATCCTACGGTTGTACCACAATGATGACTATGTTGTCGGTCTTCCTTTGTGGCAAATACCGCGCTCCAAGTGGGTGTATCCCGAAGCGCTTTTCACTGCTATCGGCTCCAGTTCCATCCAACTTTCTAGCTGGGATTGGAATAGTCGTTTTATGGAAACGAAAAGACTCCTGCCTTATATGATAGCAAAACATCTCCATCCTTCATTCAAGAATATCCAAGAGCTGAGGATCCTGCACGTCGCGTCAGAAGATGCTGATGGCGGTGAGGTTTCGGAGATGTCCAACGAGAGGGAAGTTGTCCTTGCAACGGCCTTCAAGGAGCTTTCCCAATTACATCGTCTAGAGTTCTTGGAGTCTTCTATTTTAAACGACCACCTTTTCCTGAATCTACCTATAAACCTATCGTCTCTTATTATTAACAACTGCGACGATGTAACAACCACTAACTTCGGCGCTTTTCTCTCCACCCACGGACACAATTTGCGCGAATTAAACCTCAGCCATAACCGCCATCTTAGCCTATCATTTATCGTCAACCTAGAAAAGTCCTGCCAGCGGCTAGAGAAGTTCAAAATGGATATCTCAATGCATGATTGGTCGAGTTATCACGACGTTGAACCTCACTTTGAAGAGCTTCTTTCTTCATCCCAAGTTCCTACGTGGCCGGCGACTTTACAGGATCTCGAGTTGATTCATTTGCGTAAATGGGATGACAAAACAGCGGAGGTGTTCTTTGCGTCGCTTATTGAAGCCGCCCCTCAACTGCAAAATTTACGAAGACTGGTAATCAGTGCTATTTTGAAAACCGGATGGCGCGATCGTGCTTCCTTTCGGGAAAAGTGGATTGGACGATTGGAGAAAGTTTTCCTTCGGCACAGCTCACCCCCAAATCCAAATCTTCGCACGCTACCCCAGCCCACGCAACAGTCTAGTGCCTCTAAGCAGGGTCCTAGTCCGTTTAAACTAGGGGAAAGATCGATTCCAGATGAAGGCGCAGCTCACTCAGACGCCCACAGTGGAGATCCTTCAACACCTTCGAAACGAAAGAGCGCACGAATTGCCGAACGGAAGTTTTCAGAACCGGAAGAAATCCACAACCAACCACAACGTAGTCGGCGCACACAAAAGGATGATGGGGATCCCGACCTGCCTTTCATACAAGGTATGTGTGATGTTGTGATGGTTCGGATTGATAATCAACGGCCGACGGAGAACCAATTCAACGAGCAGGACTTCCTTGATGATGAACTGAGTGGCGATGAGGATTGGAATGGCGGTGACTGGGGAGATGCATGGTAACTCAACTATAACGCTAGTTATGCTTCTCATACTTCTTCTTTAGGTCTTTTGTCTCTCTCCCCCGAGACCTCCAGCGCCTCAACCATGCCGCTTTCTTTTTTCTCCTTTTTTTGCCGTTCCCGGTGCACCCATTGCGCTTTTTCTTGCTCTATTAAGTTATATGATATGCTGGTGGCTGTTTTGAACCTTTCCCAACGGAATTTGAGCTTTGAAAAATTAAAGAGATCGTGGCTTCCTGAAGTATTGCTTTCCCCCCCATAAATTGGCTGGCTTCATGTTTTCGATTCTGCTCTTATAGTAATATTGCCATAGGGTTAGCTTCAATTTGGCGGTGCCTTGGCTACTAGGTAGCTACGCCTTAGGGCACCTCTAAATAGCGTTCGTTATATTTGACATCTACAGATTAAGCTCATGCATTTGCAAATGACAAGCGTAAAATAGTTGATAGCCACTAAGAGTCTCCGAAGGAGCATGAAGTACATACAGACACGGGAGCTCAGTACAAAAACAAGGTCCTTTCCGCATACTAGTAGAAGCTGTCATGGGTCATCGAAATCCGCCCGTTGACTTGAGACATGACAATCGTAAATTCCCGCAATCATTTCCCTCATCGGAACTCGAAGCAGCCGTTAATGTTCTCAACGCGCTCGGAGAGGTTCACGTCGGCATCGGCCCATTCACCATCTGCAGTCTGCAGCCGTGCGCGGAGGACTGGGACTTCACCACCGCCTTCGATGTGGAATGATACGCCGTCCGCGGAATTGGAGAAACCGGTTCCATCCCATTGGAAGCGTCCTATTCGGTCATACCAGCATTAGTTAGGTATGGATCATACATTAGGTATCTTGGAAGTAGTAGGAGTTAACATGGGCACGGATACGTACCGTTGTCGTTTCCAAGGAAGTGGTTCAAGTCGATGCTGGCATCGCGGAACTCACCACCCTCGTCGCGCAACCTGGCGACCAAGAGGTGGTTGTCGATGATTTCGATGTTCTCTGCGGACAGGTGGAAGCTCATTTTGGCGGGAGGTTGTAGTGGGGGGGGTTTCTTGTTAGGGTTGATGGAGGTTATGATGGGTATACAAAGACACGGGGGGACCTACCTTGGCTTTATACTATGGGTCCGCTCGTACCATTACTCAATTGAATGATCTGTGTCCGCTGCACAATTCCCATCACTGAGACCAGCGATATCTACATGATCCAATTGCGTCTCGTGGTGAGGGGAGTGAGGAAGACATGACCCGTATGCCAAGAAGACGAAGAGGGGCCATTTCACCGCTTATGCACGCCGAAGCAGTTTTATATTAGCTCCAGGCAGCAGCGAAAGATGCGGTATGCGTTGGCAATTGAACTGCTTCCAATAACCTCTGGCGTTGAGATGGTAGTACTCCATTGCTAGCCATTGGGGACCCCCTAATTCCCGGCTGTTACTGAGGCAGGTATTCGAGGTGTATGTATGTTGTACCGCGCGTGTGGAGGCAGGGTGGAGTCTACCTCAGGGTGAGTGGCTCAGGGCCCGCAGATCTTTCGCAATCTAGGTTTTGAACTGCGGCAGGGCAACAGTGAGCAGGGGCGGGTGAATTGGAGAGACAGTACGGAGTACCCCTCCTCCTTCCCTTCTGGCGTGAATTGCTGGCATGGTGGGGGAAAATTCCAATAGGGTCAAGTCCTGGGCTCGGGTTCAAGAGGGGTAAATGGACAACCTGTATGACTGCCTCCTAGGTACCTACCTAAGGTACCTGGTAGTGTAACAAACATACGATCCAATACGGAGGCACCTATCCTAGACACAAAAAACAGAATCCCGAGTAGTTATCTTGGGGCGCAGAAAGGTCACTTTCCAATGCACGCTTGCAACCACACACGCGGATATACGGATAAGAGACCCTCGATGGACCTACAAGAACGACACAGGGCTGCATCTCACGTGGCTTCCGATTATGCGCATGTAGTATGTATGTATCGCATGCTGACTGTGGCTCGTGGGTTCGGTCGTACGGTAGCCAGACTGTGGCACCAGCATCATGGCTTCCTGGAGTGAGCAAGTGATGCTGGCTTTTGTATCCGAGGAGGAAAGAAGTGGATGGTAGATGAAGGGAACGGAGGAGGAAGATCAAGGATTGGAAGGTGTAATCCATGCATTCTCGTTGGTAAATCCCTCAAGCCCGACATCTCGATCCCCCGATTGGATGTGTTAAGAGCCTGTGAGGCATTGATGGTGTATGGATGGGTATTTTCAGAATAGCTCAGCAATATATGGCGGGGTTATGGCCTAATAAGTTCAATATAACCTATATGTTATCAAACACAGGTAATATTTGAGAACCAGGCGACAGTGCATTTAATCGTGTTCATGAATATTCTCTATTATATTAGGCTTACAGGTCTCTCCATATACGAAGTGAAAAGACCAACTATCTGTGGTATATACCTGTGCATTCTTGAACTTGGCTACTAATTAATCTTAATGAATATATCTCCTCTGGTTTCACAACATCAAACCTCATAGGCTGGAGAAGAGAAGTCTAACAAGACTTGCGTTCTAGATGGCATCCTTTTGAGATGGCCATTTTGAGCCAGATTCCAAAAAAAACAATGGACAGACTCTCATGAAATCGAAGGTTGAGCAGAACCAACAGCAACCTCTGTACAAGATCCCAAATATCTGGTTGAAAGTAACTTAACTAGTGGGTATTGATGTGTAATAAGTATAAGTATTGTATATAATGCCTCCTCATTGCTATAAAGAGGACTTTCAGACCAGTATGGATATCTATCATATTAGACATGTGGATTACTATATAAATCATTATATTACAGTACATGCAGCTTAGGTTAGTGAATGGATTGTCAATCAGTAAAAAAATTAAAACTGCCTTTATCAAGGGTGCCCTGCTCTCACCCACACTTTCCTCTTCCTCTTGCAATACCCCACGGCATCCCACTTTACCTTCATTAATATCTCACCTATCACCGTTGTATCTGCTTACGTTTTCACCAATTCCATTGTGCATATTCCTTTCACTTTGCCATCACAGATCATGGGCGAGGACCTAGTTCTGAGCCTACCCCAGACATTACTCTGGCTCAGTTCCTGGAGCATTTGGAACAGAAACATGGTATATAGAGGGACATGGCCGCTGCGATCGCGAATAGAGCCCACCAGAAACCCAATAATAGGCTCCAGGAGGATCCCCCAACCTAGCCAGAAACGAGCTAATCCAATGCCCATCCGGTCCCATTTATATCCGAGCTACCAACAACCATACACGATGCTTTGCTTCTCAGCTGCGAACTATCATCCCCCTCATTATCAGAATACATAGAACAGTGGTTATGGGCAATATCAAGCCCAGCAACAGGGGGCCAGCATGCTCTCAGAACCAAATTGCCAACAATCGAAACTTTCCTAAAAGCATTGTCAGCACTCCGGGCAAATCAATCCACAACTGGAAGATTTCGGTCTGTATACTACAAATCAAGGTTCTAGTTCCTCAGCCATGATGTGATGGCAAAGTGAAAGAAATATGTACAATGGAATTGACGAAAATGTGATGAGAAGTTGCGCTCGCGAGGAAACAAACCGGAAGGCCTTCGGGCTGACTGGCAAAAAAGGGGGCCATTAAGGTAAATATTTGTTTTCTTGCACGAAATACTGCCGATTCTTGGGTGAAACCTCATGGATAATATACTGAAGTATGGTTTTATATAGGAGAACCTTCCTGCCTACCACAATTTTTGTGTTGAGCGGCGTAGGGAGTTGTCACATTATCTCCCTTGGCCCTGACGCGAGTATGGAGGAATCGCGCTTCTTTCGTGTGTACGCCCTACTGCGGGGCAGAGTTGTGTACTCGCTGTGCTCGTTTGCACAAGAAGTGCCTGCCCGTCGTACCCCCGGTGCGCCCCCGGCTCGGGGAAATACAGGCGATGTCTGGTGACGCTGCCGGCGTCGCGGCGTGTAACAAATGGGCGCATGAGACCGACATCTTCCTTCGTCGTTTGAAGCGGGAGGATCAGACAGAGAGAATATTGCGGTCAATAAACCGCAATCTCTTTCGTTTGTTCAATCTGCAGCGCGTTGGGGCTGGTCTTGGCGAGATGGAGGATGATTTCGAAGAGATATGGGACGGGTACGAGTCAAGGCACCCCTATATTACATAGTGCCTAAACGACGAGTAAGGGGTTCTTCGCTGTCGTGGCGCTGGCGCCTATTTTTAGTCTTTGCTGTCATATCATCGGCATTTTTGCGCTAGGAAAATATTCGCCATTACTACCTTGATTGGTGGATATGCAACTACTCTTGTCTCTGAACAGGTCTCATATAAGTAAGTATGATCGGAATCCATAAGGCCCTTCGAGAGTGGCCCTCAAAAAGCATCTAGAAAGGGTATTTTGGGGGGGGGTTACTTACTTGCGTGAGACACTGTTCAGAAATAAGAGTAGTTACATATCTACAGCGAATATTTTCCTGGCGCAAAAGTGTGCTGACTTCTCTTGCTGCTGCCCAATCCTAGGGTCTTGGAGGCATGAGAGGGAAATACAGGCCGCTCACCTCTTTTCGTACATGCATGGGCAGCACACCATGGACGCGATTTTCGGAAAGACACGCACACCGGAGCTTTTCTCTGCCCGTAATGGGCTTCTCATCTCTCAACAACATCTTGAAGAGATTTTCGACTGCGGCAAGATTGTGATTGTGTCCGATCTTCCTGAGCGCCCAGAGACATCGCAGCTGTTGAAGTGGCTAAAAGGGGAAACACGCGACTTCAAAACGAAAATAATTGACCATAATTGGAGTAAAATCCCCCAGCAGATTTTTGACGGATCTGCCCCTTAGATATGGGGATCTGGATAACCGTCGGCTGCATTTTCGGACTCAATATCGACCAGCAGCGCGATACCTCTATTTTCATTACTGTCTTCAAATCTTGCGACGAGCTTGGCAGGAGAATGCTTCAAAGAAGACCGCGCCATATCTGAAAGACGAAAAGGGAAAGCCCTTTTGGGGTACTCCTGGGATGTACTTCCCAAAGAATATGCTTCTGGCCCTAGTCGAGGAGCTTGGCCATGGATATTGTGACCTCTTAGAAGGGGCATCAAGCCAAAAAGGGGACAACTCGTTGCTGCTGGAAGTAGCATCTCAGCAGGTGAAACGAAGAAGGCCCTTGAAGGCTTCAGGGTTGGGGACCTGCGATGACTCTGACGATGATGAAGGGAGTGCGAGTAGTGATGACGAGTACGACGAGAATTTTCAGTGTTGCTTTCCTTGCTGCAATATATATTCTTAGAACTGTTTTAGCTTTCTTTGTCAATGCAAAACTGTGAATGTTAGGATGTTCGAAAGTAATCCTGTTGGGGTACTGTGTAAGGGAGAAAGAAAGGCATTTTGGCTGTGTAGGGGGATGTCAAGTTAATCCAGACAAAGTAGAAAAATATTGGTCTATTCAATTTCCACCGCACAAGACGCTGTCAAAAACCTTCCTCGGCTCCATCCAGGTCCCAATTCAAGCAATTAATTAAATAAAAGCGATTCTAGCACACTTTAATCATACACAGAAATACCCGAAAATCTTCTAATATCAGGCATACTCCTCATAATCATCCATCGGAGCCGATTCATCAGGGGCGTACTCCGAAGCTGAGCTCTCTACATCATCCGCCGCATCCTCATCCACGACATACGTAACGATTCCAGGAGGCAGGGTACTAGCCCTACGAGACCGTTTGGTTGGAGTCACATCGTTCCCCCCCATAACAACAGTGACATCCTCCTTCTCGAGCTTAATCGTACTACTACCACTACCAATCTCAGTATGCTTCTGGCCCTGGTTCATACCTGCAGTTGTAGGACGGAGCGGCTGCTTAGTAGGCGTGATAGGGCCACCATCGACGTCTAGCTCCATTTTGACGGGTGAGATGCTGTCCGAATCTGAATGCTGCCAAGTCGAGTTCACATCGTTAATGCGCCTGCGTTTCCCTGAACCAGGAGTGCTAGATGCAGTAGCAGCCCTATGTGGCTTACGTGGGGTGGAATGCGCGCTGGAAGACCCCGTGCCTTTTGCGATGCTGAAACGGGCTTCTGCGTTGTTGTTGGATTTCACGAGCTGGCGCATGCGAACTAGACGTTCGGTGATGGCGCGCGGGGTGGGAAGGTCTTGTCCCGGGAGGGAAGCTAGAGTGTTGTTAGATTCGATTAGTTACTTCGGGATATGTATGTAAGACTTGGCTATTGGCTGTACCTACGCCAGGCTTCGGCGACTCGCTTGGTATCGACGGAGAGATCGTGGGTTTCGAGGATTTTGAGGAGCAGCTGTGTTTTGTTAGGTAATGAGTGAGTGTGGAGTGTTAAGGACATGTACCAGCTGGTCATTTTCAGCAGTCCATTTCATAGGCATTGTAACGTCGGTAGAGTGATTCCAAGGGAGAATAGAGGGGGAGGTTGTAGAGGTTAAGGAAAAGCAACAGATCGTTGAGTGCAAGGTAGTAAGTTTTAAGTGTAAGCTGGACCTGTTCAGGTATCTACAGTAAGAAAAAGAAAGAAAAGAAAAGAAAAAGATGTAAGTTGTACAGAAAAAGAAGAGGGTTGTGTTAGGAGGTGGTTGATTCACCAAGTACCGTGAAGGTCAGAATCTTGTAGTACTTGACAAAATTCACATACCAATTCTTATAGTGAAGTTGGCTTTCTTGACAACCTTCTGTTGTCCTCCAGTCACTCTCTACACTAACACAAACTAACAACCATCCTTAGATTGACTCTGACTCCCTGATCAGGTCATACAGAAGCGGTGTAAGGATCCAAATCAATTCTTCTTTGTCTATTTCCACCTCGATCCCTTAGCGTTTCCCGTCATCCAGGATGTTCCTGCATCGGCCTCATCCCACGACAGCCATTCATACATTCGACTCCTCGAACACCGCACCTTGAGGCTGCAGCGGATGTTTGAGGCTGTCTTCCGGACGCATCCTGCAGCTTGGTTGGGTCGGATTCATCCTCCCAGTTTCCAAGAACCACATAACCCTTGACATCGTACGTCTAGCCCTTGTATCTCTCTACTGACAAGATTTACTCATCGCTTATCCCAGGAAAATCTTGACCTTTTCATAAATACTGCATTTCCTGCAACCTGCATCTTTTGTCACTCTCATCCATGTACCTCGAACCAGATCTTCCCATTCGACAAGAACGCCCTGGGATCTAGCCCTGAATGCCCATAGTGCTGCACCTAAAAATCCAAGGAATCTCTACAACTACTCTCTCAATTCCCGGAAAGAGCTGGGGTCCGTTTCCAAGCTATTTGTCGCCTTCTTTGCTCCCTACAAAGTCTGAGGGCGTTTCCCTCGCCTTGGTATCTTATAAGCCCTGCCTCTCCCAGTCGACGTGCAAGATTCTGTACTTAGTTATTAACAGCCATTGATTTAATCAAACCCACCCAGCCTTGCACAAATTACCTGTGGCTTGGCTTACCTGCTATCTCACCTTTTTTTCCCTTACAACAACACATTCTCTTTCCACCCTTTCGTTGACGCTTGGATTGAGCAATCTAGCCAACGCCAACATGGTCAATTGGAAGGCATCGGAAAATATTGATAGATTAATTGCCGTCTTAATTGCCGCACATCCAAATTTCAAGGTACCATCTACTTCCACTATGGGAGCCGCTGCAATTACGGGACAATCTGACATATTCCAGCTTGAGTACCAGGCAATGGCTACATTATTCGGGCAGGGAGCAACATACGATGCAATTGAAGGGCGATTTCGCAAATACCGCAAAATGGCTGATGAATTGAAGGCTGAAGCGGCGAGTCGAGGCATCACGGAGCTCCCCCGAGGACGCAACAGCTCGTCCGCGACTCCCCGAACACCTCGGGGCCCTCGAAACGGAATTACAAAGCCATCGCCATGCTCGTCGACTGGAAAAGGCAGAAGAGATGCTTCACGGGCAGTCACGTCTCCGACCAAACGAGGTGTCAAAAAAGTGGCAGGGCGAAGTATCATGGACGCCATTTTCGTAGATGACCGGCCAGTCCCTGAGGACGAAGGCAAGATTAAAAGCGAAGCGGCCGAGATTCTATCTGGCATTGGAAGCGCTGGTTTTCCGGACGTGGAAATTATCAGTCCTCCAACTAGTACCGCCACTCCCATCACCAAGGGCGAGGATTCCAGCGACCACGATCACTCAACCATGACCAGCGCTTTCTCATCGCCATCCAATTTCGGCGGAGCAAACCAGTCCGATCAGCACATTCCCAGCCACGGCTTTATGAATCCCGCTTCAGACATCTCGGTACCTATCATGGCAACTGGATGCAGTCTCTCTAGCACACATTCCACTCTCGAATCATTGAGCATGGGCCCTGACGCCTTCGATATGAGTGGACTATATTTCTCTCATACTCACGGTGGATATGATATGGACGATACGATCTATGGGGGAACAGCCTAGAAGATAACGCCATTCGTCTTTCTGGTGTTTCCCTCATTTTGTTTTAATTTTTGGGCGTACCTATTTTAAAATTTTCTTTTTTATTCCCTTTCTGATTCCTCTACGAAAGAAAGAAAAAGAAAACACAGCATAAGAAACAAGACTACAAAATTGACATGACAGGTCTCAGGATCCGCGATCCGGGGACCGAAACGAGGATCAATCAATACATACGCCCACTTTGAAATAAGAAATCAAACCGCAATTAAGAAACTCTAATGGCCCCCGGTCCTGTAGAATCCTAGCTGGCTGCTGGTCCGAAATTCAAGATTTGGAGTAGTGCCTGCCGTCGTTATTGGTGGTGCTCAAACCTGACATGTCACAGACGGGCCCGGGCGGACGGACGGACAGCTGAGCCACCCAACAAGTACGGAGTAACTACGTACTCCGTAAGTTATGTAACTGACAAATTCGCTGGTCAGCACTTGGTGGCTAGCCAAGGAAATCATCAAACAAAAGTACCTACTGTCCAGCTGACGAACGTAAATAATGGATGGGTGGGGGGATACAGCTCGGCGTGGGTAGAAAAAAACTCCGCGTGGGTAGAACCCCGGAATGGATTAACTCTCGGCGTGGGTAGAGATTCTACCTATGATGAGGTTGGCCCATGCTAGCTCTACCCATGATGAGCTATTTATCTAACTATAATAGGGTCTCGTTTAAGACTACTTACTACCACACTAAAATTTACTACTATTACTCCGTACCATCAACACAAAGGCTAATTCTAGCTAAAAAAAGCCCTTTTTCTAGCTAAAAAAGGAATAATAAATAATACTAGTATTAAAATTACTACTTTTACTAAGTATATACCTATTACTAGTATATTAGAAGTAGTAAATATTTTATTCGTGTCAGGTTTATACCCTAATGATAAGAGATAAGGTCATCATGGGTAGAGAATTGATTTTCTACCCATGGTAAGGTTAGACCGCGCTAGCTCTACCCATGCCGAGGTCCAGAGTTCATCATGGGTAGAACTAGCGTGGCGCTAGTTCTACCCACGCGGAGTTTTTTTCTACCCACGCCGAGCTGTAAGCCCGATGGGTGGCCAGCAAATATACATACATAGTTATGCGTAAGATATACATAGCTAACTAACCTATGAGGGCTGGAGGCCCTAGCCCTGTGCCCTAAGCCCTTGAATGAATTCTTTTTACGGGAGAGGAATAGTAGTAGCCTAGGGAGTAGGAATTCCAGTTCTAACAGGCAATAATTATCTTTTTTTCTTCTTCTATTTTTGCTCTGACTATTCAAACATAATAATGACTGCTAGTTACTGGTGCTTGCTTGATTCGTGAGTGAGTGCTGGAGGTTAGGTAGTAAGTAAAGTAGGGTTTGCCGTGCCTAGATCTATAGAATACTTCGTATTCACACTACTTACTCTATAACCATCATGAATGCACATATCTATGAGATAGATAGTTGGGACCTACTGGATAGTGTATACTTAAGGACTGCATAAGGCTATGTATAAGCTGCAAAAATCAACTATATAAAGATACTCTGATGCACACGCACTCAGTGACCAGAGCAAGCATCACCTTGTACATTTTGAATAATAATAGTGAGGTGCAGTCAATTAACAAGGTAGAGTATCCCTGCGGTGTAGATTGGAAGAGCCTATAGAAGAATATTTATTCTCTCTGTGTTGAGAGCGCTTCTGTGTCTGGTATGCAGGAGGAAGAAAATATTCCAACTACGGAGTATGTTGAGGGATGTCTTCGGTGTTTAGTGGGTGACCTACCTGATATTTTAGTATTGATCATCGCTTAGGTCAATATATTGTTCTGGAATGATTATATATGGCGCTAGATATGTCGCCTTTTTGGAGTACTCATGTAGGAATGCAAGTAGGTTTACCTTTGAAAACTTGGAAGAACTATCACGACTATGTTTATAGCTGACAACATTCAAGTCATATTCATTAAGATAATGAATATTGAGAATAGGTCGAATCCTAATATGGGTAAATAGGGTCCAAGCGACAATGTTTCGGGAAATTCGTCGCTATATTTTGGATGCCTTCTTCGTCCGAGACCGTAAATTGAAAACATATACAACATGATTGCTTAACGCAAGCAAATCCCCCGCTTCATCAAGGATCTCCATGTTCATATCGTACCGGCCCTCGGATACTTGAGTGGAATTGGATCGAATGAGGACCCATTCGGTCGATGGGTCGGGCCGCTTTTTGAACTCCAACGAGAGACAGAGTGTAGAGAGGGCATATTGTGAATAGAACCCAGCCTGGTGGGTAGCGGGAGGTTGGAGGGGCTGTGTTTCTGTGAGTTTGGCCTGTTCTGAAATGAAAGAAGCATAGACAGAACCTACTGTATCAGCAAAGAAGGCCAAATGAAGTAGGCTCGAGATTTTAGTGCCGTCGCGAAATGACAGCCAGAGCTCTCTACGGTGTCCTCCCAGCCTGTGACCCCAAAGACCGTCTGGAGAAAATGGAGCCACCAAATGCAACTTTCGTGCTATCGGAGTAGCGTCGACGACAGGACCATCAATTCTGACGCATTCTGTTTCGCGGTTGGGGATTGGGGTCGCAACTGAGGGCTTGGTTTCTTGAGTGAGACCGCTCTCCTTGGTTAAGTCTGCAAATGTGACAATGCAGACAGTGGCAGAGACTTGCGATCCGTCGGAGGGGGATTGTGGCCCTGTGAGTTCCGCCTGCACAACGCACTGTCGGGAGGAGGTGCGAAGCGGCTTGCAAGATATCGACACGGGGCCTGGTGAAACCATGTGCAAAAACTGTACAAATACATGAATGGGGTCAGGGTATCGGCCCTGGCCGAATTCTTGATCAACGAATTTGCGTGTGGCAGTCAGTATTAATGCGTTTAGATAACCTCCCAACACAGAACTGTCGAGGTCAGTTTCGTTGCTGATGAAAACCCCAATTCATAGTCCATTGCGGGGTAACATACTGCTGTGAGCACCAGTCAGGGGAAATATTCGTTACAAACTCATTTCGACTTCCATTCTTGAGAGAAACGGACGATGTTGCTTCCAGCAAGGATGGGGCGTGATGGGACGGCATTTTCTGGAGCTTATGATGGCGAAAAGCCCGAATCTAGTGACAGAGATTCCAAAGATCCTGATTCATCATGGCTTTCCAAAGCACAATCATAAGATTCGAAAGCCACGAACGAACCTCGGAGATGGGGAAAGCGACGATCTAGTGTGATAATGTCCAGTTCATGTCACGTGTGGTTCATGCCCAATGTATGGTATAGCCCAGGCCTGATCAAGCATTCCAACCTCCAATATCCTTGCTGAATGCAGGAATTGTCTACACGGCACAATTATTCCCTGTCCTACAGAAGTTGATGGTGTTATGGAGAACCAGATGCTTCTTGAGCCGGGAACGGGATCTCTATCTAGCTGCCAGCGATAGAACATGATGAAGTGTGCTAGCCATGTACGTTTCACTTAGCCTTGGTAGGCTTCTCAGCTCCCCCGGTCCTTGGGGGCTCCTCTGAAACTTGTGTTACTTACTATCATTCTCGTTCAAGAACCTTCATATAGTTACTTTGCGATATACGGAGTACATTAGCGCAGCCCCTTAAGCGAGACAAGAACGGCAGCACGAACCGAGCATCCCGAGCCGCCAAAAAAAACCACCCCATAATGGTTGGGACTACCCAAAAGAGGACAAGTCATCGTGACGAGTTGTTGCTTCTCGGGGAATACCAGAGAGGCTGGCATCACCGCATCTCCGTAAATCCACGTCAAGGCCATAAAATTTCGTAAGATTCGGAAGAAAGGAGGCCTGAAATTCTCGCCTGAAACCCATCACGTGGGACCACCTGACGCGCGCCCCGAACGCGCCATTTTGGTGTGAGCGGGGATTTTTCTTCGCCTCATTCGATTGCCTCCTCGTGCCATTTTTCTTTTTTTTTTTTCCCTCGGTCTCCCTGTCATCTTCCTTTCCTTCCTCGGGGGTCGAATCTCATCTCATGTACACAGCCGAACAAGAAGGAGGAGGAGGAAATCACTGGAGGAAATATGGAACAGGCAATCACCGTCTTTCACAAGGATGAGAACCTCGAGCAAAAGGAGGTCGTCATACCCAAAAAGCCTAAAAGGGGCCCGCTTAGTATTCCGGAGCAATTGACCCTGATCGAAATTTGCAGAAAACATGCGAAATACACTGCAATCACCAGTTATACGAAAAATTTCTGGGTCCATATTGAGATCGAACTTGAGAGGGAAATCGGTCGCCGCTATTCGCACTATTCATGCCGTCGTCGAATAACCGACTTCATCTCGCTACGAAGGTCGTATCGGCAAATGGTTGAACTGGGGCTCAATCCTCATTATCATGATATGCCGGAGCAAGTATGCTCGCTCCTAGATGATTGGATGAATGAAAACGATTTAGAAGAGTTAGACAAGCAGATTAAGAAGCAGAAGGCAATTGCCCAGCTGAAAATAGACACCCATGTTTCGCAATCCGCCAAGATTCAACGAGTTCTCGACTGGATCAAGAATGTCCCGGACCCAGAACCTCAGAGTGCACCCTCCAGGCCTCCGTCGCCCCCCGGTCTAGCGCTTCAGTTGCTGGCTTCTCAGAATGTCGGATCGTCTCGACATCATGCCTCTGAACTCTCAACCCACGACATTGTGAAACCCGCATACAGACCCGCCACGTCCATGGGTCGGGATAAACTGCCTATTAAGCAAGAACCGTCATCGCCAGCTCACAAGCAAGAACCTCTGCTACCTCCGAGCCAGCCCAAACCACCCTCAACACCTCAAGATCCTTACAACTCTATGATCGGCAAGAAAAGACCTCGGGAGGACCATGAATTCGTACCTGATCGGTCCGCCCAACGCCTCCGGACATCGCAAATCGGTCTAGCCTTAAATAAGCCTTCTCCGTTGAAAGAACAACTGCCTGGAGTCGTTCCGGAAAACACGCAATCCACAACGGACACCATCTTCAACAAATTCTGGGAAATTATGCTACCATATTTTACCGAACGAGCGATAAAGGAGGGTCCAAGCATCGCCAAATCCGAGTCTATCATGCATGACCTCTTTAAAGAAGTCGGGTCTGCCCTCACACGTGCATTTGTGAAACTCGAGCAGGGCGGACGACGACCTTGACCTCTTCAGCCTCGGTTTCCTATCTTTCATATTTATTTATGCCCCCTTGTATCTCTTATTTCACTTGACGTCTTTTCCTCTTTCAGCTGTTTGTCATCCATGCGTGTTGCTTTTTTTTTTTTTTTTTTTTTTTTTTTTTTGACCTCATTCTATGTTCTGCATTAGACTGTCTAGACTAGATACCCCTTGCATTTGGGTTGGCAATACTGTTTAGCTATGCTCTTTGTTAATCTTGCAGATGTGATCATTCTATTTTGTGTTTCAATATTTATATGCTATGACCTTTTCTTTTGTTGTTAACTAATGCCATTGATCAGCGTTTATTAAGTTAATTATGCATGCAATACATCGTTATTCTAATATTCATAATGCTGTTATAAGCTCGAAGTAAATAACTCAAGTACAACAACATCTATGACATAGTTTTCCTTTTATAAGCATGCATGGCAGCAGCGAAAAGATTATTCTGCATATACATAATATGCCCCAAAAATAGCTATTTTGGAATCATTACCTGAATGAATACATGTGCAAAATCAACTAAAAAGCCATCAACTCATACACCAAGTTACAGGCCGGCTGTACTTGGGGAAAATATCTCAGCTCCTCAACTCCACAATGAAAATACAAAAGAACGGCGCATCGTTTACGTCGCTAGTGGCAGAGGGTAATCCACTGGTTGACGGTCTCCTCCATATCGTGCGCAATGCCCCATTGGGAGATGAGGCAACGGAAGAGTTTCTGCATGGAGTTCATTTCGTACAGGAGGTTTCTCACGGCTCCAACTCCCGGCGGAGAATCCGTGCGGCCGTCTGTCACGAAGCGACGGGTTTCAGAGCCGGTTGAGGGTCGCGCCGGTTGACAGCCCAGGTTCAAGTCTGCGTGGGAAAGAAGGGCATCCTGCCAGACAATCGTGCGCGGAAGATGGATATTCGCCACCCCTGCGAGGGCGAAGACGACGTAGACGGTAGCCGCGGAGAAGAGTGAGCTTGGCATGTGGATCACATGTGCACGGCCTCTGGGAAGCTGCTCAACAATGTCCTGGATAGCAATGGCATGGAGTAGGGCACGCCGAGCATCTTCGGTGTTGACCCATTTTAACATATCGAATCCTGTCCGGAGTGTTCGGGAGCCTCCGGAGACATGTTGGGAAATGCCGTAGCGGGAACAAACGTGGCGGCAAAGCACGGTCGAGTTGATCATTGTATCTAGACAAATTGTGTGCCAGCGGAGAAGTACCTCCAGCCTTTCCGATGCTGAAAGGTGAATGCTTAGGGAGATAGTCTCATGTACTTGGGCGAGGGCTCTTCGGACGTCGGAGCGATCTGGAGCTCCAACAGCGGCCAGATCACTTTCATCCGAGTCAGACACAAGCGACTGTAGGCCTTCCAGGATCACACGAAGGGAAAAGGCTGACAGGGGGTAGTCGAGTGCTCGGAGACTGCCGATAGGAGGGAAAAGAGACCGGAAAATCAGGCGGAAAGATGGCTGGTCCGCTTTCTTGGGGTGCATATGGGCCAGCCATGCATCGGCGCTGTTCGCATCAAAAGCGGCTTCGTTGCTAGGAATAGTGAGTGGGTTAGCAACGTGGCGCGTGGAAGCCCCATCTCCAGACATCTGTGCAACCAGTCCATCGACAATATGGTATGCTAGCAGTGCACGCTGTTGAATCTCCCTCGCAGCCCATGTTCGCCATTTATGATCTTTCTCTGCGCTGGTTGGGCCGGGGAATGGGAGATCCTCCATTGAGAATGGTTCACTGTCTAGCATGCCACAATGCCTTGCCCAAACGAAACCAAGCGGACGGAAGACCTGGCTTGTGGTACGAACAGCTCGGTTCTATACAGTAACGATGAGAGTTAGGATAAAGCAACTTCTCAAACTAATACAAGATATCGCTTGCCTTGGATAACGCTCCATAAATTTGCCCCAGTAGTGCTGTGATTAGAAGCTGGACACCCTTGCATGCGTCGTACGGTCCACGATGTGTAATCAGCGATTGCCACTAAAAACATTAACCAGTGTCCAGTATGGAGATTCAAAGAGAGTCCCGTATCACTCACCGAGGTAGCAACAGCTGTGTGTGCTAGCCGCCATAACGCCTCACCCTGGGGGTATATTAGCCACGATAAGCTTGGAGGCTCAGATAAGATTAACCTTAGCGACAGAGTCTCTGGGCCCCAGATATAAAGATCCGAGTGCCATGGCGTTCAGAAGCAGAGGGTGCGTGCAGTCCCGGAAAACAAAAGTGGCCCTATGGAGGATGGGGAACGTAGGGATAAACCGCACGAAAAACATATGCAGACATTCGTCCAAAAATACCGACGTAATTGAAGTTGCTTTAATTGCGGCCGTCACACTAGAGGACTGCAGGAAGGATTATAAGCCACTGGTCCTGTTAGAAAAAAAAAAAAAAAGATCGAGGGTCTATAGACCTACCGAGCTCGTCACCATCTCAGTGACATCTCGTACGGCCTGGTGGCTTCCGCCAGAAGGAATAGTGCCGATGGACGAGCCTCTATCATCAAAAGAGTTTGGGGAACCAAAGTTCATGCCACCGAAGTCCTGCACCACAGGAGGAATGGGAAGAGCTCCAAGGGGCATCTGCCACTGATCCGTGGTGTCTGAGGACATGATACTCTGGAACAAGTCCTCTGAGTCCGGCCATATCAGGGCAAAATCGAGGTCTGGGGCTGCAGAAGGCAAGCCTTGCGCCTGCTGGGCCCCGGGTGTCTCCCATGCCAGGCTGTGTGCAGATGGTGGTATAACAGCCTCTACCGGGGCTCTAGGGCTATCACAAGGGAGGGTTTCTTGAGACATTGCCCGAGGCACTTGCACGGACTGGTGAGTGTGCGCGTGTTTAGTGGCTGCTACACGCGTGTGCAATTTCTCATGTCGGGTCAGAGCATCTTGGCGAGCAAATGGCCTCCGGCACTCCTTACAGATGAACGGCTTGGACCCCGTATCTGGAACGTCACATCGGAGTTAGCGATTCGATCAACTCCCGGTGTATTGGACTATGGCGATTTATTGCCATCAACTGCCCCCGGGCAATGGGATCCTTACGGCAACGTTCATGTCTCTAAATGCCGGGGTCAATACCAGTTAGGGTCTCCACCAAATGCGGCAAAAAAAAAAAAAAGAAGGAAATCATTACTAACCCTTAAGTGCTCAGCTTTGGAGAATCCCTTCTCACACGTGCGACAAATCAGGGACTTTCCACCTGGGGATGAGGTCGACTGTGGCATCAAGAAACCTCGACACAACGAAATAGATACTTGGATGTCAATGGGTTAGTTACTTTGGGAGGTTTCCCCACCAACGATCACAAACAAAGCTGCAGACGATGAACGAGGGAGTGGGGTGTAGGTTGATAGAGGGTGGAAGTGCTAAGCAACAGTCGGATCTGTAGATATTGAAAGTGGGTGTGGGTGTGTGGGAAAATAATGGGGGGATGGCTTGGCACGTGGTGGGAAATCTACACAGCCAACTGCCGACTCTCCGATCCGTCTCCATCACTTTTTAACACTCGGGATGAGTCTTACGGTTCGCTACCTTAGGACTCATTATGTCCTGTTCTTGCGGGATCGATCCTGGAAGTTACCTCATAATGTCCACTGGGATTCGAAAGACGAGCACTCTCTGTGGATCAGCTACTGTTGGAAATTTCATCCTGATATAGTATGTTACTTGGTCAACAAAATGCAATCCATGATGCAGAGTTGTGTAAAGGGTAGCTCATGCACTTTACCAGCTTATTATTTGTCATGTGTAATTATCAAACTCTCTGCGCTTGACAATATGACCGGGGCTATTAGAATGCATTAATAGTGAACAAACTCGCAGGATTTTGCCGCAAACTCCTTCTGTACCCCACGCCGTGAAACTGGGGGAAATATATCTTTTCTGAGCTATTACAAAGTTCATCAATACGACGGAATGCTCTTGCCTCATTTAGGAATGGATCAAGCTCGTCCCTAATGTCTTCTACCGTACGGCATGCGAAGGGGATACGTCGGATGCTGGGCTTCGGCATCACTGTTGGTATACTCAGGGAACTTAGTTGACATGAGCTCTCAGTTAAAAATCAGTTGCGGGCCAAATTACGGAGTACTCACTACCTTAGCCACATATTTGGTCACATATTTTCCATGGTATCTGGTGAGGAGCTGCAAAACCTGATTTCGATCCGGGCTACTACATAGTGTGTGTAGTTAGATCCCGCTTCACTGGTTTCCATAATATCCACTTTTTGTTATCAAGACAGAAAGGTCGAAACTCCCCCTGATTTTCCTGAACAGTCTTGATCCACTCAGGTGAACGCTCCGAGAAGAATATGGCAATATGCTGGTCCACTGTCCTTCATCCATATCACCGGCGCTTGTGTGGCTGCCTTTTAAGTTTGACCCGAATGGGTTTCTGGGCCAATGGAGCAATTAATAGAGGTAGAAACAGGGTCTCCTGTTAATAAATAAATAAGAGAATCACCCAATTTCATGAGATATTCTTCCTGTACGAAGGAAAATGGGCGCAGCAAATAATCCAGAATCAACCGGAAAGGCACGGAGGTGGTTGCCGTAGGCGGGGAGAACTTGGGAGAATTTCGATTGTAACCCCGGTCAGGCTGGGGAGCTAAATAAGACACGGAAATATCGATGGGCATACAGGGAAGTGATCCAAGTTATACAATCAAAGAAGCACAGTGACAAGTTATGGGGTTGAAGCCAAATACAGGGGCAGCATCTGTCTCGCAATATCTGAGATTCCCCCGAGGAGAAAACTTGGTTAGGCCGGTCACTCTTCCTGTTCAACTCCGCGTGGACCATTGCGTACTCCGTACTCCGTCCCTAGGATTATTCTCTTCTTTTCCTCTCCATTCATCCCACCTCTGTCATGTTGTTTATTCCTTCCGGCATTGATATATCGTGCTTTTGCCTTCCGGTTTCCTAAGAAAATGACTCCCCCGATGGAGATGCGGCCAACGCTCGCCGTTGAGGAGGCTACCGAAATGACGGCTTCTCAGCAAGTGCTAAAAAATGGATTTAATCTCGTAGAAAGTACAGAGGCTGGCATCCCTTCGACAAACGCTGATATCATGGCCTCGCGGTTGTCGAGAGCGCATCGTGACTTCCTCCTGGAGCATCATGGCACATTAGAACTCGATCCCATCCCCAGCATGGACCCCGCAGACCCTTACAACTGGCCATCGTGGAAGGTAAGTTTTGGAAACATTTCCCCGCGAGACTTTCCCCACTAATGTCTTCTTCAAATCATTAGAAAATTACGAATCTTGTTCTAGTGGCGTTCCATGCGTGTATGGGAACATTTGCCGCTGCAGGTATCATTCCGGCCTACGAAACGTACGTGGATGCGATTCCTATCCCCCCGATTTTTTCATGCTTGCTGATGACATGACAGCATTGCCCAAGATTTCAACGTTTCCCTCCACCAAGTCACTTATTTGACCTCCATTCAAATTGCTGTTTTGGGTGGCGCTCCCTTGTTCTGGAAGCCACTTTCGAATAGATATGGCCGACGGCCGATTTTCCTCCTCTCCTTAATCTGTAGTTTAGTTTGCAACATCGGCTGTGCAAAAGCCCCAGATTATGCATCAACCGCAGCATGCAGAGCCCTACAGGCTTTCTTCATCTCTCCAGCTTCAGGTATGGCCCACATGTTTGATTTGGCTTTGTGTAGTCTCATAGTGCTGACTGCTTAATTTCCAGCTATTGGGAGCGGTGTTGTGATGGAAACTTTTTTTAAGAAGGACCGAGCGAGGTACATGGGAGTTTGGACCCTGCTCGTGACTCTGGGGATCCCATGTGGTCCTTTTATTTTCGGTTTTGTTACCTACCGCGCAGGATACAGATGGATTTTCTGGATCCTTACAATTGTCCGTCCCCTTGGTCCTTGGCACTCCCTTTTTTCGTCGGCTTTTCCTTCCGCTAACGTAAAATCAGATCAACGGAGTACAGTTCATCCTGTATTTCTTCTTTGGACCCGAGACACGTTATATTGGCACCAACGACGATCCCAAGGAACCTGTCTGGAAGAGAGAGTATCTCCAAATTCGCCGGATTGACCCCACGCCTCTTTCTTGGTATGAGTTTATTAAGCCTCTGGGATTGTGTGCGCGTCCTTGTGTTATGGTGCCAGCTGCCTCGTACGCAATGATCTTTTTGCTGTGTAATGTCCTGGCCACTGTTGAAGTTCCCCAACTGCTGCAGGCCAGGTTTGGCCTGAATGCAGAACAACTAGGCCTCCAATTCCTGGGTCCCATTATCGGTTCTGTGATCGGTGAGCAGCTAGGTGGCCATTCGTCAGATTTGTGGATGAGCCACCGCGCAAAGCGATCTCAACGCAAACCAGAGCCAGAGTACCGACTTTGGCTCAGTTACCTAGGTTATGCCTGCGCCATTGTCGGTATCATTGTCTTCCTCGTGTGCACCGCACAGTCCGCAGAGGGCAAGTGGAACGTAGCCCCCATTATTGGCATCGCCATCGCTGCCGCTGGTAACCAACTTGTGACCACGGTCCTCATCACGTATGCGGTGGACTGCCATCCCGAGGATGCCTCAAGCGTGGGTGTCTGCATCACGTTCGTCCGCCAGATCTGGGGTTTCCTCGGACCATTCTGGTAAGTTGCACCGCTGGGTTTTTAGACATCTTTTCCGCAATCAATAACTCATCCAATTTCAGGTTCCCGGATATGTTTGAAAGCGTTGGAATTGCTGCTAGTGCTGGTGTGTGTGTTGCGCTCATGGTTGGTGTCAGTGTCATCCCGACTATTTTCCTTCAATGGAAGGGACGGTCATTTCGCCCGTTGCAGGAGTAGAGGTGGTTTGTCTCATTAGTACTTTCTTTCAACGCCATTTGCAATTGTTCTCTGGAGTAAAGTTGAAGGATTTTTGAGTGGTGGACCGACAAAGTAGACATAGATATGGTGTGGTGGTCAGTATTGTATATAGCCGAAATAGAGCAATCCCCCAAGATGAAATTGAAATTTCAGTAACAAAAGGGATGGGGCTTGTTTTCTTAACATTGACATTTTTTACCTCTTCTGTGTAGTGTCTCATCGTGAAGGACTGGACTCCTCGAATAAGTTTAGAAAGAAGATAATTTCTCGATAACTAGTTATAGGGTAGAAGCATTCATTGTACGACAAAAAAAAAAAATAGGGGGGGGGGGAGTCAAGGGGCCAAAAGTACTTGTGCGCGCGGATAAGACTTACTCCGATTGGGTAAGGTTATACCCCCACCCCCCACAACTCGAAAACCAGTATAACAGTTATCTAACTATACGGTACTCTGGAGCAGGGCCAGGGATTTTCTTCAACCCCAGCTGTTCTTCCAGGCATAAGCATTGTAAATGTAGGCTACTGCTATGCAGCATCACGTTGCCAGGGCAGTGTATGATATGTTGAACGGTCCCCCCTCCCCACCCCCCAAAACACCAATATTGTAGAACAAAGTGTGGGGGGAGTACAGAGAGTAATTTGTGGGGGAGATGTGGGAGAAGACGTTTACTAACTAACTAACTAACTAACTAACTAACCAGCACTTCAAAATTCAAATATAACTCCAACCACTCCACCATCCCATCTACTCTCTACGCTGGAAACTCAAATAGCAAATACACAATGGCTGCTCCCAGCCCCGCGCCCAGAGGACCCTTCCGCCTGGTTACAGTCAACACGGCGCCCGAACGCGCCAAGCGGCTCGTCGGCCGCATGGTCGAGGCACTCAAGGACCGATACACCATCATCCACGTGGACAACTGCGAGAGTGCGTATAGCCTTGCTCTCTTCCTTCGTTCTGGGCTCTCTATCTCCCATGGCGGGGAATTGAATTTACTCACAAGGAAGTAGAAATCGAAGAAGTTGCCCCAAAAGTAACGGAGCACATGCCGGATGTTCTGGTACTAACTACCCCCTTCCCCCCCCCCCCCCCCCCGGGAGACGAGAACTCCGATTTTGGAGAATGAATGACTGGTTACTGACTGACTCGGGTATAGTTCAGCGCGTCCATGTGGACAGACGAGCAGGCAAAGGAGATCCATTCCATTGCGCGAGGAATCCGACCGGATATCAAGTTGCATGCCATTCCCGAGGGTTTGCAGGTCCAGCGGGGTCCGGATGCTGTGGTGGAGTATCTTTGCGAGAAGGTGCCGGGGCTGTTGGACGGCGAGCAGTAGGTAGATACATAGATAGGTATGCATGCTTACGAGGGTATGTTATATTGCATTAGTGCATGGAATGCATGTATATAGAATGTGACGATGTTTCGCGGATGATTTACGTTGCATTGTGTATGTAAAGAACGGATCTCGCTGTCTCTTTGGGTTTGGAATGAATTCAGGTGGGAAATCACAACGCGCGTTATTAAGTCCATACCTGGCAGTCTCGTCTTCATCAAGGTCCCATAACTCAGTTGGTTAGAGTGTGGTGCTAATAACGCCAAAGTCGAGGGTTCGACCCCCTCTGGGACCACATCTTTTTGTCTTTTTTTTTTTTTTTTTTTTTTTTTTTTTCATCTCTAGGTGGGCAATGCATGCTTGAGAACCTACCTACAGCCATAAAAAGCTTACGTTCTCTACTTATTCAACTTGATGTGGTGTGCGTGTTTACCTACTTCTTGTAGAGGTGCAAAGACAGCTGTGTAGTCAAGTGAACAAAGAGTAACTAAATAAAGGCCTTTCTGACCTATCCGTATTCGTGCTCAATCAGTTGAGATATTTCAAAGATCCCCACAGGCACTCAATAGTGTCAGATTATGCTTCCAGGTTCATTGGTTCGCAACTCAGCCTATACCCGGGAAATATACTCGGATGTAAAAGGGTCCAGGACAACGTACTCTGGTAGGTGCATCTGGCGATCTGAATCGGTCACCTAATGGTGTGCTAAGAGTTGGCTAATGCTTATATAACGTTATTTTGGTGGTGGATTTGCGCGCCAGTGATAAACCGGCAGATTTGCCCACAAGATCGACATGAATGGGACAGTCGGCTATCCGGCACTGCGTTTTTACCTGTGAATTAGTAATATAAGATATATCCTTGACTACTCCTGTGGGATTATCCAACCGGGTGTCTAATATTGCCAAATTGATGAGCTTATGTGTGGCTTTCGCGGGACAAATGAGCATTTCCCAAGCCAGGGATTGAGTTACGCCATGGGACGTACGGAGGTGGAGTCAGATCAGGGAAGAAGAGAGAAAGGGGGGGAAAAGAACCAAAGGTGACGACAATACAAGAAGATCGAATTGAGATCGAATGAAAGCCATAGGTATCGATTTGTCAGCACCAACGAAGGGTTTAGTTAAAAGGAGATGATGTCGAAGCCTTTGAACAGTATGAAATCTATCAAGAAAAAGGAGCTTCAGAAATCTCAATTAGGGTGTCTCGTTTCTTACCTATCCATACCTATACCTGCCTATCAATCAATATCCTCTTCACCTGAAAAAAAAAAAAAAAAAAAAAAACCATGGGCTCCATTGATCTGGGGACTGCACCCTCGCCAGCCAGCGTACCTGCACAGGGAATCCCATACTTCACCCCAGCAAATAATGCCGGCGCTGCACTGGACCCAACAGATAAGAATACCCCGACAATATTTCGCCCTCTCACGATCCGTGATGTCACATTTAAAAACCGCGTCTTTGTTTCGCCTATGTGCATGTACTCGGCAGCGTCCGATCCAAACTCGCCCTTTGTGGGCGCGTTGACCGACTTTCATCTCAGTCACCTGGGCCATCTAGCCCTAAAGGGTGTCGGCCTGGTGATTGTCGAGGCCACTTCCGTCCAACCAAACGGGCGTATCTCACCAAATGACTCCGGTCTGTGGCAAGAGGGCACGGATTCGGAGCAATTCAAGGGCCTGAAGAGGGTCGTGGACTTCGTCCATAGCCAAGGCGCAAAGATCGGTATCCAGCTATCGCACGCCGGGAGGAAAGCCAGCAACGTTGCGCCATGGTTGGCGATGAAGAATGGCGTGAGGAGTCTCAGAGCCGATGCGAGCGTTGGCGGGTGGCCGGATAACGTTGTCGGGCCAAGTGGCGGGGAAGAGCATACTTGGACGCCTGGGAATGTATCATTCTGGCCACCTAGGGAGCTCAGCACTGCAGAAGTAGAGGACTTGGTGAGGGCCTTCGCCAAAAGCGCTGCATTGGCTGCTCAGGCCGGGGTCGATGTGATCGAACTCCACGGAGCGCATGGATATCTGATCAACGAGTTCTTGAGTCCCGTCACCAACCACCGCACCGACAAATACGGGGGGAGCTTCGAGAACCGCGTCAGAATTGTGCGAGAGATTGCCCAGGAAACCAGAAAGGTGATTCCTGCGGGTATGCCGCTCTTCCTGCGTATCAGTGCAACGGAGTGGTTGGAGCACTTGCCGGTCGCGGCTGAGCGAGGATCATGGGATATGGCTTCCAGCAGCGAACTGGTAAAATTGCTCCCGGAACTCGGAATTGACTTTGTCGACGTGAGCTCTGGAGGCAACCACAAGGATCAGAAATTCGATCCCTTCGGGGACTACCAGATCAAGCTTGCTGGACAGCTTCGGTCCCAGATTCGTGCCGCCGGAGCGAAGACCCTCGTGGGTGCCGTTGGGCTCATCAGGGAGGTAGAGTTGGCGTCGGAAATCGTGCAGGGAGCAGACCAGGATGAAGCCCATCTTGCGGAATCTATGCTGGCTGGCTCTGAGCCAAAGGCGGACGCTGTCTTGATGGCAAGGCAGTTCCTGCGCGAGCCCGATTGGGTCATGAATGCAGCAAAGAAACTGGGCGTCAAGGTCACCACTCCTAACCAGTTTGGAAGGGCATGGATGTAAGATAGACCGGTTACTGGAATAGCCATGATAGATAAATTTATGTAGATATGATTTTTCTCAATAGTACTGCTAATAGCTTGCTCGGGAAGGGTAGTAAAATGTGTTTCTTAGTTCATGAAGTATTGATGATGGTATTCATTAATTCTATTTGTTTTGGGCCTTAAGTAGGGGTGGCAGAGCCTTCTAGATCCTTCTTTTTTCCTCTTAGTGACTGGCCAGTTCCTTGGAAGCGAGGCTTCTCGTCTCCCACCACCTGGTCCTCCTCGTCTCGTTTCTTGACAGGCTTGATGGCGTACCCGAAGAAAAGTTGATTCGGGGGAAGACGAAGGGGTTGGGGTCCATTTGTCCTTCTAACCGGAGGGGGATGTTGGGGATTGGTAGCCCCCGGGGTTGGAGTTGACGCTGTTGGGGTAGGCGTCTTGCTGCCCTTTTTCGCATTCAGACGGTGACCCCCAGAAAGGAAGTTCGATGACAAGGCTCTTGCACCAGCCGCAACGTCGGTAGCCTCCGGAGCAATAGCTGCATAATTGATCGCTTGTGCCATAGTGCCATGAGTATGCAGAAGCCCCCCAGCGGGGAGTTTGCCACCAATAACACTTCCAGGTGTGCTGGTACCACTGGGCCGTTGTGGTTCTTCGTATCCAATGGGTGGCGCGAAGTCGACTTCAAGATCGGTCTCGAGAACGGAAATGGCGTTCGTCTCATTAACCGGCTTTGTTTCCAACACAGCCATCTCGTAAACCTGATCATTATACGCAAAAGTAAAAATATCATCCTTCGTCAAACATGAGAAATTTCGGAACGCATTTTCCAGAACCGCCTTGGGATCGCTGATGTCCAGAAACGAGGTGGACTGGGCTTGAAGCTTGATAAATCGACCGGGAGGAAGGTCTGTGGATTTGACTTGCACGAGATCGCCAGGTTCGAGGAGCAGAGTTTGCATTAGCTAGGGAAAAGCGTAGTTGTTAGCCTATATAATGGAGGACAAATTCCATTTAAAAGGGTTGTAATCAGTATCTTACCCAGTACGGTAGGTAGATCTTCCCCTCCTCAGCAATAAATTCAAGCACACCGGCATGTGACATCTTCCCCTTAGCACCATTATGAAGCTCGAAAAGCATAGGATAGGTGATGTGTAGTCGAGTTAGCTTGTCCAGAGCACTAGGTGGCATAATGACTTTGCCGCCGTGGTTCACATTCTCTCTCTCGGGTCCAGGCATCATAGCGACGGGATAACACCTGTAGTACTCATCGAAGCGGCGTGTAGGAGCTCCATGTCGCAACATAGAAGAACCCAAGGCCCCATCCATAGGGTCGTCCTCCCAGTAGCCAGCTCGGAACTGTAGGAAGTGAGAAACTATTCTATGGTTAACAACAACAGCGGGAAGGCCGCACGTACCATGATGAGACTGGATGTGACGGGTTCCTGGTTACCGAAGCAAAAGAGATAAATGCAGCACTCAATATCCCGTGTGAGAGATAAAGTGATCGAGATTCCAGACAGCTTGTGGTGTAGAGGAGATGTTGGTTGCTGAAGAGCTCGGAGTCCGTTCGTTCATCGCCCGCCGCGGTGACGCAAATGCTCCACAATGATTTTCCGAGCCGACCCCAGACACTCAGAGTAGAGCTCTGTTCAACATTTGTCCACAGTCCTGGTCTAAGCCCGAGAAAATCTACTCCAATATTCTTTCACTCTTCAAAGAGGTAAAAAAAAAAAGCAACCTCTAATCCCAATTACAGATGGCTTCCTCTCTTCCGCGCCCTAAACGGGTGGGTGAAGACTTTACGCGCACCCACCACGCAGAGGAGGACTATGAGAACGGCCCCTCCAAGAAGCCTCGATTTGACATCCGGAACCCCTCTACTCTCGCCCCTGATGCGCTCGATGACGATGCGATCCTAGATGCTGATGAGATCGGGCGGCGAGGGCAACAAGTGCGCCGCAAAGCCGTCAATATTGATGGCTACGAGTCGGACAGTGACAATGAAGGATTTGATGGGCGAGCTTCAGCCAAGGCGAAGCAAAACCAAGCTACACAGGAAGCAGACGACGATATGTTTGCAGAGCTAGAGGCAGACTTTGGGGCCGGGGAAGTGGATGGCGATGAAGCGATACACAAAAACAAGAAAGCTGTGCGATTCCTAAGAGATGATGAAATCGAAGGGCAGGTCGCGTCGTCAAAAAGCGGACGCACATTGCGCGCAGATCTAAGCCAAGGCGCCGATGCTGTTGAGGTTGACGAGGAAGACGAGGAAGACGAGGAAGACAGTGGCAGTGATGTCGCAGACGAAGATCGTGCCAGGCTTGAGACAGGCATGGATGAAGAGCTAGGCGCTGGGGCCAAGAAAAAACACGCCCCTTTGCTGGATGCGTTCAACATGCGAACTGAGCAGGAGGAAGGTCGGTTTGATGATCAAGGAAATTATGTACGGAAAGCAGTTGACCCCGATGCGGTCTATGATTCATGGCTTGAAGGGGTGTCTAAGAAGGACATTCGCCGGGCAAAGGAAGCGGCTGACAAGAGGGAGGCTGTAAGGAAAGAACAGGACCGTTTGAATGATAGTGTTTTGACAGCAGATGCTTTGAAGACCCTTATAACCCACCTGCAACGCGGCGAAACAGCACTAGATGCGCTTGGGAGGATAGGAAAGGGCGACTCCAAGAAGCCCAAATGGCAGGCCAAGCGAAACAAGAACCGGCCTAAGGGCAACTCAGAAGACACTGAAATGGCAGAAGATGATCCAAAAGAGGCCGCTCGCAAAGAGGCAATCGACGCTCTTACGGGGGCTGCTGATATCCTTATGGCAAGAGGACAGCCAGAAATCTACGATACTGAACGCGAAATTCTTACCAGACAATACCGACGTGAGACAGGTGAAGACTGGGTTGACCCTCCGCAGCATACGGACCCCGTTACTGCGGACAATGGCCCGACAATGTGGGAATACCGCTGGTCTGATGCCCGTGACGGTGGCGCTGTGCATGGCCCTTACGACAAATTGACCATGGAATCTTGGAACAATGCGGGATATTTTGGCGAAGGGGTTGAATTTCGACGAGTCTCCGATACAGGTGAATGGAGTGCACAGGTCACTTTTGTATAATAATCATTTTAGTATGGACTTTTACGTGTATAGAATTTGAGATACCATAAGGTGGGAAGTATTAATATCTTCATTATCATTCAGAGCTAGCATTTCTTTTGGTAGAATTCAACTTAAAACCCAAATATCAAAATACCATATACAGCTAAGCCATAAACAAGCGCCAGGATTATCATACATCAATTACTTGATGTGGACAACAAAAAGCATCACAACAATAGTAGGAAGGTATATTTTCCCAAGTGGCCACCGGCTTCCTACCCTAATATGGGAATGTACCTAAGTGGCTTTTGAAATACTCCGTCCGTCCAACACCGAAATATCTAGAACTGCATTGCAGATAGCGTCTATGAAATCTCCATAGCATCTCCGTTGGTAGCAGAGAAGCTCACGTTCCCTTGGTCACCGATAAAGCGCTGTTCGTACGCATTAACAAACTTAACGCTTCTCGCAGGGTCGTAGAATAACCGGTAGCTGCGCTGAACATCGTCGACGCTGACTTCCTTAGCCCTGCGTTTTTGACTGAGGAGATGCGATGTTGTGATAATGTTGCTAGCGTATCTAAGGTTTGACTCCTCACCAATCTTGGTCAGAAGCGCTAGAGCATCGGGGGAAAGATCAATTTCCTCCTCCTGCGCACGGATTGCGAGAATTTGTCTTATTTCATCGGCAGAGTATGGCTGTGTGCTCACGATGACCACACGATCGAGGAAATCAAGAGGCAACCCGTGAGGGGAATTGTACGTTGTGCCCCGAATTCGGGCGTGACCGCGATTACTAGCCATGATCACAATGGGGGCAAGCTCCGCTTCCAAAGCTCTGTTGATATATGAAAAGCATTCAATGTCGAGCATGTGCACTTCATCGATAAAAAGCACACCAGGAATGATCTCTGCCTTGCCCTCCTCCTTCCACTCAGCAATTTTAGTGTTAATCTGGTCCCTAACCTCGCTCCTGATCTCACCAGTGTCTCCAGAAAAGAGTGCCAAAAAGCCTTGTGAACGGGAGTTGATGACATCAATTTCGTGAAGGCTTACGGTGTGGACGATTTCCTTACGGACCTGAAGCTCGCCCTCAGGACATTGCACAAATTTGACATCTGCACCCATTGCATCGTAATCACGGGACCTTGCGTAGGAGCGACCAAGCTTGGTGATCTTGCCTGATGACTTGTCGATAGAAATGATATCTCCGGCCATAACCCTTTCTTTTGTCATTGAGTCAATCATCTTTGTACCCATGTCGTAGATCGTCTCCATGTCAGTGGTTTTAATTGTGAGCTTTCCTTGTTTGTTGCCCTGAAGGGGTCAGCATCGTCCAGAAACTAAAAAGTCTATCTCAGCACCAGATAATCACTCACTCCAGTGACACTTCTATCGATCTGAATTTCCACTACTTCGCCCTCAATGATCTCACTTTCCTCTTTGATCCGCACACCAATAGATTTGCGGAAAGCCTGTGTGAGTGCCTCTGTTTTTGACATCTCCATTGAAAAAATCTCCGAAGATGCTAGCATTGTGAAAGGAACATCGGGCCCGAGAGACTGCGCCATACCCATAGCAATGGCGGTTTTACCTGTGCTCGGTGGACCTGCAATCAAGACAGCGCGTCCAGCAATCTTCCCTTCCTTGACCATCTGTAGAATCACCGCGGCAGCCTTTCGGGCCTTCTCCTGACCAACAAGTCCTTGTGAGGACGGCCGGGGCTGCAGAGAGTCGCCATCAACTCCAAGTCCTCTAATGTGGGAATGCGCAGCGATGAGGTTCAGGCCCCGGAGCTCCTTGGTCTCCGCAACGGTGGTAATTGGCTGCCTCAAAAATTAGCCACTAAACAAGGAATTCAGAATTCAGTTGCTTGGTCTTACCGCAGCCATCGTAAAAAGTGAGTATGGGGAAGGCTGCTCTCAAGATCGTTTTGTCAGGAAATCTGGATCTGGTCGCAAGCCTTGATTCCGCGTTGGAGAGGAAGCGGCAGAAGCTCTTGTTATCACCGCCCGGCAGAATTATGCGGCTGTCGGACAGAACCAGAGTACGGAGTACGGAGTACTACAGCCCTTCACTCTTATTTACTGGCTTCACTAGCTCTGTTTTACAAGCCTCTCATACTTCAAATCCCCTAATCTCTGCGATCCCCTATCTTTCAAGCTATTGAGGCATCCATTGATTAATCTACTCCTATTCGTCAGCCCCTATCACATGCCACGTGACCTAAGAATTATAGTTAATCCGCGCCGGAACATGTCAAGGTTTATAATTGCTTCATGGGTGAGCAAAGGTTAGGCGCGCGTTGGCCCGCGTTCGCGTTCCTTTTGCATAACATTGCTCTTTTGGTTAGACCTGATGGTTTCCCCTCCTGAGTACTGAGATGGATGCAGAACCCTCAGTTTCACGAGATCCCCGCGTCTCCAGTCGCTTACAAAACTCGCTGTCTGTTCGATCAAATTCCCAAGAGCAACTACGATCGTGCTCCGTCCCTTCTCCACACCCAAGCACGGGCAGCCAAGAGACAACAAGTGATCATTTCATTCGCGGCATCTCTGATCTTGTTCAAACAGCGGTCTTTGCTGCAACTAGCAGGTCAGAGCGAGAAAGACTCCACAAGAAACGCGGTACTACAGACGAGCTTCTTAGTAAAGCTAGAGGCCACTCTGGGTTTCCATCCACTGTTGAATTTTTCCAAAAAGCCAAGCATGACGAGGATGTAGATCTAGTACGGATAGAAAAGAAGATAAAGGAATACGAGTCAAATTACCAGCGCCTTGAGAGCGAGCTCAGAGCCAGATGGCTCGCCTCAGCATCACAGCCCTCGAAAGTCAAGGAAAAGATCCCTCAACTGCAGCAGGACGTCCATCTAGCAAACACCAGGATCTCTTCTTTACAGTCCGATGTGGCCAAGCTTCAGTCTTTGGAGAAGGAGGTCGATATCCTTCATGGCACTATCAGCGCTCATCAGAAGAGTTTCGCAAGCTATACGAACTCCCTTGGCGTCCAAGATCGAGTTTTAAAGGATAATAGCAATAAGATTGAGCAACTGGAAAGAGACATCAAGAACAATGCTTTTGACACTCTCGAGACGCTATCATCTGAGTGCAAAAGCATGGCGGATGAGTCAAAACAGAACATAGCCGCATGGGGGGAGAAAATCGAGTTGTTATGGCAAGCTCGACATGCTTATTCGACCTTCTCTGATAAAATCCACGGAAATATGGAGGCCTATCAACAGAAATTGGAGGATCTCTCTAAGCCACAAACTGCAGACCCAAACCCAAAGCTGGCGTCGAGTATTCAGGCCCTGAGCGATCGCCTGGGTGAGCTAGAGAAAGTTCTGAGTATAAAGGATGATTTGCAGTTTGCAGAGATGGAAGATATCAAAAAATCACTGGAAGAATTCAAAACCAGTAATGAGCAAATTTCCAAATCATCCATCGAGGGAAAGGTCAACACGATGCATCTTCACATGCAGCATATGCGCCAAAATATCCACAGTGTTAACACTGGGTTACGCTCTTTAGAATCAAGGTATAACAGCCTATCAACTGAGCCTATTGTGAAGCAAATGGTTGCAGCAATGCAAGAAATGTACCCTTCTGTTGATTATCTATCTGCGGGTCTAGAAATGCAGACACGGCGCGTTAACCAGCAACTACCACCTCTCCAACATAAAGTCCAACAACTTGAGGCCCAGGTCCAAGGCTCTATAATAACCCACAACGAATTAACGCAACTCCAGAGTGAACGGAATGATCTTTCCCAATCAGTAGGGTCTCTTTGGGAAAGATTAAATACCCAAGCTCAGTGGCTTAATCAGGAAGAATTCAACACAATAAAATCCAACCTTGGTCAACTCGCAGGCATATCTAATACTGTGGTGGATGAACTCAAGTCTAAAAAGGCTGCGGATGAAAAGTTTCTGCAGGAGCTTGCAATCGAGCGCAACTCCTTCCAAGGGCAGCTCAGCATGCTGAGGGATACTATCGCGCGGCTAGATACGCAACTCACTCAAAAACCCTTGGGTAACGATAAGGCCATCCAGTCCCCAGCGCTGCCCATCGAGAATCTTGAGACATCGATTAAGGACCATCATCAGCAATTGCGCGAGCAGATTCAAGAATTCACAGAAACCGGGGAGCCGACGGAACCTCTTGCTAATGAGAGAGGGGTGACGTCTGCGCTGGAAACATCTGATACCGTGCAAGAATGCAATACGGATAATCCAATCCCTTCACAGGGAGGAAGGGTCAAGCGACCCCATGCATCCACCTTGTCTGATGATGAGAAATCATTATTCGTGGACTCCGCTCCTTCTCTCGCCGTCCCAGAAATTGTGGTCCCATGCGCGATCAGGAACCAAAATAACAAGCGGATAAGAATTACAAGCGGAGACGCCGATATAAACTGACTAGAGAAGGGGGGTTGAAAGTACTCCAAACTTCTCTCCGTCTTTCTGGGATGGGCCCTCTTCAAAAGTTCATTGTTTTATTTTTAATATTGAACGTTGGCTCTGTCTGGTAACGAATGCCACGAGGCTGTCATTTATTCTTTTCTATTGGAGATTGCATTACGGTGCACACACTCTTGTATTTAAACTCTCCATCAGTATTCAATTGTCTCTATTCACAGTGGACGATGGAATTCCATCCGGCATTCCAGCAAGATAACTTGTCAAATAAAGGTACATACTATAATGTCAATCAAACAAGTCTATAATAGTAATCATGATTCTATGGGGTCTCCTGCAAAAATTTAACCACAGCTATAACCGCAATCTCCGTTAGCCGATTTTACCTCCGGGGACGCAAAAAAGCAGCAGAGCAGGTACAGGATACCGGGCAGATAACATACCTTGTCTAAAAGATTCCGGGCTTTCCGAGATCAGCCAATGCCCAGCCTCTACATCGGCGATCTGTGAATTCGGGAAGAACTTCTTAATCACCGGGATAGTCTCATCGGGCACGTAGGAACTCTTCGTCCCGCGAACAAAAAGCGTTGGCCCATCATACCGGACCGCGCCGGGCTCCGAGAAGGGAAAATCCGCCATCTCCTTGATAGCATCGCCCAGGATGGAAAGCGGGACACGGAATTTCATCGCATGATCTCCGGGGGCTCGGAGAAGGTTTGTTAAGAGGAATTGGCGGATCGGGAGTGACTATACCCGCGGAGAAGGGTGGGATGATGGTTAGAAGGAGTGTGACTTATTATGCTTTTCCATTCACTGGATATCAACAACGGCTGCTCGGGTTATATGGGGTAATTGAGCGCAGGAGTAAACACACACACACACACACACGTACATGTTCGTATTCTTGAAGGATTTTATCGGCATCCGAGTGCTTGGTCACCTTCTCGGCTTCGACGCGCTCCATGCCCCGAATGTATTTCCCGAAATCGGTCCGCAGGGGCGCGTTCACGGGGGCATTGTCGACGGGGATAAGCGCTGAGACCAGATCAGGGGAATTGAGAGCAACCGTCATGGCTGTTTTGGCGCCCCTTTAGCCGACGGTTTAGTCAGGGTGTTTTCTTCACGGACGCTTCCATGCAAGGAAGACACATACATGGAGTGTCCTATTAGGACGCATTGGTTTATGTTGTGCTGGTGGATAAAGTCAACCACATCATCCGCCATGATGGAATAGTTATGTTTCGGGTCATGGAAGGAGTGGCCATGGTTTCGGAGATCCTGAAACAAATAACTCTGTTACTATTGAGAGCGAAAAAGCATCATCACAGCACACTTGGCCATGATCGAGACAAACCACTATAAAGACCTGGCGCTTCAGGTCACGTGCCAGAACGCTGTGATTCGTTAGCCCTTTTGCACGACCTGGAATGAAGACTCGTGGAGAGTCCATGGGTAAGCCCACACACATACCGACTAATAGTTCTGTTGTTCTGTTTCGAGCCAAAGAAGCCGTGCAGGAAGATAATGGGATTGCGGGCGGGTTCCTCTCTTTCCGGACCGAACACTTGAAACGAAAGATCGGGGCGGAAGAGTCTTTGGGATGTTGAGAAGGTCCGGATGGGTGAGACACCCCTTAGGGCTATCCTTGGCGAATACAACATGCTGCAGGGATTATACCAGGCTTCAATCTGTCGTCTCAACCCAATCTATAGTTATCTATGGGGAATCGAAGTGCTCATCGACGCCGTCCGGGAAACCTCGCCAAGTAAGGCGGTCACGTGCCGGGCGCGGGCATTTCCCGGGTATCTGCCGGCATCTTGTCTAAGAGGCGTTCGGCATCGAGCCGGAGACTACGAGGAGGATCAATCATGCATGGCATTCAATAGTTTCGGAAAGGTTTGTGGCCGGAAGCTGAAGCATTTCGCTCCTAGGATCCTTAGACAGGCACTGAGGGCTCAACAATGATATTAGGGGTAAAAAGCGGCATTCTTTTTCGGTCACAAGCTTTCCTTTCCTTTCTGCATCTCGTGGACCATATCAAAAGTCATATATTCTGAACATATCAAGGTGCAACAGGCACCCTGGCAAATTAGTCATTTCCACGCGATTCTGGATGGACAAACTCAAATAGGCCTCTCCTGCCAGAAGAAACCCCGCGGCAAAATCATTGATGCTCGACTCAACTGATTCCTGAATGCAATCGATAGCTTCTAGCCACAGCGCTGACAATGTTGGGGAGCGGCATCTCTATTCACAATCTAGAATGGTCATGAAGTTAACTCCAGCAACAACAAAAGCATCCCAATCACTGAAGCAGCACGGTCATCGTAAATTATATTTTAACGACAAAGCATATCTGAAATGTTCCATGACGGGGATATCGCTTTTTTTTTTTTTTTCCAGTTGCGGTTTCCAGGGAGTCAGTGTGAAGGCTGGTTTCGACAGCAGGCTGCCTTTCCAGAACCCATCCTGATCCAGTCGTAACCCTCTCACTTGCGCTCTCTGCTCGTTAGCCTCACGGGTGTTTATTTGGCAAAGGTTCATATGACGAGTGGATGATGGTGGGTAAACCACAAGGCAGATAGATATGCAGGCAGCTGGGCATGGGGAGTATCTGGCTTAGCTCATAGGATCATGCCCGGTATGAGCAGAGGTCGGGAGGTCCTTCCCCAACAAGACGTACTCAAAATCAAACAAATATTTCTTCCTTATATTTCTCCCGGTATGCTCCCGCAATGTGTTCCATACTCGATGCGTCTGGCACGATGTCGAAAGGGTTGGCATTCTGGGTACGAAGATGCTCTCGATTAAGTGGACGGCCTTTTCGGTCCCGGATACACTTCAGCATCGCAAGGATATCACTCATGTCCAAATCGGCTTTTTTATCGCGATTGGCCGCAAACATCCAGCGGATCTTGCGCTTCAGGGCCCATTTGATTGGAGCGGCAAGGATGATTAGGTGGTCCCCGCGGAAGAGAATGATGTTCTGCTTCTGGGCCTTTTTGAATAGGTGCATCCTTGTCTCCTTGGTGACGTAAAATGCCACGTCCTCGTTCGCCCAATTTTCACTGCACTGGAGCCTTTTGGATACCCGAAATATGGCTTGCTCCAGGGGCTTTTTAATGTCATCATCATTCGCCCACTCCGGATCCAGGAGGTAGTTCATATCCTTTGTGGATTCTCTGTTCTTCAGGTAGTTGACCGCCAGGAACCCACCCACGGTGATCAGCTTGATAGGAGCAAAGGCGACGATAAAGTCAAATTTCCCTAATTCCTCATCCAGAGCCTGGAGAGCTATCCCGTGTTAGATGAGAGAGAGAGAGAGAGAGAGAGAGAGAGAGAGAGACCACTGGAGGCCCTCTTAGCAAAACTAGGCCAATTGACTTACCTTTGTGGAAGCCGTTCGCATCCAACGTTTGCTCGAGCCCGGCCATTGCAGCGCCCACCAAGTTTCCACCCGGTCCTCGGCAATCCAAGCATCAATCAATGTAGTGTCAAATCGGGTAAAAAGGAAGGCTTCTATATGGGGCGTTCTAATAGCCAGACGAGGAGGGAACCTTGGTTCTGCTAAGCACCCACGGTATATGGACAAAGGTACAAAGCACACTTCAAACACCAAAGACGGTTTGGCTGTTTGTGTACGTACCCCGCATTTCACGCTTGGCTGGAGATTTTCTCCCAATGCCCCACCAAAAACAGTCCGACTCGTTGTCTTGATAGCATCATTCTGCTTCCACTGCCTGACAACTACCGCAAATTTCGGGAAAAGAATATCTATTCGACGACTTGCAGCCTGTATAGATGCTGTTTAACCAAGGTTCAACCCAAGAAAAAGGTTCCGCAAAGCAATGCTTCTTAAAGGTTACGTGCCCAATCAGGTACTACGACTGGCCGCCATCCGGGCCGTACGTACGTACGTACGTACCTCTTTGGCAGTGGCTGCTTGCATGGGTAGATATTTATCTTGAAGCTCTACAAATGCTAGTGAGTACAATATACTGAATAGGCTACGAATGGATGGTAGCCTCAAAGAGCGTTTATACCTGTAGGAAGGGATCATATCACTCACTCACTCTATTACGGATGCAGCAAGGGTGGATAGTAACTATATATATATAGTTAATTAACTATTCTGATGGGTGGGCAAATAAAAAAGAAAAAAAGGATGACAAGGACGGGATTCGAACCCGTGCATCTCTCGATAATGGGGAATTTATAGCGAATTTATCCACTTAAATCCATCCTATTGATTGGTTTAGACAAGGCTCTCAGGAAAGTTTTGGTGGAACTACTTACGCCTTAGACCACTCGGCCACCTTGCCTACATTAACTAATATCGTCCCCAATTTGCTTATCTAAAACTGATCCGTTAGTGACTCTACTGCGATGCAATCCAGCAGGTATCAACAATATAATGTCCCTGAACAAACTCAGTTGTGAGCAGGAAGACAGCAAGCAATTTTCCTTTAATGGTATCAGACACGAAGAACGTAACCGATCAACTCTTTGCCCAACGGAATGAATGTGTTGCACTTGACTCTATCCACCAGCCTCCTAATCCACTCCCACCACCAGTTCAAACCAAAAACAACAACAACAAAAAGAAAGAAAAAGGATCAACCGTCAATCAGTCCGACTCACGGCCATCCACCTCTTCATTCTCTCCATCATCACCTCTTCACTAGGCTCTATGGTAGGCAGAATCCTAGCGGCTGAATCCAGCAGGCCTCGTTCCGCCTTATTGATCTCACGATATTTGCCTTCCCAACTATAGATCAACTCGCCATGTCTCCTCTCATCGTTGAACAGCATAACCACACTCTTCGCCACAACCTCAGGGTCCTGAACCGTCGCACCCAAGGCCGTCAGCGCCTCACGCGGAACAATCCCCGAGGCCGTCCACGAAGGCGCAACCCCGTTTAACCTCACCCCCCCAGCGGCGAAATCACTCCCAACCCCACGAATCACACCCAGCGCGCCATGTTTCGCAATCGTGTAATCGCCCGCCCCGAAGTTCTGAACCGATGACGCAGAGGCCGCGAGCACGAGACTCCCGCGTCCCCGGCGAAGATAATACCAGGCCAGCCGCACCGTATTGATCATCCCCACCAGGTTCACCTTCACGACGGCCAGATCCGGCTCCGAGAGCAGCTCCCGGGCATCGTCGTCAAAGGTCTCCTCGAGGAGAGTGTTGCGTGGACCTATGCCCGCATTCGCGAAGACGTGGTCGATCCGTCCGAAATGGGCGTTGCCCGCGACGAAGAGATTCCGGATACTAGGCCAGTCGGTGACGTCTGTTTTCACGAAGAAGAACACCGAGCGGCGGTCTTGGTCTTGGTCTTGTTGCTGGGCGGTGATCTCCTCGGGGATGGGATTCAGGTCCCCGGCTATTACCTTTGCGCCGAGCTGCAGACAGAGTTGCACGGTTGCTTTACCGATTCCGGAGCTGCTTCCTTGAGGTTGGGTTGGGTGAGTTTCCAGTTGAAAAATAAAATAAAATAAATAGATAGATAGATAGCAGCTCATAATATGAATAAACTGTGCTGCGGGGGGGGGGGGGATATCATCATGGATAATATACAGTTACATACCGGTTATGAGGACTACTTTATCCCTGAGAGGAGCGAGCATTTCGGGGGAGATTTGGATGTCAGTCATGTTCTTTTCTGTTCCCTCACTTCTTGCAGGCTTCTTGTCTAGGGAGGATACGGCTGGAGTTTCTTATTTTGCTATTTTGGTTAGGTATATATATATCTGTTTATATACCGCGGAATAAGCCGGCTGTGACGGGGACCTACAACAGAGCAAGTGCGGGGAGGAGTGAGTGATATATTCGACTATGTATCTACTACACTAGTGCTTAGTTTTAATATGTCAAGCCTCATATTACCATGCAAGAGATGAACGTATAGAGGTATACCAGGGTATAAAAAATAGGCACGCACTCATACAATTGGTTAGTTAGGGCTAACTAGGGGTTGTTTCTAGTGGCTAAAACTATGCAGGACTGCCAGTAAGTACCCTCCAAAATAACTAGAAGAAGTAAGAGAGGGGGTGTAAGATTCTCTCTGAATTTCTTTTTGCAAATCTCACCTTACCTCGTAGTTACCAGAAATTAGCCTGGCTGCTCTAATAACTAGAAGGAAAGAAGAGTGCGGAAAAAAGAGACATGTAGTAGTAGGGATAAAAGATATATAAGAGATAATGGGTTGAGAGTTGAGAATGAACAAGATAAATAGATAAAACAGTCCTTCATACGTTCTATGGTCGAGCTATTCGCTATGCAGACAGATTATATACAAGTAAAGTTGAACTCTGAACACCTTTTTTTACGCACTCTTTTCCGTTTCCTTGCTTTTAACATGACGTCTTGATTCGTTTTGTCCGTGAAACCACCCCCCCCCCCCCCCCCCCCCCAAGAAAAAAAAGAAAACTATCGTCCTTTCGTTTCCGGGAACTCGTCCTCAAGCTTCAACCTGGCAGTGACGTTCATACTCATCAACTCTTGGATGAGAAGCTTGGCAGCATAAGGAATAACCATCTTCACCACACTCCGGGATGACTTGCAACGCTGACACCAGTTCAAATAGCCCATGAAACCACACTGCTCGCAGACGTCGATTTCGTGACGATCAGACGAGATCATCAGTCGCTCCAGGAGCAGCTGACTGGTACCGTAGGCGATCAAACAATCACGCTCCATCTCTCCCAGACGTAGACCACCGTCTCGGGAACGACCTTCGGTGGGTTGGCGCGTGAGGATGGCGCGGGGCCCACGCGCACGCGAGTGCATCTTGTCTTGGACCATGTGCTTAAGTTTTTGGTAGTAGATGGGGCCGGTGAAGACGTAGAAGGGGAGAGCTTCCCCGGTGATACCGGAAGTGAGGTAGTCCTTGCCACCGTAGCTGAAGCCTTTGTCGATAAGGATGCGGGACATTTCTTCGACGGGACTGCCGCCGAAGCATGTTCCGTATCCGTGTTGGCCAGAGAGAACGCCTGCTTTGCCGGCGACTAGCTCCAGCATTTTCCCGACCGTCATGCGGGACGGGAAACCGTGAGGGTTCATGATAATGTCTGGGTTGATGCCTTGGTCGGTGAAGGGCATGTCGGCCTGGTCGGCGATGATACCCACGACACCCTTCTGGCCGTGGCGGGATGAGAACTTGTCGCCGACTTCGGGGCGACGGGTTTGGCGCGTGAGTACTTTGATGATCTGGTTTTCGTTTTCGGTCACGGAGACCATGACCTTGTCGATGTAGGCTGGGTCAGGGAGCTTGTAGGTCATTGGGGTGGCACTATAGGAGATTGGCCGGCCAGCGTCTGAACCGGTGATGCCCGAGGACATCGACTGGTCTGGGGTAGATTTATTGATGTATACTTCTCCAGCATTGACCTGTTCTCCTACAGCAGCTAATCCATCGCTTTCTAGGAGCGCGTGCTTTCTAATCGGGGCGTCGTTCTCATACTGAGGCGGGTTCAGGAGATCCTTTGTTCCGTTGGAGTAGCTCTTCAGGTTGGTGACATACTTCCGGAAAACTTGGCAGCGCCCAAAACCTCGATCGACGGAGCCTTTGTTCAAGACGAGGGCGTCCTCAATATCGTAGCCAGAGTAACTCATGACGGCCACAGTTGCGTTCTGACCAGCAGGAAGCTGATCATATTTGGTTAGCTCAATTGTCCGTGACTTGACCATGGGTTTCTGCGGGTAAACCATCAGATATAGAATGGAGTCAATGCGGAGGAACTGATTTGATGCGATAGCCCCAATCGCTTGTTTACCCATAGCACATTGGTAGGTATTACGCGGGGACTGGTTGTGGTGAGGGTAAGGGATCAGACCAGCAACGGCTCCAAGCACTGTGAAGGGCTCGATTTCCAGGTGGGTGGTTGCGTCTGTGACGTCTTTCTCGTAAATAGATATCAAGGAATCATTCTCCTCGTTGACATCGAGGTACTCCACAAGGCCTTGGGCGAGGAAATCATCAAACTGCATAGTGCCATCACGCAGCTTACGGAGATGGTGCCTCTTAACACGGGATTTTCCGTCCTCAACGACGATTAGAGGTCGACAGATACGCCCATCGTCAGTTGCGACGTGCACAGCACGTTGATGATGGTTGATGTAGATACTGACGAACTCGGAGATTCGGCCCATCCGACGCAGTCGACGGAATGCGTTTAGGAAGAACTTGGGACGGCGAGTAAGCGCCATCGGAGTACCATTTATAGAGATTGTGTAGCTTCCTGGGGCATAAAGTTCCTTCCCACCAACTGTCTGGATGTCTTCCGCGCCCAGCATGAAGACAAGGTTCCTTATCGGACCTTCTTCGTCGTTGGTTGTAATATGGGTCATCAGGGCTAAGTTCTTGACGAGACCGCAGGCTTCTCCTTCTGGGGTATCGGCTGGACAGAGCATTCCAAACTGGGACGGCTGTAGAGCTCTGGGTCCAGAGACCTTCCTGGTCTTTTCGAACTGACTGCTAATACGAGTCATCATTCCCAGCGCTGCAATATAACTGAGTCGACTAAGCACGTGGGTCACACCAGCACGCTCCATACGGAAACGCTTCAAGCTCCAGTTACCCGTAGAAATAGCGCGGTTCATTCCCTGGGTGATATGGTTGCTGTGCATGCTGATGACACTCCAGGCATCAAAAGCCTCTGCTCGGTTGCGCTTGTTCAGGACCTTGTCGATATTCATCTTGATGTCAAAGCAGAATTTCTTGAACAAATCTTCAAAGAGAAGAGCAAGTAATTGACCAGCCAATTCCAGTCGCTTATTTCCAAGGTAATCACGGTCATCCACCAGTGTCGCATCGTTCTTTGCCATGAGCACACGGCGTGCCATGCTAGCCACATAGATAGCCTTTGGCCTGAAATTCATGTTCTTAACTTCAATATGAGAGATAATGACGGATGCGATAGCCTCAACAGCCTCCTGGATGTGAGTTCGACGGTAAGACATCTGTTTGCGGTTGATCTTAATGCGCGAGCCAATCCAATCGAGAGCTTGCTGCTGCGTAAAGATGCCAACCTTGATGGCCTCTTCAAAGTTGATGGCAAAATCTTCTTGGTAAACTTTGTCAACACCCGCAACAAGAAGCATCATTTCCTTGTCTGTATGGATACCCATGGCTTTCAGGAGAATCACAATGGGAATGTCCTCGCTCAGCACGTTGTGTTTCACGTAAAGTTTGTCTTTCTTCAGAATAATGTAACTTTTAGACTTGCGCTCGTTGGAAGAACTATAACCATCAGTTAGGAAATGTTGAGTGTGACCTTCGAAGGGCTTTTGAAGCATTCTCACCTAGTTACCGAAGCCTGCACAATCTCCTTCTTCGGATCCGTCTCCACGATAATTCTGTTCTTGCTCAACTGCTCTTGAACGAGAATCACCTTTTCCGTTCCATTTACAATAAAATATCCGCCTGGATCCAAAGGACACTCGTTCAGCACCGACATCTGCGCCGGGGTCTTGTTGGCCAACACGCATTTCGAGCTACGAAGCATAACCGGCATTCTGCCGATAGCAACACCCGTTCTCCGAACTCGTTGACGACCACGGATATACTCAAAGTCAACCTGAATCGGGGCAGCATAGGTTGTGTCACGCAATCGGCACTCTTGTGGAGTTACGGTTGATTCGGAGAACTGAAGCGCGTCCTGCGGCTCATCGGCTCGTCGAGGGGATCCAAGGTAAATATCGGTAAACTTGATGTAGAAGTTGTGGTCGACATCGCTGCGGATCGTCGAGCTCGACTCGACAATCTTCTTCAACTGAACTTCCACCAAGTAGTTGTATGAGTCAATGTGCTGTTTGACCAGACCCTTGACTTTGAGAAATGCTGGCAGCAAGTTCCATTTATCCTTAGCTGTATTGATCGGATCTGTCAAGGCTTTATCGTAGTAAAAAGGTTCCAGGAGCGCATCGAAGGGGTCGCGGTGACGGTATGGATAGGTTGGCTCCTCTACTTCGACAATCTCTTCCTCGGCTGGTGGTGGCTGTTCTGGGCCGGCTCCCGGTTTGGACTGGGAAGGGCGCTTTCGCTTTGCGGCATCCGAGGCGTTCGACTTAGACGAACCTGCAGCCTGTTGTGATAAAAGGCAAAATCTTAGCCCCAAGGGTTCCTCTGAATGCGGTGGAGAATAATTCGGTCATACCTCTGCCTGCGCAGCTCGCGCGACGGCTGACGGAGCCTGTGCTCTCCTACGAGGAGGCATTCCTGTGATAATTGTTCCGTGACCAGAATGTTCGGGTACTGTGTAATTGGCTTTCAATCGTTTGAAGTTAGGGGGATATCATCGCAGTTCCAGTCGGTGCGGGCGCAATTTTCTTCCCTATCGGCGAGGGGAAAAGATCCAAAATTCCATTTGGAGAAGAGGGGCGCTTACGTAATTTACAGCTGTCCAAATGAAGTTAGCGAGGCCATTGCTGACAAACAACATACGCTAACCATAAAAGGAAGGGTTATCTTATCGTCCGGCGGGTTGGATTTCATTCTTGGATTTAAACTACCTCCATGTTCTGTACACTTGAGAACCAAATGGTCTACTGAAAAGAGGCGGTTTGGTGCGTATTTGTATTATATCCATTGCTTTTCGTAAGGCTTGTGACTGGTTAACTATAGCTAATATGTTTCGGGTAAGTAGGAACAAGATGCTGATTCATCTAAATCACAGAGAGAGTCACATTCTCTGGCGCCGTCCTCCGCGCTATAGGTCGAAACGCCTTCAGCAAGGGCCAGGATCCCAAGGACTTGGACTTGAATGCCTCCTCAATCTCATCCAGCGAGCGGCCCTTTGTCTCGGGCATGAACATCGCGCAAACCACAGCCGTAATCAGCGAGCATCCGCCAAAGAGAAAGTACGCTCCAAAGCTACTCTTTGAGAGCAGGATCGGGGTCGTCAGAGCAACCAAGAAGTTTGTAGCCCAGTTGCTGCCGTGCGCAAGACTTGTTGCCGACGCGCGGGTCCGCTGGGGTTGGATCTCTGCAGCGTATAACTTGATCCCAACTGCCCAGCTGAGAGAGAATATCACGGCAAATACGTAAATGCAGACGATCACGACCCAACGACCGGCACCAGTAGTGCTATGTACTGCGTTCCCCGCGTAGAGAGCGCCCATAAGGAACATTGTCAGACTCATTCCGATTCCGCCGTAGATGATGCTTTGTCGGCGGCCCCATTTATCTGCCCACATGAGGGCCGGGATCGTCACGGCGAAAATAACAAGGGCTGAGATGCCAGACGCAAAGAAGCTGGCATCCGCGGATGCGAGACCGGCCTGTTCGAAGAGTAGCGGAGCGTACTTTTAGATAACCCACATACATTAGTAAGTCCCCTTTCTTTCACGAAAGTTCCAAGACACAGACTTACATAAAGAACACCATCAATCCCACTGAGTTGCTGCATCCCCATCAAAAACACAGCCAGCGCAGTACGAGTTCGAACGTCCTTGGAGAAAATATCTAGAAGTTTGTGCCTCAACGAGCGGTTGCGCTGTGAGTTAACTGTGGTGGTATCCACGCTGGGCACATTGGTGATGGCGACTTCCTGGGAAATCGGACCCTGGATAATGGAACCACGATCTTGTTCGATTTCAGCCTTTTCGCGCTCTGCATGGCTCACACCTAGCAAGTCCCAAGTGGCACTGGCTTCAGCTCGACGGCCGTGAATAGTGAGCCATCTCGGGGATGGGACGAGCCAGATGAATGTCGACACGGAGAACGCAATTGACAAGCAAGCCAGAATCAGGTAGGGGATGCGCCATGATATCGAGGAATCCAGATGCGAAGTTCCGTAGCAAGTAAAGAAACCCGTCACCAAGCCGAGGGTGATCAATAATTGAGGACCCGTGGTTAAAGCTCCTCGAATGCTCGGGGGCGAGATTTCGCAAATATAACTGCAGTCAGTTAGCGGCATACGCGGAATAGCATACATATGTAGCACCACAGAAAGATAAACATGCACTACTAATGTACCCAAGTACAGACCCTCTCCAATACCCTCGATACATCTACCTATAACAAACATAGCGACATGCATGGCTGCACCTTCTAGGGCTGCGCCAATTCCGAATATGAGTGCCCCAATACTGATTCCCTTCGGACGGCCCAATTTATCTGCCAGATACCCCGCAAAAAACGAGGATATCGCCGCGGAGATCAAAATTGACGATACCAGAAGACCATGGATTGTCGCAGATTGGTTGCCGAATTTCTCTACAAAGCTGCTCATGACAGTAACAGGGCCGACGATGCCGGTATCCATGCTGCACTCATATTTCACGTCAATGACCGAACAGGCTGAACTCAAGGGAAGTCGCCATCGTACCCAAAGAGAAACCCTCCACAGGAACAAAGTATACTAGCCGTAACATATCGGGGAGGTTTGCGTAAGAGATTCATTCCTGTCGAGTATACCCCGGAATTTTGCCCCCAGTTCTTTCAAGTTTACCCGGAAGGATGTATGTATGTAGTAGGAGGCAAACTTGCTCACTGTAAACACCCCTTCCAAGAACACCGAGAAGTAATTATCACAGAAGACGAAAAAACCCCTGGGGCATAGAGAAGTGGGAAACTGGAGGTGAAATTTTTTATAGGGGGGCCGGCCCCCCCATCAGGGCTGATGGGGTCGGGATGTTTCACTCCATGTCCCACGCTACGATTAAAAATCGGGCTTTTGGATCGGTCCAGACAGTTTACTATGGGTAGTCTAACGTATCTAGCATCCTGATCACACGGATAGAATAGCGACGGCTATCCGCATTATCGGATATCCCCTCATGGGATCCAATTGGCAAGCTTACTCGGTTCAGCGTAAGCGCTACCTGCTTTATGTTGGAGTATGTACCGCGGGGGATCGTGGTCACTTGCTCAAAACTGAGGAACTGGGGGATATCCGATATCTTTTGGGGGATATTTCAGAGCGAATATATATATATATATATATATATAAAAAAAAGTCAGTTCTCTATATAAGATCCGAAACAGAAGGCTCAGTTTCCCCAGGGTCTTAGTTTAGGTCTATGGGGTATACCCGACCCGAAGCTAAACTTGTACTGTATCTTTCAAGATAATCCTCTAGCGAACGCTTAAACACGCTATATCTAGTATGTACTGGTATTACGGAGTACAGCTTTCATAAAGCCTGTTAAGCAGGAAAGGTTCCTGGACGCTTAGGGCTGCAGCTATGAAAATCTCCGTAGTAGTTCCTCCTGGCTGGGATAAATCCTTCGCGAATTTACTTGATCCCTGATTTAGAAGGAACAAGTCTGGTGATTGTAATTGCTCTAGGGAATGTATACACATTTGACGGAGAAAATATTGAATCCAGCCAAAGGAGGAATACTCTGAAGAGCACGATGGGATAATCTATACATAGCTTATATTCTCCAATTTTGAGTCTTGCTGGGCCTTGAAAGTATATAGAGATTCTGAGATATGCAGCGGAGCGAAAAAGCTCGACCTCTAACAAGAAACATCAGGCTAGACAGGTATCTAGAATTAGCAGATAGCAATAATTTAACGACCTATCTAAAGTAAATGAGGTAAGTCACTTCGAGGGCATAGACGAGGCTTGTCACAGCGTACTGTGCATACCCGGCAGAGAACCAACCACATAATAATAATTTTTTTTTTTTTTCATAAACTGAGTCCCCTTGGGCATTTCTATGTATAGTATCCTTCGTCAACAATGTGGGAGCTGAATATCGCAATGTATTCTGTAGAGGTGTATTGTCAACGCGTCTCTAGCATCGATGTAAGTCATATCTTCGAATTTGGACGCTTGCAGAACTAATATGTAGCAAATGAACCAGCCGTGGAGATGGTCGTGAGCTTATATCAATGCCCAATTTTTTTTTTATTCTGGTGTGATGCCTGACGGGGTACTCCGTATTAAAGTCTGTTACTGTGAGAAAAGACTTTCAATTCGGCAATCCGGATGCACAAAAAGTACTGCATTTGACCCTCAGTGAGGCAATACGACCAATGATCCGGCATTGAGACCTGCAAGTATGGGTTAATGCACAGATTGAACAACTCACTTGCAGCTTTTGTGGGTCAGTAGTCCACTTTAATGTGTCAAAGCACTATCAAGAGATACGTGACGGTTTTGGACTGGACTCAGCATAGCACCACCTGGGTATGGTACATAGATAGTAAGTACTATCCGAAGTCACCATTGTTGTGTCGGTGAATGGACCGTTGAGCCAGCATAAAAACCTAGCTGGATTTTTTTTTTTGTATTGTGGTAGATCCCCAGGTTTCTGCTTGAGAGCTACAGTCGTGTGCGAACTCGCTGTAGACTCAGTGATCTTTGCGTATCCATAGGATTTGCCAGAGCAACCCACGCAGAGAAAGAGAGATGCAAGGCTTTTTTTTTTTTTTTTTTTGGCAGGAATTATGCTCTAAGTATCCTTAAGCACGACCTCAGGCTATTGCGGATAGAGTCCCGGAGTCTATACCCGAGAAATTCCTGGCTGGTGCATGGGTCATCGTAATAAGAATCGGCGATTCCAGCTGCCACGCTTCCAATTTGCGGGGTTGGGCAACAATTTTCTCAACAGCTTCAGTCTAAAGAAAAGCAGACTAGCAGCTGCATTTTGAGACAATCCCCAAACGTTACTGCCTTAGGTGCAAATACTGCACATGATGATCTTATAGATCATCAAGCCAAAAGAAAAATAGGTGGTAGAAAACAGTTGCAAGCAAGGTGCCAGTTCATGTTCCCCAACGGAACGGAAGAGAGATGTCGGTGCGGACTCTGATTACTGCACCTCGCCTCGCACTCTCCAAGGTGATAGACATTTTTTGTGGCGGTGGGTTCTCTTTGACCGCAATTTAACACTCCTTGCCACCTGGCCTTGAACAAGTTGAAAGATGCCCTCGCGTTGGGGGAAAAAAAATTTTTTTTATTTGATATGCCAAGAGGATGTTGAAGAAGGGGTAAGGAATGGACTGACTCACTCTGTGGATCAGATCTTCAGAATACAGAGGAGTCAGGACTAGAATAATCTAGAGTAATTTTGTAGAATACCGGAATATTGAATCGCGTGTAAATTCAGATCTCATCGGACTTGATCGTTACCACAAGGTAAAGAAGAGGGCCAATAAAAGACGAGGCAGGCAAAATGTATTCACTCTATCAGGACGCAAAGGCAATTGCTTCATTCTGCATAAACGCCAGCCTGACAGGCATACAAATATACTCTTTTGTGCACGATAGATTAAACCAAATGAATGATCAAGCTGCAATTGGCCTGAGGCTCGCAGGAATCTTGTTGATGGTGGGGAATTCAGATATTAATCAAGACGGACGGGCTCAGTTGACCTGCGGGTTTTAGACCAGTCAATGATCCCCAATTGGCTTTACTAGGCACGGGGTATCGAACTATACATGGCGAATCATATCGTTTCCCATCATCTGCATGAGGCGACAAAGAGAGGGTAGCAGTAAGGTTACAAGGTAGGACAAGCTGCATGATGGCTATCCTACATAGAGAGACAACCCATAATCCAGTCAAATTGCATTATCTCAGGGCTTGGTTGAGAACCTGAGATGATTATCTCCGCCTGCCCTGTGAATAGCTCTTAATTTGGTGTAAATATTTTTGGGCGGGCTAGTTCGTCTGGAACAATTCATGAAGGCTATGGAGAAGGTTGAGATAGTCGACAGCATAGGTATCTATGCTCTGAACGTTCTGAGGTACTGTACGACTCGAGTCTCCGTACTACCACGCTAGAAATCCTCAAGTTCGCCCTTTTTTAAGATTAATAATTATTGGGAGAGGATCATTAACTAACTCACTAGTGAATGGTGGAAGTCGAAAAGTGGCTCTTTGGTCCCCTGAAACCTTAGGCCAGTTAAAACAGCTTAAATTTTGCTGCTGGAGATGACTTCCATCAAGTTCCATGGTAAGGTAACTCAACTAGCGACTAGTTAATACGGGTAGGGTGCTTCCTTGGTCCGGCTGTCATACCTAGTTCCACCCGCCTATTCTTCTAGCATTCAATATTGGGTTAAACGATGAAAGAGTTGCCGAGGACTCTGAAAGCCTAATGCCTCTAATATTCCCCTTTTTGGATGGAGGGAGGAGTCTCGTCATCTGACTGCATCCATCTTTCTCTGCATCGATTGACTCTCCGTACAGATCGATGAGGTCCGTGAGCGTAGACTAGGAGAAGACAGCTTTTGGAGGTTCGATAGTGACGGTGGTAAGGAGGATACGAAGAATGGCACACGGTCAAAGCACCGCGTCAGGCTAGACAAATGAGGGTCTTGAAGCAATGGACAATGGATCAGCGTTGCCTCCAAAGTCCAACACGATTTTTCCGTAGGTACTCCGTAGACGGGGTAGGTTGTACACCGCTTCTCCCTGGCCGCACCAATCATCAGGATGCAGTCCCTCCAGCCGGTCGCTAATTCGCCCTGGGGCCCCAAATGGATTCATTCGCAGTGGCAAGCCATCGCATCAGTTTGTGGGATGAGACTCAGAGACAATCATCACAATCAGACCTAATCGTCCTAGGGTTATCTGGTTCATCGCTGATTTGCCGGGCTCGAAGCGCTGACACACGCCCCCTCGCAACTCAATCGGTCGAGGTCATCCTCCTGTACATGAATTGCGAGGATATGTTGAGAGGCCTTTCATCTTCTACCTAGGGCACCATCAGCCTAATCGCACCCAAGTTTCCTATTCAAAATTAACTCTCTTCCGTGGCTTCTATCGATAAATTGCTGAGCTCTCCATCCAGGATTGGTCCATGGTACGAGCCGGTTGTCCATCCGAAACGAAACAAGTGGATTTTGTTTTTGCTCGAAGAAAAAAAAAAAGTAAGGAAGTTCTCCGTCCGGTGCCACTATTTCGACCAAACAGATTACCACACACCGGGGTGGCACGTCGCGAACCTTTCTGGGTCGCGCGTGGCAATCCGTAAATATTGATTTTGTGGTACATTTGTAGAGATGATGTTTGGTTGACCTCCCGATCTTCAATAAGCATTACCACGGAGTGCTCTAAGGCCCGAAACCCAAAACTAAGGCAATCTTCCCAAATACGAAGCAGGCACGATTCTTCGTTCGTCTGTGAAACCAAAGAGAAGAGACGAATAGAATCTTTCCAAGCCCTAGGCCCCGAGTCCTGACCAGGTACGTGCAGAGGTTAGGGCGTGATCCGCCGTCACATCTTTTTTAAAACCAATTGGGTGTCTCCACTCGATGCAGAAACACTTGCAGAGGCCACGCTCTCGACCAGCTCACCCAGCAAAGAACTCCCCCTCCTCTAGCCCCTTGCACGACCTCTCCCGAAGGTAGAAACATCAGGTATCAGGATCTTTGACAGGAAGAACGACAGTGCGTCCAGGATGCAGAGCTTGAAAGTACCTATGTAGGAAGCTACCTATATTAGCAACTAGATAGTGTCAGATATTTATTTAGTCCATGGTCACGAAACTCCCGAGAAAATTGGTCGGGTACTTGCCATCCATGTATCTCAATACGTTTGGCAAGAGATAGAGAGGTACCTCTCAATTCCCAACAGGATATTGCATTAGCATTAAATTCCATGGCGTTTGATCCAATCACGATCGATTGAAGAGAGATTTACTCTTGATCCGTCCAAAAATCAATGATCGGCCGACGGACTAGCATCAGAGGCGACAGCTCACCAGGCTGGGGGATCGATTCATTCCCAACCTAGACAGACATCGTTGGCTAATTTCCCTTCATGTGACATCTTTTGCTGGTCTTGATGCTGGATAACCATTTCCTCAAAAAGGCCATGAACGAGGTGCTATTCGATAATAGTCGAGCTATCTTGATCTTGTAATAGCATAGCATAGCATAGCAGCAGCAGCAGCAGTATTAGTTGTGGTTGAACAACAAGGGATGATGCATGAACAGTACATAGTCGTGGTTTGGCGATGACGATAAGAACTTTCTTAGGTACCTATGTAGTAGTAGGTATAGTACTACTACTCCTTAAATCATGCTAAATGAAAGAATAATAATTAAAGAAAAATTAGTTTTGATTATTATTCTACTACTACTAATACTACTAATACTATTACTGCTAATAAAATAATAACAAAGCCCACTGCCTAAACGAGAGTTGAGTCAACAACTTTCACTACTTCTTTTAACTAACTCCCCGCTTGCTTTTCCCAGCCGCTGCCCACTCACTGCTCACTCACTTTCGCTTCCCCTCTCGCCCTCCTCTCCCTCTCTTGTCTTCTTCTCTTTTCCCTCTCCTTTTTTTGGGCCCCAAATATCTGTATAACATCTGTTTTTTTCTTTTATTGTTGCGGTCCCCATTTCTCCTCCCTTCTATCCTTTCATTCATTTTTTATTCTTATTCTCTCTCGCTGCTCTCGCGTTGAGAGTGAGTGAGTGAAGAGTGAGGGCCCAGCCTGCGACATCTCCGCATTTTTCAGAGCACTGCAAAAGTGTGCGAACCACCCCCCCAATTTCGCCTCCATCAGTCCTTACTTGTGTGCTCGAGCGACTAGCTACCATTTAAAGTCTCTTTCGGTTCCTGAAACTCAAACTCTCGAGGCGTTCATTGTGTGTGAGTCGCAGCTCTTTTCCGAGATCTGCTCCGCCAAATCACCCCTCAGCCCCTCTTAACTCCTTACATGGGTGGTGATGTTATCATTGTGAGAGACTCACACCGCCAACACACTCGCCCTCCTTGGTTCCTGTACTTTAATCTCAAACCCTCCGATCTGCTTGCAGTGATTTCCCAATATTGATTTCTCTCCTCCTCCCCTTGCCCTTTAAATGCCTCCGTTGTCCAAATCGTATCATGACATAGCTGACTTCTGGCCCACCTTGGCCCCCCTGAATGGTATTAGTCCTGTGATACCTCCCGTCCCCAAATCGCCTGTCCACCATGGCTTTTAAGAACGGACTAAGTGAACGCCTCGATGAGCTTCGATTCCCATCTCCCCGCTCGCCCCCTTCGGAGACTCCCTTCCCCGGCTACAACCCGCTTTCCCCAGGCCACTCGACCTTCGTTTCTGCGTTTTCGCGGCCCTCAGGCGACGTTCGGGGGAACCTTCAACGTCGTTTCACCACGGACGCGAGCAAGCTATCATCCTGGAGCTATTTGAACAATGTGGGAAGCACTCCTCAGATGCCTGATGCGCTAGATTTACTCTCATCGGTAAGTCTCTGCTATCTTTGCATTGAATAATGCACATGCTGCCCGCGTAACTTCTCTTTTCCCCTCTGCTCGATTCCCGTTTATTATCTGGGGGGACATATTCTTTTCATATTACAATGCTATTTTTGGGCTTTCTTGCCATTCATTTTCAATTCATTCACTCTACTGGACCCAATGATGGTTCTCTACCCTTGGTGCTGCCTCATAATATCACCTCGCTCTAATCTCACTCTCGCCTCGCTTCTTACGCAATCCCCATTGAACGTCACTGACCCTTAAATAGTTTGAAAAGAAGCGCCAACACATTGAGTACATGCGAGAACAAAAGAGAAGATTTGAGGAGGATATGAAGCTTTTCGATATGCAACATGAGAGAGAGCAGCAGGAAATGGATCAGCTTGCCAAGGATCTCGCCAAAGCTGGCATTTCTGGACCCGTCAGTGAGCCGACAACACCCCCAGAGTATCGGGAAAACGGCTTTCCAGGTGGTTTCTCTCGTCCTACTCGCTTCTCAACTTCAAGCGTTACATCCTCTCCCGGTTTCTTCAACGTCTTTGCTCCCTCGGTCACCTCTCCGCCTAGCCAACCGAGCCACGACTCTGTCCAAACTCCCACGAACCGCTTCGCAGTTCATTCTGTTCCTGGCTCTCGGAGGAACTCTGAAAAAGAAGATTTTGGTCACGAGCCCACCTCGCCTTTCCGTCCTGGTCCCTCGTAAGTTCCCAATCTCCAGCATATGTTTCACATGCCCGGTAGCCTATCATTTCTCTCTTGCTATTATTTGATTCACTCAACGGCGTAACACCTGGAGAGCTGAGGACATAACTGGGTTCATTCACCATCAATACCTACTACCAATCACACGTATTTGCACTCTGGATCTGTGTTACTAACCCTTTGGCTGTTAGTATTCACCGCTACTCGATGCCCGCTACCGGCCTGGGTTCTCAAATCCGTCCAAATATTTCAGGTTTTAACAATTCATCCGGATTGGAAAGCTTCAACGCAGCCAAATATTTATTACACCACGACGACGATAGGTCAACTTTAAAAGACGAAGACAGGATTCCAACCCCAGATATCAAGAGCTATCTGAAATTGACGGAACCGGACGATAAATTTCCAACTCTATCCCGTCGAGAGGACTCGGGCCTAGTAAGCTACATAACATAACACATGTATTATTTTCATGAGGTTGCATACCTAACAACTCCCTAGCTTTCTGCGAACTCCGACGCACTGGATCTAGCGAACTCCAGGACTCCGAATCCCGAGTCTTGGAATTCACACAACCGTCACCGGTCATCCCATCAGAGTATGCCTCAGAACGCCCTGAACATGTTCCGCCTCGGTCAAATTGGTGGTTCGGCTGACGAGGGTCATACTAACGCCTCAAATAATTCACGACATGCTGCACGCCACTCTCTCGAGGCAAATATTCTCTACAGCACGGATGGAAACCATGATGCCATAACTTCAACATCCTCCAGCCGTCCAGCTCCTCTACAATCATCGTACTCGACCAACGATCTGCCCACGGTCAAGGGTGAAGGCTTTAACCCCGCAATCACACCCCCGAAGACCCATGCTGAACAATTCCAACAACACAATGTCAATTTGGGCCGGATTCCCATTAATACCGCTTCCACCCGCCCTCAGAAGGATTCGCCTGAACGTGAGGAGGCCAATCTTCAAAGCTCCAGGGCGCAGGCAACAACACTGCAACCAAGTGCCACACCTTTTGGGCCGCAGATTACTACTGCTGCTACGTCGGCGAGTAGCACCACGGTTTCTCCTACATCCCTGACCACTTTCCAGGCTCCGTTCTATGGTTATGGCATCCAACCTTATATGGGAACTCCCATGCAAGTGAACGGCCAGCTTCAGGGTTACAATCCTTCACCCTCTTTCTCTGGATATCCACCTTATAGCAATTATCGTCTCGCGGATAATCCGGCCAAGTCTGTTGGATCCCGCAGAAACGGTGATGGGGATTCCGCTCAACTCTCTCGCTTTACCAATTTCCCCCTTGAACATTACCGGGGCGAACTCTACGGTCTTTGCAAAGACCAGCATGGTTGTAGGTATCTCCAGAGAAAGTTAGAGGAACGCAACGCGGAGCATGTCCAGATGATATTCGACGAAACAAATGTGCATGTTGTTGAGCTCATGACAGGTTTGTCTCTCCTCCCTAATCAAGCCAATGAAATTTTTTTCAATCGTTTAATGCTAATTACTTCTCTTTTTTTTTTTTTTTTAGATCCTTTTGGCAACTATCTCTGTCAGAAGCTTCTCGAATACTCCAATGACGAGCAACGGACAGCTCTAATCAACAATGCTGCCCACCAGCTCGTGAAGATCGCACTCAATCAACATGGGACCAGAGCTCTCCAGAAAATGATCGAATTTATCTCAACCTCAGAGCAAACACAAACCGTTATCCATGCCTTGAGGGATCATGTCGTGGAACTGGTGCAGGATTTGAATGGAAACCATGTTATCCAAAAGTGCTTAAACCGCCTTTCTGCCGAAGATGCTCAATTCATTTACGATGCTGTTGGCGGCAACTGTGTTGTCGTTGGTACCCACCGTCATGGCTGCTGTGTCCTCCAACGTTGTATCGACCATGCTTCGGGAGAACAAAGGGCTCGCTTGATCGCCCAGATAACTTCTAATGCATTCGCACTAGTTCAGGATCCTTTTGGAAACTATGTTGTGCAATACATCTTGGATCTTGCGGAACCCCATTTCACTGAGCCCCTTTGTCAAGCCTTCCGTGGTAATATCCCAGCACTCTCCAAGCAGAAGTTCAGCTCGAACGTGATCGAAAAGTGCCTCCGGACTGCTGAAATGCCCATCCGCCGCCAGATGATTGAGGAGATGCTGTCGGGGGTTGAGCTCGAAAAGATGCTTCGAGATTCGTTTGCAAACTACGTTGTGCAGACAGCGATGGACTTTGCTGATCCAGAGCTGCGTAACACGATCGTTGAGTCAGTCCGTCCTATTCTTCCTTCAATTCGCCAAACGCCTCATGGTCGTCGCATTGCCGGCAAGATGATGGCCTCTGAAAGTTCTGGAAGAGGCAGCGCAGCTACTAGCGGGCAAGTCACCCCGAACGAGATGAACTCTGCTCAGCTCCCTGGACCGTTGCAAACTCCTCAGAAATCATTCTTGTACCAACACGCTTTCCCAGTTGCGAATGGCGGTGGTCAATTCGGTAGCCAGAACTTCGTTCCTGCCTCCGGCACCGGGTCCAGCTCGAACACTCCCTCCGGTGCCAGTGAGAATTCCTCCGGAATTTTCAGCGCTACTACCCAGCAGCAAAATGGTACTCTTGGCGCTCAGAATCAGCTTTACGCTTATTTTTGATCTCTTGAGCCTTGCCCAGTCTGCCTAGTTCTTTTCTATTGAAGTGTACACATATTCAGATGACGTCACGAACTTTTCACGACTTACGGCCACCCTGACACTATCGACATATTGGGGATTCAAATTTTGATACCATCGCAAGATCATATCCTTAATGCAATTCGCATTACATCTTTCTGGCCATTTCTTGACGATTACGATGCAGCCATCCACCAGGTATCAATATATTCTGCCTTGTATTTTTCCAACGCTTGGACAACTTGCGTTTTACGTCCCACGACGCTGACGTTTGGACCATTTCTCTTTTTGCCCCCCCATACCTGTGAATCAATCAATATTCCCGAATCTGTGTTTTTATTCGATTCCTTTCTGTTTCTGTTTCAAGAAACGTGCTCTGTTGTTTTCTCTCGCCCCGAGACTTACTTCGTGATTCCTGCTAGAGTCTAAGCACAGGGTTTTTCTCCGAGAGCCACTTGTCATTTCTACAAACCGTAGTATGATGGGCTCCCCGATGGTTTCCAATACCATCTTTCCCAGCTTGCCTCAACAGCGCGCACGGTAGAATAGATGTATCCATACTTTATGCTACCACAGTGTCTTCATAGTTTCTTTTTCTTTTTCTTCTTCATTTCATTTTTTGTCATTTATCTTCTTATTCTGCATTATTCAGTGATAGTAGCAACTAGAAATCGAGCCTTGATATCTAACCGAACCCTCCGACAAGTCTTAAATAGTGACGTTCTACCAATTGAACTACCCCTAGGACCACATACTGCGGATGCATCCCTAAAATCCCGCTGATGCCCAGTCTAGTAAACAAACACGGCCATCATCCAACCAGATAATGTTTCGGGGGGCTATCCAAGGGACTGTAGCGATGGCTGGATCAATTATGTTGTATGCTTCTTGCTGATTCTTTGCCTCATGGGAGGAGACAAACGGGCCGAACTTGACTACCAAGGCACAATCTGGTAGGTAGCTTAACGACCCGGTTACCAGACCTCACGCCTCCAGTAAGTCGATCATCTGGACAAGAACGGCAATAGTCAATGATTGACTGGTGATTGTCTAATTGAACAGACACGGTGGCATCAGACATTAAAAGGGAGAGAGAGAGAGAGGTAGACACTTGAGCTCCTTTAGGATTATCTAATATCCGACACAGGAAACGGTTCCACGCGCCTGTCGCGATCTCGTTTTCTGCCACTCCAACAATCGCAAGTTTTCCAGGTTTGCAGAGATCTTATTTTTATTCTAGACTTTTCTATGTCCGCATGAATGGTCTCCTATGCTTCCAAGCGAAATATCCCAGACCCTCAGCCTGCAATGGCCTTGCCGAGAAGTGCAAGCCAGGCAGCTCGCTAGCCTCCTTGCTGTGAGTTCCCTAGGAGTACCCAGAGCTTTAGGAATATACTAAGGATTTTCTTCGATCGATAGCCCAGTACATCTAGTCCGCCCACCATCGTGGTCCACGGGATTTCTTCTACATGTAAATCAACTATCGTCACCAATGTCCTCTCAGCTCTCGAAGTGCCTCACGCGGTAGTTCGAAGTCCAGAATGCATTACAGGTCGCCATTTACTGACGAAGATACTTTGGGCCACCTTGGGCGCGCTCGGACGGAGAGATGAATGGGAGAAATTCGGAAAAGGGAGGTGTGAGCATGTCAGTACCCTGGCGGTACTGCTAGGCGAATGTTTGGCTTCGACCCCTAGCAAACACATTGAAAAGTTCGTGCTAGTTTTAGACGGAATTGATAAGCAGCGAGAAGCACCCCCTACACTTCTATCTGCACTGGCACGTTTAGGAGAAGGAGTAAGTTGAGCATTGTGAGAGCCCTGGGAACAGAATGCTAATCATCTTTTACGTAGATTCCGTCCCTTTCCATTATTTTGATCCTCAGCTCCAATCCTCGTCCGATGTTCCTTCAGGCCATAGGAGTCCCACATATCAATTTCCCACCGTATACACGCAGGGAGGCGATTGCTATCATCTTGAACGCAGGCGTTCCAGCAGTCCTCGGTCTACCCGTGGAAACGTCGTCCCAGTTATACAACCATTTCGTCTCTGCTGTGTACGATTCTCTAGTCGGGCCTACGGCAAGCTCTATACCCGTTTTCAAATCCATATGCGAGAAACTCTGGCCGCAATTCGTCTCGCCCATCAGTACGGGCGAAACTCCTCCTGGGGGCAATCAGGAATGGGATTTTTCCCGACTCCTGGTCAAGAACCGTTCCCTATTCAGACAGCAGGGCGAATCAGCCCTTGTGCATCACATAGTCACAGAAGAAGCCCTTCCAAACCCCACTATCAACGGCATCTCCAGGCCATCATCTATATCAGCCGTCTCCGCACCTTCACCACTCCCATCCCTACCATACTTCCCTACCCTGATCTTAACTTCCGCCTACCTGGCCTCCCACACGCCCCAAAGACTCGACACAATCTTTTTCTCCAAATTCTCCTCGTCCTCACTATCCGCCCGAAACAAACGTGCCCACCACAGACGACGTCTAAAGCTTCTCTCGCAGGCCCAAGCCGAAGACAGCCGAGAACTAAGCCAAGACCCGTCTACCCCAAGCAAAAGAGGCAAGGGCAAGAGAACAAAGACTCGAATCACAAAATCAACTCTCGAGTCTGCGTTCGCAACCTCATCCGCCACAACATCTGCTGCAGGCGGAGGATCTGGCATCACCGGCCCGTCCACCATTCTGACTGCTCGTCCGTTCCCCCTCGAACGACTTATCGCCATCTACCATGCTATTGACCCTAACCCACCTGCGAACCCGATAAGGGTCACGGCAATCTCGGATGCGATATACGCGGAGCTTGCTACGCTGCGTCGATTGCGGCTTGTTGTACCTGCTGCGGGACGCGCAAGTGGTAGTCGTATGGGACTGGGGTCCGCGGGAGTCAATAGTGGGAATACTACAGCTGATGTAGGCGAGAAATGGTGTGTGAATGTCTCCGGTGACTGGATTGGCGAAATGGCCAAGGGAATTGGGGTTGAGGTTGGAGAGTGGTTAGCTGGTGGGCTGGATTAAAGTTAAAAGCTTTCCAAAAAAAAAAAAAAAATTCAGTGAAACCGAAATATACCATATCATTTATTTTCAAGATCCAAGATTCAGATATGACGGATGGATGGTAGCATCTCTGGCGTTAGGTACATTCAGGATTTAATACATATAGCATTACCAATATCAATTATCATTATTATTGAGGCCTAGGTTTTCACCAGTTCCACTCATCTACCACGGCCTGAGAACATACTAATAAACTAGGTGTCTGCGGTCCATGAGAGGATAATCCCCCGGACTCGAAACAGACAGATGTAATCGGGTCGTTGTATTGATATTTAGATACCGGAGACAACACTTGTTCGCCGGTACGGAGGGAGAAAAGTTGAATTTTGCGGTCATCAGAAGCTGCAGTTTATTTTAAAATATTAGATTAGAGAACACCGCAAAAAGAGAGAAGAATTAAAAGAAGCCATGGGTTGGTTACTCACCACTCGCGAGGAGCCCGAGCTCCGGATTGATATCAAAGTCCGGGATGACTTCGGGTGAATAGTCTGCAAAACTGAGGTAGGGTCTGGTAGAGGTGTGGCGTTTGTTGTTTGGGTTTGGGTTGCGCTGGAGGCCGTTAACTGGGTAACGGATATCGTACATTTGGAGCTGTCCTTGTTAGCTTTTTTTTTTTTTTTTTTTTTTTTTTTGGCGACCAAGGTAATGTAGCACTTCGGTGGGGGAGGAGAGAATTACTGAGTTTATGCCTGCTACGACGATGCGGTAGGGGTCGAGTTTGCGTAGCTTTGTGACCGCGTGAGGGTGTTGGAGCCTTGCTGCGCTCCCTCGACTGCGGATATCGTGAAGGAAAATAGTTGAGTCTTTCAAGCCGGCTGCGATCACGTCCGAGGAGAGCCACTCGACAGCGGTGATGAGAGCGTGCGACAAGCCTCCGACGCGACCTTTACCCGGATGCTCTGTATCATTCCCGCCGGGAAAGGGCTTTTTGGATAAAGTCCAAGAACCTCCATAGCCTTCCAGGGTATATAGCCCGTCTGAGGTTCCGACTGCGAAATGAGGGACGTTCCCTATAGGTGAAGGGGATGAACACCATAGGGAAGAAGTGGTGCGGATGCGAATAGGGTGTGAAACTAATTCAAAGATATAAGATTCATTAATCCAGGATAAGGGTTTTGGGGGGGGGGCATTGTGCATACAGAATGGGGGCCATCGATAGTCTCCTCCTTCGTCGGGATCAGGGAGCATCCGAGGTGCAAGGAAGGAGTCACCATTTGGGCCACTATCCATCGTCGCTCTAGTCTCATTAGCCTGCCAATTCGACAGTACAATTAATGTACCAGGCTTTTCCTCACAAGAGATATCCAGTGTGGCTTAGGCAGAGTGATGAGAGCTAGACGCTCGGCAGTTAGGAACCTTTGAATAGTGACTTTTGGGCTTGGTTAGACTTGATACATACTCGATACTGCTCTTTGAAGAGGAGTCGCTCCATGGTCCGATGGTATGTCCATTTCTCCTGGTCGCAGTCAGGGAAGCACACCCTGGTATGGATAGAACCGGTTGTCAGTGTCGTACCTTCACAACATGCAAGGCTTTACTTACGACACTGACGACTCCCCACCACGATGTCCACCTTGGAGCAAGTCAGATGTGTTCATAAGTGATTCATTAAGGGGTCGAAGTTAAATACTCACTGGCAATCAGAATTCCAGACCGTGGGTTGCGCAGGATGTGTTTGATAGTATACTGATCCGGCCAGGGCTCGAACTGATGTAACTGGTTTCGAAATAATTGGCTGGCATATGCTAACCCTCGCCGCTCATGCTCCACACACCTTGGCATAGGAAGGGTCCCTACTTCCCTATAGGCTTGGATGAGGGGGTTTTGGAGGCATTCTGCTCTCTTAATCTTTTCCTTCTCGACCCTTCGAACTAGACGCGCTTTTCTTTCACACTTCTGTTTTAAGGTTAGGAAACGAAGAACACCCAAAAGGACACATGATAGGTAACAACCTCATGACCTGCACGTTTCCGCTTGACAGCATCATTCGAATACTGGGATCCCGGCGTAGCTTTGTGGTTTGCCTGGATTTTGAAGTACTTTTTCTTTTCGGGATCTATAATGGATCATCAGTGCGTCATTCTAAAATGGAGCCAGAGAAAGCAGGATATTCACCATAATAAAACCCTGGGATCTCCCTATTCATGATTCCTAATACGTGTGATCTTACACAGTAGACCGAAAATGAGCTTAAGTCCGTATCGAGAGCTGCATAGTATTGATCAGGAAAACGTAGCAACTGTGGGGGTGTCAAAAGGTACTACAAACCAGGGTTAGATGCTTAGACTGTGACATGCCTAGGTACTCCAAAAAGAATCACGAGGTAATCAATCTCCTATAACCTCCACCATCTGAGAGAGACGTCTTCTGCTTCCCTCAATGCACTCCGATTCGAAAGTCTTGTCTTTTATTGTCTTTTAATGCTCTGGCTGAATTTCCAGAATCTGCTGGTTTTTGCCGCGACGTCGAAGCGGGGATTACGTCATCCCAGAGCGTGTCTTTGATTGGTCAGAGCCATGTATAGCATGTTTTGGCTTCACTTCTGGTCTTGTTGAAGTTATCAACTTCACTTCAACCCAAGTTTGAGCAATGATTGAATCAAAATTTGATTCTTTTCCAAATTTTGTCAATTTTCTCAACAAACTCCCGGACAACATGACAACCATCCTGAATACTTTCAGAATATATAACGACGCTGCATCTAAGTGAACTCCAGGCACATGCCGTGCAATTCTGCTCAGGTCAAAGCTAATATGGAGTTCGAAGCTGTCAATACCTACTTAGCCTCAATATGCCTTTATCCCGTGATACATACCAATTCCTTCAATATTACCAGACTGTGACTTGGATGGCATGGAAGCCTCGAGGGCCTTTCGTGGTTGCCATTTGAGACTCCATCGCTCTTGCCTCGAATGCATTCCGCGAGATTTCTTAGACAGTGGCATCCCTCATGCGATATTTTTCACATTACTGTCTTGAATACAACCCAGATTATCTCTTTTCACAAGATATTCTCCTATAACCTATCCCCTACTTCGTTGTGGAATATATTATTGGTTGAGGTTCTGATACTGGTTGACTTCCCCTCCACGGACACACTGGAGAGCACCAACACGTCATCATGGAAGCTAACCAGCTAAATATCGTTGAAACGAAAACTGCCCTTATTTCTGGAGTGCAAGATGAGAAAATAGTCCCTCTGATGGAGGACGAAGATTATGAGCAGGAGGAGCACATCGATAGTCTTATACAGGATCTCGAGTCCACAGATGGCGATGACATTGTCTACAACGTCAGAAAGAGCATAGAAGGTTCGATCAAGCGTGCCAGCGCTGGACGAGGACCACCAATTATCACCAGCCTTGAGACCGGTCTCACAGACGACCAGGCATCAATCCTCCGAAAAAGACATGGCCCTAACCGAATGAAAGAGGCAAAAGAGAACATGTTCCTTAAATTTCTATCTTATTTCGTGGGTCCCGTTCAGTTTGTCATGGAGGTTCGTATGCTACAAGACACTCGCCTACTACCATTCATCAACCGTTCTAGGCTAATTAGAGACAGGCCGCTGCTATTTTGGCAGCTGGGCTGAAAGACTGGGTGGATTTTGGAGTCATTTGCGCTCTTCTTCTGCTAAACGCCTCAGTAGGCTTTATCCAGGAGTATCAAGCAGGTTCAATAGTGGATGAACTGAAGAAGACGCTAGCCCTAAAGGCGACTGTGCTCCGTAATGGGACCCTGATTGAAATAGACGCCACGGAGGTTGTACCAGGAGATATTCTTAAAATAGATGAGGTACCAGTTTTCTAGTTTGCAACTCATGGGCCCAGGAGACTAATACATTCTAGGGCACGATCGTGTGTGCTGATGGCCGAGTCGAAACGCTCAACTCCCTTCAGGTTGACCAGTCTTCAATCACCGGTGAATCCCTAGCAGTTGATAAGCGCAAGGACGATGTCTGCTTCGCATCATCTGTTGTAAAACGTGGGGATGGATACCTCCTTATCACAGCCACTGGTGACAAGACTTTGGTCGGAGAAACTGCGGCGTTGGTTAATGCATCATCTTCCAACATCGGCCATTTCACAGAAGTGCTGAACCGTATTGGTGCTGTCCTTCTAATATTGGTGATACTAACGCTGATCATCGTTTGGGTTTCGTCCTTCTATCGTTCAAACCATACTCTTACTATACTCGAATTCACTTTGGCCATCACGATGATCGGAGTCCCGGTTGGCCTTCCGGCTGTTGTTACCACTACCATGGCGGTAGGTGCGGCGTATCTGGCGAAGAAACAAGCTATAGTACAAAGACTATCCGCCATAGAATCTCTAGCGGGCGTGGAGATATTGTGCTCTGACAAAACCGGTACTCTAACGAAGAACAAATTGTCCCTTTCGGAACCTTATACAGTCGCTGGTGTTGACCCTGATGACTTGATGTTGACTGCATGTTTGGCTGCTTCGAGAAAGAAAAAGGGTATGGACGCCATTGACAGAGCTTTTTTTAAAGCTCTTCCTGACTATCCACGCGCCAAATCAGCTCTTACCCAATACAGGGTGCGTGAATTTTGTCCCTTTGATCCTGTCTCGAAGAAAGTGACAGCAGTTGTGCTGTCTCCACAGGGTCAGGAAATAATTTGCGTGAAAGGAGCACCTTTGGTGGTTTTGAATACCGTCCTAAAAGAGCAGCAAGTTCCAGAACATGTCGATATAGAGTACAAGAATAAAGTGAGTGAGTTTGCAGTTCGTGGGTTCCGCTCACTTGGGGTCGCTCGAAAGCGTGGGGATGGGCCGTGGGAAATACTTGGGATAGTACCATGCTCAGACCCCCCGCGACACGACACAGCGAAAACCATAAGCGAGGCAAAGACCCTAGGCTTATCGATCAAAATGCTTACGGGCGATGCTGTTGGAATAGCCCGAGAGACTTCACGTCAGCTGGGGCTAGGGACTAATGTCTACAACGCGGAAAGACTTGGTCTTGGTGGCGGGGGAACAATGCCCGGGTCGGAGGTTTATGACTTTGTCGAAGCCGCTGATGGGTTCGCAGAGGTTTTCCCCCAGCACAAGTATAACGTTGTGGAGATCCTGCAGCAGCGTGGATACTTGGTTGCAATGACAGGGGATGGTGTTAATGATGCCCCATCATTGAAGAAGGCCGACACTGGAATCGCCGTAGAGGGCGCTTCAGACGCTGCGAGATCTGCTGCTGATATTGTCTTCCTCGCGCCAGGTCTGTCTGCGATAATTGATGCGCTCAAAACGTCCCGTCAAATTTTTCATCGAATGTATGCATACGTAATATACCGGATTGCATTGTCTTTACATCTCGAAATATTCCTTGGCCTTTGGATTGCAATCATGAATGAAAGTCTCAACCTACAACTTGTGGTGTTCATTGCCATCTTCGCAGACATCGCAACTTTGGCAATAGCCTACGATAATGCACCCTACTCGAAGACCCCGGTAAAATGGAACCTTCCTAAACTTTGGGGATTGTCTGTCGTACTTGGGATTGTGCTCGCAGTGGGCACCTGGGTTGCGCTTACGACGATGTTAAATGAAGGGGAGCACGGTGGAATTGTGCAGAACTTTGGGAAACGCGATGAAGTCCTGTTCCTTGAAATATCACTGACAGAAAATTGGCTGATCTTTATTACCCGGGCTAACGGCCCTTTCTGGTCGTCTTGCCCATCATGGCAGTTGTTAGCGGCCATTGTGGTAGTAGATTTAGTCGCAACGTTCTTCTGCATCTTTGGCTGGTTTGTTGGTGGCCAAACTTCCGTTGTAGCCGTCTTTCGCATCTGGGTCTTTTCATTCGGCGTGTTTTGCATCATGGGAGGGATTTATTATCTATTACAGGGGTCTACGGCTTTCGACGATATCATGCATGGCAGAAGCCCGAGAAGACGCGAAGGGACGAGACGTTCGTTGGAAGACTTTCGTAAGTTCATGTTCCCTCATATTTATAATAATCCACTTTGAAGCTAATTGAAGCAGTGGTTGTGTTGCAAAGAGTGTCAAGCCAGCATGAGAAGAGCTCATTGAGCCCCGAAAACGGGCAAGCCGGTCGTCGAGGTTGATTATTATTGTGTAGACGGAAGGGATATGCTCGTTGCTGAAGAGGGCATTAACTATTTCTCAAGTATTTTGCATTGTTAATCGTGTGATTTCAATTTACTCCCCAGCCGCCTGCCCCAATGCATCCAAGTCTAGCAAAGCAAAAGTCCAGGTCAAGGTGAAACCCCGTTAAAATACAAGTCTTGATTAAGGTCTTTATCCATGGAGTAATGCCGCATTCTACATATATTTCATACCTAATCATTACTCTGACCATATGAAAGTTGATACGAACGAAAGCCCTAAGGAATACCAGGGCATATTATTATATTTGACCACGCCAGCCAGCCAGCCAATCAACCAATATAAATATTAAACTCTAGAAGACTGATGATACAGAAATTAATTTGATTAGAACTGTATGCCGGTATTTCCGGCTTTCTCGCGGTCTCGTAGCTTGATCCTAGATTACATCTGGTGACCATACATGGAAAAATGCGGACGGGTAGATCGGTAGATCAATAGTAGGTCACAAGTTGAGGGGGAATATACATAGAAGCAGTGGGAAGGATAGGTATGCAAATATCAAACCAATATCAAGTAAAAACATGACGACACAAAATACACAATTGAGATGGTGGGGGGGAAAGTTGGGGGAACGTGACGAGTATATAAGGATAAGAAAGGGAAAGAGGAAGAGAAAAAAAAAAAAAAAAAGATCAAGAGAATGCAAGGCTAAACAAAGGAAGGAAGGACGGAGGAGGAGGGGGGGGGAAATGAAATAGGGGGGAAAATATGTGCATGAGTAATGTGACAATGAATGAGAGATAGGTGATAAGAGTAAACGGGCTTATTACGACTTGGAGGTTAGGAAGTCGACTGCCTGTTTTGTGAGGAAGAGGATTAGTTAGTTGGACTAGCTTGCCGTGGTAGAGGAATGTCCGTATCTCAAAGGGAGAGAGAGAGAGAGCATACCTTGTCGATATTATAGTCGAATTTTTCCAGGGCTGCGAGAGATGCATCTCGGGGGAACCCCATGCCTGTTAACTTTTGAAGGTTCGGGTCGTCTTCTGTACCGGTTTGGAGGGCCCATCCGGGTTGCTTGTGTCCAGGCGCAGCGGCTGAAGTAGTGCCGTTAGTTCCTTCTGCTCCGTGGGCCTTGGCGTTATCCAAGGGAGCGAAGAGCGCCTCCCAGTCATGGGCTTGGGGCTTCGCGTTGGTGTTGGCGGGAGATGAGGGGGATGCTGTGGTGACGTTCTGATCAAAGTGGAAGAAGTCGGATCCAGGATTTGCAGCGGCTGCAGCCTTCTGTTGCTGCGACGGTGAGTGGTCAAACGAAAAGTCGAAGTCCATATTATTGCGGCTATCAGATGCTTCAAAGTCATTGTCTTCGTCATCAGCTTCGTCATCAGCTTCTTTTGCGGGAGCCAAGTTCATTCCTGCAAAAGCAGCCTCAAAATCGGGAGCCTTGCTTCCGCTTGGTGGTTGATTAGTTGTTGATGTCTTTGTTGCATCATGTTGAGCTTCTCCGCCGACAATCGGAGCCCCTGTAGCAGACTCGACAGAATGGGGAGCATCAGGAGGTAGAATCGGGTCGGTCCGATGAGGAAGCAAGCCATTAAATTCTGGAGGAACACCGACTGAGTTCTGCGTCTCGGGGTTTTCATCGTACTTTGGGGGGCTGGGTTGAGACTCAAGGGGGGGAGGAGAAAACGTCGGACTAGTAGCTGATCCGGGAGCCGGGAAAGCAGCCAGCTGCGCTGGCTCAATCGCATCAGGAGACTTGGACGCTACCTGGCTCTGGGGAGGAAAGACAGGAGTAAAATTGTCATCAAAACCGAGATGCGCTTCGCTATCAGTGCTTTCGTCATCGTCATCATCGTCAATCTCATGAATAGGGGGGAACTCTGATTCTGGTGCACCATTTGTCTTCTGAGTGTTGGGTCCCTGCTTCATCGCAGCGAACGCCTCTTCAAAGTCATTCTCCTGCTGTGACCTAGATCGTTGATGTGCTGGGCCACCGAAAAGCTCATCAAAACTGGGGTCTTTTGCAGCTGGCTTCTCATCACTACCCGGTGAAGCGGTGTTTCTAGAAGGGGGCTCCTCGAAAGCACCTGGAATTGCGGGGAACCGTTCCTTGGATTCCTCAGTCTCATCAAAGGGTGATCCAGAGGAGGGACCAGCCTCACTACCAGCGGTTACACTAGAGGCATCAAGCCCGCCGAATCGACTGGCAGGCGGAGAAACTTTGGTGGAGGTGGTGGCTGACTGTGTCTCAGCAAGAGGAAGAACGTTCGGGGTCATCTGCCTAGACAGAGCCGGAGGTGGAGGCTCTGAACCAAACAATCCCGCAGCCGAGGGTGGCGGTGACACTGAAGGGGTTGGGATAGCAGATGTGCTAGGAGACTTCGTTGAATCCGCGTGAGAGTCGGCACGGAATGAGGTTGGTGGTGGGGGTGTTGTTGCAGACGTCGCCGCCGGGGCGGCAAAGGATGGCCCAAACAGGCTGTCAAAGGCACGCTGTTGATCATTCGAAATTTGGGGGGACAGGGCATTGCCCTCACTAGAGCCAGTCATTGTGCGCTTGAAGAAGGGGTTGGTGTGCTGGCTGGTCGTCGACGCGGCTGGGCTTGTAACGGCGGGCAGCACGTTGCTGATAGGGGAGCCCAATTCCTCGGGTTCTACCGATTGCTCCTTTGAAAGACCATTAATCTCTTCCTGAATCTTATCACGTTCGCCCTCTACAGTTGCGAGTTGTTTCTTGTTGATCGCAACTAACCCTTTCTGCTGACGGGCATCAGAGCGAGCTTTCTCCAAGGCTGGCTTGAGCTGAGCAACCACAGCATTAGCTTCACGAATTTTCTCCTTCAAGCTCGCGTTTTCCTGCTGGTCGGCTGCAAGAGCAGCCGAGACCTGGTTGTACTGGGTTTGAAGATCCTGCCGGCTTCCATCGATCAAAGCGTATTCTTGGTGAAGTTTACCGGTGTCCGCTTTCGAGGCCCTGAGGCGTTCCTCCAAAGCCTTGAAGTTCTTGACCTCTTGCTCATACATCGACCTAGCTTGCGCAAGGCGGGTCTCGAAGTCACGCTTCTGCTGTGACGTCTGAGAAAGTTCCTGCTCTGTAGCCGTTCGCTTTGTCTGGACATTTTGCATCTCATTTGCCAGGGAGCCAATTTGGTTTGATAGATTGGCAAGCTCAGTGGTTTCTTGGGTCAGCTTCTTGGATTCTTCGGGGTCGTTGTCTCCAAGTAGATCATCCGAGGGCAGAGGAGGTGGAGGGGAGCGAACCAAGGGTGGTGCAGACGAGCCAGTCATTTGGGGCTGGAGGCTCTGACCGAAGGAAGAGGATGGCATGAATGGCTTGAAGGTGGTAGCGCTGGCTGGCGGTGATCGGGAGACTGGGGATCCTGGCATCGGGAATGGCGCGTTTGAGCCTCCTGTGGATTGCGGCACCTGAGAAAGAGCCGGAGCGACCGGGGGGGGTGTGAATGGATCGAGATCGAAAAGGTCATCTGCAGCAGAGCGGGGAGGGGCCGGGGCCGGGGCCAGAGCTGGAGTTGGAGCTGCGGCTGCGGCTGCGGCTGCAGGTTGGACTGGGGCTGCGGGTCCGAGTGGAAATGCTTGTGCAGAGCCTGGGCGGCGCATGCTTGGGGGGATCAAAGCTGGGGGTAAGGTCTGCGGGATGGGGCCCTTTCCTGTGTACTGTTGACGGATCAAATACATCGCGACCGCAAACTCGTCCTTTGTCAACTGGCCATCCGCATCAATATCTGCAAGATCCCAAATCTGCGCAAGTGTCTCCTCTGGTAACTGCGCCTTGGTGAAGAAGGCGACTGCTTGGTCACCACTGATCACCCCAGTCCTGGCAGTGTCCACGCTGTTGAAGAAATTGTCGAACTGAAGTTTCTCTTGAGGCGAAACGAGCCATTCAGCCCCAGTCGACTGCGCCGATAGTGGAGATGCAAATGGCTGTCGGTTGACCGGGCTTTGAGTCCGTTGGGGTCCTGTGAATTGCTTTGGAATTGCAGGGACGGGGGGGACATCGAGACCACCTCTAGGTCCTCCCATTGAGGCACGAGACGGAGGACCTCGTCGCGCAGCAGCTTCGTAAAGACCAGGGGGTAGGGTCTGGGGGATCCCTCTCATAGAACCAGATTTATAGGAGGTGAGGAGGTGCATCGCAATAGTAAATTCTGTCGCATCGAGAGATCCTCGTTGCTTGGTATCCGCCAAATTCCATATTCGCCCAAGGATCTCGTTGGGAAGCCTAGCACGTTCGAAAATCTGTTTCGCAGCTTCACCTATATAAATAGAAGGAAGATTTTTATCAGCTCCAAATGAAGAAAGAAAGGTGAAGAGGGGACGTACCCGAGATGCTCCCAGTCCTCCCTGGATCTGACTTTTCGAAGAGAGAGGTGAATTTATTCACATCGTCCGGATTCAGTGGCGGAACTCGAATTGGTGTACCCGACGCCGGTGTTGGGCTCGTTGTGCCAGCCTCACGGGGTGAGGGAACGGAGGTATCGATTGGAATTCCATCGAACCTGGGTAGCGGACCGGCTGTACAGAGTTTAATAATGATGACCCATGCATAACTCTTGTAGGGAAGGGCAAAGAGGAGGCGGCGCTGTGAGCTCTCCTAAGATCACTTACGTTGCACTGCCAGCTCTTCTGTTGGCGCGCGACCCGCCTGAGCGTGTCCAATCAGTCGCATCACAACGCCGAACCCCGAGGGGGTCAGAAGCCCTCTGTTCTCCCTGTCGGCGATCTGCCATATCTATTATCGTTGGTAGCAAGCACGCAATTAGCCAGCCAAGTCTCGTAGGCAAGACGATTGATTCCCCTCCAAGGGAGGTTGAGGCATCAACATACCAATCCGAGGGTTTCCGGGGCGAGCTTGGTCTTTTCGAAGAAGGGTACGGCGATCTCGCCCGTGATGACACCGAGATTAGTGGTGTCGGCAGCTTGAAAGAGTTGGTAGAAGACTCGCTTCTCCTCAGCGGTTAAATTGAGATTTGGTTGACGTGCTGTTGAAGGAAGAGAAGGGGGGGGGGGGAGAGAAGGGAATGTCAGCATCCGTCAGTTCCGTTGCAACAGCGTCACTATCCAGGAAGGAACCCCATCCGACGACTCCTGAGCCTTTTTGTCAAGCTGGCGCAATCGGAGGGGAGTATGGACGTGAGGACTCACAATTGTCAGCCATGATGATAGCCCTGGAGGAGCAGGTCTCCCCTCCTTAATTCCACCTTTTTTTTTTTTTTTTCTTTCTAGATGGTGGTTGTGTGGTGGGAGGTAGTAAGAGGCTCGTCAGCGGAGGTCCCCAGAAGATGCCACGGGCATGGATGGATGGCCAAAGGCGGCAGTTTTCTAGTAGGGCGGGAGGTAAAGGGGAATGATGGAGATGATGGAGATGATGGAGATGATGTCTTAGAATGGAGAGGAAGAAAAAGGAAGAAGGAATTAAGTCGACGAGTGACAAAAATGAGGATAGTCCAGGGTCGAATCGGGGTTAAGAGGAAACTCACGACTTAAGGAGAGAGAGAGGAGGGGAAAAGAGTGTGTTTGTTGGCTGGGCGGTCAGTCATCCAGCATCTTTACTCTTTACTTACGCAAGCTGTCGTTCTTATTCAACTACTTTCAACTACTTTTATCCTGTCTTACTCCCATTCTTATTATTGTTCCTTTTCCTTTTCCTTTTCCTTTTTCTTTTGGATTTATAGCCGCCGATCTATCTCAGCAATGTATTGGATCCGGTGACGCCAAGTGGGAGTGTCAAGTGCGGAGATTCCTCTGTGATTTTTATCTGGAATAGTCGCTGGACATACGGCGAAAAATAGTATGCCGCAAGAAAGAAGAAAATAAAACGAAACGAGCGGTAAATTCTTCGCTGCTGGGGATATTAAAAAATATATCAGACAGAGAAAACCCATATGTAGTCTGGACTAAGCCAATCTTCTCTCCTATTTGCATGCGGCCAGAATCAAGTTATAACCTGGGACTTAACGCCTGGTTCGCATGCGAACCACTACAATATTAACCATCTAACACAACTCAAACTCTCATACTTAGTACTCGGCCTCGAGACCCTCCTCCTCCTCCAAGGAGTCGCTGGCAACTTCCTCGTAATCACGCTCCAGGGCGGCCAGATCCTCACGAGCCTCCGAGAATTCACCTTCCTCCATACCCTCACCCACGTACCAGTGCACGAAAGCACGCTTGGAGTACATAAGGTCGAACTTGTGGTCAAGGGCGGACCAGGCCTCGGAGATGGCAGTGGTGTTGGACAACATGCAGCTGTTATTAAAAACCCCATTAGTTTCAATGTTTTGTTTTCTTCCCCAGGGTCTCTGACACTTACACAGCACGGTTAAGGTTGGCAAGGTCACCGTTGGGCACCTGTTGAGGAGGCTGGTAGCAGATACCAATCTTGAAGCCAGTGGGGCACCAATCGACGAACTGAATGGTGCGCTTGGTCTTGAGGGTAGCGACAGCAGCGTGGGACTCCTTGGGGACGACATCACCGCGGTACAGCAAGCAGGTGGCCATGTACTTGCCGTTGCGGGGGTCGCAGCGGACCATCTGGTTGTTGGGCTCGAAGCAGGACATGGTGATCTCGTTGACAGAGTTGGCCTCGTGGGAAGCCTTCTGTGCGGAGACGACGGGGGCGTAAGCCACCAGAGGGAAGTGAATACGGGGGTAGGGCACCAGGTTGGTCTGGAATTCGTTCAGATCAACGTTGAGGGAGCCATCGAAACGCAGAGAAGCGGTGATGGAAGAAACGACCTGGGCAATCAGGCGGTTCAGGTTCTCGTAGCCAGGGCGCTCGATGCCGAGGTTGCGGCGGCAGATGTCGTAGATGGCCTCGTTGTCGACCATGAAACTGCAGTCGGAGTGCTCCAGGGTGGTGTGGGTAGTCAGGATAGAGTTGTAAGGCTCAACAACGGAGGTGGCGTTTTGAGGAGCAGGGTAAACACAGAATTCGAGCTTAGACTTCTTGCCGTAGTCGACCGAGAGGCGCTCCATCAACAGAGCACCGAAACCAGAGCCGGTACCACCACCGAACGAGTGGAAAACGAGGAAGCCCTGGAGACCCGAGCAGGCGTCGGCCATGCGGCGGACCTTGTCGAGGACCTGGTCGATCATCTCCTTACCAACGGTGTAGTGACCACGGGCATAGTTGTTAGAGGCATCCTCCTTGCCGGTGATGAGGTTCTCCGGGTGGAAAAGACTGCGGTAGGTGCCAGTGCGGACCTCGTCGACAACATTGGGTTCGAGATCGCAGTAAATGGTGCGAGGGACGTATTTGCCCTGGCCTAGAAGCATCCATTACATGTTAAAAAAAAATGGTATTTCCCGGAGAGGAGACGAGAGGGAGAGAGAGAGAAAGAGAGAAGGGAAAAACAAAAAAGAAAAAAAAAAACAAAAAAAAAAAAAGAAGAAGGCGGGTTTGTGGGCATACCGGTCTCAGAGAAGAAAGTGCTGAAGCCGTGGTCGGGGTCATCCTTCTTGCGTTCTTCGGTCAAGTATCCATCAGGCTATATACAAGATCGGTCAGAAAAGTTCCCTATAATTGCGAGAACCAAAAATGTTCGCGTTGAATGATGTAGGAAGATCGAGGGTAGACGCTCAATCCCCCAAGAATCGTCACGTACCTGGATACCGTGTTCGAGACAGTACAGCTAAAAACAAAAACAACACGGTCAGCTCGTAAATCTTGCACGTCGGGTGTATTTTTTTTTTTCCACCCAATATTCTCTGTAATTACCTCCCAGCAGGAATTGGCGATCTGACAACCAGCCTGGCCGACTAAAGAGCACCCGGGGATGTTAGTAAAACGGCAGCTGGCAGGCAGACAACAAGCGAGGGGCACGGGGCACAAAAACATACCGTTCAAACTGATAACTTCTCTCATGTTGTTGAATTAAAATGGAGAATTTCTGAAACTCACAAATATAAGGAGGATAAGAGTTAAGAGAGAAGGGGGAAGAGAGAGGGGGGGGGGAAATTAAGTAGACCCAGAGAGAGAGCACGATCTGGGTTGTTTCAGGGGTAAGTAAGTAAGTAAAAGAGTGAGAGTGAGGAAGAATGGAAAGGGAGGGAGAAGATACGGGAGAGGGGGCAGAATTTAGGTAGAGAGGAAACTCACACTATTGGCAGCGGAGGTACTACTTGACGTGACTCCAAAAAAAAAAACCCCTTGCAATGGAAGAATAGCAGATGACCGGTCAATTCAATTCATAGGAAGAATCAATATTTTTCTGGGTTGCTCTTTACCCAGTACTCCATCATCCATCGTTGGCTGGATGTGCTGTCAAAATTCCCCTAGTAGTAAAATCCTCTCTCTGAGGTGTTCATTTGTTGGTTCCATCCGTTGGGTCGCGTTGGGCAAGGGGGCTCCTGATTGGCGGTTCATGGCTCCACTCGGGCCATGGCGGTGAGTTGGCTGACTCAGCAGTGGCCGGTCGGTCACGTGGTAACTAATGACGGCATGAAGCCATCCAAATCGACCGGTCTTGAATGCGAGATCACCTAGTAGAAAGAGACCCCAACCCCCAAAAAAAAAAATGAAGATACAATGCATCGCCTCCCCTTCCTCTTCCTCCTTCTCCTCCTCTTCTCCCCCTTCGTGACAGCCAACGTCGAAAAAACAATCTTTATCGCCCCTTCCCCCCTCATCATCCCTACTATTGACCCTAGCCTCGACGATGACCTAGGGCTCGAGCGTCTCTCCCCGTTCGAGAACATCCTCAGAACAAAGCTCAATGCCTCGTTCCCAACCGAGGACGCCCCCGGAACAGACTCGTGGTATTTCCTGGAGAACCTGCACCCGGGCCAACGGTACGAGGTACGGATATGTTGGTTGGCTACTGTATGTATTGTATTATCTCTCCTCGTCCTCCTCCTCCTCCTCCTCCAGAGCGCTCTGGTTACGATGATGATGATGATGATGAAATATGTCCTAGGTAACTAACCGAATTGAATTCCCAATAGCAACCTACATCCTTCACTCTAAGGACCTACACTCTCCCTTTCATAACCTCTCCACATGAAGCTCCAGAAGAAGATCCCTCCCTCCTCTCGCAACTCAGCCGGTATGCTTCCTCCCGCCTCGCAACCGCGCAGCCAGCTCTCCACCTCACCCGGTACCGTTCCTCTTCCTACTCCCACTCCTCTGGCGCAGACCCCGCGCCGATCTCAGACTCGGTGCTCTTTCTGCGCATCACGGCCGCGGCGGATTATTTCTCGCTGGACCAGTCCTTGATGGAGACCGTGCCGCCTGTGCTGGCGGATATCATTCTCGATCCGTTCCTAGGGAATGTGGTTCCGAGGAGCTTGGTGCCGACCGCGTCTTGGATGGTTGTGGTAGCGGGTTTTGCGGTCGTCGCTGCGAGGTGGGTGGTTAAAGAATTGAATCGTGTTGTGGAGACGAGGGACAACGAGGATGAGAAAAAGGATCAGTAAGAGAATTAAAGTAATCAATTGCAAAAAGTTTTTGTTTTTTTTTTTTTTTTTTTTTTTTGAAGTAACTAGGTGCCTTCACATATTATTCAAACGGTATTATAGTATCTAGCCTGAAATGCGACATGGTTCTATTTCCATGAAGCCAAAATGAACCGCATCAAGCGTACATTGCCACCAAAAAAAAAAAAACATTCCAACATAATCATCATAACACATAACAAATCAGGTGGAAGCGTTATTCCACAACAGGAATTCCATATAACCAGAACATTTCAAGTTATTAACACCGGGGGGTTGAAACAAGATAGTTCACTGCATGAGTGGCACCAACTCTATCAGATTCAAAAAAAAAAAAAAAAAAAAAAAACAATTCGTATATAGAGGAACCACCATGTAAATCCAAAAAAAAATAAGCAAATGACCAAGGAAATACAAAAGTCGGGGAATAGATTGTTCTAATCCTCAAAGAAGTGAAGAACAGCCCGAATACCCCTGGTCCCGAGACCATGCGGTGGGTATGAAATGAAAAGGGGCTCATCCTGCGCGCCAAGTTTGGCTCGGAACTCACTCTTCCGCACGAGGTGGAATTGCTTGGCCAGGGCATCATAGGTATGTTGCAGCATCTTCACCTTGGTGCCATGCAAGTTATGGCCGGGGGTCAACGTGCTGGTAGCCCCCGCGCCAAAGGTGAGGGTCTTGACCCCAGATCGGGATGCCGTCTGGATCGCGTGGGTGATGAGGGATTCAATCACGCCATTTGGCGACCCGGGGAAATCGAAGGTATGTTTGACTTGCATGCCATGTGTGGGTGAAATGGTGCACAAGGTGACAAACGCACAGATTGTGCCTTCTTTGTCGACCGCATAGAAATACCAGCGGTGCTCGGAATCCCGCCATGGGTGAATCTCCGAAAGATGCACCTGCGTACCTTTCCGGTTTTGCTTCCAATCCTCGATGCGCTTGTCAATGGCCTCCCGGATCGAGTCCGGCACCATTTCGCCTTGATTCGCCGCCACCAGCTTGACCCCCTCGGTCTCGGTACGGCGGATCTTGCGGGCAAGCTCTCCATCCATCGCCGCTTGGTTTCGCGAGGGGTCGACTCGTTCCTCGGCGATGCACGACAAACTACGCCACCCGAGCTTCTCGCCCAGGATGGTCTCGACCTCGGGGGAGCACAAAATCCAGACTGGCTTGTACTTGGTTTCGCGCCTGAGCCATTGCAGGAACTGGGTGATAATTCGGGTATACTGTCGAGCATCGCAGAGCGGGTTTCCGGGAATAATGACATAGTTGCTGGTACTGGGGACGTAAGCGATAGCCGCGCCAGTGCCCATATCGCGCCAGATCTTGAATCGCTCGTCGTAGAAGGAGGTGGAGGTGGCATCCCCATAATTGGCGACGAGATGTTCGAGGGGTTGCAGCTCGCTCACGCTCGGCGCAACCGGGCCCGTTTTGTCCCGAATCCAGGACGGCTCCAGGGTGGATGATTCCGGGTGGCGGAGCTGCATGACGGGGGGTTTCGCGGGGAAGCTCTTGGGATCGCGGTGGAACATTGAGGCGAGGCGAATGTTCCCCAGCTTCAGGATCAGCATCAACAACCGTTCGAGGCCGACACCAGCACCGGCGTGGGGGGGGGCCCCCCACCGGAACCCTTCCATATATTCCTCCATGGAATCGGGATTAATCCCCACGCGGCGCATGTTTTCCTCCAGCAGGTGAGGATCATGGATACGTTGGCCACCCGAAACGATCTCCTGGCCGCGGATGAAGATATCAAACGAGTTGGTCAAGCGGGCGTCCTCGGGGTCCGGCATGGCATAGAAGGGGCGGGCGCCGACGGGGAACTTGTCGAGGATATAGTAGTCGGTGCCATACTTTGCCTTGACCAATTCTCCCAGTCGGATCTCATCCCGGGTGCCCAGATCCTGATCTTCGGGGAGTTCATTGCCGTCCTCGTCGCGCCAGCCCGACTCGTTGAGCAGCTTGATGCCATCGGAGAAGCGGATGATGGGGGTTTCCTCAAGCCAGACCAGATCTTCCGACGGGAACTGGTGTTTGATCACCTCGACCTCGCGGCGGAAGCGGGTGTAGATACCCTTGAGGATATTCTTGATCACGGCATCCAGCACGTCCAGCATCTCATGGTAGTGCTCCTCGATGGCCATCTCGATATCCAATCCGGTGTACTCGGTCAGATGGCGGTGGGTGTTGGAATTTTCGGCCCGGAAAACGGCCCCAATCTCATAGACACGGCCGAAATCGGCGGCAATGGCCATCTGCTTGGCCAGCTGCGGGCTCTGGGCCAGGAACGCATCGCGACCAAAGTAGTTGACCTCGAAGACGCTGGCACCGGACTCGGTGGCTGTTCCTTGCAGCTTCGGGGTATGGATCTCGATGAAAGCGCGCTCGTCCAGCGCGGTGCGGAAGAGATTACCGATGGCGGACTGGATTCGGAAGATCGACTGCGAGGTTGGCGTGCGCAAGTCCACCAACCGATTGTTGAGTCGGGTACGGTCTGGAATATGGCTCAGACGGCCCTCAACCAGATCCTCTTCGGGGGTGCGCAGCTCGGCTTCGTAGACGCTGAAGGGCACGGGATCCTCGCGCCGCACGACCAGGTGGACCTCATCGATCGACAGCTCGACGTCATGGACGGTGCAGCCCAGAACCGGAACGGCGGGGGCCTGGATCGTGCCGCGGACGCGTACAATCGAGCCCAATCGCAGATGCTCGGCCCACTGGACCATGGCCACGGACTTGATGCCGGGAACCTCATGGAGAACGCCCTGGAAGGTGGACAATTGTTGTCGGAACACCAGGAAGACAAGCTTGGCGCTCATGCGGCGCACGATATGCAGGCGCGCGGTAAACAACACCGTCTGTCCGACGTGGGCGGCGGAAATGTCATCGAAATTGGTGCGTGGTTCGCGCGAGCGGGAGGCCGACTGCACGAGGGGCAGGTCCCCATACCGGGCTCTCATCTCGGGGGTCTCCTCTCGAACAGCCTTGGCCACCTCCTCCCTCCGATGCAGCTCGGATTCGGACGAATGGTGATCCTCACTCAGGCGAGAGCGCTCCGTCTTCCGCTGCTGACGGGCTAAGCGCTTCTGCTGATTCTTGCTCATAGCGGAGCCGGCGGAGGCGGAATCATCGGAGACATCCTCGGAGGACGAGACATATTCCCGGTCGCGTAAGAAATTGCCGAGAATACTACGACGAGGGGATGCAGGCGAGGAGTTGGAGCCTCTCCTAGTGGGGGAGAAGGAATGAATGGGGGACTCTTCGATTTTGGGTTTAATTTTTGACAATGCCCGTTTGATGGACATGATGATGATGATGATGATGATGATGATAATAATAGAGGAATAACCGGGGAAGAGAAGTGGAGGGGAAGAGAGTAAGCTGACAGGGGGAAGAATTGAGTCAAGAGAGAGGAAGAGAGAGGAGGGGAGGGGAGGGGAAGACACTAAGAAGAGAGAGAGAACCACAGAGAAATAATTTAATAATTCTGCGAGAGCGATATATAATATATATATATATATATATATATATTAAAAGTATATATTAAAAGAACAGAAAGAGAGAAAGAAAGAAGATTATAAAGACTTTCTTTTCCTTCTTTTTATTCTTTTTGGTGATGTCATACCTGAGGCCGCCAGAATCCGGGATATGAAGTTATTTTGCTTCATGTCGGGATGCAAAATGATTTCAAATAGATTAACCCAGGAGATTCCTAAATCTGTCATGATCAGTAACTGACTATACATTCTTATAAATATTCAGTCATTCTAGTTACTAGTCAACTAGTCCTTTTTACTATCAGACCACCAGCCATTCTTGATTAGTGAGACTAAGTTTAATTAATTGAATCAATCTGTCTTTCTTCCACTGGTTCTCATCCCTTTTTTTTTTTTCGATTTTTTTTGTGGTACTCTCTCCTTCATGGCTTCCTCTCGCTGGTGGTTACTGGTTCAAGCCATCTTCTGGCGCGGTTTGATGCGTGTGGGCATGTTTCTCCATAATATTCCAGTTCCCCGTCCTCCCAGAGCCTCGTTCTCCCGGTCCATCCCGTGCTCCTCCTCCTCCTCCTCCTCCTCCTCCAAGGTCACCCTCCTCTTCTACTGCCCCCCCGACTACGACCGCGCACGCGGAGATGGCCGCCGTCTGCCGGTCGTGGTCAACTTCCACGGCGGCGGGTTCACGCTAGGAGGCCCCTCCGACGACAGTCGCTGGGCCCAATGCATCGTGACGGACGTAGGCGCCGTAGTCGTGAGTGTAGGGTACCGTCGTGCCCCCGAGCATCCGTTTCCGGCCGCCGTGGACGACGGCGTGGTGGCCCTGCAGTATCTGGCTGCCCACGCCGCCGAACTGGGACTCGATGTGTCGCGCATCGCCATCAGCGGGTTTTCCGCCGGCGCCAACCTCGCCGTCACCGTGCCCCTGCGGCTCCACGAGCTCGTCGTCGCCGCCGCCGCCCAGCAGCAGGAAGAACCATCCTCATCCTCATCAACCACATCCCTCCACCCGCTGCGCTGGCTGAACCGCGCCGAGTCCACCCAGCATCTCGTCCACGACCACGACAACATCCACATCGTCGCCCTCTTCTGCTGGTACCCCATCCTCGACTTCCACGAACCCCGCGAATCCCGGCGCGCCAACAGCCTCATGCCCGACAAGGCCCTCCCCGCCTTCTTCACCGATCTGTTCGACGAGTCGTACCTCCCGGATCTCGACGACCGCCGCTCCCCCTTTGCGTCGCCGCTCCATGCTTCCGACGAGGCCCTCGCGCGCGCCCTGCCCCACGATATCTTCTTCTTCATCTGCGAGTGGGACATGCTCTTGAATGAGGGCCAGGAATTCGTGCGCCGCTTGCAGGCCATCCACAAGCATGTGCGCTCCATGATGATCGAAAAGGCTCCGCATGCCTGGGACAAATCGCCCAATCCGTTTCGGGATCCGGGTCCGGTCAATATTCTCTATAAAGATGCTTGTGCCGATATGAAGGCTCTCTTTGCACATTGATTTGATGACCCTCTTTCCGTTTTTTTTTTTGGGCTTTTTGGGCGTTCATCTCATCCATCCCCTTTCTTTCTTATTCTTATTCTGACTAGTATTACTATTTTCTTTTCTTTTCTTTTCTTTTTTTTTTTTTATCATGGCGATGCCTTACCTAGACTTTGCGGCGTTAACAACAGGTCCGGAAATGGAGGTCCTAATAAATAGCTTTTGATTTGCCTTTTTTTTTTTTTTTTTTTACCCTGTCTGAACTCTTAATGTAAAATATTCATTCAGGTTACAAGTCCAGGTGCAAGTTGGGAATGATATTTAAAGTAGAAGATAAATATTATTTGATATATTTCATGTTTTCATATTTCCAATTTTTTTTTTTTAACATCATATCATCATACATTAAATTTCGTCATCCGTTTCTGTTCCCTCACTCAGATCGTCTCCGTCATCTTCATCTTCATCGGATTCGCCCTCATCCACTTCACTGTCATCCGCCTCCCGGTCATCGTCAAGACCGGGAATCCCCCGCCAGTGCACATAATCCCCCTCCAGCCAGCGCCGACTCCGGGGCAGCTGGTAAGGATCAAACGGGAAATACGCATCCAGCTGATAGCCGAGATCATCCCCGGCGCGGGTCTCGCGCTCGACTTGGCTAAAGCGCGGGTCAGCCAGCGCAGCAAGGTTGCGATAAGCCGACATGCGGAGACGCTTGTTGGTCTCGAGGATGCTGAAGACGTAAATGAAGTTGAAGTGCTGCGACATCCGGGCGAACTGGGATACAATGGCCGGGGAGCACACTTTGAGTGGGTTTAGTTTGGAATGGATCGCGCTGTGAAGAACGTCTTTGACATTGGGCGGGAAGATAATGTCTTCCGGTTCGAGGTCGTCGATTTGGTCCAGCGAGTCGCCGTCGATAGCCGCCGTCGTGAGATCGCGCCAGCGGAAGCAGAAGATGTAAAGGAGGGCTTGGGCGGTGGAGTAGAAGGGGCCGAAGCGGCGGAGGTCCGGCCCACGGCAGCTGGCCTCGTAGTCCATGCGAAGGTTGTTCAGATGCGTGCCGAGCAGGTCGAACACATCGCGTACCACCTCGCCGGAAATGTGGGCGCCGCGGGCGACGAAGCTGGCGAGGTAGGCCGCGGCAGATTGCCGCAGGATGGCGGGTTGGGCTTTGTTAAAGATAATCTGGACGCAGGTGGCTGCAAAGCGGTCGACCAGGATCGGGGAGCATTGGGAGAAGTGGAAGAGGAGGAACTGGGAGTGGCGGGAGCGGTAGGTAGGAAGGATGATGGTCTGGAAATGGCTGAGGAGAAGGTCCAGCGCATTCTCCTTATCATCGATGGTGCCCGACGTGAAAGGCGGCGCGTAGTATTCAAACAGGGTATCAATCATGCCATCAAGTTTGAGAATATTTTCCTTGATATTTTTCACTCGTCGGGATTCTTCGTCGACGGAATCGTCACTGAGAACGGATGCATTATCGTCGTCATCATCGGGGTCTTCTCCATACATCACAGCCTCGGGGGAAATGTCGTGTAGAACGTCCTCCCCCTCGTCGTCTTCGAGGTCTTCCATATCCACTTGGATCTGTACATCGATCTTGACGAGCTTCTCGGTCACGAGAGCAAGGATATCTGCTTGCAGTTCGGGGGTGTAGCTGATGATCCGGATGATATTTTGCGTGTATGCGATGTTGGCTCTGGCGGAGTCGGTATCAAAGGGGAATTGCGAAGACAAAATCGGTGAGAGAGACCCGCTCCCCGATGGAACCAGCTGCATTACATGGCGAAGCGCCATATGAACTCGGGTGTAGACCTCGGAGGCATGGACAAGTGGATACCCCGGCACTTTGCCGGAGCCCTTGGGGAGCTCCCCCAAGTGGTTGGCAAGCATCTTCAGCACAGACCCCAGATAGCTTCCCTGGGCCGCAGAAAGATTACCCAGGAAGCGAATGTACAGCTTCACGTACGACTCATCGCGACCGAGCCACTCACTATTCAGAACAGCCTGGACCAGCCCGTTGCAGCTGCGATCCAAAGACGCCACATTTGACAGAAGCCCCATAAGATGATGTTTCAAGGTATGATGAGTAGGTACATTCATTGCTACCATGCCATTCTTCTCCCGGCGTCGGGGATCGATGGTGAAGATCTCCTTCACGCGATCATAGGCTTCACTATCGCCGCCCGAGACATGCCTATGGACCGCCCTTCGCACTTCTTCGCGCACCACAGCCGCACTTTTATCCGCGGTTTGTGTTCCTTGTGCTTTATCGACGTATGGAATCTCTCGCATCTCCACATCCTCGTCAAACTGGACCCGAGCCTTCTTCCGTGGACTGGGCGGCTCCTCGACGTCGGACGCGATGGACGACGCGGGAGACAGCGACAGATCCAACTCCTCCATTTTGTGTTTTACCCCGGCCGTAGAGTTTGGTGTTTTAGATGTCTTCAATATCGGCACTGGCGAAGACGCCGCCAGCATTTTAGAGGGAGTCTTGGGTCCCGTCACTGGGCCACACGGAGCACTTGCGAGGGAGACCATGACAGGATCAACTGAGGTACTCAAATCTAGGCTTCTGGAGAGACAAATACAGTGCCTAAATGTCCTTCATTTGCTGCACTTCCAGAGGCAGGCAGTGGAGGATGGATAACAAAGAGAAAGACGGGGGATGTAAGCACACGACACGGCACGAGGGGGTGCGAGTCCAATCCCCTTCAAAAGTCTTGTTGGGCTACAGATTATAGGCGCTCTGGGAGGACTGAGGCACCAAAAACAGCTTCATCTGTGCATCCAACACACTCCCAGGCTAGTCAGAAGGTGAATGTGTTTGGAGGGAGATGGCAGCCTAGAGAGAAAAGGATGAAAAAAAAAATCTTCCGGCAGGTCAGAAGAAGAGACTGGCTGGGTCTTTGAAGCGGAGAAGAAAAGAAAAAAGCGGATTCAGACTCGAAATTTTTTTGTGGGGCATATTGTGGAGCCTCAGGCCGCGAGACCCGTGACCGGCGCGTGACCAACGCGTGATCGTAACTTCTCACAAACCCTACGCTTTACTGAATTGGGTTATATTGGGTGCATACTTCTAGTCTGGGGATTAAGAATCCCCAAATATTCTTCATTCGTAGCACTAGCACTAGAAAATAAAGGATTGCTGAGAATCCATGACATATCCCATAAAATTGAAAACTAAAGGAAAAAAAAAAAAAAAAAAAAGCGACGGGGGAGGGGATAATGTCGAGTAACGAACACTCCCGTGGTATATAACAAGCAAAAGGGGGGGAAATGCCACTTAAATGACCAATCATTAAAGAGTGAAAATCAGTTGGTCGTAATAGACACCCGCAGGGAGAAGGAACACCCAGGTTCTCTTCATCACTAATCAGGAGCGAGTCATCAAACAGGCCCTTGGAGAATAGAAACTTATAGCCAGGACGTCGATGCGAGCGGCCCCAGCCGATCGTTGAAGATACTACCGTAAAGGTCGTCGATCTCCACGAGATAGTCGTCTACTGTAAACTTCCGAAGCCCTTTGCTGTGCAGAACGCGCTCCTCCTCGTCAAATAGAGGCGCCCCACCGAACTCCTCGACCACCTCGTTGACCTGTTCCAGCTCTTTTCCAAATGGATGGGGCTCCGCGTTATAGTAGTCAAGCGATAGTCGGGTCGGGGGAGTGCTGCGGACGGAGTTCAATGGCGGAGGAGACATCCGCGACACGGATCGTTTGCGGGCCAACTCTTGATGTGTTCGCTTCGTATGCGAGAGCGCGCGCTTAGGTATCAGGGGGGCCTCTGTAGAGGAAGCGGTCGATGTTGAGCGGCTGTGGCTTGTCACGGTCGCAGAACGCTTGGGGAAGTAGCCAGACAGCGGGTTGGGTTCGATTGGAGAGACTTCCGGTGTCGTGGTCGGCGACGGGAAACTGCGCTGGGTAAAAGAAAGTTCAGAGTCCTCGGGCGACTGCAACGACGAAGTCGACGACGAAGAAGAAGCTGGGTGGATATCGGGAGCATTGTAGGCGAGCATGTTGGTGGTGGACAACAATTCAACTGGCGCAGAGATCTTGCCCCGCTTGATGGTGCCTGCGGAGAATTTGACTTGGCCCTCACGATAGGGCATGGGGGCAGAGACCTCGGGGCGCTTGTTGCGCTTGGTAAAAGCTCGAGTTAGAGTCGACATGGTGTAGAATCCAAAGATAAATCACGCCGGGCAATAACACATGAAGCTGCGACAAGTCGCCAGTGCAGATATGTGTTTGTTTATATTGAGATTTCTGTTTTAGGTCTCAAATTAATTTGATCACTTGTCACTTGCTTTCCTATTTTTAGCGGCTCTCAATGGTCGTTTGCGATACTTCCAAACAGCGTGAACAAGCCGAAGAATGTGTGGTGGACGATCGCGGGAGTGTCGAGTGGTGGAGAGAAAGAATGGAAGATTGATCAATGGAATGTCCGTTATCAGATTCAGGGTTCAATATCACAAAATCGCTTTTGGTCTTGTCTCTTGATAAATGAGTGTAGAACTGAGGGTCCTTTATTCTTTCTTGCACAGCAGGAAAGGGGAAAAAAAATTCTGGGATAAGAAAGATGATGAAAAAGCCGGCACTGAGGATTGTGGGCTGTTTGACTCAAGGGGGAGGGGGGGAGATGAGTTGCTGCAGCAGCACCAAAAACCGTACAGTGAAAATCAGGGCGGACAACCAGGACACGCCGAGGAAAAGAAGTAGAAAAAGAGAAAGATAAAAAGAAGTCCTGGCGGACAGGAGAGCAGGAAGAAAGGAAGGTATCCAGGAGGTCCGATCAAGGACTGAGAGAAGGGGAAAGGAGAGGAAGAAGGAATGGGAGAAGAGAGAGAAGAAGGAAATGAAAGGAAGCGAAGGGCAGGAGTTAGAGATAACCACCGGGTCTTTGGTTCACGTTAGACTTTTCTCTTTCTAATTATTTTCAAAAGAACCACTGGATCTTGAATATCCAACCCATGGAATGGAACCTTTTCTTACAATTTTATTCATCTTTGGATTTTTTTCTTTTTTTACCTGGGTATGATGATGTACATAGTCCACCACTATAGGTATCACACTTCCAACGCAGTAGGAAAATAGCCAACGAGAATCATCCTGATGATTGGAAGGACCTTCCCGATCCCCTCATATATCCGGGCTGGAATCACAAGAAGAACTAATCAATCTCATCCACTCACAGTCTCGCCTCCCGTCTTTTCTGCATGCTTGCTTTGGCGCCAGGTCGGTTTTGGCGCCAGGAACGGGAAAGCGGGCACCCTGAGAAACGCCCAACTGCCTCGAATTGATGGGGATGAAACCGCCTTTTCCCGCTGGACTCGTCTCAGAGCCAGGATTGTGTGCCGGTGGCGTACGGAGGATTCTCTGAATTCTATGCGAGGGGGTTCTGTGTATGTTCAGTGCTCTGTATATGACAGTGGCCACGGCACCTTGAGAAGAACAGCCTCGCTCTGTCAAACAAGGGCAATCAATAACTAATGATCAAGGTCTTGACAGAGAATCTTGGACTCTAGTCTCTTGGTGGCCAGGTGGGTCGTCGCCCAAATCTCCACCCAGCCTTGTACGGATAAGTCCAGGCATACCATCTGGCTGTCAACCTATTATATTTAGCCACTGGACATGATATGTAGGAACAACGCATCTCAAAAGCGAACCTCTGCAGCTGAAAATGGATGAACAACAAGAAACTGCCAGTTCTAGGCACCTGATACGTCCAGGCCATGTGTCATATTTGCCTCTGCTCTGATTGATCTAAACTACGCGGTGTTGGTGTGATGTTAATTAAGATATCCCCCGTACGATCTCCGGCCTCCACGGGGATCCTTCCCAAGCACCGAATAAGATCTTCAACCTATCCGTACCTACGGAGTACCTCCTATATTATACGGGAGTACGATACTCTGTACCTAGAGAAGAAATAAATAAATTCATTTCGGGCAGTGATTTTGTACACGTGATGCCCAATTGGGAAGTTTTGGTGATGGATCGATCGATCACATGATGATGTCTGCAACCGGCAAGTCGGTTGATTTGATTTGATTTTATGGATCATATCATATCATATCCTCGATTGTATACAGTATAACTTCATTTTTACTCTCCGTAGACGGACATGTCTTCATTTCAGGAGAGAGAGAAAAAAAAAAAAAAAAAAAGAGGCTGGTTGTCGGAATCAGTATGCATTCCAAACCAGTTGTCTACACTCTCCCACATTCCCGACGCTGAGATAATAGGAACTGACGCAGAATAAAGGCTCGTGATTTAGATTTATTGAATCGGATCGGATCGGTGGTTGAATGGGTATCTCAACTTTTCATTGAATGTCTCACTTCCCTCCTTTTTGGTTTTTTTGGTGTTTTTTTTTAAAAAAAAAAAAAAAAAAAAAAGACCCAAGAAGCACCGCTATGTAGAAATCGTCTCAATATTCTAATTTCCAGTCATCAAGAAAGCAATTTTAATACGGAATTTAATCCTCTTCCATCGACTCCCAGCCATCTTGTCCCTCACCGCCTCCAATCTCTGGTGCTCCGTCATCATCGGACTCATCCTGATCAGGTTGCATCCCTATCATACGCTCCTGCACATCACCCGCCAACGAGGGCATCCGCGAGACAAAGGCCCGACGCACCGCGCCGTTGGTGGAAGTATCCCAGATCTGGACCACGCCCTTGCTTCCCGCCACCGCCAGCCGGAAGCCCACCGCGGCATCCGGAGCAAAAGTGGTGGAGAACACCTTGCCGACCTCCAGCTTGCGCGACACAACCATGCTAGGCTTGTCGTTCTCAATGTTCCAGAGCTTGACTTGCTTGTCCGTTGACCCGGTAACCAGGAAACCCGGGATGCTGGCGTTGATGTCGAAGGCGGACACCGACGAGTCGTGTGCCTGTAAGGACCACACAGGCTTCGACTCCTTCGGGGTGGCGGGCACGTTCCGCACATCATATCGATAAACCATACCGCCGTCAGTGGTCACGTAGAAATAGTTAGGGTCGTGGACGTCCCAGCGCACGTTCTCAACATCCGTGTCGACACCCCAGCGGGCCTTGGCGTCGGGGGCTCTCATATCTGCCGCGACGACGGTGCGGTCGTAGCTACCGGTCAGAAGGACCGTCGACTCCTTCGGGTGCCAGTCCAGGGAGCACACCTTGTCTGTGTGGTGCGCGTAGGATTTGGCGCACTTGGCGGTGTTCAGATCCCAGAGCTTAACCGTGCGGTCGGCCGAACCGGAAGCCAAGAGGTTACGGTGTTGTCGGTTCGCAGCGAGAGCGAGGATGGAATCAACGTGGAACTCCTCGTTGGCTTTGGACTTCTTTTGCTTCTTCTTGGACTTTCTGGGGTCGGCTTCCATCTCCGCGCCACCCTGGCCCAGAATGGCATTGGGATACATGCAGTCCACAACGTCCAAATCCCAGATCTCGATATCGGGCTCCATAGTTCCCACGGCGACAAAGTTACCGGTGGTGCGTCCCTCGGCGTTTTTTCCGACTGGGAAATCCAACCATTCGAGGCAGAGAGGGATAGCCGGCAGCATGATATCGTGGTGCACGTAGAGATTATCCGCCTCGTCCTCGTAGACGTAGACTTCCAGGTGCGCCACCTCATCCTCAATCTTCCCCGCAAGCAGCAAATTATCCATCGGAAGAATCTGGAGTTCCTCTCTCTCTTCATCATCCTCTTCCTCGGGGACAACCAGGTACGGGTCCTCCTCGTTAGGCTGGTGGTATGCCAACGACTTGACATTGCCGAACATGGTGACCTTCTCGCCATCCTCGTCCACTTCATCGCTATCGTAGTGATCAAGGTCGTATTCCTTTAAATCGTCATCGTCGTTACTACAGCCTCCAATTAGCTTTCTCATCCTATCTCAGTTCAGAAATGCCAGTGAAAACATACACCTTACTCTCCGTAGCATCCTTCTTCTCTGTCTTCTTCTCCGCATCATCATCATCATCCTCCTCCATCACATCCCCATCCTTCTCATCGTGCTCTCCATTTTCCCGTTCCTGAGCGGCACTCAATTCCTCCCGCGCATCCTCGAGCTGCATTCTCGCAAGCTTCGATATGCGATTCATCTCCTCCTCATCGATTTCATATTTCGTCGGGAACTGCGCTGCCACACCGCGGCGCACCCAAGCGGAGGTAGTAATCATAGACATCGTAAATTCAGAAAAAAAATCAAAAATAAAATTAAGAAAAAAATCCCGACACAGAAAAAAGTGTGGGATTCCGAGTCAAAAATAAAATCCCCGGAAGTGAAATCTATATTTCTTCAATTCACCCCTCCACAAAAGCCTTCGAAAAGCGAGAGAGAGAGAGAGAGAGAGAGAGAGAGAGAGATTCTTGTAGATTTTTTTTCCCCGCCCCGAAACCCACTCGGCAGAATTTCTTCACCGACGCTTTCACCGCCTGGAATTTGGACCGGAGATTTCCTCTCTGAACCGACTCACGCATCGGATGATCTACTAATTTACCTAGTTCTAACTTCTAGTACGAAGGTAGTGGCTACAGCTCGACCTTTCACTTCCAGTTATCGATTGATCGATTGATTGATTGATTGATTGATTGATCGCTTACTAGCAAAAAAGAAAAGCGCGACCCATACATTTACACAGACGCAATACGAAACTACTACATCCCAAAATGCATTCCCACCTCCACACAGCATACAACATTAGTGCGTTCAATTTATTCAAGAAACCCTCCCTTGCAAAAAAAAAAAAAAACAAACAAACAAACCCAATGCCTGTCTTCTAACAATCACTAGACTGCGAGGAAATCATGACCGCCCTCGATGAATGCCATGCCCGCGGATTCATCTACAAAGCACTCGGAAATTGCAACGATATCAAACGCGAAGTGAACCGCTGTCTTGCTGGGGAGCGGTACGAACGGGCAAAGCACAACCGCGACCAGGCGAAAGAGAAACGCAAGCGAATCGAGAAGATCTGGGCGGATGAGAGGGCTTTGGAGATGGGTGGTGGTTCTGCCGGTGCTACTAACACTGGTGCTGGGAATGGGGAGAAGTAGTGATTCTTTTTCTTCTCTTTATTTTTTTTTTCTTTTGTCGGTTCTACGTTGTTTTGTATGAGGTTGAGATTGTGGCAGTAGAGAGAGAGAGAGAGAGAGAGAGAGTGTGTGTGTGTGTGTGTGTATATTAATTGTATTTTACATGGCGGGTTGGGCGGTGCCCGGCGTTTATTATATTATTCTACGAGGATTATGTAGTGTATGTATGTATGTATGTATGTATGTATATCAATGGCTGGCAGAAGTTATGTGAGAATGCTTCGGAAAATGCATATACATTGTTGCTACTTGTACTTTATAATGGACCTATTTTTGTCCCCCCAAACGCCGTACATAATAAGTAAAACGGTAGAAGAACGATAAAAAGAAATCACTCTAGACGGAAGAAGGCATTCAGTCATCTGCCGAGTCCACTGCTGCTACCACCGCTTCACTCTCCCCCGGCGCATCTGCGGACTCGGTTGGCTTCACACTCTTATGATGGCGTCGTCGCCTCTTAGCCTTGGGCGCAGCATCTCCATCCTCCCCTGACCCCTCAGCCGCATCCCTCTCCTCCAGGTCATCTCTGACTCTCTCCTTCTTCAAACCAGACGCAGCCTCTGCATTCTCATTCGCCCTCTTCTTCGGCTTCTTCATACTCAACGGATTCGGCGCCTTGGCCTTCCTTGGGTCCTTCTTCTTTGTCTTCTCACTCTGGTCTCCCTGGCTCTTATCCTTCTCCTCGCCCCGCTTCTGATTCAACCCAACCCGGAACTTATCCTGCTCCACACCTTCCCTTATACCCTCTGATGGCGAGCTCATCGGTTCCAAGATCATCACCGAGCGCTTAACATACACAATTGGCACACCCGGGATAGACCGTGCTCCACGGCGAAGCATCTGGGCGCGCTTGAGCGCCTCAAACGCTTCCTCGGCAGCTGGGTCACGCTTTCGCTTCTTCCCCGGTGCTTGGGAGTTGGACTGTTTCGGGGCTGGCGGGTCGGAGGTCGCAAGGGTGTAGTGCTCCTTGTTTCGTTTGACGTCTGTTGTCGGGGAGAGGAGGGAGAGGAGACAGCTTGTTTCATCGATTGGGGTGGAGTCTTGGTTGTGCGAGCAATGGCGGAGGGGGAGCGTGGTTGGGGGTGGGAGGTGTTCGGGGCGGATGGGGTTGTTAGTGCGCGGGTGTAGGGGTTGAGAGGCCATGATTGCAGCCAGAGAGCATTTTGTCAATACTGGATGAATAGACGTATTCGTTAGATCGGATTGACGGGTTTGTACAAGTGATATGAAGGTATCTGGAATTATGAAGGCATGGTTTGGGATGCGAAGGGAACGTACATGGCTTGACTTTGCCCTGGAGGGTACGTTCCAGCGCTGGGATTAGGTCCATCTTGAATGAATGTACCGCACGCAGGAAATTGGAGTCGACTGCGCATTTTGAAGTTAGCAATGAACTCTCCTCTCTGCAGGATGGAGGACATCTGGAACAAAATGCTACATACCAAGGACCTGGTAGGGCTCACGGAAACCAAATGTCAACTCATATTGGTGCATGAGCTTGCGATACTTCTTCGAACGTTTGGCCCTCATTTTGGCTGCTGACTGTATAAGGTTGGTTAACTGGTAAACGTACGCCTTTTGATCCCCGACGGATGGTTTTTTTTTTTTTTCCCTCTTTTTTTGCCGGGCGGAGGGGAGCTTGAAATATGGTCTGTGCACTGATATCTTTATCGAGTTGTTGGATGGACTATGGAGAGACCAAGTTAAAGCAAGCCTACCACTGAATTTATCTTACTTGAACCAATCAATACATTCCTAGGTGACTTGGGTAGATCTAATGATTACTGTTGTTTATATAGGGGAAGAATATGATCCAGGTCCTGGTGGAAGTAAAAAATTATACAAAAAAAAGGTCGACCCACGGGGGACTCGAACCCCCAACCTTTGCCTGTACTCCTCTCCGGAATGGGAAGGTAGGAGAGCAATGCTCTACCATTGAGCCAGCAGGCCTCCTGTATCGACTGGTGGGAGTTTTTGCATATATAACCCCGACCATAGTTTGACTGAATATAATATGACGTACATGGTAGCTGGCCAACCAGAATGTCTCCGAATCCTTTTATGGAGAAGAAGTAAGTCACAATGGCCGATACGAAAGAGTCAACAACACATTAAGAACCTCAAGAAACGGAGGATACAAGCAAGTATGTCAAGTCCTCAAGGGTGGTCTTGATCTCAATTTTATTGTGCTTGTCGACTTGATGCGTAGCAGTGGACAATGCCATAATTTCGGCTGCTGTCCCTTGGATTGATTACCCATGACTTCCACAGCAGTTAGTTCAAGACAGCGTATATCTACCCTGAGGCAAAGCTGTCTTGTACGTGATCATTATCGCTGCGTTATTTCTCGAAATTTCGATTGGCGTGAAGCCGAAAGACGTTTCGAACAAGATGGGGAAGATTGTAAGGATGACGATGGAAATCTTCTTCGAGACGAATCAAACAACCGATTTCAATTCTTAGAAGTTGCCCACATCTTACCCCATTCTCTCACTGCGGTTTCCTCTGGTGAAACGGACCTGTAATCTTCATAATCATCCTGTTAACATACATGGCTCGATAGAGCGATTCGAAAAAAAAAAAAAAAAAAAAAAAAAAAAGGCTCTCCGAATTCTAAATATGTTCAATCACGGAATTACCAATTTAATTGAATATCCGAAGATCGATAGCCCCATGAACGCTCTAACATTAGCGCATGACTATCGTCAGTTATTCGGCGCATTCAAGATATATTTCGAGCCCACAGGCAACCCAGATCAATAGAAGATGAATTCAACAGATCAGCGTCCCTTCTTCCGTGATCCATTGTTTCCTGTCGTTCAGACACTGACCCTCAGCCCAACCCGTATATCTCTGGAAATGTCCCCCTTTGCACCATTCAAGGAAAGAATCAAAGCCCTGGTCGGGGTTATTATCTTCGTAGACTTGCCAATGCCGCCTTATTAAAGGCTCTCTCAGTTTGGAGAAGGATTCAAACCAGGAATCCATGGTTATTTACACGGAGCCATAAATAAGTACCTGGAGAAAGTAGGAAGGATATGTATATATTACCTACATACATACACATTTAAAGAATATATATTCTTTATTTATTTATTTAGTACTTTACTACCAAGACCCGAACCAAAAAAAAAAAAAAAAAAAAAAAGAAAAAGAAAAAAAGAAATGCTCACACTCGGATTCGAACCGAGGATCTCATCATTACTAGTGATGCGCTTTACCAACTAAGCCATGCGAGCTGCTTGATGGTTACGGGTTCAGTAAAAGACTATATATAATAAATATATCACTTCTTACCTAGATACGGAATATACAGTCGGAGAGATGCAGGGAAGCGTCTGGCTTACCGTCCAGTGTGCAGGACAACCACTAGTTACTTCCAAGATGTGAAAACACACGAACGTCAGAATAACCAGGGGTGGTGGCCGTACCGACGGTGTATTCGAAGAATCTCCCTGGCTACTACTAGAGGATATCTGTGATCTGGGTCATGGAATATATTTGCAGCATACTGGTATTTCATTAGGTTGATCGCTTGAGTATTTGGTCAAAGCAGGTGGGGTATTTCGCGTGTGTAAGTTCATAATGATAGTGACCGGTCTAACTAAAATACGCAAAAAAAAAAAAAAAAAAAAAAAAAAAAAAAAAAAGTGAAATGCAACCGAATTATATATACCTATGACAGGACTCCTAGAGCTGGTCCTTCCATTTGTCACCCAGTTACTCCGTATGTATTACTCCATTGCCCGTCTATCAACTCCATATGCAAAGTGCTTCCAGTTCATCATATCGCGTCGTGTATAATTCTCAACATGGGTGAGATGGGAGAAAAGAGAACTGGGGGGGGATGGCTCGGTGGCTGTCGCTAGTTCTGTTCCGCTCTTTTCTTACATGCGCCAACAACCACGCTGATATCGTCCATCTTCCCTGTACAGTTATTAGTCGGGCGACGCCATACAAAGACCGATAAGTAGAACATACCACCCTGGATAGCTAACCCTTCATCGATCGCCTTCTCCATATAAGGACTCTCAGCAAATGGGTCCTGAGCCACCACGAGCGCAGCCTTGAGCAACTCCCGAGCCACAAACACCATTTGTTCCTCCGCCAGTAAAGCGGGCGGTGCCCAATCCAGCTCCTTGTCCTCGTATCGTTCCTGGTCCCATTTCCGAAGGCTCCCCAGCGTGACAGAGAGAATTTCGTGTTCCCAGAGATTATCAAGAACGCCATCCGAGACCCCAAGAACAATATCGCCCTCCTCGATGTCGACCAGCGACAGCACCGCGTTCTCCCGCGGCGTATCTACACTATTGGTACCCAGCTGCAGGGGACAGTCAAACCAGTGGTACTGTTCTTCGGTTCGAAAGAGGACCTTCTCCTCGCGCGGGCGGATGACCAGGACCTTGCAATCGCCGATATTGGTCACATAGAGCAGCGGCTTTACGACGCCGTCGGCGTCGTGAGTCTTATGTAGGAGTGCTGTGACGGAGGTTGTCGTTCCAAACCACTCGCTGGGGGACGTGGTCGCGCGCGTCGTCTCCTCGTAGGCTCGCTGGAGGTATTCGACGGGGTCTAGCTTTGTGTCGCCGTTCGGTATTCGTTCGATCTCCATAGCCCAGAAATGCAGGACCAGTCTAGACCAGAGTCTATTCCAAGAGGGTCAGTAAGGGGAGAAGAAGAAACACCCATAACAATTGACTTACGCCGCATGGCCTCGCGGCCTCGTTGCCCAGGCACCCACCCCATCATTCACCCCCAGGAAATTTTCCGTAACAAGAATTGCATCGTCGCCGTTATTCAGGCCGCGTACCAACTCCCCGTGAACGGATAATCTCTTATCCTGGCTTTGATAGTGCGTAGTGAGCGGGTCGGAGAAGGATGAGGATGGCGGGGACAGGAACGGTGGGGGGAAGGGTCGCGAAGTCCGTTTGGCGCATAGCGCGTACCCCGTCTGAAAATAGAATGGAGATCTGCTGATGGGGAACTGGGGGTGACGGTCGGGAAACGGGGTGGTTATGCCGTAGGAAGGCCAAACGGTGCGATGGTATCGCCTCTTCGAGACCCTAGCCCAGTGGGGGGAGGATGAGGACGGGGCTGTTACCAACAGCCGCGATGACGAGCACGACGACGAGGACAAGGACGATACTGCTGTGGAGGGAGTTGCGGGTATCCTCAGCACCATGCCAGCAAGACGAGGACTTGTTAATATATATCAATTTTTTTCCCCGGTAGATTTTCACTCTCCACAGAAGCCTGGATATGAACCAGCACGAGTGGGATGTGGGAGGTAGATTCCTTACCCGGAGCGAGGGAGAGGAATGGTTGTCGAATTTTTTTTTTTTTAACTTAGGGGGAAAACTAGAGCGACGAATACGATGATCCAGACAGACGATAGACAGCTTTAGTTCGATCCATAAACCAGTATGTCGGGGATACCCGAAACACACCTACTATATATATGGCGATAGTCTCATATCTACCCCGTAGTTTCTAGACCCCGGTGACTCTGTTGAGGCAGGAATTATCGTGTTGAGACTTCTCTCACCTCACACGGACTCTTCTCCGTGCTCTATCTATCATGTGCTTCAACACACTTAGATGGTGGTATGATTGGATTTACTTTCAATACTAATACAAGGATCGCGTTATGCACAGAAATAAGCACCAGGGGCATCATGTGTGTGGCCATAAATGTAATGGTAAATCGATTCTGTTTCGTTTGTAGATTTCCTTCCTCCTGCAACCATGATCAACCTGCTACTTCCCGGAGAATTCATTCTCTTTGTCCCTTGTCCGACCGGTGTCTTCCAATCAGGTTTCAATACCCTTTCCTCCCCCCCGGCATTCCAGAGCACCACCTCCTTGTGAACTTCAGATCGGGTTGCCGTCCGAGGTAGTGGCTTCTAGCCTCTGCTTCCTGATCTCCTCCATAAAAACCACCAGTGCACGATCCATCTCCGCAACGATCGAGATGCTATTCACATCAGCCCGAAGAGAAGCTATCCCTTGGAAGATTGCCCTGGCTAGGATACTGCATCGGAGGCCAAATGGCAATAGAGCAACACTTCTTCGACGTTTTGCTACCATAAGGCTCAGCTTCTGCTCAGAACAGGGGCAGTGACGCTCGACATCGAGGGTGCAGTCCCAAGCACAGGTACACACTGAGCGGCAAATACACTTGCGTCCACGGACGAGGTCGATTAGACGTCGCTGATTATCCTCGCGGCGCACGTCGCCTATGCATTTGCCTTCCAGCTTCGCCAATGTAGCCAGACGATTATCAACAATGACCTCGCGCTCCCAGATATCCACGCTAAAAGTATGTGGGTCGATAAATGGAAGGTCTAAAGTGGGAACCACCTGATGGACCGCCCTCCGTGGTATAAAGGCGAGATACTTTTCAGACTGGATTGTAAGAACCTCCTCTGTCGGCATCTGATACATCATCGAAGCTTTGCTCCATTTTCGACAGAATTCAGACGATTTCTCGTTGATAATACTCAGTACATATCGCCTGTATCCAACGAGATCGTCCAAGATGAAGCCTACGCTATCCAGCTTGTTCATGGATCGGCGAATAAATTGGACTTGGTGTTGTTTCACGAGCTCTTTGTTGATGTGACTGCATACGTAAGGATCGTCAAGGGCCCTTTTGCAGACGAGCAGGATCCTGCATAGCTGAGCAGGTTCAGGGAGAATGAACGAGTTGTAAGTGGCTAGATGTCGGACCTCTAGGGTAAATGTGGAACACAGTTCAACACTGGCGATTTCCATGATGAGCCTCGCATACACCGCATAATATAAACTCTCTGTGCTGTCGATAAGTTCCACGATTGAGTTGGATTTGACGAGTTCCTCTGCGCGCCTGAGGTGAGACAAAATGCCATCTGGAAGGTCCTCTAACTATACGGAGGAAATCGACACCATCAGCCATATCCAAAGAAGAGGAGCTGCACCACAAATACATACATCGACCCCATAGTGCAGGAAAGCCATCATCACAATCTTCGAGACAGTGTAAACCCTGGAGTAAACTGACAGCACACTATGCAGCCACTCAGATATGTCCTCGTCGGCGGTTTCGTCCAAATACTTGACGGCGGAGGAGAAGATGTTCCAGTCGGGCGAGCTCACGTTGTAAGGAAGTGCAGGGTACTCAACAGGTGCCATAAGCTAACCTCTTAGTGACGCGTCCAAGATTACAGCGCAGCGTTTTGAATAGCTTACCGCCGATGTGTACGAAGCAGACGTGCTATTAGACGATCGCAGTCTCTGATTCTCTTCCTCGAGCAACTCTTGCGAGTACTTGTAGAATCCATCCGTGTGGTCATCGATTTGGGAGGAGTCGAAAAAGCTCGATATGGAACTTTCCCTCCTTGTCAGAGATGTGCGTTTTGGGAAGAGCTTGCGCAAAGCCAGTTCCCAGAGGTAGGAGGCTGACCTTTGTCCGGATCCCATCTTGACCTGTAGGCGATGATTAATGAGAGGAGGAGTGTGTGGGAAAAGGAACTGTTTGGAGGAAGATATTCATGTAAAGAAGAAAAGGAAAATAGGTGAGTAACAGTATAACTACTATTAGTGAATGATGGTGAGTGAATAAAGAGATTATGGTGAATAGCTGAGTGAATAGCTGAGTGACAGTGAGGTTTGAATTGTTATTCTTGTGACTGGAAAGCACACCTGCCTTTTTTTGACCTACCTCAAGCAAATGATCAAGATCAAGAGATATATTACTATTCTGTCTCCTCTGATATTGTAACAATGTCTCTTATGAGTTGGCATGATAATCTTCATTGGATAAATTAGTATTAAAAGTAGCAGATGGGTATTAACATCAGAAATAAAGCTCAACGGCCTGGACAGAAAATTTCAGACTCGCCGCCGTTTAATGAAAGACACAATGCTATGATATGAAATGATGCCAGTTTCTCCTTTCGTACTCCACTTTATGCAGCAGGTAAAAGAAACGAGATCGAAGCAAGAACAGGACCCTGCGACAGGGTATAAAGGATAATAACCTAAGACCACCTGGGGTCAACCTCAATGGCAGAATTCTCGTTGTAGAGCGAGTACGGCAAAATGACTTCGGGGATACCCCAGAGTGCTCTGTTCGCCCTATCGATATACTCGGATGGAATGTTCGCGCTTTCACTAAAGGATAGGGACTGGAAATCATGTGTTAGTACCGTTATCTGGAGAAAATGATAGATAAATTATGGGAATTTAGCATCGGACTATACTCACTTGCAAGTTTGCCAGGCCTCTAACCCATTCCAGCCCAAAGTCACAGATACCCCCTGGCAGGTCTTCGTATTCTTCGATTGAGTGTGAGAGGAGTCGATGACAATGCTCGAGCCAGAGGATCTTAAGTTTTGCGCCGGGGGCTACGCTGTCGATCTGCGTCATCGCCTCGCCTGAATCGCTTTCTATTCCTCCTAGCCAGTTCAAAAACTCGGGCTGGGCGCCTCGACAGGTCCTGAGTTTCAAGACGGTCAAGTTGGGGTTATTCTTGACAAGCATGATCAACTGCCATGGCGTGATACCTGCACGCTCCATGATTAACGTTTCTAAGTTACAAAGCCCTATATTCTTGTATCGGCCAACCCCCACAAGCATATTCCATGCCTCACTTCCAGGAGCAGGATGGAGCCAGGTACTTGGCCTAACGGGTCCATCCCTGATGTGTGCATGTTCGAAACGCAAAGCCAGGTGACGAAGGCTGTGCTGACAGTTCAACCCTAGCGCCTTTGCACCGTCCAGATCCAAGTCGTAGGCCATGAATTCAAGATTTAACAGCGTCGGCCCATATCGAGTCAGTACTCTGGTGAAGATTAGGTTCTGGGCTCGGATTAATTGTTCCAGGGTCCAGCTTTTGCTCCGAGGGATTGGAACACATCTCCTAGAGTTGATGGTGCGGTAGGGGTGTTTGTACCATAACTCCTGATGCACTGGCTTATTCTCAGGCTGGATCACGGAAATGATGTAGCTACTCCCGTGCTCATTGTTCCTCCGAGCACATGCTAATTGATCTGGGGTAGCCCATCCCGCCTGGAGCAGGGAAATCGTCGAATGCACTCGTTTCTCGAAAACACCTAGCCTTAAACGCTTAAGACTGAGAATATGATAATTGTAGTTGGCACGAGAGGTTTCGCCAAATGCGAGGAGAGTTTCGCAAGGAAGATAAGAGAGAATGTGGAGAACTATCTCCAGGGGTAAAGATTTGATTTTGTCCATCCTAGTTGGAGTACAGCCTTGAGTTTTAAGCTGTGAGGTTACTTTGTGTGTTTTTGTTATCGAGAGTCTTCCTTTTTTGTTCAAACATGAACACTCCATGAGGCCCGGCACACGCCGGTTGCTTATAATCGACCACAATCCATAGGCGGATCAGAAATTTTCATATCGACGCTCTTATTTGAATCCCGTTGGTCCAAGAGGTTCCAAAAGGCTGACTAGCATACGCGGCAAAGTCTTCTGAGTAGGTGAGATAGACAACCAGGTGAGGTGAACAGGTGCGAACCAAAGTTTGTGTGTGTACTGCTTTGTACTTCGAGGCAACTTGGGATATAAAATTCCTGAAGGAATCAAACCAAGGTGCATCTGACAATAAAATGAACTTTCAACTCACGGTTGGTTCGTGAGATACCTAGACTAGGTATGACAGACGAGAACTCCGTCTCCTTGGGCGGCGGGGGGTGTTCGTAGATTTGTCGGTCTCCAGCATTCTCCGAATCCCCGCCGTGACCAGGTAAGGGGGAGGGAATATGATGATCAAGTGAAATCGGTAGACAATTTAACAAAGAAGTTCGGAGTACGCCGTACGGGAGATCTGATTTTCCTAAATAAATTAAGAGCAAAAGCAATTTGCTCTGGAGATGACCTGTCAAATCCCAAGTATTTGGAGCGGAGCTTCGCAACCCTAAGCATATCGGCGGAACACCTTGCTAAAACCCTCTGGTTCAGCTGGTTAGATGTTGGAGGAAGCATTTTTTGTGTCTATTTGTTCCATACATCAAAATTCGCATCAGGAGGGACGTTAGGTGGCATCGCGCACATTACGTATCCAGGATGACCATTTTCTCCCCCTGATCTCCTCGTATCGCTGACAGTACAAAAGCAAATACCACGAAGGAGTCCTGGAGGGAGTATCGTCACGCATTATTCCGTGAATCCGTATTAGAGTCTCAATGAAACCTTGAAACTTGCGCTCCAAGTCAAGAAGACGGTCGGTATTTTACCATGTCGCCAATGAATTATTTCGAAATCCACGGGTTCTTGTACGAGCAATGCCTTGACGCTACCAAAGTCCAATCTATTTTCAAACTGCAACAAAATGGAGCAGGGGGTTACCCATACCATTGTCTGCGAGGTAGGACCGGAGGACGCTGATAGTTTCTTGTCTTGTCATAGCCGTGCGATATTGAACCATTCCGCTGGGACCAATGAACCAATTGAAGTATTCTCCCGCTGCGTTCTGCTTCAAGGGCTTCAAGGGAGATGATATTCGGCCCCTCACCTACGGAGTACCTATGCTGAGTGGTGCCGAGACTGCCCCTAAAAGTGAGCTGTCAAAAACCGCCATTTACTTATGGATAGGATGGAATTGTAGATGGATCCTCACCGAGAGCCCCTTGGACACCGGCACGATGGATGAACCCCGTGCTTACCCGATAATTTGGCTGCATTGTATCTGGATGTCCCACAGCGCTGAGGGAAAGGTTGTTGTCAAAGGGAGACATATGCAGGACGAGAGGGAATGTTGGGAGAAGGAAATGCTCGACGAAGACCAAAGGCGGGATTTGCTCTTTGAAGATGACTTGAAACACACTAATCTTGTGCAAAAAGAAAAAGAGAAACAGAAAAAGAAATTCTATTTCACAAGATGTGCTCGAAATAAATAGATTTGTCTGGTTCTTCCGTCACTAGTCCTAATCAAAGTAAACAATTCGGTAAATGATGGCCGTGAATGATCAAGTACCATGTAAATGGAAGAAGATGCGCTGCCTCCTTACTGACTACAGCCATCATTGTTTCCCCTTTTCATGTCACCCTTTTTGGCTACAAAATGTCCGCACTAGTCATTATTTGCAACCTACACGAGGAACAGCTGATATTTGGTTTGCCTATGTCGGAATGCTCCTATCCCGTTTTTCAGGGCACAATATACAAATAAAAGATAAGGATGTCATTGTTGTCTGTCCGGCTATGCCTGAACCCTGAAAGTACGTCCACTGGCGGTCTTCCTCTCCCGTTCCTCATTCTCGGGACGCGCTCGGTTGAGGACTATGATCCGTTAGTGAACTCCTAACCCCTCTAGCATCAAGTGTGAGACATACCTTGCAGGAAGTCGGCAGTGCGCTTGCGCATTCTTGTGTGGATGTATGCCTTGACAGAAAGGTAAGCAAATAATGTTCAGCTATCTCCCTGAAGGGTCGTGTTACCTTGGATGCCTTGATGTGGTAGTGGAAATAATCACGGAAGGTTTGGATGTGAGAAATGTTTTCCTGGCGTCGCTGTGGGGTCAAATGACGGGGGAAGAGAACTGCTCTCGGTCAGAACCTAAACACACATACAAGGTTGAACGGTATCTTACCAAAGGTGATGTAGCTGATCTTGCCCTCTCCAGAGTCCTGGAGACCAGGCACGCCCGCCAGCTCCAAGGGAGTATCGTTTCGGAAGAGCACTTGAGGTGCATTCTGCAGCGTCACAACTCGTCGTCGAGCATCGACGAATTCCTGCAAGAAGACCTTGCCAAAGATACGATCTGTCTCCTCCCGGAAGACTGTGCTGAAGATCACTGTGACCCGATCATGGCCAGCCTTGATGTAAATTGCTTCCTCCTCTCGATAATGGATCGCCATAACCTCTCCCCCTTCCTTGACCCCCTGGGGTGCTGATTCCGAGGTGTAGTGAGAGGCCTCCTCCGATAGCTTCGCGAACTCGTCGAATGCTCTTTCGAATGGGGCGGCCATTGCGTTCCGCTTTAGTAACGCAAGGCGCGTTATCAGATCGTCTTTTGCCTCCTGCTCAGCAGGAAGGTTTTCTAGGTCAATTAGGACGGAGAAGTCATAACCCGGCTCGGGGGTGACAATGTAAGGGCCGTATTCCCGTTCCAGGACCTGCTGGGCACCGTATTGAACCAATTCGCGGAAACATTTTACGTTGAGAGAGATGAGAATTTTTGTTTTGGACTCAGGGGTAGATAAATGGAACGTAACACCGTCGAAATCCGACACGATCTGGTCGATGGACACTGGCGGGGCTCTGGAGAAGCAAGCAAGCTGTCAGCTAGACCGATGGACATGCGTATGCACTTGGGGGGTAGGCGGCGATCGTAGAAGACGTACCCAGAGAACCGCTCGGTCAGAAGCGACCGGATCAGAACATTCTCATAGTCTAGTAAAAGCATTGTGACAACCGCACTGATCAATCGAACCTGGTTTCCTTTCCCTTCCTCTGCCTAAATGGAGTGAGTGACGTTTGTTGGTGGCTGGTGTCCGGGGGGGGAACACAGCAGGCGGTGAGAGACGCCCATTTTGGACCCTCTCGGTCCCCGTAATATTTGCGGTCGCTTTTTTGTGTCTATCGATAGCGATCACTTTCTCTGATTTTTTTCTTCCTCCCCTAAAGACAAAGACGTTTCGCAATGGTGAAGTCATATCTGTAAGTCCTGGATCTAATTCAGTCTGTCAATGGGCTCATTAAGTTGCGAATTGCTAATTTTTTTATAGAAAATTCGAGCATTCGAATACTTTCGGCCTCGTAACGTCCGCATCCTCGAATGCGATCTGGGTTCGGGACGATGATATCTTCGGTACTGCACGCCAGACAGGGTCTGGACGGGCTGTAGCGGGTGCGGGAGAGGAGGTTTTGTGCTGGGATATAAAGAAGGGGGAGTTGTTGGGGAAATGGAAAGACTCTGCGTGCAAGGCGCAGGTTACCGTGATTACCCAAAGCAAGACAGATGCGGATATTTTCGCTGTTGGGTAGGTGCATAGCGGATCCTAGTTTAAACGCGATCCGTTTACTGATACTATCTGCTTTTTATTGTAGATATGAAGATGGCAGCATCCGAATTTGGGACTCGAGAACTGCAACAGTGATTATCTCGTTCAACGGACACAAATCCGCTATTACCCAACTTGCGTTCGATAACGCTGGTGTACGTCTTGCAAGCGGCTCAAGGGATACAGATATTATTCTTTGGGACTTGATAGCAGAGGTTGGATTGTTCAAGCTACGCGGACACACTGATCAAGTCACCTCGCTCAATTTCCTTGTTCCGTCCCCCGAATTGCTCAACGAAGCTGGACTCAATGACCACGCTGGATTCTTGATAACAACCGGCAAGGATGCGCTGATTAAGATTTGGGATCTCGCTTCACAACATTGTATCGAGACACATGTTGCCCAGTCCAACGGAGAGTGCTGGAGTCTGGGTCTGGCTCCGGATCAGAGTGGTTGTATTACGGGAGGGAATGATGGAGAGCTCAAGGCCTGGTCGATCGATGAGAGCGCTATGATCGAGATTTCTAAAGAGAAGGCTGGATCAGAGAACCGCAAAATCCTCACCGACAGAGGGTCTTTCTACCGCAATGGAAAGGATCGCACCACCGGAATCAGTTTCCACCCAAAGGCAGACTATGTGGCATTCCATGGCGCAGAGAAGGCAGTAGAGATTTGGCGAATTCGCTCCGAGACTGAGGTTCAGAAGAGCTTGTCGAGAAAGCGCAAGAGGAGAAAGGAAAAAGAAGCTCAGCGGGCCACCGAGAACGGCGAGGATTCTGAAATAGTCGACAATGAAAAACCGGTGGAGGACGTTTCCGCCGCACCTGTGACCGAAGTCTTCGTCTCCTATGTTATTGTTCGTACAGGCGGAAAGGTCAGATCGTTCGATTGGATCAGAACAAAGTCGAGTGGAAAGCTTCAGCTTCTTGCAGCCACCACGAACAATCAGCTTGAGGCGTACAGTGTCGCTACCCTTAACAAGAAGAACAAGGATGATGAGGATATGGAATATAACCGAACTCTGGCAGTGGATATACCCGGTCACCGCACCGACATCAGGTCTGTTGCCCTGAGTTCAGATGACCGAATGCTGGCTTCCGCCTCTAATGGTAGTCTCAAAATCTGGAACGTCCGAACCCAGAACTGTCTGCGCACATTGGAATGCGGATATTCCCTGTGCTCTGCATTTCTTCCTGGTGACAAGATTGTCGTTATTGGTAACAAGGACGGAGAGCTCGAAGTCTTCGATATTGCATCCTCCACTCTTTTGGATACGATCAAGGCACATGATGGACCTGTTTGGTCTTTACAGGTGCACCCCGATGGCAAGTCCCTGGTGAGTGGTAGTGCCGATAAATCTGCCAAATTCTGGAACTTTCAGGTCGTTCAAGAAGAAATTCCGGGTACCAAGAGGACAACGCCACGACTCAAGCTGGTGCATTCAAGGACCCTTAAGGTCTCTGATGACATTCTCAATGTCCGCTTCTCACCCGATGCCCGCCTACTTGCCGTGGCTCTTCTCGACAATACAGTCAAGGTATTCTTCACGGATTCTCTAAAATTGTTCCTGAATCTCTACGGTCACAAGCTTCCTGTTCTAAACATGGACATATCCTACGACAGCAAGTTGATTGTCACCTGCTCAGCCGATAAGACAGTCCGTCTTTGGGGTCTGGACTTTGGTGATTGCCACAAGTCCTTCCTTGCCCACGAAGACAGTATCATGGCTGTCGCCTTCGTACCCAACAACAAGGAGGGTAATGGCCACAATTTCTTCAGTGCTAGTAAGGATCGTGTGATTAAATACTGGGACGGTGACAAGTTCGAACATATCCAAAAATTAGCTGGTCATCACGGTGAAATCTGGGCGATGACTATCAGCCACTCCGGAGAGTTCATTGTTACTGCTAGTCACGACAAGAGTCTTCGCACCTGGCAGCAAACTGACGAGCCACTATTCCTAGAAGAAGAGCGGGAGAAGGAACTTGAGGAGATCTACGACAACAACTTGGCAGCCTCTCTTGAGCAGGAGGAGGATGGAGATGGCGAGAAAGCCGAAGCCGTGGATGCCGGCAAGCAGACAACTGACACTCTCATGGCTGGAGAGAAGATTATGGAAGCTTTGGACTTGGGAATGGAAGATCTGGAGGTCGTGCGCGAGTGGCGCGCGCTCAAGGCAAAGCAGCCTAACGCCGCTCCTCCGTCCCGAAACCCACTTTATATCGCGCTGGGCAACATCTCTGCCGAGCAGCATCTTCTGAACGTTGTGCAAAGAATCCCCGCCGCTGCTCTCCAGGATGCACTACTTGTTCTTCCCTTCTCTAAAGTGTCTGCACTCTTCACCTTCCTCAACATTTGGGCCAGCCGGGAGTGGAACATCCCTCTAACCTGCCGTGTACTGTTCTTCATGCTCAAGACCCACCATCGCCAGATCATTGCAAGCAAGCTGATGAGGCCCATGCTGGACAGCATACGATCATCTCTTCGTCGGGTGCTCACACGCCAAAAGGATGAAATGGGGTTCAACATCTCCGCCTTGCAGTTCGTGGGCCAGCAAATCAAAGCGCACAGCACGAAGGACTACATCGACGAACAGGTCTGGGAGGAGCAAGACCGGCAGACGGGAACTGGCAAGAAGCGTGTATTCTCCAGTATTGCTTGATCAATACATGACTGACTGTATATTCGATAAAAATTTTTGTATACATGCATATGTGTCTGGCGTATTTGGATTGGTGGGCTACCAAAAAAAGTTCTATATATCCTTGGGGAGTTTAATGAGAATCTTTCAATCAATATACGATTCCAAGTCATTGATAGATGAGATAATCTCGAAATAAATTTCTAACATGTTCTATAAATAACTACGAAAAAGCCGATGGTGAACTGGAACCACTGAACCTGACAAAAACCATCCGAAGCCACAGGAGGCAACAATCGTATCAATCGAAAAAAAAAAAAAAAAAAAAAAAAAAAAAAAAAAAAAAAAAACGTTTCTATCAATCAAAGCACATTAGCACTCTCCACGGAAAATAAACCTCCAACAAAGAAAAGAAGCCCAATGCGCTGAAACATCAGAAGCACACCAAGCCAAACCACTATCCAATGCAATCCAATGCAATCCAAAATTGGATTGAAAGAATTGAATCCACAAACCAAAAACACCATTCAGCAGAACCTTTCTAAGCATCGACGACAAGGATTGCATTTATATACATATCCTGCCATACCTCTTCCGGCTCTTCCTAAAAATACCGGTTCTTGAAACAATGTTCTCATCATATTGGTGTTGGTTTTTCTGTGGGCGAAGTGGATTGGACGTGGTTTGGCTCGTCTTTTGTTGAATTTTAAGAAGGGGGGGGGGGGGGGGGGGGGAAGGGGAGCATACCAAGTTAATTAGTTTGTTTGTCGGGTACTGAGAAGCTGATTTATTGTGGAATGCTTTATCATTATGCGTGTGGTGGCAGCTTTTCGGGCTGTGTGGTGGTTGGTGTGGGAAAGAAGAGGAAGGAAATTAAAAGTGGGAATCAGAAGAAAAATTTCGTGGTTATAGCTCTGCTTAGTCATTTATTAGTCATGTAAGAAGGTGGGCGCTCTAGTTAACTAACTACTCGGAGTCGTATGTACCTATTTTGTTCATTTGCCCCCAGGGTAGAGCGATTCAACAGTTTCTGATTAATATACAGGCATTAAATTCCATCAGTCATTAATCATTGATAACTAGTTCAGACACCAAGTGTGTTTGTCAGTCCTAGTTCTCATGAAGCGGGCTTCATTGTTCCGCAGCCGGAGCATGTCCACCATTCGGTCTCCATGAAAGTGCCACAGGAGTGGCATAGCCATCCGAGAGGACGTTTCTGGGCATTACTTTCAAGAGCAGCAAGGCTTTCAACGGCACTTCTTCTATTCTTGAAGGTGTTATTGTATTCAACAGTATGGTCTACCGGGCGTTTGTTTCTATTCACAGGGCGCGATGCGTTAGATTCGGTCGTCGACGGCGGCTTTGGTGTAGAATGAGGGTTAGAAAGATGGGGTCTTTCAGCTGTGCAAGCGTCGCAGCATAGAAAATTGGCTGGGTTGATGAGTGTACAAGTAGGGCACATCCACGTAGTTTCCTGGAGGGTATCATCTGCTGTGAGGTCGACCGGCTCCTCTGACCGAGTTGGTAAGTGTGGTTTAGTATTCTGAGGAACCGGCGGAGGAGAAAGGCTTGCTCGAGGCCCTGCCGGATTGTCTTGGCTGGGTGGAATGTAAGATGGACCGTATCTTTCTCTTTCTTCCTCCTCAATCAGATCAATATAGACCTGCATAATCGCTCGCTCGTTTGCATCATCTTCCTCTGCCTTTGTTCGGAATCCATTTCTGGATGCTTCCTCGGCAAGTTCATTAGAATTCTCCGCTCCAGATGCACAGCCCTTGGTTACGTCTATGCGTCTTTGCGCCGCATCTGCAATAACTCTTCGCATGTCGCCTCCCCGCATAGTGGAGGCGCCTCCTAATCGCTGCCCTGAGCCAGCGGAGAAAAGTTGTCTCCGCTCTGCAGCCGCTCTAGCTTGCCTGCGGGCTTCATCGATGGGAATTTTTCTGCCCCCAAGACGTCTTCCATCAGAAAGGAACCCTTCTCCAGTGTATCCTTTGATGGCAAGCTCCGTATGTTCGTCACGTAGTTGATTCCAGAGAGCATGGAATTGTTGATTATGAGGTCCATGCACAATGTGACATAGCCTGAGTAGTTAGCAAGTTCAGGTATAAAACTGGTTAAAGTCACTTACTCGTGTAGCATGGTGTCTACAACCTGCTCGAGAGGCAGAAACTGGCCCTGGTCCCCCGGATACCGGAGGCGCAGGCATATTTTTTGCCCGGCGTTGACGTTGAGGCCAAGAAGGTTCTGTTGTTGGGGATAAAATTCGCAAAGGGTTCCAACCTTCCAGGAACGTCGACGCATAATTGGTTTTACCAGTGAGGCAATTTTCCGGAGAATCAGAAGGGCCTCGGATTCCCTCGGTCGATGCTTGTCGTGTTGGTACTCCTGTACCAGTGGATCTAATTCACGCATGGCTTGGGAAATGCAGAGTAAAGGAGAGCTGATGAGGACAGGGGACGCTGGAAAAAATGGGGATGAGAAATATAGTGATGGATAGAAGAAATGTTGAGTATGCGTTTTTCTTATCTAGTTAAAGAGTATTATGACAGCTAGGGGCCATTGGACCTGAATAGTAAGCAACCATCTCCCCTCAGCAAGACCTCCAAGAGAAGATGCCAGAACATCCCCAGAGAGGGAGTAATTCTAACCGTGTTTTCTTGCAAGATGTTTATTAATTCATCTGCAGGCATCAGCACAAGATCGCGGCCACTCACGTGATGTGACTGTTGCCTGAGGTATCAATATCTTCCAGCCCTTTATGCAGATATCCCCTTACAGAGGACCTAAATAAAGCATATTAAGTTGCTTTTTCTGCTATTCAGGCGAGTAATCTACTCCTGGACAGTTTATTTAGGAATTATGTTTGTTAACTACCTAGGTACCCAATTAACCAACTCCGTAGTTAGTTAGATGAATAAACGCATAGCTTAGTCATCCAATCAATAGTTCACACTCGTATATAACTACTTATCGGAGATCTCCCATCTTATCAAAATTTTGGGCTCTTCAACTCTACCAACTGACTGCAGCTTCTCGTCAAAATGACTAGTGACGATCAGTTTTTCTTCGACTATGTGAGGCTTCCGCTGATTTTATTCGGTTATGTTGAGGACTAACATGTTTTTGGGGATTTCCAGCTTGCATCCATCCCCCATGACGTAAGGAGATATTCGCTGCAGGTTGCAGATTCGATTGACCGACAGGTTGATAATGTCGCGAATGTGGTTCGGGATACGCTCTCTCATCAGTCATGGCTCCCGTCAAGTGTCCGGCCATCACCAAGAATTCATCCTCGTGCTCCGACTTCGCAGTCATTTTACGACCGTTTACACAGATGGGCTCTTCGGAACCGGGCATGGAGTGCGGCAATCTTAGCCTTTGTCGGGACAACTTGCGTCCTATACTTTGGAAGCAAGAAGCTGAGGGGTAGGCGGAGAAAGGCTAGGAGAGCTGGAAATGGCGCTCGGAAGGAGATAGTTGGTAGGTTGGAGATCGCCCCAGATTGTTGTGATGAATGAATGTGTGATTCGTTGAGCCTTAACTTCTGCAATAGTTGTTGCCGGATCCCCTCACGAACCCATGACTAGGTCGATAGCAGCAGATCTAGAACGTCGTGGATATATTGTGTATATTACAGTGTCGTCTGCAGAGGAGGAGCACATGGTTCAGTCAGAGAATTCATCAGACATAAGGTCTCTTTGGCTTGACCTAACTACGGTATGTCAGCTATACGCTCATGTGCCTCATAGGGCTTTATAGGAACTAACATTGCTAGTTGCCTTCATCTCCATCAGAGATTCATGTTTCTCTGAACGAGATTCACACCTTGATCACAACACCACAATCACCGATGGCAGGAGTGCCACCGCATATTTGTCAACTGAGTGGCCTTGTTCTCGTGCCTTCGCCAAACTATGTGGCAGGTCCAGTGGCTACAATTCCACCATCCTCATGGGTCGATACGATTAACACTCGTCTTCTGTCACCTATCTTAACAACGCAGCTGTTCCTACCGCTTCTTACACTTCGCAACACAAACAGCACAGTTGTTGTTGTCTACCCATCAATCTCATCTTCCCTCTCCGCTCCTTTTGCTGGCCCCGAAGTGGCCACAGTTCGTGCTTTGTCAGGGTTTGCCACCTCCCTCCGCAGGGAAGTGAGCCTCTTACACCAAAATAATGTCGACGTGGTGGAATTAAAACTGGGAAATATCGACCTTGGGCCGCAATACCGAACGCCGCAAGGGCATATTGCGGGAACCGAAGTTTTGACATGGAGCGTTCAGCAGCGGGAGCTTTACGGGCCTCAGTACTTGAACAGTATTGAGCAGCGCCCCGTGGCGTCTGCTGGGCCTAGCATGGTACGTGGGTCGCCTGCTAGAAACCTTCACTACGCGGTGCTTGACGCTTTGGAACCTTCCACCAAAAATATCTTTGGGAGAAAGGCGACCAAGACGCCGGTTTTGTATGTTGGACGAGGAGCGCGGTCATACCACATTATTGGGCAGTGGGCTCCTCCTGGGTTAGTTGGATGGATGTTGGGGCTACGTAGTGGATATGGACCTTCTGGTGAGAGTGTTAGTGGTAGCAGTAGCGAGACTGGTTGGGAAAAAGTTGACCGATGAGGGTGTATAATAGTACTATCTCTGTGTTGTCTTTTGTGGAAACGAAAGGATATATATATATATATATATATATATATCGATATAGGAAGTGTATAACGATAGGATGGGAAGCTCTGGAATAGTCCGTCTTGAATTGATCGGCTTCCATTTGGAAGATCTGCTGCCCTAACCGGATTCGAATTCAAAAGGAAGGGGATAGATAGATAGATAGATGGATTTTTTTCGTTTCAGCAGCCAACATGTTGACGGGCCTCGATGCCAATTTGGGGCAAACCCAGAGATTATCACAATAACGCAGAAAATCCAATCAGGGTGGGTGCCAGAGGTAAAATCCAGCCTGTCGACGATGCTTCTGAGTGATCTGGCTACATAGTCCAGCCTCATTGGGCCGGGGAAATTATTACAGACTTAAAAATAGGTACTCCACCATGATTCAAGATGAAGCTAAATTGGGTAGTTTCATGATCAGGAGTTTTCTTTCGCAGTAGCAGCCTAGAAGGGAACGTTTTCGAAGAAGAATATCCGATCCCCAATGATAGAACGAAATACTAGTAAGGTATAAACCTCCTTTATTACGATCATATTATGACTATGTATGTGCATGTTTTGGTATAGGAGAAGGGAAATTGAAGTGTATGTAATGGTTTTTCCCTGAAATATACCAGTGGTCAAACCAAAAGATGCCATGTATGCTATGTATTATGTATGCTAGTAGTACAGGAGGTATTCTGCAGGTAATAACGTAACACTGAATCAAGCTGTACAAGGCGGATACAGACAGGAGACAGGCTCTTAGGGAGTACTATGTTAGTATGTATGGAGTATGTAGTGGTTATTTCCTTTTCTTCAACAAGATGCTCTCAACCCTCTCGACGGGCTGTTGAACAACATCCTTTTTTTGGGGGGGTTTTGATTTAGTGTTATTTTTATTTTTTGGTTTCCGTTATTTCACCCCTCGAATCATCATCGTCCCGATTTTTAGTGTTGTCCCCCCCCCCATCTCCTCCTGTCTACCGCTCACTACTGGTCACTTGAAGCTGTCACTCCTTTCCCATCCATCCTCAATTCATCCTCCTCTAGATCTGGTTTATTATCCAGTGCTATTCGCTACCTCTTTTTACTTTTCCTCCCCTTCCTGTCTTGGGGCTGTCATTCCTTTCAGTATTCCGCCCGCTTTTCTTTGTGATCGTTTGGTTTTCATCTTGTTCTCCTCTTTTCTCCCCTATCTCACTCTCGCGCCTCCTTCAGTTCCATATAACTTACCCTTTTTCAGAGCCTTGAAGATCCGCTCCGTCGTCCTCGATGCGCTCCATTTAACTCATCCAAGGTTATGATTTAGGATAGTTATCCTTATCCGACCCCACGATTGTAACATTCCGTCATATAACCCCCCTCCCCACCCCCGAAATAGAATCGCTCCTGGGCTTGTGAAAGTCAAGAGGTTACCTCGTACCACCACCATGTCCTTCCGGCCACAATTCGCTTCCCGCTCGCCCTCGCGCGATGCTCCTCGAAGTGGTGCCCCTTCCCCGCGCGTCGAACATTTTGATGGTGAAATTCCCCCTGCGTTGTCCCCCCTCGATGCGTTTGCTGCCCAAGGCCGCCTGTTGGCCCGCCAGCTGGAAGAGTCTGCGCGAAGAGATCGACGTATGAGCCGATTGCCTCCTGCCAGTGTTGCACGCTCTTTATCGCAACCTCGACCTGGTTACTTTCGATCACCATCGTCGGGCGATTCTTCGCAAGGAGGAGGAGGAGGAGGAGGAGGGGGGGGACCTCCGGGAATATCAAGGCAGCCAACCCAAAAAGCCCGTCCTGAGGTGGAGGAGCCCAAGTTTCGTCCCCAGTCCGAACATCCTCGTTTGAGCGCCATATCGAATTTCACTGGCGAAAGCAACCTCTCGAATGACGAAGATGCGACTCCTAAGAATGAGTCTCCGGTTCTCGAGAACGAAGGGTTTGCCTTTGATGCAGTTCGAGCAGAGTCTCCAGAGGAGGACATGTCCATTGCAGTAGAAGGACCGCGCCGCTATTATGCCCCATCTCCTGTCGGCTATCCCTTGGCTGGGCCCTCCATGAACTCTTCGACTGATTCCGCTTCCCGACTCAATATTCCCCGAGGTCTAGCGCCCCCAGTTTCGCCCATGTCTCGACCCTCCAGCAGTTCTCGGGGTACCCAACCAGAGAGCTCCGATGATGATTATAGTAGTTCCAATGCCGGTTCAACCTTCTCGAAGCCACGCAAGTTGTCATCAAGTAGCGCCATGTCATTGCCGTATTCTCCAATGTCTACCATGGCCCGTTCGCATCCTCGATCGCCCTCTATTAGTTCCGAGGCTTCGAACACTGGAGGGAATCTTTCACGCCCGTCCTATAACTTTTCGCGCCCTCTCAGCAGATCTAGCACAAGCTTGTCCGCTCCTGCAAAAACTCCGACGTCGGATCATGCACATAGCCTGCAGAGCATAATGAATCGCAGCAACAAACCTAACCCAATCGTGGTGCCAACTCACATGGACTTGTCTCGCAGTCTACACGAGGACCCATCGTCAGTATCTTCGTATATATATGCAAAGTACGCCCTTCCGCGTGGACGAGTCATGTCGAGGGACTCGATTGTATTCTCCGGACTACAAACACCCCATTTCGAGTGGCAAGAGCCCTTGTTCGAAAGCCCAGAACGTCCGAGGACGGCAGAGCCCCAGATGGCTGCAAGAACGCCTTCTCCTTCTCCATCGCGCCAGGAGTCAATTGCTTCCCGGAAGCCCCCTTCGGTTAACGAATCCCCAGCCCCCGAAAACAAGATTCTTACACCGCAAAAGTCTGCATCTCCCTCCCAAAATACGCTGACCCCCGAGAAGGCGCAGCCCGAACATGTACCACCCCGTGCACAAAGCTCGGAAACCACCCGAACTGAGGATCATTTGGAGACGACCTCTTCTGCAGACTCAGCGTCTACACTCCGACCGCAAACCACCAGGACTGCTGCACCATCCGCAGTTATCTCAGCCGAGGAACATGTGACAAAAGGCATTGAATGCCACGAAAGGGGATCCCTTAACGAGTCTACCTACCATCTACGAATCGCAGCAAAACAAGATCACCCAGTTGGAATGTTGCTATATGCCCTGGCTTGTCGACACGGCTGGGGTATGCGGCCAAATCAACGGGAAGGTGTACGATGGTTGCGCAAGGCTATGGATTCCGTCGGTTTAGAGCTTCTGGACGAATCCAATGCGGAACTGCCAGCAAAGGCACGGGAATTGCAAAAAACCTACCGTGCTCAGTTTGCTCTGAGCGTCTACGAGCTTGGAGTAAGTCATCTTAACGGATGGGGGATCGAGCAGGACAAAACCCTTGCGCTGCGCTGTTTTGAGACGGCTGCTCGATGGGGGGATGCCGACGCCCTCGCGGAAGCTGGTTACTGCTACGCAGAAGGCATTGGCTGTAAAAAAGACCTGAAGAAGGCGGCAAAGTACTATCGTCAGGCTGAAGCAAAGGGGATGAGTATGGTGGGAAACAGCTGGTAAGTCCCGACCATTGGTCTTATTTGTCAAGTTGCGATATTAATTTGCTTTTTTGTACAGGATTTACAAGGACAAGTATATGTCCGATGACGAGCCCAATACTCGTTCGCGCGGCCGGCAAGCCAGCAATGCCGACAAGAAGCAACGTAGCAAATCTCGAACCCGCAGCCTGTTCCAGCGCAAAAGGTCCAACGCTACTGAAGCATAGATGGTGATTTTGCCATCGTGTTTTGCATTCTAGCATTGGGGTGAAGCTGGTGATACTAGCGGCGTAGACCAGCAGAAGCAGAACCGCTTGCTGCCACTACTACGATTCCTTATATTCCTTATCCTTTGCTTCTTTTTTTCTCTTCTTTTCCTTTTCAACATCTTTCTCACTTATGGTGGACTGGACATTTGCTGTGACACGAAGAGGTTTTTTTTTTTTTTTTTTTTTTTTTCTTTGTCACTCTTCGTGATTCTCTCTTCCCTTGCACATTCTTGATATTCACAATTTATCCTTTCCTGCCCTTTAGATCAACTTTTTACCTTTCCTCTATTTTCTCGATCTATGGGGTTTATTTCCTGCAGGCCTTTCTCTGCTCAAATCTGTGCATGAAGGCTGTGTTTCTTTATCTTTGCGGGCATCAATATTCGTTTCTTGGATACCCTTACTTTATTTGATCACTGTGTGATGTTTGTCTTATATCTTTATCTTCTTCCTGTGGGATATTTCATCCTTTCCTTCCTTTACATTCCTTTCCCTTTCCTTCTCTTTCGTTTCGTTCGTTGGAATCATTCGTTACCTTTCTTTAGCTAGCCGTATAGTTTGTCTGCAGACATCTTGCCTGATGATCCTCATGAAATCATACATCACTGGAGCAGTGCCGTACTGACTACTGAGCAATTCGGAGTTTTCTTCTATCGAGACCCATGCTAGTATTCATTCACCTGTAGATCAGCGAGATTCGGGAGACGCCTGGGCGGGTTACAGCACAGGTACTCCTTTTTTGTTGTTGTCCCAATTGTTTCGAACTGAAATTCGACAAGAAACCAGCCGGATTAATTCGACGTTTCTAGCTCTCTTGATTGATACTCTTGTCTTTCACAAGACGAACCAGCGCCCAGGATGACATTAATGATCGCACTAAACTGACGAGGTCAAGGTCACGTTTGTACAGGATGGCGACCTCGACCAGTTGAGCTAATGCGCACCAGCCCTCCCAAACCCGCCACTTCCTGCGCATCTTATTCCATTCCCAACTCACTATCGTTTCGGTTGATTGGCCAACAGTGCGGGAGTCCGTCCAGTGGGGGTTTTGTCTCATCTTTAGCCCCCAGGCCAAGCTAGGATCACCATGGGGTAATCACTTGGGGAAGAAGAGAGAAAGCATTTTCCTTGATACCAAAGTAACCAGACATGCAGCAGCGATCAGAAGGCCTGGAGTCATCTTTGCTACCTTTTGTTTCTCCTGGTATTTCCCCTCCCCCCTCCCCCTTTCGTAACCAATGGGTTTGCTGCAGACAATCTCGAGTATGCATCTATCTCATGGACACTCTGTATGCGCCTCGGTTCTGGTTGTCTCGTTTCACTCTGGTTTTGTAGGAAACAATGGGTGCATATCATTAACAAGCTGGGTGATGTTTGAGTTTTTCAGAGGATAGAATCATGGCTCACCGAGGTTTTTATATCCTGAATTCTTCACCTGAGACTTCCACTCCCAGTTGTGGTTGGTTTAATGAACAACCCCCCCCTTTTTTTTGGCCTCCAGTTCCATCTAACTAGCATGAAATGGTATGGCGGCTTGAATCCTTGTTCTATTTGGTTTAAAACAAGAAACGAAAACGAAAAAAAACCCGTGGTGCTTGATGCATTTTGGTCGTAGCAGATTCTGTACATGTGATCGACCTCTGACCCCTCTAAAAGATAACTAGATAAAATGCCTGAGGATCCATCAGACTAATTTTCGAACTTTTGTTGTCGTCGATTTTTTTTCTCCTGATTGCATTCAGGGACTTTGTTTTCTTTCTCGATTGGGACAACAGAGCGAAGAAGTTATCGGCCGTGTTCACTTCCAGCCGTTCTTTAACTCGTTAGTTCATTTCTCTTTATTATTTTTATTTCCTTCACAGTATACCTATTCTGGGGCCCTGTCGGTTGGTCACTATTGGGCTGTTAATAAAGTTGCAGCTCGAATTAGCACCCCCCCCCGGAAGCCATATTCGTGCATGCCAGCCGATTTGATACAGCCTGTCATCGTCTTCACTAGCCCAGTGCGTCATATATTATTGCGATAAGATCTCGCCACGATTCAAAATGGCGAGCGATAAGGTGGTTGTTGAGGAGGTTTCCATTACAGGGACGAAACCCTCTTTTGGGGCTCGCTTCAAGAGTCACTATAAGAGGTTTTGGTGGGCTCATCTCATCGCACTGGTTGTGAGTGTGTTGGTTGTGTCACTCCCAATGTAAGCTTGCGACTACCGTGCCCCCCCCAAAAAGAAGGTGTCAAGTTAATCAGATTCGTCACGTAGGGTCTATGTGGGATATCCGAGAATCGCCCAGGCAGACATCAACGACTCTACGTTGAGCGTCTCTGCCATGTTCATCAGCGACCCCAGCCCCGAGAGCTTCCATCTCAACCAGACCCAGATCATTGGCACGGACAGCATCTTCCACCCTAAGATCTTCAGCTTCGAAGCGGAAGTCGGCCTCGAGGGCGCATCTGCTTCCTTTGCGAACGTCACCGTTCCGCAAGTCCAGGCCAAGGACGGCACCGTGGTGAACGTCGCACAGCGCGTCGAGCTCAGCGATGCGGCGGCGTTCGCGGCGTTCTCCTCAGCGGTGATGATGAGCGAGGAGTTTGGGTTGACTGTAAGCGGCAGGCCCCGTTTGAAGCAGGGCCCCCTGCCGACTATCACAGTGACATACGACAAGGCGGTTACCATGAAGGGTAAGTGTTTTTGGAACATGCACGAGGCCCAGGATCTCTCAACAGGCGCCGCCGGCTTACTTTACTTTATTTTATTTTGAATATAGGTCTGAACAAACTCAAGGGCTTCACTATTATCAGCATGCATCCTGTGTCGAACCGAGCCGATGGAAACAACGCTGTGGGACAGGTTTCGATCCCTAACCCCTCCGTGATGACCCTTAGCATGGTAAGAATATCCAGACCATTTCCTGTTTCTTTGCTGTCTTTTCTAACCCGCAATATTGATAGGGCAACCTGACGATGGACCTCTGGTCCGCCAACGGAACTTCCCTGGGCCAGTCGTTCCTCAACGACCTCGTGCTTGTGCCCGGCAACAACACCGTGCCGATGCTCTCCAACATCGACATGATGAAAGTGATCAGTCTGCTCCCGCGAAACCCCCCCTACGTCATCCCAGTCAAGGTCACCGGCAACTCGAGCACATATAACGGAAAAGAGATCCCCTACTTCACAGCAGCTCTGGCAGCGAACAAGCTAACAGTAGACCTAAACCTCACCGAGGTGCTAGGCTCCTAAACCCTTCTCCTCTTTTTTTTTTTTTTTTTTTTTTTTTTGGCTTGTTCTTGTTCTTGTTCTTGTCTTGTCTTGTATTATTTCTGGATAGTCCAAGGGAATGGATGGGATGGGTTCTGGCTTTTGGTATCCAGGCCCAATGTTTGATTTGATTTTTTTAACATTTTTTTTTTAAACATTTTTTTTTTTTTTTTTTCGTGATACATACATACATAATGCTACCGGGTCCACTTGACCAGATGGGATAGGATTGATTGATTGATTGATATACTTTATTTACATTAGGTAGTTACATACCTACCTACCTACCATGACTGATAGATTAGTTTAGTATTCATTTGTTATATTCCCCTAGTAGACGGATACATGCAGTATATGATATGATATGATACCCCATCTCCGGAAATGCAAGATCTCCATTGACAGAAACAGAACAGCTGGAGCATCTCCGCCCACGAATTAGGAGAGAACATGATCATACCTAGCCTAGGTATGTATTTCCATAGCGGTAGAATAGTACTCCGTGCGCGCTGTACATTCAAAGATAAAGAAACCGGGTTCAATCCAGTCCTCCAAGGGATCGTCCTGCCTCCTGCCTCCTGCCCGTCGCCCAAGCAGTGTGATTTGCTGAAATGGTCTTGCAGGGTCAGTGCATTTTCCCTAGTTATAAGAAGCCGGTGGCTTACGTATCGAGGGGCCAGGATGTCTGCAGGCTTATCTTCCATATCTTGCAGGTTGGTAGAGGAGGAATACTTCATACTTCCGGGGACATATAAGATAGATTGGTCTCTCGCTCATCTTTCTTTTCCTTTTCGTTGTATTTGGACATTACGCTCACGCTACTGAATGATCAAACAATACACTGGAACACAGTAAGCCTCCCTTTTGGTGTCCTGTTCTGGCTTCTTTTCGAAAACCCCCCCCCCCAAAAAGTCTACATATCATGCAACGTGTTATACCCAGTTTCAATCAGACTTCGCGGCCCTCGGGCGTCCCCTCCGATATGCCAATAGAATAACCCTCCTAGCTTCTCTCGAGTTACAAATTCCGCCTTCTGTTGTACAGTCTGTGGCGTGTCGTACGTCACAAACCCACCGTCTCCCCCGATGCAGTACGCTGCCCCAGCCTTTTCGTCGTGATATTCTTTGGCCCCAGGCCGTGGAAGTTCGCTGTAGTCAAATACTCCGTTTTCCCCGCCGCAGCCGGTATATTGTTGGCCTACATCGTTACTGCCTAGGAATGACCGTCCGTATGTCGGAATACCCAGAAGAAGTTTCTTCTGGTGAACCCCCTGGGATAGGATATATGCCACGGCAGATTGACAGGAGGCTGCTGTGGAATGCGACGGAGTGTATAGCCGGGCGTGGTGGCCGGTTTTATCTGCCCAGGGCCCGGCAAAATCATAGCCCATGACATTGATCAGGTCGACATAGTTCTGCGCTTTCGCGAGGTCGATGTGCTGCAGCGCCCATTGCCCGGCTGGGAGACAGGTCGCTAATACATATCGCGGGGAAGGCAGATAATCCCGTAGCCGTGCGAGAAGACGCACGTAGTCTAGTCCTTGCTGGGGATCAGCGGGGTGCTCCCAGTCGACTAGCAGAGTATTAGTATACCACTGACATCGAATTTACTCCAAGGACATTCCCACCGTCAATTCCATCTAGCCTATATTCATCTACCAGTTTCCTGGCAGTCTGCGCGAAGGTCTCCGTGCGGGACTGGCTCCGGGCTACTGCAGCAAAGTTTTCACTTCCTTTCCCTCCCCCACCGATAGAGAGAACCAACTTCATTTTGGAATACTGAGGCTTGAGCTGTGAGAAGGCCCTGAGACAGCCGGTCGTGCCATCCACGGGCATCTGAGCATCTGCCCACTCATCGCTCAACTAACCGTTTCCCCGCCGCTCTGGTCAGCAGGGGGAAAAGGAAAAAAAAAAAAAAAAAAAAAAAAAAAAACAGAAAGTGGGAGATTTACATAAACAGTACCGTCTTCTTTGACCCTAAATAAAAAAGAACAAGGTTGGTTAACAGAATCTAAATTGGATCAGGCTGGGTTAGCCCCCTCGGTGGGTGCATGACTAGTAGGTATATACCAAGCAAAAGCGTAAAAGATATGAGAGATAAATCCCAATCTGAGAGACGATGGAGGTTGTTTTCGGTAAATCCGCCAATTCGGATAGTAGGCAGCATTCAAGAAAAAGGGGACTTCGTAAGAACTACTGCTAGATCGTTCTGCTGCTTTGCGGCGCCAGTGGGGGAAAATCGAACCGGAGAACATGGCTATAGTGGGAGGAGACAGTTGAAAGGGAAGGTGGCCCGAGGCTTCAGCAGTAATCCTCCCAGGGTGTATGAGGAATAAAACCGAGAGAGTTATACATAGAACGAGATGAAAGGACGAAACAAATGTAGAGGAAGAGAGGGAAAAGAAATCAGAGAGCGATGATGAAGGCAAAAGAGCAACTGCTCAATTCAGAATAGCATCACGTGTGGAATGTACTTTTTTCTCTCTCTCAGCTGGGTGGGTTTGGATTCGGATTTGTTTATATTCTGGATGTTAGAACCCAACCGAAAGTCTCGAAGGTTAACCAGGCCAGTAAGTAGTATCAAAAACCCCTCAAATCCAAAGCAATATACACAGAAGGCAACCAGGGTGTGTGATCAACCCAGATAATAATATCATGACAGAAAATCTGATCCAAGACGCTAGGCTGCACCTGCAGATTCCCCCCCCACTCCCTTCCTCTGCGAATGATTATTTTTATTCCATGTACTGTGTCGTCTGTGCAGTGAATATGACCTCCCATGACATTAATACGACATACCAGCCCGCCTGCCTGCCTGCCATGGCGTCCTTTCGGTGCGGCCTATTTGCAGCAACTCTGTTATTCCTGCATCTCCTCAATGTACCAGTACTGGAGGCAAAGGCAAGGAGGAGTCGTTGCTTGACTATTATTCCCCTTATCATTATCGGTTTTATTAATGGTAAGGATGATCTTTTCGCATTGAGGTCCAGACGCCCTCGATGGTGCGCACCCCGCCTTTAGGTTATTGGAGCCATCTCTGTTGAATTGCGTCTGGTTCCAGGTAGGTAACCTTTCCGACCTCCGGTAAGAATTGAGAGCCACAGCGCGTTTGGGGACGGTGGCAATAAAGAGGATCGCTTCTTACTTAGCCTTATTCCAAGATGTCAGGTGGATCACGATCGAGATTGATCATTTTCCCAGCGTGAACCCAAGAGAGGGTCCTGCGGAGGAGGCTGGGGATGGGGAAAGGGGAAGAGGAGCATGCTGGCAGTCTGAGAGTCTGGGAGTCTGGGACAGCGAGACACACCAGTGAAGATCCATGAGATGGAGCCTCGTCCCAGAGATGGAGCCTCGTCCCAGAGACGGGGCAAAGATGAACAACCGTTCCGGAACATGGAAACGGGGGATCGGCTTGGGCGTGACTGTGCACGATGCACCACTGTGAAGGCGCTGAAAGACGCTTTACCCTCCCATCCCTACTAAGGAGGTAATGTTTCTTCTTCGCTGTTCTTGTGGCCTTTCCCCCCCTTTCTTTTCTTTTTTCTCAATTTAAAGTTTCATCTAACTTGCCTTTCTGTCTTCCTTGAGCGTGTGGTGCTTTGTGGGGAGCAGCCCAAAGACTGGAGAACCCCATCCCCGCATGACAGACTGGACGGTTGTATGCGTCAATATGCGAGGACTTTCCATGTAAGCGAGGTCGCACCCCAGGATCCGTCTTAGTAGTAGGTCCTAGAAACGTGCCAATTTATACAATGCATGCATCTGAATCCTCAGGGAAATAGCAGCCTGCCTGGTAAGCAGAATGGCGCGACAAAACACCAGTCGGAATACTTTTTGAATGCACTGGGGTCATCGTACTTGTCTCCCTCACTGATATTAGCGAAGGAATCTCCTGCCACACTATGATATATAGTTATTATATATATATATGGTCACCGGTACTATTAGAGATTGAAGTAGGCTCCTTCGTCCTATGTAAAATATGACGTCTCCTCCTGCTACTCTAAACAACATCCAACACAGAACAAGTCGTTCAGATCGGTACCATCCGCAGCAAAGCCGCTTGGGTGTCAGAGCAACACCCCATGTGATCCTTTGTGCCAGAAATTCTCGTATGCAGGGGCAGTGAGACTCTCAAGTGACATGGGAATCATACCCATTGGCCTGGCTGCAGCTGTGCCGCGTGTCCCCCAGCCAAAGGCCTGGCCGGGCCATAGGACGACGGGCTGCATTGTAAGGTCATGTCAATGCGCCAGGAATGTTGAGGAGCCACTCTTTCTTACTACTGCCCAAATGAGAGAGTAGACGAGTTGCATTCAATTACGTGATGAGTTCAGAGCGGCGTCCTATTGAAATGAGCCCTCTTACCGTATATTCTTGGAAGACTCGAATTTGCTTTTCCGGTCGGCGATGACTAAGCAATATCAACATCGGCCCACCGCTTTCCCTGTTCGTCATCCTCCTTTTTGGCTTCGATCCTTCCATTCCAGACTTGTGTTATTTGGTACAGATCGATCGTTCTCGCTGCTTCTCGGTCATTTGCAGCTTATTTCTTGTTGTCCTTAACCCTGCTGACCGCATTTCTCACATCTTATTTCTTTGAGCCATCCCCGCAGAAGCATTCCTTCCTGTTTCAGTTGCAAGAGCTTCCAGTGCTTGCAGCTGAGTACCTAAACCTGCTTGATCTGACTTCCACGCGTATCCTTTCTCCCGATCTCAGTCGCTGAGAGGGCACCATGACTGCAGACATTAGTCACGCGGCAGCGCAGGTCGTGTCCACCGATCGCACTCGTGATCCAGATTACGACCAGTTTTCGTTCATCCCTTTCCTACGCAAAAGCTATGGCTTCGGTTTGGCCAGCGACGTCCCCGTCTGCAAAGCCTACAGCGAGGGACACTGTCCGTTGGGGCCCGCTTGTCCGGATCGGCATCCTACCCCATCGCGAGTAACCACGTCGACCACCACTGCCTCGGGATTGGCACCGTCTACCACCCACGGCTCCCTCGTCTGCAAGCATTTTCTCAAGGGGCTTTGTAAGAAGGGCTTGAAGTGCGAATACCTCCATGAATACAACCTCCGACGCATGCCGGAATGCCAGTCTTTCTCGCGGTCCGGATATTGCCCGAATGGGGAGGATTGTTTATACCAACATGTCAGAGAACAGGCGCGATTACCACCCTGTGAACATTATGATCGAGGGTTTTGTGAGCTAGGACCGTTATGCGCCAAGCGTCATGTGCGTCGACGTCTATGCCAATACTACCTGGCTGGGTTCTGTCCTGAAGGGCCATCCTGTATGGATGCCCACCCCCGGTGGTCAGAGAATCTACCGAAACCTTCGATTCGAGTCGAGAAGACGGAGGAGGAATTGGAGCGGGAAAGGGATTTGATCCGCGAAGAACAAGAGAAGGAAAGAGAAAGGGAACGTGAGTGGAGGAGTGAACGTGGCCGTGGAGGAGGGTTTGGAATGCGCGGTCGTTATCGCGGAAGGGGACGGGGCTAGGATTGGCTCAAAAGGCATCATCATACCCTTTGATCAGATTTTCGAACTCCATCCAAGGCGCTGAATATTCACGCACTTTTTCTCACCCTAGCGCGGGGAAGGTCTGCCCGAGAGGGGGTTGATTTCAACGTTCAACTCGACAACTCTCACGCCAGATACCTCGCGACAAGCCTAACTTAGGCTTTAATCTCGGACGGACTCAACTGAACAGCAACCCTGAGCAGCTATCCGAGGAATTTCGCCGACCAGAAGGCTTGTCCAAGCAGTCCTGGACGCTTGCTTCCGGACCCTCACGCTCGGTGATTTCACAACCTTGTCTCTTCGTGGTTGTTAATGCGGACGATTCTCGATGTTATCCGTGACCCATTTTTATACCCTATATGTATACTAAATACAGCTAGAATAGAACCACATGAACAATTAATTCTACACTCAAATTCTACCTCCTTTGTACCGTATCCAGATCAACGTAGGGTTGCAAGTAGGAAGGTACTCGTAGACTTCCGGCTACTCCATTATAACCCGGAGCGGTAGTCAGGAATTGACACTAAGAAAAGCAACAGCCCGAATCGAGATGACATCACGACTCCTGGCGGCTGGGCTCATTAGCAGTGGATAATCGAAGCGCGGAATTTCCTCTGGGCTGGCGATTAAGAGTCCATAGTAATCGAAGGACTGCAAGGGCCCGTAATCACCTTAAAACAAAAATAAAGAAAGAAAGAAAACAAATCGGACAAAACCGTAGGTAAAGTTGAGCTCGACATTGAATTTGTCAAGTCTCTGTAAGAATCGACTAAGCCCCACCACTGCATTCAGGTATCCAATGAACACCTGCAATCTCAGGCTAGCGCGGTCTCTGTAATCGATGACAGAGCCAGCATCCGGTTCCCCTCTATGTATTGCTGAGAAACCAGAAGCTTCCCTTCCCCCTGCAGTCGAGGTATTTAAGGTAGCTAAGTCTGCTATCTTCGTCGTCGTTAATAACAACACATCATTCAATCTCGGGTCAATTCCTTTTCTCCTTTTTCATTCTCCCAGTGTACCAACCTACCGTCGCAATGGCTCCCAAGATCGCTATCGTCTTTGTATGCATTACCCCTCCGCAATGCCACTCGTCCGGTCTTTTCCCGGTCTTGTCCCGCTGAGGATTGCTCAATGTGACCAACTAACATGTCCTCCTCCCAATTTCTAGTACTCTATGTACGGCCACATTGAGAAGTTGGCCAATGCTGAGCTTGAGGGTATCAAGTCGGCCGGTGGTGAGGCCGATCTCTACCAGTGAGTTGCCCTGAATAACAACTCCAGTCGCCATGAAGAGCGCAAGGAATTAACCTGATATCGCCGCCATCCAGGATCGCCGAGACCCTTCCCGAGGAAGTCCTTGCTAAGATGCACGCTCCCGCCAAGTCCAGCGTGCCTATTGCTACCCCCGAGACCCTTCTCGAGTACGATGCCGTCCTCTTCGGTATCCCCACTCGTTACGGTAACTTCCCTGCCCAGTGGAAGACTTTCTGGGACCGCACTGGCGGTATCTGGGCCTCCGGTGGCTACTGGGGCAAGTACGCTGGTCTCTTCGTCTCCACTGGTACCCCGGGTGGTGGCCAGGAGTCCACTGCTATTTCTTCCATGAGCACTTTGGCCCACCACGGGTTTATCTACGTTCCTCTTGGTTACAAGACCGCTTTCCCTTACCTTGCCAACCTCGACGAAGTCCACGGTGGTAGCCCTTGGGGCGCTGGAACCTTCGCTGTAAGTTGTTTTTTTAATAATTTATTGGAAAAAAAAAAGAAGGTGCTAATATTGAATAGGGCGCTGATGGCTCCCGCCAACCCACTGAGCTTGAGCTCAACATTGCCAAGACCCAGGGCAAGTCTTTCTACGAGCACCTCGCCAAGATCAACTTCGCGTGACTGCATGGAGGCAATGAATCCAAGTCCGAAGCGCAGCCCGCGGCTGCAGCTTCCCAGCAGAAGAAGGAACCAGCAGCGGCACCTCAGTCTCAGCAGACTAAACCACAAGACACACAAAGGGAAAAGGCAGAGAAGAGTGATGGGGGCCCTTGCGGCCTTCCCAAGTGCACCATTCTCTAATCTGACTGTCCCCCTTTACAATATACCCCGTGTTTCGTTTTTTTTTTTTTTGTTCTGCCCAGTTTGATGTAATGCTTTCTTTTCTTGGTTGGAAGACTTGAAGAATTCACTATAGAATCTAAAAAAAAAATAATAATAATAATGATATATTTCCAACTCAAATGTTTCCATCCTTTCCTTCCTGCTCCAAAAAATAGTCATGAAAGTCATAGGGTATATATATACATACACACATATATTGTACACAACTTCTCTTATTACCGTCCGAAAGACCCCAAACACAGTGATCGATTATAAAAACTTCCCCGTCGTAAACCTCGACCCAAAATCTGACGCTTTACTGATCATCTCCCTCCGCTGCGCGTGCGTCAACTTCGAGCCCAACGCCATGTCCTTCTCCTTATCAAAAGCCCTCGCGCTCGGATCATCCTCCTCCTCTTCATCCTTCTTACTCCGCCCCTCACCACCCTGCGCCGCTGCATCTTCCTTCCTCTTCTGCTCATTATAACGTTCTATTTTCTCCCGCATCGCACGCGACTTCTTCGCCTCCTGCGCCGAGACACCCTCACCTCCTCCGCTAGATCCAGAAGAACCCACAGTAATCCCCATCGCCTCATTCTGCAACCGTCTCATCTTCTGCTCCGGCGTCTCGGTCCAAATGCTATCCACCCCTCCCGGAGCAGACGATCCCGCTGACCGACCAGTCTGGAATTTCCGACTCCGGAGTTTTGTAGGGTCCATCCGGGACGATCGATCGTCTGCGCTAGGAGGGAGAAGCATCCATGCGTCCCGTTGCGGTTGCGGTGCCGATTTTGCTTCGGACTGGTTTTGTGCGGCTGTAGTTGAGGCAATTGAGGGTTTAGATATCGATGCGCCTACCGGTGGAGGCAGGCTAGGCCCGAAATCGTCATCGTCATCGTCATCGTCGTCGGAATTGGGGGTTGTGTTGTCGTTGTCGTCTTCAATCCGTCCCGCGGGTGGTGGTAATGAAGGCCCGATTACTTTGCGCCGCTTCTCGGCTGTGCTGGGGGAGTCTTTCTCGTCGCGGGCTGTCGGCGTATTTGTGTCCAGTTTGCGTTTCTCTGGTTTATCCATTGTGGAGGTGCGGTTCTACCTAGTAGATGGTGGATGGTTCTTTGCGCGGGAAGTAGTGGTTTAGGCGGTGGATAGATAGGGAAGATAGGGGCGGATTTCTAGAGATTTGGTTAGGTGCTAACTGAGTAGAGTTGCATAAAGCTTTGCTTGGTCGAAGCTTACTCTTGCTTGTGTGGAAATTTGGATATTGGGTTTGCGTCAAGAGGTTGGATGAGAAGAATGAGAAGAAGGTGCTTGTACAGGTGCAAATGGGACAAACATGGCTTATAGTCTAGTCCCCTTTTGGAAGTCATGTATGTATATTAGTCAGATGAGCTGGTCGATCTCTCCCGAAGCGGATTAACTATAATTCCACCTAGGTAAGTGCATGTAGTATGGAGTACGGAGTAGGAATTAACTATTTCTGGCCGCAAAGCACGCAAGCTGCCGCTACTCGACTTCTTCGACTCGGCATTGGATTTAAGATGCAGAGAAAGATTTTTACTGAATTCTAGGAGGATGTTTCATAGTGTCCAACGGAGTATTTAAAGAAAGCCCCAATGTAGTGGGAAGCTACCGTCTCATGTACCTAGAGCTTGAGTTTTAGGGTAATGGATTCGATGTACGGAATAGTCCAACATCTAACCAATTAATCCAACACACAAACAATCTGCCATAAGACTCACCCATCCACCCCCAAAGCAGCATGATATTAAAGAAGTGGGTGAGTGAAGGTATCTGAAAACTACCGAACGAAGAGAGCGGCAGAGGCGGTCAGGAAGACGGTCAAATAAGAAGCGGCAGAATATGACGGCATTACGTGCATCAGCGAGTGCCACAACCAACTGCTGACTTCCACCTGCTTCCATATCTACCTGAACTCTTTGCCTCTTCTCACCACCCTCCTCTCCCTCTTTCCCTCTCATAATGATTTCATGAGTTATATATTTCTTTCTAAAGCTTTGATTAACCTCGTTCCTTCCAACCTCTGTCCTTCCACTCTCCATCATGGCGTCCCCGACGATCATTCTGAGATTCGAGAGCCGAAACGGCCAGTTTCGATTGAACGTTAGCCCTCAAGATCTGTTTCCATCTCTCCAGGAAAAGGTACTGCCTCTTCTTAATCTGTATCGTTTGTCCCGCAAATTTCGGCTAAATTTAAATTCTTGCAGATTTTGGAGCGCCTCCCTCCCGATGTCCAACCCTCTTCCATCAACCTTTCCAATAAACCTATCGGTGCTGGTGGTGAAGAGAGGAGTTTGAGCACACTAGATGGTGTTTCTTTTGAGCAGGTTGGCCTGAGGTCAGAGAATAGCGATAATACAGCCTGTTTTTCTCGGTGATAATAGCTGCTGATACGTGAAAGTTTAGACACGGAGACAAACTTTATATTGGGTATCAGCTCAAGCAAGCTCTGGCAGACGGTGTTAGTAATGGAGACACATCCACTCCACCCTCTAGACGTCTGAATGGAGCTCCTATACCGCAAGACACAACGTCATCTTCTCGACTCCCTTCTAACAACGACGCTTCCGTATCGATTAAGAACCCATGGGAAGTGATCAAGCAATCACCGCTGGACGACCTCCTGGATAAAAAGGACGGTAAAATCCAGCGCCCCCGTGATATAAAGATGTGCAGACATGGTGCAAAAGGCATGTGCGACTATTGCATGCCGCTGGAACCATACGACCCAAAGTACCTGGCAGAGAAAAAGATTAAACACCTTTCGTTCCACTCATATTTGCGCAAAATCAACGCTGCAACTAATAAAGCTGAACTCAAAAGCTCCTTCATGCCACCCCTCAATGAGCCATACTATCGGGTAAGACCCGATTGCCCGTCTGGGCATCCCCCTTGGCCAGAGGGCATCTGCACCAAATGCCAACCGAGCGCAATCAGTTTGCAGCCCCAAGAATACCGTATGGTTGATCATGTAGAATTCTCTACTCCAGACCTCATCAACTCGCTGCTTGACTTCTGGAGAAAGTCGGGCACCCAACGTTTAGGGTTTCTTTACGGCACGTTCGAGGAGTACACCGAAGTTCCCCTCGGAGTTAAGGCTGTGGTTCAAGCAATCTATGAACCTCCACAGGTGGATGAGATTGACGGAGTCACCCTTCATGAATGGGAAAACGAAAAGGAAGTCAACGAAGTGGCGCGTCTGTGTGGTTTAGAGAAAGTTGGGGTTATCTTCACTGATTTACTTGACGCTGGGAAAGGAGATGGTTCCGTTATTTGCAAAAGACATATAGATTCTTACTATCTATCATCTTTGGAGATTTCATTTGCCTCACGGTTGCAGGCCCAGCATCCAAAGGCAACTAAGTGGAGTCGAACTGGTCATTTTGGCTCTAACTTTGTTACATGTGTTCTCAGTGGCGATGAGGAGGGTGCTATCACTGTTAGCTCCTACCAAGCTTCGATCGCTGCAGTTGAGATGGCAAGGGCCGATCTAATTGAGCCCTCTGCGGAACCTTCTGTGATGCTGGTACAGTCGGAAGAAGATTCAGACAGCAAGTCGAGGTACATTCCGGAGGTTTTCTACCGAAAGATCAATGAATATGGAGTATCTGCTCAGGTAAACGCGAAACCAAGCTTCCCGGTCGAGTATCTCTTTGTTACTTTGACACACGGTTTCCCAACGGAGTCATCTCCTCTTTTTGTTGACAGTACATTCCCCATTGAAAATCGGGAGGTCATCGGCGAGAGCCAGGAGCTCCGTTCGCTGGCGAAGAAGCTTGTCTCTCACAGGGACCCAGATAAAGCCATCCGAGCCGTGTCCGATTTCCATATTTTATGCTTCCTTCGTTCCTTGTCTACCTTTAACAAGGTAAGTTGACCAACCCCGTTGAAACCTTTCATGGGATGGCTATCCGCTCACTCCAATTTTCAATACACTAGGATGAAGAAGCACTTCTATGCCGCGTAGCGACGTCGAAGAGCCCTACAGACGGCCTGCAGCTCATCAACACACCCGGATGGGCAACTTTGGTCACTATTCTTCAGGAAACCGGTGAGCGGCCCCTTAAGCGTCCCTGGCTGAGCACGGCCGAAACTGCACGGCCTGTGTCCCAATCTGGAAAACGTTACTTTCCCTCACGGGCTGAGTCTCCCAAATCTGAAAGTGAACAACTTGCTAAGAGGTTTAAGGGAGCTAGTCTGAGATGACTGGTCGATATTTCCTCCGAGCCGCCTCCAATGCTACCTACTCAGCGTCGATTTTTGTGCCAGGCACGTAGTCTGCATATTGACGCATATTTTGCCATTTTCGACGTGTTTCATTTGCTAGCCACGTGCGCCTGTATGCTCCAGAGAGAACGAACTCTTTCTCACATTTTTACCTCATGGAGTCGATGGACGGTCGGCTCAGGTGTTCGATTGCTGGGAAAACTGGGGGTGAATTTGAACGTATCGCGCATAATGTGCTTGGGAAGACTACCAGTAAGTAGCATTGGTAGGATGTCCTAGGAGATACTTTACTTGGCCCCGAGGAATATTATGAATGAATTAAATGGTTCATGGAACTGCCAACTTCGTATAATACATGGCCTCATACGGCTCAACACACATATGATCATTATTATGCACCAATAGAGCGGGAAAATGAAACACGGGATATACATAGATAGTACTTGTAGAAGGGAACAAAAAAGAAATAACTCACCCCCCCTTAATCATGTCCCTTAACCGCTTTTCTATAACCTGTCTTCCCTCCACAGTCCTCCACACCTCATGCGGTGCATTCTCGACAATATCCCAGTTCTTCAAATTCCTTGTAATCATCGTTAAATCCTCCTGGCACTTGGCCCACTTCTTACTTTTCCGCACCTCCTCGTCCGAACTAATCACGGTCAACGCGGTATCGGGCATCTGGACATGTCTTGCGGCCGAAATCTCCGAGGCAGTCATAGAGGCAGCGACCAAGTTCTCCTGGAGCTTAGCCCGAATGAACTTCCCTGTCTGGTAGGCACTCCGACCAAAGACGCGATCTTCACGGGTACGGCCTCGGAAAACGGCACCGAGGATTCGATCAATACCTAATGGGGAGAGAATACCTCTGATCCAAAGAGCGAAGCCGTGGCCCGATGAGGCGACCTCGTCGAGGTAATTCTCGTGTGTGCTGTCGATGAGGAATATCCCCTGGACTTCGAGGAGGTGTCGACTCGCGAATATGCGGCTGTAGATACCGCCTATTCCTGCGGAGACGAGAACCCACGGTCCTTCCTCTCCGGCCAAGGCGAGGGCCTCGGAGAGCGAGTCGGCTGCCATTCCAGCGGAGAACGGGGACGGCGCGTTGTCGGACCAGCCGAAGCCAGGCCGGTCCCAGTAGCAGTACCTGGCGATAGCTCCCTTTTGGTAGAGCTCGTCGATGAAGGGCTGGAGGGTGTGTTCGGCTGGGCCTTCGCCGGCCTCGAGGATGAGAGTCGGCGGGGGGGTTGTTTCGCCGCTTGTGGTTTCGTTGACGTGCTCGCCGACACAAGCGAGGTGGACTTGGTAGTTCCGTGCGCTGACGTAGTATTTTCCTCCGGGGGCAGGGAGGGTCGCGTCGCGCGCGCGGAGGATCAAGGTAGCCATGAATAAGATGGAGATGATCGCGATCACGGCCATGAAGAGGGTTTCGGTGAAGACTGCAAACCATTCACGGAGTGAGCGACGGGTCTCCTCGCGGCCCGTGAGTCTCTCTTCCTCCTCCCTTTTGCCCCAGGCGACTGAACGGTTCTGCACGATGTTGTAGATGGCGATGAGCGTTGCCCAGACCACCGTGGCGATTCCGACCCAGCCCTCTTCGACGCGGATCCGGGGCACACTCACTGTGACGCACATGTCGATGAATAGGAACAGGGCTAGCACGAGACCCCATATCGTCATTGGTTTCGAGGGGACGGCAAAAAACAGAAGCCCGAAGACGAGGTATCCGAGTGTGAGGGTTGTGTAGGCGAACGCAAAGAAGCCAGATCCGCGTGTGTGAGTCGCGGGGGCACTGACAAATAGTGACACTAGTAGAAATGTCCACCAGACAAAGGTGATTGCGAGGAAGCCCGAAGATAGGGCTCGCAGTGCGCGGATACTCCAGAGGTTGTAAGGGGAGACCTATGTAGTTACAGCTGTTAGTTTCCATTCCTCAGTCTCTTTCGATCCTTTTTCATGAGAGGATGAAAAACTTACCGCGGGATCATCAGGCCTCAGATATGGCGAAGTTTGCCGCGGGAGCAATCGTGTTCTCTCATCTTGAGGTTCATGATCTTGAGCTTCTCTATCATCGCCTTGGGCATCATCGTCACCATGCTGATGATGCCTTGGTCTATGCCAGAACGAAACCATTTTTTATTTGGACTATGGATTGGGGAGCTGTTTCTTAAGTATAAGAAAGAAAGAAAGAAAGAAAGAAAGAAAAAGATCAAAATTGTGAAAGCATAGAATGAGATGAGCTCCTGGATATTGACGTCATTGAATGCATGTGCGTCATGAACTGATGAATCCAGATCCAGATTGGTTTCAAAAGAGAATTATATTTGGATTTAGACCAGAGTCTCGAGAGAAAAAAGATTCATCTATAGATAGATAGATAGAGATGCACTTTGAAGGTGGTGGTGATTGTGAAGAACAGGTGCGACTGTCTCAAGAAGGGAATTTAATTCTATTCTCCCTACATAAATAATAACACACAGAAGCAAACCACCTCCTTTTCATCCGAATTCTAGACTTTACCCAAGCAATCAATCTCTCTCCAACAACTTTCGTCCGTCCCACAGCAGAGTGAATATTCGCTATCTCTTATTCCATGAGCGAACTGCAAAAGTCCTTCGCCAAATCGAAACTGGCGAAACTCCCACCCGAACCCCCTCTAATCCCCGAAACCATCGAAGATGATTCCTCCTCAACGTCGTCAACAGACACAATCATTCCTTCGCCGACAAAGCAATTATTTTCCAGACCTGGAGGAGCCCGAGGGTACGTACACTATACCATCCTCTCGTCATTGGGAATTTCTGTCCCTCTTTACTTCCAAGGGAAATGACGTACATCGTGAGCAAAGCTAATGCGGGGGAGCAAATAGATCCACGACTACTCTAGATTGGACCGCCTTTTTCACCCAGGAGCTCTACCTCTCACAAAAGGTTGACGATCTCAATATAGAGCATCATGTATATCTCACTCCGCCGACGAACTCGGGCCCTCTCTTCGTCATGCACCACGGCGCCGGCTCGTCGGGTCTCTCCTTCGCAACCTGCACAGCCGAGATCCGCCAGATCATTCCCAATGCTGGGATTCTCTCCCCAGATGCTCGGGATCACGGAAGCACCTCCGTAACGCGGGAAGACGGAAACGCAGTCGACCTGGATCTGAGTCTGGACACCTTAACCCGGGACCTCCTCTTCGTTATTCATGCGACACAGGCGAAAATGGGCTGGGACATTCTTCCGGATATTGTTCTTGTCGGGCACAGTTTAGGGGGGGCCGTCATCACGGATGTAGCTAAGAAAGGCGAACTGGGTGCGAAGCTTCTAGCTTATGCTGTTTTGGATGTTGTCGAGGGTACGCGAATCAATACTCCTCGTACCTTGCTCTAAACTAACCCAACTGAAATCTCCAGGATCCGCAATGGACGCCCTCCAAAGTATGGAAACATACCTCTCTACCCGTCCCTCGCGGTTCCCCTCTCTAGCCTCTGGAATCGAGTGGCAGTACGTTCGTCTGGATGTATACCCTTCCCCACTCACCACTCTTACTAACACCAATCAACAATAACTAACTAGCACACGCTCCCGCACAATCCGCAACAGGACCTCCGCTCGAGTCTCCGTCCCCCCATTACTCTACCACCAAGACTCCCCCATCGACCCAACCAAACCCTGGGCCTGGCGCACAAATCTCGCAGCAACAAAGCCCTTCTGGGAAGGCTGGTTTGTCGGACTCAGTCGGAAATTCCTCGAAGCCCGCGGCGGGAAACTACTTCTCCTAGCCGGGACAGATAGACTAGACAAGGAGTTGATGATTGGACAGATGCAGGGTGAGTATCTATGCCCCCTGTCTTTCAATTTATATTCATTCATACAAGTGCAAGACAAGTATGAACTGGAGGAGATAGCTCTGACAAGTCGTAATCCTCTACAGGGAAATACCAACTCCAGGTCTTCCCCGAAGCAGGCCACTTCATACACGAGGACCAGCCCGCAAAGACAGCACAGGTTCTAGTTGACTTCTACAAACGGAATGACCGGAGTGCATTGGTGCTGCCGCCCAAGGTAGCTGATATGCAAGCCTCCGCGGCTATGAAGTTGGGGGGTGGGGCGCAAACGAAGCCCCAGGGCGGCGGCGGCGGTGGTGGTGGTGGTGGTGGTGGTATAGGGTTCCTGAAGAACCCTTAGCCAAGTAGATAGGTTCTTTTGTATTTCCTTTGTATATGTAGTGAATGGAATGAAAGGAAACCTCCCTTACGTCGCTGGTCTTCGTTGGGAAGAGAAGAGAAGAGAAAGAAGAATAAAAAAGATAGGGGTTGTAAATGTATAAATTCTTCCTATTTTATATTGAAAGAAACTTCTCCTCACCCCTTTTCAGAATGCAGAAAAATATGCATGTATGATAGTACAGTGCCCATTCCGTCAACACCAAAGCCATTCTTAACCCATGCCAGGACACGACGCCTTTTAAAGCATCCAGCAAAAAAAAGTAATAATAAAATAAAATAAAATACATCCATAACTTATTAATGTTCACCTTCCAACAATGCACTGAATAAGATGTAGATCAAACCCCACCGATGTCTTGCAATAGAGATAGATGATGGAGTAGGTAAGTAGGTAAGAAACAAAAAAAAAAAAAAAAAAGGGTATCCGACGCCATTTTCGCATACGCATAAAGTTCATTTTGGTTTTCTCTTGAATCAAGGAAGATAAGCGCCACCGGCAATAATCAGATTCATGTTGGTGAATTTCACCCTGTAGACGGGGCTCTTCTTCGTCGGGAAAGCACTAATCTGATCGGGTGTAACGACCACGTCTTTGCCCTTCTTCTTGCCCATCCCCGGCACGACAGAGCTCGATGTTTGGGTGGGGTTCGCGGGAGGGTTGGCTCCATCGATCTTGGTGCCTGCACCACCTTCGCCAACGACTCGGCCTTGGGATGGGTCGTGCGCTGGGCCGGTAACGTCCCACACGCGAACAGTGCCGTCAGCACCGCCGGAGACCAGAACGGTTGATTCAACGCTCCAGCTGAGTGACCAGATACCGCCCTTTCCGTGGCCACGCATGCGTTTGAGAAGTCGTCCGGGTCCCAAGTCCCAGAGAAGGATTGATCCGTGATCGTCTGCAGATGCAAGAATCTTGCCATCCCGGCTGCAAGCCAGTGCGGTAATATTACCTGTGTGTCCAGTGAACATGCGAACTGCATTCCCAGTAGTTACCGCCCACATGCGTACTGTGTGGTCGGAGCTACCGGTGAAAACGTAAGCGGAGTTAGGATGAAAACAAATGCAGTCCACATCCTGATCGTGTCCGACGAAGATGCGCTGTTGACGGATATGGTCAGTAACCCAGAGACGGGCGGTCTTATCGTGGCCTCCCGAGGCGAAGTAGTGACCGTACGGACCCCATTGTAGATCCCAAACTGGTTGATCATGTCCTTTGTAGACAACCATGCACTGCCATAGATCCAAGGACCATAGCCGGATGGTTTTGTCTGCTGACGATGAGAGTAACCAGCGGACATTGGTTGGTGCCACCGCATTATCAGCACGAGTAGCCGATGGGGCGAATGCAACTGCATATATGGGGCCTGAATGCCCAATCAGACGACGAGAATTTGAAGGAGGAGCATCGTCAACGTTCTCATATGTTGTGGGGATCTTCTTTCCATCCATGCTCCAAACTCGGATGTATGACTCTTGCATGCCAGCTGCAACGAGCATATTATCATCTGAAAAGTCCAGGCAATTAACCCTATATAATATTCAGCAAATATGTAGAAAGGAAGGGCTGTGGGGTCGAACTAACTAACCCATCATAAGTGTTGTGAAAAGTGAACATGCAGACGCTAACAGCAGGACCGACGCCTCCTGTCCTAGACTCAATCCTGAAGCGGTCGCGGTTTTCCTTGACTTTCTGGACTTCCATGGCCACATCACGCGCTGTTGATGGAGGATAAGGGATATCAGTACGAGTGGGAGCTTCATCGTCATCTTCCTTCTTGATAATTTGGTCGAGTTCCTGAACTAGAGTGTTCTGGCCCGGACCGGGTGGATTTTTTGCATCCTCGTCTACCAATTCAGCACGCACATCGCCTTCAAGAGCAGCCTCCATTGGCAGCTTCCCGAGTTTAAGCCTAGGCAATGTACCCGCCATTGCAGGATTGTCACCTGTGTAGGCAGAACCTGGATGATGACCGGGAATACCCTCATCCTCCGTAGGGAAAGACTGTCCCATACCGGCTTGGGTTAGCATCGCTGCAAAGCTAAACCTGTCATCGACGGCACGTTCTTTGGTGATTATGGTACAGTAACTGCTCAAAATGGCCGACATGACAGAGCCACCTTCTTTTTGTTTGCTTTCGAGGAACTGCATTAGGTTGGAAAATGCTGGGTTGCTGAGAACCAGGCGATACTTGTTGCCACGATATAGCTTGGCAATCGAATTGTCTTGAACATGCTCTGGGAGGCTGATAGGCTCTAGACCTCGCACATCTTCAGTGTGTTCCGGTAGAAAGAGGTTCTTGTTGATATCAAAGAACTGCTTGGCCTGCTGGGGATAGAAAGAGGTCACCATGTTCAGGAAAGAATAAACAAAGAGCGGCCACAGGACGCGTCTCAGTTCAGGCTGCACCAAAGTTAGAATAGATTAGCAGTAATCGACGAATCAAGATCGCACCTTGTACAAATCTAGGTTGTCCTCGACCCAGACCTTGAGCAAGTCTGCAGACTACTATTAACATATTGCTTCTCTCTCAGGTAAGGCAGACTGGTAGCCAGCTTACCGAATCCAAGTTGATACTTGGGACGTGCATCCTCTCCTAGCGGAGGCAAAGGACGACCATCAATCTCTTGGTTGGCAGATTCCATCCGAAGCATAGCTTCCGTACGGCTATAGCCCTTTTTGGCCAGGTAGTCTATGACCTGTCGGGTATTAGAAACAAACAATATACTCAGAATGCAACAAAGAAACAGAAAAAGTTCAAGAACACCGCAATTCCGATAGCCAACTCCATCCAAACACAACACATACAAGAACCGCGCATTCAATTCATCACAAGTAAATTGACTCTCGACATTCCATCCAGAAAAAAAAAAAAAAGCACTTTAAACAGCACCACAGAAACACAACACGACGAAAAGCCCAACCCCAAGTGATGCGCGCCGCAAAACACCCTCAGACACGCGCCGAGGCTAAAATACTTACAATCTGATTCAAATTCTGCTGAGACATCGCACCGCTAGGTGGCGGCGGTGGGGGACCCGGTGCAGGCGCACCAACAGGCGCAGAAGACATCTGCTGCTGGGGAGGCATTGACATTCCAGCACCACCAGTACCACCGGGGCCCATACTCCCACTTCGGGGAGCAGGGCTCGGGGCCCCGCCAGGAGCAGACATGGCTTTCTAGTTGTGAAGGTCCAGATGAGACGCTTCCGGCCTGTCTTAGATGCAGAGCGTGAATCGGAAGATGTAAATGAAAGAAAGGAGTTAAGATACCGACGTGGTGATGGGAAATGAGACGATTGAAGAGGGTATTTTCATCTCTCGGTTTGATAGAGGGAGAGAGAAGTTGCGTCCTAGCTTGCGGGTTACATAAGCGGATGCTCTAGGTATTGATTACGTGATCCGCATCGTCATTAGACCGGGGAAAACAACACCTCCTCGACTGCTTCGAGCACAATTGATAAAAAAAGCAAAGCTTATAGAAGAAAGTGGGAATACAATGGCAGACGGCGGGGATTCCGGAAACCCAGTTAAGGTGTTCACATCTGCCGATCGAATTCGACAATTGAATGAAGTGGACAAGGTATGGTGATGAGAGCCTGTCATTCATTGCATGACGACAGATAATTAATACCCTTCCCAACACAATCATACCCCCCAAAACAAATCGACATCTCCCTGCTGATTCCTAAATCGCACGCTCTAGGATGTCACTAAACTGATCCACTCCGCCGGCCTCGCAATCCAGGCTCTCACAAACGCCAAATCCGCTGACTCCTCCACCGCCGAGAACTCGCTCGAGTCCCATAAAGCCCGGTTCAAAGAAGCTACATCGCAGTACTTTGCTCTCCTCTCGTCTATTGATGTCCGGCTCCGTCGCCAGGTCTACGCGCTCGAGGAAGCTTCTATACTGGCGCCGGACCCATCGTCGTCTCGATCGGCGGATATACCTGCGTCTGGCGCGGGCGCTGTGGGAGCAGCAGCCAATCCCTTGGATGTGAGCTGGCTGAACAGTAGGAAGGATACCGTGGGGAAGGAGAAGGAGGCAGAGCTTTGGGCTGCTGCGAGGGAGTTTGTCGAGGAGATTAATCAGTCTTCGTCTCGGGATAGGAGTGGTAAGCTGGAAGATGGGGTTGAGGAGAAGATGGAGGTTGATTGAGTTCGTCCTTAGCTGGGATTTTGTTGACTTGTTTTTTTTTTTTTTTTTTGGTAAGGTGGGCGGGCTTTCTTGTATATGGTCCTGCTTGGCTACGGCGTTAGGTGGCATGCGAGAGCCTCGACAAACCTTTCGCTGATGTCTTTTTTTATTTTCTTACCTTGTTTATTATGGGGGAATTTCGACAACTATTGCATCTGATAGCGGCTAAGATGCTTGTGATACCCAGACTTGGAGGCATTAAAATGCGAGAATATATCTTTTGATACCTGCTGAGTGTCTAGAAACGTAAAGCGAAGCACGCTGAAGACAATCATCTTTGTAGACAGGACAGTCCATTTACATACAAGCACCTGAGCCTGATCCACAAAAAGAGAAAACCTGTAAGAAATATAGACATAGATCGACATATCGCTATAACTGCAAAGAAAAGCTATACGGCTACCGCTGTAGAGACCGAATCATCTCTTGCTGAGTAGCCCTGTCCCGGTTCGTCTCCGACAGTGATGCAAGGCCTAGGGCATTGTTAAAATTATACAAGATATGGGGAGAAAAACCAAAGGTAATTAATTAACTTACTCCTGAGCTCGCCCACGACATCTTTAGCCTTGCCGAAGTAGACCTCCTCTGGAAGCACAGGTTAGCAAGATACTTCCAAAAAAAAAAAAAAAAAAAAGAAAGAAAGAAAAACAGTTCTTGATATCACCAGGGGGGATGATAGGAATAAGGATGGGTACATACGCAGCAAGTTCCTCATCTTTAACTCCATATCCTCAACCAACCGGCCAACATTCGCGACGTGGCTTGCGTCCGACTCAACCGGCAAATCCACCTCGACCTGTCGGGTCATGTTGCCGCTGAGATCCATTTCCCCAAGTGCCTCCGACTCGTTAGACAAGTGAAGGATCACCGTGCTGGTAAGCTTGTAGTGAGACATGCGTGCGCGGTCAGTGGCTTCAAAAACATGGATGCTATCCCATTCCCCTGAGTTCTTTGCACCAGGCGTTACCCCTGTTTGAGAACACATCAGCAATGGCGAAACCATAAAGAAGAAAGGGCCCGATATCCAGCGGCATCCACATACCATTCTTCAAGAGAATCACACCAGCAAAGCCATCGTCCAGATCCCAAAAGTAGACACTGCCGACTCCGCCTTCGTAGTAAAGCTCTCTGTAAACGTCAAAAGCGTCGTTGGCGGCAACCTCCAGCTTTCTCACTCGTTCACTGGGCACGGTGCCATCATCAAGTGGAGGATCGAACTCGTTGCTCCAGGGGGACCTGTAGCTGTCACCATCGCGGTTATAATCACAGAGCAGGTAGTCACGGTTGGTCCTGGCGCATCGACGGATTTCGAGAGGCTGGTCAACGGAGGATAGGAGGTCCTCGGTCAGGTCTGGCACTATGCATGTAATAGCTTGCAGGTTCTGCTTGGTATCGCGGGGGTTGAGACGCCGGAGAAGGTCGCTATGAGGAGCAAGTTGTTATGGTCAGCGGGAGAGGCTGCAGGCGGGGTTCCGGGGGGGGGGTTGGAATCGGGGGCTGCCCTATCTTGGGAGGAGATAGGAGAGCTGCAAATATGGCGTTTTTGTTTAGGGCTGAGTACTTACAGCGCACTGTCGAATTGAGCGTCCGCCATGGTTTCGAAATTCTGGAGACTGTCCTGATTATGATGCTGTGTACCAGCTCCGAACTGATGGCAGGCGGACCTTTAGGAAGACGGGAGGTGCGTGGGGGGGCGGTGGACCGGGACGTGGCATTTGAAGATCCACTTGGAGAAGAAGCACACGGCGATGTCTACAAATGAATATACCACTTAGGGCTCCCATGCAATTAGTGAAATTGTCTCTGCACGATGTTACACGCCAAATAATGATGTCCAAAATATATTTATACAATAAAGTATCCAAAAGATCATTCAGTCATACACGCCTCGCATTACTCGTCACTGTCATAATCAAAAATCGACCGACTGCTGGGATTATGGACATCAAGGTCGTTGCCCAGTTTTGCACCCTCGCTTACTCTGCGCGGAGGCTGGAATGGTTTTGGCTTTTGGGGCTTTCCAAGAACTGCCAGGAGCTTACCCGGTGACGGGGGTTCGCTATCTGAACCGAAGAAGTCATCGTCTTCTGCGCCCTTTGGCTTTAAAGAACTTGGTTTCGTGAATGTGAACCTTGATATAGATGCCTCGGGGGGTTGCGCACGACTTTCAGGTTGAATAGATAGTAGAGATTCCTCGGGCGACATGTTTGACTCACGGGCCAAAACCTCTCTAAATCGGTCCTCGTATCCGGGCTTTACCTCGTTCATCCTCCGTAATGCCCCGATGACACGACGGGTTAAAGACCCGTGCCTCACTAATTTGGTTGGTCTTTGAATTCGTTGAAGCTGAGGAAAGGCATCGCCCCGTGGGTATCGAATGAATTGTGGACTTGTACCCCCTATATTTTGGTAGTGTTGCTCGAGTTCTTTTTGCTGAGCTGCGGTGAGTAGAACCTCTTCGAGACTGGGTACATCTGCAGGTTCTGGAGTAGGTATGCGAACCTTTTTCTTCTCCGGTGTTTTCTTTTTTGAGCTTCCTGTTAGATGCGAGGCCTTGGTGAAGCCGGTTTCAACATTGTCTGGCATATGGAACTGCTTTGGAGGCCTCTTTGGGGCTCGTCCTCTCTTTCTTTTGGGCTCCGGCAGATCCCCAGACGCGTTCTCATCGGGGATAGTAATTTGGCGCTTGTCGGGAACCGGTTTCACGCCACTCGGCAGGATGCGTGGTGATATATCGTCATGAAATGTGAACCGGGTACCACTAGCTATCATCTGCTGCATCTTCTCGTAGTTGTCCTTTGCTTTGATGTAAGACTCCTCTTCCTTCCCTTGCATGAGCAGCAGTACAATGTTACCCGCTCTCTTTCGGCCTGTTCGGCCCATGCGTTGAAGCATACGGATCGGAGAAGCTGAAGAATCGTAACATACGATGAGGTCAACCTCTCCGATATCCAAACCTTCCTCACCAATCGAAGTTGCGACAATTGTGTTGTAAGTCCCTTTCTTGAACTTCTGTATGATATCAAGTTGAGTCTTTTGTCCCATTCCGTCGGATCCTTTGGCGCTACTCTGTCCAACAAACACATGGGGCCGAATCATCGGCTCGTATCTCTTCAAGACCCTTGTTACTTCTTCAGCACTATCTCGGAAGTGTACGAAAATCATCACTCTCGTAGCTGGATGGCTCTGTTCTGGTCCTACACTACCCCCCTCACCAGAATCCATGAAGTGGTTTAGGACAACTTGTTTCAAATATTCGAGTTTGGGGTGGCCAATGAATTCTGGATTTTTTGTCCATGGTCCCAGGTAGTTCATAAGCTTCTTGAAGTGTTCATCCTGGACAATTTGTCGCTGGTACTTCCCTCCTTTCTGACCATCCGTATCGGATTGGAAATGGAGGAGATGACGATAAAACGGAGTGATCCCATGATACTTAAGCAAGTCGATCCCGTGGGCCATACTCGCAAGAACCGTGAATATCGCATTGACCTTTCCTTTTAGCCCAAAGTTTGCACTCCTTCCAGCGTCGGACAGCATCCATTGTTGTCTGGCTTTGGTCAGTCCATACGGGGTCAAGGTCATTGGATCTCTACCCCAGTAGGCATTCAAGTTACGGAGCTGATCGACAAGCGGCTGCAGTGTGCTAGTCAACAGGTCCATACATAGGATCATCTCATCCGAATTTTGGAATGTTTGTATGTCGGTATTCCTATCATGCACGTACTCACGAATGTCCAGCGACTGTTCCGTACGGATTTCTACCCTTGCGATATCCAGCCCATCAATGACAGCTTGTACAGACTCTACGGTAGATCCAGGAGTAGCTGTCAAAGCCAAAACCCGAAAGCTCTGGTTGAATCGCCGGAGAAACTTGACCACTTCGACATATGCATAGCCCCCAGTGGCGCGATGAGCCTCATCGACGACGAGTAAAACAATGCGCTTTGGATCAGCTATCCCCGACTTCAAATCATTGGTCAAGGTCTGAGGAGTCATGAAAAAAAGACGTTTGGTCTGCCACTCTTCTGCACGGATCCCAGGCGCAGCCTCACCTGTGAGCATGGTGGTTTGGGACCGTGGAATTCCAGCGATCTGCAGGCAGGCGGTTATTTGCTGGGCAACCAGCGGTTTCGTAGGGGCAACAAAGATTATCTGAGCATCGTGGGTCCAACGAAACCAATTCAGCATGATCGTAGCGGCAATGAATGTTTTCCCCAAACCAGTAGGTAGTGCTACCAGGAGATTATGAAATAATCCTTTTTGTGCAATATTGAATTGATAATCTCGAGTCTTTCCCAGGTTTGTAGGGTATATCCAGGTGTCCATGGTGTCTTGGTTTAGTTTGTGTTGAGTTGGAGGCTCCTCCTTCTCTGGCGGGGACCATAATTGCTCTCCACGCGGGGGTGGGTTGGGGGAGTTCCGAACAGCCATATCAAATAGTGTGGTTTGACGGACACCTAGTGGGCGATTTCTTGATTGAGAAGTGGCCCAAGGTACAGAGGGTGCCACTGGGTTGGGGGGCGGTGATAAAGAGAGGTCAGAGTCAAATGCGTCGTCTGGGATATCGTCGAATAAGTCGACTTCTTCAGGGGCAGCTCGGACAGACGAAGGGGTTGGGTTTTTAGATGTGACTGTGGCTATCTTTGAGCTCTCCTCTTCAAATGATTGCAGTGATGCTTCAATTGCCGCCTTGAGGTCGTCGTCGTCCCCATAGTTATGGTCTTGGCTAGCATATTGTACTCGACGATCTGCCGGGGAGATGGCAGCAACTTGGGGGGGAGAAGGATTAGGTTCGGGCTTTTTCCATCGAGGACCCCGGATCATTTCCGGTGGCGATGGAGGTTGGGTTAACTGGGTGACGAAGATGTTCTCCTGGAGATTGTTGTGCTTGGGAATGAACACCTTGTATTTGGATTTCGATTCTCGGTCTGGGTCATCTCTAAAATAGAGGGAGGTTTGACCAGGTGACGAGGGATCATCTTCATTTTCATCGAGGAATGAATCAGCACCAGATCCAAAGTCCTCGCTGTCCTCTTCGTCCGTAGCTTTTCGACGTGACGACTCTCGGACCGGTTCTCGCGCACTGACACGCCGTCGTTTAGCCGATCTGGGGGAGGGTGCATCGTGAACTATAAAGTCACACATTTCATCGTCCAAATAGTCAGAGGAGCCATCTTCAGGATCCGACATGTCGAGACCAGGTTGTCAGAGCACTCTCGTCTCCCATCCATCATGAAGTCATACGGGAAAACGCGACGCGGCTCGGCGCGGAGTCACGTGCCGGGTCTATTTTAAGCCATTTGCCAGCGCCCAATGAAGAGGCTGAATTCAGAGTAAAGAGAGAGAAATAAACTGGTCTACGGAGTAGATGGGGTTTAGTTATTATTTAGTAGAAGTAGGAAATGTTCCACCTACTCCATATTCCCTGGCGCCCTTTGGGGGACCCCGGATTCGCCTCTCTACATACAGGCAACGAGTTCTAATAGTTCAACAAAACAGCTAATCTGACACCTCACAGGCTCACATTGCATTGGCATTTCTCACTCTTACTCTTGATCAACCTATAATTCTTCCTTTTTTGTCCCCAAATAATAAACCAGACAATTTCTATTGATCCATAATAAGTGGTCTTCCGCGATCTGGCTGTCATTCCATCCTTCGTGTTGGGTCGATGCAGAGCCGAGCCAGGGAATTCCTCAGTGCCACGGCGAGGAGTAGTGAAACTCAGCTAATGAAAAGCCGCCATGAGCGAGCAGCAGGGTTTCAATAATGCAGAGTAGTGCAAGCGCGTGTCTGTCTGTATCTTAATACGGACTGTGATGTCGCATCAGCTGCTGATTCAGGACGCATTGCTTGGCTTCCCTGTTTTGCTTTTATTATTGACCTTCCTTCATCTCTTCTTCTCTCTCTCTCTCTCTCTCTCTTCTCTCTTCTTCTATTTCTTCCTCCATCGTCCTTCTTTTGATTTTTCGGGCCTACTACTCACTTGTTTTTTAATCCTTCTTGTTGTAATCTCAGCGTCTGTCGTTTCCCCGTCAAAATGAAGCTCAATATCATTGCTCTCACTTCACTCTTGGCCCTCGTTGTCGCTGAGGACGCCTCCTCTACCACCACTGCTGCTGCCACTGCCACCACCAGCTTGTCTCCTGAAGCCTCTTGCGCTGCGAACTGTATGTAACCCCCCCCCCCCTTGATTTCATCTCGCTCATCGGCCCGTATCAACACTATCATCAATTTCCAAGACTAATTGGACCAGGCGGTGCTGCCGACCGTTGTTGCCGGGCTCTATGCTTCAGGGTCCCCTGCCCCAGCGAGCAGCAAGCCAATGACACCGTCAGCTGCGTGGCGGCCTGCCCTCAGGGTAACGGCTCTCCTGCGGACACTGAGGCCTACGCCCAGTGCCAGGCTAGCTGCTACAGCACTCACTACTTCCCTGCAACTGCCACCCTGGCTGAGAGCTCTTCTTCTACCAGCTCTGGCTCGTCCTCGGCTACCACCACCGGCAGCTCGGACAACTCTGACTCTGGTATGTTTTCTTACACTTGAATAACATTTCGCGACGCAGAGCTAATTCAGCTAGACTCCTCGAGCTCAAACTCGTCCAGCTCCGGAACGGCTACCGGTTCTGGTTCCTCTGCCACTCACACTGGTGCTGCCTCCATCACCGCCCTCAAGTTCAGTGTCTCCGCTCTCGGTCTGGGGGGATTCTTCCTGGCTGCCTGGGCTCTGTAAACGAGGCCAATGCACGGAATGCGAAAGATCCTGTGTATATGATGATTCACGCGCCCAGCCCAGTAAGGCATGGATGGGATGGGATGGGATGGAATGGAATGGAATGGAATGGCACGAAACAGAATTGTCTGATGGTCTAGCACCCGCATAGTACTTGTTTTTTATTACTTTCTCAGCTGTTATAATAATTAATCCTGATACCACATTAACTACCTAATTTCTTTATTTTGTCAGCATTGATCAATCAGGTTGACTGATTTGAAGTCAGATAATCCCCAAAAATCCGACACCAACTTTAGTTGGTTTCCCACCACCTATAGACTCATCAAACCATATCTTCAAGTAAATTGAAGATCAGCACACTGTCATCTTATTCTTTCATCTGACAGCCACCACCAGAATACTTCTATTCGTGGGGTATCGACGTAGTCGCAGCGAGGGTAACCGAGAACGAGGGCAAGTGATTGATCTGGCCATGGCATATGCAGTCGGGTCAATTCAACTAAGATACCGCATCAAATCATCCACCGCTACATAACCTGTCTGTGTCGGTTGCAAAGGTAAAGACGGAGTTGAGTGGTGATAGGCATAGTGACGAATGGGTTTACTCCGTCAGCAATAGGGAACCCGGGCCATATGTATGAGCTTTTGGGTGACGAGCGCAGTTGAAATCTCCAGGAGGTCTAGAAATCTGTCAGTCTATTACTCTATATATGGTCGTGTGATTCATAGATGTTACTCTCCCGAGACGGTCTTGCTGAAGTTTTTCCTGATCTGCTACAGGTAGACAGATGATGCCACCTTTTCTCCGCCAGTATTTCTGAGAAGCTTTCTCTCCGTTCTTTCTTCGGGTCCCGATTTACCACCAAGGGAGGGAGTGAGCCTGCCGCACAGCAACGGTGTAGGGATCCGTCTTGTTCGTGTCAGCCACTAGGTCAAAAGGCTTCATGTATGCGTTTTAAATCTCTTGCCACTATTTCTTCACCAGCCTCGATGGATATGTCATGATGTATTCGGTAATCTATCCGAGTATATCTGCTGCAAGGAAGTGTCTATCAAGAAACATGTCGTCTCTTGCTCCCGGATATATTCTTCAAGGCGCCTCTTGGAACTACCGAATTCTCAACCCTATCCAGGGAGACAACACACACACACACTTCCACCATCTTTAAAGCCGAGGTTATTCCACGTGAGAACGTCCAGAGCGTTGCTAAAGCTCCCTAGGCCAAGCATGTGCTGAGCCAACACAGGTCTGGGCAGTTGCAGCGATGCTGCTGTGCTGGATTCAGCCAGGTATTTTAGGTATACTGCGCGTGCTGGAAAAGCTTCGCTCGAAGCATGCAGCTCTGGCTTCTAATGGCGTCAAAATGATCTGGCAGGGCGTTCATGGTCCAAGCAGCATAATAGAAGTGGACAACGCGCCTCCGCATTGTCTCTTGAACAATTTCCTGTTCTTCGTGGCTGAGTTGGGCGAAGTTTTCTGGCAATTTGACCTCGGGCTTAGATCGCGTCTCAGACGATGGATCGCCCCAATTTTGGAAATGATCGGGGATTCCGGCGCAACAGGCAGAGAGGCAAGATAGCTGCATGTTGCCAGTCAATGATTCCGAACCACCTCGTTGGAAGTATTGAGCAGTATATTATTTCGGTGAAAAGTCCGGATGGCGAAGGGTCGGGCGAGACATGCGGTGGTCGGATGGGACGTCGAGGTAAGGGGCTACTTTCAAATAATTGCCGAGAAGATGTTGGTATGGAATAGGTGAGATGCTCTGGAGCTGGTATAATTCTGGTAGGTATCTTTCGACGTGTAGGCGTGGTTTGCCGAGTATACGGAGTATTAGAGCATTGACCTCTCTAAGGATATATATATATATATATAGTAGTAGTTAAGGCAGCAAGGCCACACCACACACGCTTCTAAATTTAAAAACCAGCCACCCAACAACCAGTTCCTCCGTTATTTCCACCAACCCCCAGAAACAACAACAAAAAGAAGCCAGGGACGGGGGAAGAAAAAAAAAAATACAATGACAGATCTCATCCCCAGAATCACCCAGTTCGTGGTAGAATGCATGAAAGCCCATGACCCCTCACATAACCCAGCACACATCCACCGCGTTGTCTCTTTAGCCCTGTCAATTCTCAAAGCCGAACAGTCCCTCCCAAATGCTCGCAAGTACGATCCTGAAATCGTACATCTTGCTGCTCTGCTGCACGATATCGGAGATAGGAAGTACTTGCCGCAGGTTCTTGCGAGTACATCTGCTTCTGCTTCTGGATCCAGCAAGGACAAACCAGTAGAAGCAACGCAGCTCGTCAAAACCGCACTGCTATCCCACGGTGCGAGCGCCACACTGGCATCCAGAGTCCAAGCCATTGTCTCTGCAGTGTCGTACACTAGCGAGTGCAAGGATCCCTTGTTGGCGCGCCGCCTCATCGACGAAGAAGGATACCCCGAGCTAGCGATTGTGCAGGATGCCGATCGACTAGATGCCATAGGTGCAGTGGGAATCGGGCGGTGCTTTACGTTTCTTGGGGCGAAGGGGAAAGGCATGGCGGAGGCGAGTGGGGGGGGATGGGAGATGCAGAACTCGATTGAACATTTCGAGGAAAAGTTGGAGCGCTTGGAGGGGATGATGAAGACGGAAACGGGGAAGAAGATGGCCAGACGGCGGACGGAAAGGCTGGTGGAGTTTCGGGGATGGTGGGAGGAGGAGATGAGGGAGGCTGCGGGTGATTGGTCTTCTTCGTTCTCTTCTTAGGTGTTAGATACCTATATAGATAGTGTGAAAAAGAGACAAATACATCTATATCTCGGTATATATCTATGTATATATATTTAAATCAATTATTGTCTATTAGTTCTCACTACGAGTGGGTATGTACTAGACTTAAAAGAACCTTCAAGAGTACACATGTGTAGACACCAAGAAACGAATGTGGTCCAAAAGCCTAGTGTTGAATGAGAATGATGCCGCAGTTGTCCCAATGGGCATGGATTTCCAGATGTGAGCGGCGAACAGCAACAAAAATCAATCAAAACCAATCCAAAAAAAAGAAAACCCCCCCCAAAACACCAACCCGTGTAAAGTCTAAAGATTTGCAATATTGCCTGTAATTCCACGCATGCTCTCCATCCGTATAAGTATGCTATCTCCTCTCTGCCTCGGGTCAAACCCGATCGACAGCAAAATCCAAGACCTCACAGTCGTCTTCAAAGAAGCCGTCCTCGGCCCCCCCAGTCTGATGGAGCGAAGAGGCTTGCTTCTTCTTCCGCCGCGTCGTAATGACGACCTCCTCAACGTTGCCAGTGCTGTTGCCCAGGCTAATCAAATTCTCAATTCCTCCACTAAATCCTTGCTGGTGTTCGTGCTGCACCACGTCATCGCCATCATCGTCACTGCCCGCACTGAATGGGCGGACGTGGAGCTTAGACATTGGCATACCACCTCCAAAGACCCACTGACCACCCGGATCCGATGCTGCAGAGCCATCTACCTCACGCGTGTCAGAATATGTAAATAGATTAACTCTTTGATCCGTGTGGAAGGGTTGGTATGGGGTGTTTGTTTCGAGCTCCGCCTGGGAGAGCGGCTGGCACTTGAGCTTGGTGGCTGTCGATGATCTTGGGGCCGCAGTGGGCAAAGCCAATGATGCGTGAACGGTCACCTCTGGATTGAAGGAAATGAAAGCCATGGGGCCACTAGGACTCGCCAAATTCGCAGGCAATCTATATTCAGCCTCCTTGTTCCCAACCACTGACTGAGGTTGCCGAGTCCTATTGGATGATACAGAGCGTTTAATTCTATACAGTCGGAAGTATCCGCTGTCCACCAAAGCCAAGTATGGTTGGCTCTTGTGCGTAATCCATGCGACGCGTGAAACAGCCGGGTCCCGGGCAAGCCCTGGAAGATGTAAGCGGTTTTCACCCGCGTGCCGCAGGGTATTGACTGTGCCGCTCGCTGCCCCCATGGACTTGCTTAAGCCAGCAGCAACTGCCTTACCACCTATCACCCCGGCTGCGGATGGAATGGCAAACCCGCTCACGGCAGGAAATGCAGCCCCAGCAGAAGGTGTACGACCCCTGACTGCAGCAATAATCGGCTGAGTCTTGCCCCCGACAAGTTTGATCGCCGTGGACAAAGGACTTGCGCTAGGTGCTTTATCAGACAACTCATCACGAGGGAGGTCAGTCGCTGTCTGTTTGCTGCGCGCAGCCCGGGCGCGGCGGAACGGAGGCCACTGGAAGGCGCTCCGTGGAAGTTCGAAGACGTGAACTGTCCCTTTGCGAGTAATGACGGCCAAGCGATCTCCAGATGGAGGGCACCAGATAACGTCCACAATATGCGATGTCGTCAACCTCGCATACCGTGCAATCTGCCGAACATTGGCAGACGCTGCCGCCGTATCATCGGAGAGAAAAGCTCCCGCACGACAATATTTTGCCTGCATCAAATCCCATACATACTGAACATCGCCCTTCTTGCTTGCGGTCAGAAGCATGAGACCACTTGGAGAGAATGAAAGGAAACTACATCCATTAGGGACCTGGAATGTGGCAACAGGCGTGAACAATGCGGTACTTTTCACATCTCCTCCTTCGTCGAGCCGTCTCAAATCCATGATGGAAACCAGATCTGGTTCTGCCGGGGAAGCGGCTTGGGTCTCCTGAGCATGCGTTGGAGGAAAGGGACTATATCCCTGTTGCGGGAAATCCATTATATGAGAACGCCGTGCTGGAGTGTTTTGCGGTTGATCCTTATTCCAGTAACTATTCCAAGCCTGCAACCCCTGATCACCCATCCAGCGTGCCCCCCGCACAAGCTCCTGGGTGACGCCCCGGGCTACTTTGTCGAGAAAGCTTTCACCCTCACCGACATCGGTAACACAAGTAATGGCGGGCCGCGACGGAGGACTACGCGTCTCAAGCCCGAAGATCTTGCCATGCACCAACGACGCCGGCACCATTGCACCAAGAGATGCTCGGTAGGTTGCTGATGGCGGAACGATCGCTAGCCATCTCCCCTTTAACGCAAGGATCGGGCTATCGGAATTGGTAGATCCATGTGGAGAATCATTTCGAGACCCATCCGGGTCCGTTGAGCTAGAAGAGGTGGAGTACCGTCTTGTCTCTCTAGACTGAATACTAGTCCAAGTTTTGCCCAGACACTGGTATGTATTCAGGTTATAGATAAAGACCTCTCCACTCAGGCCAGAAGCTACCACGAAGTAATTGCCACTTGCAAAAAGCTTCAAATTTCCCGATGGGGAAGGTGTGAAAACCGGAAGTCCAGGGATATTTTCAAAACATGGACTAGGTTTGGTTGTCAAAAGCGTTGTGACATGATTTCCTGTTCTCAGAGAGTATACTTCCACTCTTGTTTGATAAAACTTGGCATCGTCACGGCTTTGGCGCTTCTCGGCAGTGGAATATCTTCCAGTAGGGACAGACAATGTCTCATTGGTTTCCGATCCAGTAGAAGACGCACGACCCTCGTCTTCCGTTGGGACGCAAGGGCCATGCAAAATAACGGCAACATGTGGTCGGGACGTTGAAGCCGGGTCATTTGGGGAATTGCAAGCTAGGATCTTTGCCTCGACCACACGGCCAGTAAGACCATTCAGTTTTCCGATCAAGGCGCTCTTGCGGTCGTCTACAGCCAACACCTCCAGTGAACCATCGGTGCCGACCAGAAGAACGCCATTACCCATTCTAGACGTTTTAAATGAAGGGCTAGGGATCGTGTCGAAAGCACAAAATGAATAGTGCCCGTCATTAGGGGACCGACTTTGGGCGGGAAACGACGGAAGATCGATATCCGGTGCTCCGTAAAAATGGGCCTGTGGTAAATGAGGCAACGGAGTATGATGGGTGAACGGAGTGCTGACAGAGTGACTCTTCTGTCGATCTACAGGCTGTTGTCGGGGGAAGCTACTCGGATGGCTATTCCCATAACTTAGGGGCCTTGTCCTGGGTGGAGGTGAGGCAGAAGAAGGATTGCTGAATCCACCCTTATCTTGGCTAGTAAGAAATCTGAATGGGGACTCGCTGGGGATGTCCTCATCGAGGATGTCGTTTGGGGGACTCTTGCCATATGGGATGGATTTTGCCCACGTGTCTGTCCTGTAGGCAAGGTCCGGGTCCGGCGTCTGCCTGAGCGAGTCCAGCGCATCAAGGATTGGCGACCCGTCATCTAGCTTACTGTGTGGCTCTAGAGGTGGATCCGGGCAGGACGACGGCTCAGCCTGCAAGGGCGGAGATCCTTCGAGTCTATGTAACATGCGTCAGTGATTTTAGGTCTAGCTGATAGAGGAGGGAGATGTAGACTCACAAGTCTTCTACAGGCGCCTTTGACGCCACCTTGGCCACCTTGTTCTTCCCTTTGGATCCGCCTTTTCCCTTTTTCTTGGTCTTTCCCCCCGTATCATTCTCTGGATTCGCACGGTTCAAATCCTCGGGAAGAGGGATGTTATCTCCTAGGGACCGGCTCTGCTGGCGAAACAAGTCGTCCGAAGCCACCGGGGGCATTCAAATGGATAGACTGCCTCGATGGGGCAGGACGGTTCTCAGTAAGAACAACCGCCCTCAAGACCTATGAGTTAGGTCCGAGAACGGAGTGGATGATTGTGTCGTCGACTCGCTGAGACTTCACACCAGACGGATTCCTTCGAGATGGTTGGAACCTGTAGTCGATCAACAAAGACCTGTCAGCAGCATGACTCATGGAATTCCCAACCACATTGATAAAACAAGGGGGGGGGGCAGTACAGGTTGTAACAGGCTGAGATGATATTTCTATAGATCTAATGAAGTAAAAGAGACGGGTGGTTGAAATGGAGGCAGGTTGAAGATGAACCGGACAACAGCGTATCCAAAGCCAGTGATACGCGTAGATCCCGGGAATAAGGACAACTCGGAAGCTCAGCTTTGACCGTATTGTCCACGTTTTAGAACCGGAGGGTGAAAATCAATCAAAGAACAACAGTGAAATACACAAGTTGATCAGAGTAATCCAAGTATAGTTGAAGCGTTGGAAGTTGTATGAAGAAGGGGAAAGTAGATAGGGGGGGGGAGGGGAAGGATAGACAGATAGATAGAGGGGAGGGAGGGGGAACCCGGATCAGGTCAGGAGCATATGTATGGAGTACAGCGAGATGACATCGGCGCTGGTAGGCTGACAGGGGATAATTCTTCCAGCACTGCCTGTATTTCCCAGGTATTGATTCTTCAAAAGTGACTCCATTTTCCACCACTTAATAATTACCTTCTTCTAGTTATAGTTAACTACCTCTGCTGAGGGGTTCTTCCCATGACGAAAGGCTGGCGGATTGATTCTTACAGAGTCCTAACCTAACCGTCATAACATGACGCAGGTCCTCCGCGAACTCCCCACGTAAAATAGGATCCTTGTGATGTCGTTCAGTCTCAGAACATATAGTTAGGTATGGTCTAATAGTTATGTAAGGGGACATACATGGCTTTGTACAGTGTACAGATGATCCGCAGAATACTAGTCGCTCATCAAGCATCCCCCACGCTATTTGGCCGCATGTACCGCATCTCATCCCAGTGACTACAAAGTAGATCAAGCGGAGTGAAAGATAATACACAACCGTTACAGCCCCGATACACATGAGGGGGTAATATTCCTGGTGCAAACATAGCAAACCCCCCTCGCCACATGATTCTCCTGCTTGCTGCGAGACACCAAAACAAGCCATCCATCAGCACTGTAGCACTGGTTCATCTCGTCATCCAAGGCGAATTTTCTGGTTCTAGCCGTCTGTCAGACCCTTTTAAAATTCGCGTCTCTACACGCAACGATTAAAAAAAAAGGTCAGGGGTGGCCAATTCTCAGTCGTCAGTCGATCGGAAGGTATGCCAACTTGGGATTCCCGTGATCTGGTGTCACGGGTTCTGCGTGCCATCGTCACCTGTCAGGTTCTAGACGACAAGATATATATGGGACATCACAAAGGGTGATCAGATCAGGTCTGTATTTAGGGGTTTCCCAAGTCTTTTTTCTAGCGGAAATCGAGTCTTTGGTTTCACCAAGAACTCTAATACCTTCCTTCCCCTGGGAGAACGCAAGGTAGAAGGAACGACAACAACATATAGGGAGTTGCGCTGTCAACCCAAAGATTATCAAGCGGCGAGGGAAATATAAGAAATGCAGAAGTATTGTTACAGATTATCAAGTATTAAGCCGCCCCCCTAATAAAATCGTCTTATACACACTCCTTTCGCAACCCGACAAGAATAGCTGTCTGCACAGCTCAGGTCTTCTTCTTAGCAGCAACCTTCGCCTTCGCTGCCTTCTTCTTGTTGCTATTGATCATCACAATGCCGATGAAAGTACCAACGACAGCTGAGCCCAGAAGGGTGAGGATCACGGGGATGCGAATAGCCCATACGCGAGGGAGGAAGAAATCGTGGAGAGGGTGACCGGGATCGACGAATGGCTGGCAGGAGTTAGCAATTTATCTACGGCTGTAAGTATAGCAGATAGAAAGCAGGGAATACCATGAGCAGAGTCCACGCCGTGTAATAGAGGAAGATCGCAGTCGCGACCAGAAGCATGGCAGATCCCACGAGTTGGCCCAGCTAGAATGAATCAGCACACTGAAACTCCATCATTGCTTGTAGGGCAACTGAATAGTGACTGAAATCCTTACCATAGTGAAAAAAAAGGGAATTTCCAGACTGAGCGCAAGAGGTAAAAGCAAAATCTTGAATTGAAGACGGTCTCTTCGTATACACACGACAAGGAGATGCGCCAGCCTGGCTCCTAAGCTACCACGTGACCTCACCCGCGCTAAGACTTCTCCTTCGCCGCCTCACATTTCGTTCGACAGACCTCCATCCTACCTTTCGATTCTAGAGCAATCTACGGATTATCTAGATACCTGAGTGGTTTGTTTCTTTTTTGAGGGACTGCGAAGAAGTATGACGGATTCTCTCGTCTTGCAGTCTGCGGTGCGAGTGCCTACGCCTCCCCCAGGTGCTTCGTACTCCCCAGGACCCTCGGGCTCTCGAAAGCGCTCGCCTCCCTCCCGTTCGCCTTCACCGAATCGACGACGCTCCCCTCCTGGAGACCCTCTCGGGCCTGATAGCGATGCGCCGAGAATTGACCCAGAGCATGCGGTCGAACGCGAGCGCCAACTCGCTGAACGAGTTCGCGAACATGAGAAACAAGAAGCCGCGCGAAAACCCATGACAGAGGAACAGAAGCAGGCGGCAGCCAAAGCCGAATATGAGAAACTATTGAACATGCGCTCGGGCGGTACATATATCCCTCCCGCTCGCCTTCGCGCTCTGCAGGCCCAGATCACCGACAAAACCAGTAAGGAGTACCAACGAATGGCTTGGGAAGCGTTGAAAAAGTCCATCAATGGGTTGATTAACAAGGTCAACGTGTCAAACATCAAATTCATCGTTCCAGAGCTCTTTGGTGAAAATCTTGTCAGGGGGCGTGGTTTGTTCTGCAGGAGTATCATGAAGGCGCAAGCAGCAAGTTTGCCCTTCACCCCGATCTATGCCGCAATGGCGGCCATTGTCAATACCAAACTACCCCAAGTCGGAGAACTGCTCCTCAGTCGGCTAATCGTGCAGTTCCGGAAAGCGTTCAAAAGAAATGATAAGGCGGTTTGTATTTCGTCCACGACATTTATCGCCCATCTGTGCAACCAGCAGGTCGTCCATGAAATGCTTGCCGCTCAGATCTTGCTTCTCCTCCTCCACAAACCTACAGACGATAGCGTTGAGATTGCAGTTGGCCTGACAAGGGAAGTTGGACAACATTTGGAGGAAATGAGCGGACCCATTGCCCTGGCGGTGTTTGATCAATTCCGAAATATCCTACACGAGGCCGACATTGACAAGCGAGTGCAATATATGATCGAAGTTCTATTCCAAGTGCGCAAGGACCGATACAAGGACAACCCGGCAGTTAAAGAAGAACTTGATCTAGTGGAGGAGGAGGATCAGATTACCCATCGAATCGGACTCGACGACGAGATCGAAACTCAAGACAGCCTCAACATATTCAAATTTGATGCTCAGTGGGAGGAGCACGAGGAGGCCTACAAGAAGCTCAAGGCAGAAATTCTAGGAGAAGGTAGCGGTGATGAGGAAGATGAGGATGAAAGTGATGAAAGCTCGGACGAGGAATCCGACGAAGAACGGAAGATCGATATCAAAGACCAAAGCAACACGGATCTTGTCAACCTGCGTCGAACTATCTACCTCACTATCATGTCCAGTATTGACTTTGAAGAATGCTGTCACAAACTCATGAAGATTTCGCTGCCAGCTGGACTCGAGCCTGAACTTCCATCCATGGTGATTGAATGTTGTTCCCAGGAGCGAACATACTCCAAGTTCTATGGCCTGATTGGCGAGCGGTTCGCAAAGATCAATCGCCTGTGGTCCGACCTTTTCGAGGCAGCATTTGCCAAATACTACGACACGATTCATCGATACGAAACCAACCGGTTGCGCAACATTGCCCGTTTCTTCGGCCATATGCTCAGCAATGACGCTATTGGCTGGCATGTCTTGTCTATCATTCACCTGAACGAGGAAGAAACGACATCGAGCAGCCGTATCTTTATTAAAATTCTTTTTCAGGACCTTGGAGAGCATCTTGGCATGCCAAAGCTGCAGGAGCGTATGCGAGATGAGATTCTACGGCCCAGCTTTGAGGGTCTCTTCCCGGTGGACAACCCTCGCAACACCCGTTTCTCCGTCAACTATTTCACTAGCATTGGTTTCGGTGCTCTGACCGAGGACATGCGCGAGCACTTGAAAAACATACCCAAGCCAACAGTTCCCGCTTTGCCTCCTACGCGCGACAGGGCGGATTCGGACTCGGAGTCAGTCAGCACGCGCTCCAGCTGCTCTACATGCACCGGGCCCCGCCATTCACGCTCCCGATCCCGATCCCGCTCCTACTCCTACTCTAGATCACCATCCCGAAGCCGCAGCCGTGACCGTGGCCGTGGCCGTTCAACCAGCCGAGGCCGATCCTATACACGGTCTTTGTCGGGCTCCTCCCGTCGCAGCTACACCCCAAGCTCCTATACCGCATCACGCTCTAGATCGCCGGTGTCACGAAGCCGCCAGCGCTCAGTTTCGTACAGCCGATCCCGGTCTCGCACTCCCCCTCGCCGGACCAAAGGTGGGCGGGCTGACTCGCGTTCTCCGCGTCGCTCCCCTGCGCAGTCCGCCACCCCACCCCGACGCGGCGGACGAGACCGCAGTTACTCGCGGTCGCCGTCACGGTCTGTGTCGCCCCCTACTCGACGAGCGCCAGCAGCAGGCAGCAAGCGGTACCCCTCAGAGTCCCAGTCGCCTCCTCCCCGCAGGCGGGCAGAAAGAAGCGTATCCTCCCGGCGCCCGCCTCCAAACCGGCCAGCGCGGGACTACTCCGAGTCTCGCTCTCGCAGTCCGCCCCGGCGACGACGAAACTCTAGTTCTGTGTCTGGGTCACGGAGTCCTCCTCCTCGTCGCGCACGAAACTAATCCAAGAGTGCGACTACAACTCACCATAACGACAGGTTGATTTTCAAGAAGGTTCTAGTCCGGTCAATTCACTATCATAACGATGTATTTATAGCATAGCTTCGTATCCACACTAAAATTCAAGCAGAAGATATTAATCCGACTTGCATTTCCCAAAAAAGGGAGACAGGAAATGACTTCTCTCTCTCTCTCTCTCTCTCTCTCTCTAAAAAGTAGACCGACCCCCTTCCCCGGCCTTTTTTTTTGTTTTTTTTTTTATCCAGACCATCTCCATGCTTCAATTCCAATACTCTATTCCAATACTCTATTCCAACGCTCTATTTCATTAACAATCACCCCCAGCCTCCCAAATACACCTCTCACATAAACACCCCCCCCCCAGGGCGCCCCTCGCCCACTCCCTCCGCTCCTTAACATCCAGCCCAATATCACAGTAATGATTCAGAATCTCCTCGTCTTTCCGAATACCGTTCCAGTTCTTGATTCCCTGTGATTTCTCAGTCGCAGTCGCAGTCGCAGTCGCAGTCTCCGTCCTCGACTTCGACTTCGACTTCGTCCAAACAGCCCGCTCCTCTGCCCCCCTCACCCGAAACGTAATCTCGCCCCCCCACTCCCACTTCACGTTCGGATCACAGGAATGGTTCGCTAAGCACCACAGCGGATGGACGGCGCAGAGCTCAGGTCCGCCGTCCCAGGTCGAGAGGCGGCCCGACGCCGTGCCGCGGAACTTGGCGTAAAGGGTGTTCAGGACCCAGGTATCGTAGAGCGGGAGGGTGGTGTAGGGGTCTAGTTCCATTTCTTCGAGGATGCGCATGGGTTGGAGGATGTTGAGGTGGAAGCTGAAGGGGAGGGTTGCTTCGTTTTGTAGTCGTTGTTGTTGTTGTGGTGGTGGTGGTGGTGGTGAATTTACAGCTAGATTGGAGGTGGTGGTTGAGTCGAATTCCGAACCGGAACTGGAACCCGAGTGTGCAAGGGAAGAAGGTTGGAAGTCATGGAAATCCCCCCAGATATACTTCACTTCTGGGAGGTCTAATGGGTGCATCTCCTGCGTTGCCGCCATGGCTATCGCCCGCCCCAGCAGTAACAGATAGAGATAATCTGCTTTGTCCTTGGCATCGGGGATGTCCTTTCCTATGGACTCGAGGCCCTCCATGAGGCCGCAGACCGCGCCGTGGTAGATCTCCTGCGCCCGGTCATGGCAGGACGCAGAGCAGAAGATGGTGTCGTCGCAGCCTGCGCAGGCGATTGGTGAAGTTGACGATCCAAGATTCGGCAGGGGACCGTTACAGGCGTCGCATAGGTCGTCGTGGAGACGGTTTGTCGCTGTGAGGAGCGAGGTTTCGTGGAGGATGGTTTCGCCAGGGAAGAGGTCTTCTTTGGCGAAGAGGCCGAGTTGGATAGAGACTTCTCCGTCTTCTTGCTCTTTGTCGTTGTCTTTCGGAGGGGTTTCCTGGTCTGCGGTGGTGGTGGTGGTGGTGGTGGCAGTAGTCGAATGTAGCGCCGGCAAGGCAACAGCGCGAACCTCACATTTCGGGGCAACATCCTTCAACCGCTCATTCAGGAGCAGCAAGGTGTCGGGCGCTTTCCGGTCCGGTTCATGCTCGTTCCAGGGGTAGAGGATTCTCCGGGCAGAACCCTGGGCATTGAGCTTCTGGATATCAATGCCCATTCCAGAAGGGTTTCGTCCATAATATCTCCTCTTGATGACTTCGATCTGCGCCAGTAGAACCCTCTTCGCCGAAGAAACAGACTCAATGGCCACCTCCAAATTCTGCAAAACGGCCAATCCCCGCACCGCAAACTCGTACGCATCACGGAGACACCCGCACCGGACAAGACTCTTCACGAGAAGCGCATACACCGGCCCAATGATCTCATTGAATTCGGTTTCTGTAATGGATTCGAATGCTTCATCTTCATCTTCATCTTCATCGTCTTCCTCGTCTTGCTCTGTAGCTACATCAGAATGTAACTTCCTCCGCGCATGAAACTCACACCCTTCCGGATCCAGGACAGAATCCAGTAACGAGAGCGCCCTGTACGCATCGGCCGAAGCCAGATCCGCGAACCCCAAACGCTGATGGACCAGTCCGCGCTCCAGGTGCAAGTGTGGGTTATGGGGGTCTGCATAGAGACGGGCAGTGACATCTGCGCGGTCTTGCAAGTTTTGGGCCGGAGTTGGCATGCTTATTATCTCGATTCCCGAGTCCTGTGCAATTGCAAATGCGCAGGGAAGGCGGGGGTATAGTAGTAGGTATAGTAGAAATTAAGGATGTGGCATGTGCTTGATTTTCTGTGTCGGAATTTGTGAGAGCTAGCCTTGCCGATCTATAAAGCCTTGTAGGAGGAATTGATCGAGATATTGATGCTAAGCATGTATTTTCCTTCTAAAATATATGCGTCTTTTACTCAGGACTTGGTCGGTACATCATGGAAGAAGAAGTCGAAAAAAAAAATCAACCCCCGCAGATAGGTCACCTGACCTGACCCGACCCAACTACAAGAAGAAACGACATAAAACCGAGATCACCCGTGGACACTAGTTATTACAGATTGTGTAAATAAGAGAAACAGTTCCTGGAATATGGGATTCAGGAAATCTCCTGTGTAGAGAGTGAGAGGGGGCTGTTCCAGCCGGTGCTGTGGATCATCGCCGCAGCCCGATTCGGGATATCGACTACAGAGGGTTGGTCGATCTGAAAAAAAAGAGCCAGAAGGTGACAAACCCCAGAGCTGAATTATTAATGGTAATGCGCGAGTCTTATTGGGCCCTCTTGCTCTTTCCAGACTTCTTTCCATTGCACAGCATTTCGTCCTTCAAATTCTTTCTTCTGACCCGCGGTGAAAACATCTGGATTCAATGCTCTCGCCGCCAAAGAAAAGAAACCAGTCGTGAACGATGGGTGCTTCTGAGGAGGGGGATTTCGAGATAATTTCCCTATTTCCTATCCGTTGGACATCCTTACTTTCTGTTCTGTCTGATCGCGGGGTCCCTCACATCACCTGCCCGCAAGCAAATTCGTCAGCCTGATTTATGATTCCGAGAAACCAAAAAGAAGATACTTACGGCACAATTTTCATCCAAAACAATCCGGGCGTTCTCTCCAGAGGCTAGCCCCCCCTGTTGCTCACGTACAGTTGCCGCAAATTGAGCCAGCATGTGTCTCTGTTTACCGTTAGATGAGTCCGAGTCCCAAAGGTGGAAGGAGAGCGGTCACCTAAGGGTGTACGTACCGTGATGAATGCATCGCTCATGCCCCCTTGTCGCTGAACATCATTCTCGCTCATGATTCGATAGCTATCATGCATACACTTGCAACTCTTGAGACCACCGTAGCCCGGTCCAAGCGTATTGGCAGGGTTGCTAGGGTCCAAGATGTTGATACCACGGCGGGCGTCCTCCTGGGCACGTTGATCTGGCGAGAAAATTTTGATGGTATCGTCGATACCAGAAACTGCCATGGTTGGCTCATAGGGGTGGCCTACGGATAAATGGTTAACATGTGTATCCGAATGAAGGTACCGGCCTAGTATGTGACGCACCTTGCACTACATTCACCACTTCATCATCGCCCTTGAGAATATTGACCAGCTTGCAGGTGTCCCTTTCCCAGATAAATATGTGGCCCAAGTCACTTCCACTCACAACATACTCGTCATTCAGTCCAAAGTAGTTGGCATCCTTGACCGTCTTAACGTTACAGTGCCCGGTGTAAACCCTAGTATGGGGGGAGCACGGGACATCGGCCTCCACCTCCTCCTCTCTTTGACTCCGTTGGAACCCGTAGTTTCTGAACATGCGCTCAGCAGGATCTGTATCGCTGCTATCACCGTCAAACCCATTTTCGTCATCATCGTCGTCATCGTCGTCCTCATCGTCCTCGTTCTCGTCCGAAGAGTCGTCAAAGTTTAGGCCCAGGGCAGCTGCAAAATCATCACTCTCTTCCATTGCGTCGCCATTCTCGTCTTCATCGCTTTCCATGACACTACTGGTAGTGGGCGTCTCCGTGCCGTCTTGGACATCATCTCTGAGTCGTGAAAGGTCGCGACTGGGGTCCCGAGTTATTGTCAAGCTGATATCCTGAATCGGCTCCTCCTCAATGTTCGCCTCCGTATCGTCCTGGGATCTCTCTATCTCTATTTCACTCTCAGATGCTTCGTCTTCCACGGTAGCGTTTAATCCGCCGAAAGCCCGATTGACGAACTCGAAATTCACGCCTGTGCCCGCCTCCATTAAAATCCCGCGGCCAACCTCTAGAAGCCAGAATTGCAGAGACGTAGACGGATCGGTGGCCCTGGTGGTGGCTGAGTTGGAGTTCCCATTGTGATTGTCAATATCGGCAGGCGTTTCCGAGGGATTTTTGATCGGCTCTTGCATGTTTAGGGCATATGAAAACGCATCCACTGCCGCATGCTGGGAGGGGAAAAGCACACGGGTTATGTCATGCTCGAACCTAGAAGTATCAACGTTTACCACAAGAGTGCTGTCCGCGAGCTCTTGCAAATATGGGATCAACACTGTCTCAATGGCCCTCTCATCGGCATTTTCCGGTATAGGGAACCGGTTCCAATGGCGCCGATTAGTGGACTCGTGCTTAAACCCAGAGAAAACAGACCCTCGACCTCCCTGGACAAACAACAATATTGCCTTCAAAAAATCGTACCCAAATTGCTCTCTCCGACTAAGCACGCCATCTTCTCCGGGGGTAGGTTTGATTTGCTGGAACATCTCCAATTCGCGTTCGTCTAATCCTGGACTTTGAGCCTCTCCGCCTAAAGCCCGGGCTAGCGTCCCAGCGGCTTGGATAAATCTATATGATGACTCGCGATTGCGACGGAGAGCTTGCTGAACCCGCACAACCTCGGGAGTAGGATTCATCGGATATCCCCACGTGCGCATGGCCTCTTCCATCTGAGGCAAAAGCGTCGCTGCTTGCATGAGGACAGAGGAGAATGATTCCTTGAAGGCCATGATGGAAAATGGGTTTGACAACTCAGCCTCTTCACGCACCGAGGCTTCCAGTGAGAAAAGGGCTTTCCGCAGCTTAACAAGACCCTTGGCAATCCGCAGGCTATGTTTTTGTGCTTCGGAGAGCACAGAATATCTTGCCTGTTCTAATATTTCCGCCGAAGTCGCATCGGATGTGGCATGTTCTTGCAAAAGAGATGGAAGGGAGATATTCTCTACCTCGCCATTTCCGTACCGGACACGGAATGCAAGCTCACCATTTTCCTGCGTTGCATCAGATCGACGAGATCTGCGCCGGCCACCACTAGAGTTGGAAGACAATGAGTTTCCATTGTGGCGCTTACGCTTTCTGTTCTTTGAACCTCGCCTCCTACGGGAAAGGGACTTCCCCAGCGTAAACGACTGGCGTGCCTGCTGGATTTCTGTGGCATCGGGACTTCGAATCAAATCAAAGCTGTATATGTGGTCGCCGGACCAGCTCACAATCATTTCGTTGGGGTTAGCGTTGCTGATTTTACATGCGGTAATATGACCCTTGTAAGGTGACTTGGTTCGCTGCTTTCCGTTTGGCGCAAACTTCCGCACACATCGCGTTGCCTGATTCATCCTCTCCTCATCACCTATGCCAGGTGAAGCGCCAGGATCACCTTTTTCCACAGAAAGGTCACGTCCCAGCATGCGTCGGTCATGAAGGAAGCAGTGGAGGTGCGCCCCACCCAGCGCGATATAATGCGGTTGGCTTGGAGAGCACGAGATGGTATTCAGATCCACTCTGTGCCGTTTATAGGAGATTAAGGGAGGAGGCACGTTGGAGTCGTCATGCCCGCCGTGGGAGTGAGCCATGAACAATAGTCCACCCCGAGGTTTGGGGTATGCAGATGACGGTAGACGCAAATCCCACTGGCGAACTTCCCCATCCTCAGAGCATGTCAGGAAAAGATGTGGCGATGATTCAGTAACAATCCGCTTGGCACGGTCCGCGTGGCTGCGGTAGATTCGCGCATTGGTATTTCCCACCCCGAGGTATCGCGCATTGCTAAAGAAGTCATTCAACGGGAGATTCCGATACTGTGTGGAGGGCAGAGGTGCAACTGTCCTGTTGGTGTATTCGATGTCGAAGACCCGTACCTGAGAATCACCGGCGGCGGTCACTAATGTCCGGTCGTTGCAATGCGGCATAAACGCGACGGAGAATATATTGCCGGTATGGCCCGTGTAAACACTGGTGTTCAACGAAAAGGGAGCGGTTGACGAGTCTGGCTGGTAGGAATATATGTTCAGGTGATAGTCATCGGAGCCTGAGGCCAAAAGTTTGCCGGATCGCGACCAACTGCAAAGATGTTAGGATCATGAGAGGAGAGTGGAGTCCCCAAAGCGCACAGAGAACATACCTTAGGGCATTGACACAGCCAGTATGTCCCCCTAACTCGTTGACAATGTCAAGATTGTCAACCCATTCTTTGGAGCCATAAAGACCACGGATATTAGCCCACCGCGACGTTTCCCCTGCCTCGCGGCGCCAAATACGGTCGTACAGCGATCTGGTCATTTCTGAGTCGGTGGACGGGCGAGGAACAAGTGGCTGCTTAGCACCAACGGGCCAGAAGCATTGCGTGTAGCGCAAGATCGCGCCCACAGATCCGCCAGAGTGACGTCAGGCTGAGACTCGCAGAGGCAGCAGATCGGATGGGAGAAAGACAGAGAAGGGGTGGAGTCATGAAAGAGGAGGAAGGAACTGCAGAAGGGGGAACATGGGGTAAAGGTTGGGGGAACGATATGATATGAGGGGGAGAGAGAGCGCAGAAGAAATGAGCGCGAGGCAGGAGGAGGGGAGAGTTCAAGGAAACAATGGGTAACCAGATACCGAGCCTCAGGCTCTTGCTAACTGAATATAGTGTGGCGGAAACAGCGGGGGAGAGGACAAGATGGGCTAACAACAAGATGAGAGATTACCATGAGATATAATTCCTACAGGGGAAGGAGGGAGTAAATGAGAAGTGGAAGGGGAGAGGAAAAAAAAAAAAAAAGGGAAAAAAAAAGGAAAGAAAAGAAGGAAGGAAAGAAGGCAAGGAAATGAGTGCAGAAAGCAGAGAGACTGAAAAGATCCACCAGGTCCAGAACTGACTGATACTAGTTAGTGGACCAGACACCAAAAGTCGGGAGGTTCATGAGAGCGCCGTTCCATCCCTCAAATCACGAGAATGTACTGGCTAGTCCGGAGTATCTCAGGAGTACCGCAGACATGGGAAAGAGTCCAGCCCCCCAGAGTAAGTACTTTTCGGGAACGATGATGTCACTCAGTTCTTCTCGATGATTTCTCATCCTTTTCTCTTCCTCCAGACAGGAGAAGAGGAGGAGTAGATGTTCCCATCCCAATCGATCCGGTCCTATCTGGAAGCATCCTAACCCACATCATCACTTGAGGAGCGGGATAGAGTGAGAAACTCGCAATGGAATAATGTAACCAGAACTAACTAACTAACTAGTTATGACGACAGGATCTGTGCTGAGTCAGGATCTCCTCCGCAGGTCTTCAATTTAGACTAACTGGTTAATTCTTCAGTCTGTACAAAATACGATCATCGAATACTTGACTAGTTAACAGAGTCATTCAATAAAAGGATATCTCTCTATTCCTTGCCCTCTAGCCATCTCTTGTCATGGATCGGGAGCTGTAAATAAATAGTACCCAGAGCGTAAGAACTAAATAGAACAGCATCGACTCTCTCTTGTTAGCTATCTTGTCCCTTACACACAAAAAAAAAAAGAAACTAGCCCTAGTAGAAATTACTCCTAGGGCCCGATCTGCCTCCTGACATCCTGTTCCAGTCTGTTGCACAAAAGGACACCTGGCGCAAAGTACTCCTTGTTCAATCTTCGCTGTGTCAACCTGTCTTTTCAGAAATTTTCGAATGTGAACAATCATTAAATCCAGGTTGTTTCTCCGGTTTTTTGTGGACTCCCGGGTTGATTAGATCCCAAGATTCGAAATTATCGGGCCGCTATCCAGCATCTCAACCCTGAATCAGCCCACCACCAACACATGAAGACTACTATCGTACTATAACCATGGATGCGCTGGCCAAGGGAACGAGCAGGTTACGTGTTTTGTGTCTCAGGGGTCTCCAAGGCCTAGATCCGGACAGCCAACGATGCTCGCGCAGGTTAGAACTCGTAGCAAACAGTCGAACCCCGCGTCCCTCCCCAGATATCTTACCACATCGGGTCTCGCCGCAAGGATAAATACAGGCAATGTGTATACAAGACAGACACATCTCCAGAGAAGCGAGTTTTGGATGCGTCCGGTATCAGCAACTGCGTGTGTGTCTGTGTCTGTGTCTGTACGGAGTATGTACACTGCAGCAAGAACTAGGCTGGTGCTCCGCCAGGATCCAAAAGGACCCAACCCACTCACGGAAGATGGGTAATTCTAACCATGGGAGACTAGTGTCAGTATCGAAGGAAAGAGAAAAACAAAAAAAAAATGCAAGAAAACCGGTTTTTCTGTCTCGATGACATCTTCGACAACCGGAATTCTGGATGGTCGAGCATGCTTTTGTCCAGTCAAATCTATGTGAAGCCCTTCATCTCGGTACCGCAGGAAGAAAAAATAATTTAAAACTGGTTTTTCCTCTTCGCTTACAACTGACTCTGGGAGTAGTCAATTTTTCTTGCACCTCTTTTGTTTTCAAGTCCACGAAAATGTCGGTGCCTTGGAAGGTTGGACAGGAACAACCTTGAACAACCTGACATGTTGCCAGGAGTACTTCGTAGCCGCGCGAGGAACAAGACAGGGCAGATGGAGAAACTGGAGCAATACGGGCAGCGCTGTCATGATTTCAACAACGGTCGTCTCCACATTCCAGTTCTTGGAACCTTTTCGTCTTGCTGCTGCCGTGGCGCTGTCAACTGCTGTGCCAGCTGACTAACCCACATCTCTTCCGACTTTACGGTGTCAATTTCGATCTTACGAATTGCGTTCAGTTCCTCGACCATCAGACGGGTCATCTCATCAAGACCCTTAGCCGTTCGTAAGAGCGCAGAACTGCCAAGCAGCTCCTCTTCTCGGTAGCCCAAGATATCCAGGCTCTGTAATTGTCTCGACGCCAATTCTAGCTTCATGATCAAGGTATTTACCTCCTCCTTCCAGGCATGGTCCAGAGGATCTATGAAGACCACGGGCCCCAGTCCCCCTACTTGTAAAAGTCGGGCATTTCTTAGTTCCTCGACCCTTTGGAACCAATTTTCGAACTCCAGGACAACCACTGCATACCGCCCCCCTAGGCCGTCGCTTAAATCATATACTTCCTGCGCAACTCGCGACAGGAGCTGGATTTGTTCTGCAAAGCCCTGCTGACCGTTGCGCTCGTGTGCATTCTTGAGCCAATACTGCAAGGCTTGCCCATTGACTTTCCTCTGTGACTCATTTTCCGCACCCAAAATTCCCCTATAATCTGCCGCAACCAAGTCATACTTGCTCCGTAATTGCGCCTCGGCACCAGTTTCCCAAGCGGTGTTTTGTCGCAACGAGGACTCATGTAGTAAACTTAGCTGCAACAGCTCTGTCTGCAACGCCGCAATCTCTGGCCAGGATGAGGGAATCAACGAGGAAGCAACATCGCTGGAACCACTAGCTGCTGGCACGGGAGTCGGTGGTTTTGCCGTCGTTTTCTTCGGCGAGTAATGCTGTTGGTAGGTGGAAAATTGAGTTCGTAGCCGGGGCGTTGTCGGCGTAGGTGTGAGTTGAGGAGGCTCAGCCTTCCGAACTCCTTGGCTAGAAGCTGGAGTAACAGTAGCAACCTGACTACGATGTCTTGCATGCCCCTTCGCCGCTGTCGGAGTTCCGGCGCTTGAACTTGCGGGTTGTCGTAGGGAGGCCGATCGAGTCGGTCGCAGAGGAGGAGGCATATCATTTTTCTTCGAGACGTCATCCTTTTTCAGTGGCGAGGGTGGACCACGGGGAATGGCTGTTCTCTTTACTGTCGTCGACACAGGGCTCGGTTTCATAGAAGATGGGGTCTTCAATTGGGCGAGTCGCATAAGGCTTTGACGGCGTGTTGGGAGGGCAGTAGAAGTCTGTACTGGTGGTTGTTCTTGCGGCTGCTTCGAGAGCGGATTCTGGACGATTGTACTCGCCCGCTGTGGTAATTGCGTCGTTGTTGTGGTTGCTGTGGAGCGTCCATCGTGGACGGGGAGAAGGCTTCTGTTTCGACCCGAAGGATTCTCGGTATTCTGTGTGGTATCATCTGTTGCTCTGGTGGGGGTTGAGACCGGCGTGTTTGCAATGGAGCGTCCTACAGGGGTAGGCTTTGACGACAGCCCGTGTCAGAGGACGTTCGGATCATCGCATGCAAGGGGATCTCAATGCTGATACAAGACTGACTGACCTGTTTTCGGGGCTCCCGTAGCCGTAGGGAACCTGAACGCGTAGGGATGGGCATAATTTCAATAGAGGGTAAGAGAAAGAAAAGAATAATCCAGTATTGGTGGGTGTGATTGTGGGAGTAGACCGAGAATAGGGAGAGAAGGACTGGGAGCTGCGGTGGGTACTATCTTAGTTGTCGCCGCTTTTAGGCTCACCGGAGTGTTTTTTGGACTTTAAAAAACACCTTCTTAGATCTATGATATTCAAGGCAACTCGCTATTCCACCCATATGCGAAATCTCTACTTGACATCCGCAGGTAACCACTTCTATCTTTGTCTATCACCCAGTTGGGTACGCACCCGGATTTGAAAGCAGTAACTGCAGATATATCCCTGTCAATATATATAAATGCTGTTCTTCAGCATTTCATCTGCAATCTTCGACGTCCATAGAACCAGGCATGTCAGGATCAGTAGTAGCTCCAACCAGCAATCCGGATTCGATGTTAATACCTGGAGGTAGGGAGTGCCTGAATTGAGTTTACCTTATCAAGTAAGTATATTTTCAAGGACTCCGCAGTACGCGCTGGAAAAAACAGGGGTGAAGTCTACATACCGACAGAGTACCTAGTAGGTACCTACCTGGTATACAGGGGTTGTACGGAGCTCTGTACCCCACCTAAATGTACTACTACTACTGTGTTGCCAGAGGAGGGGTGGAGGCAGTAGCAGCGTCTTTCGTCTCCTCGTATGGACTGAGTTCCTCGTCGTTGATCTTCCATCTGGAACGTTATTGAAAGGCGAAATCTTAGGTATAGACTACTTACATGCCTACGAAACCGACTGTCGTGCCTTGCTTGGTCACTACTTAGTTTGATTGGACATAGGTTGGGTTCCTCTGGCAGATGATCCGTACCTGCATCGGAGCTGCTGTTGAAAATGGCCTAAATCCATTTGCTACTCCAGCCAGATGTACATATGAAAATCAATTGAGGAATCTTATAATTCGTAACGCGTATATCTATTTTTGCTCCAATTTGGATTTCCTTTATACCACCGTGCATGACTCCATAAAGGGTAACAATAGCCCATGGTATCAAAACCATCACATAAACTTTTCAGCCCTCATATCGGGGACGAAAGGGACCGAGGGATATTAATAGGGATGAAGAGCGAACAACAGACAGAGACAAGATACCTAGTCAACTGCCTAAGAACATCAGATCCGTTCATTCACTTCGCGCCAACCCGATTCTAAAACCCAGCGTTGTTGCATTTTGATTTCGGGGGAATTGGTAATCTCTAGTTGATTCATACAAACAAGTATGTGAATTCAATCGGTTTTATTCGCCTGTGAACGTCGAAGCCATCCCTGATTACAGGCTTCCACGCCTAGGGAAGGTGACCCCTTCCACTGCGGCATAGTCGGTGAACCAGCTCACCTTATCGCCAGCACCCTCGTTGACAAGAGAGGACGGAAGGTCTCTCCCCTCCTCTGCATCAAAGATCTGCTTCATGATATCCTTCTTTCCACCTCCCGTGGCCACAAAGGCAATGTTCAGGGCGTGCGTCACCACTGGTAGGGTGAGGGTAATGCGTCTTGGAGGGGGCTTTGGGGAGTCGCTGATTGGGGACACCCAAGCATCCTTCTCCCGTAGCAATTGGTGGCCTGGGAAGAGACTGCAGGTGTGGCCATCGGGACCACATCCAAGGAGAATCAGGTCAAAGACAGGCAGCTTCACACTATCCTTCGCCGCAAAGGAGCGCATCAGTTCTTCTTGGTACAAGTCCGCAAGCTCTTGTGGGTCCTCGTCGTTGACATGGTTCGGGTCGATGGTCCGCACCTGGGGCGAACCGAGCTGCGATGGGATTTTGTTGAGAAGCTCGTCTTTCAGGAGGCGGTAGTTACTGTCCTCATGGTCGAGAGGAACTGCGCGCTCATCTGCGAAGAAGATTTCCCATTTCGAGAATTGAGGGATATCCTCAGGGGTGCCATCTCCAGGGGCTAGGAGAGCCTTGGCGAGAACAACGGGGAGAGAGCCTCCAGAGACTGCGACGCGGAAAGTGTTGTGACGGCTCAGGGCGGAATTTTGGCGGCGAAGGACATACCCTCGTAATTGCTCGGCCAGAGCGTCGGTATTAGGGAAACTGTAGAGGTTTGGGGCTGGACCGGCCATGGCGAATGAACTCGGAAATTTGCGCAGGATTAAAGACAGGGCAAACAGTCAGGACTGAAAAGACAAGAGATGGGAAAGGAGACCGTCGAGTTGTAATTTGGAGGATGTTGGGGTGGTTGTGGTTGTGGTGGTGGTTTCGGTCAAGAGCTCAAGGTGGGGTGGCGGGGCAGAAGATAGAGGTACACTGGATCAATCACCCGTTCCTACCAGAAGCGAAGACGAAGGTAATGTAACGATGAGCACCGGCTTTTGGGCTTAGCTTGCTAAGCTATTATGCGTTTAGTTGTCAGCATGAACGAGAAGTGGTATAGGAAATTTCATATTAGCAGAATAATGGTCCAGAGCTACCGTTGGCAAGAAATTGATTACTCCGAGTTGTCGTCAGTAACATTCCAACTATGACGTGGGCGCCAAGTGGAAGGAAGCAGCCTGCCACTGCCGCCCTTCAAAGGTTCGCTGGCAAGGACGCGACATACACCGATCAGGACATTGATTACTGTGCAAGAAAGGCAGATGATGGGGTCCAAACTTCTGCCATATTGGGATCTCCCTGCCCTCCGCAGCCACGGAGGTCAAGCGGTTTTGTACAAGATCAGGAGCCCAGATCCAAGGGCTGTAAAGACCTTTCGAATCCTGATTGAGAGGGAAATTGACGGCGGTCTGTACGAATGATGTCAGCGGGATGTCTCCCAACTTACCTTCCCGTGGATCAGAAGAAGTTCTATAGGTAGGCGAGCAAGCATGGCGCTGGATATCGCCGCGATCACTTGGTTCATATCATGATCAGATTAAGGAACCATGATTGGTGGACCTCGAGTTGCGATACCCGAGCGACAGTTGGAGAGGCTAACTTTTTCGTCCTCGTGCATTCCCAGTGTACCACCAACAAAAAGCGGACCGAACGTTCATGCACTATTACAGCATCCTGCAGACGCTTGGAATTTGGTTATACTCTTTTAGGGCTAAAATATTGCGCCTGGTGATTAGTTGTCGGGGTTGTGCCGAGTGGCTGCAGGGCGGGATATTCGTTAATGGGAGAACAGCAAAAATAACATCAACTCCTCGGATTTGCACTTGTCCCCCGTGAATGTACTTCTACTCTAGGTGTTTGTATGCACGTCCGCGGGCTCACAGGTAGAAGTGATGTGATGATTCTGACTTGGGAAAAGAAGGGGGTTTTATTTCGCAGTGGGGGATTGACGCAATTAAAGGAAGAGGAAGTTATCGCATAACCCTTGATAGTTCCAATGTCTGATGGATACATCTCGAAGCTCGGAAATCAATGACAGAATGAGCGATGACGATCCGCATCAGAGCAAGAAATTCGTGACGGAGGCATCGTTCAGTGTGTTCATTCTTTTCACGCGAAGTCTCAAGATATCATCATCATTGGCAATTTGTTATCAGAATGCGAAGGGAATGTAGGAGTAACGGCTATTTGGATCCGAAGTAGTCGGCATAATCGGTAAATAACGGACAAGACGGAACATAGTAGGTAGGAGTAAGAAATGTCAAAAATGCCTCAATCCTGCGTGGATAAAAATAAGCCGCTAAATATGACAGTGACAGGAATAGGCATCATGGAAAATAAATCACAAACAAAATTAATACCATCATAACTAGAACAGAAGCAGAACGCAGATGTCTTTCCACCTCAAAAATGCGGGGATACGCCAATTTGAGAAAGCCAGCGGTAGCCCAAGCGCGGAAAGGTCGGGAAATATATGGGTTTACGGCCTCTGTTCCATTTTCATGATGATTCACCTTGACAGAGGGGGGTCAGACCATCTGCTAAAGCTGCCAAAGCCCAGCGTAAGCCGGGGTGCAGTGCAGCTGCCCCGTCGAACGGGTACGATTGCAAGTATAAATAAGTATTCTGTACGGAGTACTTTGCACATGAAAACCAATATTAGAGGTCCGCATTCCTACTGTATATGGTTCTACATAGTTTACGAGGTAAAATGGTTGGGAAGGGAGCTGGACACCCTGTCCTGAAGACAGCATAAGATGACCGGGAGGTGAAGTCCGTAAGGCAAAGACAGACGGAACCGGCTCAAAGGATTCCCAGAAGCACGGGCGTCAATCTTTCGCACGAGGCTGCCAATTATTGGACATCAGGCCGCAGGCTACTCCGCTCAGCTAACCAGGGTTTCCACGAGGGATGATCCAGATTGACCTTATCTGCCTGGAGTGAAATAAGGTAGGTGGTTTGCCTCCCGAGGTTTGATGTCAGGGTTATGTTGATTCGCAGGCACGGATGCCGCTGGTGAGGCGATGCTGATGATTGATGATGACCGTGTTGATAAGAAGAAGCCAGCGAAGAAGGCAAAACGAATAACCTTTTAAGGGATTCACCAACGATGACCTGCGCGACCACAGCCACGGAGGCCGTGTCCTGGGGATCTGACGACCGGGGAAGCCCGAGCGGGCGACGACAACGACAACGGGTTGATGAGGCCATCGACAACTGACTGCCAATGGTAATTTAGAAATGAACCAACGAGATGCCCGTAAAGATGCTCCACTTGCCTCATGAATATATACCAATAGACCGAATAAAGACGAACAATGTGGTCGTGACTAGGCAGAAAGCGGCCAAGCTGAGTCGACGGCTTAAGCGGCCAGTGATGGTGGATACGCGTTTTACAGGAGGTGACTGGGGCCCTAAACCGGGCTTGACCGTTTGGAGGTTCCTGAGAAAGTCGATCAGTTTGCTCCAAAGGACGATCGCTTCGCAGCAGAGTCCGTCATGACGACACGACCTCTGGAGCGTTAAGGTCTGTATACGGAGCAGAAAGAAAGATACCGAGTGGCGGAGAGTCGGGACTAACCGACTCAAGCTTGCCCTTTGGGCAAGCCAACCTGCAGTATTATTTCACTTGTGCATCTAGTGTGCTATTTTGAGGAACTATGACAATTGGATTAATCTGAATATATTAACGGTTGACATCAAAGGCCGGGAGAGTGATGCGACCGTCCTACTGCCAGTTCTCTCTGTTGTTACGTAGTCTACCTACATATAGTGTATGCATGTCTGTGCCCTGTATAATTTGAATACCTCTTGTCATGTCTCATGATATGGTTCTTGGTACAGAAGTTAGTTACTTTAACTATTAGTTGATCAATCTTAATCCTGGTAGGCAACCAGAAATGCTCATTCCTAGATAATGCTTCCTCAGGGGGAGAAGATTCTTTCCAGGCGGACCAATTTCCACCTTTTTTTTTTTTTTTTGGTTTGAAACAAACCCACATTTTCCGCTCAGCTCCAGTCACTACTATTTTAACAGTTAGTGGTTAGCTATCAGTAATTTTATTGTGTTTACTCTGTATTATAATGTATATATGGATATTTACATGCCTTAACTAATGAGATATTTTCTTTTCTTACTCTTCCTTAGTAGCTCATTCTTCGCTGATGATGATATTTTATTATTTGAAAAGAAGTAATTACCTAGTATTTATAGAGGAGAAAATAATAAAACACTACCTAATATACAAAGCACGTATTACTACCATTACTACTACTGTTAGTTAACAACTACTCCATACTTGGTAATATAATAAAATAAGTAAAAAAAAAAAACCCCCCAGTGGGTCGATCTCTGACCCTGAAACTTTTCCTTGGCAATAAAATAGTAGTCATTGTATTATTATTTCTCTAGGCTGTACGATAATATAATAATAAGTATACTTCCTCCTCCTCCCACAGCCCTGCTTCATGATTCCTTTAGCGACCCAGTGACTTCCCCCTCAACCTTGACCGATACTCATGAAGAAAATACCCGGTCTGGACTTCACTCCTGGCCACCTTTCTTCTGCCTAAGATCGAACAGGGATTCTTGTTAGGCTCTAAAGCGAACTCTTGGGGCGCTGGCCTTATTTATTACCGTCTCCTCGTACCAGGTGCCTGCCTTCTCCGCATCCAACTTCTGCAACCGCTACTACTCGACTCTCGTCGCATTTATCTCCAAACGTCGGCTAATACAACCACCTTCCTTGCTTTTCTAGCCTCTACGCCCGACGATTTCACTATGAGCTCCTCTTCCGTCCAAATTCAGCCCCCGCCGACCGGGACAGCTGGTAAAGGGGTTGGTTCGCACTCTTCCGCCGGATCCAGTCCGGGATCCATCAGCTTCGACATTGTCCGCTGCTCCCGATGCCAGCGCTCCATGAGTCTCGGGAACGAATCCTCCTCCCCCGGCGTTGTTCGATTCGGAATGAATTCCTACTACTGCAGTCGGTGTGCCTCTATGGTAGGCTTCATCCGCTGAACCCCCAGACCGCGGATTCCCTCTTCGCAACTGCCAGAAAAACGAGAAACAAAGTACATCAACACGAACTGATCTCTCAACCAACCGATTAATGGTACTGGGGATAACACGGCCTCCCGACCTTGGTTCTTGGATGCTCGTCTCCTTTTCATTGCGACCACTCTCGCTCGGATAATGTGATTTCGGACATGTTCACTGTGCTGGCACAGATTGACCTTCGAGGTCGAATACAACGGCTGATGTCCTTGGGAACCGGATGTTTTGAACCGCTGTCTACCAACCCTCCAGGGCCTCCACCGCGGCCTCCACCACGGCGTACGAACACAACGCAGCCAGCGATAACATTTCCACACGTACGCGAATCTGCGATCATGCAGAATCAGGATACACGCTGTCTCTAATTTGCTGTGGTACTACGGATCTCCGTCTGTACCTGATATCGAGGCTACGGTCTTTCCTTTTGACGAAATAAATCGTGATTTATACAACACATGCACGCATTGAGATACCCTAAATACGCCTCTTTTTCACTTTATTCTTTTTAATTGTTTTTTTTTTTTTTCTTAGATTTGTCATGGGATTTTATTGCTTTCATATTGTTAAATACCCAAGATTTGTGATATTAGTATAACTATAGGTAGACAATTACCTTTTCCGCTTACAGTTCTCAAACAAAGCCAAACCAGTTTTAACTGTACCTAAGATTAATCCACATCCAACGATATAAACACGGAGTTTATCTCCTTCCCGACGGTGAGTGGGTGGCATACCAACCCACGCGCTGTGCCTATTGTAATGTCTAAACAGACTTAACCCCAGAGATCCCCGCTCGCGTCTGCGATCGTCGTAAGAACCCGCATATCCCTTCTTGCCAATTACAAAGATAGAGGATGGAGAATAAACCACGGGCAGATAACAGACTCTCTCCTACCTAACCTCAACTGACCAGACCAGACCACCGCACCCGAGGTACTCCAGCCTAAGCTTTCTTTCAATCATCAACCATCAACCATCAACCATTGACATACCTAAGTACTCTAGTAGACAAGTCACGAACATTGGAGAATCCTCCTCCCCCTCCCCCCTCCTACCTGTCTTAGTGCGATTTTACTCCGTACTAGATTGACGACTCACTTCTAGGTAGGTATACCATTTCCTAACTAGGTTAAAGATGTCTTTCTTTTTTTTTTTTTTTTTTTCCTTTTTTTTTTACCTTTAACTTTTCCACTTTCCTCGCTGGGAAGGTCCTGAGGGAGGCCCGGGGCTACTATCGGTGTAGTTCTTCGGCCGTATCATTGGTATGGAGTTCATCACGTTCATGGATGGATCTCCTACTACTAGTAAGTAGTAACTGAAAACTGCCTACCCTAATACTAACTATACCTATAGCTATACCTAAATTTAGGAGGGTAGTGACTGCTTACCCCTCCAAACCCAAACCCAAAACCAAACTTCAAAGGTCTGTCTGTCTGTCTCCCTTGCTCCGTAGTCCGTACACAAGTAGGTAGTTAACCCGAATAGTTAACTAACTAACTTATATCCTAGCTTAATAAGTAGTTACTGGGAACGAGTTAAGAGTAAGGTAATACACAGTACGTACGCAGTTCGCATCGCTGCCCCCCCCCCCCTTTACCGCAGGGGAGTGCTTGGCCTGGCTGGCTGCCTGTGCCACACGCATCCGATCCGAGGTGCTGATTTCATTGGCGTTTTGTCGTAAGAGTACAGAGTAGATCCCGAGTACAAATGTAGACAGTATGGAGGACGGAAGAAAGGGAAAATAAAAGAGGGAGAGCGAGAGGGGGGAAAAGACTAAGAAACCTCTCGGATTACGCCGTCGCACTCCGTAGGTATGTAGTGGTACATAGTAGTGTATTTGCATCCGACACAGCCTCCTTCCTGACTACTAACCTTGGTACCTTAGGTATACAGTACAGTGCGAACGAACACCCCCGTACCTAATAACTACATTATCAGACTAAAGCTGGAACAGTTCGCTACAACAGAGACAGACCGAGAAAAGCAAAAAAAAAAACCTCAGCCCCCTTTTTTTTTTTTTTTTTCTCGTTCTCGCGTAAATCCCAACACGGTGGAGTCTCGGTGATCAGTGGGTCTGACACGGGCTCTTAGAAGTTAGGTAGGCTTCCAAAAGCTAGGTACAGTTAGTTCATTTGGTTTCAGCTGTGGTACCCTTCGTCTGGGATTCGTGGACAACTACAGAGTGCCTCCGTACTCTGTCCAATGCAGGATTTTGTTTCGGGTGGAGGAAGGGGGATGTGGTTCCACTTGATCGGTACGGTACTGTTGAAGACTGCCCTAGGTACTCTACGGAGGACTAACGAGTACATATGCTGTTTGCGGATCGGAAGGTCAATGAGGATTCTCCTAATCTCTAGGAGGTCGGCTGTAGGTAGTAGTTAACCACTAAGCCGGGCAACCCCCCGACAAAATGGCTAGCTCAAATACCTATCTATCATCTGTCAAACGCACTCGATTGATCCCATCCCACGCAGAGAATGACAGATGTCAGATAACTCCTGTTCCGAATACGGTGGCGCAATGCTATCCCATGCAGAGTACTTACATCCACCGTGCTATTGTCCCGGTACAGGGCGGAATAAGTTGCGAGCCTAACCTAGCATTCAACCATTCTTGGCTTGTGAGAGCCGACATGTGATGTGATATCCCATCCCAAGGCTGAATATTGCATCCATTATCGTTCGGGATTTCCGGAGACCCAGAGAAAAAACAGAGCCGTGTCATCCGATACCTACCTATGCGATCGGAATAGTGCAGAGTCCAAGGTAGTACATTGCCATTCTAGGTCTTCTAGAATACGGAGTAGTGAAAACTACCTACCAGGTTTGCAATACCTAGGTATAAGAAACCTGCTCCAGTCGTTGTCCTCAACGCTTAAGCCACTCTGGTCCAGGCCCCCAGGCTCTTCGCCTGTTTTTCCCCGGTCGGTCCGCAGCGGCGGTGCATTTTACTCTTACTGCAGACCAGAGTTATTCTAGTATGGTCTATACTCCATAATCGTCCACGTGAGTAGAATGGCAGTTACTAGTGCTCTACAAGTAGCCTAGGAGGAGGACTCGGTATTTAGCGACGGCCACGCGACTATGCTGTATGACTCATGACCTTTTGCGTTCTCATTTCTTGCTTACAGAGTAATAACTTAGTTAACTAGTTAACTAGTTCACCAATAAAGGTTGTAAACTCCGTTCTTGTTTTCCCTCTCTCTGGGCATGCGAATTTATATACATGGTTAGAGAGTGGATTTCTAGTGGGAGATCCTCGTGGAGGGGGTGCTTGCTTTTCAACTATTTCTTGAATGGAGTTTCGGTCGTTTATTATAAAGTTGGACCATGTAGGACCGTAGGTAACTAGTGAAGGATAAGGTTGATGCTTCGGTTCCTGGCGATAATATAAGTCAGTGTGCGGGAGATTAAAGAATCCAGTAAAAACAGAGAGAACAAAACTCACATGGTTACTAATAGATATTCTCTTTCTAACATTATCTGGGAGCCTAGAATGATGCTGGACAATTCTAATATCGCTTAGTCCCATTGAGTGCCGAAAATCGACTTGAGTTACCGTCCTAGCAGAATTTCCCCATGTCGCTTCGCAGTGCATAGCTGCTCAACTCCTGCCGTGAACCCAACATTAACGGAAATTCAACATTCGCAACTACTGGCGGTGATCTCAGTGGCAATGTCCAATGGTCCATACATGTACATCGCCGGGTCTGCATGGTTTTAGACAGGCCGCGTGAGGCATGTACCCTCTTGCCCGGAGTATGGTAGGTTAGTTTTGGATGTTGATGAGGCTAGAATGGATACCTCATATGCAAGTCAGTCCAGGGACTATCCCGGATGCATTAGAACGGCACTGAAACTCGAATCGGAGGCAAAGTAGGAGAATATGGCCAGTGTCTCCCAATGAACAAAGAACAGAGCCACCTAACTGCCCATTGCCCAAATGCCTTGGGAGGGCCGTTAAACGCCTTACCAACGAACAACAATAAGGCTCGAAAAAAATTCTGCTCGATACTACCAGTGCCAGAAGTTCACTGACCAGTAGAACAGAGGAAGAAGAAACTTGTCCTGGGGCGCAAGCCGACAAGGCTTGCGCTCGGCTTACCAGACATGATACATCACAATCACTCCCAAATTGTGTGCTTCTTCTATTTCTGAACCTTGCCAGGTTCAAAAAGCAGAGAGAAAAGAAAGAGCAGCCCCAGCTGTGATTTCTCATATTGCATCCATCTAATCAAGATGAGTGATTTGCATTACATTCATAGCTTGCATTTTCCTTTTTCTTTTTCTTTTTCTTTTTCCTACCGTTTTTGATTTCCAATTTCGAGGCAACTGAGTTACTCCCACGTATGACGAAGCTTCTGCTCTCTGTCTGTCTCGCTTCGGGTTTGACTGGATTTCTGTATAGTTTTCTCGAAGCACCACTTTTCTCGGGTCATACCTACATCTTGATAAGTTGACTTGACATTGCATTATTTCTGAAGGGCCGGGATGCAACTCACCCTCACCCACCAAGCAAGATCATGCAAGGTCGGATGTCTACCATTCCTCAAGTCCATTTGCCATCCAGCTTCAACCTTTTGCTCCCCCGAGCTCAATCTGGCGGTGTAACATCAACATCTGTCTGGTCGATGTCTAGAGAAGGATGGGGTTGTGCAAGGGTGGCTGAAAGGGCAATTTGAATGTGATTGTTGCTGTATTGGATCTGATAGAGTTGGGATTATCTCCAGTAAGATTTGGGATATCCGATCAATGCTGCAATCGACCCTAGGAAGGGGAAGAAAAGAAAAAAAGGAATGAAATAAAGGTCGTAGTAAAGAAAAAGAAAAGAAAAACAATGAGAGTAAATCGTAAGGGGCAAGAAAAAAAAAAGGAAAAAAAAAAAACAGAAAAAAGGTCCCAGTCTTGTTTTGTCCACTGTTCCTTTTCCCTCTTCCTCTTCTTCATCCTCCTCTTCCACCTCCACTGCAGTCAGTCCATCATGCATGACATATCAGGCTACTCCTCGATCCCTCTCGATTCCAGATTCCAGCGGAATTGACACATCCCAGCGACCTTCAGTCCCATTCTCTGTCGTCTCGCGCTGTCAGAACTGCGCCCCTTTATTCGTCAGCGGTTCAGCGGTTCCTCTCTCGCCCTCTCATGCTCTTTGCCATCTAGCTCGCGATCAAAGATCTCTGGCCCTGATCCTCTAGTTTCAACTCCTATCTTTATTTTCTCCTTGTCATTCGTTCCACCGTTTCCCTGAATCGTCATTGGGCTGTTTACTTCAGTTGATGCGGCGCCTGGGACTATTGCCCCCTCCCAAGCCCATTGTGTCTCCATTCCGTGGAGCTGCTTCGATGTAGGCAACATATCAGTTTCATGCGTTCTGCTTTGCTTTATTTCTTTTCCTGTCCCGCTCGCTTCTATGCTCCTCCTTCTGTCTTTAAAGGCGAGGACTGTATTTTAACCCCGAAGACCCGGTGATTTCCCACCGCAAACACGACCGTCGGGTAAATCTTCAGAAGTACTGTATTCTCAAGAAAACAGCGATTACCGACGAGCTACAAGGAGAGTTCTGATTGTGCTTCTTCTCCTTACCAGTCCGACCTTGCTTCGCCCGTCCTTTTCTTTGGTTTGGTTTCACCGTTCTCTGGGGGTTGTGATATCAACTGTGTCGCCGGACAAGAAATTCGTCATACTCTGACTCGGGGTCTCTCGCCCCTGTAGTCTACCCATTATATTGTTCTAGAACTATCTAGAAAAAAAGGATCAAGGGCTGCATCGATAGCAGCCGCACTTAAACAGCAATGCCCTCCCCTCCACGCGAGAAAGGACGGGTGTCGAGACCTCGAGGATCCGAGGAAGAATTCGTGCTGTTTCTCCAGGGGGTGAGTTCCTTCACTTCCCCAACAGAGTCCTCGTCTGGGGGCATGTCTTACTGAGAAGACAGATTCCAGCCCGCTGCCGCTGGCAAGAACTCAAAGACTTGGTCCGCCAGACGGCCTTACACATTCGCCAAGCGGTCGTGTACGATGACCACCATGGGTTCCCAACGGGCCTGGGCCAGATTATTGTGAAGAACGAAGACGAGGCCTGGCGCACATACCGTACGTGGCTATTGCTTCTGGATGCCACTTCCATTCTTGAGATAGCTGACACAAAGCTGCTTTTTTTTTAGACAGACTATCCACAAACGGTTGGGAGGGACAGAGTCTAGTTGTTACCCTAGCCAGAACCAGCTCCCCTACGAGACCCATCGCGGGTCCTACGAAGAGCCCATCTTGTGTTCTTCCACCGAACTATGTGGCTGGGTATTCAACGCCCCCGAGAGTTACCCAAAACCTGGCCGTACCGGCCTCCCCTATTTCCCCAGAGTAGGTCTAGACTTGCATTTCTATAGCAGAGCTCATATTAATATGCTACTAAAGATCCGTTATCTCAACAAGCTCGACTTATCACGGGCCCGAATATGGCGCAGTGATCAGCCCCATGGCCATCCCACACCAGCCATTTATGCCCATTTTCACAGACCCATTGTCGCAGCCGGTCCCCGGCATGCCCAACTCACCAGCTTTACGACCCGCATTCTGCGACCCCATGGCATTCGGCATCCTCCCAGCATATCCCATGTCCCACATGCACCCTCCCATTATGGCACCCAGCATCCGACTGAACCAGCGCAGACCAAACCACACCCCCACCGGCGCCAACAATAGCAGCAATGCTAGCATCCCCCGGAAAGCCATGTACACCTACACTCACAGTCATCCCCCTCTCTTCCCCGCATACTCCAACGCTCCATCTCGCCAACCGGGGCGCCGCACTATCTTCATCCAAAACCTTAGCCCAACTACCACAGCGCAAGACCTCCGAAACCTTCTGCAAGAAGCTGCCGCAGGTGCGATCGAGAAGTGTGAAGTCCCCACTGACCCCGAAACCAGCCGCTGCAAGGGATTTGCCCGCGTCACACTTGCCTCCGCAGAGGAGGCCAAACGTGCCATAGGCCTGTACAACAACACTGTCTTCATGGGCTCTAAGATCCGCGTCAAAATCGACAGGAGTATCCACATCGCCTCGTATAATCTCAACCCCGGTAGTGGCATGGTCACTAACCCCGGTAAAACCGAGAGCACCACTGCTGCCGCTACCGCAGTCGTCGTGGTCGATCCCCCCACTGGTCGGACAGATCAGATGCAGCCCGATGGTACCTGTTCTAGTACGAGCACTTCTGCCTGTAGCTGTGCCGCTTCGGAGAGCTCAGATGATGAGCCGAAGCCAGTCGAGCCATGCGAGACTGCGAAGCCTCCACTTTCGAAGCCGATTGACAGGTGTCAGCCACTCGTTATCAATGGTTCGGGGATTGGAAGGACGGCCGCAGTGATGACTTGACCCCTTTCACCTGAATTTCCAATTGGGGGCTTACCTTTCTTCTCTCAGCTGAAGCTTTGGGAGGTTACTTTTTACATGCATCATCTGTGATTTATTTCTGGTGCGGGTATACGGTGTGGTGGGGTTTGCGTCGCTTAACACTTTCATCTGCTTGCATTGTTATTTTGTTACTGCTACTGCTACTGCCGCTGTTACTATTACTGTTACTTTTAACTGTTACTGTTTTCTTGTTGTGTTTTGTTTGTCGGTATCACCTTGTACTTGATTTATTTTTACTATCTGTTCTTGAGTCGGGGTTTAGGCGTATATATGGCAAGAGAAAATTCAAGCAAGGTATATCATATCTATCATCAATCAATCTAAATGTAAGATGAATGGAGTCAATTAATGTAGTTTCCACGGAGTACTTACTCTGTATTGCATGAGGCTTTAGAATCCCCGAGAACCCAAAATAAAGAAGCCCAAATAAGTAAATAAAAAATAAGACAGAGAGAGATATGGTATGATAGAGACAATAAAATGTAAAATCATTTTCATTTATTCATCAGTCATCTAAACCGGTCTGTATCAGCGGGCCTTTGCCGTCGGTGAGGAAAAACAGATCAGATAGACAGACAGACAGAGGACATGAATGTTTCCATCCATCCATCCATCCATCCATCCATCCATTCGTTCCTCTTTCCCTTCCTTCCTTCCCACTTCTCTTTCTTTGCGTTCTTTGTCTTCTTCTGTTTGGTGTCTTCTCAGTCTCGTCTAGCCGGTCATGCTTTCGTGCCCTCGTCTCATCTCATCTCATCTCGTTGCGTGGCGTTGCGTTGCGTTGCATCAATAATGCAATCAATTCATGAACTGAAGAGTATAAAACAAGAAAATCAATCAAAATCAAATCAAATCAAATCAAATCAAATCAAATCACATCACATCAAATCAAAACGCAAGTTAAAATGTCAACGCCGTGTGATTCGTTACCGAGGAAATGAAATAAACTCAAACACCTCGGTAAACAAAGTCCGGTTACCTAGGGCATAAAATGTAAAATAATACAAGGATTAAGGTACGTAAATAGTGAGATTGCGGGTGGTGTGGTGATTATGGTCCACGGTGCACGGTTCGAAGGTGGAAAGGTGTAAAAGCCTAACTAGAAATGCTCGTTCGAGGTTCGAGGAGGGCATCTATGGAAGGTTCGTTTATTTCGCATGGCCGATCAACTCGGCATATAATGGTTCAGGGATCTTACGGACGATCAGGACGGCCAGGGCGATGATCTCTTTAGCGTCGAGGGGCGGGAAGGACCGAAGGATTTTGTTTGGACTGTATATCTCAGAAAAGAACGAGTCAGATATTCTGGACGCATAGAGTGTTTGATATAACCTCTGTTCGGGGCCAAATGGAGTCACAATGGGGAGGTGAATGATGTGACTGGTCGATCATGTCGGGCTGGCCGAGTGGGGAAAAGGGGGGGAGAAAGAAAAAGAAAACAAAGGGAAAAAAAAAAAAAAAAAAGGCGACAAAGAAAAAAAGGTAACGCACCTTGGACTATTGAGAAGTGTGTCTCGCATTTGGATCAGCTGCGCCACAATGCACAGGATGTTTAGGTGAGGTCCGTAGGCGAAAAGGAAATCCCAGAGATGAAGTACTTCGGGTAAAGGGGGGGTGCAGGCGCAGAGGGTCAGAACGGAAGGAAAAGCATACAGCTTTGCCTGGAGACCCTTGGAGAAGAGGTAAGCCGCGAGCTTCGGCTCGACGATTTCAAGACATCGATCAACGAGGACGAGCCCACGGTGCACGCCATCCATGGCGCCACGGATATAGCCGGGGCATTCACGGGTGATAAAGGTGTGGAAGAGGGCAAAGGCCTCCGCTTCGCTGCGGGCTGCGTAGAGAAACGGGGCACAAAGCACATTCATGCCTTGCACGTAGATTGCGGACTCGCTAGTGATGCCCGGGCTGTTTGTGGCGTGGCTACCCGCAAGGCTGTTGTTGGAGGCGCTACTGGGAGTCATGTCGTCAGCAGAGGGTTCTTCCTCCGCAATGCTTGGGGGAGTGTTGATAAGAAGCTCCATTTCTCGTCGACGGGACGAGGAAGGCCGAGACTTGAGTTTGTGTTTGGATTTGGCATCGTGGAGTCTCCAGGCTACTGCATTGAGGAGCCTGATTAGACTTGCTTCTGTAACGCGGCGTTTAAACAGCGGATCAGTGGCCAACGTGCGAAAGGTGTCGTTGCGGATTTTGGTATATGCAGGAGAACGGCCTCGATGGATGAGGGAAATGTATTCGTCGGCTGGGAGAAGGGGGATATCAAGGAGGATCAGCCATAAATAAACCCGATACGTTGACTGGGACGTAAGGAGTTAGTCAATAGCAAGAGGAACGTTGCGTTATTGTCCGACAGCACAACGGGGATAGAAAACGCATACCATGCCATCACCATCTGCTTCCACACGTGTAGATAGAACCAAGTATCTCAACTCCTGTAGCGCTTCCTGGACATTCCCCTGCTGAGGTCCATCGCGCAGGAGGGTCTCTAAAAGAGATCTCTTGACTCCAAACCCTGAGCCAGTTTTTCTACCTGGGCGCCGTTGGGATGAAATCGCGGGAGCATCACGGGAACTAGCATCACTGTTGGATCTCGCGCGACGATGCGTTCGAAGGCGAACAGGGGAGTCGAGCTGGGCCGGTTGAGAGAGCTCCGCAGGCCCGGCGGAAGAACGAGTGTTGGGAAGAAGAGAAGAGGCTAACGAAGGGCTGGAGGAGAGGGTCTGGTGGGATTGGATTTTACGCAGACCTCGCATCGTCCGTGGTGATGGGGATCCGGCCAGAGCAGCGAGGTTCAACTGGGCCTGCGTGGGTGGTTGGGAAGCCATGAAGTTGGTGGTGAGCGAGAGGGATGGCGATGGTTGGTTCAGCTGGAGTCGCCAGGACAACTCACCATCTTCCGGTCAACCAAGGCCAGGAAGATGGTCCATGAATGGATGTACAGATGATGGGGGTTGGATAGCGAGCGCAAGAGAGAAGGATGAGTTGTATACTGAAGTGTCCAAGGAGTTATTTAGGTGGCGGGCTTTTTTTTTTTACCAATGGAGGAATGCGGAGAGACTCGTTGGTTCCCACGCGACGGCGCGGTTAATTCGTAGACTAACCCACGATCGCGGCGTTTTTGTTGCTAGGGTGTTACTGCTAATTTAGTGCCTGTCAGGACATGATCCAGCTTAACGGTTTAACCTGCATTGGATTCGTTCTAGATACTGTGGTTATTGTGGTTATTATTGGTACTTGTCTAGCAGATAGAATCTAGGGAGTGACACCACAGTATTTAATATTGACACAGCTACCAGAGCTATACGAAATAATAAACATACCCTTGCATCCTCAACGCCAGTCCTTCCAAAATGATAGTAAAGTGAGCAAATATAATTAGATATACGCCGGTTCAGGGCCTCCAAACCCAGAATCCCAGGTTCAAGAATCTCGTTTCCCCTGCCCATTCTCCGTACCCCCCATTACGGCATTGACAAACTCTGGGTATTTCAGCACTTCTCCTCTCTTGCCTCCTCCGGTCACCTTCCCAGTCTTACCCCCAAACGCTCTTCGGGCTGTAAATCCATTGAGAACCTCATTAATCTCACGGTCCGTCAGCGGGAGTTCTCCGTCATCGGGAGTGGTATGTAGAAGTGCGTCTCGTAATTCCTCCACGTCGATCTGGCCGCTATCGTCTTCATCGAATGCTGCCAAAGCGTTGACCAGTTCCTGTCGGGAAGACAAGGGCGCGAGTAGCTGAGAGAGTGTATTCAAGAAGGTAGGGAAATTGATGGTAGGAGAGTTTCCAGGAGGGAAGAATTTAGATACTGCAGACGCGTCTTGGCCTATTTCGCATGTTCGTCAGCTTGGCTCTGGACCCTGGGTGTGTTCATGCCGCGCTTGGGTCATCTACGTACCCACATTCACCAGGACATCTGCCACATCGTCCTTGTCTACAAACCCGTCGTTATCTCTATCCAGAACCTGAAACGCCTCTCGGATCTCCCTGAGTTGGGCTGGGGCTAATCGGGCTACGGTGTCGGAAGTTGCAGCCATCATACTCGCAGTTTTGGCCTCCATCGTTGAAGGGGAGGTTTCAAGGGTGTTGGCTCCCCGAGTCGGGGACGATGAAGCTTCACGGGTAAATCGGGGCTGAGGAATTGGGTCTCTGTCCTTGGGAGAGGCATCGTGGTCTTCAACCGTGTACGACTGATTCAATTTACTAGGAGAGACCACAGGAGTGTAGCCTCGACCTGGTGAGCTTCCCGGAGTAACTGGGCGGGCCTGCGTTGGAGGAGATCCAGGAGTAGATGGGCGGCGAAACGGTGATGCCCGAGGGGAGCCAAAGGATAGTGGCGAGGGTCGGAAAGGAGCATTGTTGGAGGGGACCTGGAGGGGTTAGTGGGGATGAGAGGAATCCCAGTAGGAGCAAACATTACCATGTTGGGGGAAATATGAACGAGGATTTTTTTTTTTTTTAAAAAAAGCAATTAATTGAAAGAGAAAACCAATAAAAAGCTCCCAAGAAACAGGGGAGCAAGAAATGGAGAGGGGATATGATGGCGATAGGAAAGAGAAACGTGGGAATTGAAGCTGAAGTGAACTCCACGATAGATACATACTTCCCAGAATGGAAATCCATCCAAACAAAACAAACAGGCTTGATTTCGGGGAATGAGTCGGCCCGATTCAAAGCACGTGCGGGGAGGGGCTATTTAGAAGCACCGCAGTAAATTATCATTACTTATGTATATATATAACTAGGTAGATATATATAACTAACTATGTGCATATATAATATATACATAATTCTAAAAAAAAAAAAAAAAAAACAATAGATCTTCTGTATTTTGTATCCCCTATCCTATTTTTATTCCATTGATATTCTAAACTATCCACGTCTTGCAATATTTAACATCGAAATCCCCCCCCGCTGTGGAGATTAGATCCGTTCGCTGGGAAATCGCTTTACTGAGGGCCCCCTTTCTTTCCCCCCCCCCCCCCCCCCCTGAATCTCAATAAGAAAGAGCAAATTCAAGACATGTTGTTGCATTTCGTCTGCCACTGCTGTGTTGATCTGAACGATTCATCATCTTCCGATCCTCAGCCTCTTCTCGCATCCACGGACTACATGGTTTAATCATCTAGTTTCCCTCCCGATTGGCGCATCGATTGAGCATGCTGCTGCCGTTGTTCCACAGCTGTCTGGAGCTATCCCACCTCTACTAATCCCTCCCTCTTTCCCGCTCTTGACCTTCGATCCTTTCTCCCGCCTCCTCCACGAAACAAACGCCCTTCCTCCATTTCTCTTGTCCCCTTTCAGCAAGGACAATGAGTGCCACACTGCCGATACGCTCCTCAGATGAAACGGCTCATGTGGCCTCGAGTCTGGCCAAACCCAATGGCTTACCCCGGCTGTCTCCTTCCCCGTCGGTAACCCGCAAACTCTCCTCGGTCTCCCCGAGGAGCTCGCAAACTTCGGGGCGACGTCGCTCTGGAGAACCACCCGCCGCTACTCCAGCATCGAGCTTAAAACCGCGCAGGCACAAGTCGCAATATCCTCGTGATTCCCCGGAGCGCCATGTAGAGTTTATTCTAGTGGCCTCGTTCCACATCGATCGGGGTCCGATCATGGAACATCAGTACCCGGCTCCTATCAGCGGTGATGAGAGTATGCTGGCGGAGCTGATGTTACCCGATCAGACGCACGTCCGTAGCCAGGATTGGACCATATTTTTTCTGCACAAAGATACCAGCACGGAAGCGGAGGACGAGGCTAAAAAGAAAAAGAAAAAGAAGAGCGACCCAGCAAAGCATGGGGAGGATGACGAAACTAGCGACAGTCTGGAGGATGGATCAGGAGAAACCACTGAGGAAGAGCAAAGCAGTGATGATGAAGATGCGGGGGAAGGGCCCCCGCTGATGTATGTGCTCAATTTGGTCAATACAAAGCAGGACAATACAGTGAAGCGGTATGTTTCTGGTCAATCGCGGTCTCATAGGCAAGAGCAACAAAGCTAACTAGATGCAGAGGTGCAGTGGTCAAGGCCATGGCGATATGTACCCGACATTCCTTCCTTCATATATATAAAGTATGTATGCTTTGAGCTCTACTCCGGACGTTCCACTCACAAACCCAGCCAATTCTTCTATTAGCCCTGGAGGACTACTTTAAATCGCCATATCCGGAAACCCTCGCGTCGCTCTACAATGCTGTCAACGCTATGGATCTTTCCCTGTTACCCAGGCTATCAATGCTGGAACGCCAAATACTACAGGCCAGCAACAGCAAGGATATGTTCATTGAGAAATTCGAGCAAATGATTCATCAGCGAATGATTGAGGACGGGGAGATACATGAGGGGGATGACGAAACCCCCCCGTCGCCCAAAAGGGCCTCTTCCCGCCACGTTCTTCCTCGAGATACGCACGAGTTTGAGTCCAAGATTATTTACCATGATATTCCAATTCCAGTCAAGGTACCCACCGTGATCTGGCCTGAGATTGTGGGTGATTTCTCCTTAGTTAAGCTCATCCAGATCTTCTCCGCGCCACATGCCACATCGCCGCAAGCTTTCCCTCTCCATCCTCACCTCACCAGCAGCGGCGCGTTTACCCACCCGATCATCGTCTTGGTGAATGCCATGCTGACCCAAAAACGAGTGGTATTCCTTGGCCACAATCGCCCATCGGGAGAAGTTGCTGAGGCGGTGCTGGCGGCGTGCGCGCTGGCATCCGGAGGAATCCTGCGCGGATTCACCCGCCATGCCTTTCCTTACACTGATCTAACTAAGATTGATGATCTACTCAAAGTGCCGGGATTCATTGCGGGTGTCACCAATCCTACCTTTGCTAACCACCCCGAGTGGTGGGACGTCCTCTGCGACCTACCAACCGGTCGGATGAAGATCAGCAATCACATCGAACCTGCTCCAATTACTGACGGCCTTTTGTATTTCCAACAACAAGCTTCGTTGGCCAACAGCTCATCGAGCTCAAACTCCGACCCAAGTGGAGACAACCTGTTTATGGAAGATGTGTTACGCAGCATCACGAACAGGCACGGAGAGAATGCAATTAGAGCCAAGTGGCGGGCATACATCACCAAATTCACGAGAGTGGCTGCTGCTTTTGAGGAGACAGTCTACGGCGCATCGAACCTGTACATCATTGGCCCCAATGAGGAGTTATACCCAGAGAGCCCCAGTGGCGTGCAGGCGGATCCCCTTGACCCGACTACTCTCCGCGGACACGGCTACGTCTGGCCGGACGAATTGGCCAAACAGCGTGAGTTGATGGCATCGGTTTCCAGAATTGAAGGCTGGCGTACCACGCGCTCCTACTACTCATTCATCCAAGATATTGCAGCCATGTACTACCCAGCACGGCCCATTCAAAAGCCTGACCTCCATCATCATCACGATCGGTTGCGAACCCTAAAGCTTGCCCCGGCCGATGCTGGGGTTATCTATGTAGCCTTCTCGCACGCGATCAAAGACTACGGAGGGATCTGCCAGCTTCTCACCGTCACCCCAGAGAACCAAGCCGGTCTCTTCTACCTAGCCATGGGCCTCTTCCACGCGGACCTAGCCGTCCGCGAAGCCACCGCAGATCTTCTTGAACGAATCGCGGTGCATCCAGCAGGCCGACATTTCTGGGCGCAGCTGAACCGATTCGCAAAGGCTGCCTACTTTCGCATCAAACGGGATAAGGGCACAGCCTCCAGCCTCAAGTCGGGAATCGATAGCCTCGGTGGTCCCCAGAGTCTCCTTGGGGTTGCGATGGGCGGTGTTCAGTCACATGGGAGTTAATCCTCCCCTCCCCTCGTCTTCCTCAGCCTCCTCATCTTGTTCGTTTTATTAGACGAAACGCCATTATGATTCCATATCTATATCTATTTCTATTCGTCTTTGAGCGATGACTGACTATATTATACTCTATGTCTTTTTTTTTTTTTTTTTCTTTTTTTTCCTTCACGCATATCTTTCTCTCTATATCTTTATATCTGTGATGTGATTTACTTGGGCTGGATATACCTCATTTGTTTATCTCTGAGATTCTGAGAATCCAGCTGGCATCATCTATTTATCTATTCTGCATTTGTTCCCATATTCCATCAATGCAGACTCATCAGTTTATTATAGAGATCAGAAAGAAGAAAGCAAAAGCTGTGATGTGGTATAGGGCATGAATCCATAAAAGCCTTGTGATCACAGCTGTTTATATTTTATTCAAGTCCGGGGATGCATTTTTTTATCCTCTGGGGTCGTTATGAATGTTTTCCAAAGGGAGTACGGCCTTCCTACCAAGGGTTGGACAAAACCATGCCGTACCTTGTAAGTAAAGGTTCGACTCTATGTGGTAAACAATGAAAAGGCAGCATATCCTCTTATTCATTGCGCGTGGGTTGATGGATTATTATATACATATACAAGTTTTAGCTATTAGAATTATCACCACCGGATACAAAGAAAGAAAATAAAACCAAAAATATCGCTGTCATCATCCATACATAGTCCAAGCCCGAACCGAGAATCTAGAAAGTAGGATAGAAAAAACAATACACCGAGTCACAAGGTGTATAAGTTGAAAAATTAAAAAAAAAAAAAAAAAAAATTAGAACGCTAAAAGCACTATACTGGCTACGAGTGTAACCCAGATAGCAATGAGAGGATTCAAAGAAACAGCAGCGGATACACCAGCTGTAGTGGAATCTGAGCGAACGGTGATATTCACGGCCGCAAAGCCCGCGCCACAGTTGCTGTTGATTGCCTTGGCTGTTGGGAGGTAAGACGTCGTGAGTGGCTGGCCGGTAACCTGGGCCCAGCTGCTGAAGATATCCAGGGAAGCCTGGATGCAAGAGTTGCAGGTGGGGAAGGGGGCGGAGGTGATGGTGCTACCGTAAGGGAGGAGGTAGATATCGTAGTTAGCGGCACTGGAAGTGTTTGTGATGGCGTCGACGAAGCAGTAGTCGGTTGTTTCTGGGCTGGTGAGACAGGTGGCGCGGTATATGGGTTCGTAGGTGATCATGTCGATGTAGGCGTTTGTGACGACGGGATTACCGGCTTGGTAGTCCTGGGCACAGTTGTTGCTCTGGAGGAGGGAGGAGGCGAGCGAGGACATGGTGGCGGCACAGGACTCGACATCAGCGGCACAGGCGAGGTCAAGAATATGAGACGTCGAGGCAGCGGAGTTGAGGGCCTGGAAGAAGGCCGCAGAGTCGCGCAGGAGCATAGAGATGGCATGGCAGTTCGTGTAGGTGGTGTCTGAGAGGAATTTTTTGAAGAACTTGGGGCAGCTCGTGGTGGTGAAGTTGTCGGAGAGACTGGTGTCGAAGGCTTGGGGGAAGAAAGTAGTAGATGAGGTCGATGATCTGGGGACGAGCAGTGTCTCTCCGTGGTGATGCTCGTGCGCGTGTGTGTGTGCGCCATGATGGTGGATACTTGCGGCCGGGGAGTTGATATTGAGCGTGATATGTCGATTGAGTGGATCATCGTGCTCGTCCGCCGATTCGGACCCTACTATATTTGGGAGATCAGCGGCATTGATGATCCTTCCGCTGAGGCTGGACGGTGATGGTACGGCGACAGTTGTGGCAGTTTCGACGGCAGAGACTGATGTAAGGGAGATGAGAGCGCATATAAAGAAACAGACTCTGGCGCAGGAGGGTGGTTGATGCATTGTTGCGTTGTGATTCAATTCGGGGGTTCGTTTCGGTCGGCTTTTATGAGGAGTAGAAAGGCGACATGAATACTGGAGTAAACGAGTGACTTGGTTGAGGCATAAACCCAGATGAGAGAATGCGATCAATATCGATATAATATCAATGAAGAGATGAAGATGATGAAGAGGATGAAGAGGATGAAGAGGATGAAGAGGATGAAGAGGATGAAGAGGATGAAGAGGATGAAGAGGATGAAGAGGATGAAGAGGATGAAGAGGATGAAGAGGATGAAGAGGATGAAGAGATGAAGAGATGAAGAGGATGAGGGGCAAAGAGAGCTGGAAAAAGAGTGGATTATGGATAAAACATGGTGTAGGTAAAGGTGGACTGAAGAAATATGAAATATTGTGTAGAAAACAATCAATAAAAAGAGAGACACGAAGAATTACAGAAAAGAATGAAGGACTGAAGCAAAGAAAGAAGAAAGATGGATGGATCAGGGGAAATGGAGATATAAATAGATATCAATATATCTACTCCGTACTCCAGAGTATCCAGAGTACATACATTAGCGCCCGCTCCCGCTTTTATCTTCTAGATCTCTATAATACTGACACGACACGTACATAGAAGGGGATTCAGGCATGGCAGCTAATGATGCAAAAGTTGGCGCTATGAAGAAACCCCATGCAGTATTTAATAGACACTGATCACATATCCTGCGCTTCATGGAACCTTCTTGATGCAGTAGAGTATGTAATACTTGCATAGATCGACTGGCTGGTTACCAGATTCCAAACCCCATATTCCAAGGAACACTATAGCAAATTACCCCTGCTTAATGACTGCTAGTCGTTTTTTTGATCTTGTCACTGGCTTCACTTCGATTATGGCCTGGGCGTTTCCCTTGCGATCGTCGAGATATCCATCGGTTCTTGCTTCAAAACTAGCGTCATCAAAGGTAGCATTGAAAACCTTTCTGTGCAAGGTCCACTTATTCGCGAGTTGAAATTTGAAGGTCAGAGCGTTGAGGAAGATGACCAGAGCACAATTCACGATCTGTTCATCCTTTGTTGGAGGGTACATATAGCACGTTCTCCAGTTCTTTAGGAGCCGGTGTTATCTCCCGGAATGGGCTCGGGGTCTCTGGGCTCGGGGTTCTCGGAATAGTAAACGCCTCATTCAAATCGACTTCCTCAATATCCAGAGTCTTGGTAGTATTGGTTGACTTCGAGGGCGTCTCCAAATGCATGTCTGCAAGCTTCCTACTGATTTGTTGTGCACGACCTCGCGTCCGATGTGCGATAGGAGTCGCAAGGGCTAGGCTGATCAACCTTGTCTTCAGTGTTTGTAACCTCAAGCTGAGAGTACCGGGCAACCGCAAAGCTCCCTTTTTCAATATCTGGGCGCGTAAATCCTTGACAATAGGTGTTCCAGGATTTGTATTTTTCCAGCATTGTGCTCGCCTTTGAGATCCATGGTTCGATATCAGGCAGTATTGTGGGCAAGTATTCTATTTCGCGGGGAACCCACAGAACTCGAAAAAGTGCCAGTTCTTATCATTCTCTACTCGGTATGTATCTAACTATTCCGTCAGCCCTTTCTCAGCGCCACACTCGGAAGCTACTCTATATTCAACTAGGCCAGCGCTTATATGATTTATATTGCCAAGCGGGGAGAGTGTGAAAGAGACCTACTATTTACATCTCATCACGCTGGGCGCTAATGTAGCGAACTGGACATTGTTGCGTGGTCGGCGCGTATCCACGAACAGACTTTTGAAGTGTTTTATTTTCAAGCGAAAATTATCTACTCTTATGTTTTGATTGGCAATACTATATACATTAATATTCGAACCCTTTAATTATCTGGATAGCACTGAAGCATATTGCATTAAAGACATAACCATCATGAAAGGAGGCCGAGGAGTAACTAAATATAATTATATGATGAAGGTCGTCAAACTATGACGGTAGAAAGTTGACCGAAATGGATTTAATTGGTCTAACTAGGAAATAGAGAGAAGGAGAGATGCTTGGAAGAAGTATGGAGATCTGGAAGGAAACGGTGGCCTTAAATACACAGAGTAGTCACGTGTTGCTATCTTCTTCTTTATGGTGATGCTGCTTTATGGTGGTGCTGTGTCAGGGGGCAGAGTCGGATTCAGATATTCATTGACTAGGAGCTAACCAGACAGAACAGCAGAATAGTAGGTGTCAGGTAATAGACAGGATATAGCTCGAAGAGTTATAACAGGATCAAGAATAATATAGCTTAAATATAGGAATAAGAGTAGATAGTTAAAATAAAATCTAACTAGATAGGTACTATAGCTTTATACTATAATAATACTCCCCTTCTTAGAATTAAGCTTTATTAAGATTAGGAAGGAATTAGCTAGGGTTTCTTAGAATAATAAAGGTAATAATTATTTATTAATTAGTAAATATTTTCTAGATATTTAGTAAGTTTTTTAATTAGCTTATTATATTTAATTTATTTAATAATATATTATAGCTTAAGTTTACTATAATCTTAATAAATTTATTAGAAATTAAGAACTTCTTTAACTTCTTATTTTTTTAATTCTTTTACTTTAATAAGTAATAGTAAATTAAGGTATTAACTAGATAGAGGATTATTAATAGTAAGGTAAAATAAAAATATATTAAATATAAAATAAATTTTTATATTTTTAAATAATTTAAATTTATAAATATATAAGTTAATAATTCTTTTAATATAATATAGTTTAAAATTTTTTTAATTTAATTTTTTCTATAAGTAAAGTATTTAAATATTATAGGTATCTAGTTAGATTTCTTGCCCTATAATATAATAATATATAGGTTACTTTTAATAATTAGCTTATATTTTATAATAGGCTTAAATAAATAAGATCTTAATATAAATAAACTTATAAATTTTATATATAATATTAGTAAATTTCTTAATATCTTTCTTAATAAAATAAATAATAAAGTAATTTAGTTTAAATCCTAATATTAAATAGAATTTATAATTAATTATAAATAGTAATACTCTTATAGACTTAGAATAGATAGAGTTAATAATAAATTTAATTATTAATAATTATTTAAACTAATTATTTTATAGATATAATATATATATTTATAAGTATTATTTTAAAATAATATTAATATATTTAATTTAATTATTAATCTTAGAGTAATAAATAATAAATAATAAGTTATAGATTTTTAAATAGAATATTAGATATTTCTAGAAGATAGTAATAAACTAGATTTTATAATTTAATATAATTATTTTAGGAATATTATAAAATTTTTAAATATATTTAAGATATAGATTAATTATTTCTTTAATATTAATTATTCTAGTATAGGAAAGAAAATACTTTATCTTTATTAAATAATTAATTATAACTAGGATAATATTATAATTATTATTTAATAATAAATATATAATAAAGTCTATATTTATATCTTACTAGGTATGTTTAAGAATTAGTAGAGATCTTAATACTTCTTATTTTATTTCTTAAAAAGGGATAATTTAGTAGTAAAGATAATAATTTTAGATTTATTAATTAATATATTTATAAATTCTAGACTAGAAATATTTATATAATATTAATTTATATATTTTAATTTTTCTAGAATATCTAGTAGTAGGATTTTTATAATAAAGTCTTAATATTTTAGCTTTTATTTTATTATAATTAAGTATATAAAATTAGTCTTAGTATCTTAAATATAGACTAATATATCTATAGTTAGCTAGTATAATATTAGAGTATCTTAATAGATTATTCTTTAGAATATTTAGAATAGACTAGAGCTTCTTATCTTATAAATAAGCTCTATTAAATAGTAGTTATAATATTAATAGCAGGGAGATTAATTTATTAGTAGTAGGTTATTTAATAAAATATACTTAGTATTAGCTATTAGTATTTAGTCTTAAATTAGTGTCACGGGGAGCAGGCGGGCAGTAGGTGTAGCTAACAGCAGGGTGTATATTCAGGCTATCTGCGTATAGGTACAACAGGTAGGGGTTAGGTTAGGACAAGGACGTAGCTTGAAGAGCTATAACAGGATTAGGGGTAATATAGCTTAAATATAGGAGTAAAGGTAGATAATTAGGGTAGAATCTAACTAGATAGATATATAACTATACTGTAATAATATTCCCTCTCTTAGGCTAAGCTCTAGTAAAGTATTCCTAGGGTTCAGGCTTTCTAGGGTAGTAGTAATAATAAGTAATAATATATTTAGTAGTATTCTCTAGGTAGCTAGTAGGAACTTTAGTAATAATAGAATATTTAACCTACTTAATAATATACTTTAAATATAGGTAGCTACCTTAGCTATAGTAGTCTTAGTAGGAGTTAACTACTTTTTTAACCTTCTATTCTTTAATATTATTAACTTTAATATATAGGGGTTTAATTTCCTCTTATCTAGGTAATAGATCTTTAGTAATTAAATATAATAATTTAATATAAAATACTAGATATATTTTTATACTTTTAGGTAGGTCTAGTTTATAAGTATAAGGGTTAATAACCTTCCTAATAAGAAAAAGGCCTAGATTTTTCTAGTCTAATTTTTTTTAGAAGTATAGGATTATAATATTCTTAGTATTTAACTAGACTAATTAGCCTTTAATATAATATTTAGTAGGATAGTATTTCTAGTTAATATAATATTTATAATAGGCTTAAGTAATAATTATAGTAATATAATAATATTTCTATATTTACTTTATAATTAGAGTAAATTAGTAAGTATTATAAGTTTATAGGTAGTAATTAGGCAGGATAGGCTTAAATCTTATATAAGGATTAAAATTATATAAAGTAAAGAATAAGGAGTATCTAGTAATCTTAAAATTAATATTATTAGTAGTAAATTTTATTATAAGTAGCTATTTAGCCTAATTATCTTATAAATAATTAATATAAATTTATAGATATTATTTTAAAATAATATTTATATATTTAATTTACTTATTAGTCTTAGAGTAATAAATAGTAAATAAGAGTAATCTTATTTTTAGAATATAGTTTAAATATATCTAGAATATTAATATAAATTAGAATTCTTAATTAAATATAATAAACTTAAGAAATTTATAAAATTTCTAAATATAGTTTTAAAATAGGCAGGCAGCTCTCTTAGTATTATAGATATTATTATAGAAAATATAGTATTAAAACTTTATTAATTAGTTAACTATTATTATAATAGTATTAAAGCCTAAGCTTTAGAATAAATATATAATAAAATTAATAAATATATTTTTCTAGAAATTCTTAAGTATAAGTAAGGAATAAAGTACTCCTTAATACCTATCTTAATAAAATATAAATTATTTATAAGTATAGTAATTATAAATTTATTACTTTATAAATTATAATATTCTAAGCTAGTAATATAATTATAATAATAATTTATAAGTCTTTAATTTATTTTAATAACTAGTAATTATATTTTTATAGTATTTATATATTAATTCTATTTTTAATTCTTTTATATTAGGGATATATAGTTAGTTATAATAAAATAGGAGTCTAGAATAATAGGTATATTTAGATAATATAATTAATAGATAATAATTATAGCTCTTTTCTAGACTTTCTAAAATATTATTAGGGGCTAGATCTTATTTATAACCTCTATTTAAGCACTCTCTTAGCTATTTAGAGAGCTAGATAATCTCTTTTTCTTTAGACTCAGGTAGCTAGAAATATACTAACTTCCTTCTAGTAGTAGCTTAGAACTAGATTAACTATAGTATTTACTAGCTCTATAACTTCTCTAAATATTTAAGTAAGAAACTTACCAAGTTTTCTCTTTTTAATATTATTTAACTTTAATATAGTAAGTATTTATTCTCTTTCTTAAGGAGATTTTATAACTTTCTAGTTAAATTATCTAGTTTTACCCTATACTTGCCCGGGTGATAATTAATTATAAAGTTAAAATAAGATAGGAATTTAGATTATTAGGCTTATTATTAATTTAATATCTTAATTATTATAAAATACTCCAGGTTTCTATAATTAATTATAATCTTAATTAGATACTAGTATCCTTCTAGTTCCAGGGTTTATTCTTTTAAATAATAGATAATTACCAGCAACTCCTTATTATATATCTTATAATTATACTTAGTTAAAGTTATTTTTTTTAAGTAGAATCCTACTAGGTATAGAATTTTATTATTATTATATTATAATAATACTCTAGTAAATATAAAGTTTAAGATATTAATTTTTAAAATAACTAGTTAGTCCTAATTAAAGGACCTTAGTATTAGTTCCTTAGTAAATTCTATTTTTAGTATTTTAAAAGTAGTCTGGTAGGTTAAAATCTATAAGAATAGGGTTTCTTTCTTTTCTAAGGTAGTAATAGGCATGAGAATCTGCAAGAATCCTTTAATAAAGTATTAATAAAATCTAGTAAATTCTATAAAATTCTTAATATTAGTAACTATTTTAAGTAGCTTCTAATCTATTATAATCTTAATTTTTTTAAGATTTATATAGGTACCCTCTCTTCTAATAATAATATTTAAGAACTTAATTTCTAGTTAGTAGAATTTATACTTAAATATCTTTATATATAATTTATTATTTCTTAAAATTTATAATATTTATTTTAGATATTTAGTATATTCTTTTCTTATATAGCTATAAATTAGGATATTATCTAGAAATATATTATAAAATATATCTATATACTATTATAGGATATTATTTATAAAATATTAGAAAGTAGCTAGGGCACTAGTTAGGCTAAATAATATAACTAGGGACTTATATAGCCTAAAATAGGTTTAAAAAGTAATTAGGTACTCTAATCCCTTCTTAATATAGATATTATTAAAGATAGCTATTAAATTAATTTTAGAAAAATACTATATTTCCTGTAGGTTATTTAGGATTTCTTTAATTAGGGGTAATAGGTAGTAGTCCTTAATTAATATAGTATTTAGTCCTTAGTAATTTATATATAGGTAGAGGCTATCTCTAGGTTTATTAATAAATAGAATAAAAAAGATAGCTAGAAATAAGCTAGAATATATAAAACCTTTCTTTAGGTTCTTTTCTAGCTATTCCTTTAGAATAATTAATTATACTTATAATATTAGATATAATTTATTAAATAGGGGTTATTTTCCTTCTTGAATCTTAATATTATAATTATATAATTAATATAGTAGTAGCTTTTTTATTTCTTAAGAATTAAATATGTTTTAAAAATCTTATAATTCTAGGGGAAATATAGATAGTAATTTAAGATTAATATCTTTATATTTTAGTTCTTTATTAACTTTATCTAATAAGATCTAGTATAATTTCTATACTAGATAGTAGGTATATATAACTAGTACTCTTAAAGATATTTAGTATATTTCTATAGATATAGGGGGTTTTGACTTTAGTAATTTTTTTTATTAATTTAGTTACTTAAGTTAATCTTTTTAGGAAATATCTATTAGGGCCCTTATTCTTATAAGCTTAAGAGATATATTATAATATTTATAGTAGTATTAGCTATTAAATATAGCTATTTAATTAGAGAAATATATCTTTAGGTTATATATAATAAGCTAGGCTAGTCTTAGGATAATTAGATAATAGGAGAGGCAGGTAATATAAAAGATAGATTTTTAGTTATAATAATTATTTAATAATAGGTTAGCCTCTATATAATAAGTTACTATATTTTTTTCTACTTCCTTACTATAGAAGCTAGATAGGGATATTAGATAAGGGAGTAGAATAATCTTTAGTCTATATATTTCTACTTATTAATAATTTATAAAGTTAATTTTTTTAGCTCTAGAATTAGTTATAATATAAATTAGTATTTTTAGATTTTCTTAATATAGTTATATCTATTATATTATTAGGTTGGCGCGCATATAATAGGAATTAGGGGAGTTAGTTAATTTAGTAATAGTATAGGATAAGTAGAGTAATATATCTAGTAATAAGGACTTCTATATATATTCTAGTGCTAGATAGTAACTATAGTTAGACAGACTCTATTTTCTAAATTAGGTAAGATATTAAGGGAGTATAGTTAGTTAGGTTTCTTTAAAGTAGTAAGGTAGTTATTCTAAGCTATAATATAAGGAGCAGGCAATATTATAGTAAGGATTAAGCTAGAATAATATACTAGTATATTTATCTACTCTTAGATTTATATAAAATATTAGTTAGGTAAGGGGTAATTCTTTATATAGTATATTTTATCTTTATAATAAAAATATTCCTTATACTTATAATATCCTTCCCTGGGGGAGTATAGTATATGGTGGGTATAAGATAAATTTATAATATCTAAATCTTTTCTAGGCATGGGGGGTGTAACTAGGTAACTAAATAAGATAGAATTAGGGAGATTCCTTAATACTACTAGACTAGAATAGTAGGAACTAGATATTAGGTAAGAATAGGATACTTATAACTAGTATTAGTAATAATAATTTTCTAGTAACTAGAAATAGTTAGTATATTCTTAGAAATCTTAAGATAGGGTAGGATTATAAAATAATATATTTTAGAGTTTAACTAAGATATTTTAAATTAGGAGAAATATTAAAGAATTATTAAGTATTTTTTTTTCTAGAGTAAGGTAATAAAATTCTATAAAATAAGTATTAAAGTCTAAGTTTCTCTATTTCTAACTATAGAGGTAATTTTAAGTATTTTAAATTTAATTAGGGTCTCTAAATACTATTTCTAGATAGTTAAGTAGGTTAGGATAGTCTAAGAACTAGAAGATACTAAGTCTTATCTTAAGTAGGATTAATTTATAAGCCCTTCTAGTTAGATATCCTACTATATAGGTTAGTCAGGCTTTAGTAGCCAGGAAATAGTCTAGGTTAGTATCTATTTTATTATAGATCTGTTATATAAAGTAATAAAGGTTAGAATAAGTACTATTAAATTCTTATAAGTTAGGGAGTTTCTTACTAAGATAGGTATTAAAAGAAGGACTAGTAGAAATAGATATAAGTACTCTTATTATATTAGTTATTATAGCTTTAGTAAGGGGAGTATATTTAGTAGGGGTAGGGATAGTAATAGGAGTAAGTATAGTAAAGATAATAATAATCTATAGTATAGTAAATATATATTTAGACTTAATTAACTTCTATTAGATTACTTCTAATTCTTCCTTCTAGTATAATATTACTCTCTTTTTCTTGGCTAGCTCTAGGCTAGCTTTATTAACTTGATTTTAAAGGGTATAAATCTCCTCCTTTAGGGAATTAGTATATCTATTACAGGATTTAAGGTAAATAATCTAGGTAGTAAAATTATTAGTAATATAGCTTATAAACTTCTTAACTAAGTCTATAATTAGGGGCAGTTTAGGTTATTTTAACATGCTAGCAGTAGCTATACCTGGGGTAGGAGCTATATAATGTTATAGGGAGTAGGTAGGTAGTAGGTATAGCTAATAGTAGGATATATATTCAGACTATCTATATATAGGTATAACAGGTAGAGGTTAGGTCAGGACAAGGATATAGCTTAAAGAGCTACAACAGGATTAGGGGCAACATGGCTTAAATACAGGAGTAGAGGTGGACAGTTAGGGCAGAATCTAACTAGATAGGTACATGGCTATGCCATGACAATTAGTAGTAGTCTTAGATAGCAGATTTTTAGATTTTAGGATAGTCTAGCTCTAGTAAAAAAGTTATTTATCTCCTTTCTTAAGCAAGTCCTCTAATCTCCTAGTTAATATATTAGGCTTAGTACCTAATTTCCTAGGGTAGTAATATATTTAGAAGTTAAATTTTAATAAAAATTTAGACTAGCAGGCTTATTAATAGTTTAATAGCTTAATTAATATAAAATATTCTAGATTCTAGTAATTTATAATAACCTTTATAAATAATAAAGTCTCTTCTAATTTAAGGTATTATTTTTTAAAATAGTAAATAATAATTAATAGTTCTTTATTATAAATCTTATAATTATATTTTATTATAAAATATTTCTTAGAGAAAAATATAATAAAGTATAATATATTTTTATTATTATATTATAATAGTATTCTAGTAAATATATAATTAAAGATATTAATTTCTAGAATTATATTTTTTAACTAGTTAAAAGATTTTAATATTAGAGTATTTATAAAAGTAGCTTTTAATTATTTAAATATTTCTTAGTAAGTAAATATCTAGTTAAAGTTAATATCTTTTTTAATTAGATTAATTAATAATCTAATAATTTTTAAAAAGTTATAGATAAATTAGTAGTAAAAGTTTCTAAAATTAATAAAGACTTAAATATTAGTTAGATAGATTAGTATTTCTTACTTAATAATTATTTTTACTTTATTAGGATCTATTTAAAAGCTATTTTTATCTATAATTAGTTCTAGAAACTTTATCTTATATATAAAAAATTTATATTTACTAAATTTAATATAAAGTTCTATTATTTATAGGTATTCTAATATTTATTAGATATAATAAATATATTTAATATAAATTTAGCTATAAATTAGAATATTATCTAGATATATAATATAGAAGATATCTAAATAATTATATAAGGCTTTATTAATAAATCTCTAGAATAATACTAGGGCTCTAGTAAGCCTGAATAATATTATTAAAGATTTAAATAAGTCTAATTAAGTTTAGAAGATAATAAAGTATTCTTATTCTTTTTTAATCTATAGATTATTAAAAATAAAAATAATATTAATTTTTAAAAAATATCTTATTCCTTTTAAATTATTTAGTATCTTTTTTATTAGTAATAATAGATAATAATCTTTTATAATAATTATATTTAGGGCTTAATAATCTATATAAAATTATAGGCCTTCTTTAGATTTTTTTATAAATAAAATAAGAGATATAGTAAGAAAGAAACTAGAATAAATAAAATCTTTTTTTAAATTCTTTTTAATTTATTTTTTTAAAATTTTTAGTTTATCTCAGGACATGCTATATAAGCTTCTAAAAGATAGGATTTTTTTAAGTAGTAATTTAATCTTATAATTATTAAATTAGTAGAATAGTAGGTATTTAGCCTCCTTTAGTAAAAATATATTATAAAATTTAATAAACTTAAGGAATAGTTACTCTTGTAGCTTAGATTTAGTAATAGTAATAGGATTTAGAGTAGCTTTAATATTAATAATAATAGTAGTAAATATCTAGTATCTATAGCAGGTATATATAATATAGGTAGTAATTAAGACTCTAGTAATATCTTAATTCTTTAGAAGTTTAGGGTAGGAGTTAAGGTATTAGAAAGAAGTTTTTAATAATATATTATATAATATTAAAATTTTTATAAACTTTAGAAATATATTATAGTACTTTCTATAATAAGGGCTTTTAAATAAAATAATATAATTAATAAATCTAATCTAGAGATTATAAATCTTTAATTAAGATAAGTTAAGAATAATAGGAAAATATATAAGTTAGATTATAAGAAAAATAATATTTTTTTTAATATAATTATAAATTTTTTAGATTAAATAAATAAAATAAGTAATATTACTAGACTTTACTAAAATATTATTAAATCTCCTTAATAAAATAGGGTTCCTTAATAATAATATCTCTAATTAATTATTTATAGCCTAATTATAGTCTATAAAATATTTATTCTTAGCTCTAGAATTAATTATAATAAAGATTAATAAAATCTTATTAAGGATTTCTAGATTAATAAGTAAGATTATTAATTTAGATTAGTAATTTTCCTCCTTTACTATTATTCTAGTTATTATAGCCTTTAATAGATAGAGAGAGTACTAAGGATATCTTTAATTATAATTTAGGTTAGGGATATTCTATTTTCTAATTTAAGGAATATAGAGTATTTAGTAGGTAGGATTCTAATTAATAGGGGGTATAGGTCTAGTTTAGTAATAAATATAAAAGTATAACTAGTTAGTTTTTAGTTAAGATATAGGTAGCTACCTACTAGATAGTTAGTACTATTATAGCAGTAATATAGGTATTAGGTTTGATAATTAAGATAATAAGTAGTAGATAGGTCTATTAGGTCTTTAGTAAGAGTAGTAATAATAATAAGATTAATAGGAATTATAGGAATTTAGGTAGTAAGAATTAGCTTTAAAATAAGTTAGGGAGGCTAAGAATTCTTTATAGATAGGAATAGGATAGTACTTATATAATAATAATAGTAATTTTCTAGATTTTATAGGTAATTAATAAAATTATAATATTATAATAAGGCCTTAAAGTATATTAATATTTTTTAAAATTTTTAGCTAATAACTTATTCTAAAATTATAAGTAAGATATCTTTATTTATATTTTTTTTTAATATAAGATATTAAAATTTAGTAAAAAAAATACTAAACTTATAATAAATTTATTAGAAATAAAATAAATTAGTATAAATATTAATTTCTAAATTTAGATTTCTAAAAGCTTTTTTTAAAATTTCTAAAATTTTAATATAATTACTTAATTTATAGATTTTATCTTAAATATATAATAAGATTTAGATATATAAAGTTCCTTTAAAGTAACTAATTATATAAGTTATTTTACTATTTAAGATTAGGAAATAATTAAGATTTATAGTTATTTTTTAATAAATTTAAGAAATAAAGTATCTTAAGTTATTTTATTAATTATTAAATTTATTAGGATTAGAAAGTTATTTAGAGATTTAAGTAGTAAAAATAAATATAATAAAAGTAATAATAATAGTAAGAAAAGTAGTAATATTAGTATTTTTTTTAAAAGAAGATAATAATTAAAAAAATATATTATTTTAAATAAGTATTTTAAATAACTTTTATTAAGTTTTTTTAATTTATATTTTCTAGTACTTAATTATATTATTTTTTTATTAAATATAATTAAGAAAGTTAGTAATAGTAAAGTATAAAATAAATAATTTATAAAATTTTTTTATAATAATAATAAAGAACTAGTATATTTTAATAATATATTATCTTAATTTATTAGGAGTATTATATAGAAGGATTTCTATATCTTTAGGTAGTATAGGTAGTAAAACAAGTATAATAGTAATAATTAACTTCTAGTAAAGAGGAGCTATGTAATATTAGAAAGTAAAGTTAGATTTAGATATTTATTAATTAGAAGCTAACTAGATAGAATAGTAGAATAGTAAGTATTAAGTAATAGATAGAATATAGTTTAAAAAGCTATAATAGGATTAAGAATAACATGGCTTAAATACAGGAATAAGGGCAGACAGTCAAGGCAGAATCTAACTAGATAGGTACTACGGCTTCGCGCCGTGACATGCTGGTTGCATTCACTGAGTGCAGCACTCTAACACACCCCCCTTAGCAACACATCTATTTCATGAAGCTATTTAGAGTCCATCTCTAACCTGCTAAAACCTAACCTCTTGATGAATTTATTAAATTTCGCAGTTAGTAGTGCCTTAGTTAGCCTGTTAGCAATATTATCCTCTCTACTAACTATTTGTAGCTAAATTCTGCCATTTTTAATTACCTCTTTTATAAAGAAGTAGCAAATGTCTATCTAGTAGAGTATAAATATATAATTTAGCTTCTTTACTAAAGTAATAGTATTAGTAGAATCAGTATGTAAAGGTATGGCACCTTTTATAGACTTTTCTAGTCTAATAGCTATATATAACTTTTATAGCTATATAGCTAGCTTTATTACTATATCTCATGCAATAAATTTAATAATAGTTAAACTTAGAGTAACTAGTAATTACTTTACTAATCTCTATATAATTAGTACTTTAAATATAAAAAATATAAAGTCTTTTATTAATTTCTTGTCTTTATAATCTACATGGGAGGCATTAATATATATATATAATAGATTATTTAAATAACCTAAGACTATTATATAATCTAAGGTCTTCTTTAAATATTAGAAAACTTATTTGATTATATTATAATCTAATTTAGTAGGATTATGATTTCTCTATAGTAGTTATATTATTATATATTAAATATCTAGTCAGGTCTAAATAGTAATCTAATTTAAAGATCTAGTTAATTCTTAGTAGTAGGCAATATTATCTTTACCTGTAGAGGTATATATAATATCTAGAATAATACTACTAGTATCTAGTATCTCTCTAGTTAATTTCTATTCTAGAGTTATTAGTATATGATATGGCTAAAGATTATAGAAATTCCATTTATAGAGCATCTTTTAGATATATATATATTAGGATATTAATATTAGATTACTAAGTAATCTATAAATATTATATCCTAAGAACTGTATAGGTTTACCTAGTTACTTTAATTTGAAATATTTTTCTAGCTTATCCATGAATTATTAAATATTTACTTTATTAGGGCTAGTAACTATTATATTATCAATATAGATAATAAGTATTAGCTGCTAGTCTAGATTATAGTAGAAGTATAAGTCTTTATTAATTACTTTCATGCTAATTTTTACTAGAATATCATGAAATTCCTTGTACTAAAGAAATATTAACTATTATAATCTATATAAGGCTTAGAGTAGTAGATATACTATACTATCTTACTTATTAAAACTAGTTAGTTGGTGTATATAGATCTTTC